GCCCTTCGGAGGTGGCCCAAATTGGGCCAGAGGACCCGCCAGAGGATCCTCGGGTCCTCTGGCGGGTCCTCTGGGAAATCTTCCGGCCAAACCGGGATCGCACCACCGGCGGAAGGTCCTCCGAGGCGGCCCAAGTTAGGCCAGGCGAAAATGTGCGCCGGTTTGCCGGGGCCGCCAGGTTGCTCGCAGTCCGCAGCCGAGTGTGGCGATTTGGGCACACGAGACGCCAACACAGACGCGGCGCGGTTGTGCACACAAACAGCAGCGGAGTCCATGCGCGCGCCGCGTTTTCGGTTGCATTGCAACACACTTTGGCACGAGCTACACCGAAGGTTTCCCGGGAAACCTTAAACGACCCTGCCCGAGCGGAGTCCATTGATTTCTAGGTCTCACAGCGTCACTTTCTCTTTTTTTTTGTGTTTTTTATTATTTTTGTAGCTGCAAATAGTTTTTTCAAGTGCAACTGCACACAGGCAGAAACATCAGTGGACTTCTAACTAAAAAACGCACTCCCCCAGGCTACAACCCTACCTACTAACGTACACACTACCTACGAACGTCCACACCACCACCACTTTTCTTCTTTTTCGGCTTTCGCATCCGCTTCGTTTTCGCAATGAAGGGGGCAGGGTCAAGTGTGATCTGGGTTCGTAGTGCAATTGCCGCTTCAATCGCGAGCGTCGCACTGTTCCCGTACGCGGCTGGATCGATGTGTCGGGATACGTGGTGCGTAGACCCATCGGGCAGCCGGAATCGGTTTCTTCGATGCGTTTGCTAGCTTGGTTGCGCGCTGAACAACCTCACTCGCTCTAACACCGCTCGGCGTCGGCAGGCGGTTCGTCTTCTTGAAGCGAAATCTAAATTTGCTTCCTAAACCCTGAAACCTAAACTAAACCCTTTCTGGATCGATCTTGAGCAGCAGATGAGGGTGGTGGCTGGATCGAAGGTGAGACGGTCGCGTCGGCAGCCATCCCGTGCCGGCGGCGGTGGCGGCCTAACTAAGCCTAACCCTAGGAGAGAAAAAACCTGCTTGGTGCCAGTTGGCCTAAACCTTGAAGCCTAAACCTTGAAGCGAACTTTAAACAGTTAAATTCTTTGACTCGAACACAAATGCTGCACCACGCTGGCATGTTGGAGCAGAGAGCATGCGGAACGAGGAATCCTTACGTCGCTTTGTCGTAAATATCCATATTCGTCGGTATTCCTTCGTATTTCTTGTATCTCTGTCTCGCGCTTGTAACTTCAATCAGATAAAGTGTCGAGTGTGGCCGTGACATGTACTTCTGCTCGGCAATACAAAATTGGGCTCTCAACACAAGGTAAAGTAGATTGCGAAACTCCAACAGGAATAACTGAAGACGAAAACGTACCCATCATGAGCATCATCATTTTTTTACTGCTGCATATTCAGTACTTCTTCTACCAAAACAAAATATACCAGAACGGTACGCGCTGAGGCCTAGAATTACTCGTAGTAGCATCGTGATTTGGGTCAAACCTTGCGTATATACCCGGGCGCGGTGCCCTCGTGAAACGGCTTTTTTTACACTGCGAAAATATAAGGACTTCAGTAGCCTACGCGCGCCATACCATGCGGGTTGGCCCTTCAAAATCTTCGGGCTTTTGCTTTTGTCTTTTACTCACGTCTTTCCGGAATCCCGGGATTTCTGGGATCCCGGAATTTGTCGTGAAACTGGTGAAAATCGTGAAAAAATCCTTGGTTTTGAATACTAATCACGACGGTATGGTCTCTTTTTCGCGATGATTTTCACCGTGAAAAAAATTTTGAAAAAGCCTACCAATTGCGTCGCGAATCGCGGTGCTACGGGCCCTGTTTTCGGAGTTGCTTTTTCCTGGTTTTTCGCGATATTTCGCACAAGCCGCGCAGCCGAATCACGACGGCACGGCTTTTTTTTCACGATGTGTCTCGCCGTAACACAAATCGGAACAAGCGCTTCGGTTTTATCTCGAATCGCGATGGTACGCGCCGGCTTCCGACCGGAGTCGGTTTCCGTGGTTTGTCGCAAACTGTAGCCACCGCTCTTGTAGCGTATCGCCATTCCAAGCGCCATACGATTTCACAGGGTTTGTCTTGTTTCGGGTGGGGTTTGGATTTGGCCCGCGCCTGTTGTTGGCGCCACGTGAAGAGCTTGGCGTAGGAGATTGTCGCTCTGGCGTATTGACAACCAACAACGAACAGTATTCCACGGACACAAAAGTCAAGCGGTCTTCCTAACCAACACGCACACTAGTCGCATCCCATTACGGCTGTTGCCCCTAATTCTTGCAGAGGCACCCCGCTCGCGCAGCCAGGCCGCCCCTGCCGATCACCTCGGCACGCGCGGGCAGCATTTCACGTCGGCGGCCGCAGACAACGCGTCAGCGTGCCCAACTCTGTGCCCGCCGTCCCACGTCACCGTCGCCCTGTGTTCAGGCGCTATTCGCGGGCCTTTGCGTACGTCTGCCCTGCTGCAGCCGCGTACTTGTGGTTGACCCCGCGCAGAGGCCTATGCGGCACTACGGCCGCGTATTTGCGGTTGACCCCGCGCACAGGCCTAGACGGCGCTACTGGTTCACTTCAGCCGCGCGGGCCCCATGAATGTGTTGCCGCTTGGGACGGAAGGACACCATGGCGAGCTCCCTGCCTGCAGCAGCGCGCGGGGCCGACTGCGCGGCGGGCCCCCGCTGCGTTTCCCCTGTTGCGGGCGCGGAGCGATGTACGCGACAGGAGCCCTTGCATGCGAGTGGGAAAGGAAGGCGGGAGACCCCGAACAACACGGGGGCCCCCCGCGAGCAGGTGGAAAAGCTTGGGGGGCCCCCTTGGGCACCGCTGGTACAGGCCGGGGGCCCCCCGTGCGCGGGAGAGCAAGGCGGGGGGCCCCCTTGGGCACCAAAGGCGGAGGCCGGGGGCCCCCCACGCGCGGGAGAAAAAGGCGGGGGGCTCCCTTGGGTACCAAAGGTGGAGGCCGGGGGCCCCCTGCGGGCGGGAGGGACTTACCGCGGAGAAGGACGGGGGCCCCCTCCGGCCTCCGGCGGGCGGCCCGGCCGGGAGAAGGGCGGGGGCCCCCTGTGGAGGCGGAAGGGCGGGGGCCCCCTGCGGACGCGGGAAATGCAGCGGGTGAGAGGGCGGGAGGCGGGGGCCCCCTGTTTCACCAGGCGGGCGGCCCGGGAGAGAGCGGGGGCCCCCTGTGGAGGCGGAAGGGCGGGGGCCCCCTGCGGACGCGGGATACGCAGCGGGTGAGAGGGCGGGAGGCGGGGCCCCCCTGCTTTCCCCGGTGGTATGCTCGACACAAAAATTGTAACCCTCATCGTAGCCTCGTGATTACAAATCTAGGCCTCAGCACGTACCGGTCTCAAATATAAATATTCAAGCTGTGTGTGCGATACGTGAAAGGTGCGAACTCGGGCGTTGAAGCCTTAATGGAAAGAAAATCGGACGAGTGAACTCAAAGTACAAATGAAAACCAAAACTTCCTGCTTAGACAATAGAAAACGAAGTGATAATATATAGATACAATGATGTAGTTTTTCTTTTTCAAGCTCAAGCAAAATTTTTTGCATTAGCTTAGAAAAAAAAAGCAGCTGGAAAGAATTAATACAACTACCCAACTCGTCGAGCAAAACAATGAGCTCCGCCTCCGATCATGCCAATACCAATACGATACCACTTTTGGCACCTTTTCTATCCTCCTCATATTGTTCATCTTCATTTTTGATTTTATTAGACAGATGCTGTGCAAACCGTTGTAGCGGAAGGTAAAAAATTCTTGAGTGTGTAGCCCTCGTGTAAGTCCGATCATCATATAGATACCTGATACGGGGAAACAGAAACAAACACGACATCGATGGATTTAGTTTAATAAGTACTAAATAGGTGTGTCGAACCGCGTGCCCCCTAGTAATGAGGAGCAGATGCATCGATTCGAAAAAACATCCGTGCAGAATGACAAAAGAAAATGAAGTGCAAGCCTGAGTTTGGGACGACGTTTGGCTCCATGCCTTTCCCGTGGGAATGTGTTCGACGTTGACCTAGTCGCCCTGAAGAGATGATGCTCTTATATGCCTTGTACTTGTTGATCATAGTTGTAAGTACTACTTGTTGGCGTCACCTGTGTCATTAATAAGGGTTTTCCCAAGGGTCCCAAATAGGCACCGCATGCAGGTACGTGGGGTCGCCGGGACGCGGCGCCGGGGGATCTTTGGCGCCCGGGGTTCTTTGGCGCCCAAAAAGCGAGAAGAAGCCTTTCTTGGCGGCTTGTTTAGGCCGGTGCGGCGCTACTTCCGCTGCGGCTTTGCGCTCCTGCTCCGCTGCGCCTTGGGCTTCGGCTTGCTGCTTCCTCGCGGCTTCCGCTGGGGCTTGTTCGAGCCGGTTCGCTTCCGCTGCGGCCTGTTCGAGCCGGTGCGCTTCCTCTTTGCGTTTGCGCTCCGCTTCCTTCGGCCCATCCTTGAACACCGCATCAATCCAGCGATACGTCCGACCCTCGTTGGTCCGGCGGATATGGTCGGACAAAATTCGGAAACGGCATGAGAGCGGCGGTTTTTTGGCCTCTAGATGTAGTGGCGATCTCTTTCTCTTGGGCCGGTTGGTTTTTTTGGTTCTTTAGCGCGCCCATAAGCATGCGCATGGTTTGAGTGTGTGTGTATCCTTGACAGCCATTTCCTTTTCCGGAGCCAAATCGGCCCAAGGCATGTAGCGGATATCCCGCACACTCAGTTCGTCCGCCCACGACGACGGCATGTTGTGGATATTCTGTAGCTAGGATACTAGACCGGCATGGGCGGCTAGGATTATATTCTCTAAAAGTGATCGCTAGCGCAGGCGTCGCTCGGCTTTGCAGGAAAACAAATAAAAGCGCAGCAGGCGCGAAATTCATGCAGCAAATGCGGCATGGCAGAGCTTTGCTGCTGCACAAAATCAAAAACCAGACACAGAGAAACATGCCTCGTCGGTTTGTTCACCAAAAAAGGCAAGCTACCGAATGCCCTCTACAACTCGGCCGCGAAAAAACTACGCCGATCTCACTTCACCGTCGCCCCTATGCTGTCCCGCCATAGAAAACGCCAATCTTGTCCTTCATCAACATGTGGAACTCGGGAAGGCTCTTGGACGTTTCGATAAAAGAAGACAATTCTTCTTTTTCACTAAGGAGGTGCGGATCAAGAATCGTGCTCAAATTTATTTCGGTGGAATCATCAAAATGAAGACGCCGTTCGGGCCTTTCCTCTTCCCAGACCAAAATTTCCTGCGGTCGTGGCAAGCGGTCGACGTCGACTGTGACACCATACCCATCCACCTCTCCGATGGGCTTGTTAAAAATGTCGGGATGCGCATCTCGCGCAAAGACGGGCGCTTGGCGATAGCGGTCCATCGACTCGCGACCTTGGTCCTCCTTTTCGTATGGCACCATGACGACCTTCAGCAGCCTGTCCTGAGGGTCATCTTCCTTCCTTTTCATTGCGAAAGTCAAAGCAGCTTTCTGATTATAACCGCTGCCCGTGCTGCTGCCCAGCTCCGGCACCAGCTCCGTGACCCCTCTCTTGGTGAGGACCTCTGCCATCGTGTCATCGTAAGCCTGGGAAGCCCAAATGTCCATAGTTGGATGCAAGACCTCCTGATACCGGGGATTCGAATTAGAACGGCCCCGCCATTTCCATTCATCCCACTTGCCCGCCATGACCCGGTTCGCGACTTTTGTCTTGAACGCGGCTTCCTCGTCGGGGGGAGGTGAGGCCTCGAACGGCATGTTCGGGGGGGGTGAGGCCTTGAACGGGCTCGTCAATCCCGAAAGCAAGCGGCGGTGAAGCCCGAACCCCCAATTGTCCCTGCAGAATGCCTTACTAGCTTCACTTCGCATCGCATATAATTTTTTGAGCGGGTCTGGGTCTCGATCAGCAGCTGCATTTGCTTCAGGCGTGCGATCCACTGCCGCGCAGTGCTGACTTCCGGTGATCAGCTCGCAGGCCATGGAGGAGGCTGCGAAGTTTGCGTTTCTCACCCTGGCCTCCAACGGTTTTGTAAATTTCATAATATCGAAGCGCGAAGCAGCCCGCCCCCAGATTTGAGAAGGTGTATTTATTTCATTCGTTCGCATCATGTACATGTCATCGTTCCAAGTGTGAGAGCATAACCAACAGCTGCTGTTCCTGTAGTTCATGCAAGCAAAATAAAAGAAACTCTCAGCTCCCCCTGATAAGACTGCAAACCAACCACGCAAGACAGATATTTGTGAACTCTGGAGACGGGCGGGGGGATTCGTCAGTTTAATACTCGGCGGCATCGACCTGCTGGGCCGAAAGGTGCTTGAGGCGAGCAGCCGTCTTGCCGAAATCGGATTCAAGAAAAGGCGGCCACGACTCGAGTTTCTCATGTGACATCACCCAATTGTCGCGGACAAATGCAGATGGAAATCGGATTTTGTCTTCTTCAGAATCAAAGGCGTACGGAAGTAGACTGTCAAGTGCTTGAGCGAACCCGTCTATCAAGTGCAAATATGTCTGGGTCGGCAAGAGTACGAGATTTCTCATGCATCTCGCGGACGACGCCCATGGTGGTCTGGAACGCACACAGAAGCATTATAGATGTTCATTTTGCGAGACCTTTCCCAGGCCCTTTCCCCATGCGAAATGCGACGCCTTGTGTGCAGCAAGAGCTGGGCTCCTTTTGGCGTTCACGCAACACAGCTTTTCATTTTTTTCTCATGACAAGCTGCATTCTTCCAGACTCAGACCTTTTTGCAATGCATACCCTTGGCTTGGACACGCGCGTTCACGTTGGGATACTCTTTCTGAGCTGCGGCTGTGGCCGCGGCAGCCGCTTCGATCGCAGCGCAAATGCCTTCCCGCGCTGGATGGAACCCTGTCGGAAGGGGAAGGGCACGGCGTCTGGAAAAGATCCCCGAGGTTCTTTCAGTAGAAAGGAAGCCACTGCTCCGCACCCTGACATTAGCGTCGACCTCGGTGTCCCCCGACGTCCCCGCCGTGTCGCCGGTCTGGGCGTCCTCCAATTCTTCTTCTTGTTCATGTTCTCCATTCTCATATGCATTGCAGACATGGATGTGTGTGGCTGGAAAGACGACAGAAAAGTATCTCTATTTGTGATCGTGCGCACACGACAAGTCGATAGCACAAGGATTTCTTGTCGTGCATGTTGAGTTGCAAAAGGTGTTTTTTTTTCGCCGCGTCGCGGCAGAGCGATGGGATTTCCCCTCCGGAGCAGACAGGAATGCACGGCCGTCGCAGCACCAGTACGTGCCGAACGTCTGCAGTATTGATCTCGACCCACACATCATGTTTAATATTGCACTGGATATCTTCTTCTCGAGAGCGGCAAAACCAATTTCAGCTGCGGCGTCCGTCAGAACCACTCCTCTCTCGGAAGCAGCGGAAGTTGTCGTGGGGGAAGCTACCCCCGTCATCTCTTCGCCGCCCGGTGCAGCAGTAGCAGTAGCAGCACCAGCAGCTGCAATACCAGTGGTCATTTCACCATCGGTTGTCTCGTCCCCACCCCCCATCGTGGCCGCCTGAAGTTGTTCTTGTTCCCGCCTGTTCTTCTCTTCCAAGCGAGCGGCCTTCTGCTGCAGCAGGTTCTTGCTGGATTTCTTGTCCGAGGTCGTGCGCACGGCCTGCACCTGGTGGCCCAGCATTGATGTACCGCCCAAGAAGAACACGGAAACGCCCGCGGCTGCCGCTGTTCCCCCCGCGAACACTTGAGCCTTCTGGTTCCCCATCGTCAACAGTTTTTTCCGCGGCAGACACGACGCGTGATCAAGTCCCAGCTTCCGGTAGCGCTGCTGCACCACCTGTTTGCGCTTGCCAGCCCGTTTGGCGTAGCTCTTCACCTCGTTGCCGGTCGGCACCGGCTCGACTTTCTTGGGCTCTTTCGCGTGCTTCTTTTGCTGTTCATTTACGGGCGGCGGACCGGGATTTTTGCCGCAACCTTCGTCCTGTGTGGAAAAGTAGCGCGGCAAGTATCACAGTTTGGAAGTACTACTTCCTACTTTTTGCCTTATGCGACTGTGACAGTCGGTTTTGATAAATTCATTTTAGGGCTCTAAAAACTCTACTTGTAGAAGACTGCTACAAGTCGAAACCAAAACCATGAAAGCACGCAGATGATTTCGCACACCCCTGACTTCTCTCGTGCAACGAACCTAGAATGCGAGGACGGGTCAACATCAACAGGAAAGACAGATGCTAATGCTAGAGCTGGAAAAAAGTACCCGCGTAGAAGTAGAGGCGGCAGAAGTGCAGTCCGAGGCACGATCTTTCATTTCTACTTCATCCATGGCGGAGAGCAGAACGCTTTTGCCACAATTTTCGTCCTCCTGCTGCGTGGGAATGGGCATCATCTTCTTGGGCGCCGATCCGCCCTGCTGCGAGAGAAGTCCCATTGGAGGGGTCGCGATCCCGCTGGTAGTAGACGTAGAGCACTCGTCGTCCAGCGGCGTCTCTTGTGAAATGTCGGAAGTCATGTTCATCACTGCCGTGTTGGTTTTCTTTTGTAGTTGAGTTGTACTTGTAGTTGATTAGTAGTTCGGTTCCTTCAAGTCGAAGACATAAAGATATTACCCCTGCTGCGTCTGGGCGACGTAAGTGCTAGAGTCACGTTGTCGTTGGCGTGCAAGGTGCTCTAGTGCATTAAAGAATTTACGATCAATACAGCTAGGGGTAGTTCGGGTGTATGTTGATGATGTGCAAAGAAAAAATAGCAGAAGTAACTGTGGAAAGTTGTAGTGGCTACGGCGTATCGGAGGTCGTGGTAAATTGCGCTCGGAGAGAGCAATTTACTCTTCCTCTTCGTGTGAGGACGAGGATCATTGCGCTTCTATTTTTATTTGTATTGCGTCTCCAAATAAAAAACATCAAGCATGCACCTTCATCTATCGTATCTTCGTTGAGGCGCAGCACCTTCATCTTTGTAAAGCAGAAGAGCGTCAACAGACACCATGGGCGAGAAGAAGGCAGTCCTTATAATTTCTAGACGACACCATCAAAACTTCTTCTTGATGTGTACGAAGTTCTTTGACCGAGCAGCAGTGTTAGAATTGTTCTGCGTCCAGTACTCAACGGGCGGCGACCGAAGCAAACGGAAATTGCGAAAAGGAAAGCAGGATACGAAAGATACGTCAGGACGAAGGAAATGGAAATAAACCGATGGTCGTGGTCCTTTTCAATATACGACTTTCGTTATTATAATATTTTGCAACCGACGTCGTCACACTGTACCTGTCGTTCTAGCTGAATCTCGCTATTTTGTCAAACGACCGAGCCCGAGCGTAAGTGGACACAAAAAAAAGTGTTGTTTACCTGAAACGAACCGAGAAATTACGGGCACTTATTGTGATGATATCACGTTTCCATCGCTCCTTCCGAGGAGACGTTGTTAGCTTTCTGTTAGCTCTTCTTGCAGCTTCTCGAATTGCAAATGAAGTGCCTTTAGCGACTTCGTTTCGACGGGTTCCTCCCCGCAATGTATGCAGCAAGTGCTGCTGCATGTGGTACCATAAGTAGGACCAGGACAAGATGCAGCAAGTGGCGCCGCCAGAAAATTGTATTAATAACTCACGTTTTCAACCTCAGAGAGATGGCGACGAAAGCAAAACAAGGTTCAAAATCTGCATCAAAACACCTGTTCCGTTGAGCAACAAAAATCATGGCAGTTCTCACTCCACTTTGAAGATTCCCGCACAAACAGCTTCTTGCTCGTTCCTCTCATCCCGTTGTAGTGATTGTGATTCTATTTTTCTGTATTCTCGTAGTTCTCAAATGGTTCCGGTTTCAGCTCAACAGAGTAGTCGTCGTGTCTATAATCTTCTGTAAAAATCCAATTTCAATTCAAATGCGCGCCGCCGACGTTGCATAAATTTCGCAAACACCATCAAGTTTTCCTCAGGCCGTATCCCACCAAATGCCCAACAAATCTTTGTTCCCCCGCGACACAGACCGACTCTGTATTTCCGGTGTCGTTACCTGAGCATGATTGCCCGAATTTGCTACCCCAGTATGATCGCCGCTCGCTTCTCCTGCGTAGTTGTTGCCCATCTGCTCCCGCGAAACCACCCGCGGCTGCTGCTGCTGGTGCGGAACTATGAACTGTTGCTGCTGATAATACACAGAAGTGGGAATCTATCCAAGAAAAAAACATTGTGAGTGTAACTTTTTTGGAGGAACAGCATCGCAAATCTGTCTGGCATGACAGCAAAAACCTGTCATGCGCAGATAGTACGCGTAAACGCCCTTTAGTGGACCCTACAATGCATGCCAAGCATGAGAGACGCAATCATCTTGTTGCATGTTCCGCATCACAAATTTACACTAACAACGTTTTTTTCTTGGATAGAATCCCCTCGTGTGTGCGTGCACTGTGCGACTGTGTCGGATTCATACTTGCCGCCGAAGTAGTTGCAGCCTTCGTGTAATCTCGAATCGCCGCAACACGATCCTGCAGTAGATGTGGATTTGTTACTTCTGCCTCCAACGTCGTGGCAGGACGATCTACAACCGTGGTTGCGCCGGCGGCGCGAGAGCCACGACTACTGCCAGTTGATTTTTGCCCGTTGTAGTAGACTAATTTTTCCTCCTCTACATTCCGTTTCTTCTCTTCTACCAGAACTGACGGAGAACTGCCGCCGGCTCCGGGCGGAGACGCGCATGATCCCGCCCCCGCCGCCGGGGTGGATGTCGTTGGCGAATGATCGTCGTTCCCACCGCTGACCGATTTGTGCGACGAGGTGAGCGACAGGGTGCCGCTTTGCTGGTGGGGCAGCGGCTGCTCTTGCAGAACTTCCGGTAACGACCTCGGGGACGCCTTTACGATAGAAGTTGTGCCGTCTTCTACTGAAGAAGATGTTGGAGCAGCGCCGCAAGCAGGAGTCGGTGGTCCTCCTGCTGAAGATGTAGTTGCACTAGAGTAACAAACTGTTGTACCTGAAGATTTTGTAAAAACCGCGGGTCCGCAGGCTGTTTGCGGCGGCAGTTCCCGGTAACCCGTCTCCTCCATGGCGGGCGAGTGGATCGGGAATTGCTCGACTTCTACAGCAGCTCCACGTGGTCCGCCCGGGGCGGGATTGTTGTGAGGAAAAATCCCCCCTCCCCATATCGAAAAGGTATGCTTCCGGAAATTTGTCTTGCTGATTTGAGACCACAAATCACGTCTGTCTTGCACGGAGACAACTCCGCAGGCTCTGCCGCATTACGCAGGAAGTTTGTGATGCTGTTGGGCCTACAGCACAGACGTTTCTCATGCTAAGCGCCTAGGCCAAAACCTCTCTACTCAGGCTTGGCAGGAGCCTGCAGTCCTCTACTGCAAGACAAACCTGATTTGTACATGCGAATTCAGCATCAGAAACTTCCTTTTGATATGGGGAGGGGGGATTTTTCCTCGTGATAGGGATTGTTGTAAAACTGTCTCGACTATGCTGTGCAAAAGTATCGTATTCGTATTGTAATCATGCATTACAAATATTTTTGTTAAGGCAAATCCGCATTACAAATTCCATTTCTCATGCTGAGGAAATTTGTAATGCATTTATACGAATACGATACTTTTGCAGTTCATATCGACGTCGAGGAGGTGGGATCGCTTACTCCTGGGGATTATGCATTGCAAAAGTATCGTACTCGTATAAATGCATTACAAATTTCCTCAGCATGAGAAATAAAATTTGTAATGCAGATTTACGCTGAGAAAAAGATTTGTAATGCATGACTGCAATACGAGTACGATACTTTTGCACAGGATAGTGATATGATCTGCCGCGCACTCGTCTCCGGGCTCAGGATGTAGGGAACCGGGGCGACAGCTATGGCGTTCTCAACTGTTACATTCTCAACTGTTATACGGATTTGTCATGCAAAGTTGCCATCAGCCTCCACTTGATCAAGGTGCTTAGCATGACAAATTTTCGAAGGGCTAAACAGCATGACAATCTGTGGCAAATCTGTGATGCGAAAGCTGCAACATTGCCACTCTTACTGTTGCTGTTCTTGCATTACAAATCCATGTAACAGTTGAGAATGTAACGTTTGAGAACGCCATAACAGCAAGACGGTTGTTGTAACTCGTCGTGTGGGTCGGCGGAAGTGGAGGGGTAGTCCCTTGCTGCTGCACCTGTAAACGGTTAGGATGCAGCTGCGGTTGATGATGTGCAAGCTGGGGTCGTCCGGGCTGCTGCTGTTGCTGTTGTGCGGGTCGTACCCCGCCCAGCAATTGGTGTTGGTGCTGCAGTCCTGCGGGAGCTGCTGAAGTTCCGTCCCCGTATTGGTACGTCGTTGACATCAATCGTGGCCCTTGGTAGTTTTGCGCCCCTGTAGTTCTTGCAAGGCGTTGCTGCTGCGTGGAGTGGTCTAGTACTGCAGCTGCTCCGGAGCGATTTATGTGGTGTTGGTACACGGGGGCAGTAGTTGCAGTACTTACTACAGATGCGCCCCCTGCTGTTTGTTGAGCACCACCGTGGTAGGGCGGTGTTATTACTCCGCCATGTTGCAGCTGGTGAAGCGATTGTATCCACCGCAAAACTATTGTCCTTTCGAATCTAAGTCATGGCAATCTTGCGCAACAAAAATGACGAATGCATAAGCATACGCAATTGTTCTGAATCAGCATTACAACTTCTACTCTGAATTTAGACAAGAAACTTGTGATGCAATTACCACTCCTACGGTACTTTAGCTTTTGCGATGCATATCCGTTTGGTGCGAAGTCTGCACTGCGGAAGAAGCCACTCCCACCAGCGACGATGAGCTGAGGTGGTGATACTCCAGAGACGAGGAAGTGGGTTGTCGGTGCTGCTGCGGTGTTTGCACTGTTTCGTCCTGGCGGCCAGTAACTTGGTTTGCGTATTTCTGTTCAACATACGCCGGTGGATTTTGGCCAAAGTAAGGCGTGTCTGCGCCGTACTGTGTGGGAGAGTGGACAAGGTAGGGCTCATCTTCCTGAGCTGTTGACAGTTCCTGCTGCTGCTGCAGGTGTAAAAGTTGTCTTCTTTGTTCTAGCCGCAGGTCTCTCAAACCATGTTGCCCTCTAGCCGTATGGAGTTCCCAAACGTCGCAGTATGGCAGCTGTTGTTCCATCAGTATTTGCCGTGCACCAGAAGCTCTGATGTCACAGTCCGCGCGATCAAGCTGCTTCGCGTCGCAAGTTTGCGACGCGCTCTGTGATGCAAGACTGGAAGGACCTGAATTTCAGCCTTCAGGTCCTTCTAGTCTTGCATCAAAAAAGCATGCAACAAGAGAAACACACGTAACGTTTGAGAACGCCATAAGCCGCAGCGACGGTCGCAGGACGTTGCTGATTTAGATGCCTATTGAGGAGAGCTGCTGCCGGGGGCGTGGTTCCACCAGGAGCCCCTGCTCGTCCGCCACTCGCAGTTGCCCCCCGGGTGGCTGAAGCTCTTCGCTGGAGATTCAATTTTCTCGCCGCAGCGGCGGCCTCCAGATACGTGCTCACCCGTTGGTTGTGCACTTCCGACGTGAGGTATGCAATGCAAATTATAACCAATCGCGTACATGTACAAGATGAAAATTCCTGACAAACTTCTTCGCCAATGTAAACACTTGTCATCCTAATAAACTGGGATCGCCGGCAAGGCTTACCATGCAGAAACCGCATTTCCATTTGTACGTCGTGCACGGGAAATTATTCTTTCACTGTGGATATGGAGGGACCGGGTTTCAGGATGACCTGACTCCGACTACAGCTGCTGTCACTGACATTCCCGCTCGGGAAGGAGTCGTGCCGTCTTGCGGACAGAATAACGTCCTCATCGTCCGCGTCCCCGCCGTTACCAGACGAAGCGTCATGATCATCAGCCTCAAGCTCCGTCGGAGGATCTTCTCCTGCCGCAGCCATCTCGGCGTCGGTATTGTACGTGGTCGTGGTCTGGGCGGATCCTGCTGTAGTGCCAGCGGTCGTTGGCGCCGCTGCTGCAACAAGCATATTTTTCGCGGTAACAACTCGCACGTCTGAGGACGACGACGCTGACGCAGGAACATTTTCAACTCTAGTGGGATAGAAGTTCCCGTGACGGTAAGTATGTTCTTGTTCGAGATGATTCATTTGATGTTCCAGTGTCACCTGTTCAACATCCAGGTGTCCTCTCGTGGTGTTCAGATTCGGTCGCGGCCGTCTCCGCGTCTCCCGTGGCGGAAAGGTCGCGCGCCGATTGAAATTTTTATAGCCTGTGCTGTTATTGGCCAGGAGCCCCTGCCTCCGCGCTCGGCTTTGCGGGGATGAGATCGTTGGCCCGCTGGAAAACCGCTGTGGCGTCTGAGTCTGAGCTGCAGCGGTAACCACACGGCTTCTGTAATTCAAATTCTGCTGAGGGTAAAGTGTGCTGGTAGCATGAGGGGCGGGGGCGAGGAAGTTGTGGTCAGCAGTAAAGGTAGTTCCCTGGTGATGTTGTCTGCTGGTAGAAGTTGTTCCGCCCAACATCCTCGTCATCATCCCGCTCTGCGACGGCGAGCTACCCCCTTCTATTGACGTTTGGGACGCTGCGCCGAGACTCGAGGTTGCCCTTTCGATGACCGGCGGGCCGAGGCCCATTGCGGGGGGAGGTAGTTGCCCGGCTGAGTTTCGCGGTTGTGGGGGGCCAGGAGCAGCTGCAGCTTGGTGGGGACTTCTCGAGGGGGAGGGCTGGATTTGGTTTTGATATAGAAGAGCAGGGGGATCAACATAGGATGCTGAGCCAGATCCACCGCCATCTGCTACTTCTCGGGGAGGAGCCGTGTTGTAGTTGATCATACCGCCACCTCCTCCACCAGCAGTCTCTGTAGTAGTTGCTCCAATTATGCCTGTGCCGGTCGTCGAAGCATGATCTTGTTCATGATGATAGTACGCGCCATAGTTTGGAGTCAGCACTTCTCGTCGTCCCCGTGCCGAGTTCGGCTGTTGTTGACCTGTTCCTGTACTACTGTACAACTCGACATGATCGCTTCTCCTGGAAACGAACCCCGCGGAAGTCGTGGCTGCACTCGTGGTCGCCGCTCCCTCAGAGAAAACGGAAACTTGTCGTGGGGGCATGAGTAGGGGAGCGGGGATCACGCTCGCATCACCACGGTCGACGGCGGGATATGACGTCGACAATCCGGGATCAGCACCGCTCGGTGGCAACGCAGAGTAGTAGGTCGTGTAGTCACCTGCTCCGATGTGGCTGTCCCGTACGACGCACGCCGTGAAGGCGTCCTGAAACCATTTCAAAATCATGTTGCCGTGGTTCGCAGCGGGGGGTCGCGTATGTTGCAAAAAGTTTTATATCCAGGTGGAGTACCGTAGTTTTAGATCATGGTTTAGCTTTAGAAGCGACCGATGAGCATAGTACTACTGGTGACACGCCCGAGGTCAATGTGTCGGTACCTCTGCACAAAAATTCAAATCTAGAAAAAGCTGGCTCCTTGCATCCAAAAAACTTTACCGGAAAGCGGAAACTTAGAGCTACGATCTTGTGTGTTCGCTTTCCAAAGGATCACTGCTATGGTATAAACACAGTCCAATCGTGTTTCACGAGCAAGACCATGATCAACCTTTCACTGGCAAAACCTGATCACACCCCAGAATTCCTGTTTCTCTAATGGATCCAGCAGGAATCTTCATCCAAACGCGCAGAACAAGTCCCGGATGTTGGTAGTTGATGAAAGCAGCAGCACATGTTATCAGGTAAGATTTGTCTTCTGCCATCTTCGCACGAACGCCAGCACAGTTCCTGCGGTTCATGCAGTGCCTGCAAGTAACAAGAAGAACGCAACATCACACTATCCTCGACGAAACAGTCTGCAGCAAGCCCGGCGCAACCTGGTGAACAAATACGGGGCACCTGTTTGTGCGCAGAAATTTTTTTTTATCTTATATCACGCACAAACAGGAAGAAGGACAACATTTTGCTATTTCGATTTCATCTGTGTCTTCGTCAACAAAGTGAAGTCGTGTCTCCGGACTTACTCGGTCTCTAACTCTATCTGGTCGTGTTCGTCTTGCTTCTTTGCGAAGATTCTACTACATGCCTAGCTAATGCGAAGCAAGTGCATTTCGCAGAAAGCGGGAGTCAGAATCTTTCATATTTTTTATAGACTTTCCGTTTCGCTTTTACAAAGAAATTATGACGACACTCCTGCTGCATCGCTATCGTTTTACACGTCGACGCCCAGCTCTTCTTCAATCATCTCTTAGTTGCGATCGTCGTTATTGTCCCTAGCTATGTGTTTTCGCAAATTCCACCGGACTTTCCAAAAACATCCTCCTCGCTTCTTGGTTTCGCCAAGCCCACTCGGCAAACTGCAACGGGGAAACGGAACATTTAATTTTCTTTTGATGCGACAGGACACCGGCACTCTTCTCCTCGTCAACATGTAGTTCCGGCCGCGAACTAGATTCTAGTTCTGTACTACTACTTCTCACGCACGCCACATGTACTTCATGATCGTCCTCGTCCTCCAAATTGAACATCATCCACAGATTGTTAACCAGCGACTTCGTTCTACTGCCCGGTCTGGCGGAAGAAGACACGACACTTGTAGCACCAGATCCTGCTGCTCCAGAGGAAGCAGTTGCAGGAGATTTCCTGTCCTGTTTTGTCACCTTCGCCGCGGCGCGAAGCTTCACTTTCTTCGCCACTCCGACTAGTGTTTGAATCAAAATTTCCGCCTCGGTTTTAGACAAGAAGCCGTTCTCCCCCGTGAAATAAAACCAGCACAGGAAATCGGCCTTCCGGCGGCACAAAGCCTCGTCGCAGAGCTTCGTCGCCATTTCATCGCTGTTAGTTGTCATTGTGGTTGAGGTCACATTTCTCCCGTGTGCCTGATGTAGTGCTCTATGTCCACCCGCCATGATTACATCCTGTTCATGTTCCTCGCTTCTGTTGTAGTTCTTGGCGGCTGTGGGTAGTTCCTGTTTTTCCTCTGTTATTTTCGCAACCGCGATTATCGCAGGAAAAAACTGCTTCACTGTGATGATTTTGCAAGATCTGCATCACAAGTTTGTTACACATGGCGCAGAAAATTTGCGATGCGCACTTCCCAAGGGAAAACACCCTTCAAAACCCAATGTCTTGCATGTGTAGCAAGACAAATAGTTTTGTGTTCCATTCCATGCATCACAAGTTCACAGTGAAACAGTTTTTTCGTGGGATAGCGATCACGCAGGCCACGACGAAGAATTCAAACGCTGCGACGACAATCCCTCGACCTTGTAGTTCTCGTGCCGGTATGCATTGCAAATATGTCTGGGTCTGGAAGAATCCGAACTTGTGATGCTGCATTTGGATTCCAAAAATATCTGTATTGCATAAGCAGCAAAGGGAACGCAGTTTTGGCTACGCGGAGAGGGCATTTGTCATGCAGAATAGACATCGCGAAGCCCTCAAAAAGTCTGTAATGCTAGGGCATGCATCACAGACATCAATCATGGCCCATGCAGAACGTGCATGACAAGTCTCAGAATCTTCCAGACCCAGACATTTTTACATTTGATAGCCGGCACCTTGCGACAGTGGTTTTTCGCGATAACCTCCATCCACGGCCAGGTTTCCTGCATTTCCTCGTCGATGGAGAAAAGCTGCTGGAACCCCAAGACGTCGCGCCAGTAAAGTGCCGCGAGCTCCACCTCGTGCATGGTCGGTGGACGTACAACATCGATTTGATGAGAGGTTGTGGTGCTGTTGTGCAGCACGTCGGGTATGATCATGCGGTTGTCTGACGGACCGCCCGACGTAGCAGTTGTACCAGGAGCTGCCTGGCCAGATGAAGGTGAGCACGCAACTCCGGCGGTATTGCCAGCCATGGCCATGGCCTTGGTGATCTATAATCTTTGATATCGGGCAAAGTAGAACTAGAAGGACGCGAGGTCTAGTATTCCATGCGTTCTTAGAAGGACATCTTAATACGATCTACCCATTTTTTTACTTTTTACCTGCACAGAATCTTCTAAATGACCTGCCAGGTTGGAATTGGAGGAACCTTGTCTAACATTCGACGTCGGCGAACTGGTGCCGGGTGCGAAATTATAATCAAAAAAAAAAAAACGTCCTCGGTAGAGAAGTACAACACTCGTTTATTCATCTCGGTATGACAGCTATGAGATGCAAAAAGCGAAGACGCGCGGAAGCAACAAGAAACATAGATATAGGAAGACGAAGAGGAACGAACATACAGGAGAAGAGAACTTCATATCGTGGCAACGCTGACGTGAGTATCTGCATCAAGCATCGCGGCACGGGAAATAGCAGGCAGCAAGAGCTCCACCACGCGCGTGTGCCCATGTAATGGTAGTTTCGTCGTGTGTATTTCATTGAGATAAAAAAATCGTCATTTCTTTTCGATGTGGCCACTGCTGCCAAGAATAGTCATTCATTTCTGGGAGGACATCCAGGTCAGAAGAACAAGAAAAATAAGACCGTCGTTGTATTATGAGCCAGCTGTTGTAGATGAAGCAGCAGTTGCGGATTAACTCCTGACTATAGAGAAAAAATAGAAAAGGCGTCGCTTGTCGTTACCTCATGGGAAGTTCGTCGTTCAATCTATGTCGTCGTTGTATTTTGGATATGAACTACGTTATGCAAAAACGTAAAGATGACGGTTCTTATCACCATGATCAGCTCTATCATGCAGGAAACTACACCGTTTATCGCTTTTCCGCCAACTTCGGCCCTCCGTTATCTTTGTCCATCAAGTTCAAAAGCAGAGAGTCGGCGGACAAAACCAACCTGTTTTGCGACTTCGCCAGAGCATGCGCCACCTCCTTTGCGACATCAATCCGTCGCAATTCCACGAAACCCGGATTGTTCTTGATCGCTTGACCTGAACATGGTTTTTGCATACTATAATCGGAAAGTAAAGAGTTTGTATTTTTTGACGTTGTGTCTTCATGGTGACCGCATCCACCGCACCTGTAGAGGTGCTACTGCGAATAAGAACCTCCACGCGACACGAGGACCACAACACGGCCACACAAAAATTTGTACCGATCATCCTTGCGGCCTCCTGTTCACCCTGTGCCTTGATCACGATGTTCTTTTTCTCTTCCTGTGCCTTCAGCACGCGGAACCTCGCGCGCTTATGGGATTCTCAATTGTTACATTCTCAACTGTTACATGCATTTGTAATGCAACAATAGCAAAAGTCAAAGGGGGACAATTGCACCTCTAGCATTACAAATTCCGCATAGAGTTCAATGCTGTTTAGCCCTCCGGAAATTTGTCATGCGAAGTCGCTTCACCCTGTGGAAGAAAGCTGATGTTGACTTTGCATGACAAACCGTGTAACAGTTGAGAATGTAACGTTTGAGAACGCCATAGCGCTCCGCCTGCTGCTGCGCGACCTGCTTGGACTCCACCGCTTTCTCATACTCTGGAGAGAATCCGACGTGCGTGATGTATCCAGGAAAAAAACGTTGTTAGTGTAAATTTGTGATGCGCAACATTCAAGCTGATTGCGTCTGTCATGCTTGGCATGCATCGTAGGGTTCATTAAAGGGCGTTTTCACGTACTATCTGCGCATGACAGGTTTCTGCTGTCATGCCAGACAAATTTGTGACGCTGTTCCTCCAAAAAAGTTACACCTACAATGTTTTTTTCTTGGATATGATGGAAACATCGTCCAGTAAGATGTTAAAATCCCGGGCGCGTTTGGTGAGCCGGTCCCGGATCAGGCTGGACACCCTCTCACGCTGTTGCACCAATTCGGAGGCATTGAATTGGGCCACGACCGATTTCAAAATCTCGTTCACAATGGAAGGAAGAACCTGGTGGGACAATCATTTTAACTTTTAGTTCTGATGAAATACGACTCGTGTTGCCTAGGAAATGATGACCAGTGTGCTGCTGCTTCTGGTCCTGACCCTGAGGTTGCTGTGCAAGTGCATAACAAATTGGCAGTGCGGAAGCAAACCGCTAGAAGTACCTTCTCGTCGTAATTGAGGCCGAGGTGTGTGTAGATCTGTGGTAGATTTGTCTCGTCGGGCCGAACCAAAGTACCTGATAATGTTGGAAGGAATTTCTTTTATCAAGTTTGCCCTTGAGAGTACTGCTCCACATAGGCAAATTACATTTTTGTTTTTCAATCATGCGTAACTCGCAACAAGCAGAAGCAGCACAATTATAAAACATTTCCTTACGGACGGATATGTTGACCATCTGCAAGTCTCGGGATCCGGTAAGGGACACGATTGTCCTTGGCCTAGTTCTGATATCATAGATAATTGGCCGCTCGAAATACGGCATCAGGAAGTGCGTCCCCTCTTCGTAGTGCTGTTTTTTTGATTTTGAAAGTCCACCAACATCAACAAGTGGCTGTGGTTGATGCTCTTTGTTAATATATATGAAGGACTAGTAGTACACGCCTTAGGTTGAATTGCACGGAAAGGTTTCATCGCTTTTGTCATGCAATACGACCTAGATCCCTTCCAATACCTCAGTCCCGATCCCGCTCAATCTGGAGAATTTGATCGCCCTGTGACCTGCTTCCACGTTGTACAAACAGTTGTTTGCTGTGTAAAACAAACCGCCCAGTGCCATCGTCCCACCAATCAAGGGTCCCAGCGTTTGCTGCATGGCAGCGCCCATCTTGCCCGGGTCGAATTTCGCCATGATGTTGTTTCAAAAATCGCGAGCTCCTTTCGTCAAATTAATATTATGCTTAGTGGTTGTATGTACAACAGCTGCAATCAACACGTAAAACTATTTTATTTCGACATCTACTTGCAACTCTGAGGAATGGAGGAAGGCATCCTTATCGCTTCATCTTCGGAATGATGTACTTACATATTCTTGTCGGTGGACTGCAAAAATATAAAGAAGAAACACGAGGAGGCAGTGATCGTCACAAAGGAAAAAGAAAACTGCGAAGCAAGAGGCCACTTTGTTCCGCGCAGATAAATCTTCATACCTTCTACTTACAACGTGCGCCTTCGCAATCCAGTCAAGATCTGCTTCGCATCAATCTTCGAGCGGTTCTATCTTGGGATCGTTGTCTTGCAAATAAAGTATCGTGTGCTGCCGTAAGGAAAATCGGAGAAGAGTACTAGATCCTCATCCTTGTTTGAGAACGCATGCGACGATAGAAAAACAAGCACTTGCACCCTAATAATGAACATAAAAGTGCTGCAATTCTCGCAAAGCCGATCTTCCAAATATCGAGCTCAGACGGCAGCTCACCTATGTCCTTCGTTGAGACGGGGAGCTCTGTAGTCAAGAAGTGCCAGGAAGAAGAAGTCCAACTTCGCTGCACGACTCTGCTAGTACTTAATCCTTGTCGTAGTCGCTTAAGTTGTTATTCATCCTTTTCGCCCTTCAACATGATCTACGTCGTGCTGTCGCTATAACGCTTGTGGCCCTTCCAATAGAATTCGTACAACGCCTCCTCAGCAAGGGACCTCGTCAATAGGGGGTGTCAGGACCCCTGCTGCAGCTCACCCGAGCTGCTGGTAATGAGGATTGTTGTACGCGTTGGCTGGCACGCCGGTCGCTTGCTGCTTCTGTAGTATTGACACGCCGTTGTTCAGGGTTGCTACTGACAGTTCCTTCAGTGCGTCTTATGAATTGCAAAAGTATCCGATACTTGTATAAATGCATGACAGATTCCCTCAGCATGAGACATAAAATCTGTAATGCGGCTTTACCTTGAGAAAAAAATTTGTAATGCACAACTGCAATTACGAATACGAAACTTTTGCACAGGATACGTCCTTTAACACGTTGATGTTGTAATCCATCAAATGCTATCAAATGTAAAAATGTCTGGGTCTGGAAGATTCTGAGACTTGTCATGCATGTTTTGTATGACCCAGAATGTCTGTAATGCACGACCTAGCATCACAGATTTTTAGAGGGCTTCCTGATGCCTATTCCGCATTACAAATGCCCTCTCCACGTAGCACAGTCTGGGCTCCTCTTCCTGGTCATGCAATACAGATTTTTTTGGATTCCAAAGATAGCATGACAAGTTGCATTCTTCCAGACCCAGACATTTTTACATTTGATAAATGCTGCCGGTCGAAATTCTCTTCGCGGATAAGGTATAACAGTGCACACCCCCCTCCCCCTCATTTGTGTAGCATGAACGGCAAGACAAGCATCAGCAAGAGTGCCGGTTTTGCATGGCAAATTTGCATTTGGGCTACCAGAACTTGTCATGCAAACAGTGCCACGATGCACCAAAGGGTGGATTGGGTATTCTGCATGACAAATGGGGGGAGCGGGAAGGGGAGCTGTGCACCGTCATATAATGCACGCGAAAGCTAGGAACTGCTCCACTTGCTTCAGGTACAGGAGAAGACCTAGTGGTGATCATGTTGTTGCTTGTAGTGTTTTCAATGGATACAGCTGCACACGAATGTTGCACTTGATTCATTTGCTCTCAACATGATCCCTGCAATGCGAATGGTGCATTTTTCGCATTGCGATTGCTGCATCATGAATGACACTGTCCACTTCTCCCTGCTGCATCTGCAAGCCCATCAAAAAAAAAAACAAACAAAACCAACTACAGTACCGTTCGTCATCTGTATGATGCAGCTCGACTTGGAATCGATCGTAATTCCCGCGTACGCATCTCCTTCCTCCGTGGTCAGGCCATAGATGCAACTGATGTCGATCGCCACGTCGATCATGTCTGAGCACAACTCGTAGCACTGGTACGTCGGATTGTCGTCCGCGCCGCTGTCTGTGGCGATGTAGATTTTGGACACCACATCGAACAAAAAACCCTTCTCCATCCGGCAGTTGGTCACTAACAAATCGATCAACTGCTCTAAAACCGGGAGTTCCGGGATGAGTTTCTGCACGACTTTGCTCATCGCCTCGAAAACCGAGTGATCATAGATAGAAGTTGCGTGAAAGGTGACGTGCACGTTCGGACACGTTTCGTACAAATGGTAGTCGTCGATAAGTTTCTGGTATGCAGTGCAAAAGTATCGTTAACTCGTACTGATTGCAGTCACGCATTGCAAATCCCTTTCTCATTATCAAAAAATCAGCACTACAAATTCCACTTCTGATGCTGAGGACATAAATTTGTCATGCTATTCATACATACTAGTACGAAGATACTTTTGCAGTGAATATCTGGTGGATTTCCTGCTGCAGCTCCTGCTTGTTCTCTTCTTGGATGAAATAGTCCCCGTCGGTCTTATATCCTGTGCAAAAGTATCGGACTGGTAGTAATTGCAAATATGCATGACAAATCTCCGTCACAACGCAAAACAGCATGACAAATTACATTTCTCATTTTTTTTTTTTTTTATAAAAATTACTGACAAAAGGCATATAAAAGTCTTAATAACGACGGAGAAGGATGGCCATGGCTTCTGCTTTTCTCGTCGTCCTCAAAACTTCGCTCTTCCTCTTGTGTTCGTTTAGCATGCGCCCGCTGGATTTGAACTCATTGGGTTGCGTGTTTGCAGTTGGAGATACAACCCCCAGGTCCTTGCTCAAATGTGCTATTCCTCATTTGCACGGTCCCTCACATTCACGTCTGCGGTGGAACGGACGCCCGGGATGACACTGCCTGCTAACTCCTCCCCCCACTGTAATCGGGGTTCGGAGAAAGCAACTCAGCGCCAAAAGTCAGATCGTTAAGACTCTTAGTGCTGGTTGAAGGTTCTTCGGCAATGTCGCTCTACCTTTTCCACTGTTTAGTCTTCACTGTTCAACCCCCTTCATTCGATATTTTGGAAGAGAAGACGCTTACTCACCATTCCAGTCTGTTCGGTTGTACCGCGCTGCCAACAGCACAACCACATCCAGTGACTGGCGCATGGCTTTTAAAGTCCCTTCTTTACAACAAGCCGGAGAGGAAAATAAATAGAGAAGAGTCTGAAAAAAAAAGACTTCTCACACATGCCTAAAATTGATGGACACAAGGTCCTTCTACACCTTGGAGATTCAGCATCTTGATCTTGGTGAACTTTCGTTACTTAGGCAGGATCTGTCTAGCTAGCTTTAGAATTATATGAGCAAGCTCGCCTTGGCATGTCTGATCTATTTGAACTTCACAAAAATATATAAGAGTCATACTTCCCTGCGTCTTCCGTGATCTGTTGATCCATTGTTTCTAAACTTGTACCTCCGGGGCAGGAGGGCTCCCGGGTTTAGAAGAGCTGTTTTCGGCACGTCTTTCGCTCTGTAGCCGGTTTGATCATGCTCGTGCCGCCAATTCCCGTTTTCTGGCCTTTCGGGGTGATAAAAGAAAAGCGCTCTGCGCCAGCACTTTTTTGGTCGCAGTTTTCGTCTCGGTGGTCTATGAAAAACTTCCACCTCTTTCCGTTTATTTTCATATATAAAAAACACGTCTCTTCTGCAGCACATGAGCGTCATTCTGTTTCTGTTTAAAGTCCTCTTGCCCACTTCTTTTCTGTTGTTCGTGTATCCGGCACTAAAATCTATATAAAGCAGCAACAAAAATTGAGAGGCAGGCCTCAGCTATGCATTACAAATTAGACTTGATATTGAATCAAAAGAGCCCTGTATTGTAATGCCTTTGCTCTATGTTGTGCTACAGCCGCCTTCCTGCGTCAGCGCCATGTCTTCTTGTGCCTCTCCCCTGTTGCCTGAGCAAAGATCTCGCGCGTACCATCGGCACTCACGTATCATTTTGGCTTTTTGCTCGTGTCCGCTCGAGCTGTGCCTGGATGTCTCGGCCCATCCATCTTGATCTTGTTTTTCCTCCGGCCTTGCTTGAGTTTCTTTTCTCAACACACCAGAAAAGATGACAGCGGCGAAGATCAAGGTCTGGCGCAGGGATATTCTCTGTCTTTTGAAAAAGTTTCTGTGTGTTTAATTTTATTTATTCATTTTCAAAAAAAAAAGGGGGCGAAGTTGAATGTTTATGAATTTACTCGATATTTCTTTTATGTTTTGCAGCTGTAGCTCTATATGGAGAAAAAAGAATCATGTGTCTACTTCATCACTTCTTTTTCTTATCCTTCACGCTTTCTATCTTTATATCTTTTCAAAATTGCATCCGTATTCGCTTTAGCTCTATTTTTTATTTCGTCTTCTACTGGTGTGCTGGTGGTGTTGATATCTTCCTCTAGTAAGTCTACTTGTATACTTTTATACTGCCACCCTAGTTGTTCGTAGGTGTTCTCCTCCTGCGTTTTCGCTTTGGTCTCCGCCTGCATCCTTGGTTTTATGCAGTGCAGGTTTTTCTCGATCTGTTCACATGCAAAATTTTTCAGGAATTTTTTTCCTTTGTTGGCTTCGTGTATGAAGCGAAACACCTTCTGCGGCTGGGCAAATACTTCTTTTTCATTTTCCAAGGTGATTGGAATCGTCGCTGCCCCAAAAATTTGCAGTCGGGCTGCTAGCGCCGCTGGGCTATTACAGGCCATGACAAGATGCGACGCGTGCCCTTCAGTTCGTTCATCACACAGTGTACACTTCTGAAAATATTTTTTCTTTTCTGGGTCGTTTTCATCATCTTCATGCGTTGCTTCACCTGCCCCCAAAATGCCACATGGTACTACCCCTGAGTACAAGTAGAAATACAGCAGCTCCAAGTATCTCGTCGGGAAGGTTCCTGCTTTCGGTCGGAATGCTCCGAACTCCCTCGCCCTCTCCACCAGCTGCGGCGCACTGGTCGGCTTTGAGCATTCCGCTACTCCGATCCAGTATCTTATGCGCTTCGTGAGTACTCTTCTCAGAATCGACGCAGTTATTTCTTTTCGATACACATTTGCATGCTGGCCTTGTGTCACTGCTCTGTCATGCCTAATTTTTGCTTGACCTGCCAGGCTGTCAACAAGGTCATTGAAAAAGAGGCCGCTGTGCCCTGCGTTCCATATAAATTCAAACCCTAGCTCTTGCTCTGGTGCAATAGCAGGCATCTCCGGGTCAGCATGTTTGTACTTGCAGTGGTGTTTCATACACTCGTCTCGCAGTTCTTCTAGAGCGTTCACGATGTGAAAAAACATGACGCTTGACTCCTCATGCATATTCGCAAGGCCTTCCAGTACACTGTTTGGGTCAAGGTAGAAGCTGACTTTTTTTATCAGGTGCGACATCTTGTATTTTCGCAGATGTTCTGTCGTCTTTTTGCATTGATTTACAAGAGCAAAAGTCTCAGCATCAAAAGAGTCTACTATTGCGTCTTTTAGTGGTGTTTCCACTATCGCAGTCGATGTGCACATCGGCTCTACCGGATACCAATCGGCAAAGTCTTCATTGACTTCATGATCGCAGTTCAGGTCGCTTGCCCACCACGTTGCGCCGCCACATCCTCCTACGCTTCCTTCCTCTGGGCTTGCACTGCCGTCCGTGGCAATGACGAGATGTCCGGCATTTTGCAGCTTTCGCCTGATTTCTCGATCTTGCCGCCACGATGTCCTCTTTCTTGTCCGGTTGATCTCGTCCACGTTTTTGATTTTTGTGAGGCTGTCATAGCCCCACTGTCGTCCTACGTCGTCCATGGTGGAGACCGACACTCTGACCCCTCTCCAGCATCGGCGAATAATTTTCAATGGTGATTCTACCACTGCTTCATGTATATCTGACAACTTTTCTTTGCTTATCGTTCTCATTATCGTGGTCCATTTTTCTCTTATCGGTTCCCCTGCTATCGGGTTTATTTGTAGATTACTCCCCATCCCATACTCTGCCCCTGTCAGCTCCTCACCACTTTCTTCCCACAAGTTCTTTGCAAGACCTTTATAAAATGTCATTAAATTCTCGCGCAAAAACATAGCGTGAGGCCTAAGGAGTCCAGTGGACTCAAACAGAGCTGTGGAGGGCGCTCTTCTGGGCAGACCTAACAAAACTTTTAATTTGTTGGAAGTTGTATTTTCAATTTTTAGCTTTGCTTTGGAAGAGAAGCAGGGATACTGCGGGGACCCCGTGCTAGACAAAGCGGAATAGCAAAGACTTTCAAATACATCTACCTTCTTGGTAGTCGGTCCTCAACGTCTTCAGGCCTAAGCAAGTGCTCGCCTCCTTAGTCATGTCCTTTATTATCTTATCTGACATTGCATTATGAGTCCACGTGCCGTCAAACAAGAACCCCAAAAACCTTCCCGCTTCTTGCGGATCATCTTGAAAGCTCTGACCATAGAAAATTGTTTCGCTTTTATCTTTCTCGAAAAAAATGAAAAACTTTCGCCCACAGGAAACTAGAAAATTTTTCATCTGCTTCAGTCTACTCATGAAGCCGGTTTGTGTGTTGTCGTCACTGTACTGCGTTACTATGCCGTCCGGATTTAGCTCCAAGAGATACCTTATCAGGGGGATGTGATGCAGGTTGAATACACCGCCTGACAGCGGTGATCCTTGCGGCATGCCTGGTCGAAATTACATTTCTCATTCTAAGCAAATTATTTGTCATGCGATTTATACTAGTACGATACTTTTGCCATGCATATCTTATGCACAAAGATCTCGAAGGAAGTTTTCGGCAGCCGGTCGTACACCTTTGTTATTATCCTCTGCAAAAGTATCGTACTCGTATTGGTATTGCAATCATGCATTACAAATTTTTTTGTTGAGGTAAATCCGCATTACAAATTTGATCTCTCATGCTGAGGAAATTTGTAATGCATTTATAGTTATACGAGTACGATACTTTTGCACTGCATAGTTATCAGCCGGTGGCAGTGCTTCAGCGCCTCCTGCTGGTTCGATGGATCTTCCTGCGCGTCAAACACGAACACGAAGGCGTTGGGCTGCCCGGTGAAGTTCGGCTTGGCGAGGACTTCGACGAAAGAGTAGTCGTTCCCCTCTACAATACACCCCGCGCCGGGGGAGTCGATGACCTGGAACTGGATCAGAGAGTTGTGCTTCACGTGCTTCATCTCTGCTTTGTGTGTCGTTTCCAGAAAGAGGGTTTCGTGGGGTGGCATCTTCTGGAAGATCACCTTTGCGATTGAGGACTTCCCGGATTTTGCCAGGCCGGCAAGGACGATGCGGGGGGAGGTCTCCTTCCCCGGCTTTAGGGGCTCCCGGGTGGACAACGACATATTCTTTTGTATGGAGTCTTTCAGATTCGGAGGGAAAAAACTTAACGCGAAAATAACCTCGATCCGTTTCGCAGCTTTTACCAATCAAAAAACTTCAACGACCTTAGTAAAATGCCGGATTTGACACGACACATCTTGAAGAAAGCTAGCAGCTGCTACTTCTAAAAATTTGATCGCTAGAAGTAAGTACAGTTTCATTTGATTTCTGGAGACGAGCTGCTTGCTAGAGATTTGTTTCCAAAACAAAGCAGAGCGTTGAATCTCCCTATTATTCGTGTTTGTGGTGGAGCATATCCCTATGGAAACACATGTCACATCACTGGTCGCCTGAAATTAAAAAAATGTGGACGACGAGAAAGATACTTCTGAAATCAACAAAGTGTGAACTTCGAAATCTTGGAAGCAGGGTGGTAAACCCGAGACTAGGCTCGCTGCAGCTGCTTCTACAAAGTACAAACTAGACCAGAAGCTTATGTAGCGGGGTGATCTTTTTTCTCGTCTGCAGTGTTGTAAAAGGGAATCTATCAGGATAATATCTAAGCCTTTTCGTCATCTTCTCCATTGTGAAGTGATCTTGACGCAACGCCATTGCTGCAACAGAAAAGCGCAAGAACACGCCTCAACGAAAAGTGCTGAACAGCGAAAGAAGACTTTGATACTTTCACTTTGCGTAGAAGTCGCCGTAAAAATGGCGGAATTGTGAATGACAATTTCGGATGTGCATCAACAACGCCGCGCTGGCCTTACCTAAAAGTTCATCCTACAACTTGAAGCTCCTGCAGCGGAGGACATGCACGTCAGTGCATGCGAAGAAGATTCGACATCATGAGGCGTCTGCAGCAAAACCCTACTACACAGGGAAAACATTTTGGACGCAATGTCGTTTGTTCCGCGCAGACACAACTACATCAAGGCTAAAACAAGAATTTCAAGGATGAATACAAGTAAATCCCGCTTTTAGTCATCCGCCATGATTTTTTGCATCAGCGCGTCTATCTCTTTCCTCATATGGCGTTCTCAAACGTTACATGCTCAACTGTTATATGGATTTGTAATGCAAAACTACCTTAAGCCGACAGATAATCAGGCTCTGCTTCGCATGACAAATTTCCGAAGGACTGAACAGCATCTAAGTCTGTGCTAAATCTGTGATGCGAAAGCAGCAAGCTTGCCCCTTTGACAGTTGCTGTTTTTGCATTACAAATTCATGTAACAGTTGAGAATGTAGCGTTTGAGAGCGCCATACCTCAAACTTTTCACGTACGCGGACTCCTCCTCCACCTCAAACTTTTCCCCCTTCAGCTCCTATGACAGTGCACAACTCACCCTCCCCCTCATTTGTATAGCATGAACGGCAATACAAGCATCGGCAAGAGTGCCGGTTTTGCATGACAAATTTGATGCACTGGAGTGTAGTGCTATGTATTGATTTGGGGTACCAGAACTTGCCATGCAAACAATGCCAAGAGGCAAAGGGTGGGTTGGGTATTTTGCATGACAAATGAGGGGACGAAGGGGGAGTTGTGCACTGTCATAGCTCCTTTTCTTGCTTCAGAATCGCGTTTTCCAAGGCCGCCGAGGCTATCGTGAGCTCGTCTTCCTCGTGCGCCAATTTCTGCTCCACATCCTGCAACTTCTTCTGCATCAGATTCAACAGTTTACAGGTGGTGTGCTCCGTGTCGTACTTTTGCTTTTCGATCTTTCTGGTCAGCTCGCTCTCCTCCTTTTCAAACGCATTGATGATGACGGCTTCTTCCTCCAGAAGTCTCCGGCACTGCTCTTCGTACCGCTTCCGCTGGTGCTCCAGATTCGCAGTGAGAAGCAGGTCGAGCTCCGCAGCCATCGAAGAATTGGTGGAGGAAGTTTGCTGCTGATGTTGTTGATGTTGCTGCAGCGCGGCAGTAGAAGTATTATACGCAACTTGCATCTCCAAATCAAGACTTGTTGCTCCGTTGGAAGCAGAGGAATTTGGCATCATCGCGGTTTGGTCTAAGCGCAAAGGGCTGATTATACTTCCTCCACCAACAACTCCACCTCCTCCGGGTGATGTATTTGCTGCTACACCTCCGACGACCCCACCAGCACTTGTTCTACCCGGTGGATTATTCGTCCCTCCAGCGCCGCTCCCGCCCTGTCCAGTCGCCGCTTGATGGACCATGTGATCCGCCGATTGGTTTTCCATGTGGTCTGGCAGTGCCATGTCCATGATCTCCAGTGGGCGATAAGCGCCATTGTCGCTGTTGTTCTGGTTGTTATTCAGCGACTTCCAGACGGCAAAGCTCTGTACCAATCTACGATGGACAAACACGTCTCCCGCGTAGTCCCAGATCCGGCCTGATTTCAATTCCAAACAAAACCTGTGCCCGGTGGTCTGCCCGTGCAGCAACGAGTGCTGTCCCTTCGCGTACCTGCCACATCCGAGGTAGCCACAGACCAGACAGAGCCACAGGTCGGTGGGTTTTGTGGAATTCGTGTTCGCTGACACTGACTTGGCAAGCAGAAGTTGCGAAGTTGTAGACGAGTCATCTTGCTCTTGTTCCTTGCCGTCGTTCTTTTTTACCACTTGATCATCCTCGTCTGGAACAGCGGGCGGGCAGTGCGGACACGCTGGCACTCCGTCCTCCGTTTTTAGCCAGTCGCCCTGGACGAGTTGGTAACAGCTTCGATATGAACTGCAAATATGTCTGGGTCTGCTGGAAACGTGTGGTGCTAGTTTGTGAATGGAGGTGGGCGCACTGGTTGTGGTTTATGCAGCCGCGCATGACAAGTTTCTGAGGTCCTATGTGTTTCGCTTCCCGCATGAGAAACTGCATTTTTGCATGACAGTTAAGAGGCTGCCTTCCTGGTGGTCATGCATTACAGATTTAAGACTCATGTGAGACAAGCATGACAAGCTTGCATTCTTCCAGACCCAGGCATATTTGCAGTTGATATTCGACACCCGGAAACAACATCCGGAACCTCGTACCATTGGAAGGCTGATAGCCACCCCTGGGAGTGGCACACCACCCCGGAAACGGACACATCGAGCCGCTCCAGACAGTACGGGCAGGTTGGCAGTTCGAAACAATGCTCCCTTGTCCACAAGTTTTTCGGGTCGTTGTGGGGATCGTCGTGTTCGAAGAGAAAGGGCAAATACTCCGTATTTAGGTCGGGGTTGTCGGGTGGTAGCAGAGAGGCTGAAGTTGGAGATAGCTCAGATGTCGCCGCAAGTAGTGTTCTACCTTGTCGTGGGGACGAGGTGGAATTGTTTTTCGCTAGAACATTACTTCTCGTCTTCGGCGTGAATAGAAGATTGTCATTGTGGTCATCCTTGCTCGTATACAACTGGGTTTTCTCCTCGTCGTGCTCTGCTTTCGATATAGGGCTTCTGCTGGACGTGGTGATGCAGCAATTCTCCCTAGTATCGTCTTCTAGTAACGTCTTTGCTTCAGTTGTCTTCACCACTCTGTTATTCTTCCGATACTGAACCGACTCCAGAAACACAAAGTAACTGCAAGCCTGCCGGAATTCCTCATTGTTTCCCTCGTGAAGTTGCTCGTCTGACCCGTCTGCCCCTCCCGCATTTCTTGTCCCCCGCGGCCCACGACCGCCGCTTTCTTCACTCGTGGCGCCAAAGTACAGCCGTCCGTGGTTTTTCCGGTAGAATTCGTCCGCTTTTCGCTGGCTGGAGAAGAAAAAAACCGCGGACTTGATTTGCTTGGAGTGGTCTTGGTCCTCGTTGTAAAAGACGCGATACTCCTGGATGCTCTGATCATTGTAGTTGTACGCTGCTGGCGGTGGTGTTGAGTTGTTGTACTGGCGCTGGTTATTTCGGTCCTCGCCGTTCTCCGATCTAGTACTACTTCCGATCGCATAGTTCTTCGCATCGCTATCGTTGTAGTTCCTTGGTCTTTCGATTTCCAGAAACTTCTCCAGATCCACCCCGGGCGGCACCGCGAAGAGAAACAGCGCCGCGGTTCGCTCCCAGGGCAAGACCGCGGTTAGGAGCACGTCGCCCTGGAGGGTAGAAGAGGAAAACAACTCAAAGGTTCCCAGATTGGTCGCTACAGACTGTCCCAGGTTCGTGCTGCTCGGCGCGGGGGTGGGCGTGGCGGGGGTCAGAGCTGTATTTTTTTGTTGATGTGGGCCGCCAGCTGGCGCTGCACCTGCAGCCCCTGGAGTTGGGGTGGAGTCGAAATAAACTTTTGAAGTTCTGTAGTCATCTTTCGGCAGCGCTTGGTTTTTCCCCTCGGACGACGCAGCGCGGGACAAAACGGCCGCGGAGGTTGGTCCTGGGACGGGAGAAGCGAAGCTGTTCTGCTTGGAGATAGCACCAGTACCAACAGCGGAATTGTTCGTCGTGCTTGTGCTGGAGTTGTTCGCTCCACCCGTGGAGAAGAGCAATTTACTGTTGTAGTCCTCTTCCAGCAATTGTAGCTGCGCCCTCGCATCCTCTAATATTGTCGTTGCGTCGATCTTCGCGGCTGTCCGTCGGAACAGCCGCACTGAGCTGCAGCTCAGATCCGACCGGTGCGGCTTCTGATTGGTGCTGGTCAAAATCGGGTTCTGAACCTGGTGTCTCTCGAGAGGAGTTTTGGGTCCTGTGGCTGTTGCTGACGTTACTGCGAGCGGCGTCGTGGTTTTAGTGCCTGGCTGCAACTGCTGCTCGCGTTGCTCTTTATTTTTCGCATTTTTCTTACTGTTCTTCCTGCCACCGGAGGACGGTGCCGAGGGGGTCGTCGCGCTTGATGTGATCGACGTCGGTTGTTGTATTGGGGTAGTTTGTTGCAAAGAAGACTTATTCGTACTTGATGCAACAAGTCCCGAATTTTTACCGCCTTGTGCCGAAGAATGATGCGTCTGTGTGTTGAAAAATGAATGTGGCGTGAACGCAATCGGCCCTCGCGCGGTCTCGAAAGCGCCTCGGGAGGGGCTGAAACCCAAGTCGGACTGCTCCGTAAAGACGACGAGACGGTACATGATGATTGAGCTCTTGATGAAGCCATATATGTCAAAAAATGTGGTCAAGCTTGTGCATTTGACTCTAAGCAACACTCAAAAATAAACGTCAGATTAGGATTGCTGGCAGCTGCACCTTGAGAGGTCGAGTTGTACAACGTCAAATTCAAATTTTGTTCTCTTTCGTCAAATATGATACCGACCAACTGTAGGGGGCGCACATCGCAACAGGGATAAACATTCCGTCTGAAAGAAGATGAGCTAGGATTGGATCTCCAATTCGATCTGTGAAATATCAAGTAAGTATGGTCCTGGGAATTGTCAAAAAACCATGTCCCGTCAATCGTGAAAAAAATCCGAAAATCAAAGTACATTCATAGTAGATCATCCTCGCAACATCAAGGCAACAAGCAACACCAGGGGTCTTTTTGTTTCTAGGATCAACCTACCCCTCCACCGCGAAGATCACCTTTGATACACTGCCAATGTCTTGGTCGCTTCGCTCTTCTGACACGCGAACACTGCTACTCGTGTAAAGCTCACGACCTCCCGAACGGCGCCCTAGAAACGCCCGCACAGGCTGGCTGAGAAAGATGAAGTGCATAAAATTTTCATGCGCATTTTGCTTTTGCTTCAGCGACGTGTGTAGTTGGCAACATGCACCAAATCTTCCACCTGTCGCAGCAAGTCCTTGAACTTCCCTACTTATTTCCTCCCACCTCCAAAAGCCCACTGATACCAACCTCGCATGTGCTTCCAATGCTCTAGAACGCCCGTGCTCTTTGCGCTTGTTTTCTTCCCGCTCTGGGGCCCGTCGGTGCGGTCGATTTGTCTTTGCGTTGCTTTCTCCTGCAGTGTCCTCATTTTCTTCTTGTCGATGTCCTGGACCAGGGTGGATTCCTCGCCAAATTGCAGTGCAGACGACATTTTCCGAGGCTTGGGTTTTTTACTTGCTGGCGGAGTTCTCGTAGGCTGGTCTTCTTGTTGTGTTTGTCTCTTACTTGCGGATGCTTTGCTAGTTTCTGTGGCGGAAGTGGAGGAGGTTTTGCTCTGTTTATTACCGCCTACCATCTCCTTCTGTTTCAGCATCCGGTCCTGCTGTCTACTATTTTCAGCAGAATCTTCTTGTCTACTAACCGCCCCACGCCCTGCTTCTATCCCGGCGTTGAAACTTGGTTTAAACCTCCACGGCTCCATATCAACTGCAAAAATGTCTGGGTCTGGAAGAGGGTCAGACTTGTCATGCAGGTTTTCCATGACCCATGAGGTCTGGTATGAAGGACATAGCATGACAGACTCTGTGAGAGTTCCATCATGCCCATCCTGCATGAGAAACTGCCTCTCGTCGATCAGGTCAAAAGTGCACAGCTTTTGGTAATCATGCAACACAGATTTTTACATGATGATGATTCATCAGATTTAGCATGACAAGTTCAAGTTGTTCTGTTCCAGACCCAGACATTTTTACATTTGATACTCCACGTCCTCCAGCGTTTTTGCCGCCAACAGATTGATATGCAATGCAGAAGTATCGTACTAGTATAAATTGCATTACAAATTATACAAATTGGCTTAGCATTACAATTTGAATTTGTAATGCGGATTTGCCTTAAAAAAAAGATTGGTAATGCATAAACGAAATTAGTACGAGTACGAAACTTTTGCACAGGATAATTGAACCTCGGGTCGTCGAAAATGCTGTCCTCGCTGCTCTATGCATTGCAAACATGTCTGGGTGGTCTGGAAACTTGTGATGCAAAGAAGGGAATAGTGGCCACACTGTAATGCGCTGCCAAGAAGCATGACAAGTTTTTCCGTGGTTCTGGTTTGCGTACTCCGCATGAGAAAGTGCGGCTTTGCATGACAGGCAAGAGGAGCTTGTTTTCGCGGCCACGCAATACAGATTTCAGAGTCTGGTCATGCCAGACTAGCATGACAAGTCTCGCGATCTCCCAGACCCAGACATACTTGCATTTGGTATGCTCGTCTTCACACTCTCCGCCGAACTGGTAAAGGGAAACAGGCTCGGATCCCTCCCGTCAAACGCCCGGCCGGTGCCGAGGAGACTGCGCGCGGACAGGTACCTCCGCGTGCTGTTGGTCTTCTTCATTTTCTGCGCGAGAAACATCTCCTGCAACAGCCGCATTCTGCCCGTGATCTGTGGTCGACTCGCCTCCACGGTAAGAAGGTTTTTCGCGCGTTTGTCGCTGTAGCCCGGGTGCTCCCTTGGTGCGCAGGTGCCCGCGTGCCCGGAACACTGGACCGCGGGCTGGAAAAGCGCGGTTTCGACGGAACCCGTTTTGTGGATGGACCACACGTCGTGACAGGCGACCTCCCGCACGATCACACGGACCGGGTACATCTTCTTCGTCATGGCGCGGCAAGAGCCGTCGGCCAGCGTGATCACGTGGTCCATGTACAGCATACGCACCCGGCTATGGTTATCGAGGACGAAAATTTTTTCGTTGCCCGGGTTCGGTGCAGGGAAGTAAATCTCCGGATCCGGATCGTAGTTGCCTAGGGAGGTGGGAAAACGAAACTCTGCATACATTGAAGGCCCGTCCTGCTCGCCGGGGCGGGACTATCCTGTGCAAAAGTATCGTACTCGTATTGCAATCATTCGCTCGCTCGTTGTGGATCGGCTCTGCCGACCGGGTAACCCATCGCCTCACATACAAATGACCGACATAGGCGAACCCCGTTGCGGGACATACACACGCATTACAAATCTTGTTCATAAGGTAAATCCGCATTACAAATTTTCTTTCTCATGCTGAGGAAATTTGTAATGCATTTATACGAGTAGCAGGGAGTGCGATACTTTTGCACAGGATAGCGACGGGTGACCGGCGAGGGTCATCACACGGCGTTCGGCGGCGCTGAGTTGTGTTTAGTTCTGTACATGATCAACAAGAACACGGCCGCGTGTGTAAATGATGGTGACGAACATCTATTAAGATTGGTTCCTAAACCCTGAAACCTAAACTAAACCCTTTCTGGATCGATCTTGAGTAGCAGATGAGGGTGGTGGCTGGATCGAAGGTGAGACGGTCGCGACGGCAGCCATCCCGTGCCGGCGACGGTGGCGGCCTACCTAAACCTAAACCTAGGGGAAAAAAAACTGCTTGGTGCCAGTTGGGCCCGGGGAACAAGAGGCAGAGCAAAAAGGAGGATTTAGTAAAGCGATTTTCAAAAGATAAAAGGCAGAGCAAACTGAAGGCCAGGGCGTGCACGCCCCTTTCTTCTTAAGCTTCAGCGGTGCTGCGACGTCCGCACCATGGGTGACGAACATCTATTAAGAATAACAATTTCAAGTTTATCTACTGCATGCACAGCTACCTACGACCTCATCAGATTGAGATTCATAGACGACAAAAAAAAACAAATACGCTTGCGCATAGTTCAGGAACCGCACGGCGTGGTTGTTTGTGTCCGCAATGTAGATTCCGTGCCGCCCGAGAGAGATTCCCATAGGCCCGTTGAACAGCGACTTTTCGTAAATTCCGTCGAAGTACCCTTGTCGCCCGTAGATCCCGGAGATTACCCGGTACTGACTCGGCCAGTTTACGTAGGTCGTGTTCGGGGCGAGTTCTAGCACAACATGGTACGTCGGGTCCACCAAGTAGACAAAGTTCGTCGGGCACATGCACAAATTTGCGTCGGGCAGCGCCTCGTACTTCCGGCCCGGGCACACGGCGCAGTCGAGGATCTCCGTGTCCTGCACGTCCCCCGTCTGCGTCCAGCGGAACACCCGCATGTTCTTCTTGCTCCCGTGCTCCAAAATCCGCGAGCCGATGTACTGGTACGCTTGGTAATAGGTGTTCTCGTGGCCAGTAGCGTCGATCGATCCGTAGCGCTCGACGGAAAAACTAGTTGTTGTGTCCGTCGCGGTGGTCTGGGCGTAAGCGGTGTTTCTCGAGTTTTTGTCGTAGAGCAGGAGCAGCAGGGCCACAAAGCAGCGCCGGTACAGGGCCGCGGGAACGAAAAGACGGGAGTAGGACATAATCATGATGATGGGTAAGAGCCCTTACTTTAGGTAAGACTTTCTGTTTCTCCTCGTCGTGGTCGCGTCAGTTTTTCTAACCCGCAAACTGTAGACCACGCATCCAACTGATTAAGGCGATGTTGGCCTTCAGGAAACCATACACGTCATCAAGCATCTTATTTCCCTCAAGAGCCGCTGCACTCCGCAGAAAATTCACTCGGAATTGTCAGTTCTTGTTCTTTCGGGCACTCATGGTCATGGTCGACGGCACACTTAATTTCAATATACCAAAAGTAGACCTTTTCTTGTCCTCTAGCAAGAAGCGCGCTCTTTTCATCGTCTTTCGATATTGATCACAAATCAGAACAAGAAGAAGCCACAGAGACATAGTGAAGGAGCGTCAGCGCCGCGCCCTTCTCTCCGGAGAGTGGGTCGTGGACTTCCGCTGTCCTTTGGAAGTGAAAAACTCGCTTCGCTTTCGCTTGAAAAAATTGATACGCTTTTTACAATTATGTTGGTCGTGTTCCCTTGAGGAATCCTGTTCCTACGTTATTCCCCCATGTAGAACCAACTACTTCAAGCTTTACTCGAGGTTTGTCGCTTAGTACAGTGAGTTAGTGAATCTGTACCTGGTATTAATATTCTTATTTGCAGGCGATAAAGTTTTTGACTTTAATGCTTTGCGTCATTTAGGTGGTAGACATGATGTGCAATTTTTTGCGTGGACATTGCAGGACACCCCCCAATTCATCTTTACTGGTACAAGTGGTCGTAGCAAGCCGCGTTTCTTTCAGTTTTGTCCACGACCCCATGACCATTCACAGCACCATTGCTGCTCGCGACATGCCTTGCTGGCGCCCCGTTATGTATTTGCTGCTGTTGATGACCTTGACCTCCACGTCCGTTAGCAATTATCCTGTCGTGCGGCTGAAACATTTTTACATTCTCGTCCCCGTTGCTGTCGCTTCCGGATGAAGATCCACATCCACCTGCCCCGCCAGGAGTTTTACTATTTCTACCAGCATCCAAAAGCAGATTATTCCCTACTTGGCCGCTCCGCATTTTCCGTTTCATCAGTTTCGCGGCTTGCCTCCTCGAAATTTCTGAGCGCGACTTGACTGTGTGCTGCAGCAGCTTCTGCTGGTACGCCGGAAAGTCGTGTGCCTGCACCCATGGCGGGCGGAAGCGCTCGGCGTTCTCGATACCGTCGAAATCGATATCGGAATCATCATCGCTCGAGGAAGAGGAACTGGAGGAGGAACTGGAGGAATAGCCCTGTGAAGATGCAGAGTCACTAAAAGTAGAACGCTTCAGTGACGATGAAAACACCGAAATCTTCCACGATGGAGTTCAACCAAGAGTATGCGTTGCAAAAGCATCAAGACTAGCTACTGATGCATAGGACCACCTCTATCTCTATGCTTCAGAAGATTAAACAAGTCAGAAACGAAATGAAATTCGATACACAAAAAAAAAACGAAAAAATACGTCGTCACTCTCCATCGGGTACTTCTGGTCTAAATACTTCGCTCGGTCGTAGCATTCTGGTCGGTACTTTTTCAATTGGCTCAGCCACCGCTGCGCCAGCATGTGTCGCTGCTTCCGGGTCACCTTCCAGACCTCGTCAAATTCTGCGTAGCCGCAAAAGTTCTGTGTGATGGCGATCGAATCTTCCAGGTTCACAACCCCGTGCCACCAGTTCTGGGGCACGAAAATCACCTCACCGCGACGCTGGACCTCTTCGTAGCTGATAGTTTACGGTATAATTTGGCCATGGGAATGACAGTAGAAGATAGAATGTTGAGCTTGAGAGAAGAACGTAGCAGATGCAGATTGTGATTGCAATGCGGAAAACTAAGTAAAACAATTGTTGAAGGTAGAAAGTTTTCAACTGATGTTTGTCAAACGCCACTGACTGACAGCACAAAAAAAAATTTCAAAAATCTATACATCCTGACGTCCTTGTTTTCCAGCACAATCTGGTCCTTGATCCTGGGCAGGATGTTCAAAAAGTAGTCAATCGCCTCGTCGTCCTCGTGTTTCAACCGCAATTCCTTCGATTTGACCAGTTTTTTGTCCACCTGTGGCTCGAACAAGACCCATCTCTTCGCGCCCGTCACGACCGCGTTCCAGGCGGACGTCCCAAGTGGGTCTTTGTGCACCGTCGTTCCCGACCGCTTGGGGCCGATACAGAACCAGCGGTACGGGGGTTTCTTGTCGGCACCGACAAGGTTGAAAAAATCAAACGGCATAATGTCCGGCACGGTGAAATCAGATAGAAGCGTGTTGCTACCCGTTTCCTCCTGCAACGCGGACTGAAACAAATAGATCGGCGAGTCGTCGCGCTGTTTCCTGCAGTAGTCCGCGAAGTACTTGAATTTTATGCGCAATCTATCCTGAGCCAAAACATCCCCACCCCAGAGTTGTCATGCGAAAACGCATGCTCAAAATGTTTGTCGTGCGAAGCCCCATGACAGGTATTTTCTGTTCGTGTTTTGGAATTTGTAATGATCCAATCAGCATGGCAGGCAAGATTTGTGATGCTTCTGAGCGAGGAGGTAAACAGGATTACAGTACGAGAACGAACCTGTCATGCGCAACGCCGTAAGCTTGTAGATTTGTCTAGCAAATTTCCCATCTTGAATATGGGGTGGGGACGTTTTTCCTCAGGATACAATCTCCTCCCAGCGTCGTCCTCCCCGCACTTGAATTGCTGGTGGGGGAATCGTTTTTCTAAATGTTCCAAAGTCCAATTTTCCATGGCGGGCCATCCGTCCATGCAGCCCGTGACAATCACCGGCGTTTTTGTGACCATGAATTCTTCGTAAAACTGTTCCGGTGTGTAAGCGTCGCGATTTATCCTTTTTATCCCTCTCGCCCTAGTCCCAAAACTGCACCAGTTTTTGTTCCACTCGGTTAGTTTCTCCACCGTTTTCTTGCCGTAGTGGTTCTGCCCGTCCCACATGTCCGCATTGATCTCCGTTCGGTGCTTCTTCTTCACGTTCCAGATCCGGTTCGCCGTTCTCCTGTGGTCGAAGGGCACTTGCGGAAACTGGCAGGGGACGGCGTACCGCTTCCTCGGTGGCATTGGAACTTTTGCCGGGGCGGAAGTCGTACTCTGCTTCGACCCGGTGGGCTGAATCGAGAACACCGTCGGGGGGCCGAGAGCAGAGGAAGACCCCTCAGGGCGTGCTGTTGCGTGGATCGCATTTTGATTTGTATACTGCTGGTGATCCGACGAGCTTGTGCTCATCGAAGAGTTGATGTTGTTTTGCATGTTTAAATCGCAGTTTTCCATGAACATCGTCGACACTCGTTCTCCACTGGAAGCGAAAAGCAGACCGTCGCAATGGGTACTATCCGCGTCGGAGTGGTTCGGATCGGAATTCGTGGTGGAGGAGAGAGTCATAATGTTCTTTCTGGAGGCAGAAGAGGATGACGTACTTCTTGTACTGCTACTGTAATAATTGTTCCGGCGATAGTATTTCAGTTTCGTCAGGACAATGGTCGTGTATCTCTGCACGGGATAAACGCTGCTAATAAGCAACTGGGAAACCGCGAGGGCGAGTCGAAACAAATGCCACCACGGGTTGAAGTTGGTTCGGACCTTTTGATTCTGATGTTCCGCGCCAACCTTTGTTGTCGTTGTGCAAATTGAGCTCGTGATTTCTCGTTGCGAATGCCTCTGCCCGGTGTGACGATGTCGTTGGCTCAGGTCGTCAAGATGGTCTTTGTGGTAAAACTGAACAGGGTAGTTAATGTTCGGGTTGCCGCGATGAAAGTTCGATTTATCCTTGTAGGCCGGTCGTGGTAGAAGGAAAGGCGAATCTTCGCGTGAAGATGAGCGTCTGCTGCAACTCCTCCTCGGAGACCCCACAATTTTTGACACAATTCAGAGGTTTCTATCTAATTCGATAAGCTTTTACGGTTCAAAAAATGTTATACAACTAGCTAAAGTATTCTTGCCTTAGCGTTACAACTTGCTGGGCAGATGCAATGAATTGATCATACTCTACTCGCCATACCTACTCCCGCTTCTGCAGCCTAACAACTATTGCCGTGCCTGTGTTAAGAAGTCGTAGAAAGGATAAGGATGGAGATATATTTATAGGGCGCCGCTTTGAAGGGCGGAAAAAGTAGAAACAGATTTTGATGACCTCCCAGTCCAGCAAATCTATCGCGTAGCAGATCACTACGGCCCCGGCTGATCGCAAATGAATGCCCGGTCGCACCAGCAGGCTGATCTTGTGATCACGAGTATAATTTCTTTTGGTTTTGCCTCTGTTCGGACCGCGATCTGGAACTCTTTCAAAAAGGGGTCGCAAAGTACTTCAACTTCTGGGGGAAAAGGGAATAAGAACGGTGTGAAGATTATGTGGGTACAATTTTTCTGGGTTATTGGATTCGGGGGGTCAGTGTCCTGGAAAAGGTTTGAGGATTGTCGCGGATTTTTCAAAGATCAATCTTGAAGGGGGTGGGGCCGCCACCTTGTAGTTCTTGTCGTTCGGTTCATCACGATTCTAGTAAAGCTTCTTCTCGTTCTTCATCTTTTACGTCTTGCCAGTACGGTGTCAGTGGAAAACGTCACGACAACATTTTTTCTTCATTTTCGAACGAAACGGAAGAAGAACGCACCAAAACCGAACGATTAAAACGAAACTAGGGCACGAAGTGACCGATGATGAGTACAACTTGGCTTTAAACTCTACTGTCGCGGAAATTGTCCACCTTCAATGGGGAAAGTCTACGTATCATGTGGGTGGACCTCGAGAACAAATCTTCCAGGTTGACGTTGAGCCCACGAAATTCATCAAATACCGGAGCTCCTTCCCTTTGTGTTTCTTATTCTTGCCCTTTGCCTTGACATACTCGAAATACATTTGGCTTTTGGTTGTGACTTCTGTTTTCAGAATATCCGGAATAAACAAGCCTTAAACAACTACTGAGAGACACTGTGTGATGGCCTGTAGCACTAGAAAAAATGCAAGATTCGCTTCACTGTAGATGTAGTTCTTGTCTACTCTGTCACTCTGCTGTATGAACTGAATGGTGTCCTCGGTGTGAAAATAGTAAAAGCACTTTTTCAGTGATGGAATCACCTTTCGAAACATTTTTGAGCAGCACATGAATTTCTTGACGTGATAGTTGTCTGGCATTCGCATTCTCAGCCTGAGCGCTGGATAATTTTTAGCCAGCAAGTAATTGTACAAAGAAAGTGATTTACGTTGTATGTCAGTCAGGGCACAATAGGAACTACTAAGTACGGCTCATTGAATATGACTACTAGGCTCGGTAGTACATCCATATCTTCAATTATCCGTCAGAACCCTGCACACCAAGCGTCAGCCGTTGACCGGCTGGTGGGCGCGTGGGTCATTTTCTGATTGTCATCATCGCTGACATCGCTCATCGCTGACTTGTCTATCCTTGGCAAAAGCGTCCCCAGGCCAAAGTTGTCTTTGTCATGCTGATCTGCATGCTCAGGAAGTCTGGCATGCGCAGCCCCATGAGGAGCACCTTCTGATTGTGCTTTGGAATTCGTCATGCTAGAATCAGGCTAAGCTGATCGATTTGTGATGCGGCTTCACTAGCTAAACACAATTACACTGCAAGTGCAAAGTTGTCATGCGCAGCAGCCAAAGCTCGTTGATTTGTGTAGCGAAATAGTCATCGTGACTCTGGGGTGCTGGGGAGGTTTTGGGACAGAATATCGTCGTCTCCCTCCTCATCGCACTTGACTTGCGTGCACGGCTGCCACGAGGTCTGTATCCCACATAAAAACGTCCCCACCCCATAGTTGTCATGCAAATCTACATCCTGGAAATATTTATCATGCGGAGCCCCATGAGAAGGAATTTCTGGTCGCTTCTCGGAATTTTTCAGGCTCCAATCAGCATGATATGCTAGATCTGTGATGCTACTTTGCTAGCTAAACAGGATTTCACTACAGAGCCAAACTTGTCATGCGCAACAAGCAAAGCTCGCTGATTTGTGTAGCAGATTTCCCAACTACTTGACTCTGGGGTGGGGACGTTTTTACTCAGGATAGTCTGCTGCCCTTCCACATCCGGCTTCCACACCGGCTCCATATACCTTGCAGTGGTCGCATAATGGGCAATTTCGATTTGGATTTCGATATAAATCTTCCTGCTGCATGCTTTACTGTTTGCTCTCTTCGCTCAGCGTTGGCACGACAACATCAAGAAGATCCAAGTTATTATCAAAAAAAACGGTACAAAGTCTTATCTACCCTCCCGCGCAGGCGTCGAAGTCAAAACCCGCGAAGTACGCGTGCGCCTTGATTTCCGCCTCCCGGACGGCCGATGCTCCCAGCCTCAAATCCGGAATCTTCTCCAGCAACGCACTCAAAATCGACACGCCATCCTCGTCGTGCACATAGTGTGGGAACTTCACGGGCGTTTCCAATATTTGGCGGAACAACTCCATCTGGCTCGATTCCTCCTCCCCCGACGACCCAAACGGCAAGGGTCCGCAAATGAACTATCAACTGCAAAAGTATCGCACTCGTAGTAATTGCAATCATGCATTACAAGTTTTTTTCTCAAGGCAAATCCGCATTACAAATTTCATTTCTCATGCTGAGGGAATTTGTCATGCATTTATACGAGTACGATACTTTTGCATTTCATATGAACTCGTACATAACGATTCCCAAGGACCAGAAATCCACCATGAAGCTGTAGCCCTTCCCCAGCAACACCTCCGGCGCGAGGTTATCGAAAGGAAAAATCCCCCCTCCCCATATCAAAACGAAACTTCTGATGGTGGGTTTGGATACACAAAGCAGCTTTGTGTTGCAGTAGAGGACGGCACGCAGTAGATCCTAAGCCTAGGCAAGGGCCTTTCGGTGTAGGCGCCTAGCATGCTAGACGGCTACCCTGTAGGCCTTACAGCATTACAAATGGCCTGCATAACCTGGCGGACAGCCTGACTGTGCCTTCTCGCAAGACATACCCGATTTGTGGCTACAAATCTGCATCACAAATTTTCAGACGGATGCACTTTCACTATGGGGAGGGGGGATTTTTCCTTGCAATAGAGGTACTCCGGCGTTCCGACCACCGTGTACGCCCGGAGCGTGTTCTGCTTGCAGCACCCGAAATATGACAGCGCACAACTCCCCCTGCTCCCCTTCATTTGTATTGCATGAACGACAATACAAGCATCAGCAAGAGTGCCGGTTCTACTTCTAGTACATGACAAATTTGCGCTAGAGTATAGTGTTAGTGCTATTTGGGCTACCAGAAGAACTTGTCATGCATAATAGTGACAGAAGGGAAAGCGTGGATTTGGTATTCTGCATGAGAAATGAGAACGAGGGGGAGTAGTTGTGCACTCTCATACGAAATCGACCAGTTTCGCCCTCCCTTCGAAATCCAACAACACGTTCTCCGGCTTTAAGTCTCGATAGATGATCTTCCGCTCGTGTAGATACTCCAGCGCGAGCAGAATGGACGCGGAATAGAACTGGCACTTATCAAATGTAAAATAAAATGTCTGGGTCTGGAAACTTGTGATGCTGGGTGGCGTCTCATGATGAGGCTACAAATGCTGGCCCAGCATGACACGTTTCTGAGCTCCTAGGTGTTGCGTATTCTGCGTGACAAAGAACTGCGCTTCTGCATCACAGAAAAACGGAGCTCTTGGGTAACGTGCATGACAGATTTCAGGGTCATGCCAGACAACCATGACAAACGTGAATTCTTCCAGACCCAGACATTTTTACATTTGATAGCACTGCTTCTTGGACAGCATCCCGATTGCCCGGATATGAACTGCAAAAGTATCGTATTCGTATAAATGCATCACAAATTTCCTCAGCATGAGAAATAAAATTTGTAATGCAGATTTGGCTTAGCAAAAGGATTTGTAATGCAAGATTGCAATACGAGAACGATACTTTTGCACAGGATACCGGATTCCCAAGAACAAGTCGCCACCGCCGAGAAACTCCGTCAGAAAATAGATCGTGTTTCGGTCTTGCAGAGTTTTGATGAACTGGACGATGCAGGGGTGAAAACACTGCCCGTTGATCTCCCTTTCGATCAACAGCGACTTCTGCTGCTTCAAGCGGACCGCGGCCTGTTTGTTCACACATTTCAGCGCGTACTGCTTCGTTTTGTCGTTTTTGTGCGCGTATGCATTGCAAAAGTAGCGCACTAGTAGTAACCAGCCATGCTCCGGCTGCCGCCGGAGCGCAAGGCTGTTGGGCCGGGGCAAGGCTGTTTGCCGCTCGGACCACAACCCCACGGGCCTAGTAGGCACAACGAAACATACTGGATTCCTGCCGCCGATTTGCGCCGAGCCAAGCCGCAGGACCACTTGCGCGCTTCCCGCGCCTGTGGGCGCTCTGCGCAGGGAGCAGCTGCAAAGAACACCGGGGGCGAACAGAAGCCGCATGGCGGGAGAGGGTGGCGCGAGAGGGTGGCGCGGGAGGGTGCACGAGAGGGTGCGCGAGAGGGTGCGCGAGAGGGTGGCGGGGAAAGGCGCCGAACAAAACAAGTCCGCGAATGGCCTGCAATGCCAAATATGGGCACTACCATGCGGATTCGCGCCCGCTTCTTTGTGCTTTTACCCTCTCGCAGACCTCTCGCAGACCCTCTTTTTGACCTCTTTTGGGGGTCCCCGCTAATAGTCCGGCTATACTCGCGGGTAGAGGTCGACAGAGGTGGCCGAGAGGTGGCCAAGAGGGTCCGCGAGAGGTCGCCCCTTATTCGCAACACCTCTCTCCACCTCTGTCGACCTCTCGCGCCCCCTCTTTTTGACCTCTCTGCGCCCTCTGTGCCACTTAGGCGGCGCCTAAGGGTGGGCGCTTACTGCGGGCCTTATTCGCGCACCCTCTCGCGGACCCTCTCGAACGGGGTCCCGCGCCACCTCTCCACCTCTGTCGACCTCTTTTCTACCTCTGTCGACCTCTTTTTTACCTCTCGGCCACCTCTCTGGGACCCTCTGTCTACCTCTTTTTTCGCATGAATATAATGTATAGTAATTGCATTACAAATTAGCTCAGCATGACAAATGAGATCTGTCATGCTGTTTTACCTTGGGATAAAGATTTGTCATGCATGACTGCGATTACTACGAGCACGATACTTTTGCACAGGATAGCGCGCAGAGTTTCACCACGCCGAAGGTCCCCTTCCCGACGATCCACAGCGGCTCTAGATCCTTTAGCTGGATGTCGGATATGGAAGCGTCAGGATCGGAATCTACAAAATCGAAATAATTTGTGATGCATAAAATCGATACCAGTTGGACCCACAGTTTCTAGTCGGTGCATGACAAACTTCGAGGGCACCACAATCGAGACTGTCATGCTGTTTGGGCAAAGAAGACTGCTCCTGTCATGCTACTCTGGTAGCACGTCGCGTCGTCCCCCTAAACAGGCCTGCAATCGGTCTCATTTGCCTGCTCCCCAATACAGGCCTTGCGTGCCCTACGTTTTATGCATTACAATTTCGATTAATGTCGATTTCGATCCTGACACTCCCGTATCGGAATCCTGCAACTTTATCCTGTGTTCCAACACCTTTCGGAAGTTGCCGACAATGTTCAGAAACGTTGGTTTGTCGAGGAGGAGACACTCGGTCAGTTGTTCGCTCGCGCCTGATTGTTGCTGTCGTTGCTCAAATTTGGTCTGTTTAACCGACGCAGTTGCAGTAGATGAAGGACTACTAGAAAGACCACCGGGGCTCCGACTTGCTGTGGCCGCTACCTCCGCAGTAGTTCCGGGTGCAGCGAGACTGGAAGAGCTCTCTGTTGGACTCTGTGCGGCTGCTCCTGCTGCTGGCGTCCTACTTGTAGTGGTCTCAACATCTCCAATTTCTCCACGACCTGCACGAGCAGCAGCCCCTGCCCCTCCAGGTGAAGACGAGGCCCCAACGGCCGAAATTGCGCGGCAATTTGCTGATCTTGACTCGTTCAACAGCAACCCCCTTTCCCCCAAGTAGTCCCACGCCCCAAGCGTCCGGAGGACCTTGCGGTTCTGCTGTGCAACATCTCGTCCTGTTTCGACGGCAGGATAATCTTGCAACAGCGTGTTCGGCAGTTGCGTCTGCTGCTCCGCTTCGCCCTCTTGCTCCTTTTTGTTCCCTGATGGAAGGTTGATGCTCACCTCGATGCTGCCTGACTTGATCAAGTAAAACGCGTCCGAGGGGTCACCTTGCTTAAACACGTACTCCCCGTGCTTGTAGGTCTTGTGCGATAAAGCGGACACAACCTGCTTCAGCTGCTGGCTCGGCATGGACTTGAAGATGAAGATTTCCTTCAACACCTTGAAAACCTCGTTCTGCTTAATCAAGTCGTCGATAGATTCAAGCTTCGTCTTCGAACTTGCGCGGATCTGCTGGTAATGGTGATTGCTTTTGCTGTGGAAAGTTGTTTCACCGTAGTTCTGGCCCGTCGCCGTAGTTGATGTCCCTCCGGCTGTACTAGTTGGCGGTCCTTCAATATCAACCAGCAACGCATTGCGTATCTGCTCAATCCCTGTGCGGTAAATCCTCGCGTGCGCACCGTTTGATATTCCTCCTCCCTGTAGTCCTCCTCCCCCGGCGCGGTTTCCGGAGATGGAAATCCGGCTCTTCCGGCTCACTGTCGCGTTGGCCACCCGAATTTCGTACTGCATCGGCTGGTTCCCGCGGACGTTCACAGAGCCGAAACTGTCGCCCGATTGGAGAACCTCGATGATCTTTTCTTCCGTACAAGAACTGTTAAGCAACAGGCTTTGGATCGTTTTCGAAGTAGACTCTTCTTGATCGGTTGTTCCAGGCGGAAAAACTCCATGCTGCGAGCTGGCTGAAATTGAGTTTGAAGTTGATCCAGCTGCAAGAGTTTTTACTCCTGGTTGCGGTTCTTCATCCTCTTTCGATGTTGAAGTAGAAATTTTTTGTGCACCAGCAGCAGCAGCAGATCCTTCCTCACTTCCACCCACCGGCGAACACTCGTCCAACGGAAGCTCCATGAGTTCCTTGGCAGTAGTATATCAAGTGCAAAAGTGTCTGGGTCTGGAAGGTTAGAACTTGTCATGCTAAATCTCAATAATGCAAAAATCTGTGTTGCGTGAGTAAGTACCAAAAGCTGTCCGCTTTTGACCAAGTTGAGGGAAAGTTTCTCATGCAGGAAAGGCATGATAGAGACCTCAAAAAATCTGTCATGCTGGGTCTCGCTCTCGCATTCCAGAACTCATGGGTCATGGAAAACCTGCATCACAAATCTTGCATTCTTCCCGACCCAGACATTTTCACATTTGATAAAGTAGAAGTTTTTGCAACACCAGTTTTCGGCGACGTCACCGCTTCGATAACGTTCTGCACCACTATCCGCGCGGATTCCTCAACATCGTTATTTGCCTCTACTTCTAGCTCCTCTTCCTGCGTGTTCTCCGGTTCAACATCCTCGGCAATGATCGCTGGACTTAGGTCGAAATTGTTCCCTGTTGGAGGAGGCTCTACGACCTCCAAAGTGCCCTCTATCACGACGAGCAACTGCGGTGGGGAGTTTTTGGACAGAATTTTGGCACCGGGAGCTAACCCCGTTTCCTCCACGAAGGTGTCCATCAAAGCTTTTTGCTGGGCGGGCAGCAATTCGTTGAAGAAGCTGGTTTTCGATTATGACAGTGCACAATTTCCCCTCCCCCTTATTTGCATAGCATGAACGGCAACACAAGCATCAGCAAGACTGCCGGTTTTACATGACAAATTTGCATTGGAGTGTAGTGCTGTTTGACTTTGAGCTACCAGAATTTGTCATGCAAACATTGCTAAGAGGCAAAGGGTGGACTGGGTATTTTGCATGACAAATGAGGGAGACGAGGAGGAGTCGTGCACTGTCATATCGATAGCCCGTTCTTCAAAACCGCCTGCTTCAACACCGTTTCGACCGCGATGCCGTATAACTATTGTGAGGAAAGATCCCCCCTCCCCATATTGAAAACGCATTCGTCAGAAAATTTGTGATGAAGATTTGAGGTCACAAATCCTGTCTGTCTTGCAAGAAGGCAAAGCCAGAGAATCCGCCGCATTATGCCGGCGGTTTGTGATGCTGTTGGGCTTACAGAGCCGACATCTGTCATGCTAGTCCCCTACGTCAAAACTCCTCGACCCAGGCTTGGCATATGCCTGCAGTCCTCTCCAGCAAGACAGACCTGATTTGTGGACGCAAATCCAGCATCAGAAACTTCGTTTCGATATGGGGAGGGGGGATTTTTCCCTTTGATAATAACCGCTCGATGTTCCGCAGCCCGAAGGAAAGTAACTTCACCTTCTCCGGCGCTTTGGCCGACGAGATTTGCTGCCTGTTGTAGAGCGAGCCCAGGAAGTCGTGCTTCCGCGCCGTATCGTAATTCCCGTAGCAGTCGCGGGTCATTACCTCAAGGTTTTTTTTTCTAGTTGATCATGCGCAGGAGGAGCAGATCGATGAAATGCGACATCAACCTGCGTGAATCCAGATCGTCGTGCTCAGTTTGATCAGAAATTCAAATTCTAGTATGTTGTAACCGTAGGGCATTAGCGCATGCTCCAGCTGTTGCTGTCCTCCGCCGCGCTTCCGCGAAAATTCACATTCCGTATGTGGATAATACCTTCCCGCTCATGACAATGAACATCCACTCGCTGACCTCCCCCTCGCGCAAAATAGTGTCCCCGGCGTTATACTCCTGGATGGTGCAAACGGAGCTCAGCGCTTCCCTTTCCTCTGCGGACAGAGACTTGAAGTTGGGGTCCGACTCCAGAAAGGAAATGATCTGTGCCTGCGAACGGGTCTTCAACTGCTTCAGGGTCGAGGCGACGGTGGCACCTTGATCATTGAGTATTGCGTAGTTGCTTTGGCAAAAAAGGCACTTTGCTTTAACAAAAATTTAGTTTTAAAGTCATTTCGGACCCGCGACCGGCGAGGAGGGGTGGGCATGAGCATGGCTAAACGCTGAGCCGAGCCACCGAGCCAGAGCACTCGAAGTAGTTATCGCTGTGCTCCTACATATCAGTAACGGCCTGGTGACCCCCGGTCTGTAAAGAACTTGGGAATCGCCGAAAACCAGGTAGCCAGAATAGGGGGTGCTAAAAACTGGCTTTCGGGTGAAAAAGTAGCAACCAGGCGGGTTTTGTCACCGTCGTTTATTTGACGCGCCGCTTGTTCTCCGGTAGGTTAGTTTGGCGTTCAAGTTTACTCAATATTCTTGGGAATTTGCGAAAAAAGCTGTCGAGCATAGTAAAGTACTTTTTTTTTTTAAATACAAATCACAAAAATAACGCAGCGAAATATAACATCATATAGACAACTTCAGATCGGAAAAAGAGGCGATCCAGGCTCGTCGTCCTTGTTCTATCGCGGCATCGTATTCATCGTGGTTCGTAAGTGCCATCTGACCCCTTCGCCTTTCGGCTCCAGACTGCTTGTCCCTTCTCGTCGCGACATGCTACAGTTGTTCACATGGTCAGCAGGCGGTGAGTCACACCACCGAGTTGCCTTCAATCTCGCTGTGCAAGAGAGTCGACAACTGTAGTGATGCAACAGCACAGGCGCTGCATTGCTCTTCCTTTTTTCGGTGGTGATTCTGTACCTGATCCGAGTGGCCCACTGCCCCGCCCCTCACGCCTAAAAAACTAAGCCTAAAGGTCGGGAAATCTCGAATCACAATTGCGTGAGTTTTGAAGAAGCAACTTTTGGGATCCTGTTTTGCCATGACATGCATGACTGGGCGCAGCGCGATGTTGATGGTCCTACTGGGCTCTTTTTGGAAGTATTGCTACAGGAGGAAGGCAGAGAAGGGGGTAGTTGCTGACTTGTATTTTCACTTCGAGTCCGGCTCGAAAAAGTAAACGCATGATGAGAATATTCAGAAACTTCCCCCAAGCAAGCCCTCTGAGATGCACGGCTGCGCTTTTTACGTAGCAGCAAGCCTTTCCCCTTCCCCCTGCAGTATGCTTCTTTGTTGCTTTTTAATTCTTGTCAAAAATGCTCTTTGGTATTGTCGGCGTGGGTTTGGAGACAGTGTGGCAGCGTGACTCCTGAGACCTTAGAGGGGTGAGGCAACATCAACCCTCCTACACAGTCGAACATGAGTGAGAACTTCAACACCGCAGCAACTCAAGGAAGGGAGCAGAAGCCGGGCGAAGAAATTCACACCCGAACTTTAGGTCTCCTGTTTTGGGTCCATACTTACCATCCAGCCTCCACAGTACGGCCCCCTGTTCACTAGTCACCCTGACCGTCGCCGTTCGGGCGACGTTGTACAGTAACGCTAGTTATCAACTGCAAAAATGTCTGGGTCTGGAAGAATGCAGGTTTGTCATGCTTGTCTGACATGAATCTTAAATCTGTCATGCACTTTACCAAAGAGCTCCACTTTTCTATGATGCAGAAACGCAGTTTGTCATGCAGAATAGGCAACACCTAGAAGCTCAGAAACTTGTCATGCTGAGCCAGCATTTGTGGCCTCATCATGAGACGCCACCCAGCATCACAAGTTTCCAGACCCAGACATTTTTACATTTGACACTAGTTCCCCAAACAGCGCTCCGCGGGGTAGGTGTTTCACGGGTCTATCGTCGATTTCCACTGCAAGCTGCCCGCTGCCGAGAACGTACAGACAGTCCCCCACATCGCCCTGGCGAAAAACCAAGTCCCGGTGTTTGCGATATCCTGTGCAAAAGTATCCATCGTACTCGTTTTGCAATCATGCATTACAAATCTTTTTCTCAAGGTGCAGCGGCATTGCAAATTTTATTTCTCATGCTGGGAAAATTTGTAATGCATCTATACGAGTACGATGCTTTTGCACTGCATATGCGAAAGGACCGCCGCATTTTCCGGGTCAGCAGTTCCCGTTCTTCATCCTCCAGACCGGAAAAGAGAAAGTGCTTCTGCAAGGCTTTTGTGAGCAGTCGGAGCTCCTCCTTGGACATTTGCACTTGTTCCTCCTCCGGCTCCTCTTGTTTCTTGGGCTTCTTGTTGGGATTCTTGTTGCCGGGGGAAGACGATTCGTTATTTCCAGAGCCTTTGTTTTTGTTGTTCCCGTCCTCGCGAAGATGTTGTTCCTGAGCACCGTTAATATTTCCCCGCCCTGCCACGTCAGCAACATGATCCTCTTCCTCGTCGTCTGCGCTCGAGAAAAAACCGGCGCCGAAAATCTTCCGCCCAGCGCGGGACTTTCTTGCGGGTGACGTGGTGGTAATCGCACGACCGACGGCGCCTGTGGAAGATTTCATGCTTGCCGAAATTTTCTGGGTTTCGTGACGAATGCGACAGGTCACCACAGCATGCAGGTAGAGGATGTCAGAGAAATGACCTAGCACAGATTGATGAATTCTTACCAGCAAACATCTTGAAGATGCTGGGCAAAAACAATACCTGACAAGCTTCTTCGCAGCCTCGCGGACGCGGTCGCCAGTCCCTGGGACGTGGTAATATTTCCAATTGCAGTTCCCCCCGCCCCGCCCGACAGCCTCGTGTCCTGCTCCTCTGTGTCCGTGGAAGAAGTGTTGCTGCGGTCGCTCTTGCTGGTGGTATCCTTCGTGGACTTCTTCGAGGCCGAGGTGCAGCTGCCATCGTGATGAGCATGACTGGGAACGACCTTGTTGGGGCGAAATGTTGCCTGCTGCTGGTCCGAACCAAGCCCAGCGCGGAACAGGCAGCCGCCCATGGTCGTGGGATGGTTGTGCTGTAAGGAGTCAGGCCATCGATAGGGAAATCTTCTGCCCCAGCAGGAAATTTTTGTACTTAAATGCAAGCCCTCTTATCAAAGAGAGTAGTAGGGGGTCACTCCTCCACACGACACGCAGACGCGCTCACGACCACGCAAAAAGAATTTATTTATTACGGAGGACTCAAAAAAGCAAAAAAAAATCGCACTCTTTTCACACACTCAGACGACGCTTCTTCCCTCGCCCTCTGCAAACGACAATGAATGAAAATAATGGAGGAGGAGTTGGCAAAACTGAAAAAACTTCCTAAAAAAGAAAAAAAAACCACAAGAAAATCGCCCCCGTACTGCTTAAAACAGCCTCTTCTGAACAGGAGCCACAACCACAACGCAGGAGCCATCACTTCACGACCTTGATGCTGTGATGTTGTTCTGGCATCCGGAGCATGATCAGCTTACTCCTTTTCGTTGTGGTTCGTTGCTCCGGCCACGCCCGTTTTTGTGGAGTCAGTGCCCGCGCAACGGCAACCGCCCCCGTACTTCTATCATTCAAGAACTGTTAGTGGAAATAGACAAATTGTCCGGAAAAGTGCAGTTCAAAGTCAAGTTCAAGTTGGCAGCGGTGCATTCGTTTTCGTTCGAAACAAATCTTGCAGAAATCATACACCTCGTCCAGCATTTTGATTTTCAAAAATCTACTGCCTTCATTTGAAATAAACGCATTCAGCTGACAGTCTAGTATTAATTACGGTTGTGAAGATAACGTGTTAAGTATCAACTTCTTAATTTACGTAGCGGTCACTTCGTATCAGACCACTCAGAGTAACTGTTTTTCGTTCAGGATAGGGAAGTTCTCTCATAAACTTTCGCCTGCGCTCCAAGGCCGAGCCTAGTGTAGAGAGCAAGCTCATGATCTGTGTCTAGTTCTCTAAATGGCAACTACCGAAGCCGACCTTTTCGCGCCCCACCACGGCCTCCTCAGTCCTCCGCATCTTGTCCAAAAACGGTCGGCCTGCTGAAACTGTTCGTCAGGACTTTCTTTTTCTCCTGCTTTTTTTTCGCCTGTTTGCGATTCGCGGTTGCAAAGGTGTCGCGCGACAAGAAAAACCCGTCGGCAAAGAAGGGCTTGGCTTTCGGAATAGCCGTGGTCGTGGTGGAGGTGCCGGGCTGTTAGATTTGTTGTGATTTCACTTTTTGCATGGGTACTAGGCTTTCTGTCGCTTTCGAGATTATCGTGATCGCATGACAAAGACAAACAAGGCAGGGCTGATCGTGAACTCATCTGTAGTAGTTCTTGCATATGAGTGTAGTACCTTCTTTTTCATCCTCTCTGTCTTGATCAGATGCGGGTCTTGGTACTTTAGCGTCGGAAAAGAATCCCAGACATTCTTGGACTGCTGATACAGGGCGAGAACGTCCGTTTTTTTCGTACCTGGATAATGAAGCATGGTCGAATTATCTTCACGATTAATTTTTCCGAGTTTGTCATGCGTGATAGGTACTTAGTGATAGTGACGACTTCAACTTCAACGCACATACCATCTCCATCTCGTGGTCGTGAAAAATAACAATCAATTACAATTTATCAATACTATGCGCCCGCATCGGCAGTCTGGACCCGTGCACGATGGCGTTCATGCGATCTGCTCTCATCCTCAATTCCATTGCCTTCTTTCGTGCCGCCCTCTGGTATGAATGTGCACAACTCCCCCTCCCCCTCATTTGTGATGCAAAACCCCAAATCCAAGCGCGTCCCTGTGGCACTATTTGCATCACAGATTCCGGAAGCCCAAACAGTACTACACTAGGCGCATTAATTTGCCATGCATAGGCTCCACATGTGGTGGTGTTCGTATTGCTGTCCATGCCATACAAATGGGGGAAGGGGGAGTTGTGCACTTTCATATCTGGTTCTTCGAGCTCATTGCCTCCGCGGCCTCTTCGATCATATCCTGTGCAAAAGTCTCGTAGTAATCGCAATCATGCATTACAAATCTCCCTCTTAATCGAAATCCGCATTACAAATTCCAATTTTCATGCTGAGGGAATTTGTCATGCGATTTATACTAGTACGATGATTTTGCATTGCATAGATCAGGTAATTCCTCAACTTTTTCGCGTCCAGCCGCGCTTCCCGCGCGAGGGCCGGGGTGGATTCGGAAACGAAAAAGTTTCGGTTTTTCTTCATCCGCCGCTCGTGCGCGGAGGGCGGGCCTGGCGGGAGTCGGAGGTTGGGATTGAAACTTGTTGAACTCAGAATCTTTTGGTCTCGGTCGTCGACTTCCAATTGCTGGAGCTTCAGCTGTTCGGCGACAAGCTGGTGCAGTTCCCGCTCTTCCCGGTGCCAGTAATCATTGTCCGACCACTTTAAACCGCACACAATGTTCTCGAAGTAGTCCACCCGCTGAATTTCGTACTCGTCCCCGTCGATCGCAAGCGTTTGGCGAGATGTGAAAGCCACGGAAGGGGGCCCTTGGCTACCTGGAAGAGGTTGCATCTTTTTTTGTCAAGGGATCTAGTTGAACATGACTACAAGGATGAACAAATCGCTACACGCAGTGAACATCGAAAACGTCCCCTGTCAAAAACATTTATCACAAGGACGCTAGTATCCTCGTACTAAGTACCTTCCTGCGGCGGTAGATTCAGCCAGGTGCAGATCCCGTCCCGCACGACAATGTCGAGTCCCGAATCCGAGCTCCACCGCCCGTCCAAATCGTACACGGACCGCAATTCCTTTCCCACTGTGGAACTCTGCTTTTTGTTGTCCATTTCCGACAGCTATCCTGTGCAAAAGCATCGTATCTGTTAGTAGTAATTGCATTACAAATTAGCTCAGCATGACAAATGGAATTTGTCATCCTGTTTCACCTTGGAACGGAAATTTGTAATGCATACCTGCAATTACTACGAGTACGATACTTTTGCAGTGCATAACAACACTCGCTTTTCCGCGAGATTTCTGTCGTGCTCCAGCAGGAGCATCTCCTGCTTCTCCGCAAACTCCTCTGCTGTTGGACTGGGTTGGAAAATCCGGGGCGGCGAAGCCGGAACAGAAAGTTGCTCCTTAAGAGTTGGCGTGCTAGAACTGGAACCTCTTGCAGCTGAAACAAACTCCAACGGCTCTTCGAACCGGTTTTGCGGCAGTTGCGGTTGCGTGCCGGCAGTTGCTATGCTTTCCGCATTGAAGCTCCTTGATGTTCCGTCCATGCTCGACTGCGCAGCTTCGGAGATGAACAACGCCGGATGTTGCTGTTGCTTCGGAAGAACTTCGGTATTCCCGAAATTAGTCGCGCTGTTCGTCGCAGGCACCTTTCCATCTTGCTGTTCTTTCGCGAAGCCTTCCTTCGTTGTCTTGATGTTCTGTGCACCAGTTGTTGCTGGTCGTGATGTTCCTCCTGTCCCGCTACTTGTATTACCCTTTGTGGTCGTTTCCGCGATCAGTTTTTTCGTCGCCAGCGACACTGCTGCGGTCGGGGAATTGTTATACCTCCCTGTTTCAAACAAAAACATCTTGTCTTGCTCCAGCTGCTGCATCTCCGTGTAGGTCTTTTTTGTCGCCTCCCGCGCTTTCTTCGCATCAACAGCGATCTGCTTCAACGTTTCCGCATCGTTTTTCACGACGTTCTTTGCTCGCGCGCGCAGGGAGGAAACATCCGGCGCAGAGACGCGGGGAACGGTTATCCCCGGGGAGGGCGGTCGGGAAAATTGTTTTACCTTTTTGGAAGAGGATGTTATTGACGTTAATCCTTGTTGGCTGCTGGTAGTGTCGAAAAGGTTGTTTCTCGCCGACCCTTTCGTGACTGGCGTCCCCGGATGTCGTGTGAAGTCGACTTGCACTGCCTGTGACGCTTGCTCCACCTTAATATTTGCCGCTGTTGCAGTTCCGTCTGCTTGTGCGACACCTGTCGAGCCAGGCGCGGTCTGCGCACTACTCAACGCTGCTTCCCGCAAGGAAGAGGAACTGGGTTCTTGCGTAGGTTCTTCCACCGGCGTTTCCAAAGTAATTTGCTCTTTTCTCGCTGGGGCCGCGAGAATGGTACCACCTGCAGATTCGGATCCTCTCGAACGTTGCTGTTGCCGCTCTTGCTGATGTTCTTGAGAGACCACTAAATTATCCGCGTTGCTGTTTATCCTCACGCGGACTGGCTTGCTGTCCGTGACCCCGACGTATCAACTGTAAAAATGTCTGGGTCTGGAAGGTTCGAACTTGTTATGCTGCATGTGGATTCCAAAAAAATCTGTCTTGCATGAGCAGCCAAGGGAATGCAATTTTTGCTACGCGGAGAGGGCATTTGTCATGCGGATTAGGCATCGCGAAGCCCTCAAAAAAGCTGTGATGCTAGGGCATGCATCACGGACATCGTGGCCAATGCAAAACATGCATGACTAGTCTCAGAATCTTCCAGACCCAGACATTTTTACATTTGATACGACGTACCCGGCAACCATGGCCAATTCGTCGTCCTCGGGATAGTATGGATTGTAAAAATGTCTGGGTCTGGAAACTTGTGATGCTGGGTGGCGTATCATGAAGAGGCCACAAATGCTGGCTCAGCATGACAACCTTTTGAGCTTCTAGGTTTTGCTTATTCTGCATGACAAACTGCGTCTCTGCATGACAGCAAAATGGGGGTCTTGGGAAACGTGCATGACAGATTTAAGAGTCATGCCAGACTACAATGACAAATCTCGCAATCTCCCAGACCCAGACATTTTTACATTTGATAGATAGGTAATTGGGTACGGCGGATAGACATTGACACCACCTCTTTGAGAATGATCAACATCTGCCCCCGGCGGCGCAATCACCAACTCGCTCGCCAGCCGGTCGGTACTCGGGTCGACCAGGTAGAAGTTCCGGTGTTCGTATGCACTGCAAAAGCATCGCTCTAGTAGAAAAGGCATGACAAATTTTCTCAGCATGAGAAATGAAATTTGTAATGGGGATTGAACTTGACAGAAACATTTGTCATGGTGCATAAATGCGATTAGTACGAGTACGATGCTTTCGCACAGGATATTTCGTCCTCGACGACTATCGGCTCCGTGTCTTCGTCCTCCCGCACTCGCAGCATCTTCCTCTGGCCTTCCTCCAACTCTTCTGCGCTTGCGTTGTGGTCGTTCGGGCGAAAAAACTCTTGCCGGACCTTCTCGTGTATCAAATGCAAAAATGTCTGGGTCTGGAAGAGTCATGCTATTTTTCCATGGCACAGAAGGTCTGGCATGACAAATCCCCCAGTTTGGTGACAGAAACTGGGCAGCTTTTGGTTTTGCTACCTACGCTGCATGAGAGATTTTTCTATGTATGTTCATCTGCAATGCGCATCACAAATTACGTCCTTCCAGACCCAGAGATTTTTGCATTTGATATCGTGCAGTCGCGGGTAGTTGATGTCATCGGCTGCTGTGCCGTCCTCGTTGGCTCTAGTTCTGCCATGGAGATCTTCTCCTGCCACAGTAGTTCCAAGCACGGTCGCTTCCGCTTGTAGTTCGTGCACCGGTATGTCGTTGTGCTTCTTGATCGCTTCGTCATCTTCGTTTTTGTATGAACTGCAAAAGTATCGCACTCGTATAAATGCATTACAAATTTCCTCAGCATGAGAAATAAAATTTGTAATGCTGATTCAGCTTAAGAACAAGATTTGTAATGCATGATTGCAATACGAGTACGATACTTTTGCACAGGATATTTTGCTCAGGATCCGCTCGATCGTGGACAGTTCGTTGCGGACCACCGTCGCTGGGGATGGCTGCACTAGCAAATCGCCGTGATTGTCGTAATTCGGCAGCTGGTCGAGGGTATGCAATGCAAAATAAGTATCGCACTCGTATAAATGCATGACAAATTTCCTCAGCATGAGAAATAAAATTTGTCATGCGGATTTACCTTAAGAAGAAGATTTGTAATGCATGATTGCAATTACTACGAGTACGATACTTTTGCACAGGATAGAGCGGTGACTGGCCGGTCTGCACCGACGCGGAGATATCCGAGCCAAGTTGCTCCAGCTCTGATGCTATCCAGTGCAAAAGTACTATCGCACTAATCCTGCAACTGCTTGCTGCAAGAACGACCATGCATGACACAGGTCTGCCTTCTTAACGAGTACGTAACCATCAAAACTGCATGACAACACAATCTCATTTTTGCCTCTGAAACTCGTGACGCGTACTTGATTTCCTAGTACAAGCAGAAGTACGATACTTTTGCATTTATGCGTAGACGCAGACTTCGAAGAACTAGTCGCAACCCCGAGCAGATTCCTTCTCTCCCGTTTCCGTCGTCTCTGCCGCAATCGGTCCAAGGCGTTATCAAAAGGAAAAATCCCCCCTCCCCATATCGAAGAGGAAATCTGTGCTGCTGGATTTGCGTACACCAATCAGATTTGTCTTGCTGTAGAGGACTGCACGCAGATCGCAAGCCTAGATAGGGGCCTTTTGGTGTAGGTGCATAGCATGGTAGACCGCTGCCCTGTAGTCCTTACAGCATTACAAATCGCCTGCATAGAGTGGCGGAGAGCCTTGATTTACCTTCTCGCAAGACAGTCAGGATTTGTGGCCACAAATCTGCATCACAAATTTTCAGAAGTAGATACGTTTTCAATATGGGGAGGGGGGATTTTTCCTTACAGTAGGCGTTGCCGGACTCCCTCTTCCTCCGTTCCGACTCCACCCACGCAGCTACAGGGTTATCAAATGTAAAAATGTCTGGGTCTGGAAGGATGTGAAGTTGTGATGCGCATTTCACAACACACAGAAATCTCTCATGCATAGGCAGCAAAAGATGCCCGCCTCTTGTCACCAAAGTGGGGGATTTTTCATGCGGATTAGGCATTGCAGAACCTTCTCGAAATCTGTGATGCTAAGGCTGCCATGCCAGACCTTCTGTGTCATGCAAAAACAGCATCGCATCTTCCAGACCCAGACATTTTTGCAATCCATAAGAGTTGTTGGATTTCAACTTCTTCCTCCTCTCGCTGTCTCGCCGCAACTTCTCCTCCTTATCTTCCTTTTCCTGCAGTTTCCGCTCCTGATTCGACTTCGCCCAGTCGTGTTTGAATTTTTCGAGAATCGAAAAAGACTTTTTCTCCTTCTGATACGAGCCTTTTCCTCCATTTGGTGCACTTGTTCTTACATCGTTGTCCCAATCTGGGGAAGTAGCGGTAGATCCGTTTATCAAATGCAAAAATGTCTGGGTCTGGAAGAATGCACCTTGTCATGCTAAATCTGAAGCATGCAAAAATCTGTGTTGCATGACTACCAAAAGTCGTCCACTTATGACCAAGTCGGGAGGGGGTTTCTCATGCAGGATAGACATGAGAGAGATCGCACAGAATCTGTCACGCTAAGTCCTGCATTCCAGACCTCATGGGTCATGGAAAAGCTGCACCATGACAAGTCGCGCATTCTTCCAGACCCAGACATTTTTCCACTTGATACCGTTCGATTTCGACCGAATCCGCCGTGTTTTCGAGTCCCTCTGTATCGACGACAAAGCGTCGTCGCGCCGCATGCGAAAACGCTCCGCAAGAGACTGGTTCTTCAGATCGTATTCATTTTTGTCTTTCTCGTTGTAGGCCGCGGTTGGATCTATTTCTGCCTGTTGCTTATTTCCTGAATTCTTACTGGATGACGAAGAGTTGTAGCCTGTCGTAGTAGTTTCGCCGGCACGACCGAATCTGTGATAAGATCATATCATCACTTTCTTTTCGCGTTATTCATTGATGCAGCTGTGCAAATAAAGGACTGGTGCGCACACTATTTCTGAGATCACGCAAACCCCGCATCTTCACAAAGAACTTCCTACTCGCAACTTTCTTCAACAGAGCAGACTACCTTGTAGTACTTACACAGCTTTACAATGTACTTTTACTTTGTATACCTTGCCCGCAAATACTCCTCATTCCCGGTGGAGTAATTCTCGTTCCCCGACGCCGATCCCGAAGAAGTGGCTCCACCCCCGTGTCGGTCCAGATACGCGTTCCGCGCCAGCTCCTTTTCCCACCTGCGTTGCTGCTCATCTGGATCTATGCATTGCAAAAGGATAGTACTCGTATAAACGCGAGTCTAGCATTACAGATCTGCTTTTTATAGCTAAATCTGCATGACAAATTTCGTTTTTCTTCTAAGAAAAATAAATTTGTCATGCAATTCATACTAGTACGATACTTTTGCATTGCATAAGATCCTCGATCAGCGACAGGTGCGCATACTGGAAATTCGTCACCGCACGGAGCGCTTCTTCGTAGGAGGACTCGATCTCCTTTTTGGAGGGCACACGGATGGCGCCTTGAACCATGAGTTTCGGTCGAAATGAATAAGCGACGACAAAGTCCAAGAGTGGAAGTTGTTGTGCTACTTACACTTAGGTCTTGCTTCTTTAGAGAGGAAAACAAAATCAAAAAAGCGGCCAATACCAGTTACAAGAAAGACCTTATCAAAAAAATAAAACCGCAAGTAAAAACAATTTGCGATCGCCATTTTGTTCAGGACCCTCAGCTCTCCGACATTCTTGCAGTCCTCGCACGATCATAGGACTGAACGACCTCAATGTTGTTCCCAGAGAGATCCAAATCCGCTCCTCTCGCTTTCACTAAGCACTCCTTTTCCCTGAGAAGAAGTTCCCACGTAATTTTCAGCTCTCCTGCTCTCTCCACACGAAACAACCAGAACAATCGATCTATTTCACTTTACAGCAGACGCTGGCTCGGATTCGAGAGGAGGGACAGCTGTGCTTGTGGCCACGCAACATCGTCGAGAGCCACAACGAGATGATCTTCGAAGAGGGAAAACCTTCGCTGTCTTCTTGGAATCTTCGTGTGTGACTCAGACAACAATCAAAACAAGCACTTCAGCAAATTTTGCGAAAAATCCACTGTAGTAGTCACCTCCGTCTTGCAATGGATTTTAAAACTCGGCCTGAAAAACCTCGGGACCTTCAAGAACCATCCCTTCACAATTCCTCCGCCTTTGTGTTCTTCTCAGCACCTCCAGGCCGCCGCGCTCCGACTTCAAATTTTTCCGGCCTTGGACCATATAATCTTAGTGGAAATTTAGTAGTAAGCGACGACGAAGGGTCGTGTAAGTAGTTTTAGTTGTCTTCAGGTCGTGCTTCTTCTGAGAGCGGCCAGCGCCATTTGGCATTTACACAGACCTTATCAAATAAAAACCGCAAGTAGAAACAATTTTCGATTGCCATTTTGTCCAATGTCTCTTCGTTCCGACATTGCAGTCCCTCTTCGCAAAAGCAGACTATGGTGCTTCAATTTTGTCTCCTGAGGGCTCCAAATCCACTCATCTCGCTTTAACTACTCCTTTGCGCTGGGAAGAAATTCCTTAGTTTTCAGCTCTCCTGCTCTCTACACACGAAACAGCCAGAACAATCGATCTATTTCACTTTACAGCAGACGCTGGCTCTGATTCGAAACAGCTGTGCTTGCGGCCACGCAACACCGTCCAGAGCCACATCAACCTCAACCTCAACGAGCCGATCTTCGCACGGGAAAATAAACCTTCGCTGTCTTCTTGGAATCTTCGTGTGTGATTCAGACAAGAATCATCAAGACCAGCACTTCTGTGAACTTGGCGAAAAATCCACTGTAGTAGTCACCTCCGTCTTGCAATTGATTCTAAAACTCGGCCTGAAAAAACTAACTCGTCGCCTTCAAGAACTCGTGCACAAGACCATCCCTTCACAATTCCTCCGCCTTTGCGTTCTTCTCGACTTCAAATTTTTCCGGCCACCCCCTCGGGCGGTAGTGGATGAAGACGTTGGCAAATTCCCGGCCCGGGAAGGGTGTCGGCCGCCCGTGCGGTAGCGTTGCCGACTCGTACAGAATGATCTGCCCCGCCTTGTTGGGCACGTACTTCGTTTCCCCACTGTGCGTCACCACCTGCATATGGAGTAAAAAAAGTTCGTCATCATAGTCACTGACTTGCAGTTTTTGCATGAGATTTTTTTATTTTTGCATCACAGGTTTTTCGTGTATTGCTATTGCACAATTACAAGAGAAATCCCATGTAAAATTAGACTGTGATGCATTTTTACATATGACAGAAATCTTCGCATTGCCAAAACGCGCATGAGTGATCGTGACGAATTTTTTTTGTTCGTCCATACTGCAACGGCCAGCTGTGGTCGTAGGTCTGCTCCATGCCGTGATACTGATCGTCCGGAAACCCAAACTCCAGATGGCCCACCTCCACAATGGCGCTGATTGCGTGCGTGTCGCGCCGGTCGTATGAACTGCAAAAGTATCGTACTCGTACAAATGCATCAGCATTACAAGTTTCATCAGCGTGAGAAATAAAATTTGCAAATGCTGATTTACCTTGAAAAGAGAGATTTGCACTATATGCATGAATGCAATACGAGTGCGATGCTTTTGCACAGGATAGGTCGCCGTGCATCCGCATTTCGGAGTTTTGTCGGTACAGTCGGGTTATGAAATGCAAAAGCATCGTCCTCGTATAATTGCAATCATGCATTACAAATCTTTTCCCTGAGGCTGCCGCTGAGGTACGTCAGCATTACATTTCTCATGCTGAGGAAATTTGTAATGCGTTTATACGAGTACGATACTTTTGCACTGCATACGGATGCCGTACAACGCCGTCATCTCTAGTTCACTCGCCTCGAACCCCGTCCACTTTGCCACCACCGGCTGCATGACTGCCTGCAACCTGTTCTTCAGGTCCTGGCGGAGCTCCACGAGCCACATGTCCGTTTTGCACGCCGGAATCGCCCCGTCGAGCCACCTGGTTTTCTCCGGTTTCGCGAGTTTGTTGCGGTTTTGCTGCCAAAACGCGCGGATGTCCCGCAACAACTCCGGGTCCGGGAAGTCTTGCACCTCGAAGCCCTCGGGCGTGAATTTCCGAAATTCTTGCGTCTGCCTCCACATCTGCTGCATGTCCTCGTCGTGCGTTTTCTTCAATTCTTTCTCGTACTCCAAATTCAGCAGAATGTCGGTCAACGCGGTTCCGCCGGTGTGGTTGTAATAGGTACTGTGCTGCGAAATTGTATGGACAGAGGATGTTGTTGCAGCAACACTTCTACTAGCTCCTTCTATCGGCGAAGCAAACGGGGCAATAAACCCTGGGGGCCAAATCGTGGTCAGGAACGGCGCTAGAGTAGACGACGCACTGGTGCCACTGTCGGCAGATGACAGGGAAATCGTTCCTGGATACTTGAATCTGCACCGGGTCGGGTTATAGTCTCGCGGGCTGTTCATTCGGTCGCAGAAGTGCGCGCGGTCGGCGTCGTCTTTTGCCAGCTGTCTCCGGCACTCGCGTCGCCAGTCTCCCACGGCTTTCTCCCATTTTTCCCCAGCGAAAAACTGCTCTTCCGTCGGCCGGTCCACCCAATCGACATCGCAATGGATGGCGTTGTCGCTTTGATTCTCCAAGCCCTCGCTGGTTGCACTAGCTCCACCGTCGGCACAGGTACAGACCACGGCGCCGCTTTTCGCACCCTGCTTCACCGTGACGTGGAAAGTGTCCTTGATTTTTGTCGGCCGCTTCTCCTCCTCTTCCTTCCACCCATCATCTGTGCTTCTCGTTGTAACGCGAAAGATGTGCCCTTCAAAGGTGTCCTGGGAGGCAACGGCGCCGGGAAAAATCGTTTCGATCGGGACGGGCTTTTCCTTCGGGTAGTTCTCGGGAATGAAGAGGAGCTTGAGGGGGGAGCTTGCGCAGCTGTTCTTGAAGGTCAGCGGGTGGACGGGCTCGGCAGCGGAAGCGGGGCTGCACGATGTAGCAAGCAGTTGTAGAGTGGCCAGGAAGGTGGGGCCGCGCATCGTGATAGATGGTGCTACAGCTTATTTCATTCATCTAGTGTAATTGTTTCACTTGAAAGACAGTACGAAAAACCAAGACCAACTTGATGAACTCGGAAAAGAAGATGCGGCAAAGGCAAGAATGCACTTCCGTGACATTGGTAGTAGAAAACTGCTTGTAGAAGCGAATACAACGACGGGCGTTCTCGCGCCAACATCTAGCCCTGACGCCACTCTCCTATTGTTCGTCACAGCTATTGAATTGCTCGCACGCCCCCTGCTCTCCGCCTAGGTTCATTCAACTGCTCGCTCACGGATCACAAACAGAACCAACGAGCACAAAGCTCATGCCAGACGACGTGACATGCTGTGTGTGTGCGGTGGCTCACATCCAGCAATCAATCCGCGCAGTCGGCGTTCGCCATCGTCACTGCGCTTCATCTTTGTATTACTCCTGTGCACACAGATCAAGCTGGTGTCGGCTGCCCCGGCAGCGCGCGAACGCAAGTCAGTTGTAGTGCGCCCCGCGGCAACCATCCAACGGCCCCGCGCAAACGCCTAGCTACGCCGACCGGGAGGGGTTGTAGGCAGTCGTCGGCCCATGCGACGCCCGGCGCGAATAGGGGCGCGGGGATGGCAACAATCAAAAACCGAGACACTCACACGCGGGGCAGCGCTACGGCAAAGCAGGGCGCAAGGGCCCAACACTCCACGCAACCCTGCTCGTCGGGGTGCTTGGGCGGCAATCGCCGCGCCGGCCCCTCAATCCTTCCAACGAACCAGAGAGGTGGGCGGCGAGGGGGAGACACAGAACCCCCCGCCCCTCGCGGCGGAGCCGGCCCACGCCGTTGCCTGTTGGCCGATGGAAAGCAAAAGAAACAGGGCGGGCGCGGCTCCGCTTCGCTATCGCTTGATTCGGAGTCGGCGAGGTCCCGCATTTCGGCGGCGAGGAGGTACGGAGCCCGATAAACTGCTTCGCGGGGGCAAATCGCGCCACGGTCCCACTGCACGCCCTCGCATACGCCAGACCTCAGCGCCAGCCCGCCGAGAAAACGCGCCGGCGTGCCCGGCGAGGATGGAACCGGCACGCCGGCAGAGGCCCCGCCACCTCGCGAAACGCGTCCCCGCTTGCAACTACGACGAAGCCATCCGGGTAGTCTTATTTCGAAAACGCTGTAAGTAGAGTAAAACTCCGTACCTACTATTTATCTTGGAAATGTTGAATTCGCGACAATCTTGAGTCGTCATTCACAGTCTTTGTGGCATCGTTGCTCCTCAGTTAAATCATACAGTAGTTCTTCAGCGGCCATCAGAAAATTCACTCTGTCTTTGTAGTTTTTTGGCGTTTATTATTTCTTATTCTCGCCAGCTTCCAGACTCTCGTCGCGACCAAAATGGAGAAGAGACTGGTTTCTCTCGCGCGTTTTGGATTCTACCCCTCGAGTGTGGAAAAAAGTTTTCTCAAATTATACAATTGTGCTGGAACGCTAAAAATCTAAAAATCATGCCAGAAGGTTCTCGAAATTTAAAAAAAAAAAATTGCCCTGCATGAAGGAGCTTGTTTTTATTCGTATGTACTATCAGGAACAAAATCCGTGCGTCAGCAACACATTTCACGGTCGTCCCCACCGTATCTTGACTGCTGCGTGCTGCTCGACAATTCTCCCAGGAGATTATTATACACGACGTCTTGATCTTCATTATCTTTCGCGTTTGCCTCGCACACCTCCGCCAAGGCGACATAGACGTTTCTACTCTTTGCGTCGAAACAGAAAACCGCACAATGGAGGTCTTTATTTTCGCGGGTCCTTAACATCAAAAACTGCATCTCCGAAAATGTAGTTGCTCGTCGATCCCGTCGGGAACTACGAGAACATTCGTTCATCGGTGCATCTTCCTGGAAACAAAGAAAGCTCACCCACTTTTTCATCATCTTCACCTTCAATGCTTAGCCGCAGGCTTCAGCCCTTTCGGACTACTCTCCCCGTCACTCCACCTTTCCCCGCTTTGCAACGTTTTCTCAAAGTCTGCCATCCTCCACGGTTTACTGCACTTGAAATCGTTGCGGACGGACCTTAATTGCCGGAAAATGTCCTCTTCCTTGGACTCCCCTAACTTCTTCGAAAACTGCTGCACGCGGAGAAAGTATGGATGTGTCAGGTTTGAAATCAACAAAGTTGAAATGATTTCTCATGCATAAATTGCAAGGCATGAAGTGCCTCTTTTGCAGGGATGGCAAGTGAGGCCGATCTTCAGCCTGTTTGGGGTCTGCGATAGAGCTGCTGAAGTAGCATCACAAAAGACGCCTTCTTTCCCACCTAGACAGCATGACAAACTGGATTTAAGCGGTGCCAAAATTTGTCATGCGCCGCTTGGAAATTGGGCTTCCAACTGGTATCGATTTCATGCATTACAAATTATATCAACTTTGACGATTTCAATCCTGACACTACCATAGAAAGGGCGACGTCAATAACTCCTCCTCCGCGGTAAAGGGTACTGTGGGGATTTTGTCCTTGCGCAAGTCAACTATTTTCTTGCATCGGTCGATCACCGCTTGCCGGCTCTGGTCCGACTTCTCCACCAGCGCGAGGGCGAACTGACACCCGTCCGTGGCGTACTCGTGGGCGCAGTAGATCAGCGTGGATTTCGGAATATGGTCCATCAACCGCTGCTTCAGGGCCCTGCGGTATATTGTTTTTTGAGTATTTTATGTCGCGTTTTCAATTTTTTGAAAGCTCCCCCGCTGGCAACCGGAACGCCAACTGCTGGCGTAGCAAGCCGACACAACACCACAATAAACCGCAATTGCACAGACAATGTTGACCTCTAGCTAAGTGAGAATTATGATGTGGGAGATGTTGCCTAAATGTAGCAACAAGAAGTAAGAAGATGAACATCTGTGTACAACGATACACGCAAATTAATAACCGTAGTAAAAAAAAGTACCTGTAGCAGTCCGCTGCGTCGCCCTCAAAGAGCCTGCCGCAGCCCATGGGAAAGACGATGTCCCCGGTGAACACGATCCCGTAGGATTTCAAAAAGAACCCGATCTGCCCTAACGTATGCCCCGGAACGTGGATAATCTCGAAGTCCAGCGGCCCGAGGTTCAGGTGCTCCCCGTGCTTGCAGAGCTCGGAAAAGTCCGATTCCTCCGCGAACTTTTTCAAATTCGGCAGCTCGATCCGTGACGCGTACATGCGCGGCCGGTGGTTGTTATTCGCTTTGAAGTTGTCCGCCGCAATCTCGTTCCACGCGCCCAGGTGATCCCAGTGCCAGTGGGTGATCAGCACGTCCGTGATGACGGAGCCGAATTCCTCCTTTGCACGCTGGCAGTACTCCAGGCCGTGCCCCTGCGGCAAGTCGATGGCGATCACGCGCGCGGCCTGGCTGGTCTGGCTCACGCGACGACTGTTGTTCCTTGGAGGGCTGCTGTTGTTGGTGGTGGTGGTGCCCGAAGTAGAAGTAGGTTCTAATTGCTCTGGAACGTACAACAAGTACCCGTAGTTGTCACTTAAACACGGGAACTGGATCAACTTCAGCGTCGGATGCGACTGTTCCTTGTCAAACTTCTCCGCAAACTTGTTCGCCTGAGTGTAATGCGGCCGCGGGGACCCCTTCGGCACAGATTTCAGTGGCTCGATGTCCACCCGCTGCACCTCCGACCACGTCTGCCGCCCGTTGGACTTGTCCAGAAGCTTCTTGTTTTCCGAAGACGGGCCGGGGAGAAGGTTTGATGATGAATTACCTGCAGTAGTTGCACTCGTCGACATCATGGCCGCGGCGGAGGGGCGAGCTTTCGGCGAAAAACCACCAGTAGTATTCGAAGGCTTGATACTAGCCGGCGAACCAGAGTTCGAGCGGGCGAGAGCGGATGTTGAACCTCCGCCGCCGGAATTCGTGCGAGTCAGTCGCGGCGACTTGGTGGTCGACGTCCCAGAAGCTTTTGCCTTATTCTTCCTTTCCTCCTCGTCCACCACCCCAGTCATCGCCACCGCGTGCGCGTGCACTCCGTGCGAAACAACCCCGTGCCCACTGCCCATCTTGGACTCCAAAATCGTCAATTGGACCACCAACCCGTCCGGATCCCGAACGCATCGCAACACCGGGTCGAAAGTGGGCGAAGTCGAGATCTTGCGGAACTGCGCGGGGGAGACGCCGATGGAAATGGATTCAAAAGCGGGCTTCTCCGGGGATAAGTCATCCGGCCCGGCGAGCACGGGTGCTGTTTTGTCCATATTCCGCATGTGCTGGATTTCCAGTGTCGTGACGGGTAACTGGTACAGCCACTCCCTTTGCGCTTGGATTTTGCTCTCCATAGTACCGATCTTGCTAAAGTCTGGCACTTTTTGCTTCATCTCATCCGTCAAATACGCGAAGAAATACAGGTCGAAGTTGTACGGCGAAACTTCCTGTTTCTCCAATAAAGTCATGCCCAGCACCTCGGTGTAAAACTTCACACACAAATTCGCATCTTTCGTCCGGGTGGTGACTTGCCCGATCACCGGGTCTAGCATGCGCGTCAACGGGTTCCGCGCACGAAGTCCGCTCGACTGCAGCTTCTCTTCCGCTCGCTCGATCCGTTTCTTTTTCGTGGCGGTGTTCCCTTCGAAACTCGTCTGAAGCAGCTCAATCGGAAATCCGACCGGATCCGCGATGTGCTCCAAGTATCCGACGTTCAAAAACTGTTCCGCCTTCGCGTTTTTCTTGCCCAAACCGGTCCTCAAACAGTCATCGACGTCGTCTACCGCCAGCCCGATCTTCCAGTACAGAGGCCGCTGGAAGTTCACTTGCTGCTGGCTACGATCCTTAGTCTGGGCCACGACCTGCTTCCCGGGGGGCAAAAACCGGAAGTTGAGCTGCGCGGAATGGGGCGAGTTCCGGAAATACAGATTGTCGATCGTTTGGCCGTTCGGAAAGGTCGCCGTTGTCTGCGCGACCATACCCAGCGACTCACTGTAGAACTTTAATACCTCGTCGCGAAACTGCCCAGGTACGCGGTAGGTGGCGGCCAGGAGGCGGGACGAGGTCTGGTTCAAAGCTGATTCCATTTTTTGTTTTTCTTCTTATGTGCGTGTGGCTGTGGGGGGGGTTAGAAACAATTCTGAGGCGTTTCTTATTTTTTATTAAAAATTTGGATTTGCGTAACAATGCTAGAACAGCAACAGAATGTGTGTAAGTAGGTCTACGGAATGAAATATTGATTTACGGTCGGAAAAACATGAAAGAGATCACGACAAATTGCGTTCTTCCTTAGCGTTAATAGATCACTAACTCGGATGAGGATGTGGCACTCAAAGATCAACCTGGAGGCGAAATCAATAGCACAGACGTCGACATAATCTTAAGTGGGATCAGAATAGAAAGATCTTGACATGAACAGGCGCAAGTATTGAGGGAAATTGTCGATTAGAATTCTGTGTAGGAGCACCAACTGTCGACAATTTTGAGACAGTGTATTTACAATGGCATGCTGGGTCTGAGGTCGGCAAAATTGTTACTTAGGTTCCGCTCAAGATACCATTACCATTTCTTGTTCCATATCGAAAATAAACAGAAGATGCGTGAGACGGTCAAGGTACCGAATAGATTCTGATGGCGTGTGCGTGTCGAAGACAAAATTCATCATTATGAGATGAATGCACTCTCAATACCAAAATGTCGCCTTGAAAATTGGACGATTCTTGTCGCATTTCCAGAAGAGATCAGATATCTTCGCTCCCCAGCATGATCAATATCAATATCGGAGCAAAATGTTGATATAAGCTTCGTCCTGCTTCGCATCTACTTAGCTCGATGTAGTAACTTCCATGAAAAAAAGAACCGAGGTTTGCTAACAAGAAGCGTCCGCATAGTTCATGAAGCTTTAAACGCGGTTTTCGATTGCCTTTTTGTTCGGGACCCTCCGCTCTCCGACATTGCATGTCCTCACACGAGGAGAGGACTTACCGACCTCATTTTTGTTCCCAGGGAGCTCCAAATCCACTTCCACTCATCTCGCTTTCTTCACTACTGTTTTTCCCTGGAGAGAAATTCCCTAATTTTCAGCCAACCCTCTCTAGTACGTACACTCGAAACTACAACTAGAACAATCGATCCTCACTTTTTTACAGCAGAAGCTGGCTCTGATTGGAGACAGTTGTGCTTTTCTTGGCCACGCAACGCCGTGCGGCTGTAGCCACAACGACAACGAGCCGATCTTCGCAAGGGAAACTAAACCTCCTTCGCTGTCTTCTTGGAATCTTCATGTGTGACGCAGACAAGAATCATCAAGACCAGCACTTCAGCAAAGAATTCGGCGAAAAGTCCAGATCCACTGTAGTAGTCACCTCTGTCTTGCGATTGATTTTACAACTCGGCCTGAAAAAACTAACTCGTCGCCTTCAAGAACTCGTGCAAAAGACCATCCCTTCACAATTCCTCCGCCTTTGCGTTCTTCTCACCACCTCCAGGCCGCCGCGCACCGACTTCAAATTTTTCCGGCCACCCCTTCGGCCGGTAGTGGATGAAGACGTTGGCAAATTCCCGGCCCGGAAACGGTGTCGGCCGCCCGTGCGGTAACGTTGCCGACTCGTACAGAATGATCTGCCCCGCCTTGTTGGGTACGTACTTCGTTTCCCCACTGTGCGTCACCACCTGCAACGGCCAGCTGTGGTCGTACGTTTCCTCCATGCCGTGATACTGATCGTCCGGAAACCCAAACTCCAGATGGCCCACCTCCACAATGGCGCTGATTGCGTGCGTGTCGCGCCGGTCGTATGAACTGCAAAAGTATCGCACTCGTACAAATGCATTAGCATTACAACTCAACTGGAACAACACACCACTGGAACGATAGAAGAAGTGTGTTCATGTTTTGTAATTACAAGTTTCATCAGCGTCGGAAATAAAATTTGCAAATGCTGATTTACCTTGAAAAGAAAGATTTGTATATGCATGAATGCAATACGAGTGCGATGCTTTTGCACAGGATAGGTCGCCGTGCATCCGCATTTCGGAGTTTTGTCGGTACAGTCGGGTTATGAAATGCAAAAGCATCGTCCTCGTATTGCAATCATGCATTACAAATCTTTTCCCTGTGGCTGACGCTGAGGTACGTCAGCATTACATTTCTCATGCTGAGGAAATTTGTAATGCATTTATACGAGTACGATACTTTTGCACTGCATACGGATGCCGTACAACGCCGTCATCTCTAGTTCACTCGCCTCGAACCCCGTCCACTTTGCCACCACCGGCTGCATATGCATTGCAAATATGCCTGGGTCCGGAAGACTGCGAGACTTCTCATGCTAGTTTGGCACGACTCTGAACTCTGTATTGCGCAGGGCCATCGGATGTTTCTCATCATGCGGAATACGCAACACAGAGCCGCGAGGAAATCTGTCATGCTTGCCGGTGCATTACAGTGTGGTTATTTTTAATCATTGACATGCATCACAAGTTTCCAGACCCAGCAAATTTAATTTGCACTTGATACTGCATCATCTTTTGCAGCCTGTCCTTCAGGTCCTGGCGGAGCTCCACGAGCCACATGTCCACAGAAAATTTCCCGCACACGTACAAATGCAGTCTCTGCATAACAAAACTTGCCTTCAGTCCTAGTCTAGCATGACAAGTTGGACACTGCAAGTTAACGAAATTTGTCATGCATTTTGTACATGTACGGGAAAAGGAAATTCACATTGCATACCACATGTCCGTTTTGCACGCCGGGATCGCCCCGTCGAGCCACCTGGTTTTCTCGGGTTTCGCGAGTTTGTTGCGGTTTTGCTGCCAAAACGCGCGGATGTCCTGCAACAATTCTGGGTCCGGGAAGTCTTGCACCTCGAAGCCCTCGGGCGTGAATTTCCGAAATTCTTGCGTCTGCCTCCACATCTGCTGGATGTCCTCGTCGTGTGTTTTCTTCAATTCTTTCTCGTACTCCAAATTCAGCAAAATATCGGTCAACGCGGTTCCGCCGGTGTGGTTGTAATAGGTACTGTGCTGCGAAATTGTATTGACAGAGGATGTTGTTGCAGCAGCACTTCTACTAGCTCCTTCTATCGGCGAAGGAGCAACCGGTGCACTAAACCCTGGGGGCCAAATCGTGGTCAGGAACGGCGCTAGAGTAGACGACGCACTGGTGCCACTGTCGGCAGATGACAGGGAAATCGTTCCTGGATACTTGAATCTGCACCGGGTCGGGTTATAATCACGCGGGCTGTTCATACGATCGCAGAAGTGCGCGCGGTCGGCGTCGTCTTTTGCAAGCTGTCTCCGGCACTCGCGTCGCCAGTCTCCCACGGCTTTCTCCCATTTTTCCCCAGCGAAAAACTGCTCTTCCGTCGGCCGGTCCACCCAATCGACATCGCAATGGATGGCGTTGTCGCTTTGATTCTCCACCTCCTCGATGGTTGTACTAGCTCCACCGCCGGCACAGGTACAGACCACGGCGCCGCTTTTCGCACCCTGCTTCACCGTGACGTGGAAAGTGTCCTTGATTTTTGTCGGCCGCTTCTCCTCCTCTTCCTTCCACCCATCATCTGTGCTTCTCGTTGTAACGCGAAAGATGTGCCCTTCAAAGGTGTCCTGGGAGGCAACGGCGCCGGGAAAAATCGTTTCGATCGGGACGGGCTTTTCCTTCGGGTAGTTCTCGGGAACGAAGAAGAGCTTGAGGGGGGAGCTTGCGCAGCTGTTCTTGAAGGTCAGCGGGTGGACGGGCTCGGCAGCGGAAGCGGGGCTGCACGATGTAGCAAGCAGTTGTAGAGTGGCCAGGAAGGTGGGGCCGCGCATCGTGATAGATGGTGCTACAGCTTATTTCATTCATCTAGTGTAATTGTTTCACTTGAAAGACAGTACGAAAAACCAAGACCAACTTGATGAACTCGGAAAAGAAGATGCGGCAAAGGCAAGAATGCACTTCCGTGACATTGGTAGTAGAAAACTGCTTGTAGAAGCGAATACAACGACGGGCGTTCTCGCGCCAACATCTAGCCCTGACGCCACTCTCCTATTGTTCGTCACAGCTATTGAATTGCTCGCACGCCCCCTGCTCTCCGCCTAGGTTCATTCAACTGCTCGCTCACGGATCACAAACAGAACCAACGAGCACAAAGCTCATGCCAGACGACGTGACATGCTGTGTGTGTGCGGTGGCTCACATCCAGCAATCAATCCGCGCAGTCGGCGTTCGCCATCGTCACTGCGCTTCATCTTTGTACCACTTCTCCTGTGCGCACAGATCAAGCTGGTGTCGGCTGCCCCGTCAGGCAGCGCGCGAACACAAGTCAGTCAGTGGCGCGCGCAGCGGCAAGCATTCAACGGCCCCGCGCAAACGCCTACGCTGGCCTGCAGGGCTTGCAGGCCGCCTCGGTCGCTCCTACGACGCCCGGCGCGAATCAATCGGGGCGAGGGGATGGCAACAAACACAATCAAACCCAGACAAGGGGCAGCGCCACACACGGCAATCAAAGGGGGGCGCAAGGGCCCAGCCGCCCCACCCGACACCCGGGGGCATCGCACGGGCGGCCGGCGGCAATCGCCGCGGCCGCCCCTCAATCCAGCGGGCCGCCCGATCCAGGGTGGGATATGGGCGACCCGGCGGGGGGGGCGCCGAAATCGCCGCCCCTTACGATGGGCCGGGCGCCCGCTGTTGTTTCCAATCAGGAACGGCCCGGCCGGGGCGCAAAATAAGAGGGCGCGGGTGCGGCACTGATCAAAGTCGGCTGATCAAAAGCACACTGCAGCGGCCGGGGCATGCGGCATCGCGTGCAAAACCCCCCTGCGAAGCTGCCTCGCGCGCGCGAGCGAATCGCCCCGCGGCCTGACTGCGCGCCCTCGCGTAGTACGCTAGACCCCAGCGCCAGCCCCCGGAGAAACAGCGCCCGCGTGCCCGGCCGGCGACGAACCGCCACGCCGCGGCTGCCCTATGTACTAGGTGCGTAACCAGGCCGCAGAGGCCCCGCCACCTCGCGAACAAAAGCGTCACCGCTTACAACTACGACGAAGCCATCTTCCGGGCAGTCTTATTCCGAACACGCTCAAAAACTCCGCACCTACTATTTTTTGATCTCAGACTTAAAAACGAATCAATTCGCGACAATTTTGAGTCGTCATTCACAGTCTTTGCGCCATCGTTGCTCCTCAGTTAAATCATACAGTTCCGGAGCCATCAGAAAACTTCGTCTCTCTTTCTAGTTTTTTGGCGTGTATTCATCATTCTCACCAGTTTCCAGACTCTCGTCGCGACCAAAATGGAGAAGAGACTGGATTCTCTCGCGCGTTTTGGATTCTACCACTCGAGTGTGGAAAAAAGAAGAAGTTTTCTAAAATCATACAAATGTGGTGCTGGAACGCTAAAAATCTAAAGAATATCATGCCAGAACCAGAAGGTTCTCGAAATTTGAAAAAAAAAATTCCCTGCAGCAATATATGAGCTTGTTTTTTTTATTCGTACGTTGTACTATCAGGAACAAAATCCGTGTGTCAGCAACACATTTCACGGTCGTTCCCGCCGTATCATGACTGCTGCTGCTCGAAACTTTTCCCGGGAGATTATTATACACGACGTCTTGTTGATCTTCATTATCATTCGCCTCGCACACCCCCAAGGCGACATGGACGTTTCTACTCTTTCCGCCGAAACAGAAAACCGCACAATGGAGGTCTTTATTTTCGCGGGTCCTTAAGAACATCAAAAACTGCAACATCTCCGAAAATGTAGTAGCTCGTCGATTCCGCCGGGAACTACGAGAACTTTTGTTCATCTGTGCATCTTCCTGGAAACAAAGAAATCTCACCCACTCTTTCATCGTTTTCACCTTCAGTGCTTAGCCGTAGGCAGCTTCAGCCTTTTCGGACTACTCTCCCCGTCACTCCACCTTTCCCCGCTTTGCAACGTTTTTTCAAAGTCTGCCATCTTCCACGGTTTACTGCACTTGAAATCGTTGCGGACGGACCTTAACTGCCGGAAAATTTCCTCTTCCTTGGACTCCCCTAACTTTTTCGAAAACTGCTGCACGCGGAGAAAAGGCGACGTCAATAACTCCTCCTCCTATGCAAGAAAAAAACTGTGTAAGTGTAAGTCTGTGATGCAGAAAATGCAAAATAGTTACACTTGTCATGCTGGACATGCATCAGAAGCTCTTTTCGTGCGTGTTTTCACGTACTAGCCGCGCATGACAGGCTCTCTCTGTCATGTGAAGCAAATTTGTGATGCTATTCCTCCAAGAAAGTTACACTAACACAGTTTTTTTCTTGGATACCTCCGCGGTGAAGGGGACTGTGGGGATTTTGTCCTTGCGCAAGTCCACGATTTTCTTGCACCGGTCGATCACTGCTTGCCGGCTCTGGTCCGACTTCTCCACCAGCGCGAGAGCGAACTGACACCCGTCCGTGGCGTACTCGTGGGCACAATAGATCAGCGTGGATTTCGGAATATGGTCCATCAGCCGCTGCTTCAGGGCCCTGCGGTATATTGTTTCTATAAATATTTTCAATTTTTTGAAAGCTCCCCCGCCGGCAACCGCAACGCTAACTGCTGGCGTAGCAAGCCGACACAACACCACAAACCGCAATTGCACAGAGGATGTTCTTGACCTCTAGCCAAGTGAGAATTATGATGTGGGAGATGTTGACTAAATGTAGCAACAAGAAGTAAGATGAACATCTGTGTACAACGATACACGCAAGTTCACCGCAGACGTAGTAAAAGTACCTGTAGCAGTCCGCTGCGTCGCCCTCAAAGAGCCTGCCGCAGCCCATCGGAAAGACGATGTCACCGGTGAACACGATCCCGTAGGATTTCAAAAAGAACCCGATCTGCCCTAACGTATGCCCCGGAACGTGGATAATCTCGAAGTCCAGCGGCCCGAGGTTCAAGTGTTCCCCGTGTATGACAGTGCACAACTCCCCCTCCCCCTCATTTGTATAGCATGACCGGCAATACAAGCATCAGCAAGAATGCCGGTTGCGCATGACAAATTAGCATATGGAGTGTAGTGCCATTTGGGCTGCCAGAACTTGTCATGCAAACAGTGCCAAGAGGCAAAAAAGGGTGGATTGGGTATTTTGCATGACAAATGAGGGGCTGGGGGGGGGTTGTGCACTGTCATACCGTGCTTGCAGAGCTCGGAGAAGTCCGACTCTTCCGCGAATTTTTTCAAATTCGGCAGCTCGATCCGCGACGCGTACATCCGCGGCCGGTGGTTATTGTTCGCTTTGAAGTTGTCCGCCGCAATCTCGTTCCACGCGCCCAGGTGATCCCAGTGCCAGTGGGTGATGAGCACGTCTGTGATGACGGAGCCAAATTCCTCCTTTGCGCGCTGGCAGTACTCCAGGCCGTGCCCCTGCGGCAAGTCGATGGCGATCACGCGCGCGGCCTGGCTGGTCTGGCTCAAGCGGCGACTATTTGGGCTGTTGATGGTGCTGCCCGAAGTAGGTTCTTGCTCTGGAACATACAACAAGTACCCGTAGTTGTCACTTAGACACGGGAACTGGATCAACTTCAGCGTCGGATGCGACAGCTCCTTATCGAATTTCTCCGCAAACTTGTTCGCCTGAGTGTAATGCGGCCGCGGCGACCCCTTCGGCACAGATTTCAGCGGCTCGATGTCCACCCGCTGCACTTCCGACCACGTCTGCCGCCCGTTGGACTTGTCCAGAAGCTTTTTGTTTTCCGAAGACGGGCCGGGGATAAGGTTTGATGATGAGTTACCTGCAGTTGCACTCGTCGACATCATGGCCGCCGCGGCGGAGGGGCGAACTTTCGGCGAAAAACCACTAGTAGTATTCGAAGGCTTGATAGAAGCCGGCGAACCAGAGTTCGAGCGGGCGAGAGCAGATGAACCCCCGCCGCCGGAATTCGTGCGCGTCAGTCGGGGCGGCTTGGTGGTGGTCCCTCCAGCAGCTTTTGCCTTATTCTTCCTTTCCTCCTCGTCCACCTCCATCGTAGTCATCGCCACCGCGTGCGCGTGCACCCCGTGCGAAACAACCCCGTGCCCACTGCCCATCTTGGACTCCAGAATTGTCAATTGCACCACCAAGCCGTCCGGATCCCGAACGCAGCGCAACACCGGGTCGAACGTGGGCGAAGTCGAGATCTTGCGAAACTGCGCGGGGGAGACGCCGATGGAGATGGATTCAAAAGCGGGCTTCTCCGGGCTCAAATCATCCGGGCCGGCGAGCACGGGTGCGTTTCGGTCCATATTCCGCATGTGCTGGATTTCCAACGTTGTAACGGGTAACTGGTACAACCACTCTCTTTGCGCTTGGATTTTGCTCTCCATAGTACCAATTTTGCTAAAGTCCGGAACTTTTTGCTTCATTTCCTCCGTCAAATAGGCAAAGAAATACAGGTCGAAGTTGTACGGCGAAACTTCCTGTTTCTCCAATAAGGTCATGCCCAGCACCTCCGTGTAAAACTTCACACACAAATTCGCATCTTTCGTCCGGGTGGTGACTTGCCCGATCACCGGGTCCAGCATGCGCGTTAACGGGTTCCGCGCACGAAGTCCGCTCGACTGCAGCTTCTCTTCCGCTTTCTCGATCCGTTTCTTTTTCGTGGCAGTGTTCCCTTCGAAACTCGTTTGGAGTAGCTCAATCGGAAAGCCGACCGGATCCGCGATGTGCTCCAAGTAGCCGACGTTCAAAAACTGCTCGCCCTTCGCGTTTTTCTTGCCCAAACCGATTATTGTTTGCAAAAACGTCCCCACGACCCCACACTTGTCATGCAAAGTGGCATGCCTAAAATGTTTCTCATGCGCAGACACAGTAAAGCCATTTTCTAATGCTATCTGGAAGTTTGTGATGCTGGAATCACGCAAAGGTAGTCGATTTGTGATGCGTCGCCACTGCCTCAAACAGCACTACACTACGAGTCCAAATTTGTCATGCAAAACAGCCAAAGCCTCTAGGTTTGTGTTGCGAAATCCCCATCTTGACTCTGGGATGGGGACGCTTTTACTCAGGATACCGGTCCTCAAACAGTCATCGACGTCGTCTACCGCCAGCCCGATCTTCCAGTACAGGGGCCGCTGGAAGTTCACTTGCTGCTGGCTACGATCCTTATTCTGGGCGACGACCTGCTTCCCGGGGGGCAAAAACCGGAAGTTGAGCTGCGCGGAATGGGGCGAGTTCCGGAAATACAGATTGTCGATCGTTTGGCCGTTCGGAAAGGTCGCCGTTGTCTTCGCGACCATACCGAGCGACTCACTGTAGAACTTTAAAACCTCGTCGCGAAACTGCCCAGGCACGCGGTAGGTGGCGGCCAGGAGGCGGGACGAGGTCTGGTTCAAAGCTGATTCCATTTTTTCTTCTTATGTGCGTGTGGGCGTGGGGGGGGTTAGAAATGATTCTGTAGGCGTTTCTTATTTTTTATGAAGAGAGGAAACTAAGAATTTGGATTTCTTGCGTAACAATGCTAGAACAGAATGTTGTGTGTAAGTAGGTCTACTGAATGAAATATTGATGTACGGTCGGAAAAACTTGAAAGAGATCACGACAAATTGCGTACTTCCTTAGCGTTGCTTCTACTAACTCCGATGAGGATGTGGCACTCAAAAATCAACCTGGGGGCGAAATCAGTAGCAACACCGTCGAGATAATCTTAATCAATACATGATAAAGTGGGATCAGAATGACTTACTTCTTATCTTCCTAGAAAGATCTTGACATGAACTTGAACAGGCACAGGTAAGGGAAATTGTAGATTAGAATTCTGTGTAGGAGCACCAACTGTCGACAATTTTGAGACAGTATTTACAATGGCATGCTGGGTCTGAGGTCGGCAAAATTGTTAGGTTCTGCTCACGATACCATTAGCATTACCATTTCTTGTTCCATATCGAAAATAAACAGAGGATGCGTGAGATGGTTAAGGTACCGAATAAATTCTGATGGCGTGTGCGTGTCGAAGACAAAATTTATCATTATGAAACAGAAAACCGACAGGGTTCTGTGACTGTGGATCGTGCAACGCATGAGAACACCAGGAAGATCACCAGCGACAGACTGCTACGCAGTCTCAGGAAAAAAGGTTGATCATACTAGCAGAAAAGGCAACAAGCACAAGGCTTGAGCCAAACACAGGCAGCGTTAGTTCATGTAGTCTCATCCGGATGAATAGGCATTGTATTAGCTAGACCCAGGTAACGAGTACGACCCTAGGTAGACGAGTTAACTATCTCCTTAGCTTTCATACGAGCACAAGCAACCACACGTCACGAACCGAAATTCCCTTGTGGAATTAACAATTATGAGATGAATGTACTCTCAATACCAAAATGTCGCCTTGAAAATTGGACGATTCTTGTCGCATTTCCAGAAGAGATCAGATATCTTCGCTCCCCAGCATGATATATTTTCTGCCATATCAATATCAATATCGGATCAAAATGTTGATATAAGCTTCGTCCTGCTTCGCGTCTACTTAGCTCGATCTAATTTCAAGGAAAAAATGAACCGAGGTTTGCTAACAAGAAGCGTCCGCATTCTTCATGAAGCTTCAAAAGGGCATGATCGTCCGCAGAAAGACAATCAGCCGCATCAAGCTCACATAATCTTTGCTTGCGGAATCGATGATCGCACAACGACGTCAGATAACGATAACGAGGACCCAGCGTTCACCATATATAATTTTTAGAGGTATAATTTTATCCCGGTCCTGCCTTCTGCGCGAACCCATCTCGCGGAATCTCCACGTAAAAGGGTCTGTCCCGCACGCAAATGTGACTGATGGCGCACAAATTATCTTCCACCCAATCCTCCGCCATCTCCACCGTGTGTCCCGTCTGCAAGGTCGTTTTCCGCGGATAGAGGTGGTCTGTGTCGAAATCAACAGCATCCGAAGACGAACTGCTGGACGAGGAGGGTTTTTTGAATCTGCCTGCTCCGACGTCATTCATTTTTATTTTACTGCTGATCTCACTTGACGCCGTTATTTTTTTCAGCGTCTTTCCCCCTGGCCAGCGCGGACTGTCTCCGCTACTATCTTCGGAGGATGACAACAAGATCACTTCATTGTCGTCTTCGGGCGGGAGGAGGAAGCTGTTCTTGTTTCTATTTGCATTTTGAAGATTCATGGAAGACTTTTTCTGCTCGTCCGGTGCTGGTGGTGGTTCTGCCGGAAATAAATGCTGTGCACCAGCACGCCGTCCAAGATCTGTAGCCCCAACGCCAGCACCACGATTCGCGGCTGCAAACACCTCCACCTGAGAAAAATCTGCCACGTCTTTATTCGTCTCGTTCACGACTGTTTCGTTCACGACTTGTTCCTGCTTGATGTCCCCCTCCAGCCCAGTGACGTCGGCTTTGAGGACCCAACCGGACTCACTAGCCTGCAAGTCCATGTTGCCCATCACGCTCTCGGTTTGCTTTTTCAGCAACTCGAGCTTGTTATCCCACAGAAGAGAGCAGGCAGGTCATATTTGTAATGCAAAAATAAATACAGAAAAAAATTTGGGTTGCGTGATATCCTAAACAGCTTGCTATGGGTATGGGGCTGCCCATGATAGATTTTTCTGTGTATTTTAATTTGCATCACAAATATGCCTTGCCAGCTTTTTTCTGTGCGATACTTGTCCAGCACATCCTCCTTCGATTGCGGTTCGATCTTCCGCTTTTTTGGTGAGGGAAGTAGATCATCGTTTTTATTACCACCAGCACGAAGCTCTTTTTCTACTTCACTTGCGTTTTCACTCTTCTCATTCGCGGTCTTGGTCCCACCACGTAGAGCTAGAGGTGACGGGCTGTTCCTCCTGCTTTGGTTCTTTATTGGCTCATCTTCTTGACTGAATGGGAGTAGTCTTTCCACGACTGGCTTCTTGTTCCTCGATGATAGTGGAGCTGCATCCATGATCTCTTTGCTTGTTTGTAGTTTGTCGTCGTGTTGTTCTTCACGATGCAAGCTGGTGCTGCCTCCCACCAGCAACGACCCTGAAGAAGCTACCGGTTCACTGCTTTTCCGCCTTTTGTTTCTTTTCGACGTCCTTGCGTGGAGGTCGGGATCTGCCACACCAGCACCGATCATACACTTGTTATCTTGATAGACGAGCGAAGAAGAGAGAGACGGACCGCCGCCGTTCAACATATTCCCACGACTCTGAAACCCGTTTTTCCGGTACTGCCGGAACTTTTTCACGAACGTCTCTTCGTGCGCAAAGTCGAAGGTCCCGAGGGCCAGCCACATCGTGTGGCCCTGTTGCATGGCCGCCATCTCGTACACGATTGACAGGTGCGTCCCGCACTCGGTACACACGTGCCGCTTCCCGTGGTCCGTGGTTCTTTTCAGAATTAACGGGTGGCTCTTGCCCTGAATCACGGACCCGTTCGAGACGTGGTCTTCTTTGCGCACGTGCTTCCACTTGAACATGCTGTACTGCACCGGCGCCCAGGTCTGAAACGCGCACCCCGACATTCTGCGGCACATCGAGCAGTAGCAGTGCTGAATTTCGCTGGGAAACACGTACGCCTCGAACTGACACTTGCCACACAAGCAGCTCCCCGTGAAGGACTCGATGGTGGGGCAGATATCGTTGTTGTCTTTGGACGTGCTGGCCTATGGAAGCGTCAGAATCGAAATCCTCAAAGTTGAAATATTTTCTCATGCAGAAATTGCAAGGCATGGAGTGCCTCTCTTGCAGGGATTGCAAATGAGGCCGATTGTGAGCCTGTTTCGGGTTTGGAATAGAGCTGCTAAAGTAGCATAACAAAAGGCGCCTTCTGTCCCTAAACAGCATGACAGACTGGTTTTAGACGGTGCCGAAATTTCTCATGCGCCGCTGGGAAATTGGGCTTCCAGCTGGTATCGAATTTATGCATTACAAATCATTCCAACTTTGACGATTTCAATCCTGACGCTTCCATATGGCCAAGTTGTTGTTTAATCCTCTTCTGCCGCCGGCCCCGGTAGGTGGTTGTTGCACAAATTGATGATGTCTCGAACTTGATGTTGGCGTCCTGTTGTTCATCTGTGTGGTCGGAGCCCCACCTCCACCCCGCTGCCCAAACGACTGCACGATCTCGCTCAAATTTTTCAAATTTTCTTCCGAGTCAGAACTGGTCAGCGCCAAGTGGTCCGCGGCGTAGAATTTGTGCTGCACGAGTCCGAATTTCTCGAGTCTTTTTTTCTCCTCCTGCCGGGATTCCCACAGTTGCTTCTCCAGCATCCGGTCATTGATGTCGTCCTGGATCTGAAACATCTTCCAGCTCGGCAAATTCGCGCGCTCGATGTGCGCCCAGCAGGCCCGTTGCTCCTGGAACCCGTAGTCGGTGATGTCGAACCTGACCCGCATGTCCTGGTACAGAAACCGGCCCTCCGGCCGAGAGTCGAGGACCATGCCACCGGAGGTGAAAAAGTTCCAGTAGGAGGCCTCGTTGTTCTGTCCATCTTCGGTACTAGTAGTTCTTGTGATCCTGCAAGCCATGCCCACGACACTGTAGCAATCCTTGCATAAGATCTTTTTCACCGGGGTCAAAAGTTTGGTGCTGGAGGTTTGGTCGCCGTTGCCAAAAAGTGAAGCAGAAGTTGTAGCCGATGAATTTTTGGTCGGCACCAACGCAGGAGTAGAAGTAGCTTCCTCGCATTGTATATTAATTGCGGAAGGTGTACTGAAATCCCCCGAGGTCGTGCGGGTTTTGATATTCGCCGGCACAACATTTGGAGGTTGCCTGTCGCCTTCTTGTTCGCGCGGTGGTGGTGCAGCTGTAGTACCATTATTCAATGAAGAAGGCCGGTCCTCAACTTGTTTCTCCTGGTACTCGCATGCCAGTCCTGCGCAGTAGGTTCCTACGTGGAGAAACCGGACTTTGTCGCCCTGCGCTTGATGCTGCCTGGCACCAGAAGCTGTTCCTGTGTAATTATGATTATGTCCTCGACTACTAGACAGAAAGTTCGAGGTTGGTAATACTAACCCGCCAGGCTGTCCCCCTCCTGGCCGTGATGTTGATAATGGCGGTGTCCTCAGTAGTTGAGAACGAATCGACATCGACTCGCCCGCAGAACTTCCAGTTTCTTTGTCCGCTGTTGCCATGGACTGGACAGCACCTCCCGCTCGGCGGCCAGCTTGTCTCTGTTCACTTGTTTGCTTCTCATACGGCTCGGTGTGGTAAAGTTTCATCTGTTCGTCCGTCAGTCTCGAGTATGGAAAGAAAAAAGTGTTAATACAGTTCTTAAACACTGTGTTGCAGGACAGGCAAGACAGATATACTTCTGTCATGCGCAAAATGCTTGCACGCCTCGTTTAGAACCTGTTTTCCCTAATGATCTCTGCAGCGCAAGTTTAAGTTTTCCCTGTCATGCAAGGCAACTTTGTGATGCTGAATTCATTTACAAATGTGTAACTGTATACACTTTTTCTTGGATATTGTGGGGCTCAGGTACAGTGCGTACGCCGCGCCTGCGTGTTTGCGGCAGAACCAGCAGTGGCAAACGTGCAGTTTCTATCAAATGCAAAAATGTCTGGGTCTGGAAGAGTCAGGGTTTGTCATGTACATTTTGCATGACCCGTGACGTCTGTGATGCAAACCCTAGCATCACAGCTTTTTCAAGAGCTTTTTGATGCTTACCACGCATAAGAAATGCCCTCTCCGCGTGCCAAGAACTGGACTCCTCTTGCTGCTCATGCAACACAGATATTTTTACAATCCGCAGACAGCATTACAAGTTCCACCCTTCATCCAGACCCAGACATTTTTGCATTTGATAGCTTCGGCTCCACGGCCGCCGTGTTGAAGCGAATTTTGGTGCACTGGCACTCGCACTGCGCCACGATTTGCTTCGGCACGTCGGGGCTTTTCTCTTGCAGCTTCAGCTGCCGCTTCACCTGCTCGTCCGTCAGCGTTTCTATTTGGGGCGCGACGGCACGGCTTTTCAGACAATTCTTCGGCTCGCGCTGCTTGAAAAGGTTGGATTTAAGCGGCGGTCGTGCAGGGGAGGCGGAGAAGACGCTGTCTGTCATCATGCTCGCGTGTTGGTTAGCCGGGTTGAAGGAGTTCTTTGAGTTGTTCAGTCCGAAGGGAACGGTACTAGCTGCTGCTGGGTTCTTGACGTCGCCGCTGTTGTTTGTCAACTTCGCAAACAGGGACGAGCTGGAGGAAGAAGAGGATGGAGCACCAGGACGAGGATCAACACCCGCGGCGGCGGCAACATGTCCCTCTACAACGACGTCTCCTGGTGAGCTGTCGCGCAGCAACCGTGATCGTCCAGCTGTCACTTTCTTGTTGCCCGCGTCGGAGAAGACGAAGCCCGACCCGTCCGCGAGGTCTTCGAGCTCCACGCTATCCCGATCCAGGCCCGCTGCGACCGCGGCGTCCAGTGCGGATTCTCGTTATGCATTGCAAATATGTCTGGGTCCGGAACGCTGAAACTTGTCATGCGAATTGGGGATAGTGCCAAAATCTGTGTTGCGTGATTACCAAAAGGTGTCACCTCTTGACCAAGTTGAGAGGCAATTTCTCATGCAGGCGAAGCATGATAGAGGTCCTCGCGCAGAATCTGTCATGCTAGGTCATGTATGACAGACCTCGCGCGTTATGGAAAACCTGCATGACAAGTTTAGACTCTACTTCCAAGCCTAAACCACATATTTGCAGTGCATACTCGCAAAACGCGCACCAACACGTCCTCTTCCTCCTCTTCGGTCGCGATATGGATTGCAAATATGTCTGGGTCTGGAAGACTGCCAGGTTTGTGATGCATGTTCTGCATCACCCATGAAGCCTGTAATGCATGACCTAGCATCACAGATATTTGGAGGGCTTTCTGATGCCTATTCGGCATGAGAAATGCCCCCCCCCGCGTAGGACAAACAAACTGGTCTGGACTCCTCTTGCTTGTCATGCAATGCAGATTTGTTTAGAATCCAAAGATAGCATCACAAGCTGGATCTTTCCAGACCCAGACATATTATTTGCATTTAATACGCGATCGGAGGCTGCAACTGCCCGTAGATATAGTTGTCGTTCACGACGTGCTGGTCTTCACCACGTGAAGTTGTGGCGGCATGTAGTTCAACATCTCCCAGCTGATTTATTCTGTCCAGATTTTCTATTCCCCCACTGTCAGCAACTACATCGTCCACATTCTCTTCCTCATCCGCGGGAATGACCAGATCGCCGGATTCCAGCTGCCGCAGGGTTTCCTTTCCGGCCTCGCTCAGCAGATCCCGCCACAGCATACCGCTCAGCGCTGCGACCATTTCGTCGGTCCCGTTGTTCATTTCTAATTCGATCTTCTCCGCGACTTCTGGGTCCACCGATTCGCGGATCTCACCCAGAGCGCACACGGCGAGCAGCTATGGGATTCTCAAATGTTACATTCTCAACTGTTACATGGATTTCCCATGCAGAACTACCATAAGCCGCCAGATGATCAAGCTAAGTACTTCGCATGACAAATCTCCGAAGGGCCAAACAGCATCTAAATCTGTGCCGAATCTGTGATGCGAAAGCAGCAAGCTTGCCACCTTGATTCTTGCTGTTCTTGCATTGCAAATTCATGCAACACTTGAGATTGTAACAGCTGAGAACGCCATAGCAGCTCCTGCACGGTTTTGTCCTTGTGGGCGAGTTGGTTGCCCAGCTGGGCTTTTTTCTGCGCCTCCGACTGCGCAAAGTCCGCGAGGAATTTTGACGATGCTGCTGTCTCGACTTTTGATGTTTCATCATGTTCAGCATCCTCTCCGCCCAATCTCCGTGCCTGATCCTGAATTTCCAGTTCCTGTAGCTTGATTTGCTTATCTTCGTCCAGCAGCTCCCGCCATTTCGCGGCATACAGCCGTTCCAGCGTCTCCTCGTTCTCTTCACGCTCCTCGTGTTCGATCTGTTCCGCCAGCGTCTCGTCTATCAAATGCAAACATGTCTCGGTCTGGAAATTTGTGACGCTACAGTGCGCATGATGTTGAAAACGCTTCCTTATGCACGAAAGCATAACAAGTTTGCAGCAGGAGACCGCTTTATTTCTCATACACATTCCGCATCAGAACCTGCGTTTTTGTTTGACAAAACAGGCTGCGACTTTTGTTAGTCACGCAATACAGATTTCACACCAATGTAAGGCCAGCATTACAAGTTCCAACTTTCCAGACCCAGACATATTTGCCATGCATATCGTCGATCTGCTCCCGAATGTCGTCGACGGTAAAAATATCTCGCAATTCCCCGATCGTCTTGTCGCGGTGCACCAACTGGTTTTGGAGGCGTAGCTGCTCCTCCGCCATCCGCAAGTGAAAATTGTCTTCGGCGCCCGGGCTGATCTCTATCGTGTTTAAAAACGTCCCCACCCCATAGTTGTAATGCAAATCTGCATGCTGAAAATGTCTCTCATGCGGAGCCCCACGAGAAGCATTTTCTCGCCGTGTTGTGGAATTTGTCATGCTCATATCAGGATGATATACTAGGTCTGTGATGCTGCTGAGGTAGCTCAAACAGCACTACACTACGAGTCCAAATTTGTCATGCAGAACAGCCAAAACTTGTAGATTTGTCTTGCCGCTTCGCTTCCCCATCTTGACTATGGGGTGGGAACGTTTTTCCATAGGATAATCTCCTCTTCATCGTCATTGTCCCCGATATAATCATCCTGCCCTTCTGAAGGCTGTGGACTGCCGAAAAATACACCGGAATAAAGCTGTTCTTCTTGAAGAGCAGGCCCTGCTGGTGGATTTCTTTTGCCCGTACTCGATGACGATGACGCAGCGGCAGCGCCAGTACCAGTCAGTATCGTTTTCATCCCGTTTGCACGAGCTCCACCGCTCGCCGCAGTTATTCCCATTTGCTCGACGCTGTCAAACCGATCCGCGTGCTGATTTTCGTCGTAATTATTCATGATGTCCTCTAGCACAGGAGGTGTACCGCTTGTTCCACCTAGAAGTTCCCGGGCCTCCCGCCTCCGTCTGCGCTCCTCCTTTCGCGCCTTTCGCTTCCTTTTATGCTCCTTTGTCCGCTCCGACAGCTCTTCTTCCTCGTTGTCTGCGCCGGCGTCGGAGGGGTTATTTTGAAAAGCTTCACGTTGTTGCATCGGGACCCCACGACCTGTAGAATTGTCGTCCTCCCCGACGGAATCTATGATCATATCATCCTCGTTGCTGATCAGCGGCTGATCAGCCTGCAGCTGCTGTTCAACTCCTTGCAGCTGCTCCCCGCCACCTCCACTCGCGTCGATCAGGGTCGGATCGTCGCAAATCGCCTGCGTGGCGGCTTCGGTGCTTCCGAAGGCCTCGATCAAATTTGCAGCCATCTCGGCGCTAATATTGAACAGCGCGACGAGCTCCGAGGCGCCGGAGTGATGTGAAGCTTGTTCTTGGTTCTGGCTATTTTTGACAGAGGCGAATGCGAATGCCCCTGAGGCGGCACCAGGAGAGCCGTCGTGATTGAGGAGGTTCATGTTCATCTCCTGGTCGTCCGCTTGTTCCATCTCTATGTCGGCCGGTCCCTCTGCTACAGTATCACCGGCCGCAGGCGGAGGCACGCCATCGGGATAAGCTTCCTGTTCCTGCGGCAACTCACCATGACCATCGAAGGGCTCCATTTTATTCGTTGTTGTTACGTTGCAGGTATCTGAAAGAATCGTGGCTGAAAATCTTCCTCAAGTCGATTGTATTTCTGTAGACACAACGAAGAACTTCGTAGTTGTGGGGCCCGGCCACGAATCACTCTACTAGAACTGGACGGCACGTCGCCAGGAAGAATGTCGCTGATGTCGCTGGATATTTTTATAGAGGACGCGAGATGAAATGAATGAAGCAATGCTGGGACGGCCTGGCAACAAGTATAAATTGTTTAGGTCTTGAGGTACTTAAATGGACATCAAACTGATGAAACAGCAAAAGAAGAACACGTAGGCGATTCGAATACATTTTTGTTGTGGTGCCTGCAAACCTTCAGTGGAGCCCGGTCCTCTATCGGTAGAAGTTGTCTACCAGGTTGCACTTTCAAGAATCGATCTGAACACAATTTTATTTTTACTTCAACTGATGAAGTTCATTGTTGCAGTGAACACGAGAGAACACTTTGGTGCTTAAAGAAATTATGCTGCTGGAACAAGCGATTCCAGATATCATCCATCCGGTGAAGATGAGGAGATGATGTTGTTGTTGAGCATCATCAGAAAAATGAAAGTCGCTGTCGTCGCTGTTGACGCTGACGTCGGTGCTGATAAAGGACCATCATCTTCATGTACTAAAACTGCTTGTGCTTTAGTGGAAGTCTTGTGCTCCTGCTCCAGCGATAGCAATACACTTTTCCACGCGAGGAATGATCAACCCAAGTGGCTAATACTGGCCAGTGCTCCTAGAGAGAAGAATTTACATTCATAATTCTCCGCTGCCTGCATCTCATAAGAACATCTTCATGTCGTGCCCTGAAATTTAAGTACTGTATCAACCATCCGTCGCTGCCAAACTACCCTCACCGGCCGCGCTTCCTGTGATAGTCGTCGTCGTCGTATGCGCTCGCAAGAACGCCACCAATTTCTCGCGCATCTCGGGTCCGTCCCAGGTTCCCAGGTTTTGCGCGCGGAACGTTTCCCAGTCGATGTTCCTCCACCGCATCCGGTCGTCTTGGTCGGTCACTTCAAAATGCAGCTTCCGGGCGGTCTCGGCGGAGGCCTTCCGCTTGGCGTCGGCCCGGTGGTACATGTCTTTCTCGAACTTTCGCAGCAGCTTGGGCAAAAGGTGGTGCTTCTTCGGAGGCGGGGATGGGGGAACGAAAGTTCTTCTATCAGTCTCATCTAAAAGAACTGCGTGGCTCCCATTCATCTTCGCAGGAAGGCCGCCGCGTGGCGGAAAATGGACCGTGCTGTTCTGCTGGAGGAGGTCGTGCCCAGAATGCTCATCTGGCACGACTTTATCATCTTCCGTGTGAACAAGAAGAGGAGCAGGCTGAAGTTTCTGTTGCGCACTCGCACTACTACTCGAAGATGTTCTTGTGTGAGATGAATTATTTTTGTAGGAGTTTGTCCTGGACAGCAGTTGGATTTCTCGCTCTAATTCGCTCTTCGGAGTTGTCCTCCCGTTGGTCGTCGGGGCGCGACTTAGGGGGGTGGGGTTGCGGACCTGCTGCTGTCCTTTCCAAGACTCGGTCCGTGCTGTTAGGGTACTCGTGCTGCGAGAAATCGTCACTGCGTCATCGTTCAGCTTCAGCGCTCCGGTCGCGGCTTGTTCGGGTTTTAATGTACTATCACTATCAGGGGTTGGAGACGTAGTGTATGCTATGCTCGAAGACGCTTGCAATGAGGCAGAGTTGTCGAACGTCGCAGCATGAAAATTTAGAGGCGGGAACGGAGGTCCAACTACACACGGAGTTTCACGTAGTTCTGCTGTAATTTGTTGACCGGAAAGGGTCGGGGGTCGCGGTGCATTCCTGTCTGAAGACAACAGGTTGTCTACTCCTGCGTTACTGAGGCTAGTGGAGTTTTCTGTTTCTGGTCGTGTAGTGCCAGAATCAGCATTGCCGCTGTTTATAATGATGTTGATTCCGTTTTTTACCGAAGAACGACCAGCATCACCAGCAGCACTAGAAGTTCTAGTTGTTACGCCACCAGTCACGTCCCCCTGTGGGTCTACCTCTTTCAACAGTCCCTTCCGCAGCCTTCTTTCCCGGCCTCGTTTCCCCAGATAGACGCCAGGCTGTACGTTTTTCATGCCCTTGCTCGAAATTTGGTTTTTGAAGACCTTCGGGGTAACCAAGCTGGCCCAAATCGCGTCGCCCAGCTCCACGGCGTCCAGCAGAGCTTGGTTGGCGCCTTGGCCCTTAAAGGGCGACATCGGGTGCGCGGCGTCGCCGATCAGGGTGACGGGAAGGGTGGAGGGAACTTGTTGTAGTCGTTCTACTTCTACCACATCGCCATCACTACTACCACCTGCTCTACCAGTGACAGGAGCGTCACAATTTTGATTTTCCTCCTGCCCGTCGTTCTGTGCGAAGTAGTTCTTGAAAAACCACGGTTTCGACTCGAAAAACGGGTAACTTTCGCCCTTGTCGTACACTGGAGTGTAAGAGATCCGAGCGCTTTCCGTATTCCGCAAAATCTCCGGGATGGGTGCGTGCCAGTTTCCGCATTTTTCCGTGATAATCTCGCGGATTTTTTGTTCCCGGGTGTGTTTATCGTATTTCTTTTGGTCCGGATTTGTAACCGACACCGCTAAGAACAAGTCGTGAATGACTGCCTCGGGCATCTTGATGGACAACTGCCAGAAAATCTCCGACTCCGTGAACGGCATGAGAAACACCCGCGTACCAAACTGGTCCGAGGTCTGAAACGTCGTTTTTCGGTACAGAAAATGGTCTTTGTTCGGGGCCATGCCGAGAACGACCAGGACGCCCAGGTACTGGAGAGGATCGGGATTCTTGAGTTCTTGTTGTTCATTGAGATTTTTCATGTTTCCGGACAAAGCCAAAGGGGTGCTCCTGCTTGGTGATGTTCTTGTTGTGAGATCTTCTTTACTCGCGGTCCTCACGGGTGCAGTAGCTCTTTCATCAGGAGTAGTTGGAGGTCTACTTAACACTCGACAAGACGGCGAAGTTCTGTCCGTCAAGAGTTGCTTCCTCACTCTGGAATAGATCCCGTCGGCACCGACAAGGACGCGGCAACGAACTTCCACTTCTTCCTCGGCATAATCCTCAATTCCTGCATTTCTTCCTCCCGCAGACTGATTCAAGCTGGCAACATCCCGCTGGGAGTGCTGCCTCCCTGTCGCGGCCGGGCGAGAAAAGAAGGCTGTCACGGGATAATCTTCATGTTGTACATGGCTGCTCTCCTCCTGCAGCTCCGAAGTAGCAACCCGCATAGTACGACCAGCATCTGCGACCACCGCGGTGGCGGCGGTTCTGTCTGCACTAAAAATCTCTACTCGATTATCGCACGAAAAAAGTGCTACAGTTACACATTGTGTTGCAGGCCAAGCAAGACAGACAAGCTCTGTCATGCCGGATATGCATACAGGAGCCTCGTTTCATAGGTGTTTTCCCGTAGGATTTCTGCATTACAAGTTTTCTCCCTCATGCAGAGAAATTTGTGTTGGTGAATTCACTACAAGTGTGCAACTGTAACACTTTTTTCGCGGGATATCGATGCTCAAACTTCTGAAAACTCCACCCCCACTGAAAAACGTCCTCGCCCAAGCCACCACAAAGCAGTTCCCGAAGCCGTTGTCGCGGCAGATGCAGGTTGTGTCGTTTTGGTTGCGGCACTGCTGTTGAAACTGCAACTCCTGAAGCTACCGCATCAGCAGTCTTTTCGGAGGACATCGAGCTGGAACTACTGGTAGCGCTGCCTCCTTCCTGTGCTCCGGCCGCCGTCGCGGCCGTCCTCCCTGCCAGAACTACTTCCGCTGTTTTTGACGGCATCCCGACATCCCCGGCCCCGTGGTTCACCCCGAAGCCAAACGCCGATCGCAGCGCGCCACTAGGTTCGAAGACGTAGTGCACTTCATTCGGAGTGTCCTCTTCGTATACTTTCTCCGCCAAGTGTAGCTTCTGCAACGCCTTGGAGCCCTGTTGCATGGTGAGTCCATAGCCCTGCTTCCGGTGGTGGAAAGAAGGGTCTTTTTCGAAAAGCAAGACGGAGACTTTATTTTTGTGCGGCCCCGCTTGTAGTTGTTTCCCTGAAGAACTTGCACTTCCGTTAGTTGTTTCCTCGCGGGCGATAGCATCAGCATCCTGAAGATCCCTTTCGTGTTCGTTCAGCAGCTTGAGGTACCTAGCGAGGCCGCAACCGCCGATGCCCCCGCCCGCGATGCACACGTCCGTGTAAAGAATGCGCCTGTTCTTGTCTTTCACTGTCGTCTCGGTCGAAGTCGTTCTCGCTAGTGTCAAGTAGGTCAGTTCTACCACAACCGCTAGGGTCTTTAAATGCGTTCAGGATTTTAAATATTTTTTTTCATACATGGGATCCGCCCAAAGCGCCGCGCCTCCGACCGGGGTCGCCACGTTGGCCGCACAGCCCGCCGCCATGATCTGAGCCAGGGTCTTGCCGCTTTTCAAATTGAACACCGAGAACGCCGCATTTTTTTCGAAAATGCGACTGCACTCTTAGCCTGGGGCCCCTACCTTGTGGCTCGAACACCTGGACCACCAGCGGCCAGGCCCCGAGACTTCCGGCCGCCGCGGGAGCGGCGGCCGCGCGCCCACGACCGCTCGCGCCGCTCGGAATTCCGGCCTGGCGCCGCCCGCGCCGCTCGGGGCGCTTCCGGCCGCTCGGGCCCTTGCCGGCGCTCCGGGCCGCTGCCGGGAGCGGGACGGGCTCGAGCGGCGCAGCGAGCGGCCCGGGCGGCTGCGCCGCTCGGACCGCCCGGGCCGCTCGCGCCTCTTCGCTGCGTTCGCGGCGCCCCGGTGCGCTCGGTGGAGCGGAAGGCTTCCAGGGGCACGGGCGGCACCGCCCTGCGCCCCGGCGCGGGGGCGGCCGAGCGGCCCGGACGGCTGCGCGACGGCTTCGCGCGCGCGACAGTTTTTTTTTTTTTGCTGCTACACATTAATTTGAAAAAACGAGCGCGATTTTCTTCGATCTCGCTCTCCTGCCATTTTGCGAATCCGAAAAAACGAACCGACGAGCGCGCGCGCCCCACCATCTTTGTCCCCCATGTGAGCCAGACTAGAATAATCTTGCGTCACTGGAATGTGGTTAGCCATGCAAAACCAAATGTAAGTTTTCATTTTGTGAACGCATTTAAAGCGCCGAGCGGTTGTGGTAAACTGACCTACATAACTAGTGGCCCTGGGACTGACTCATCTGTCGTCTTTACGGTGGTGGCACACGGCATAAGTGTTGTGTCCAGTGCTGCACCCGGGCCATCAAACCCAGCAGCAGCTGCGCTTTTGTCGCCTGCTCCGAGCGCCACCTGTTTTAACTTCACGGCGGCGGGAGAGTGGTGCTGCGCCGATGCGGTTTTTGCCATGGTGGTACTAAGATGCTTAGAAGTGTTGACTAAAAATATGCGTCTACAACTCATTCATCATCTCGAATTTGAAGTGGGCACCGAGATCAGATCTGCGACATGTCACGATGATAGAATGCATGAGCCGCATACTCTAGTATGCAAAGCGATGGGATAAGAGGACGCGATTGGCTGCAACGCCGAACAACACGCAGGGGGTCGTGTGGAGGTGGGAGCAACTACGATATCTTCGTTGCGAGTCAGTACTAATATCTGGGCTCTGTACATTGATTCGATTCTAGTATAAGTTCGAATACCGCTTTCTAATTGATGAGAACGAGAAGGGAGCAGAAGCTTAAGCTTTAATCATTGTCATAATCGGTCTACGTGATTGGAAGTGCTGATCCTCATCTGTCTTTTTGGTTGTCTGAACGTCCAACAACTCATCTGTTTGATTCGACTTTCACGGATCCGAACAATTGATCTATTCACCACATCGGCAAGATCTTCGTTTGTATCCGAGAAAACAGTGCGTTTGTTGAGCTCGTTTTGCGTCATCCTCGAGCAGTCGTTGTTTTCGATAGACCGACAACTAGAACTTGGACTCCCTTTATTTTGATCGGTTGACCTTGATTTTCATCGTCCCGCCTTATAAGAACGCTTGTCCATTTTCCTTCGAATCAATTCGCTTATTTGGACTTACTCAAGAACTCTGGGACACAAGACGCTCTCCTCGGACGTGTCGTCACTTGCAATCGGAATCGTCTCCCCGGTGGTCCTCCGGGCTGATAAAACAACTGGTTGTTGAAATACAACTACATGATTTCCAAATGCCGTGAAAAGGTCGAAGAGCTGCAGCTTGTTCTTTCTGCTCTCCTTCTACATGCGAAATATCGTTCTCATCAAAATTCCGGGTCCGCAGCGTTGCAACAATTTTGCGTGCCACTCGAAAACAACGTAATTCATTTTCAGGGGGAGCTTCATCTCCCATGCCCTATACGCTGCTTTCATCAGCGCATCGTAATACTGTGTCGCTGAGTAACTACAAGAAACCTGCGCTCCTGCAGTAGAAAATGCCGTCGCGCTATTAAGCGCATTTCCAGTTGGTCTGCCTGACACTGCTCGCGTAGTTCTGCTGTGCGCGCGGGCAATCTGATCGAGTACCTGATCGATCGCCGGCCCTGTCGCGGAGAGCATGCAGGGAACTAGGAGGTCCAAGTCGGCCTCGGCTGGGCTTCTAGGAACTATATGCGATCCTGCATCATTTTGATGATGTCCCCCCGCTCCACTCGCGGTTTTTTCTCCCTCACTGCCACTTTTAGGCGCCGGTTTCGAAAACACGTACATCAGCGCGTCGTAGACCTTGCCCTGTTCTGTCAAAGACAAGATCACCGGGTCGTCAGCAAGGGCTGGGAAAGGAAATTTGTCGCGCTCGGGAGCAGCAGCAGCAGTAGTTCCGGAGGAAAGTTGGTTCTTATCTCCTTGTTCCTCTATCTCCATGGCGGTGTCGTTGTTTTGTGCAGGGTCTGGCTGCTTCATCTGCGTTGAACCTGCATAATGATTCCTAGGCTGCTGGTCCAGCAGCACACGGTTGGTCCTAGCACGCGGGTCTGATTGGAAAAGACCATGAAGATTCTGCTGTGCGCCGTCGGCAGCGGCGGGCTGCTGATGACGCGAAGATGAAGAAATACTCGAAGAGGAGGGAAACATGATTCGCATATAAAGGTTTTCTTCAGAGTCAGTTTCTTTGGGTAAAGCAAGTAGATCAGTTAGGTCCTAGTTGGTGCAGGTGCTGATCTTGTTGTACATGATGTGGTAAACTTATGTACGCGACCTTGAACTCTGACGCAGTGTCGAGAACAAGCAAATCCTTCTCGTCTAGGATGATCTTCTCTAATGCAATCTTGACATGAGCTCCACACCAACGCAAAATGCAACTACCACAGCTCTCATATTTTTGTTTTTCATATAGCCATACATCTTCTAGGTCAGTTTTCGCTGTGCAAAAGAAAAAACGACTTTTGTTTTCGGAGAGTCAGTCACATCAAGAAGCCTTCTACCTTCGTCAGGATTCGACATTTCTTGATCGCGGATGCGACAAATCACTGTAAAAACTTGACTAAGTACGAAACGTGCTGCGTAACGAGTTTATTCTTCAGCACCAGCGCCTCTTCAACACATGGAACAGCTCCTTTCTTGTCCGCGAAACGGGAAAGAGGAGCGGCTTCCTTCGGGCGTATCTTCTGCCAGCAGCCAGGTACAAACATACAGTAGCTACTTGCCTCGTCGATATGATTGGCGTATAATTTTGCAGCTTTTGCTTTTTTTGATCTTTTTGTTCCTCGAATAGAGGTGGGCCTGTCATTTCACAGCAAGCGTTGCAGTGCAATTGCGTATGGTGCGTTCTTGCAATAACCATAAAATTCACTGTGCTTTGAAAGTTCATTCTGCGTGAGCGTCATGCCCTACTGCTTCCGTTTTGCAAAACAGAAACAGATTCACGAGGAGCAGTAGTAAAAGTGGTAGTAAAAATGCAACTAGAAGTACAACTGCCACCTTCTTAGTAGTCCTAGCACATGATAGAAGCAAAGGAAGTAAGACAAGTGCTGATTTCCCCGCGTACTTCTATTTTCCAGTGCATACAACTAGGTGAGCAGAGTACCAGCACAGAGAGCCGAAGAAAGAAGCTGCCCGATGTTCATTTTGTTATTTCAAAAAAACACACACGGATGAGCGCGTGAGCAACGCGATCGATAAAGATTTCAAAGAATAAAGTAGAAATCCAAAACAACGACTAAACTGCTTGAGTAGCAACTACTACTGCAAAAAAAAAGTTCCACACTGATAGATTTGATAAATAGAACTGCGTGCCACACTGTCAAGAAAGAAGGCAGTCAAGACCGTGCGCCTTCCCGACCGGTATTTCACCAAATAGGACGAGATTCAGCAGAAGAACCGTCCTCCTCCTCTTGTCACGTTTCATCCTTTCGTTGTCAATTTAAACGTAGGTTATCACCGATGCAGCATCAATAGTGTAAGTACCAAACTGCTTCATGCAGCTCATAGGATGGTCAAGTTCTGCGAGTATGTTCATGTTGTTTGTTTGCGAAAAAAACCGTGAAGTAATGCGCTCATCAAGAAGTAGGGATGCATCGAATATATGAATTGACTCTTATTGTAACGCTAACACGCGGCTGGATTTATTATCATCGTCACCTGCCCGCCGGCACCGGCGCCAGTAGTTCCTCATAGGGGAGCCATAATCGAAGGTCGAAGACGACCTGGCGCACGTGAAAGGGAACAAGTTGCACTACAACGTGATCCCGACGGCCGCCCGCCAAAGGAGTTTAGGCCTCAAAATCCTTCTACAGCCCCATGTGCTGGAAAATCGCGTCGTCTGGAGCGTAGAGCCCAGACTCCAAAAGCTCGTCCCGCAGAGTTTCCAGGCGTTTCCGCTCCTGCGAAAGGACCTCGGGCGGCTGCTGGTCTGTCTGCGGCTGCGAAGCAAGCTGTGCGGGTTGTGAAGACGCCCCCGCGGCTGGCGCTCTCGATGGCTGAACGGGAGCAGCCGGAGCTAGTTGCACCTTCATCGCTTGCGCTATTCCACTGATGCACCCAAGTGGGCCGGTGGAGGGCTGTTGTTGGTCTTGCTGCGGCTGGAATAAAGGAGCACCAGCTGATATTGACCCCTGCTGCTGCTGCTGCTGGGTACTATTGTTTGTGAAGTTGCTCGGCCCCAGACCACCACCAGCTCCTGCTCCGCCGGGCGCGACGTGTGGCGACAATCCGGGCGGGAAGGAAATCATCCGCGTGTTACTGGTTTGGCTCGTAGCCGCACTGCTGCTGGTTTGGGGCACCTGCAGTGTATGACGGTGCACGACCCCCCCTCGTTCTCATTTCTCATGCAAAATACCTAATGTACGCATTGCCTCCTGTCACTATTATGCATGACAAGTTCTGGAAGCCGAAACAGCACTACACTCCTGTCCAAATTTGTCATGCAAAACCTGTATTCTTGCTGACCCTTGTATTGCTGCTCATGCAATACAAATGAGGGGGAGGGGGGTTATGCACTCTCATACAGCGTACTGTTGTTGTACATGATCATGGACGGCTCCTGCTGTATCAGTTCCACCGGAATCGGCGGCTGCATCTTCGGCGCTTCCTCAGAACTGTAGTTGTCATGCAGAGACTTCAGCTCGTCCTGGATCTTGCGCAGCGCGTTCCCGATGTTTTCGTCCAGATTCATGCTCTGCTGCTGTGCCGCGGCGTTGCTGAAATTCAAATTCATCTGCGCCCCCGTCGCGGTACTATTGCCGGCGTCAAACATATGCTGCACTCCGCTCGGGTTGTTTATCCGGATGGTAGAATTATTCCCGCCGATCGTGCCGCCCATCGCAGACGCGTTCTGGGAGAGTAGTCGATTCGCGTTGCCGTTCAAGGAGGTTTGACCGAGGGTGGCGCGAAGTTCAGCTGGAAGTACGAGTTTTTTCGAAGTGATCTACTTCGGCTCGTATGGTAATCATGGTGATGGTCATGCTCATAGCAAAGGACGATAGAAAGGCAAACATTAACATTCTTCTCCATCGGATCTACTACAGCTGCAGACCACTTTAGAGCGTCGAGAAGACGCTCCTTCACCTTCTACCCATATCAACTACAGATGAAGATTTCAATTTCTATACTTCCCTTCTGCAGCACTTCCCTTTCCAGCTCCCGTTTCTCTTCCTCCAAACTGGTCACTTGGGAGCACAGCTTCGTCACCGACTGTTTGAAATGGTCCCTACTTGCACGAAGCTGCTCGACCAGCTTCTGGAGCTCCTTGCACTCGTATTGCTTGATCTTCAGGTCCGCCCGCACTTGCTCGATGGGGTTGGAGTAGTCATCCGCAAACTGCTGCTTCCGAAATTGCACGAACTCGGCTTCGATCTGCGTGTACCGCTCCTGCCACTGCTTGCACTCCTGGTCTAGAGAATGACACTTCTGCTCAATTCGACGCGTCTTGTCCCGCTCGAGGAGGAGCTCATCGGACATTTCCTGTGGATGTGGTCACGGCAGCATGATTTGCGTCGATAAATTTTTTCCGTCATGAACAGCAAACCATCAAGACCAAGTTTCGCCGAACACGTACTTGGAGGAGGACACGAAGAAATGCAAATGTATACGCACGTAGACGTACTACTTCTACTTATACGTCGTGGGAAAAGTTTTACTTTAATCGTACAGATTGTATTTCATTTTACCTGTTTCAGTAGCCTGACTTTCGCTTCGGTTTCCGTTTCCAGAATCGCCTTCATGCGACTTGCTTCCTCTGCCCTCCGCCCCGCTTCCACATCTTTCAGCTCTACCTCGTTTTCTCGCGCCTGCAGCATCTGCAGTTTTTTTTTCAGCGTTTGCTCCAGCTGCAGAATCTCGTTTTTCTTGTTGTTAAACTCGATGCTCCGCCGCTGCTCCTTGTCTTCGAACTCTTGTTGCAAGCGCAGCCGGTTTATCCGCTCGTCCTCCTGCAGCTTCACCTTAAACTGCGCCTCTTCCGCCCGTTTCCAGAGTTCCAGCTCGTACGCGGCGGAATACTGCGGCAAGGAGCGCAGTTTCGCCGATTGCTCGGCAGTGGAAGATTTTCCATTCGCAACCCCAGAAGAAGCGGAAAAGTCCGCCATTTCCATGTCGGTTGGCGTCTCCATCGCGTCGAAAAATTCGCCGTTAGAAGTCCCGCTCACCACCTCCCCGAGATCTTCGAGAAACACGACCACCCGCAACGTCCCCTGGGTGCTCCCGTCCATGGAAGTATGCTCTGCAAAAGTATCGCACTCGTAGTAATTACAGATATGCATGACAAATCTTAATCTTCTTCCTAAGGCAAAACACCTTTACAAATCCCACTTTTCTTCTTGCCAAAACTTCTTGTAATGTAATTTATACTAGTAAGTACGTTACTTTTGCAATGCATAGGAAGAGACGATGGGCAACGTTTGATCGAGCGTTCGCACTTTTGGCATGACGTTCTGCCCGTTCTGGTTGAAGGTCTCCGTCGCTTGCTTCGTCACTTCCGGCAGGTTCAGAATCTGCTCCACGTCCATGGTGCACTGGCCCAACTGCTGGTCGGACGTGTGCGTGTCGCGCTGCCACACCTCACACCGCAGGGTCTTGTGCAACGGGTTCAGCAGTTGCTCCTTCAGCTTCGCGACCGAAGTGTCCGTGAAGTGGTACGCGGCGAAGCCGTGCGGGAGGTACCTGCGGGGAAACGATCACGAAACGGGTTTAGTTCCTCGTTGCTCCAAAAATTTTGCATGTTGACTGCCACCAGGGCCAAAATGCTATTGGTATTGCCGTCGTTCTTGTTGCATGAGGAAATAAATTTGTCATGCACCTACTACGGATGAACGCATATCGAAATCGAAGACAACACATCCATCAACATTCCTATACGTGACAGAGTTTTTCCTGCAGATTGTCGGGGGGTTGGTCCGAAACGGCTTCACCTGCTGCACGAAGGGGTAAAAATACTTGACAAACACCTTGGCTTGAAAGTGCGTCAGCTTCAGCGCCCGCAACTCGATGGACAGCCGCCACTGGCGGGGTCTTTTCTCCCAGGTCTGGAAGACCTGGTCAACGAAGTTGACCGCCTTGCCCCCGTTGTTCATGTCGATTCCCGCGTTCGGCCCGAGTGCGCTGGAGGTTTGACTGATCACGGACCCCGGCGAGCTGGCGTTAGGCAGAAAGCTCGGCACGTGCTTTTGGTCCGGGTCTGTCCACGACGCCCGCCCGCAGTTATCCTACGTAAAAACGTCCCACCCGCATAAGTTGTAATGCAAATGTCTGGATGCTGAAAATGTTTCTTATGCGGATCCCCATGAGAAGCACTTCCTCGTCGTGTTTCGGAATTTGTCATGCTTTAATCAGCACAATCAGCTACATCTGTGATGCTGATAGACTAACCTAACCAGGATTATGCTACGTGTCCAAACTTGTGATGCGCAACAGCCAAAGCTTGCTGATTTGTCTAGCAGGTTTCCCATCTTGAGGACTATGGGGTGAGGACGTTTTTACTCAGGATAGAAATTCGGATTGTATTTCTGCTGCTCTGAGGCGGAGGAATCGTCGTTGGGATCATTGTATCCTGTGCAAAAGTATCGCACTCGTATTGCAATCATGTGAACCAGTATTCCTAAGACCCCCCATATTATATTTGTATGTCGGGACACGAAGGGGCCTGCCCCTTCTTGTCCTAGAAGAAACCTTGCCTCTAAATCGCTTTCTCATACAAATTTTTCGTGTTTTATGGTCCGCAGTTTTCCCGGCGGACCCTTGCGAAACTGGTTCTACCGTCCCGTACGGGGCCCCCAGGACTTCCCGGGCCCCCCGTGCGGGAAGGGACCTACAATGCCCCTGCGCCGTCGTTTTTTATGGTTCCGCGCTAGCCCCGCGGCGTTCCGCTTAGCCGCGGCCCCGCTACGCCGCACTACGACTACGCACAGTCCGCAGTCGCTCGGTCATCACATCTGTATTCCCGCGGACTGCTAGCAAAAATACAGACGCCATTGAGAGCAAATGTCCATGTGAGCAGTGGCCAAATAGCACTGCCGCTCCCTCGGTCATTGTGTGAGTGTTTTCCCTCGCCCTGCATGCAGGGTTGCACTTCCTCAGACGCGGCCTCTCGGTCGTTGTTGTATGCGTGCCGCGTATTATTTGCCCTTGCCCTCGAACGCGCGCGCGCGCGCGCTAGCTCCAGTCAACCTTTGTGCGAAGCAAGACGTCCCGCAGCCAGGTCCCCTGTGCTGCGCGCGCGCGCACTCCTGCTTGTGGTAACCGCAAAGCCGCAGCGCGCCGTTTCTGCACGAGTTTTTCTCATGCCACAATGAACATTCAATCACACCAGCCACACCACTCTCGCTCCACATACAAAAAAGCTGTATGCTTCGCGCAGCACAGACAAATACTGGGCGTTGTCAGACAAAACTTTTCTGTTTATAGGTTTTTTTGTCTGTTTTCTGGGCTTTTTTCTGTTCTAGGTACCCTTCGCGTCCCGGGTACCCTTCGTGTGCTGCTTCACATGCATTACAAATCCTCTTGTTAAGGTAAATCCGCACTACAAATCTTATTTCTCATGCTGAGGAAATTTGTAATGCATTTATACGAGTGCGACTCTTTTGCAGTTCATACATTGTCGAGCCCCATCGGCGTCGGGATTTTGTGGCTGCGGCTCGGATTATTTCTGTTCAACGCGGATGTTGACGACGTTGCTCACCCTATCCAGGAAAAATTTCGCGTAAGTGTAACTTGGTAGGAGAAGCAGCAAAGCATCACAAATTCGTTTTGCATTTTTACAGGGGAAACCTGTCATGCGCAGCTATTACGTGGAAACGCGTATGAGAGTAGCCTATCACGCACATCCAGCATGACAAGTGTAACAGTTATTTTGCATTTCCTGCATCACAGACTTCGTTACACTCACATTAGTTTTTCTCCTGCATACCCCCGCCAACATTATTATTGTTCGCCTGGAAACTGTTCGCCACTCGCGCGCTGTCGCCGGCAGAGTCAGTGCCCGAGGAGGAGTTGTACAACGCATTGTTGTAGGTTTCATTTTCGTCGGTCGAATTGTCCTTTGCGGAGTGGTACTGCGAATTTGCGCCGCTGTTGCTGGGCTCCTGAAAGGAAACCGAGTGCTGTTGGCGGCTCATTTTGGGCGACCATCGGGGGGAAACTTCCTCCATCATTTCTACGGCGGGGGTTGTTCCGGGAATCATTGGTCCAGAGGTACTCCCTTCTGTGCTATTGTAATCGTTGATTTCCTGCGCGATTGGGCCCAACGGGCGCTCCACAGACATTCGCTGTTCGAACGGTAGTCGGTTGCCGTTATTTCTATGGATTGTAAAAATGTCTGGGTCTGGAAGATTGCCAGATTTGTCATGCAGGTTTTCCATAACCCATGAGGTCTGGTATGTAGGGCATAGCATGACAGATTCTGCGAGACCTTTCCAATGCCTATCCTGCATGAGAAACTGCCTCTCCATTAGTCAAACATGCACAACTTTTGGCAATCATGCAACACAGTTTTTTGCCTGATTCAGATTTAGCATGACAAGTTCGAACCTTCCAGACCCAGACATTTTTACATTTGATAATTTCCTCTGGAAGACGTCGACGAACTACTTGGGAAGGAACGCTTCTCCAAATTAGCCTCAAACGTGAGAACGTTGCTGTTATCATCGTCCACAGATGATCCTCCCGGCGTGTTGGCGGGCAGTGCGAGCGCGGGAACGGTCAGCGTGATCGGGATCTGCATGGTTTTGTCGAGTAAATCTGAAACTCCGTCATCAATCTGCATCGCGTCCTCGACGTGCTTTATCAGCGGTCTCACGTCGATGGGGTAGGAGCAGGTGCGAGACCCGATCTCGAACTGTCGCTGCGAAGCCACGGAGGGCGAAACATCGTCGGGAGACACGAAGTAGCTGGTGTTGGGAGAGCAACAAGTAGTTTTCCGTGCTTTTCTTGTAGTGTAGTGCTATGTATCCTCTACGCATGCCAACATAATTTTGAAAAATGTTATTCTTCGTCCAGTTCAAATCATGTGTCAAAAGTGGTAAAGAGAAGACTGCACGTTAGCTGCAGCACTACTGATTTATCAGCAAAAAAAACTGTAAGCAATATCCGATGTAGTTGACTTTCAGTACCCTTCCCCGGTCCGCTTGACCCTCCCCGCACTGCCGCTGTCCCCGCCGGCATTTTCGCAAATCGACTCCTCTTCCTCTTCTTCGCGGACCGGTGGTAATCTCCCTTCTTCCACGAAATTTCGATTTACCAGCACCACGCACTGCTCCTCCACCTCCTTCAACGACTCCAGCGCCTCCTCCCAGCTGGCCACCAAAACCAGTGTGAAGATGGCTTGCCTTATCAAAGTGAAAAAAGCCCCCACCCCATATCGGAAACGGAAGATGCGCGAATTTGTGATGCTGTATTTGAGTACACAAATGGACTTGTATTGCTAGAAGGCCAAGACCAAGAGACGAAGCTGCGGCCTAAATTGTAGGTAATCTGTCATGCTGTTTCCCACTTCCAGCTGCCTCCTGTCATCCTCGAGCTGCAAGGCTTTCCCACGCTAGACAGCACTACAGTCCGCATCTTTTGCCTTCTAGCATCATAAAGCTGATTTGTGACCACAAATCTGCATCACAGATTTATTCCGTTTTGATATGGGGAGGGGGCATTTTTCATTGTAATATGCCTCGCGTTTTGGACAATCCCGCGGACACGCAACGCGAGCAATTGGTCCTCGGTTTGGAGGTTGGTCGTGTTGTCCTGCTGCAGTTGGTCTCCTGCTCCTCCAGCTGCTCCGGGGGACGGAGTGGTCGCTGCTCGCATATCAAATGCAAAAATGTTTGGGTCTGGAAGAGTCATGCCGTTTTTGCATGACGCAGAAGGTCTCGCATGGAAGCGCTAGCATCACAGGTTTCGAGACGCTTCCGCAATGCCGAATCCGCATGACAGATCCCCCATTTTGGTGACAGAAAGTGGGCAGCTGTTGCCCACTATGCATGAGAGATATTTCTGCGTTCTGAAATGCGCATCACAAATTTGTATTCTTCCAGACCCAGACATATTTGCAATCGATATCGCACGGACGGGAGCAACAGCTGTCGCACGTTCTCGGGCGTGTTCACGATGCGGAGCTTCAGCAGAAAAACCGCAGGCGGGGGGCGGACCTGATTTTCTATAAGGATCATTTTTGGGTATTCGTTCTTCTCGTTCTTTCATCCGGAATAGAAAATCGAAACGCAAATTTCAACTTACGTACGTATGTATGCTAACACGACAGCGCATCCTATCTTTTTTTTTTTCGTTTCCCGGAGTGGCAGGGGGACGAATGTGTTTGTGTTGGTGTAGTTACGGTTGCCTGCTCGTGCTATTGGTGTTTTTGCTATAACAAGGCTAAGCTTTTCTGCAACAAGATTGATATACACAACCTGCATGTTGACAACCAACAAAAACCTCGTCCTGTGCTGTCAAGAAATATACCCTCTCCCCGTTCCTGTGCAGCATGGGCAGATTTAGCAGCCCTTCGCTTGTGAGCATCGCATTCCCCACCCCGCTCATCGAGGGGAGCAGTTGCATCTGCAAATGCACCACCAGCCCGCTGTTATCGTCTAGGCAGACCGCATTTTCGTAGAAACCGTTTTTCGAGATCTGCGCGTCCTGCGAGGGATCCAGCAGTTCGCGCATTGACAGCGTCAGCAGTGTCGTCGTCGATTCTAGCGTGTCCGGCGACATCCCGGTAGCGGACGTTTGGTTGACGGGGGGCAAAATCTGCTTGAGAAACAGCTCCTGCACGGACCACAGGTGGTCGCAGACCTCGGGAAGCGTGCCCGGGATGCACATCAGGTAGCTGGTATTGGTGGAGGTTGATGGTTGTGTCGTGCTCGAACTGCTGGAGCTGCTGGTTGTAGTACTTGTGGAGGAACTTTGCTTGTCCAGCTGCAACAGAAATTTCCGGACCTGCCAATTCAGGGTTAGCACTGAAAGGTCGGAAACCACCTCCAGGCCCTCCAGCCGAAGCCGGAGAAGCACGGAAGACATTTTGACTTTTTCTGCTTTTTACTCTGCGCTAGTATTCGGGCGTATTGCACTGGATATATTAGGCACCATCGTCAGGAGGGGTTTCAAATTTCGGAGCCACGAAACATTTTCTAGTAACGGCGGTATCTTCTAAACCTTAATAAAACTGTTATGGAGCACTGCAGATAGTGACCACAGCACTGGGACGAAGGAGAAGTAGCAGCCAAATAGATGCCAAACCAAGTAGCGAGGAAGTAGTAGGAGATGAAGCTCCTAGAGATCTGCTCGGGAGAAACGCAACTTTGTCCTGCCACTTTTTGTATCCACCACTTTGAAGCGCAAAAGCAGGAGTCCTTCTCTCAAACTCACGCCTCGGGTAACGGATTTTTTCGCAAAAAAACGAAAGGAAAACCTTACTTGGTAAAATAAAAGACGACAGCAGGGCACGAGAGGTCGGTTTGAAAACAAGTTGCAAAAAAACACGTCCCAAGACGACCTGGCCTTCATCTTCAAAAAGCATTCCTTTTCACTCGGAAAACAGGTCACGCTAGCAGTTCTGACACGCTGATTGCGACAGTCAACGCACTAGTGCATACGGGAAACATCACGAGCAGAACAGCAGGCGGTAAAGTCCCTACCGATTCAGTTCACCAGAAACGACAGACAATTTTTTGTTCCTTTCATCTTTATGTGAGGTTTTTGCTTGTGAGGATGCTGCACTAGCGGTTTCGAATCAACGTTCTATTCTTGCACAGGGAGAATGTCAATATTTTTCTCGTGCGGAGGGTTTGTCCTCAAGAAATCAATGCAATGAATTCGACCGTTTGGAAATCGTACAGAAGTTTGCCGAATCCAGTCAAAGAACAGTTTTATCTATGCGCCTTTCGTAAACATGCAGCCTTTTTGTACACATAATCTGTTATTTAGCTCGAATGTCTATCATACATGCCTGCTTGTGATCCGCAGTGCTAATTTAAATCAATTTCAATGCCAGGAGCTGCTACAACAGTAAATGCTCTCATACATTAAGTTAACGCTTCCGTTTCATCCAAAAATTACCAAAACAACTTTCTTTGCTATTGCTTTCAAGCTAAAATACTACATAGATGTACAGCTTCATCGCGTTTTCTTCCTATGTATAGAGCACTATAGTAAAACACATACTCTTACGTAGTTTTCGGCTACAAAGATATGATTTTCACCTCCGTCGCAACATCATTCCCACCTCGACTACGTGCTCCTGCAGATTCCGTGTGGTTCTTGCTTCTTGGCAAGCGGAGATGTTGTCCCTGACTTGTAGCAGGTCCAGAATGTTGTTGAGGAGCCGGAGTAGACCGGGTAGTAGTAGAGGAAGATCCCATGGAAACTGCACCAGTGGAGGATGTTGATCCATGCAGCGCAAGGGTTGCAGGACCTCCCGCCGCTGAGGTATAAACAGCTCGGGTTGATGCACCTCCACGCACGACGTCAGAGTCAGCTTCGTTGGCATAGAAGCCACTATGCTCCTCCATACTAGGTGCTTCAACCCGTAAAACTTCTTCATCGTCTGAAGACGGACTGCTCAGCGTACGTCGACGACCACATGTCAGCAACTGTCGAGCTCCGCCTGCAGAACGAAGAACTTCAACGTCTCTGTAAAATATGTGTCGAGGAGCCGAGCAAGCGCGGACGGGCGCGGGTCCAGACCCTTCGTGGAGCAGCGACGCACTGATTTCCGATCCGGTAGGGGAAAAGACCGCTGGCCCGCGGCCGATGATATCGTCCTCACGATCCCCCCTTTCGTTGATCTCGTCCTCGCTGGAAGATGAACAGGAGAACAAGAACTCGGCGCGCCTTTCACCCCCACGACCATGGTCCAGCGGAAAAACTTCTCCCTCGCTGTCGCTACTTGTGCAACTTCTCAAATCCCTTACGAATTTCTCAAGCGGAAACTCTTTCGGCAGCTTTTCCGCCAGTTGCAAGGCGAGCGGGACATTTCGGAGGCGTTTGCTTCTCGCGAGCATCTTCCTTGCAGCTCTTTTTCGGTTCTCCGCCGAGGATGGAGGTAGTGGTGGTGGTCTCCGTGAAGTGCAAGAGGGGGTAGCACGAGGTGGACCAGGATTCCATTTATCTTGCAGGAGGTGCTCCTGTTGCTGTTCTTCTTCCTCGTCACTGCATGTTGAAGACTGCTCGTCACTACCATCTTCATCCGCTGCCGCGAGCCACATGCTCAGTTTCGTGAGCAAATCCGTACTGAACGTGATTTTCTCCCACACGTCGTGCAGCATGGCTTGCGGGTCTCGACGAGCAGTTGTACTCCATTGACACGTCGGATCATGATTTCGTCGCACAGGGGAGGACGACGCAGTCATGAATCCTGCTGGGAGCTGCTCGGCAACCTGCTGCTCAGGTGCTGCTGCTGCAGGAGCAAGCAGTGGATCTTCCTTTGTAGTAATTCCCGATGGATTTATTATTTTTCCCTGTTCACTACGCTTCAACGGTGGTCCCACCGAGGGAGGAGGCGGCGGCTGCTGCAATACCACCAAGTTCTCCACCATATGTTGCAGAAACCGTGGCTGAGCTGACGTCAACGACGACGTTAAAAGTTCGAAGCACAGTTTGTACCGGTCGAAAAAAACCTCCACCGCGTCTTTGGTGGCGTTTTCTTGCATCTCCTGGTGGACCGCCTCATCATCGTCGTCGTCGCGTTGTTCGCGGCGGTCGTTTTGATTTTCATGTTGTGGCTCAACATCTTTGGAATCGCCATCACTCGTGGTCACCACTGTAACAACAATGTCGAGGATTTTTCGGTCGAGAAGAAACTGCATCCGGTAGTCCACGCTCGTTTGAAGCAGGTTTAGGGATTTCTCAACTTCCGGATTAGCCGCTTCTCCAAACATAGCGCGCTTTAGCTTAAGTGCGGTGGAAAACTTGTCCTGCGAGGAATTTCGCAGAGTGAGACCATCATGATTCTGTATCAGTGCTGTTGTCTCCTCCGATGAAAAAGTTGGTAGGTGAAAGTCGAGACGCGCCGATGTACTTGCTCCAGAGACGGCGACTTCAAACCTAGGGTTTTTCCTGCCCGTCCTCCTCCTCGACTTTCGCCCAGCACCACCAGAACAACTCGAATTCTGCCCCATCTTTCGGGAGAAGAACGCGTCAAAAGCTTTGCGCGCCAAAGTCTTCTTCTCGGGCTTCTCCTGGTCCTGCATTTCGTGAGTTGGAATTTCAGCATCGGATTGTTCTGCGACAAAATCATCACCAACCGCTAAAACCTCGCTCCACAAGTGCTCTTTGGCGATCGCAAACAGGTCCCCGACTCTCTTCGCGGTTCGGACGCTTGTCACTTGCGGATAGCGAAAAGCCAGGCCGTACTTGTCTAGCGATTTACTTTTCTGGAAAGGACGGTGGCCTCTGATGTGAAGGTCGTCGCTACCACTACATCGCGCGCTATCCTCCTCGGAGAATTGAAAGCCCGCGGCCTTCCAGATCTCCGCTCTTTGCACTTCCGGACTGCGGAGCCGTTCCTCAGCTACCATGATGTCCTCTACTGCCGCCCACCCGGCCCGTTTCCCTCCGAATGCCAACGCGCGGCCCAAGTGGTCTGATGTCTCGGAGATTTTCTGTTTTGATAAAGATGCACTCTTGCCGTCGCTCTCCTTTTCATCAGCGCCGGGACTTTCTTCTTCTACCAGCACGCTGTGCCACAGGAGGCTTTGGGCTGCGGCCCGATCTTTTGCGTGCTCATGTTGTGGTCCACGACCTCTGGCGCTCCCGGACTTCTTCGTCTTATTTATAGCTTGGGCCACCAAAACAGCCCGCTTCTTTGTCGTCGGGTCAATGGGCGGACGGTGGGTTTTCGGGGGCAGCTTTGTCCGCGCGGCCTTGCGCTGTCTGAGAACCAGGTCTCCCAGATTTACTTTCTTGCCAGAAGAGGTGGACGTCGAGGATGAACCTGCACTACTCCTACTTGATGAGGGTCGGTCGACGAATCGCAGTCTTCGCAAAGGGTCGACAGGAGAATTATCTACTTCGCTGGGGCACTCGGAAGTCCCGCCAGAAGAACGGCCTTCAGGACTGCTCGAGCTGCTATGTATCGTCCTCTTGCAGCTCCGCCGTGCGACCGTGCAGAAGACCGTCGACGTCAAGCTTTCGCGTTGGCGTTGTCTTCGGGGAGTAACTATGTGACCCGTCGACTACCTCTCTCCCCGGCGACATCATTGCTGCGACGAAATCGTCGCGGGTGATAGTGTCGGCGGCGTACGTTCCATGATGATGCGGGCCGACCTTGTTGCTAGCTGCTGGACCACCACGACTCGTTGCGAGATGTTGTTGGTGCAGTTGTGGCCCAGTAGCAGAAGTGCTGTCATGATCTGGCGTCCTGGCCCCGAAGGCAAATAAACCGTAACCGCTATGGTGGTCGGGAGTGGAATTTTTTCTATGGAGAGAACAACAACAAAAATCGTTGTCCATGATCTGCGACAGGAATAAGGTCAGCGCTGCGGCTGCCCATCGCAGACGACTCGTCTTCTGCGCAGCCTTGGTTGCGGCTCGGCAGGACAACTGCATCATCTTCATCTCGATGAAATCTACTTGACTGCTTGGAGCAAGAGCAACAGCAACAGAACTAGTACCGGGAGTAGACATTTCTTCTATAATTCGGTTGAAGAGCAATCTTTTGTCTAAAACACAATGTATGATGCGGAAGTAGAACTACAAGTGGGTGGCGAAAAAGAATATAATCGAAACACAAAATAACTTTTTTCTTTCGAACTAGTGCGATGAGTGTACAACTACAAGATGAAGTCGCGTTTGCTGGTGCTAATACCTAGTCGAGATAGAAGTACAACTCAGATGTCTCACTACTTGGTTTCAGTTAGTGCGATGATGTTCTATCAACTACATACACAGGAATTTCGGGAACCCGCTGAATTTGACGAAATTTCTTGCCTACGTTAAAGGCCCGGCGGTTCTTGTTAGTTTAGTTTATTGTGATCGTGATGCTAAATCTAGAAAGGTGGTAGGTGGTAATAAATAGCTCGGACGTGGCTGATTGCTAGCTTAGCAAATAAGGAATAAAATACCAGAGTTGATGTGCCTTTTTGAATGGTCACTGTTGACGTTGAGTTCTTTTTGAAGATCTCATACAACGTTTTCAAACTTCGCAATGCCACAATGCTTGACGTCATTTTTCGAGAACGTCATTTGTACGTTCCCCCTTAAAATGAGGATCTCGATCGCATTTTTTTTCTCTTCGTCATAAGGAACTACAGCGAAGAAGATTTAAACCGAAATGGAACGAAAGGGATCAAAAGAACATTGCAGCCATTTTGCCTGATCTTCGCGTATTTTTTACATTCGAGATCAACATCAAGACGTCGTCTTGCATCTGGCATTCCTGGATCTTCTGCAAGTAGAACTTCAGGCACTTAGTGTTATCGATCCTACAAGATTCGAACTCCACACCTGATTAAGACTGTTTTGAACACATTCCAGAGCATGATGAACCACCTCCACAAGGCAGCTTTTCTCTGCAGTGCGCGAAGCTCGTCATTCATTTCGCGCTCGTCCAGCTGTAGAAAATTAAGTACTCCGAGTACTGACGAAATTTTATTGCATCTAAAAGCGCGGAAAATAGTTCAAGAGAGCTCCTGCTGCCGCACAAGAAGCTGTAGCTGGCCGGTTTGCAGGAGCTTGATGGTGTCCAATTTTTTACATCAAGTTCATCCTCGACTTTATCTTACAATAGAAACCCTGATAGATAAAACACGCAATATCAACTCGTCACCTGGACTCGCAAATCGCAACCAGCAGAAGATAAAACAAATCTGCCGTGCGACTTTTGCGGAGAGCCAAATGCGGCTTAATTTCTTCGTAGTAATTATTTTTATTTATTGGTGTAAAATAAAGTACCAACAGTTCTGGGCAGAAACGAAAGAACCATTGCCATAAGGAGAATGATGGCGGGAGGTCGGGAGGATTTTTTAGAAATGCAAGTTCAAGAACAACTACAGTTTACTGTTTTTCTTCGAAACGCTGCTATAGCTAGCTATTCTAGACGACTAGTTATTAATCATTGGAAAGGTAACATTTAGGAGGTGGTGGGTACATGCAAATTATGCACAGGCAGTGCTACATCATCGAAGAACATTTTCATAGCGCAATATTACAACAAACTTGTTTTTCCTTTTCCGTCATGATCTTCTCCTCTTCTACCTAATACCCCATCTGGCGCAGCAGCACTTCCGTTATTAAGAGGAAACATCCCCCCTCCCCATATCGAAAAGGTATGTCTCCGGAAATTTGTGTTGCTGATTTGCGACCTCAAATCACGTCTGTCCTGCAAGAAGGCATCTCCACAAGCTCCGCAGCATTGTGCAGGCGATTTGTGATGCTGATGGGCCTACAGCACGGACGTTTCTCATGCTAGACGCCTAGGCCAGAGCCTCTCTACTTAGGCTTAGTATGGGGCTGCATTCCTCTCCAGCAAGACAAATCTTATTTGTGTACGCAAATCCTGCATCAGAAACTTCGTTTTGATATCGGGAGGGGGGATTTTTCCTTTTGTTATCCGTGTAGGTCGACCCTCCCGCGCAAGCCGCCGCCGTACTACTCACTTTCTCCTTGGTGCCATCGCGTAAAAACCGCTGCGAATCGAAGAAGAGCTCCGGCTTCTTCTGATACCGCCAGTACGAGTCTCGGACCTTGGTCACGGCGGGCTGTGTTGAAGAATTATTGTGAAGATTTTCTCTTCTTGCTTCTCTGGTCAACATGTTGTGCAAGAAAAAACCCTTTTACATGAAAAACCGACGTGCAGCACTGGAGTATCTTTCTATGAATATGCACGACACTACATCTACTTTATTGACATCTTCAATTCAACATCAACCAATACCTTCTGACTGGGCTTGTTGCAATTTGACTGCTTGTGAAACTGAGAGCACTGGTTCAAATTCCCGACACGATCACACTGCCTGGGGATCGAAGTGATCCCGACTCCTGAGGCTGGGGGCATTTTTTCGGAAGTAGAATTCTTGTTTTACTTTTACTAGAGAAATACTTCGATGCTAGTATTGGTTTCTCTTGTTGTAGAAGTTGTTCTTTCTCTGCGTACTAGATGAGAAACAACTCGGCTCTTCTTCTCCCTGATGGCTGCGCATGCAGTAAAAACAACACGTTACAGGTTTAGCTTTGATATGCAACAATTTCTCAAAAATGGGGCCTGTCATGTTTTGTGGTTGTGCGGAACAAGATTCATTCTATTCAAGTCTTCTCATGCGGAGGCTGCGCAGGAAAACTCCCTCTGTTTATTCATCGAGAACGAAATCCGCTCAACACCATGAGTCGTCGGACGAGAATTCCTTTCCTGCGAAAACAAACAGGACAAAAACTTTTTTGTTTCTGGAGGACGAACGAAAAAATCTACGTACTTATGATCCTCGCTCGGTTTTTTACTCGACTTTCGTTGACTTCAAGCAAATGAGTGTAGTACTTGCGCTGGGTGGTCTGGAAGGTGTACGATGACAAATCAACTCTCAGGACGCCGTACGACTACGAAAGAAATTCGTGAAATTCACTGTTCGAAAGGGCGCTGTGAGTATGTCGCACCGCTGCGCCATTCCTCCGTTCATGTTGCGTGCAAGCAATCACGGGTACACACGACATCGATCGAGGAACAGCCGTGCGATGCACTCGCGGCGCGCAATACTCGCACCAAAAAAAAGGAACAGAGACGCGCAGTAAATTAATGAAAAATCGCAGCAGCCAGTCTGCACGAACGGGAACGACAGAAACGGAAATAACCGTGTGGAAACTTACAGACCTCCTATGTGAGCACCACCTTGGAGTCCTCATCTTTCCTAGTCCTCTGCTAAAATCACCTAATCCGAATACGAAAAATACAGCACATCTCCGTCATGTAAACTCACCGGCGGCTTTCCACTGCTTCGCCCGAGTGCGTTCTGCTCTTCAACCCTTGTTCTCGAAAGCCCTAAAAATTCCTGCACGGACAACGAAGATCCAGCCTCAGTAATATCACCAGTGTCGTAACACCCGCCCGCAAAAATGCCACTGAAATCCGTCACCTTCCCCACGTTCCAATCGTGGAGGGGCTGCCGGAACTACTCCATCGGGTCTGGATACCGCTTATCCGTCCGGTTTACCAAGTCCGCAAACCCGCGCCATCCCTGCAGCTTGGACTCCCTATGCACTACAGTGTTCTGCTCTACGTCTTCGTCGTAAAGCCTCCTGTACTCGATCGGCTCCTTGCCCCACATGTCCTGCGTCCGCGCCCGGCGGTCGAAGAGCTCCGACAAGGTCGGGGCCTCCCGCGTCGTCCCAATTTTTTTCGCGGCCCCCAGTATCGTCGCGCCCGCGCGCTTCGGGTCGGCGGTTACCGTCATGAGTCACTGCTACAATGCCCTGTCTTAACAAAAGAACCTAGCTGTTTTTATTTTTAGTGCTGTTCGCTAAAATCAAAAATCTGTGTTGCATGATTACCAAAAGTCGTCCAGTTTTGACCAAGTCGCGAGGGAGTTTCTGACGCAGGATAGGCATGAGAGAGATCGCACAGAATCTGTCATGCTAGGTCCTGCATTCCAGACCTCATGGGTCATGGAAAAGCTGCATGACAAGTCGCGCATTCTTCCAGACCCAGACATTTTTGCATTGGATAGCGATCAGTGCGTCCGCCGGCCACTCCGTGTACCAGTCGATCACGCAGCAGTTCACCAAGCTGGGAAACTGGCGCAGCCGCGCCCGCCAGGAGTCCCCGATGGGCGAGAAGCAAAGCACGACCTTCATCAGGGTGCGGACCCGCGAGATGAAGTAGGCGTACAGCTCCGCCGGCGCGCCGGACAGGCATTTTCCCTCCTGTTTCGCGGCGGGGCGGACCAGCTCGCACAGGTTCATGCGCTCGTCGGCCGCGAACAGGTTGGGCACCTCGCCGGAGTTCAGCAGGTTGTTGATATCCTCCACGAAACCCTCGTCTTTGATCTGCGAGTCCGTGAACAGGAACACCGTGGAATCGCCCTTTCCGCCAGCGTTCGTCAGGAGTTTTTTGATGTCCTCCCGGAACGCAATGATGTCGTAGCCCTTTGCGATCTCGATCTGGAAGATGGTGTAATCCGCCAGGAAGGACGCCAACTTCGTGCACGACTGGCGCCCGGAACCCCCCACACCCACCAGAAGCGCGTTGCCACCGGGTGTCCGAACCACCCGCGCAACCCGCGACAAGTGCTCCAGCATGTACAAGAAGCATACCTGGACAAGTATCAAGTTTTCACAGTACGTCCTGTCCAGTTGTTTGCAAAGTCATACGACCTCCATGTCCTCGATCCTATGCAATACAAATTTTTGCCTATTCCAGAAATCACATGACAAGTTCCAACTCTTCCAGACCCAGACATTTTTGCATTTGATGCCATGATCTGCTGCGCAATCACGGAGAGAGCCTCGACGTCGATTATCAAAAGGAAAAATCTCCCCTCCCCATATTGACAAGGCACGTTTTCGAAAATTTGCGCTGCTGATTTGTGACCACAAATCGTCTCTGTGTTGCATGAAGGCAACCCCACAGGCTCCGCCGCATTCTAGAGCCGGTGTCCCATGCTGTTGTTCCTACAGTGTAGACTTCTGTCACGCTAAGCGCCTAGGCCAAAACCTGTCTACTCAGGCTGTTTTCATTTTTAGTGCTGTTCGCTAAAATCAAAATCTTGAAGCGGTGCCGTCTACTTTACCAACAAACCAAGATGAGTGAGAACAGCGGAGACGGGCTCGACTTTAGAAGTACCTCGCTTGTGGATCATTGTGTATAGTACCGTTCGTCATTATCATTAGCAACTTTCTCCTCAACGTAGGTACTACCCCCGTTGTAGTCGCAGAGCCAGAGGTCGTACGTTCTTGTACAAGGAAATTATCATCCCAATGCTCCGTGATCTCGTCCTCCCCACCCATATTTATACAGCGCAAGTAAAAGCGGAAGAATACGAGTAGTCGACTGAAAAATACGCTAACTTACTTCCCCCACATCTGCAATCGTCGATGAAACAGAATGAAATCGATCTACCCAGTGCGAAATACATTAATGAAGCACGACGGACGATCCGAGGAATCTGCAGCTTTGTGGACGTCGATGTCCCCAACGAAACTACTGTGTCTGAGTCTGCTGAACATGGGCTATCACATCCACAATAAACTCGTCGTGGGTCTAAAAGTTAGTAGTAAGCCGAGCGCATACAGGTACAACGACACCGAGAGCAGTAGACCACAAGAAAGAGAAAAACGATCAGGAAGGGGCCACTGCCCAGTGATTTGACAGCAACAGCGCATGCTCCAGTAACTATAGAACTCAGCCAGGGGGCAATCTTGATAGATGATGATGTTGCCGCTGAGCGCTTCCGAAGATTCGTAGTTTCCATCTCAACATCATACACACATCATCATCATCGTGTTAGTGCTTGTCCTGTGAAAGTTTCTGTCGTTCTGTTCATTCTCTTCCATTTTTTCTTGGACGTGCACAAGAGCCTGGTGCTTTCGAAATTTCGGTGTCACTCTACAGCCCAGGTTTGATCCTGGATGCGATAGAAAGCCACCCCTTGCCGTACTTCACTTCTCTTCCACTTGGCTTTTTTTTTCTTGCTCTTCAACCAACATTATACAAAAAAAATAACTGAAATACTAAATCGTTTTTGTGGAGCAACAAATAACATATGCTTCGCGTTACGGTCTCATAGCTTTCCGTTCTTTATCTTTTGCCTTCGTTGAAAAAAATTATACATTCAGATTCATTGCACAGCTTGCTGATGAGACTACGGGCCGCTGCATGGAACGGAGTGCGACGGAGATTGTGGGGCGGAATGCTTGCGTGTTGGTAGCGCCCACAATATCCGACATCATTTCCTATGCAAAAACGACCCGCTTCGTCTCTTAGTACTGCGGTATAAATCTTTCTTCAGAGCTGCGTTCAACCGATCCTAAGTAGTCAGATTACGAAGATTTCTTCTTGTTTATCATGCTCTTGTGTGCTAACAAACATTTTAGTTTTGCGCGAATGACAGTAATTATGAAAGTTGATTTCGATTGATCCTCGATGTATGCTTAGTGGTTGCCTAGTTGTTGTTGTACTAAGCTCCTGACGAAGGAATAAATCTCTGCACTGCAAATGCTTTTTGCTCAGCGCCGTCGTTGGATTAAGTCATCCAAGGTGATGAATGTAAGTACTTATTCTGTTCGCGTTCGGCGCTGTCGCAGTAAAATTTCCTTGAATCCTCTTCCTCATTAGTTCCTCAAATCTGAGGAACTAAAAATGAGAATTAGAGTGTCAAATTCCCAGTTTATATTCTTGTGCGTCCCTTGACAAAGAGCGCAAAGTGTAAAAGTCGCGCTGTGTGTGACGAGGACGAGCTGTTTTTTTTGTCTGAATCTTCAAAACAGGACGAATTATTAATCCAACTAGATACTTAGATACGAATTGAGCCAAACTGGAGAAGATCAACATGTTTACTTTGTCGTGAAGTCGTGCGCTCTGCCGATTCGTTTTTGCCCCTTCTGCCAACATATCGTTTCAAAAATCCCGGCCAATACACATTTAGCGCCATTTTATGGCACCGCCTGGCGGCCGCTTCAATATCCGGGCGACGGAGCGCGGCAATGAAGCTGGATGGTACTAGTTCAAGTTCATACGTCGTGTTTAGCATTTAGTGCGCAAAACTTGGATTCAAAATAAACTTGGCTGTCGTGGCCGCGCCAGACTCTGCCAGTGATGCTAGTAGATACAATCAACCTGTAGAAGTTGTCTACCTCTTTGTCCTCCACCTTTCTTTGACACTATCCGTTGAGAATTTAAATGCCCTTTTCCATATCACACGGCTAAACGCTTCACTTTTAAAAACTTCACTTGCTAAAAAAAATCTTTTTTTAGTGAGGTTTGGCGCTGTTGCTTACAGCATCAGCAGCTACGTGCCGACGACGGCATTGCGGCGCGTGCACCTTCTGCATCAGTGGAAGGACGACTGGGCCTTGCTTTGGGGGGTAGAGGTTGGCAGTTGACTAGTGAAGACGCCACGGCTTATAATTCTGAGAGCGAAACTCCCGAAGAGTCTTCATTTGAGTAAGATGAAAGCAAAGCGGAGACTTTTGTGTGCGAAAAAGTGAAAAAGTCGATGACTTGACAAAAAAATGAATCGCTTGTGGGTTTTTTGAGCGTAGCACCGGCCGAAGAATCAGCAAAAATCCAGAAACTGGCTCCGGTGACAAACGATTCACTTTGGCCATATTTGGCCGCCGCAGCATCGGCGCAAGCTTCCAAAAACGAGCACTTTTGAAAATCATCGAAATGGTGCATCAAAGCGATGCTTTTGTGACAAGTGCTATGTTTTTGAGGCGTTTTGGGTTGGACTCAGCTCGTGGCTGACAAGCGATTCACCTCACAAAGTTGGCCAGTTTTGGTGGCCCGAAAGTGGCTCTGTTTTTGAGGCCTTTTGGGTTGGAGCATAGGCGTGGCTGACAAACGATTCACCTCCTCGAAACAGCTGCTTTGCTTTCAGAGATCCAAAAAATCCCCCAAAGAAAATTTTTTTTAAGGAGTGAAGTTTTTAAGCGTGAAGCGTTTAGCCTTGTGATATTCCAACAGTCGTGTTCTTCATTATCCGGCCAGGGGCGCTCCTCGCCGTGCCGCGCCTTTGCATAACAACCACACTCGGCAAGAGCCAAGCGGTGGAAAACAAGCGTGTTATGCATTGTAGCTATGTCTGGGTCTGGAAGAATGCAGCCTGTCATGCAAACTCTCGATCACATAAAAATTCGTGTTGCATGAACGCCAGTAGTTGCCCTTGCTAGGGAAAAGCTAATTTCTCATTCTCATTCGGAATTGGCATGAGGATTGTCTTGCAAACTCTGTCATGCTTCTCTGTGCAACGCAGTTGCAGACACAGACCATGACCATGTGCGTGGTCCGCCGCGAGATGCAAAACAAATTTTGCACTCTTCAAGACCCAGACATATTTGGAATGCATACGTGTACAGGAACATCGAGTCTGTTGCTACTGGCTCCGCGCCTACTTCCTGTCGACGGCGATTCGCCAGTACCGCATCCCAGGCCTCGAGGTTCTGGTCGAATGCATGAGCGCGGTCGAACATAGACACGACGTTTTTCAGCTTCGTGGTCACCTCCCATTCTCCGAGGTCCTGATTGAAGCTTCTGGCAGTGGCAAACATATATTCCATGTTTTCTACCTCGCTCACGCGCCACGAGCGAATCGAACGGTCGTTGAAGTCACGGCAGCCGAAAAACATCCAGTCCATCCTTTGCACCGTACTCGTGTCCCAGTATAGCGGCTGATTAAAGCCCTGGCCGCAGTCCGCAAAAGCAGCGCTCATGTCTCTGATACCCCTGGTATTCCAACGCGAAATCCGAAAAGACGGGACATACATCTGACTCCACCGAAGCGACTTGTATTCATCATAGTGGCAAAACTCTGGAAGCTTGTCAAGCCCGCCAACGTCCCACTGCTCCACCGGGCCGTATCTTGCCTCGGCGGCGTTCCGAAGATCCTCGTAATTTTGCTCGCTTTGATTCCCGTCTGGAGCTCTGATAGTTCTAGCTTCGTCAGTCCACCAAAGCTGCATAGCCTCCTCGAGTTCCTGCAGAGACCGGAAAGCGCGGAAAACTTGCTGCCTCCTGTGGCCTAGGCTCTTTTCTGCTTCCTGCAGTGCTGCCCGAGTTCCCTTCGAGACCCGGGCGAGTCTCCCGTAGTCCCGTTCGGTGCGGAGGAAGCCTTGGAAACGATTGTTAAGCACTTCTTGCACTACTGGATCATCTCTTCCAAGAAAAATAGCGCGGCCCCGTTGATCTCGATTGTTGTCAGGTTCAACCCTGGCAGCGACGACCATTGTGGTCGCCACAGCAAAGACTGTGAAGATGTTGAAGCTCAAACTACGCATCATGTTCGTGGTAAAGGCAATGCTAACAAGAACTCGAACAAGTTAAACTTAAAGTTAATGTTTGTACACGCCGTACTGGTAAAAGATAACGTAAGATTCCAAAACTTTTAGGCCTGCAACTTTGATTCACTCATGCATCGTCGATGAGTTACGCCACTCGGAGCTGCAACTTTAGGTGTAAATGTATGCTTAGAACAAGGATGTCAAGAACTAATGATCAACTTTGATCGTGATATGATGGTGATCCTTGACATATTTCGCATGATCGTGGTATTTCATATGATCGTGATTGACGATGATCCTATGATGATTTAGATTTCCTCACTCGATCGAACCACTGTGCAAAAAGGAGATAAGTCCTTTCAGAGCTCGACTCTTCATGATCAAGTGGATCGTATATTCTTGCGCTCCTCTTTAAAAACAGATCCAGGCTGTATTCTTTTTGAAAGTGAGTACATGCACCGACATCATTACAGAAGCAGGCGTCGTGTCTCTCTTGTTGCACTTCGCACAAAATGGGTAAAACTAAACAAATGAAAGAGGTTCTCGCATGGACTTTTCACAAACACCGGTGAAGACAGCAGTACAGACGAAGGATCAATAGAACACCAGAACTACACACAGAACGAAAGCGACTACGACGTGGATGAACGAGGTACGAAGTACTTATCACGATGACATTGCAATTCTTTCTCATCCCAAGAAGAAAACTGTTTCTTCAGTCACAAACTTTGCAACTTTTCGAAATTTCAGCACAAAAATTCGATTTCAAGACGAAGACGAAACAACATCGTATAAAAAACAAGCAGTGACCACCTTCGGCCTTTTTCAGGAGTGCCCAGCCTTGCTCGCACCTCTACTTTCGTCCTCTTTCTCTCTACCCACATTTTTAGCATTTCCACCGCTCCAAACCAGCCACGCCCTCAACCCCAGGCAAAACAGCGAGAACACGGATGCGATTCCGTTCACGATTCCTGCGACGTAGAGACTCGGACCGGACTGGATCCCGTGGTAGAACCACAAGCCGCAGACGAATAGCCCGGCGCAGTTTTGCGACACCGACCCCATGAACAGCGGATTTTTCTCCTGCCACGCACGGTAGGAATACCGAACCGGCGCGCCCATCATGGTCAGGAAGGTGCAAACGCCGAGGGTGGAAAACAGAATTTTTACCTCGTCAATCATCACGGTTTCCTCGCCATTCCGCTCTTTCGCCGACAGGCTGCTCCCGGAGAGATCGCTGTCAGAAGAAGAAGAAGAGCTAGTTGTACTTCCACCCTGGTCCTCCTCGCCGTTGCCTCCCCCGTCAAAAAGACAAGTGAACACGTATTACAATGAAAAATGCCCCCACCCCACACTTGGCAGCATTTGTATTGCAAACCTTTCCAATAGAAACGCTTCCCGTCTTGCATATCTCAGGATCACAAATTTTCCATGCTGAATAGCGCGAATTTGTGTTGCGGAGGGGCCCAACAGCATCCGGATCTGTTATGCACAAGGCACCTTGCGCACCTAGATTCTGCATCAGAAAAGCTCGCAATCCTTTCATGCAAGACAAAAAGCTTTCATTTGGAAACTTTGCATGACAACCTTTTGCAAATTCGGGGGTGGGGGCACTTTTCACTGTAATAACACGTCCGGGCGGTCGTGAAAAACCGTGAGGAGGAAGCATCAAATGCAAAAGTGTCTGGATCTGGGAGAATGCAAGATCTGTCATGCATATTTCTCATGACCCATGATTGTCTGTGATGTATGCCCTACCATCACAGATTTTTAGAACCCTTCCTGATGCACCTTCCGCATGAGAAATGCCCTGTCCGTGCAGCACAAATTGTACCCCTCTTGCTGGTCATGCAACACAATTTTTTTTCGAGTCCAGAAACAGCATGACAAGGAAGTTACCACCTTCCAGACCCAGACATATTTGCAATGCATAGAAAGACCAGCGTGACGAAACACAGATATAGAATCAAAAACAGCAACAATCGCTTCAACTCTTTCTCATACAAGTCCCGCCGGTAGTATTTGCAGTAGAGAAACAGCTATCAAATGTAAAAGTGTCTGGGTCTGGAAGAATGCAACTTGTCATGCTAAATCTGAAGCATGCAAAAATCTGTGTTGCATGACTACCAAAAGCCGTCCAGTTTTGACCAAGTCGGGAGGAAGTTTCTCATGCAGGATAGGCATGAGAGAGATCGCACAGAATCTGTCATGCTATGAATGTCCTGCATTCCAGACCTCATGGGTCATGGAAAAGCTGCATGACAAATCGCGCACTCTTCCGGACCCAGACATTTTTACATTTGATAACAGCCACAAAAACCCGGTGGAAATCTGCAGGCAGCCCTGGGGCACGCCGGTGCGGAAGCCCTGGAGCAGAAAAAAACTGGTCCACGTCCAGCCATTCGCGCACTGCGCGACAAATTGGAGCGGGGGGGTTTCCAGTTGGTCCTCGAGGTGATCATCAAGATCTCCTTCGTTTTTGCAGTTTTTCAGATCGGGCTGGGGAGCCGCAGCAGTTGACTTAGACTTCTGTACCACTTCGCCGGCTTCTTGTCGTTGTTTTGTCCCTTGCGAAGCTGCAACAAACGCTGTGGTCGCGGCCGCATTATAGTCGTGCTCCTGAGCAGTGTCGACATTCATATTACCGTCAGGTGGCTCGACGGCGATAGCAACATGATCTTCATTTTCTCTCGTTAAACTCGGATCTTTGTCACGAGAGCTTAAATCTGCTGGAAGAACATCCTCTTCATCTAGTGTCGGAACCACTTCTTCATCTGCGTCTGTCTCTACTTCCAGCAACACATCCGGTACCCCCGGGCGCGAAGAGGCAGCAGTGCCCCCGGTCGTGCTTGCGGAAGAAAGGTTTTCCGCTGAGATGACCAGAGAAGCGGTGCAGGGCTTCATACTCATGGAGCAGGTCTCTGATGTTAAATACAGATTTTTAACGACTTCTGTGCTGCCTTCTGCGTGAAGATCCGTTTTATTCGTTTGTGCAGGTGCATTCTTTGGATGTTCATCCAGGAGCGCAGCGGCCTTGGCTTTATTCGCTTCTTCCTCTTCCCGCTTTCTCGTGCGTTTCCTGACGGAGAGACGATAAAAGACCTCCCCCGGACCACCGAACAGGAAGATGGGAAGCGTGATAACCAGAATGTCGTAGGTTAGCTGAGCCATGATTCGATCGACAAATTGTACAAGTAAGTAAATAGGGGCTGAAATGAACTTAGTGTTACGTTGGTACATAAAAAGTGAAAGTTGTGAAAGTGAAAGTGAAATGTAGATGCGTACAAATATTTAGTATGTCTACTCACCTGCGACTCACAGATCGATGAACGTCAAAGGAAATAATAGATCTGGAAGCAAGAAGTCACTCACCTGCGACTCACAGGCGATCAAATGGCTTCACCTTCGCGACAAGCAGGTTCTTGCGAACGATAAAGATAGATGCGGCTACAGAATTACGAACGTTAGAAAAATAATGAGGTCCTGGAAATAGTTTTAGAAGCGAGATTTTCGAGGAATTTCCAGACGAGGATTTGAAGAATAATATGGGGACGACATCACCGCCAGGACGACGACGACAGAGAAGAGCACCATTTTGATTTTTACGCAGCACAAGGCGAATTGGAGTTTCGGTTGCACGATAAAAATCTTGGACGACACACATCAAGAAATGAGCACTTAAGTGAACGCACGCACGAATTTTTTGCACGACGAACTGAGTTCAGGATCGTAGCGTGGTTCGAGAGACGCAAAGCAGAAGGAGGACAAAAATGCACTGACAAAGAACCTATCAAAAGCTAAAGCGTTAGAACGCTTTATAGCATTGCTCAGATGAGTTCTTGTTACTGTCAGACTTTTTTTTTCCCTTTTCTACTTTTGTGCGCTGGTGGTAGTTTTGTTCGGACAACATGTCAATCTGAATTCTTGAAATATCCTGCTGTTTTATCTTCGACATCTGCGTGGCTGCCTGTGTTAGTATACCAAAATCCATCCCCGCCAACGCAGAAGGTCTAGGTCAGCAGCAGCAACAGCACAAATGACTTAACTTTTTGCTTATACTCTTCGTCAACATCTTCTGAATCCAAGGTAACGTTCATTCTCCATCAAAGTAGTGGTGTCTACCTGCGTACAAAGTTCTGGAAAATATTTGATAGTTACTAATCGTAGACCGAATAGACGTTACAAAAGCAAAACAAGAAACTAAGAAATGGAGAGAGGGAAAAGGACAACACTTCTGCCCCTACCGTCCAAAGCATGACGACCACGCTGCAAGGGAAAGCAGCCCTAGGTGGAAGTAGTGCGATGGTGCTCGCTTAAAACTATGATCCCTGTGCACAAGGCGGGTAGGGGCGCCGGCTCCACCATCCAAGTGCTCATAGTTTTAACGTGTTGTTGAGATAGCGATGACGAGGAAGAAACAGGACCACACCACACAGAACAAACCGGAGACGAAGAGCAGCAGGATCGGTGGATTACCGAGGTTGACCGAAAGCGAAGAGCACAAAATGGGAGTTAATGTATAGCATGTAGAAATAAAATGATAATAAAATACGATCGATGTATGCGACGATGACGAAGAGCGATAGATACGTAGAGCGCGATGAAATACGAAGAGCACGATGAAATGCAAAAGCACGATGAAATGCAAAAATACGAAGAGCACGATTAAAGAATATAAATAAGCGATGTATACGACCCGATCGAATAGAAATGGCGATAAAAGACGTGGAGCGAGAGACAGCAATAATGGACGAGAGTGCAAATATGACGTTGATAAAAGTTCTAATAGGACCGACGTTACCGATATCTCTCATTATTGTGATTTTGATCATTTGGACGAACAGACACATAACAAGCAACTGTGTAGGCAAAAGGTGTAGGCAAAAGGTGTAGGCAAAAGGTGTAGGCAAAAGGTGTAGGCAAAAGGTGTATATTATACCGTCCCGGAGATGGCGAGGCTCATTTTGTTTGATTTAAATTTACCGAGAATTCATAAACAACGAAGGAACAACACAAGAAACATATAGAGCAACGATTGGGGGGTCATACAGAGTTGTTGCCATAAGAACACTGATCCGACTTCGAAGATCATCACATACCGATGTTTAACTTCAACCGATTTGTATTGACGAGTCAACCGAAAAATCCTTTTTGTGCTTATAAAATAACAATTAAGAAACAGGAAGCACACGCAACATTTTCTCAAGTTTCTTTTCCTAATTTATCTTGTCTTTTACTTCGCGATTGTCTTTTTTCATTTATTGATATTACAACGCTACTTCGTCTGTGTGTAACTTTTCGTCTTGCTTGTGCCTTCGGCACCCCTGTCTGGTTAGTACAAAGTAGTGCCCCTGTCTTGCTTGTGCCTTCGGCACCCCCATCAAAGTAGTGGTGTCTACCTGCGTACAAAGTTCTGGAAAAGAAAACCTTCAAGTTTATGGCCATTCTATCTGCATCTTTTCAAAGTGGATAAAAAATTTTCAGGGTCTCCGGGCATAGGCATTGCGCTGCTTTACGTTTGTGATGTGCCTTTGTCGCGCATGAAATGCATTTGGGCCATGCGCATCAAGTTATCTAGTTGAGAAGGCGGCCATGTCGCCGCAGCGAGGACTATCCCGCGCACGGTCCCAGGTCATTTTTGAGTCTTTGGCGAAGACCACTTGGCTTCGGAGATAATCATGTCCACCAAGAGAAGCCGAGCGGCCTCCGATCGCTTCCTGCCCTCCCCATGTGCGGCGGAGTTGCAGGCGGCACCCCCCGACTCTTCGATGTGGCAGAAGAAGTCGGAGATCTGGCTCTGGGTCACATCCACAGCGGCTCTACGATTTTCGCTCGACACCCCCCGCGCAGCTTCCTCGGCAGAGGATGTGTGGGCGGCCAAGTTGCGAGGCTGCTTGGTTCACTCCGCCACCCCAACGTCGCTGGGAACATCAACGCCCCCGCCTTCACGCCCGGTTTTTGCCCTTTTCCTAGCTTTCCAGATTTTGTGCTTCTGCGCAGCGCCCTCATGCGATTGCGTGAGTAATGGGCGCCAATCCAAGCGGGCCACGCTTCAGTAGCGCGATCCCATGCGGCACAGCCCCTCTCGGGGAAGCCTGCGCGTGGCAGCCCCATCGGTACGAATTGCCTTGGTTGGGTTTGGTAGGGAAGGCTTTCAAGGCCATGGCCGTCTGTGTTGTGGTGGGGCCAAAACGGACTGGAGGGGTGGGCGCGCTGGCAAAGCTGTAAACTAGGGGCAGGCTCCGGCGGCCTACGCCTTCTCCTGCCTACCTCTAGCACTAGTAGGTCCTGGGGCCTACGCGAACTTTGCCCGCACACAGGCCGGGACGCCCTGGGCCCCGGCGGAAAGATTCGCCGAGGGCTTCTGAAGCTGGAAGCTTTCTCCTTTTTGGGACCCTTGCTGAGGACCCTCCGGGAGGGGTAGCCAAAAACACTACTACGAGGAAGCTTCCCCCCCTACTAGTAGTTTTGGAAGCTTCCCCCACTGCTACGAGGGTTCCGGAAAAAACCCCTTTTAGGGGTCTCGCGGGTGGGCCTTTCTTCGCAGAATCTAAAGAATTCCCGGAGACCCAGGGACGCGACTTCTAGAAAAATGGCGCCGCGAATTTAGCTTTTTGGCGCAGTGCGCCGGCAATAGCCTGCCCGCCCCCTAAGAACGCAACCTGCCCGGCGGAGTGCGATATCGCCTGCGAAGGTTGTAGCGCTTTTGATAGCGGGCCACCCAAGGCATGCAGCGCTGGGCTTTTTGCGAGGGTTTTCAGGATGCGGCGCAGGATGATTATTCTCAGTGATTTCGCTATGGCGGGGTCCTTGACACAGACCAAGCTGCGGCGTGGCAGCGACTGCCCCGCCTGCGAAGCCTTTGGCCCGTTGAGAAATGTGCCGCACGAATAAGGCGACTCAGGCAGCCCCGGCAGCAGTGGCCTGCGGCTGTTGGGGAGCCGCTGCCCAGAAGTATGCAAGCGCGAGGCGGCCTGATCGCCCTGCGTGGCGTTTTAGATTGTCCGGCAGGCCGAATCAGGACCCCGCGGCCCGCTGCGATTGTTTTTTGGGCCGCCGCCCCCGCTCCCCGCGCGCACTTCCAAGGGCCGGCCCGTCCGCGAACACTTCGTGGCGGCCGCTGACAGCAACCGCCGGCCCTGCAAATACGCCCTGCAAATAGGCAGGGCGCCACCCGCCACGGGCTAGTGGGTGCCCAGCGCCATGCATCCGGCAGGCCTGCCGGCGCAATGCCCTACTTGTAGATCTTCTGCGGCTGGCGGGGCACTCTGGTGGCGGCCCTGCGCTGGCTCGTGGGCAGGCTGCCGGGCCGGCGCGCGAACAAGCAGGCCGCCGCGGTATGGTGGCGCAGGCCATCCCGGCTAGGCCCCCAGGCCATCCCGCAGGCCACCGCGGAAGAGGCCGCCGGCTTTCGAGGCCCCCTGCTGGAAAAATGAAGCGGCGCGATGGGCTGCACTGATCTACCCGGACAAACGGCGCGACTCGATACGGGCGCGGCTACGGCGAAAACGGCGCGCCGCGCTGAAATGTCCAGAATCCGCAGGGCGCGATTTTTTCCCCGATGCTGGCACACACCGTGTTCAGCAACGTCCAGAATCCGCAGGGCGCGATTTTAGGCACGACGGCACGATGGGGCCAAAACAGAAAGCCAGGACCTTTGACAAACCAGACAAAAAACGAGGCCCGGAGAACTTTCGCAAGACTTTCGCTGGGTGGCGAAAAGGAGGCCAAAACGCGAGGCAAATTGGCTCCGGTTTTTTACCCTAGGCCGCATTGTATGCTGCGTTTTTGCGGTTGGCCTCCATCGCGCAAACCTCTGCCCCAGCGAAAGTTCTCCGGAAGGCTTCCGCGACTGCCGGCCACCGGCAGACGAACGCCGCAAAAAGCCCAGCAGGAAGGCAACAAGCCACCCGGCCCGCTGCCTGCTTCCGCCGTTCTTCCCCAATGTCCGGCAGCAGTCTGCTGGCTGGCGTCTTCTCTTGCTGCCCGCCCGGTGCTTCAGGAGTCGCGTCTGCTTCTGGACACCCATACCAGCACCGCCACCGTGGCAAAGGAAAATAAAATACCAAGAGCGAGCCAACGGCCCTACAGAGATGAGAAGGCGACTGAGTAAAATACCCCCACCATAGCATGCGGCGAAAAGTCGCGCCCTGCGGAATCTGGTGTCTACCTGCGTACAAAGTTCTGGAAAAGAAAACCTTCAAGTTCAAATTGTGTCGATAATTGCAGCCGTTAGGCATGTAAGTGAGTAAGTACTTTGGCTTTGCTTCCGTCGCGCTACCACTACACCTCAACAAGCACACGCCGAAACAAAAAGACCACAAAGAACAAAGCCGAGCGCCTGCTCATGTTATCTGTATGAACGCCCCAAAATCTGGCACGGTCAAGATGTTTTTCTGCCTTCGAAATTCCTCGATTTCAAACTCCCCACACTGCTTGCTGTCGCTGTTCAGGTACAATTGCGTTAACTGTTTCAGCCCGTGGATCTGTGCCTCCATGTGGTCATTTTCCTTCTCCACCTTTGATTTCGCGATATCCAAATACGCCGGGTGTTCCTCTTTTGCCAACCGGTATTCGTCATCGTACCCGTCCCCTCCGTGGTTAATCGGCCCGTAGATCTCCATGCCGCCGAAGTCAATCGACTTGGCGTATCGTAAGGAAAAATCCCCCCTCCCCACACTGAAAAGGAAAAGGTATACTGCTGGAAGTTTGCGATGCTGAGTTGTTGGTGTCTGTCTTGCAAGAAAGCAAACCCAAAAGGCCCCCACGCATTATATATACGGGCGGTTTGTGATGCTGTTGGGCCTACAGCGTGGACTTTTGTCATGCTGAGCGCCTAGGCCAAAACCTCTCCACTCCGGCTTGATATTATGGGCCTGCAGTCCTCCACTGCAAGACAAATCTGATTTGTGTACGCAAGTCCAGCATCACAAAGGTCCTTCTCGATATGGGGAGAAGGGGATTTTTCCTTTTGATATGGCGTAGAATTTCGTCACGGACTTTTGCAGTTTTTCCAACTCCAAACTGAGTTCCCGGAAATTCACCTTGCAGGCGACCAAGTCCACCGGATTCAGAGCCTGGGTCAACCGCAAACACGCCTCGATGAAGTCCGAGAGCAATACCGACTGCTTCTCCAACGCAATGGAGCTGGCCGTGTTGCTCAGTTTCTGGAAGATGTGCTTGATTCGGTGATGCGTGATGCCGCCCTTTTCCAGCGCAAAGCGCAGCTGCTCGTCGTTCCGCATCACGTCCCGAAATTGCGCCATGGAAACCCGAATCGACCTTGCGAATTCGTCCATGTTGCGGGATTTTTGCTTCTGCTCGACCAGTATCACTTGCAAATATGTCTGGGTCTGGAAGGTTGAAACTTGTGATGCGAATTTCGTAACACACACAAATTTCTCATGCACAGGCAGCAAAAGGCGCCCATTTACTGTCACCAAAAAGTTAAGTAGGATTTGTCATGCGGAATGGGCATTGCGCAAGGGTCTTGAAATCTGTTATGCTAGGGCTTCCATGACAGTCTTTCTGTGTAATGCAAAAACAGCATGACTCTTCGTCTTCCAGACCCAGACTACATTTATTTTGCATTTGATAACCACCACGTTGGACGCGAAAACCGACTTCGCCTGCAGCATCGCCTGCGATAAATGTAAAAGTGTCTGGGTCTGGAAGAATGCAACTTGTCATGCTAAATCTGAAGCATACAAAAATCTGTGTTGCATGATGGATTACCAAAAGTCGTCCAGTTTTGACCAAGTCGGGAGGGAGTTTGTCATGCAGGATAGGCATGAGAGGGATCGCACAGAATCTGTCACGCTAGGTCCTGCATTCCAGAGCTCATGGGCCATGGAAAAGCTGCATGACAAATCGCGCATTGTTCCAGACCCAGACATTTTTGCGTTTGATACCTGCTTGGCCGCGACCACGGCCTCGCCGCGCAACCGCGACTTCTCCGTTTGCACGATGGTGTAGGACTGCGTCACCATCACTCCGACGATCAGGTTCATCAAGCCCAGAGCGGTGAGCACGACGAAAGCGAGCAGGAAAATGAAGACGAACAAATTGCCCTCGGAAACCTCCGTGATCAGCGAGAACCAGGTGCTGTTATCCAAGAAAAAAACTGTGTTAGTGTAACTTTCTTTGGTTGACAGCATTACAAATTTGCTCTACATGACAGAGAAAACCTGTCATGCGTGGTTTGTAAGGGAAAACATACATGAAAAGAGGACGGCATGGCTGTCTGGCATGACAGGTGTAACTCTCTTGCATGTTCTGCATCACAGATTTACACTTACACAGTTTCTTCCTTGGATAACTGTCCGCGACGTCGTAATCGCTGTCGAAGGTGATTTATCCAGTGAAAATAGAATGTCTGGAAACTTGTGATGCAAGGAAGGGAATTATAGGGAGCGCGCTGTAATGCGCTGCCAAGCATGACAAGTTTTTCCCTGGTTCTGAGTTGCGTACTCCGCATGAAAAGCTGCGTTTTTTGCATGACAGGCAAGAGGAGCTCTTTGCGACCACGTAATACAGAGTTCAGAGTCGTGCCAGGATAGCATGACAAATCTCGCAATCTTCCAAACCCAGACATATTTGCAATGCATATGATGATCTGCAGCATCCGGTACATCGCATTAAATAGGGAGTCCCATTTCCCCTTCCAATTGCCGCGCTCGTTCGTCGGAATGGACTCTTTCACGATGATCGCACCGACGTAAATCATGATCGCCAGCATCAGGGTTGCCCAGAACAGGGTCCCGACCGCCTGGACCATGCCCTCCATCAGCAGCCAGAGTTCCCGCAAGGCGTTGAACAAACGGATGATTCGGATCAACCTCAACAGCCGAAACACGCGAAACACGCTCGCCATGCGGCCGTCGAAGGATTCTCCCATCCAACGGAGGATATACTCCAACGCGCCGAGCAGCAAAATAATCGTGTCGAATACCACCCACGGGTCGCGGAAAAACTTCTTGGAGTTTTTCAGCGTGTCGGGCAGCCAGCGGAAGATTTCGGAGCGTTCCATGCGGGGAAAGAGGCCGAAGAGCAGGGTGTCGTCGCTGTAGTTCTCCAGCTGGTTCAGTAGCACCGCGCGCTGCAGCAGTTCTAGACAGAAAACCGCGTAGAAAAAGGAGTCGATGAGCGTCCACATGGTATCGGCGTCCTTCGCGACGTTATCGGCCTTCAGCCCGATCGCGATGCCGTTGGAAATGACGAAAAACCCGTAAAAAATGTCAAAGCGGTCCCACACCAGCGCGTCCTGTTCCGCCTGCTTTTCCTTCTTGGCCCGCTGAATTTCGCCGTCGGTTTGCGCGACGATCGGGGCCTGCTGTTTTTGCGCGGACTGGTGGTGTTGGGAACTGGGGGACAGGGCTTCCTGGTTGGGCTTGTCCCCGGTCGTCTCGCCCGGCTTCTGCAGTTGGCGGACTAATGTTGTAAATGTATATATTGATCGCTGTGTGAGGACGTCACAATTGAACTTTTGTTATGCAGAGGACCGCAACAAACGCCGCTTCGCACCACATCGTCCATACCTGAATGCAATAAAATCAAAACACACAAAAAAAAGAACCTTTCCGCAGTCTCCGTGGCTCCTTGACTGCAACCACACTCGACGGGGCCGTCGGGTCACTGCGAAACCTGTGGCTCGAGGCACTCCGGTCAACCGTTGTGTTCAGTTCCAGCGTATCAAATGCAAAGACGTCCGGGTGTGGAAAGTTCGAACTTGTAATGCTGGTCTCGCATTCCTGTAATTGTGAACGCTAACGCAGTCTGTGTTGCATGACCGAGAACAAAAAGTCGCAGCCTCCTTTGTCATACAAAAACACAGTTTCTCATGCCGACTGCGCATGCAGTGACAGCGTTCTGGAAAGTTGTCATGCGTGGCTGCATTTGGAAGTGTTTGCATCATCCACACTTTAGCATCACAAGTTTCGAGACCCAACCATATTCTGTTACAGTGCATACAACGGCCCATCGGCAGCAGCAGAACTTCTCGGTGATTTTCCTCCTGTACCCGACTTTTTCCCCGCGCTGCTGGACCCCGAGTGCCCGGACCGGGCTATTGTATTTAAAAACGTCCCCACCCCATTACTATCTATTATATTCATGCGAAAAAAGAGGTCTACAGAGGATAGAAGAGAGGTGGCCGAGAGGTCAAAAAGAGGTGAAAAGAGGTCAAAAAGAGGTCGACAGAGGTGGAGAGGTGGCGCGGGAGGTCATTCGAGGGGGTGGCCGAGAGGTGGCGCGGGTATAGCCAGCCGAACCGTTCACCCTAAAGCCGCGCCTATGGGGGACGGAGGTGGCCGAGAGGTTCGGGAGAGGGTAAGCGAGAGGGGGACAGAGGTGCCGAGAGGTTGCGCGAATAAGGGCGAACCTCTCGCGCACCCTCTGGGCCACCTCTCGGCCACCTCTGTAGACCTCTACCGGCGAGTATAGCCGGACTATTAGCAACACCTCTCGGGAGAGGTCAAAAAGAGGGTCTGCGAGAGGGGTAGAAAAACCCGAATCCGCCCGGCACGAGGCAGGCTGATTCTTTTGTGGCCTTTTCAACGGGATCGGGCCCCAATGGGCCCGGAAATAAAAAAATCATGAATCCCAAAAGAAAAACGAAAAAAAAAATTTTTGCACTGCCGCCCTATTGTGCCAAACCACTCCGCCGGGGCTCGCTCGATAGGAAATCTGTAGGCCCTAAAATAACGCCGGGGCTTTGTCAACAGGCTGCGGACCTGTGGGCTCCGGGGTTTTCGAAGAACTGCGCCACATGAAATCGAGCACGCAACTTTTGTTCGGGCAAACACAACGTCACCGAAAAAAAAGAAAAACACCGAATAAATTTGCGCCAAAAAATTGCTTTCTTTGCGACATGAGTGCGACACGGGTGCGACACCGGTGCGACATTTTTCGGGTGCTTCCTGAAAAAAAAACCACGGCCGAAAGCCGATCTTTTTTAATTATTTCAGATTTTTTGTCGCAACAAAGGCGATTTTTTGTCGCAGAATTAATTGGCCACTCGCCCACCCAAAACTTTCCCACCCAACATCCCTCTCCCACCCCGAAGCACACACCGGCAACATGGGCTCCCTCTGCCGGCCCCACTCCAATCCCTTGCGCCCAAGCCTGCTTTTCCCGCCCAACCCACAAACCCAAGACACACAACCAGAAAAAGAAAACGCACCAGCGAGCGGCTGCAAGAACTGCAAAAACCCTGCGAAAACTTAAAAGCGCGAAAATTTTCCGGCTTTTGTGATTTTTTTGCTTTTCTGACTACTGGGGGCCGATCCCGTTGAGCCTTTTCATGCATAAGCTGGCCCGAACCGTCTCGCGCACCCTCTCGCGCCACCCTCTCGCGCACCCTCTCGCGCCACCCTCTCGCGCCACCCTCCCGCGCCGGGCGGCTTCTGTTCGCCCCCGGCGTCCTTTGCAGCTGCTCCCTGCGCAGAGCGCCCACAGGCGCGGGAAGCGCGCAAGTGGTCGTGCGGGTTGGCGCCGCGCAAACAGGCGGCAGGACTCCAGTATGCTTCATTATGCATATTAGGCCTGTGGCATTGTGGCCCGATCCGCAAATAGACCTGCCCCGCCCCAACAGCCTTGCGCCCCGGCATCAGCCGGGGCATGGCTGGTAGTTGTAATGCAAATCTGCATGCTGAGAATGTTTCTCATGCGGAGCCCCAGGAGAAGCATTTTCTAGTCGTGTTTCGGAATTTGTCATGATCCAATCAGCATGGTAGACTAGATCTGTGATGCTGCTCAGCTAGCTCAAACAGCACTACGCTACGAGTCCAAATCTGTCATGCGAAACAGCCAAAGCTTGTGGATTTGTCTAGCCGATTCCCCATCTTGACTATGGGGTGGGGAAGTTTTTACATAGGATACCGATACGGGCGGAGTGGAGACTCGTCCCGGCGGCTGCAGCGGCGTCGTGGCCGCCGGGCTGCTCCACCGCTGCAACAAGAACCGCGCTCGTCGCTTCGGGTCCGCCTTTGTTCCTGAGCGGGCTGTTATCCGGACTGGAAAACAAGTCGATTGCCGCCTCGTCCTGCTGATTTTCGCCGGTATTACCTCCGCCCCTAGCACCTCCGGGCTTCGTTTCTGCCCTTGCCTTGAACATAGACTGGAAGGGTCCCATCAGACGCCAAATGTCGTAGGAGCATTTTCGCTCTCCAGTGCAAAAGTATCGCACTCGTATAAATGCATGACAAATTCTTCCCTCAGCATGAGAAATAAAATTTGTCATGCGGATTTACCTTTGGAAAAAAATTTTTAATGCATGATTGCAATTACTACGAGTACGATACTTTTGCACAGGATATTCGCAGCGCGTTGAAGGATTCAAACAGGTCCTTCTCAACGAAATCCAGGTGCCCGCTGATTTTCCCCTATCCTGTGCAAAAACGTCCCTCATGCAGATTTGGAACGACAGGAACACTTGTAATGCGCTTCCCCATGCCAGGCATTTCTAATCGAGTTGTGGCGTTTGTAATGCTGCAAACAGGATAAGCGGATGGATTTGTGCTGCGGATATCCTTGCTAACATGCACTACACTGCGGACTGTAACTTGTCGTGCGTGGCTCCTAAAGGTTCTGCATTTGTGTTGCTAAGTTCCCAACTTGACTATGGGGTGGGGACGCTTTTACATATGATATCCCCACGGAGCAGTTTATCTGCACCATTTTCACCGCCGACACCTTTGATCCCACGAAAAAAGTGTCACATATTGTGTTGCAAGCCCAGCGTGGCAGACAACCTCTGTCATGCCAGAAATGCTTGCGACCCTCATTTCATACGTGTTTTGTTGGTTTTCCCTTTATGATCTTTGCATTACAAGTTTTTTCTCTCATGCGGAGAAAATTTGTGTTGCTGAAGTCACAGCAAATGTGTAACTGTAACACTTTTTTCGTGGGATACCTTTTCCAACGAGGCCAGCAGTGCTTCGAAGTAGTCATCCGCCAGAATCACGTTGTCGCCCGGCCTGGCCTCCCGCATCTCCGAATAAACCTCGATCAAATTGCGAAACTGCAACCCGTATCATATGTAAAAACGTCCCCATCCCATTGGGAACTTAGCTCGCAACACAAATCCACAAGTTTTGGGAGCGACGCGTGACAAGTTGCAGTCCGTAGTGTAGTGCATGTTTATGTTAGCAAGGACAACCGCATTACAAATCCATCTGCTTATCCTGTTTACAGCATTACAAAGTCCAAAACGCGACTGGAAATCATGCCTCTACTTATGGAGATGCGCATTACAAATTCAAATCTTCCTGTAGTCGCAAGTCTGCATGACAACTTTGGGGTGGGGACGTTTTTACTCAGGATAATCCGCACCGGTCGAACAGCTTCTTTGCGGTGGGGTCTTCGTACAGGCGGCCTAGAATTGCGAGTGTGTATCCACTGCAAAAGCATCGTACTCGTATTGCAGTCATGCGTTACAAGTCTTTTTCTTAAGCTAAATCAGCATTACAAATTTTATTGCTGAGGAAATTTGTAATGCAATTTATACGAGTACGATTATACTTTTGCAATGCATAGCGTAACGTAGGTGACGATGTTATCGTCCTCCACATCCTCCTCCTTCTTTTTCTTCTCCCTCTCACTGCCCCGAAAATTGGTCATCATGGACTCCGAGCGCCGCATCAACGATTGCTTCATTTTCCCCGCAACGCCGCCCGCGGCTCCTGCACCTCCGGGAGGTTGTACCGCCGCCACTACTTTGCTCGCTGACAGGCCACGCTTTAGTTTACCCGCGAATCCTAACGCTGCGGTGGGCATTTTGGTGAGGGGTTTCTTTGCAGCACCTGCTGTGGCATCGTCTGTTGTCCCGGCATTTTTGTTCTCGTCTTCGACCACCTCGATCCTCACGGCGTCGGAAGTAGTTGCCGCGGCGCCACCGGTTGCTGGATCTTCTTCTCCAGCTTGTTGCAACGAAGCTGCTGCTCCTTGCTGCCCCTCCAGCTGACCCACTGTTGGTGCGTCACCATCTGTACTAGCCGCGGGGGCGCCATTTGTAGTTGCGGCACGACTCCCTTCTTCTGCGAGAAAGTGGTCCCCTTCCATTGCGAGGGCTTTTGTGACGTCGTAGCTCATATGCATTGCACAAGTATCTTACTGGTGGAAATCGCATCAGAAATATTCCACGAATGACAAATGGAATTTGTATTGTGGATTGACCTTAAGAAAGAGATTTGTATTGCATGACTGCCATTACTAAGAGTGCGATACTTTTGCAATGCATAGTTCACTTCTTCTCCGCCTCCTTCGGGTCTGTCCTTCTTGGCGCCACCTGACGTGGATGGTAAACTCCGGGCCCCCGCGCCGTCCGCGTCGCTGCCCGAGATTTTCTGCCGCGCAACCAGGCGCTTCTTCTTCGCGGCGGTAACGAAACTCGGCGCGACGGAGGCCTCCCCCGCCTTGTACGCGTTGTAACCGGCGTCGGTCTATGCATTGCAAAAATGTCAGGCTGGAGGTCTAGAAAGTTGTGATGCATGTCAGTGAATAGAAAGCGCACTGCATTAATGCACTGCCAAGCATGACAGACTTTTCCGTGGCTCCGTGTTGCGGAATATTCCGCATGACAGAGACAGACAGCGTTTTTGCATGACAGACAAGAGGAGCCTCTTGCTGGCCACGCAATACAGAGCTCCGTGTCATGCCAGACTAGCATGACAGATCTCGCATTTGATACGGTCTTCAGGATGTGGTGAATGTCCTCCTTCATCGCGTTCGCCTGGAGCCACGTCTATCCCAGAGAAAAAAGCTGGCAGGGCATACTTAACTTGGTTGTAATGCAAAAATATATACACAGAAAGATCTGCATTGCATATCCGAAGCAGCATGCTATGGGGCCGTCCATGACAAGTTTTTCTGTGCATTCATTTTTGCATTACAAATCTGCCCTGCCGGCTTTTTTCTCTAGGATAACGTCCGCACGTAGGCCAGGGAGTCCGACAAAGCCGCCAGTTTCTCGAAGTGGGTCACGTGCTCTATAACCTGCTCAGGTGTTACAATCTCAAACGTTACAATAGAGTATGGAAATCTGTGACGCAAGAGTGCATGATCTAGCCAACTCACTCTCATAGGATTGCGCATGACACGTTCCGGAGCCCCGAACCCCACTACCATCTGGCGAACTTTGTATTGCAAAAAGTGGAACGCTGTGCGAGTCTGTCATGCTCATCATGCAACACAAAATTCCAGATTCTATTGTAACGTTTGAGATTGTAACGTTTGAGCAGGTCATATGCTCCTGCTTGTCCGACGCTTCGTGAATGGTCTGCACCACGCGGCCGACCAGTAAGTTCATGATCCCCAGCGACGTGACGAGCGTAAAGAGGAAGAAAAACACCAGCATCGCGGGGTACCCCGGGTAAAGCTCTTCGTCGGTCGTTTCGAGTGAGCGCAGGTTCATGTAGTTGTTGTAGTCCGATTGTTGTTCTTCTACTTGCTGCGAACCAGGCATGAAGATCACCTCGCCAACATCTGCGCCCTGCAACTCGCGTAGCTCCAGCAAAGCAGTGCTGTTCCAACTGACTGCTGGCTCGGTGACGTATCCTGAGGAAAAACGTCCCCACCCCATAGTCAAGTTGGAATCTCTGCAACACAAATCCAGAAGTTTTGGGAATCACGTATGACAAGTTTCTCGCTGTATTGTAGTGCTGGTTAGCAAGCACAACCCCCGCATGACAAAGCCGTCCCCTGATCCTGTTTGCAGCATTACAAATGCCAATATACGATTGAAAATGCCTCTCTTGGGGATGCGCGTTGCAAATGTTCCTGTCCTTGCAATTCTGCATGACAACTCTGGGGTGGGGACGTTTTCACTCAGGATATGACGCCTTTTATCGTCGAGACCCAGTCGTCGAGAGTGACAATCCTATCGCAAGAAAAAACTGTTTCACTGTGAACTTGTAATGCAGAAACTGTATCTGAGAAGTGTTTGTCTTGCTACACATGCAAGACACTAGATTTTTAGCTGTGTTTTCTCTTAGAAATATCGCATGGCAAATTTTCTCTGTGATGTAGAACGAACTTGTGATGCAAAACTTGCAAAACCCTTACAGTGAAACACTTTTTTCGTGCGATAGATCCGCAAAAGGGTGTACATGGCGCGCCCAATGTTGGAAAAGTCCTTGCTGTTACCACTAGTACCTGCGGATGAAGAAAGAAGTGTTGAGCTAGAAGTACTCGAGGCTGCTGTTGTACCACTAGAAGTAGTTGCACCGCCACTGCTACCACTACTACTCCCCCCGGCAAGAAGAGCATCGTCTTTCCGGACTTGCAAGTCGCCGACGGTTTGCACCAAGAAGATGCTCGCTGTGTAGGTTACGACGATTAGCAAGATCATCAGAAAGCACATCGCCTCCAACGTGTTTATCAGGGAGGAAACCAGAAGCCACAGCTCCTTGAATTGGTCCATCAATCGGACCAAGCGGACCAGCCGCAGTAGCCTCAAAATCCGCAAAATGGCGAGAAACGGAAGATCTGCGTTGAGGTTCAGGTTGGGCACGATCCACTCGTCCACCACCCCGATAAAGATCAGGGTGAAGTCGAACTGCACCCACCCTTTCCGGAAGGACTGTCGCACGCCGTCGAAAACGCAGCGGAGGGCAAGTTCCACCATGAAGATGAGGAGAAACAGCTGGTTCAGCCACCAGGTGGTTTGGCGGTCCTCCAGAAACGCAGCGTCACTGCTTCGCACGTGCGGGTTGTTCGCTTCAATGCCCATGGTGACCGCGTTCGCGACGACGAAAAAGCCGATATTCCCTGAAAATCAACCATCCCCAACCCCATCCAATTTGTCATGCAAAACATGTACGGAGCGGAGTAACAACTAGGCCAACAAACTAACTCGGCTCCCCGAGTTAGTCACCCGGGCGGCCGAATCCGGGCGGCCGGACGACTAACTCGGGACTCTAAGCGCGAAAGTTTTTCTATATAGCGACTCCGGGGCCGACGACTTCGGTCAGAGGTGTGTTTTGAAAACGTCCTGGCAACATATGCAATTCGTGCGGTTCTGTACTGTGCATAGTTTTTGTGCTTTCATTCAAAAACTCGCTTCAGAAGTCGGAAAGCGTGTAAAATTGTTGCGCTTCGTAAGTGTTAACTTCACGGCAGGGAAATCTCGTCGTGACAAAACAGGCACTGCCTGCGTTGAAAAGAAAGCGAAAACGTTGCCCCGTCGACTTTCAAAAAAGACCCCAAGCGCACAAATAGCATGCACAAAAGCACAAATCCGCGCAGGGAATTCCGGCTGTCACAGACTGCGCGATCGTCGGCCCTTGCCAGCACGAGTTGCCTGCTAACTAGGTAGTGGTCGCCACGAGTTACCTGGCTAGGGAACTCGTGCGCGGCGACCAGTCTCGGTCGCCCGAAAAACTTTCGCGCTTAGAATCCCGAGTTAGTCGTCCGGCCGCCCGGATTCGGCCGGCCGGGCGACTAACTCGGGGACCCGAGTTAGTTGGCGTAGTTGTTACTCCGCTCTAGGAAAATCTGTGTTTGTGATGCATAAATAAAATGGATGGGGATGGTTAATTTTTTTCACGGAATAGCCGAAAGCTAAATCAAATTTGAGCCACGAGCGGAGCTCCGCGTCCTCGCTCTTCATTTGGAGGATCTCGGGGGACATCTTCACCGCGAACTTGCGCTCCCGCTTTTGCTCTTGCATGTCGGACTGGAAATAATTGCGATCCTTTGCCGTGATCAGCCGAGATTTGACCGCACGGGATGACGATTTCCCCGTCCCGGCAGCTCCGTCGTCATTCATCAACTCATCCATCGCTTTTGTCTTGCCCAGCTGCTTGCCGAATTTGTGGAATTGGTCCACCTTCTTGTTCCTCATAGTGGATGGCTTGCTCTGGCTTTGGCTTTTTTGCTCCTCTGGGGGAGGCGAGCCGTTGAGGACTCCTGTGGTGATGATATATAGGAAAAGGTTTATCAGACTGCAAAGAAATAGTAATAGAGAAACCATGTGCAATGCTAGAGCTAGAGGACATGTGACTCCAGAGAGATTGGTGAAAATAAATGACCCCGTATATTACATCAAATGCAATTAGAATAACGTTTCTCAGCGTGAAAAAGAAACATGAAAAAGAACTGCATCAGCGTGATCCAAAGTACCAGCACCTGCATCCTCAGCCCCTGCGCGGCGGCCATCAAGTAGATTCTTCGCAGTAGTTTCACTCTCCTCTGCAACGATCTGAATCCCGATCTCCTCGGCAGTTAGACTGCTCAAGGCGTTCTCTTGATCCACAAAATTTGTCGTGCTGGGCGCCGTCACGGCATCATCCACTGCCTGCTGGGCAAACTGGGCAGAAAGGTAGTCCAGGTTGTTGTTGCCTCTTGAAGATGTTGTTCCTTCCCCTTGTTCCCCTGCTTGAAGATTTTCCGTTTCATTTTCCGTTTTTTCCCCCTCTCGTCCTGCCTGGCGCTTCTGCTGCAGTAGCGGCGTAGTTGCCGGCGGTTGCAACTCCCGTGCCGGGGCTGCGGCCGAGCCCCGCCCACTTCGATTGCCGGAGGAGGGCGGTCGGGGTGAAGAAGTCGCATACTGTTCGTACTCGCGCTCCGTTAAGACCACCACGTTAGGACTGCTGCTGTTGTCGGCATTCTGGACCAACGAGGAGCGCGCTGAGTCCGGTCTCTTCAAGATCCCGCGAGGGGACTCTGGATTATTGACACCTGCTGCTGCACCCGAGGCGGCCAGGCCTGACTGCTGCAGGAGCCGGGGAGAGCTCGTGGAAAGGTCCATGCTAGTTGTGGTGCAAACAAAAGTATGTAGTTCCTCGCGCAATTTGAATTTTGCAGCTTTCGACTCATTAATGACGGCCTGCAAATCACTTCTCGCTAAATATCGTCGCTCAAACATCTTCGACTTATCACATGGAGTCCGCTCACAAATCACCTCGCGCCTGGACCCTTCGCGATAGCAGGTACTTACCCACTGCGCGGCGCCCCACGACCTTGAAGGCCCCCACCCGACACGGAGTCTGCAAGCCAAGCACTGCGCGAGCGCGGCTCATCAGTCGGCGATCCGCATAATAATACGATCTTCTTCGCAACTAGTAGGTACTTACCCCATTGTCGGGCCGCTCAATGGGCGACCAAAAGAAACGAAAACCACGACGACATAAAACTCTTTTGTCTCCTACTTGAAAGCAGGACAAGGTAGAACAGACACAGAGGGTTTTGAAGGTGCTGCAGAGCCTGTTCTGGTTCCGTCCGTCGACAGTGGACGAAGCGAATGTAGAGGTGTGTTCGTACTCACTAGTATGTCCTGTCGTAGTCGCTCTTTCAACTATTGCGCAAAGTTTTTTTCTAGAAAATTCATTTATCTGATAGCAGCAAGACGTCCACCTGCACCTCATCATGAACCAAATCCGATGTCATTATTTCAGTGCCTGTTTTTTCAGCAGTGTCTGATTCCTTTCGACCTTTGCTACGTTGCGGTCCGTCGTTTCATTCAGTTTGTCGAGCATGTCGTTTTGCATCCCGAGGGTTTGATTCATCGCAAGGGATTTTTCTTTCAACCCGCCCACAAGCTGCTCCATCAGCGCCATGTCCTGGTCCTCTCTGCTCAATGGTGCACCTCCTGGCGGATTCGCATAATTCGTGTAGTTTTTGCTAGAGCTATTAGAGTGCTGCGGTTGCTGATTGTAAATTAGCGCACTTTGATGTTGTTGAGGTGGCGGAGGTTGGGGTGGCTGTCCTCCATGTAGTTGTGCGTTTTTTCCGCTCGAGTCTGGTGCTGCTGCACGACCCGCCGCATTTTGTGCGCTACTTGATGTAGTTTGTTCCCCTCCATCTTCCTCGAGTCCGAATGTCGTGCTTGTTTGTTCGTATGCGGAAGAGAAGGCGCCTTTCACGCGACCGAAAAAGGAGGTCATACCTGCAAGCGGTTGCATTGGTCGAGGACGTGTGGTGAAACAGACCACTTTTATTAGCCTATTCGTTTTACTTATTTTGACTGACACAGAACGAATTCTTTCAGCAGAAATTCTACAGAGCTCATTTGCTTCTCCTCTTTCGCAGAACTAAGAAGTATACCAAGAAGCATTTCAATTGAACATCCGCACCCATATTCTTACCTTTCAAGATCTGTTCGCCCATGTCCAGATTGCTTTCCGTTGCGTCCGCATACGCCTGAGTCCGCTGGATCTGCTCGGTTTGGGAATCCAAAGTCAGGCACGACTTTGTCGCAATCTCGTCTGTTTGCTTCAAGGTCGTCAAAGTTCTTTGCAGGCTCTCACTTGTCTTCTCCCGATAGTAGTCGGCCGAGTGGTGGTGCGACGGAAGATTTTGGGTCTGGTACGGTTGTATGCTGTTGCTCGACGAAGAGCTCGCGGATGAAGATCCCCTTCCGCCGGGGCCTCCAAAGGGTGCAGTCATTTGGTTTATTCTGGTGGGCTCTTTAGATGTTGATCCGTGGTGTTGTTACTTACTAGTTTTCCTTTTCTTCAATCTCAACTCTAACCAGCACGACGGAATAGCGACAAACTACAGACAACGTATAGAAAATGTCGCCACCCACGCTAGGCGAGCAGAAAGAACTGTACGAAGAAATACAGGCACTGGCACCTCGACATTCCTTTACCGTCCTGCCGCTCGTCCAGGAAAAAAAAGCCACTCGTGTGAAAAACGTCAACGTCATCAACCACCAGGAGTAGATGACAAAAACAAGGGTTCAAAACGAATTGAAGCCCAGGAAGTGTGGCTTCAACATCTCACATCAAGCCCTAATTTGCCGACTATGGTTGAGTTTGTGAAAAGCTATGAGCTCCAAATCAATTACAGTCTGTATTGTTTGGTACTTCTACACTGTCAAAAAGTCTGAGCCAGGATAATGTACAGGGGTCGTGGTCTTTTGTGCACCATCATACAATAATTAAGAAGAGAGATTGTAGCCCATGTGTGAAGATAAAAATACTCGCCAAAGTTGTCCTGTTTTGATGTCCAAACTTATCATATACGATTTCATTTACTTCTCACGTCACCAATACTGTGACTGAGGTTCGTCTGTGATGTCCATAGGAATAACTCAAAAAAAAAAATGTCAGTATAAAGTGGTCGAGTGAGATTAAGTAAGGTAACTTCCTGTCTGATAGTATCTTTTTGCATATGAGAATTAGGGGCTGCAAAATCCACGGGTTGATAAATGTGTTTTTTTTCTGATCGACGATAGAATTCTTTATCCAGAGCTGTCGAATTTCTTACAGGGAGACCACAGGAGCTCGAATTCATCATCCGTCATACTCTAGTTAGTGCGCGATCCAACGAAAATTTTCCGATACCCACCAGAAGCAAATCAGAACAACAGCCCTTGTCTCAGCGCGACCACGAGCGGCAAGTCCGGTTTTTCTTCCACCTTCTTCACTTCCTCAATCGGGATCAAGTTTTGTGCTCGCAAAACCTCCGCGCAGAGCGCAAAACCCCGGTATTCGGCCAGGTCGACGGCTAGCTCGCCCCGCAAGGTGCGGATGTGCAGGCTCGGTTTCCGCTGCAGCAGCAGATCCAACACTTGTTTTTTCCGGTTTTCCGCCCGGAAAGCCCGGTCGTGGAGAACGTTGGCGAGGAGTATCAGGCTGAAAAGGGGAAAGGAGTTTGATGTAGGTTGTCATCTTCATGTTGCGAGACCATCAGCATCACGTCGTGGCAGTTGGACTGCAGATGCAGAACATGCATCCATTTTTTCCATTCCTCTGCTCTTGACATGTTGCCAACAGAAGATATTAACAGAAAAGGACACGACCGCTATAGTACAACAGCGAAGTCGTGCTGAAAAAACTGCGAGATGAAAAACGATCTAGTACGTCCGACTCGCTGATTCACTCGCAGCAATGGTGTTTTGGCACCATTCCCACGATACTTTTCCATGCATGTATGTTGACCGCATCATGCAAAGCAATAAACAATGAGATCACATGATCGCATGAAAACTTCGCCGCGCTCCGAACTTCCTTTCCGAGCGTAGCAGCGTGTAATGGTGTCCACCCCTTGCAATCTTGATGATTGATAGCGGCGCCTGGATTTTTTTTCAAGAGGGATACTTGTGAAGCAGCACACGAAGGGTACCCGGGACGCGAAGGGTACCTAGAACAGAAAAAGGCACAGAAAACAGACAAAAAGACGTATGAACAGAGAAGTTTTGTCTGACCACGCGCAGTGTTTGTCTGTGCTGCGCGGCACATACAACTTTTTCGTATGTGGAGAAGAAGCGGCGCGGTTCTGATTGAATATTCATTCTAGTACAAGGAAAACGCACGCAGAAACGGCGCACTGCGGTTTTTCGTCCATCACAAGAAGGGGCGCTCGCGCGCGCAGCACAAGCTTGGCGCGAAGAACAACCGAGCGAGGGCGGAAATCGCATAAGAAGCACTGCCCTCCTGGGCGAAGCGCGCGCGACAAAAAGTTGAGACACCTCCACAACGCCGAAAGCGGCGATGCTTGTCCAGAAAAGCGTTACCCGCAGCGAAGTCCCGACCGATCTGTGGTGAGGTAGCGGCGAACTGGCGGTTGACGCACGGGTGGACCAGGTCCGTGCTTCGCACAGCAGACTGCTGCGCAGGCGGCTTCGCAAAGGGAGCGTCAGGTGCTGCTGGTTGTGGGCGGCGCCGGGTTTAGCTTTGGTGGTTGTGACGGGGTCGGAACCAGGCCGGGGCGGACGCAATTCTGGCAAGCGCGCCACGATAGTGTCGCGGTGGTGTTTCTACAAAAAGTTAGCGACGCGCAACGCCCGAGAAGACAACACTTCGCACACGAAAAACGCGCCCCACAGGGCTGAACTAAGCGGCCGCGCCTGTGCCGCGCAGCGAACTCCGAAACTGCGACAGAAGGGCGCCAGAAAGAGCGCAGTACGTTCAAAAACTGTGTCAATCTGTGGGTTCAAAATCTTGCTGCGAACAGAGCACGCAGCACACACCGGCTTTTCAGCATCCGAAGTTGTTGCCGAAAAAGCATGGCACCGTGGAGAAACACGGGAGCCTTGCGAGAGCAGGTGGCGGGCGGGAGTCCCGAGCTCAAGGTGAGCAGCACGGCCATTTTATTTTTTTTACGGTTCCAAAATAGCGCATTTGGGCGCGCTAGTGAAGATTCGTTGCCGCGCGGAGAGTAGGGCGAGGGGAAAGACCTCGCCCACGCTGCCACGGTGGGTATGTAGAAGCGTAGTACGGAAGCGCTAGACATAGGCATAGAGCATAGTTGCAGAGCACAGGTCCCAAGCGGTCCACAAGGGTATCCAAATAAATAGAAGCTTTACAGAAGTCACGTAGTAGCACTCGAGAAGAATAGAAACTATGAAAATAGGCAGAGGCAGAATGTAGCTATTGTGTAAGTACTTAGCAGCGCGAGTCTTGGTGGTCCATGCAAAACAGGGGAGGGTGGGGAGGGGAGACGGGAGCCCAGGATAGCAGGTAGCACTCCGTCTGGTTTGGGCGACCGCGCGAACGTAACAGGGCGCACCAAACCACTCTTGGCGTGCTAGCTGCTCTGGGACATTGTGGACATCGTGTTATATTTCTACCCGAAATAAAATGTCGCCCTGCATGCAAAAACGTAAGCCCCCGCGCCTCGTCACGGCGCTCGCGCAAAGCGGGGGCCACCACAGGGGGAGGGCGCCCTGTGGTGGGGGGCTGGAAAGCCCCCGGGAGTATTTCTATAATTGCGGCCCCTAGGATGCAGTCGTTGCCAGCGCGCCCCTGAAGTGAACTTGTCGCACCTATAAAACCGGGCTTCCCGCCATAGAGCCTCGTGGCAGGCGCCGCATCGCGGAGTGCCCACAAAAACGAGCGGCACCTGCTGGGAGGGTGAAATACATCGCACAAAGAAGAAAGGAACGGGAATAGGCGAGCGCCTATCTACACGCGTGGGCCCGCCGCGTGTACACAGGAGTTCGCCGGCGGCTGGGAAGCGCGCACGCCACGGAGTACGAGGCGTGCGCGCACCAGTCAGATCCGACGAAGGGACGACTGGGAGCATATCTAACTGTGTGCGATGAAGAACAGGCTCATCAGGGGGGGCCGGCGGCGGGGATGGGCAGCAAAGAAATGTCTAAAACGTTTCGCATTCCTAAGCGCGCTGAATTTCTGATTACGAGAGCGGCAAATCTAGAAGAGAGAAAAAAAGCGATGCAGAGCGTTGGAGGCGGATGTGCAAAAGTGCCAGAAAAGAAAAACCGTCGACAGACAAAAGAACTAAGAAAAAAGGAGAGCCTCCGGAGGAAGAGAGAAATATGCCTCCCCCCACGAAAAGTGGGGGCAGGGGGCACCGCGTTCCCCTTAGGTCTACCGGGGGCGCCGCCTCCCAAGTTCGGGCGCCCCGCCTATCTCTAGTTGCACATCGGTACTCGCCTTTTCTCAAGAAGGCAGGGGAGCGACCTACTTTTCCCCTGGCGCATGTTTACCGCATAAGCGCAAGCGGAACGAAGGGCGCCGGAACGATGGAAAAACCCTACCCACAAATATCCACAGAACGGCAGCACCCAACGCCCCCCCCGCGCACGGATTAGGCATACGCCGTCACCGAAGACCGCACGGTAGGGATCGCAATCTTTTTGGCCGGGAGGTGTTAAAAGAGAAGGCGAAAACCAAGGCGAACGCGGGCCAAGTATGCCACGCTTGCGCCAAGCGCAAGTCACCGTCGCGACGGTGAGGGCTACAGGTGAACGAAACCCTGCGCCCCGAGAGGGGCCAGGGTTCGAGTTAAGAACGAAAGGGACCGGAGGTAGAGCAAGATACTAATCGACACACAACAACGGTAGTACGTAGAGCGCCGCAAAAGGTTTGTGGACTGGTGCCTTGACAAAGAAAAAAACTCCTGCGTGGAGGAGCAAAGAGAGCAGCTAGAAAAACACACCGCCCAGGGACGGCGGGCTACATACTACGGACGGGATCCCCTGTCTGAACTTTTCGAGTTTCCTTCGCAACGACGGTTCGTTGTAGCGATTTTTTGAAAAAAAAAAGAATGACAACTTTTGGGACAAAATGCCTTCGATGGTCGTACACGTACGGGAAGTTTTGAGCTTTCATTTTTTCGGAAGGTGGGGCACCGGGATACAATTTTCGGACTTTCATGCTGGGCGAGCAGGCACGTAGCGCTGCGCCCACGAGTCTATAACTATATTTTTTTTGTATGTGGAGTTTTTCATAGGCTTATCTTTACTGAACTGTAGACGAATGTGCGGCGGAATGACAGAACTAGCGACGCCGAACGCGCAAGAAAACGACCTATAGCAGGGTGAGAAGAAGTACAGCGAGAAACTGATCAAGAGCGATGAAAATTTTCATTGTCGACGATGCCCCGCTACACATGGCGGGGCGCGTGCCCTCAAAGCTGGTCGTCATAGCCAGGCAGGGAAGCAGGAAGAGGGACGCGCGACACACAAGTGGTGACCGACCCAAGGTCGGACGCCTGCGCCGCCTCGGCAGCTTTCTCCGCGACCTCAAGGAGCAACCGCGCCCGGTCGCGCAGCGGCTCCGGGATTTCCCGCAAATCGGGGCCCGCCCGGTCTCCTCGTTTCCCCCAGCGAAACATCCCCCCAAGGAGACAAGTGGCGCCTGAAAAGGTTCCATACGTAGCTCCCTGGCGTAACCGCACGCCCACCCCCGTGAGCTGCAAGTAGACGCCATACCCGCCGCCGCGCCCGGCCGCTTCACGGAGCAAATTACCAAAAAGCGGCCCGGGGGGCGGGCGGTCTTCCACGTTCGCTCCCGCCCAAGGGTAAACTGTGATAGCAAGGGCCTGCCCGTAGGCGTAAAGCAGCAGGCGGTGTCCACGCGAAAGCGCCTTGCACTGCAATAAAATCCCCTCGACGTGGAAATCCCGGCGCGGCTGAGCGCGCTTTGTTGCTAGGTTGGGCAACGCAACCAAAGCAACGGGCGCCGCGAGCGGAAGCGGGTCGGGAAAATTCCCGAACCGAAACCCGCCGGTGGGGAAGCGTTCTAAACCCCCGCCCCGGGGATGCGCAGCTTCCCCCGCACCGGCCGAGGCCGGCTGCGCTTCGGGAACAGCAGGGGAAGGAGAAGTGGCAGCCGGCCCAAGTGGCGTTGGGACAACAGGAGGAGATGAAACTGCCGGCGCCGGCGCGGCGATGGCCGGGCCAACGTCACTAGGAAGCCCAACGCGGTCGGGCGACGCCCCCCGGTCCAGCTCGACCGACGCAACGGAGCGCCGGAGGCGCTGCCGTTTTTGCCCCTGCGAGGGCGTAGACTCCACCACGAGAGTCGTCCCGTCGATAGCTGCGACACGGAACCCCAACAGCCAGTTTGCTTCTTGCACCCGTTGGCCTGCCACCGCGCGCAGGTTGCCCGCCCGGGGGTTGCGGACTTTTACCCGGGTGCCAATCGGGAAAAGCCGCAAGCGGTCAACGACCGTCCCCCCGCGGGCCTGGGTGTACCTGTTAACACGCCGCTCCGCCTCCGCCATGGCCCGCTCGTTGGCCACGTCCCGCAAGGCCGCCAAGGCCGCGGACCGCGGAGGCACCGCCGGCGGCGCCGCGGGACTGGCAACCAAAGGCGGAGACGACGGCGCCGGCGCCACCGCTGCGGGCGGGCCGGCGGGCGCGACGGGAGCGCCCGCGGCGGGTGGCGCCGCTTCCGCTGCCGCGGCAGCCGGGGGCCCTGGAGATGGAGGCGGCGGAAGCGCAAGCGCCTCCGCCACCGCCCGGGCCTGTCGTGTGTGCGGCGCACACCCCCGGACGAACGTCCAGGGGGACTGACCATGCTTCCACGGCTTCGGGGCGGTGTTGTACCGAAACACCGCCCGCGGAAGCAGGTCAGCCCACGACTGGCCCGGGTGCTCCAGAGCCAGCGCCGCCAAGATTTTGGACAACGAGACCCACACCACCTCCATGGCCCCGTTGCCCTGCGGCCGCCCCGGCTCCGTGAACGACACCGAGCAGCCCCACTCCGAAAGGAGCAGGCCCCACTCGGTGCCGTTGTCGCAAACAACATGCTCCGGCAGCCCCCAGCTGCTCTCCAGCGGCGAGTACGCGAGCAGCGTACAAGCCGCGGAGTGGTCGGCCGCCGCGGCGGCCCACAACTCCCCGCCGACGGCGCAGACGGCGCCGCAGATGGCGACCGCCTGGCCGGGGGCGGGGTTTGTGGCAGTGGGGGCGACCCGGCAACGGGGCATGATTTTGCGGTCGATGTGCACTTTCCGGTAGACCTTTCCGGAAAGTGCACTGTGTTCCGCCGTGAGCGCCGCCGCGCTGTACGGCGGGACCGGCGCCTTCACCACCGCGCGCGCGGCGCAGACGCGGCAACGCGCCACCACGTCTGCGCAGATGCGACTCGCGTTGGAGCCCCAGTAGCCCGCTTCTACTAGGGCGGCCAGTGTGGAGTCGCGCCCGCGGTGCGACACCTCATGAAGTTTGGCCGCAGCGGCAGCCAGCTCGTCATCATTTTCAAGCACAGTGAGCCACCCAGCTGGCTCCTTGAAGATTTCCACCCGAGACTCCACGCCGGAAAGAGCGGTCCCCGGCTTCAGGCGGTAGTCCTTGCCGTGCTTGCGCCACCAAACGCGCTTTTTCTTGGTCGGCAACGACAAGACGAGCGGCTGCTGGGCCCCCTCGCCCACTAGCACGCGGCGAATTTCGTCCCACGAAACCGCGCGCGCCGCCCGTTTGGAGTCGCCATCGAGCGGCGGGGTGTCGGCGAGGCCGGACGCCACTTCAGGTCCCTCGGCGCCGTCGCTCGACTGCTCTTCACTGCCCCCTTGCGCGGAGAGCGGCGTCGCAACGGACGCCTCGTCGTCGCTCAGCAGGTTGACAACCTCCGAAAGAGGAACTGCTGCCTGTGCCGGGGGCGGGAGCGCAGAAGCGGGCGCACCCGCCGCTGCGTTCACACCCACAACAAGTGCCGCTTCCGCTCGACGCCGTTTGGTGGACGGGCTGTCACCACCAGCAGGCGCGAGAGGAGACCCAACTTCTGGGTCGGCAGGCTCTTTGCCGGGAGGGGGGCCCGGCGCACCCCCGGCTGGCGAAGGGCCGCCTGGCGGGGCGGGCGGTGCAGTTACGGTTTCCACAGAAGCCGCGTCGCCCCGTCGCCGCTTGGCGACCGGGCTTGCGCGCTCCTGGGAGGTGGCGTCCCGGGGCTCGCCCGGGTTCAGAAATTCCGCGGCCTGCGGAGATCCGGCCTGGCCTCCCGTTGGCGCAGCTGGCTCCGCAGGAGCCGGGCGAAGGTCAAACGCCCCGGCGGGCGCGAGCTCCCGGGGCCCCTGCGTGAAGTCGGGCAACGCAGGACCAGGAGAAACCGGGGAAGCCCATGCGTTTGCTGCCGCGGCGGCGGCGCTACTACTCCCAACAGCCGCCCCGAACGGCGGCAGCGGCTGCCCGAGAGCTGCAAAAATGGCTCTCTGCCCGGGGGTGAGGCCCCGGCGGGCGCGAAGGTAGGGCGCCACCTCGATCGCGCCCGCGGCCTGCGCCGAGCGCACCCGGCAGACAAACCCCCCCGCGCCGGGTTTTGGGTTTACGGTAATCGGGACGCGCCCGGCCTGCCCCCGCTGGCAGGCCGACACGTCGACGCCGTGCGTGTCCTCATACAATTGCCGGCGAACCTGCTCGGCGGCTTCCCCGGGTTTATCGGCAACCACAAACCAAAACTGGAACTTTTGCGCGCTTGTCTCGGTAACCAATCGAGGCTCCCCGGCGCCGGAAGGAAATTCCGGGGGGGACGGCGCGGCAGCATGGTCTATGTCCACCATCACAAAAGTCCTGTCCGCCGCCAATGGCAGAAAGAACAGATGCGCGCCCTGCTGCTGCGCCTCCACCGCAAGACGCGGCAGGGCCGCCGCGATTTCCCCGCGCGGAACCTCGCGGCGGTAGCCCTGCCTGCCGGCAACCTTCACGGTGAAGGCAAACCCCGCCGCCTCTGGGAACGCCGTGAGAAGGTGCCCAGCGGCAACGCCTGCGCGCAGTCTGTGAATTTCGGCCCAGTCCCAGTTGCTGGTGTCGTGGGCGGGCGCCGGTGGGGCAGCCGGCGGCACCGGGGCCGGCGCAGCCGGAACGGCAGACGCCACAGGGGCACCGGGCTGCGCAGCGTCGCCGCTGCTGCTACCAACCGGGACCAGCGCTCCTCCCGACGCCTCATCCGGGAATGGAGTGGGTTCCGGTAGCTGCAGGCTAAATTGCGCCCGCAGTTTTTGTAACCAGCTGCTCTGGCGCTCCGACAAGGAGCGCAACCAGGGCGCCCGCACGAGGAAATCCCGCGCATAGCCCGCGCCACTAAGGGCATCTACGGTGACTGCCCAAGCAGCCTTTTCCCGCACGCGGGCGGCGAAGGCCTGCAGCCGCGCCGAGACGCCCGCGCCCGGGGCGGCAAACTCAACCCGCGCCCAGGCAGACCGCTCGGCATCCGAGAAGGACGCGTCCACGGCGATTGCGTGGGCGGTTGCCGAGGCCTGCAAGCCCTCCCACTTGCGCTGCATTTCTAGCAGCACCTTCGCCGTTGCCGGCGTGGCCGGCGGTGGGTTTTCCCCCTCCCACGTGCCCGGGCCTGCGCGGTCACCTAGAAAATTTTCTTCAAACTCGCTCATAAACGACGCGAGGGGGCTAGCAGCCCATTCCTGGAGGCGCTCTGCGACCTCCTGCTGGTCGATTTCCCCGCCCAACATAGCCATTTTCTGAAGATACTCCCCAATTAATACTTTTGCCAAATAAATATATTTTGTTGCCCCGCCCCGGATTCCTTATATAAATCTTTACTTTCCTGTAGGTGTGCTGCCCAGATAAATCGCCGCTTCTTTGAGCGAAAGTGTAGTTTTATCCTGTGCAAAAATGTCGCCGCCCCATAAACACAAAGCTCCCATCTTTATCCATTTTGCATGCCAACCATGCCCTGTGTGCGATCTTGTACACTAGCATCACAAAGTTAGCGCATCTCACTGATTCCCGCATCAGAAACTGCAAAACACGACGAGGGCATGCTCTTCACGGGGCCCCCCGGGCGAAACTCTGTTTTTATTGGATGGCAGATTTGCATGACAGGTTTGGGGGGTGACGTTTTTGCTCAGGATAAACACTATGGTTAGTGTCTTTGAGTCTTGGATACTGCCCGCGGCTCGAATACTGCTGCCCTGCACTGCTGCCGATACTTATATAGCAATGCGACTAAACTGTTAATACTGCTTGTTCAAAAACAAAACCTGATCTACGATAGTGCTGCCGATGTTTACACTGCTTCAAACTGATTCAAATTGATATGCTTTGCTGTGAGCGATGTTTGCTTAGGGATGCGCTTGTGGAACGTGCTGGCACTGATTGGTGTAAAAAGATAAAGCTACTGCCTGGAGTTAGAAGTCTGCTGACTACTGATTTGCTGCTCGATGTGTGCTACGCTTGGGACCTGACTGCGCATTTTACTCCGCCAGAAGCATGTCGACAATAGCTAGCGCGCGCGCGCGCGTTCGAGGGCGATGTGACCGAAGGGCCGCACATAGGGCAGTGAAGTCCTGCAGGCAGGGCGATGGAAGATGTACAAGGACCGAACTGCAGCGCACTCTGGCTGCTGCTCACACGGAGACTCGCTCTCTATGGCCACTCTGTTTCTGCTAGCAGTCCGTTGGAATGCAGATGACCGAGCGACTGCCGACTGTATATAGTTGTAGTGCGGCGCGTAGTGCGTCGTAGCGCGACCGCGGCCACCCGGAACGAAGCGGGGCTAGAGCGAAACCATACAAAACGACGGCGCGGAGGCATTGTAGGTCCCTTCGCGTCCGGGGGCCCCGGGAAGTCCTGGGGGCCCCGTACCGGACGGTAGAACCAGTACCGCAAGGGTCCGCCGGGAAAACAGCGGACCAGAAAACACAACAAATTTGTATGAGAAAGCGACTTATAGGCAAGGTTTCTTCTAGGACAATTAGGGGCAGGCCCCTTCGTGTCCCGACATACAAATATAATCTGGGGGGTCTCAGGAATACTGGTTCACTTGTTCAAAAAGTGAAGCAAGTAGTACAGTAGCATGAAGATGAAGATGCACTTGCACATGCACGACTAGTCCGCCTTCTACAAAACTACCCCAAGTACTAGCACTGCCAGACGTCGTAGCATAATTCATATATAATAATTGCAGGGTCTACCTCTACAGTAAATATTTTTATCGACAAAAATCTATTCACACCGTTTTCAAAGCACAGCTCCACGGTTGCCGGGTCCCCAGCGGTATGCATTGCAAAAGTATCGTACTAGGATAAATCGCATGACAAATTTGCTCAGCATGAGAAATGAAAGTTGTCATGCTGTTTTACCTTGGAAAGGAGATTTGTAATGCATGATTGCAATTACTACGAGTACAATACTTTTGCACAGGATAATCGGCGCACGCGTCCACGAGTCTGTCGTTCCAAAACGTGGTCGGTGAAGGGTTGTAGTCGGAGAGCTATCAAGTGCAAATATGTCTGGGTCTGGAAACTTGTGATGCCAATGTCCGAATGATACGCAACCTGTATCAGGGGGTCGCGCATGACAAGTTTCTGAGCGGCTATCTATGTGTAGCGTGAACCGCATGACAAATGGCCTTTTTGCGTGACAAGCAAGTGGCACTGTAGCGCGCCAAGCATGACAGACTTTTCTGTCTTGTCGCCCAAGCATCACAAACTTGCTTTCTTCCAGACCCGAACATATTTGCGCTGGATAAGAGCGCGATGTTCACAATGTACGGAAACTTTGCTGCACAATAGGACTCTTCGCGGGACCGGCCAAGCAGGGCGTACGGGACATAATATGCAATGCAAAAGTATCGCAGTAGTATGAATTGCATTACAAACTCCCCCAGCACTACAAACTAAATTTGTAATGCGGATTTACCTTGAGAAAGAGTTTTGTGATGCATAAATGCAATTACTACGAGTACGATACTTTATTTGCAGAGGGTACATAAACCGGGATCGCGATTTCGAAATTCTCGACTGTGACGTATGGAAGGGGACGAGTGGAGGATTTTCAGAGTCACCATTTTTTTTGGGGGATTTGTCCCTGCTTCATCTTCCCGCTAGAGAAGCTAAATCATTTCAAGCAAGAACGTCAATGCCAAATATTTGAAATTGGACTATTTATTTGCAATTAAGTATGCAGTCCATTCTTGCGACAGCATGCGTTGTCGCGTTCAGGACTCAGGGCGAGAACATCCTCAACATGCAAGTAGGATCACGATCAGCGAAACAATATTACAAGGTTCAAGGCCTGTTGTATTTTATTATTTCGACTCAGACACCCCGCGCGTGACAACTTTCATACCCCATCGCGCAAGCAATCTCGATACGGTCGACCGGTCATCAGCTCGACCAGTTGGACTTTAGCTGGTTTTATTTTGTTGATATTGTCATTGTGGTTGGTTTTTGCTTCTGCATAAAATCCAACACCAACTACGTTGCAAGAATGAAAAACAAAGAACGACACGACAGAGCGATTTGTCAACTACTGTAAGTACTTGGATGCGCGTAGCCCTCCTTGTCGTTGAAGGGGCGCACGTCGTTTTTAATCGCCATCTGGTGCACATCTTCTATCTCGAGGGTCAGAAACTCCCCGAGAAATATCCTTTTTTCCACGGCGCCCGTCGCTAACGCCAGGGAGTCAATGGAGGAGTTTGTTGATGTGATCGAGGTCCTGGTTATGGTGGATTGCTGCTCCATATTTGACTGCTGTGTCGTTGCATTCGGTGCAGCATGCACCGCAAATGTGTCTGGGTCTGGATTTTGTAGTGCGGGACTTCAAGGACAACATCACTATGTATCTCTATCAACAAGACCTAATTTGCATGAATACGTCGATTGGGCAATTTTTCTGTCGTGCTGAATACGCTTGAATCCGCAAAAAGCTCCTCAGGGGAATTCCTCATGCTGTTACGCCGTACAAGCAGCCAGTCTGCAATGTATCAGAAACACGACAATTTTCTGGAGGACCCAGACATATTTGCAGTTGATACGCAGTTGAACCGGCGGTCTGTGGAGGTAGTTTATTTCTCAGAAGTTGCTACAGCGACGTGTAGTTGTGCAAGTTAGTTATAAAAATGCGAGTCATGCCTACAACGTTGTCATGCACAAACAGAATAAAGCAAGCAGTTACAATACCTGAAACGACTCGTGGACGACGCATTTCCCCATCAGGATGTCACTCCAAATGGCGTTGTCTTTTCCCACTTTGAGAAACGCGCTGACGCTGGTATCCTGTGTGTCAAATCTACTTGCTCCGACATGAGTTTAGCGTGCTGACATGATGACAAGCTGGAATAAAACATACATCTTCGTATTGGCTGTGGCACGACCTAGTAATCGAAATGAAGTCTACTTCTCTTTGCAAATCTTAACACTACATTCTTTTTTCAGGCGCCACTTGCCTGAATGAAAAAACTTAGCTGCGCCAAACAAATAAGTATCACAGCTGCAGTTGGTCTTCTTCTTGATTTTCGTGTCAGTTGAATAAATGATTTATTCAGCTATCCGATTTAAGCGCATGATGAGCAAGGGGTTGTCACACAGGATACTTTGCCTTTTTGGTCCAGAAAAAGACGCAAACGTTTTCCCGGTTGTCTGGATACCGCTTATCCGTCCGGTTTACCAAGTCTGCAAACCCGCGCCATACCTGCAGCTTGGACTCCCTGTGCACTACAGTGTTCTGCTCTACGTCCTCGTCGTAAAGCCTCCTGTACTCGATCGGCTCCTTGCCCCACATGTCCTGCGTCCGCGCCCGGCGGTCGAAGAGCTCCGACAAGGTCGGGGCCTCCCGCGTCGTCCCAATTTTTTTCGCGGCCCCCAGCATCGTCGCGCCCGCGCGCTTCGGGTCGGCGGTTACCGTCATGAGTCACTGTTATATTAATGCCCTGTCTTAACAAAAGAAGAAGAACCTAGCTGTTATTATTTCAATTATTAGTGTTGTTCGCTCAAATGAAAAATCTTGAAGCCACGCCATCTCCTTTACTTCGACGCTTGTGGATTGTGTATACCGTTTGTCAAATAATATCAGTAGCCACTTTCTCCTCAACAAAGGTACTACCCCCATTGATTGTGGTCCTCACAGAGGTCAAATGAAAAACGCTTCGTGATCTTCTCCCGATCCATAGACAGAGCAAGTACAAGGCGAAAAGTGAAAACCGAACGATTGAAAAGTACGCTAACTTGCTTCCCCCACATCTGCAATCGTCGATGAAACAGAATCAATCGATCCACCCAGTGCGAATGAAACTGATGAAGCACGAACGGACGATCCGCGGAATCTGCAGCTTTGTGGAGGTCCCCAACGAAACTACTGTGTCTGAGTCTGAACATGCACATGGGCTATCACATCCACGCACAATAAACTCGTCGTGGGTCTAAAAATTAGTTGTAAACCGAGCGCGTACAGGTACAACGACACCGAGATTAGTACTTAGACCACAAGAAAGAGAAAAACGATCAGGAGGGGCCACTGCCCAGTGATTTGACAGCAGCAGCGCATGCTCTAGTAACTACAGAACTCAGCCAGGGGGCAATCTTGATAGATGATGATGTTGCCGCTGAGCGCTTCCGAAGATTCGTACATTCCATCTCTACATCATACATCATCATCATGTTATAGTAGTGCTTGTCCTGTGAAAGTTTCTGCCGTTCTGTTCATTCTCTTCCATTTTTTCTTGGACGTGCACACGAGCCTGGTGCTTCCCACATTTCGGTGTCATTCTACAGTCCAGGTTTGATCCTGGATGCGATAGAAAGCCACCCCTTGCCGTACTTCACTTCTCTTCCACTTGGCTTTTTTTTTCTTGCTCTTCCACCAACATTATACAAAAAAAATAACTGAAATACTAATTCGTTTTTGTGGAGCAACAAATAACATACGCTTCGCGTTACGGTCTCATAGCTTTCCGTTCTTCTTCTTTATCTTTTGGTTTTGCCTGCTTCGTTGAAAAAAATACATTCAGATTCATTGCGCAGCTTGTTGATGAGACTAAGGGCGGCCGCTGCATGGAACGGAGTGCAACGGAGATTGTGGGGCGGAATGCTTGCGTGTTGGTAGCACCCACAACATCCGATATTATGTCCTATGCAAAAACGACCTGCTTCGTCTCCTTCTTCAGAGCGTCCAACCGACCCTAAGTTGTAGTCAGATTCCGAAGATTTCTTCATCTTGTTTTTGTAGTTTCTCGTGCTAACAAACCTTTTACATTCATTTTCGAATGACAATAATCTTAATTGAAGGTTAAATATATGAAAGTTGATTTCGTTTGATCCCCAATGTAGGCTTAGTTGTAAGCTCCTGACGAAGTAATAAATCTCTGCACTGCAAATGCTTTCTGCTCAGCGCCATAGTTGGATTAAGTCATCCAAGGTGATGAATGTACTTATTCTGTTGCTGTTCGGCGCTGTCGCAGTAAAATGTCCTTGAATCTTCTTGATCATTTTTACATCAGTGCCTGGATTGGAATTATATCCCAAGAAGTAGTTGATTGAAAGGATATCGCTGCTCAAGACATGCTCCTTTTCTAGTTTTACATCATGCTTCTTCTCTTTACTTTTTTTTCTTGTACTTGTTTTAATCATAGTCTTACTCAAGTGCGTTCAATACAATTTCCCCCGTGATGAATCAAGTGCATCGGCTGGGTCCTAGTAATTTATCATTCTCGTTGGGATGACAGTGAAAAGGGGCGGCTTTGTTCGAAAGTATGATGTGCTTCGCCTCTGTGTATGCTTGTCGTGCCAAGCTAGATGAAGTAAATCTCTACATTGCAGAGAAACGCTTTGGGAAATTGAAATCCTACATCTCTTATTCTTTTCTCCTGTTTCAAGAAGGATGATCATACTTACATTTACTACCGATTCATCGCGGCCCACCACTTCTAGTTCTCATCGAATCCACCGAGCTCGCGGACGCGGAGCGCGCGCGCGCATGATGATCAGTCGCGTGACGACTTCGAGACCTTCCTCGACGACCCGGGCCTCTGGACTGCCTCCGGCTACGACCAAGAACCTCTTCTTGCGATGCTCCCATCCCCGCCTGGAACCGCTCTTCGGTAGGACAGCGCAACGACTGAACGAAATTCCGAATCCTATCTTCCTCTGCTTCAGACAGCGGGCCAAGGTGATCCACCCTGCTGCTGCGGCTGCTGCTGCTCCCCGTTAATATTTCACCAGGTTCTACCGGTTGTAGTAATACCAAGGATTCTCTGTAGCGTCGAAACACCCTCGCGTAGTACGGCCTGGAGCTCCGTTCAGCGCGCGTTTGCCGCTCGACGCCCGCTTCTGCCTGTGCCACGCCAGAAGGGTCCACTGCACGCAGCGCCTCCACGGTTTTCTCCACGTCAAGCAAGGACAGCCCGTTTTCGTCCGTTAGCGTCCAGCGCACAACGAAAAGCGCTTGGAGTATCGTCGCGACTCTTCTGTGGAGTTGGTCCACTTTCGTTTCGCAAGTCATAGTGCTGGGCGCCCTCTCCGGGTTGTGCTTCTTCGCATAGCTGCCGAACATATCGCTCAAAATCTTAGCTATCTTGCTGCGCTGCGGATGCGGAGTCTCGGCGGTAGAGGCTGGCGCAGCAGCGGTCGTGGTTCTGCCGGTCTCGCTCTCGAGGAACTGCAGGCTTTTCATAAATTGGCGATGAAACTTCACCGACAAATCCGCCAGCTCCTTGTTTGCTTTCCCTCTTTGGCCAAACAAATCAAGATATCGCACAGAAAAGTCTACACATAAAATGCTACGACCTCGGGTCCACGCAGAGGTCGAAACCGGTCCTGGCGCTATCGAATCAAAAATGCAGCAATTGTAGTTCTTCCTATGCCATCAGTTTGGCAATGTGTTTATGTTCTTTCCATGAAAAGTACGAAGTAGACAGAACTCGCGGCCTGCTTGAAAAATCATGCCAAAAACGCCTCGCTTCCACTGTGCGACCAACTAGCAGCATTCTTTGCGAAGAAGCTTTCTGTGCCATACAACGCGGCCGAGTGGATATCTCTCTACAATCGCGTCTAGATCCGCCTCCCGGTCCGCCAAATAGTGCAGCAGATTGCGAACTGCCTGCGTAAAGTCCTTGAATTTTTGTTCTTCTTGGATGCGAACATGTACATGGCCCTCTCCAGTGCGAGAATGCTCTGACTGTGTTTGCCTGGCGTACTGGCCCACGGCTGCCGCCGATGATACAGCGTCGAACGAGGTGCCCAGGGTTCGATCCCCCGCTCGTCCCGCTTCTATTAAGTCGCTGAAGTCACCAGGTTCGGCGCACTTCTCTAGCTGCACTTTCGCCGCCACAATCTTTCCCCGCAAACGTGCGACCTCGGCGCTCCGGGGCCCGCTGCAGCAACTCCGGAGCTGCTCCTGCTGCTGCAGCTCATTCTTCTGTTCGCGCAGCGCCAGAGCTGCCGCCTTGCAGTCCTCCAAAGTGGACCGCGGCATTATCTTGCCACCGTAACTTTTCAACATGTAGCGCAAGGCCGCATCGGCGTGAGTAGCAGACTCCGCGACGGCTGTGTTTCCCAAAGCTTGGAAGTCCATGAAGAACTGACTCGGGGTGCATTTCGAGCGGTAGGGCTTGGCTGCACGGCGCGCAAGAATCTCTGCCATGGATTTCAAACGAGTCAAGCGTAACCCCCGGTCGTGCACCGCAGTGCCCACACTTAGGTAAGAAAACGCAAAACCGGTAGGCGCATCGATGTCGGTTTTCGTGCCGCCCTTCGCCAAAGCTACCAAAAACTTCTTTTGTATAGAGGTCACTTCTCTTGCTGGTGCCAGTACGCTCCGGCTGGAAACCACTTCCGGGAGTACTCCGTCTGAGCCAACGTATCCTAACGAAAAACTGACTCCTCGCTTTTTGTCGTTGCTTTAGCAGCACAACACCTCCGCGCACTTGTGAATATAAACTTCAAAAAATTGTTTCTGTTCCTGTCACTCGGAGCGCACCTTTTTCTGCTGATCAGGGCTGCGCGCACCCCCCACCCGGGTTGTGCTTGTGTGTTGCTTCTCTCTCATGCTACGAGCAGCAGGCGGTTACATAAGTCGATCTAATTCTAAATCCACGTCATCAGCTCAGGCTCATTTTTATAGGAGAAAACAAAGAGACGACTGTCGGTTCGTAGTTCTACTACTTACCGATGCGTCGTCGAGGGAGGTATCGCTATCGTATTGATTATGATTTCCTTGCAATTGCATTACAGGAGTAGTTGCAGATTGTGCAAAACCACCAAGGCGCTGTGCTAAAAACAGCTAAGCAAAAAGCGACTTCTTCAAGACCAGTTGGATAGGCGGTAGTAGCTGAGCTCGGTTCGGAACGGGCTTGCGCTAGTCGGCGATTGATCGCTCCGCACGTACAGACGAAAGCCGGCACTTGGGGGCGCGTCTGCATGCGGTCGTGTAGTCGTCAATGCTTCCGGAACTGTCTCTCGACTCTCGAGGATGATCATCAAGCCGTCCAGTGGGCGCGGAGTGATGCGCGCCCGGTCAGCCTCCGACACCCTGCTCAGGTCGTACATGGCCCACCCCACATTCCGCCCCGGAGCAAGAAGCTCCTGCACAAGCTCCAAGTCGTCCAGCTCGGGGATCTCGGGGATCGGGGGGAACTTTCTTTTATACAAATCAAACAAGCGGCGCTTCTCAAATTTTCTCATCTGGTGCCGACGCGGGTCTTGCGCAGCTTCAACCCCATTTTGACTGCCAAAAAAAAGAGGCCCCGCTCCTCCGCCAAAAGCACACCACATCGCGGAAGCGAAAGTGTTCCGGACCGACCTACGCAGAAACTCGGTCATCTTTTTTCCTTTCCGACCACAAGTAGTGTGCAGGTTCTTGATAGATGCAAACGATGTCGACGGAACTCGGAATGCGTATATTCTGTTGCACGATTCAGATGATAGAGTATTGGGCTACTCACTCGTAAGGCGGGGTAAAGGTAGATAAACTGTTTAGGTTTTATCGTGGAACAAGGCAAGAGACAGAAAGAAAGGACCTACAAGTTGCCTGACACCACGTGACTTAGGAGGTTGTAATAATTGACAACCGAAGTTGATGATCGTAAAGAGTCGTTTTTGCAAAACAGAAAAATAGAAAACTACAATTGAAGAATCAATAGCACAATCATGCTCAGAATCTTGTTCCTGTTTTAGCAACTGCGGAAAACGAAACGCCGAGCGACTCTCATAAAGCATACTTATTCAAGATCTACAACACTTCGATAAGGGAACCTTTCTTCATTTCGCTTTTTCCCTTTGCTCCCCCACCAGGCACTCTAGTTGTATCTCATGGCCCAAATAAATGATGAAGATCTTCTCGCAATTTTCAATCATTTGGATCTCGATTTTTGAACTGATCTTGCCTGTGATCCTGGCACGACAATAAAATCATTGATTTTTTGAACCGACCATCAGGATGCTCTAAAAAAGGGGACCGTGTTTATTCTTTTCTTTCTCGCAGGAGCGCGGAGGCCGCGGAACGGACAGAACCGATGGCAACAAGGTGTCTATATTATCATAATTTCTTCGAACTATTTGTACCATTCTTGTCGCAACAGCCACGGCCTGTAGAAGCTGATCTCGTACCGAGGACACTCTAGATACAACATTTCTGAAATGAATCCAGCATTGCGCTGCTGCAGCCGCACATTAGGAGCGGACTGAACTGTTGAAGAAACGAGAACGAATTCTCCTCGGCGACGCAAAGCGCTTATCACAATCACTCCATACCAAGTGGTCCATGAACAAAAATGGGCACGGCCTCTTCTGGGCGGAGGAGGTGGCTTTATTAGACTCATTCGAAAAAGAAATCCCAAGTTCAAGTAGAATCTTCGACGCAAATCTTTCAGACGGAAGGGTAGAAAATAAAAGTGCGCAGTCCATAGGACGCAACCCTCAAAACATCAAAAAGTCAAAATTATCTGAGCGGGAACGAAAACTGGGCGTAGTGGATTTTGTCTTCGTTTGTGTCGGATCGTTCGACCTAAAAAAAAATGCAATTCCAAGCATAGGCCAGGGAGTTTTGTCGTACTCGCAAAAAAGAAGGGAAAAAAGACACGTACGGGTGGAAATAGAGCAATACAGCCCCCGCTATTATTGACGATGAATTTCTTCATTTGCAGCAATTCCTCCTTCATCATCCACCCGCACCCTTGAAGATTCACGATAAAATATCCGAAAGCACGCGCCTCAGCGCGACCGCCAAGTCTCGGCCATACAGCAGTGCCTCGGCCTCCAGAGTTCTTGTACTAGAACAACCATTCAGTACCACAGAAGGTGGCGACCAAGAAGACGACCTACGTGTTGAAGACGAAGACGTACTAGATCGTGGTGAAACTACGTTGTTTTGCGTGGTCACAACTACGCCGTCAGAAGCCAAAGGTTTGGGTTGTTCTTGTTCTTCTTGCTGCGCAGCAGGCCTTCTGGTAGAAGTATTTGTCAGTATTTTCCCGTGTTTCATGCACCCCTCCACGGTAATTCCGTTTGGCCAGCGGCAGTAGAATATCAACTGCAACCATGTGGTCTGGGTCTGGAACAGTGCAAGTTTGTCAGGCTGGTCTATGATCACATGACTCTATAATTTTAATTCTGTGACGCGAGGGCAGGAAATAAAGACCCTCTCCCATGAAGGTCATGCGAAAACGCAGCCTTCCATGCGCAAAACGAATCACATAGAAGCCCAAAAAATTTGTAATGCTTGCCTGCGTAACATTGCAGTGCGCATATCATTCACTTTTGGCATTACAACTTTCCCGACCCAGAGGACATATTTGCAATGCATATCGAAGCACCCGTCTGCTTTTCGCTTGGTGTGCTCGTCCTTGGGCGCAGAAGGGGACCAGCGCGGGGTGGACGAAAACCTTCTCAGAACTTCTTCTACTCTCTTCGGAGAAGATATTTTTGTCCTTGTTGCGTTGGAGGGTCGTGTACTTGCACCAGCACAACTGTTTTTTCGACGATGAAAGAACGAGTTGCCTTCTCGTCCAGTGGTCGTGCCAGAGGACTCCGCTTCGACGGGTGTTGAACAATGATCTTCGTCAGCACTAATGATCCTTTGAAGGTTTCTACTCAGCTGGTCATACAAGTTCCCGTAGTACTCTCTGCGCAAACTGCGCAGTTTCATCTTGGATCCCGAGGCCGGGGTGGAAGAAAGAACACCAACACGCTGATGTTCATCTTCTGCTTTTCCGCACAGCAGGAGAGCGGTCGTTAAGTCCTGGACCAGAGCGTGGAATTTCAGGTGATTATGATTTCTTCTTGCCGCAGATAAGGTCTTCATGGAACCGTTCTGCTTTGCTGGACAGGACGAACCGCGCTCCGTAGTACTGCTCTTGCTCGTGGACGATGCAAGAAGAACCATTTCAGAAGTACTAGCAGCAGTTGCAGTTCTTGCACCAGCTCCAGCATCAAGCTGACCGATCAACGCCGAATCTTCATTCGTCGTGCATGGTGGATCAACACTTGGCGTCAAAACAGCACCCGCAGATGAACAGCCCACCGCCACTTCACTTTTGATTTTGCGTCGCTTCGCCGCTGGTCCCTGAGATGAAGTAGCGGAGATGAGGTTAAAGTTGACGTCGGCGTTTTCATTGGGAACTACTACACCTGGACGTCGAGATGATGATGAAAATAAAACGTCGTCGTTCCCGTCGGGAGAAAAACTGAAATTCCCACTAGACGAGGAGGTGCTAGTACTATCCTTATCGACTTCGACTTGATGCTCGTCCGGCAGAAATGAATTATTCTCCTTCTCACCAGCGTCTACTTTAGTACTGTCTCGCAAGAACGTCCGAGTAGGAAACAACATCAAGTCCTCGAAGGAAGTCAGGTTTTTTTCCGATGTAGGCTCTACCGTGGCGGGGGAGCAAGATGCGCGGCAGGAGCTGGTGGTAGAAACCGTGCTAGTAGAAGAAGCTCCTGTGCTCGCCCTTGTAGTGCTAGTCCTAGTCTCCTCGTCTGCATCATACTGATCCACTGCGTCGGCACAGCTACCACGACTTGTTAGTACCATGTTGAAGTTACAGCTATAGGCAGGCGAAATATAATTTGGTCCCCGCTTTATTTTTGCGCTGTGGACGTGGTCAATGGCAGGAGCTGTAGTTGCCTTTACACTGTCGCGTGCAGTACTAGACCCAGGCGGCCCTGCTGTACTAGCTGTTGGTGTTGTACAAACATGATGGCCGCTAGTATCTTCCGTTTTGGTTTTGACACAAAAAGAACCTTCTCCTGCGCCGGAGATCGTCGCGAGCACCTCGCTTCGGCTCAGGAAGCTTTTCTTCAAAACCGACTCGTCGCCGTGGATATCTAGGTGGGGGAAGAGAAGATCGGGCCGTCTACTGGAGTGCTGTACCACGACCTCCGAGTGATCTTCGCACAGGCCGTTTTCTCGTTGTTTCTGAGTAATACGAGTAGAAGTTATACTCTCCTTGTTCTTTCCGTCCCCGTCCCCCATCGCCGCCGTAATTACTCGCACCTCTTTGCTTTTGGCCTGAAACCAATCTTGGTTCATATTCACCCCCTTACTTATCAAATGCAAATATGTCTGGGTCTGGAAGAATACCTGGTTTGTCATGCATATTTTGCATGACTCAGGATGTCTGTAATGCACGATCCAACATCACAGATTTTTAGAGGCCTTCCTCATGCCTATTCGGCATGATAAAAGCCCTCCCCGCGTACTACAAACTGGACTTTTCTTGCTGGTCATGCAATACAGATTTTTTTAGAATCCAAACTCAGCATCACAACTTACAACCTTCCAGACGTCCAGGGATATTTGCAATGCATATTACTATTCGTGTACCAATTCCCGAGGGCCACCCCATCCGGGTTCGCTAGGGGGACGACGCGCAGACACAAGCTCGGGTGCTGGCGGAAAAGCTCGAACCAAGAATAATTGTAGTTATTTTTCCCTGCAGTCGTGCTGGAGGCTGTACATACAGTTGCGCTTGGTCGTGTGGTGCTGTAAGTAGCGGTGGAACCAACTTGCTGATGCATGTGCTTGTCCTCCTCCTCGTCCTCTCTGGCACAAAGAATCTCCCGCAGGAAGCCCTCCAAGATGAAACTGGCAATGCTATCATAAGGAAAAACGTCCCCACCCCAGTGTTGTCATGCAAATCTGCATGCCAAAAAGGTTTCCCATGTGGAGCCGCATGAGAAGCGTTTTCTAGTCGTGTTTCAGAATATGTGATGCTCGAACCAGCACGATATGCTAGATCTGTGATGCTGCTGGAAGTAGCTAAACAGGATTACACTACAGGGTCAAATTTGTCATGCGAAACAACCAAAGCTGGATGATTTGTCTAGCAGATTTCCCATCTTGACTCTGGTGTGGGGATGTTTTTGCACAGGATAAATGCTCTCACCCGGGTGCTGGCGACAGACCACCCAAAGATTTCGATATCAAATGCAAAAGTGTCTGGGTCTGGAAGAATGCGCGACTTGTCACGCAGCTTTTCCATGACCCATGAGGTCTGGAATGCGAGACCCAGCATGACAGATTCTCTGAGGTCTCTATCATGCCTTTCCTGCATGAGAAACTCCCTCTCAACTTGGTCAAAATGGGACAGCTTTTGGCACTCATGCAACACAGATTTCTGCATGATTCGGATTTAGCATGACAAGTTGCAATCTTCCAGACCCAGACATTTTTGCATTTCATATTCGAGTTCTTCTTGTCATTCCTGAACATGGGCTGTTTCTTTCGCTCGTCATTATACTCTTCAGGCTGCTATCGTTCGTATCTGGTCTGCCGAAAGAAAGAACAGGACGGCTCTGCAATGAGGATGAGTGGAGACTCAACAGCTGCAGTGGCCTTCCCTGCTCGCTGTAGCCGATGGTTTCCAGCGTTGTGCAGATTTTCAACATGGGGTGAAAATTTGTATCCTGCTCCCGGTTTTTGTAGCTGCTGTCTTCTGCACCAGGAATTGCAACCAATTCCCGCAGGAATTTGTCACACCGGGCGATGGAGTAGGGCGGGTAGTAGGCGAAGGATACAACTTCTTCTTTGAAATGAACTCTTGACGTCGAGGTGGACCTCACGACCTGGGGCTGGGAAAATTCTTCACTTTTCGCTCTGACACGAACTCCTCCGCGCCGTTCTTGCGCCTTGTGGTGTTCCGCCGCACATTTCTTGCCTTGTTGATCGTGAGCGTGATCTTCTTGATGTTGACCTCGGTGGAAAAAATAAGTGTACTTCCATGTAATAACACTGGAATTTTTTGTGCGCGGCGAAAATATCTTTTTGTTCGTCTGCATTTTTCTTGGGGAAAAATCTAGTCCGGCTTTAGTTGACCCCGTCGTGAAGCCGCCACTGCACTTCGTGTTTAAGATTCGAAACCATTGAAGCTCCGGGTCATCATGGTCCTCGTCAGCAGTGGATTGTTCTGCACATGGAATATCTCTTGTGCTGGTCGTCGTTGTGCTTCTATGACTATTGCTAATATCACCAGTTCTTGTCCCACCTTTGTCAACATGCCGTGCGGCGCAAACTTGGAAGCCCTTCCACGGCTGGGGATCATTCCCACGAACTTGTAGGCGGAATTCCACTTGGATGGGTGGTGTGAAGATTTTTTGCTGGCTCTCGTCTTCGTGATAATGGTCGTCAGGGGGTAGGTTCTCGCCGTCCTGCGCAGGTTCTACTTCATCTTTGGTGGAGGTATTTATCGTATGTGATGAATTACTTGTGCCAGAGTACTGCATCTGCAGCTTAGCTCGAAAATGGAACCAGAAGCTGTATTTCTGCGGCGTAAACTATCCAGGAAATAAAAAAGTATGTAAGTGTAACTTTCTTAGAGAAACAGCATTACAAATTTGCTCTACGTGACAGAGAAAACCTGTCATGCGTGGCTCGTAAGGAAAAACACACATGAAAAGAAGACTTCATGGCTGTCTGGCATGACAGGCGTGAGTCTGTTGCATGTTCTGCAAGACAAAAAATTTACACTTACAGAGTGGTTTTTTTCTTGCATATGAACTTCGGCAGGTTCGTGTCGTCCCGCATCTGCAGGTGGCAAACAATCTTGTCCGGTTTCTCGTACTGTTATGCATTGCAAATATGTGTGGGTCTGGAAAGTTGCCAGGTTTGTCATGCAGATTGTGTATGATCCATGATGCCTGTAATGCATGATCTAGCATCACAGATTTTTAGAGGGTTTCCTAATGCCTATCCCGCATGAGAAATGCCCTCCCCGCGTAGCACAAACTGGAGTCCTGTTGCTGGTCATGCAATACAGATTTTTTTCAAATCCAAAGACAGCATTACAAGTTCCAACCTTCGAGACCCAGACATTTTTGCATTTCATAACTGTGTCGACTTCACGATCACGTTGCCGCTCTCAAAGTCCGTGTCGATCGTGAGGTGGAATGGATGTTTGCTGTGATTTAACATATCTTCTTCATCTTTTCCACAAGCCACGGCGGAGCCAATTCTTGATGCAGGAGCTTCATGCAGCTCCTCGTCGCGGCCTGGCAGTACCACCTGGGGCTTGTCCTGCTCCAAGGAAGTAGCTACATTCGTCCCGATGTAAGCACCGCTCACCTTTGCGTGATTTTGCAGCGGCATAGACTCCAGATCACAGGCGTACGAGCTCTTTTTCTTCGTGCCATCTACCACTTCTGCACGGGGAGGGGGCACAACTGCTGGGCGTAACGAAGCGGCTGGTTTTTGTGCCCTCTTCGCTGGTTTTGTATGTGCCTTCTTCACCACAGCTTGGATCTTTTTGTTCTTCATGATCAGAAATTTATCCGTGCGGATACGTGGTAAGTAAGTAAAAAGGAAAACGAAAAGATGAAAACCGTTAATGTAAAGAACAAGAAGTCGTAAGAACAGAGGAAAATAAATCAACAATTGAAGTGTGCTTCGCAAAAATTTCAAAATCAAAACTGCAAGGCTGCATGTGTCAATACGACCATGTATGTCCTGGATAGTGAAGAAACTAGGTCAAAAACGCGACTGCGACAACATCAACATCTTCATGAAAGCGACTCAATAATAAATGTGGTTGTGACACAAAAATTCAAAACAAAGCGATTCAAAAACTCAAAACGATGAGGAAGAAAAGTACAATTGCGTGAAAAAAAAGTACTTAAAACCCACAACTTAGTCATAGGCTAGTTGTTCGCCAAGGCTGCTCTTGACACAAAATTCAACGCGCGGGGTGCGTGCGTGGGCGACGTGCTAGTTTAGTTCCTCTACAACGAACTTGAGTTAGGACCTGACAAAGTGAAAATCAACAGCTCCGATGCAATAAAACGAGTTTAGCGACCTGCACCTCGAGGACAGAAAAGTGATTCATCAACTAACTGCCTTTCCTCGTAGATAGTCGTTGGACGGAAATTTACAACTTCCGGTGCACGTACGATGTTGATGATGATGGTGGTGGACGTAGGTTCTACTTGTATCTCCTCTATGAAGCACGGCACAAGGGAACTACGCGATCTTGACGTTAGCAATAGGTATGTGAATAGTTTGCTATATTCCTGCATTCACCTGCTACAAGTGCAGCTACTGCAGCTACAACTTCCTTGCCAGTGGAAATGGACAGGAGATATTCCTGGACCGAGAAGCCTCGGAATCACGACCGACGGAGCATTTTCAATTTGAATTGTTACTAGACAGACACTTAAGCACTTTTTCTCCCTGCCGAACATGCTTATCGAACACAAAAGCACAGCTGCTTCGACAATCCATGGAACAGGAACAAACGGCAGAGGCAGATCTGGAAGCCCCCGGCCTCTTTGGTTTTAAAGTCGGCCCGTCATGTGCCACCAACATTGAAGAAGTAAACAAGTACTTACTCTCAACTCCGTAATTCTTCCGCTGCTAGACCTCCACAACTTGTAGTTTATAAAACCATGAAGCCTTGTCGTCTCGCGTCCGTCTGCTCGCTGCAAGAACTTTATGCAAACCGAGGGGGTGAAAGCTGCTGCTGCAGAAATTTCTGTCCAAAAATGCTTTATTGTTACTTCATCTTTGTCTTGTAGTTTGCATTGTTGTTTATTCCTGAAGTGGAAACACTTCGCGTCCTGCTCCTTGCTTTGTTCTTCCCTACGGTAGTCGCGTTTTTTTTGGATGACGAAGAAGTGCCGCGGTTTGCCGTATTACTACTGTTCTTGGGCGACTTACTGCTAGAAGTGATTTTATTCCCTCGTCCGGCCGCCTGCTTCATGCTGGACACCATTTTCATCGCTTGTGTGAAGAGAGCTGGTGGTGCAGTTTTTGGCTCTTCTTCTGCTTTCTCCTCGTCTTCATCATGATCAACTTTTTGCTTTTTACCACTCTTCTTGTCCAACTTTTGCCGTTCGACCGTCTGCTGCCCAACCGGCGTGGCCTTCGCCGGATTTACCGCGTATTGCACCAAGCCGGCCGTACAGATGGCGTAGCCCACCCACCCAATAAACTGCACCTCGGACGGGTGGGTGAGTCTGCTCACCATGGTGGTCACAAACTTGTAGCTGATGTTCGCCAACTATGAGAGTGCACAAATTCAACTCCCCCTCATTTGAATTGTAATGCAAAATACCAAACTCACACCTTGCTCGTAAGTACTGCACGCATGACAAATTTTGGAACCTCAAATCGCACAACAATCTGCACGCAGATTTGTCATGCGAAAGCCCTTTTTCTGCTGTAGCTTGTGTTGCTGTTCATGCCATACAAATGAGGGGGAGGGGAAGTTGTGCACTGTCATACCAACTGGATAGTGGTCGCGGAACAGAGGCCCTGGAGACCGAGAAGGAAAGAACCTGCCAAATACGACTTTTTTGTGCATGTAACCATCGTCCACGCGCTGTTGTCGTTGCTTTATGCATTGCATGAGATGAACAAGAAATGCTCTCTATTTCAGGAGGCAAAGCAACACAAGCAGCCGCAACGTCCTTATCGTTATCTCATTTACCGATGCTAAACGCCAAGAGAGCGCTCAGGACCAACTGGATGAAGACGGGTCTTATGAGCTCCTGGATCTCCGCGAAGCCGACGCTTGCGCTAGTCCATTCATAGTACAGGATCGGCGGGAGGTATCGCAAGAATAAAACTGTGCTTGTGATGCAAGGGATGCAAAACGGTTAAGTACACTTGTGATACTAGGCATGCGTCGTAGGTAATGGACCTTTCGCATTCACGTACCAGCCACGCATGACAGTTTTGGCTTGCTGTCACGTGGGATGCTCCTGCCCACATGGAAGAATGTATGAAGAAACTTTCACATTCACTATACACAGTTTTTTTCTTGCATAGCAGGAACGGCATGGAAAAGAGCACGCGGTAGAAATTGAGCTGTATGGCGGACAGCTCCTTCTTGACCAGTTTCATGGTGACAGACTCGTAAACGCAGATGGTAGAAACGAAAACGACGTTCAGCATGGCAAAGGTATGCGACCAAAAAGTCGGACTTTTTGTTCTCGGTTTTGCAGTGATCTCAAATCGAAATTGAAAGCTGTTCGTGACGAAAATTGGGTGGACTACAGACCCCATCTGCAAAGCGGAAGAAATTGAAACGCTATATAAATGCTAATAATGCACATCAACCAAAAGGCAATACAAACCTCGGCGTGATACTTTCGAGACACGACTTTGAATTTTTTTGCGAGGATAATAGATCAACCCGGTGTACTCCATCTCCGCCTCAGCCAGCGTGTAGATGGCGGTACCTGGAACATTTTAAGTACGAACATTTGGATGAGCAAAACTGGAGGTTGTTCTTACGTTCTTACACGCGGTGGTGGAACAGCTAGCGGTTTTTTACGCATGACTGTGACTGACAACTAGAACTACAACTTTTACTTTACATGTGCCCCAAAATTATACCGACAAAGGTCAACAGCAACCCCCCGATGGTTCGCCAGGACATTCTGACTCCCAGTAAAACTCGGTCGAGCAAAGCGGTCAGGAAAGGTACCGTATTGCGCGCAAGAACGTATCTGATGTTTTGTGATTCAAGTCTAGCATGATAAAGAAAAAATCGACGAAAGTAAGTATCTCTATCTTGATCTTCTATCGTGGACATGGACAAAATCGAGGATAATAAACGATGATCAAAATGATCTGTCCTTGGTTCAGCAAAAAACCCTGGTCCTCCTTGCAATCTCGCATCAGGCGGCAAGTCACGGGCGGCCCTTCATACCACCAGAAAAACCACGACGTACAACACGATCTATCAGGGAGATAACCTAAACAGGCTTTTTTACTAGGCTAAACTCACATTGCATAGCTCAATAATACAGTGGCACGCTGACTTTGCCGAGAGCGGCGATGCTGGCCCACAACATATCAAACGCAAAAATCTCTGGGTCTGGAAGGTTGCAACTTGTAATGCTAGCTCTCCATACCTAGGAAATCTGTATTGCGTAGCCAACAAAAGTCGCAGCCTCTTTTGTACACGCAAAAACGCAGTTTGTCATGCGGATTTCCTATGAGAAAGCGTTCTGAAAAGTTGTCATGCTGTGTTGCATTCGGAACTGTTTCCATCATCCACATTTTAGCATCACAAGTTTCCAGCCGTCCAGGGATTTTTGCAATCCATACAACACCGTGATCAGCCACGCGGAGTTCAGGACGATGCGCCACAGGTACTTTCGTTATCGCAAAAAAAAAGTGTTTCACTGTGAACTTGTGATGCATAGAATCGAACGCAGAACCATTTGTCGTGCTACACCTGCAAGGCATTGGACGTTTGAGCGTGTTTTCCCTTGGAAAGCGCGCATGGCAAATTTTCCGTGTCATGTGTAGCAAACTTGTGATGCGGATATTGCAAAACCATCACAGTGAAACAGTTTTTTCGTGGGATATTCGTGGCGGCAGTTTTAACGCGTGGATCCCGGTGACGTGCAAGAACCCGGCCCCACCGAGCGTTCCCAGATTTTGCACGGCGACCGTGGTGAAGTTGTGCGGAAAGCGAATCGCGATGGATTTGTTCATCAAAATCAGCACGATGGAGCTGCACGCGTGTCCGAGGAAGAGGAACGCGAGCCATCGGGTCGCTGCGTCGTGAAATTCGAAAACTTTCGAAAGGAACTGCATCTTCGTCGCGACAAAGCTGTAGGTCATGTCAACGCCGGTTTGGTAAGAGGAAGAGAAAGAAGCGGCGCACCTGTTGCCTTTTTTGCAGCAGGAATTGTAGCAAGAACGACTCTTCCGGTTATTTTTACCGCTTTTAATGTTCTTCTTTCCCGCCCATGTGGAAGTAGTAGATCCGTGCCGTAGTTTTTTCTTCGTCCGGATCAGGTTTACTGTTCCCCGCCGCACTGCAGATGTCACAGGAAAAAACTGTTTCACTGTGATGATTTTGCAAGATCTGCATCACAAGAAGTTTGCTACACATGACAGAGAAGATTTGCCATGCGCGCTCCCCAAGGGAAAACACGCTTGGAGATCCAATGTCTTGCAGGTGTAGCAAGAGAGACACTTTGGTGCTTCTGTTTCATTTTCTGCATCACAGGTTCACAGTGAAACAGTTTTTTCTTGCGATAGCAGAGGGCGTTTCGTCGTCACTCGAGGTTCGGCTCGACCGACTGCTTCCCCGGCGTATGAATTGCAAAAGGAAAAGTATCGCACTCGGCATTATATACAAGTTTGTAATGCGGATTTACCTGAACAAAAAGATTTGTAATGCAGGACTGCAATTACAACGAGTACGATACTTTTGCACAGGATACGGCGGGGAGATGGACAACTCTCTGAAAAATCTTCCCCGTGCTGCCGGTCCGAGCGAGAATCAGACTCGTCCGTGCCACCCAAATCTTCGTGCTCTCTCGAATCCAGTGTCGTGTTCCGGCTCACATTTCGTCTCTATCAAAAGAAAAAATCCCCCCTCCCCATATCGGAATGGAAATCCGTGACGCGGGACTTGTGCACACCTATCGACTTTGCCATGCTTGCAGTAGAAGACTGGAGGCAGATGCAGAGCAGCAGAAGTAGGGGCGTTTTGGTGTAGGCGCCTAGCAAGGCAGGCATATCCTCTGTAGGCGACACAGCATTACAAAGTGCCTGCGAAGCGCGGCTGAGTCTCTGGCTTTGCCCTCTTGCAATACAGGGACGATTTGTGGCCACAAATCAGCATCACAAATGTTCAGGAGTGTCCCTTTTTGGTATGGGGAGAGGAAGTTTTTCCTTGCAATAGCCTCGGAAGCTGCTTCTGACTGTCGAGGGCGCTGCTAGCCCGTACGCCACGGATGTATGTGGTTGTAGTTTTTGTAGCTCTGCAAGTCTCCGAAGTAGATTTAGTGTCAATTCCTGCAGCTCCTCCAGAGGACACCAAAATAGAACCACTACAACCTGGTGGTCCAACAGCTGCGGTCTCCTGCTTTGAACCGCTGCTTTGTAGTTGTCCGCTCTGGTGGCCAACTGCGGCACCGAAAACCAGCTGCTGTTGGCCTTCCTTGCTCCGTCCCCGCCCGCCCGCGTTCTGCGCGAGCGTGATCGAATCCCGTATCCGCTTGTAGAGTGGCTCTTTCGATGAAGATGGTGCTGGTGGAGCTGCTCCTGTACTAGTCGTGCCGGTTAATATACTTTTCAACATCTGGCGCGGCCCCCCCGGCAACTTGTAGTTCCCTTGCTCACGGCCCTGTTCTGACGTGCTGGCTCGGGGCAGCATGATGGCGCTTGTTCGTGGTCCAATAGGTAGCTTCTTGTCCTTTCGCTGGACCAGCGGGGTGCGGGGATGACACGCATCCGTCGGCAAGGTTGTTTCACTTGTGCAAAGCAAAAGGTTGAACAACTCGGGTATCGTAGATATAGTTGACAGAATGAACAGCTCGACGAGGACGACGCGGTGCAAGAACCAAAGAACGAAGACGAAGCAAACGATTATCAACCAGTTTCTTTCATGTAGGAAAGACCAAAAACTGCTCGTCAGTATACACGTAATTAGACTGTGACTGACTACATAGAATAAGAAGATCAGCCTTAAGGATCGTCCTGCTTGTGGTCAGCACTCTCACAACTCATGTGAAAAATCAAGAACGGGTTCGGGATCTGATCTTCCAAAACAAGGAACCGAATCTTTTCGACCCAATCAGCTCCGATCCACAGGAAGCGGAGTGCGAACACAAAAAATGGTATATACAAAGCGCACTTTTTACTCTAGCACGATGAAAAGCGGTCGCCTGAGAAGGGATTTTTACTTTGGGTGGGAAACAGTACCACGATATGGAGGTGGATATTTCGTGTTCAACGCGAAAATCGGGTCGCGGTCGGGGATCACGCCGGGGCTGGCGTAACATCAAAAGGTTGTGTGCACAGATGGGTGGACTTGCAGAAAGTAGTTCGGTGGGAGGTTCGAGCTTTGTCTCGGACTATTGTGTTCATTTAACTACTAAGTACTTTTAAACTTATCAAAAAATGCTTGAGTTCCACCTACTTGTTGGGCATAGAGATAGAACTGGAACTGCTTGGTAACATGTGGGGAACGTCTACGGGGGACATACAACAAGCGGCATGCTTAAAGATTCGGAATGAGGAATAGAAAAGGAATGACGCGTGCGCTTCTCAAGGTGAGCGGTAAAAGGAAAAGACTCCCGCATACTGTAGTGCAATTCTCAGAAGAAAAAACGATAAAAATGGTGCATTTGATATTACGCCTGTGCGCGCGGTGTCTGAAAAGTTAGAGGCAAAATAGATACGAGAATAAATGAAGTTGCAGCCACTTACTCTCTCTCTGGACAAAGTACTTTCTTTCTTGCGATCTTGTCGCGGATGGTTCGAGCAGGACCTTTCGGCATTCTTCTTGTCTTTTTCCGACCCTTTTCTTCGTTCGATCAGTGTACGACCTTGGTAGTCACACATCAACATGAAGTAGCCTTTTTCTCGTTGAACACGACGTCACAATCATACAGCCGATGCGCAAGATGAATTCCGAACTCCTAACTGCGATGGATATGGAAATGCAATGAATATGAAAACTTAAGTAAAAGAAGTGATAAAAGTATGTCAGAATATAACCAGGCTCCGCTTCCTGTTTCTGATCTTGTTGATCTTGTCCTTGTGCGAGTGCGACTGCGTGATAATAAGACCGTGCTTATTATTTTTGTGGAACATTCCCGACCGAGGTTTCGTCTCAGTTCTAGAAGTTCAGGGTGTTGGAATTGAAACCCATGGATTCCTTGACTTGTTCCACGTTGGACTTGACCTGTTCCACGAGAGTTGATCGCGGGCGACCAGGGTTGCAGCAGTCCCTCTGCTGGTTGTCAAAATCCTGCGGGCAGGTAGCCATTCCATTAGTACAATTCGAGGAGCAGAGGTCCGCCCAGTCGTTGCAATGATCCGTGAAAGTGAATTTGTCCGCAGTCCACTCGGTCTTGTCGTTCTCGCAAAACTCCGCCTTAAATTCGGCTGCCGATCGCGTTTTCATTCCGATGCATTGGGCCAGGGCCTGACTGGCTAGACGTTCGTGCTCCATGAAGCCCGCCGGCAGTGTTTCGCTTCCTTCCCAAGAGTGCGTGGTCGTGGTGTGGTCCTTCTTCGTCGCTGCCGCAACGACCCCCCCCCCCAGGGGGCCAGCGGCAGCGACGACGGCGACTTTTTTCAGCATTTTGCGGTGTTGGCGCACCCGCTTTTTTCAAAGCACTTGCCTTTCTTACTCGTCTAAGACGGTGGATGTTGTTGAAAAGAGAAGGACAGATGCCCACTTTCTTAATGTCGTTGGACGATAATTTTCTTCTTGCTCTAAAGCAAATCTCGACCCGGGAGGGTTGTAAACAATTGGGAACTGGACATGCGAAAAAGATTGAAAGGCTAAATGAACAATTCCACATCAGAGTACAAACACGACGCGGAAGACCACAAAAACGACGACCTCTATGGATTTTATGCGTTTTGCTTTTGCTTCCTTACATCAGTCAGTGAGAAAAAGATTACGAAGGTACAACACTTTTTTTAACTCAGTTTTACATTTTATCTTGCACCACGATTCATTCAGTTCCAGACAATATATTTCTGACGAATTAATATGGGACGAAAGGCTGTGCTGGGAAAGGACGTTACCATGCGCAGATATTCAGTCCGGACGATGAGGAAAATAGTAGACCACGAGGACGATTGATTATGTCGGAAATTGCCACTGAAGGAACGAACTTCTTGTTCTTCTGGACGTCAGTATTAATTTTAAAACATTTAGTGCTATTCACACACTGTCGTGCGAAGAACAAGTAACTATAAAACGGGGCCGCCCTATCTTTAGCAGACACAAATTGCTCTTTCAGAACAATACTGAAGTGCTCAAAATGTACTTTCGGTAGAACGCCACGACCTTCACAAAAGGTGACGACAGAGAACGCAAACGCAAACGGTAAGATTCTTACCCTGCAACTACAGAACAGCGCAGATGCGTGCCGCGAAGATGAACGAAGGCTACAACTAGCGAAAGAAAAGTGCAGCTGCGAAGACATTCGAAGAACATTCTGATTCTGTATGATGGTATTCAACATCTTGCGCACCTTGCGGAATATCTTCGTGCTGTCGTGAACAGAGAACATCACGCGTGGTCCCCAACTACTATACACCGATTCAGCCTCAGCAACCTACCGCGGTTAGTAGAGAAAAACCGCTCAAAGCCAACAACATGCGCCCGTCTACTTCATACGTATGAAGTTTTCTACCTTCTCGTACTCCGTCGCCTCTCCTCCTCCTCGCAACAGCCCGGCAGCACGGAGTACGACGCAAAAAGCCCGCCCGGCATGGCTTGCTCCACAATGAAGCTCGGGAAGATCTGCATGTTGATCAGGGACAGCGTCTCCAGAATCGTCAGCTCCGGGTCCGTCACGTCCGTTCTCAGCTGCAGGTAAAATATCCCACAAAAAAACTGTTTCACTGTGATGATTTTGCATGAATCGCATTACAAGTTTGTTACACATTACACAGAAAATCTGCCATGCGCGTTTCCCAAGGGAAAACACGCTCCAAAATCCAATGTCTTGCAGGTGTAGCAAGACAAATAGTTCTGCGTTCCATTTTCTGCATCACAAGTTCACAGTGAAACAGTTTTTTCTTGCGATATAAAACTCCCCATCGTCGATCACCACCATGCCGGACTGCGTCTATCAAAGTGAAAAAAGCCCCAATCCCATATCCAAAAGACGCTCTGCGTTGCTGGATTTGTGTACACAAATGAGCTTTGTACTGCAGCAAGAGCTTGTCGGCATATTCTAAGCCGATCTGGTTACGCATCCTGCTAGCAGCTGAGCATGAGAAACGACAACAAGTCTGACATAGGCGAAAACGCACGACAGCCTCGCTGTACAATGCGCCACATGGGTGCCGTTTGCCTTGTACGGATGACAAAGCTGACGTGTCCTTGTGGTCAGCACAAATTAGCATCACAAGTTTTCTTTTGTTCGATATGGGGAGGGGGGAGTTTTCCTTCCAATAGCGTCAAATCGGTCTTGATCGGACAGTCGGGGAAGCCGGCGGAAAATTGCTCAATGAACGTCGTGGTCATGTTGTTTTTACCCAGAGATTATCGAATGCAAATATACCTGGATGTCTGGAAGATTCTGAGACTTGTCATGCATGTTTTTCATCAGCCATGATGTCTGTAATGCATGCCCTAGCATCAAAGATTTTTTGAGGGCTTCTTGATGCTTATTCCGCATGACAAATACCTCTGCTACCGCGCAGCAGCAATTAGACTCCTTTTGCTGTTCGTGCAATACAGATTTTTTTGGAATCCAAATGCAGCATGACAAGTTGCATTCTTCCAGACATCAAGGGATATTTGCACTTGATACAGATGAATGAGGCCCAGCAGCGCCTCGGCCGGGGTTTATAACCAGCTCATGTGTTACAATCTCAAACGGTGCAATAGAATATGGAAATCTGTGATGCAAGAGTGCATGACCTAGCCAACTCTTATAGGATTGCACATGACAAGTTCTGGAGCCCCAAACCCCCCTACAGTCTGGCGAAATTTGTATTGCAAAAGGTGGAACGCTGTGCGAGTCTGTCATGCTCATCATGCAACACAAGTTCCAGATTCTATTGTAACGTTTGAGATTGTAACGTTTGAGCAAGTCATAGGGTTCGCCACCGGTGTCCACTCGTCGGGGATCGAGTCTTCTTCTTCCGACGAATTTACAGGCGGCGATGAGCCGTCAAGTCGCGACGAGGCCAACTTTGCAGCGGGGCTCGAAGTAGAAGTAGAGCCCCCTGCTACAACCACTACTTGTTGTCCTCTTTTTCTCGTCAAATTCGCAGTGACAATTTGCCGCGATTTGATCGGGCCTTGGCGGGTAGTTATGACCTCCTTGATCGAAATTTCGTCTGGGATTTGCGTATTCGCCCCTGCGGCCACGGCCGCGACAGAGGAGGCGGTGGTAGAAGAATTGGAGTACGTGTCCGCGTCATCCTCGACAAAACCGAGAATGCGGGACCTGATACATAATTGGTACAATGATCACGATCACATCAATGATCTACTCCCTCATACAGCAGTCCGACGAATCGTACTGAAATTTTGTCCTCGTTACGCGGCAGATCGTTGCAAAAATCTTTAAGTATAGAATCAATCAATCGAGTTAAATTCTTACCCTTCGTCCAAATTTTTGTCCCATTTTCTCCTTTTTTCCACGTCCGTGAAGTACTCGTACACCAAATCAATGCTCGCCTTGATCTTCAGCGACACCCGCCACCTCCGGATGCCTAGCTCCGTCTTCTGGCTGTAGATTTGGATCTTGTCCCCCTGCGATTTTTCCAGCACCCAGTCGGATTTGTTCTGCAAAAATCGCGGGTAGGTCGCCTGTAACCGATTGAGGCGCTCTTTCACCACCGCGGGTAGGTGCTTCTTCGCGATCTTTTTGGGCGAAAACCGGTTTGGAGAGCTGGAGAATTCGGTCTCCAGGTCCGAATCTTCTAACTCGTCCGCGTCGATCTCCGCTTGTGGATAATTTTCCCCGGTTGTAGTGGATAAAGCAGGTTCTACTTGTTTTCCTATTCGTGTTCTGCTACTGCTTTTATTCTTACTGCTCTTCACCGGACTGGTACCTCGCACATCTTCTTCGAGCAGTTGGTAGTCTCCGTAGAAGCCAAACCAAGGGTTCAGAAACTCCAAAGAGTTCGCAAAGTCGATTGCTTGTAGGAACTTCTCGAGCTGCTTCTCCTATCAAATGCAAAAGTGTCTGGGTCTGGAAGAATGCAAGTTTGTCATGCTTGTCTGGCATGACTCGAGAATCTGTGTTGCATAGGTACGAAAGAGCCGTCTTAACTGTCATGCGAAAAGGCAGTTTGCCATGCGGAATACGTAAGACATGGCTGCACCCACAAAATTTGTCATGTATACCTGCGTATTGCGGCGCGTCTATCATTCATTTTTAGCATTACAAACTTCCAGACCCAGACATTTTTGCAGTCCAAATCTCCCGCTCCTCGATGATTTTCATTTTCCCGCTGGCAAACAGCTTTTTCTGCGGGAAGTCGGGGAACTTCTGCGGCCCCAGCTGCTCGTACAGTATCAAAGTGAAAAATCCTCCCTCCCCATATTGAAGCGGAAACTTCTGTTGCTGGATTTGCGTACACTAATCAGCTTTGTCTTGCAGCAGAGGACTGCACGCAGCTCGCAAGCCTGGATAGGTGCCTCTTAATGTAGGCGCCTAGCATGGTAGACGGCTGCCCTGTAGTCCTTACAGCATCACAAATCGCCTGCATAGCGTGGTAGAGAGCCTGGATTTGCCTTCTCGCAAGACAGACAGGATTTGAGGTCACAAATCTGCATCACAAATTTTCAGAAGATACGTTTTTAATATGGGGAGGGGGGATTTTTCCTTGCAATATACAGCTCGCGGAACTCGCTGTACCGCTTCCACACGGAATACAGGATCTCCTGAGATGAAGAGGACGAAGATGAAGAATTCGCGGTTCCGCTATCTATCCTGTGCAAAAGTATCGCACTCGTACTAATTGCAGATATGCATGACAAATCCAACTTTCTACCTGAAGTAGCATGACAAATTGCATTTTTGTTCTTAGGAAAATTTGTAATGCAATTCATACTAGTACGATAGTTTTGCAATGCATAAAATGATCGGCAGGATTTCTTTGTTCCTCCTCCGCCGAAGATTTTCTTCTTTTCGAAGAAGATATGACTTGCTCAAACCAACGTTACAATCTCAAACGTTACAGTAGAATCTGAGACTTGTGTTGCATGATGAGCATGACAGACTCGCAGAGCGTTCCACTTCCTGCAATACAAATTTCGCCACATTGTAGTGGAGTTTGGGGCTCCGGAACTTGTGATGCGCAATCCACCTCCAAGAGCTCGCTAGATCATGCACTCTTGCATCACAGATTTCCATAACCTTTGAGATTGTAACACCTGAGCGGGTTATAGAAGACGAGGACGTTTTCTGTGGCTTCGTCCGTTTGTTGTTATCCAGTGTAAAAATGTCTGCGTCTGCAAACTTGTGATGCTGGGTGGCGTCTCATGATGAGGCCACAAGTGCTGGCTCAGCATGACAAGTTTCTGAGCTTCTAGGTGTTGCCCATTCTGCATGACAAACTGCGTTTCTGCATCACAGAAAAATGGAGCTCTTGGGTAACGTGCATGACAGATAGATTTGAGAGTCATGCCAGACAAGCATGACAAACATGCATTCTTCCAGACCCAGACATTTTTGCACTTGATAGTTGTGGGACCGAGACAACGCGACCTGGTAGAATCCGGTTTCATCCTCGACTTTGGAATCAATTTATTGTGAGGAAAAATATCTTCCCCTCCCCATATCAAAAGGAAGTTTCTGAAGCGGGATTTGCGTACACAAATCAGATTTCTCTTGCAGAAAGTGCTTGGCGGCATTTTGATTTTCTGAGCCTGTTTGGGTATGCAGGAGGCTAGCAATTACGCATGGCAAACAGGTTTGCAGTAGCCGAAAGCGCATGACAGATTGGCTTTGGAATGCGCCACATGGCTCCTATTGCCCTATAGGCAAGACAAAGATGATTTGTGACCACGAATCAGCATCACAAATCTCCATTTTGATATGGGGACGAGGGGGAATTCTTCATTGTAATACAATTACGTGCATCACGAGCGGTGGGATCGAGGGCGGGGATGCTGTTAAGGCAGAAGTAGCTGGTATTTCTTGCTCCGTTTGAAGATGTTCTTGCTTTCTCTTGTCTTTGGACCGTCGCCGCTCTCGCACGTCGGAAGTGAGGGAACTGTGATCGGCGCTGTTTGCGCGGAGCTGGTTTTGCGCTCCCGCGCGCTTGGCCCCGCAACAGGCGAGAATGGTTTTTTTCAAGAAAGCGGTTAATCCGGATTTCGGGAAGAACCCGAAGAGTTCGAGAAAACAGGTGAGGACAAGGAGGAAAAAAACCGTTTCGGAAACTACGATGGTGAAATCGCGGTTGCCGCTGGAAAGAAGGTCGAAGAAAAATGTCAGGAGTCTTGTGAACAAGGCGGGCTGGTGGTGCACGGAGTCTGCGCCGTCGTGGGGTTCTTGCGCTTTGCCTCGGGCCAGCTGGAGGTCTCCTCCGGTTGCACCTCCAACGTCGGTGCTGGTCGTGGATGGGTGCTCAGGCGAGGGCTCGTTTGTTTCACTGCTGAAAAGTGAAAACATTTGCTTGCTGCTAGCGTGCGGGAGAAAAAAAGGAAAAATCGGCAGCGTAGATGAACTACATCAAGTGGTTGCTCAGAGCTGCACCGCGTGGTCCAGCTCCACCAGGCGCGCGTGTCAATGCTTCCATAGGAATTTTCTGTGCGCACTAGCTAGTACAGAAGCGAAACGCGAACTTATATGCGCAAAAAAACTGAAAAAACCGTGGCTCCTCGTTGTTGAGCAGTCACCTTCTTATTTTAATTTTGGTAAGACCAGCGACCGAGATAAAAAGAATAAAATATCACAGAGCTATAAAAAATGCTCTCGTTCTTGGAAAGAAACGTCGCCGGCACGTCGGCGAACACCACGAGAAGTCACCTAGTATCGACTGAAAGAAGTACAAACTATCCACTATCCGCTGTTCGGGCCGCTGCTCGTGCCCTCCGAGCTCCTTCTAATACCTTAGAAGTACTACACGCCACCAGTTGCGACCAATGTGTTTCTCTTTTAATTATGGAATAAATCTCGTGCGTTTATGAGGTGCTCCGATGCGCTTGTTGTACTTCTACTGCTCCGACATTCTAGTTCTTTCAACTATCCCTGTTTCACAATGAAAATTGATTCACGTGACACATGTTAGTCACTCGAGGGCGATTCGAGTCCACGAGTGATGATGCATTTAATGACATCCTGCTTACTTTCTACGGGTGAATTGTTCTTCGATAGCAATAGGGCAATACGTAAAAGTATTTTGACTGAAATGCGTAGGCTTTGGCTCTCCACGTTCCTTGCAAATAAAAAGACCAATGAATATCATATCTCCGTTTTCATGTCGAAAAACAGTAGTACGTTCGACCTGCGGTTTTTTCGGTTCTCATGCTCCGATCGGAAAGCACGAACAGGATCACCAGCAGGAGAGTCTCTACTATTGATTAAATGGCGCATTATTTGTTGGTTATTTTTCTGTTTCTGTACACAATGCAGTACTAAATCGAAATCATACGTACAGCGATCAGATGACAAAGAAGTGCGTTGTACTTCATTGAAGACAAAGGAGCGTATTGCAATCTACTACCTCAGAGCTCCGAACTCCTCTAGCAGTTCGGACTGGCAACCACCTCCGCATGCAGGCGGAGCTCGAACATGGAAGTAAAATCCGGGTCGCAGAACTTCACCAATTGAAAAATTTCGTCTAACGCCGTTAACGACTATGCATTGCAAATATATCTGGGTCTCGAAACTTGTGATGCTAATCTATCTATGAACTGTGGGGACACTGCAATAGGCAGCCGCGCATGACAAGTTTCTGGGCTCCTTTGTGATTCGCTTTCCGCATGACAAACTACATTTTTGCATGACAGGCAAGAGGCTCTTTTCCTGCTCACGCATTACAGGTGTAAGAGTCATGTGAGACAAGCATGACAAGAAACCTTGCACCTTTATTCCAGACCTAGACATATTTGCAGTGCATAACGACGTCGCGTTGTCAATGTTCAGCAGTTCCTGCCTCGCGATCTCGTCTTTGGTCGGTGTAGACGTATCAAATGCAATTATGTCCGGGTCTGGAAACTTGTGATGCAAGTCCGTGGAAAATAAAGCGCTCTGTAATGCGCAGCCGCCAGGAATGACAAGTTTTTTCGTGCTTCTGCGATGCGTATTTCGCATGAGAAACTGCGCATTTGCATGACAGGCAAGAGAACCTCTTGGTGGCCACGCAATACCGAGTGCAGAATGAGAAACATGCCAGACTAGTATGACAAATCTCGCAACCTTCCGGACCCAGACATTTTTGCATTCGATAAGACGCTGCGGTTGTGGATTTCTTTTTCTTACCGCCCACCACCGTGCTCGCGTCGTCATCCACCAACACGGGTGATTTCACGCTGGTCTTCGACGTTTTCGCGATGCTTTCTGTCACCTCGGAGGCAGCCTCATCAGCGCCGTTAGAGAGGACCACACTGGATTTCGAAGAAGTGACCGACGTCGCGGACGGGCGCTTTTCCTTCTCCTCGGGTTGTTTTGTAGTTTATCGCACGAAAAAAGTGTTCCAGTTACACATTTGTAGTGAATTCAGCAACACAAATTTCTCGGCATGAGAGAGAAAACTTATAGTGCAGAAATCGTACGGGAAAACACCTACGAAACGAAGCCCCTATGGATATCCGGCATGACAGAGCTTGTCTGTCTTGCTCAACCTGCAACACAATTTGTAACTGTAACACTTTTTTCTTGCGATATAGTAGTTCCTGATTCTCTCAATACTGAGGACCTGCTGCTCTTCCCAAGATTGCTGGTTCTTTCATCCTGCTCTTCTTGTTGCTCTGTAGTAGCTTTGCATGCTGTTGTACTATCACGATCCGCATCTACTTTATCCTCCACAGATTTAGCCTCTGCTTCGCCGGCAGAAGTTGTGGCTGCAGGAGCTTTCTCTTCTTTTTTTTCGCTTGTTCTTGCGTTTTCATCTTTATTTTGTTCACCTACCTGCTCAGTTGTAGACTCCTTGTCAGCATCTGCTTTGGTGTCGTCGACATTCGCATTTATTCCGCTGGCGGCGTGACTCATGTTCGTGCTTCTTCTGGAACCGACGTCGTTGGTATGAGAGTGCACAACTACTCTTTCCAAAGCTCATCTGTAGGCCACGAAGAGCACAACTACAAGTTCGCTATCGGGAAAAAAAAAAAATGCAGGTTCTGTATGACATCAAAGTCTTACGAGATTGTAATGTTTCTATTTGGGCTGCTACAAGCTAGCAGTGTCACGCAGTGCAAAGAAGCAAAGACTGGAACTGCAACTGGATTAATTATTTGGTATGTTGCATGACAAAAAAGGGGAAGATTAAATTGTGCACTCTCGTCATAGTTAACCACGGCGGATTCCGCCAGCTGTAAGAGCTCCGCAACGTGATCGGGCAACTCCGACAAGTTATCCAAGAAAAAAAGATTGTATGAGTAACTTTCTTGGAGGATTAGCGTGACAAATATCACTCGCATGACAGCAAAAACCTGTCATGCGCAGATAGTACGTGAAAACGCCCTTGAATGGACCCTACAATGCAGGCACAGCATGACAGGCGCAATCAATTTGCATTTTGAGCATCACAAATTTACACTGACAACGCTTTTTTCTCGGATACAGGTCGCTGATGGTCCACTGGTACTCCAACTGATATCCCGTGTAAAAGCGTCCCCATAGTTGTCATGCAATTCTGCATGACAAAAAAGTTTCTCATGCGGAGCTCTATGAGAAGCATTTTCTATTCGTGTTTTGGAACAATTTGTGACGCTAGAACCAGCATGCTATGCTAGATCTGTGATGCTTCAGAACTGGCTAAATAGGATGGCACTACGAGGGCAAACTTGTCATGCCAAACAACCAAAGCTGGTTGACTTGTCTAGCAGATTTCCCATCTTGAGTCTGGTGTGGGGACGTTTTTAACCAGGATAGCTGATTTACCGTCCCCATCCCGATGCGCTCCATGTCCCGGAATTTCCGCTCCCACTTCATGCGGTGGGAAATTTCCGGGAGCTGCGAGCAGATGCTCAGCCGCACTGCCTGCACGATCACCTGGAATTCGAAGGTGTTGCGACTCAACTCCAGCTCCGTGCCGTATCTCTTATGAATTGCAAAAGTATCGTATTCGTATAAATGCATTACAAATTTGCTCAGCATGAGAAATGAAATTTGTAAATGCGGCTTTGCTTTCAGAAAAAAAATTGTAATGCATGGTCGCAATACGAGTACGATACTTTTGCACAGGATACCGCTGCAACTTGGACAAAATCTCCGTCACGTGGGAGATCGCGGTGTCCACTTCGCCCCGCATCTCTTCAATGTCCTATCCTGAGTAAAAACGTACCCACGCCAGAGTTGTAATGCGGATTTGCAAAGACAGGAAGACTTGTAATGCGCATCCCCATGAGAGCCATTTCCAGTCGTGTTTTGGAATTTGTGATGCTGTGAACAGGATGAGCAGATGAATCTGTGACGCGGCTGCACTTGCTAACCTGCACTACACTGCAGAGCGCAACTTGTCATGCGTGACTCACAAAACTCCTAGGTTTGTGTTGCAAAATCCCCATCCTGACTCTGCTGTGGGTACGTTTTTACTCAGGATATGTCCGTCAAATGCTTCAAGTTGATCAAAATCCGCTTCGGAAGGGATTGGTGCTGGTGCGCTGCGGTGCCTGCTCCAGTTGCAGTTCCCGGCGGGAGCATGTTGTATTGCTCCTGTTGTGCAGCACTAGAATTGTTGTCCTTCGGGAGCTATCAAGTGCAAAAATTTCTGGGTCTGGAAGAGTGCATGTTTGTCATGCTTGTCTGGTATGACTCTTAAATCTGTCATGCACGTTGCCCAAGGGCTCCATTTTTCTGTGATGCAGAAACGCAGTTTGTCATGCAGAATAGGCAACACCTAGAAGCACAGAAACTTGTCATGCTGAGCCAGCATTTGTGGCCTCCTCATGATACGCCACACAGCATCACAAGTTTCCAGACCCAGACACTTTTACATTTGATAAGAGCTTTTCCAGCACCTTCTGTACCTTCGAGGCGTACTCGCTCGCCTTGTCGTGTTACAATGAAAAATGCCCCCACCCCAAGTTTCTGATGCAAGGTTTCCAAATGAAAACTTTTTGTCTTGCATGAACCGGACTGCGAGTCTTTGTGATGCAGAATCTAGGATAGGATAGTAAGGTATCTTTTACATGACAGGCCCGGCTGCTGCTGGGCTCTTGCGCAACACAAATTTGAGCTATTCAGCATGGCAAATTTGGGGTGCTGATATATGCAAGACGGGGAATGTTTCTATTGGAAAGGTTTCCCATACGAATGCTGCCAAGTTCAGCGGTGGGGGCATTTTTCATTGTAATATGTCGAGATCCCCCTTTTTGCAGTACGCGTCCCGCAGACAGCTGTAGGCGCCGGCGATCAAGAAGTCGTTTTTGTTGCTGCTTTTCACGGACAAATCCAGCGACCGCTGGTACTCGTTAATGGCCTCCGTGACCATGTCCGCGCGCACGTAGACGTGGCCGAGTAGCGAGTGATACCACGCGGTGGTCCCGTGCACACGGCCAAACGCCGCTTTCGACAGCTCGACGCACTTCTTGGCGACGGAGAGAATTTCCGCCACGTCCGCGTGTACCGTTTGATACAAAGTGTCCAGCCGCTGGCGCCAGAAATCTAACAGCAGCGGGTGGTCCTCCCCGAAGTTGTACTCGATGTGCTTTGCAATGTCTTCGAAGGAGAGGTCAAACTGCGCGTCCGAGGGGTCCGGTAGTTGGACCACGGAATTCTTGGTCGTCCCGCTTTTCCGTTGCTTTGCCGTGACGATCCCGGTGTCGAACAGGCGGTGCTGGTACGCCTGGCTTGCGAACGTGAGCCAAAGGTTTGGGTCGTCCTCGAACAGCTGCAAGGCGAATTTCGAGGCGGCCTTGGCCTCCTGGAGATTGCTGTCGTTGGCCGCGTTGTTGATATTTGTGATGCCAAACTGCTGCTGAAAGGTGGCGGTGCTGCTTTCCGACACTAGATGGTCGATGTACAGGCGCAGGGCCTGGTCCAGACCGTATTCCGAACCAGATTTGTCGATCAGGTAGCCGTTGTTCTGCTGCAATCTCCGACAAGTTGTGGTCAGTAAATGCTCCGCAGGGTTCATCTTGGTCGTCGACGCGGACATGTTGCTGCTCGTGGCAAAGTTGTTCGGGTACGCGGACTCAGCCGGATCCAGGGTCGCACCTGGATAGAAGTTGCAGTACTAAGCTTGACTTTGTCACTTGCACTTCTGCCTTGCTCTGGTTACTTATCCTGCTCGACTGTTTCATCTAAATATCTCCCTTGTCATGCTGCAACCGGGCCCATCTGTCAACAGGCGTCAAAAAAAGCGTTCCCTGCGGGGATCGAACCCGCGCCCACCCTCGAGAGTTTTCGATGAGGTGCCGCGCAGAGCGCCGGCGCTTCTAAATGTGATGAAGGCGCTCTACCACTGAGCTAAGGGAACCTGATCTGACTACGTTGAGCAGAATTCCCGGCAGGTGGTCAGAATAGCCATGCTAAACACTGGGCTTCGGGCAAAACAAGGAGAAAGCCAAGCCACGTCAGCGCACCTCGTCCATCATGCGGCGCAGGTGGCCGGTATTTTGTTCATCGATAACTACAAAGAAGACCATCTATCAGCAGATGTCTTCGATTACCGCAGGCATATTCTACCAGGAGGCGCAGCGCACACTTTGCGCCCCAACTAGACGGCGGCCACCCGCGATCCTTCAAAAAAAGCGCGTTCCAGGATTCGAGCCTGGATCTCTCAGTCACTGCCCGGGGTCAGTCTTCTCGTTGCGACCTGCTCTCGCTACCAGCGAGCTCCTTCGCCCTGGGTGCGGCGTCTCCGCGGCTGGTCGATGAATGCGAGAGCTCGTCCTGCGTGCCGCACTATCCTGCATCAGCTCGGCCTGGTTTTTGTGTCTTTACTCATGCGGGTACTAGCTGTAGTAGATCCACTGATCGTTCCAGCATTTCGCCCTGAGCCTCGGCAGCAACCCGGCGAGCAGTTGCCTTGGCTTGCGGACACTTCTGACATCGTCCTGCAGACTCATCGCACCAACACCACGTCTTGACTGCCCGACCCAGGGAGCACAGGTTCGACCGAGCGCATTACCAATTATGCTAGCCGCGCAATTGAAATAGTTCATCAAGTCAAAACCCGGGTCACCAGAATACCTTTGCTAAATACCGTATAAAATATTAGTCACGAGGAATTCAAATATATACCAATTGTCGACGTCGCATTCGAGCTGCCGGTAATCGCGTCCTGCTTCATATCAAATGTAAAAATGTCTGGGTCTGGAAACTTGTGATGCTGGGTGGCGTCTCATGATGAGGCCACAAATGCTGGCTCAGCATGACAAGTTTCTGAGCTTCTAGGTGTTGCCTATTCTGCATGACAAACTACCTTCCTGCACCACAGAAAAATGGAGCTCTTGGGTAACGTGCATGACAGATTTAAGACTCATGCCAGACAAGCATGACAAACCTGGCAATCTCCCAGACCCAGACATTTTTACAATCCATACTTCAAACCCGTTAACGACTTCTGCCCCGCACCCCCACCGCCTTGCTCTTGCCCCGCCGATGCGGAAAAGCCACTGACCGCCCCGTTTCCGCAAAGCCACGGCTTCGCGAGCTTCTGCTCGTGCTCGACGAATTTCACGAAGTCTTTTGTGGTCCACCGCTCCTTGTTCAGCATCGAATGCGAACACTTCCGATAGCACAGCGTCTTCACGGTCGGAACAAAGTCCACGAACAGCCCTACTTTCCGCCACTCCTTCCTCAACGTTATCCAGTGTTTGCAAAAGAATTTGGTTTCGCCCATGCGATTATCAAGTTATTACGTACTCATACTCAACATGATGCTTTTTTTCAGCCTGGCATACAGATGTTGAGAGATCCCGTTTCTATACCTGATTCAGCATGAGAAGTTCTTACATTTTTCCCTGCATAAACGTCGGGTAGAGTTGGTTTTCCGTGTCGATGTGCACGCCACAGTGGTGGGCCATGGACTGCAGGAGAATCGGAGCGTGAATCGACGTAGAAAAGTCAACGCCAACAACGTCGGACTCTTGGAAGGTGTAGTGGGCCTGATAAATAATGAGAAAATCGTTTTGATAATTCTTGATTTGGTACCGCATCTGCGACGAGAGTGATTAACTTCATGCACAAAGACAAACAAGTACCCACGACTACCTACGAAAAATACACTCGAATTTATTTCATCTACTTCATCATGTTGCAGATCAGTATGTACCTGCAGCCACTCCCTGATACTGGTCCAGACCTTCGATTCGTATTGCATCACTGTTGAGAACCAGGTCGAGGCGTAGGCTATCACGTGCAAATATGTCTGGGTCATCTGGGAGGTTGCAACACTTGTAATGGTGCTCCGCTGACAGAAGAGAGAGATTTGTAGTCATGCATGTTGTGCTACCGCAACCGCGCTAGTATCTTTTTGCACGTATATTCAAAAATGCAGCCTCTCATGCAGTTTACGCAAGACTCAGTAGCTCAGAAAGTTTTCATGCGCGGCGTCCCCATATTGGCGATTGCATTATGATCTTCCGCAAGCTAGCAGTAGCATCACAACTTTCCAGAACAAGACCACCTACACATATTTGCCATGCATATAGGCCGTCGCGTGGTCTTTGTCCATGGTGTTGTGGCAGCACTCGCGGATCCCCCGCTTAATGACCCGCGCGATCGCGTCGCAGAGAATTAGGTGTTTGATGTACGGTAGGGAAACTTTGCTGTACACGTACCCGAGGAAGGTCATGTTGATTCCAAACGAATGGAAGTGGTGCCGCAATTCCTTGCTGTCCACGGGGAAGCGCTTTCCCGATTCCAATTCCTCTACGAACTTCGGAATCTGGTCGTCCTTTAGGAACCCGTAAGCCTCGACAATCTCCTTCCTTAACGTGTCCGTCTGCGGACACCCGTCGACGCAGAAGGCACAGAAATCGAAGCTGGGCACGGGGGATAATGAGAAGGGGAGCTTCACCTGCATCTCCGGGCGGAGAAAGTTCAGCGTGTGCGGATTTACGTCGGAAAAGGACTCCGCTAGCGGCGCGAGCAGACTCGTGCGCTGGCGGCCGAGGTAATATTTGTCGTTCCGCGTGTCCTTATGCAAAAGTTGGGCGGGACTCAGCCGTATCAAATGTAAAAATGTCTGGGTCTGGAAGAATGCAAGATTTGTGATGCAGCTTTTCCATGACCCATGACTGAGGTCTGGAATGCGAGATCCAGCATGAGAGATTCTTTGCGGTCTCTATCATGCCTTTCCTGCATGAGAAACTCCCTCTCAACTTGGTCAAAAGCTGAGAACTTTTGGAACTCACGCAACACAGATTTTTGCATCATTGAGATTTTTTAGCATGACAAGTTCTAATCTTCCAGACCCAGACATTTTTACATTTGATAAGCCGGATGCGTCGCGCGTTGGGGTTGTCCTTCAGTTTCAGCATGGTGCGCTTCAGGTTTAACGTGTCTATCGCAGGGAAAAGTCACCCCTCCCCATATTGAAAAGGTCTGTCTCCGAAAATTTGCGTGGCTGATTTGAGGCCACAAATCACATCTGTCTTGCAAGAAGACAAGGGCAGAAGCTTCCGCACCATTATGCAGGCGGTTTGTCATGCTGTTGGGCCTACAGCGCGGACGTTTTTCATACTAAGCGCCTAGGCCAAAACCTCTCTACTCGCACTTGATACGAGCCTGCAGTCCTCTCCAGCAAGACATTTGCGTACACAAATCCAGCATCAGAAGTTTCGTTTTGATATGGGGAGGGGGGATTTTTCCTTTTGATAGTGTCCTGAACAAGCTTCAAAGCTTCCTTCGTCGGCGCGTCGGGTTCTATGTATCGGAGCCTGCCCTGTTTTTATTTTATTTTCGTCGCATAGTGAACAAGCATAAATTTGTCATGTAAAAAACCGGCCAAGGAGCGAGAGATTTGTGATGCTAAAACGAAATGAAACAACATACAAGCAACTAGATGCTAATATATACCGCCTTATCCGGGTACCACCCACAGGCGATGTTGCACTCCTCCAAGGGTTGCACCGCTTGACAGAAGACCCGAAAGCCCGCGTAGTCGACCGTGACGGTCAAATGCCCGTTGAAGGGACAGTTATTTGCCGAAGCAGATGAAGCGGCATTATTTCCTCCGTGATGCTTCATGTTGTTCAGAATCACACTTGGATCAATCATGTCCGGGTTGCTCTTCTTTTTCTATGCATTGCAAAAGTATCGCACTCGTATAAATGCGTTACAAATTTCCTCAGCATGAGAAATGGAATTTGTGTTGCGGATTTACGTTAAGAAAGAGATTTGTAATGCATGATCGCCCTACGAGTACGATACTTTTGCACAGCATATTTTCCCGTCGCCGCCCATAATGTTCGCCACCAAAAAGCGGATCGACCGAACCTCGACGCCGTTCAAGGCCAGCTCCGTCTCGTCCTTGGTGTGGTATCAAGCAAAAAAGTGCTAACGCTAACGGTTATTTTCAGGCAAAGGCATTGCAGTCATGCATGACAAATTTTCGCTATCATGCATGCTATGCAATACAAATTTAGGCATCATTTCTCGTGCGTGCCTGCATGCCAAATTCCGTTAACGTTAACACTTTTTAGTGTGATAGGTGGTCATCCGCGTCCACGATGAGGCGGTAGAAAATTATCACAAGAAAAAAGTGTTTGAGTTACACATTTCTTTGTTGTAACTCCAGCAACACAAATTTTCTCTGTGCGGCATAGAAAACTTGCAATGCAAAGATTACAATGGAAAACACGTATGGAGCTGTCCTCTTGTGCATATCCCGCATGAGAGGGCTTGTCTCTCATGCCGGTCCCGCAATACAGTGTGTAACTGTAACACTTTTTTCCCAGGATAAAAATCCCGTGGTTCAGCGCGCAGGTGACCATGCCGGACTGCCGGGCTCGCTCCACATCGTCGCAGGGGATGCTGTAGCACAGGTGATCGATAAACTTCCGAGAAAACTCCACCGCCTCGGTCGTGAACTCCCCGAGCAGTTGAGAAATCTGCTGCGGGTTGTTTTTCCCGTAGAACCGGAGTCGCTCGTCCCATTTGAAAGAGATCTCCTCCTGTTCGCATATCGATTGGTACGTGTTTTTTAGCGAGTGCTCGGGAATCTCCGCCAAAGGTCCGCCGAAATGCGTGCCCAGTGCGGACCCCCGCGCTTCCTGAGGAGGTTCAAAATTTGTCATGGCGAGAAGCTAATCGAACGAAAGGCATGAAAGTAGAAGGAGGGTACCTGAACCTCGCTCGTAAATAATACGTAGTGTTCTTGCACCATAGTCTTTACGTCAAGAGACTTTTCGCATAGCAATTTCCATTCACTCAAACCAAAACCCGCGATACTTCCTGCTCCTCCCGCAACACCGCTGACACCGCGTCCCGGACCTGCTTTGGCGGCCGGTCGCTGATGCTCATGGAACTTCTCTTCGTGCAGACATTGTGCAATGAAACCCCCAATGCGTCTTCCAAAGCGGAATCGGCTAGGGAATCCGTATCAAGTGCGAAAATGTCTGCGTTTGGAAGAATGCAACTTGTTTGTTATGCTGAATCTTAAGCACAAGCATGCAAAAATTTGTGTTGCATGATTACCAAAAGATGTCCACTTTTGACCAGTTCGACAGGGAGTTTCTCATGCAGGATAGGCAGGATAGACAGCTCACAGCATTTGTCATGCTAGGTGCTGCATTCCAGGCCTCATGGGTCATGGAAAAACTGCATCACAAATCTTGCATTCTGCCAGACCCAGACATTTTTGCATTTGATAGTCCGTAATTCTTCTCGATTTGCTCAAGAAGTCCGAGTTTCTCGTTGGGCTCGGGTGAAACGAGCGGGAAACGGAGTCGCGTAACGGGTCTGGGTTCTGCTGTGCTTGATTGATGTCGAGATTTTGCTCGTTCAGTTGTCCGAATTGCTGCTGGAAAGACTGCCGGGCCTCCTTCTCAATGCCGGCTGTGAAATTGAACATTTTACGTATTAATTTTAAACGTATGAAGTTTTAGGATTAGGATTTCATCATTCCTCACAATTCCTAATGCGATGTACTAACGATCGGTAGCTTTTGTCATGCCTAAAACAACAACATTCATTTATCAATACGTGGTGTCGTTGCCGGCGTTGGCTTCGAGTCGGACGGCTTTCCGGTTGGGATCCAGGGAGGTGGGGACTGTTGAGCACTACTTCCCGCCATCTTCGGTGTTCCCAAAGCGGTGCCGGATTTTAGAAATGAGCCTTGGGAGGAGAGCTGAGAAAGTTTTCGAGATACTTGTGAAGGTGGCGGGACTTTGTGTTTAGTAACCAGGAGAGATGTTGACCACAGCTCACCGTCTGCAATAGCAACTCACCACACGACCATCACCATGCGCAAAAAGGAGCATGACAAAACCAACCGCCCGCAGCCGCAATCAATGATCAAGAATTCGATTCCACGCTCAATATTAAATCCAACCCCGTTCTACCTTCCCCTGCGAATTCATTGGCTTCAGCACGGGCATGTCCAGGTGCAGGTGATTTGTATCCAGCACCAACCCCCCAAGCCCCTCCAAAGGACTAGAACTGGAGCTCGCGCCGCCGGCGCCGCTGGCACAGGCAGTGGTGCTACCGCTCGGAGAGGCCTGCTTCTTCTTGTCAAGCTTTTGCTCCAGGCGTTGGACCTTTATTTCATGCACATGGTTTGCTTTGCTGTAATGCCAAAGTGCATACTGCAGCGTGCTGCCATGCGAATGCGAATGCGATCCCGCTCTGCATCAACACACAGGATGACAAAATAGAAACATCCTTCTAAGACAAATAGCAATACCCTGTCCTTTACACTGTCCCTTCTTTCCCCGCCAGACGCCAGCGGGTGCTCCCTTTCCGAGGTCATGCTGACTACCGATTTCGAACTCGGTCGCGTATCCTGAGCAAAAACGTCCCCAACCCACACTCAAGTTGGAATCAATCTTTGCCAGACAAATGCAAATCCGGAAGTTCCTTTGGCAGTCACGCATAAAAAGTCTGTCGCTGTATTGTAATGCAGGCTGCCAAGGACAGCCGCATCACGAAGCCATTTCCGCATACTGTTTGCAGCATTACAACAACTGTACAAACACGATTGGAAACAAATGCCTCTCTTGGAGATGCGCAGTTGTACAAATGCTCTTGTAAGTGCATGAAAAATGCTTGACAACTCTGGGGCGGAAACTACATTTCTGCGCAGGATATCGTGTGCTGCGTATCTTGTCCTCCTTTACCCGGCTTGACCTCGGCTTCAAGCCCGCTTCAGATGCGGTCACAGAGGCGGAGTCTGTCTCCGACGTGCTAGAATTATCACTGTCGGAGTCTGAGTCGCTGTCTGAGGAGCTGCTCGACGCCTCCTCTTGCTCCGACTGGGTCAGTTGCAGTGGGTGCTGAGGCTTGTTACCGGACTGGATTTTTGTGACAGGAGTTTGAGCTTGATTTTATGATAGTGATACCATAAATCATGCTCGTTGATGTAGTCTACATGAAAGAAAACGTAAAACGTAGAACTTTGTCTTGGCTCAGAGGGCCGTGCGGCCGCCTCTTATGCTGATGTGTACAGATGACCATCGATCTTCAAGATCTATCATTCCATTGTTCAAGACAAGAACAAGAGTACTCTGCTCTGGTGCAACCCGCTCTGTCCGCTCTGTTTGCTTCGGCTACTTACGCGTTTTTCCACTGGTGCAGGTCCACCTCCACCTGTCACCATCTTTGGCACGCTGCTGTCGGTTATGGTGGAAGTCGAGCTGCTGGTTGCGGACGAGCTAGACGAACTGGACGACGTCCCGTCGTCGTGCATGGCGTTCAAGCGCTCATCGTACGCGTGCTGCAGGTCGTCCTTCCAGTCCACAAACTCATATCATTTGTAAAAACGCCCCCACCCCAGAGTTGTAATGCAAATCTGCATGCTGACGATGTTCCTCATGCGGAGACCCATGTTGAGAAGCAGTTTCTGCTGGTGTTTTAAGATTTGTGATGCTTCAATCCGCATGGTGTGCTAGGTCTGTGATGCTGCTGCACCAGCTGAACGCCACTACATTGCGAGCCCAGATTTGTCATGCGCAACACCCAAAGCCTGGCGATTTGTCTAGCAGATTTCCCATCTTGACTCTGTGGCGGGGACGACGTTTTTGCTCACCATAACTCTGCCTTTGTATTCGCTTGAAACACGACCGGCTTGGCCGCGTTCGCAAAGGCCAGCTCGATGACGAATTCCCGCTTGTATTTCCTCCTCACCGAGTCGCCGGAGACGATAACGGACAAATCCTGGAGGGAAAAGATCTGCTCCGGCGTCACCGGGGTTTGCTTCGACGAGGACTTCAGGGCGCCGAACCAGGAGGATATAACCTGCTCAGGTGTTACTCCAATCTCAACCGTTACAATAGAATCCGGGATTTGTCTTGCATCATGAGCATGACAGACTCGCAGACCGTTCCACTTTCTGCAATACAAATTTCGCCAGCTTGTAGCGCGGTTTGGGACTCCGGAACTTGTCATGCGCAGTCCTATGAGAGTTGGCTAGATCATACATGCATTTCTTGCATCACAGATTTGCAGAGTCTATTTTAACACTTGAGAAGATTGTAACGTTTGAGCAGGTCATAGAGGAGGTAGATTTCTTCTGCTCCGGGGAGTCGGCGTAGATGGAGAGGGTATTGGCATCCAAGCGGAGAAACTTCTTCTTCCAGGTCTTGTTGCCCGTGTAGAAAGTGGCAAAGCCTTCCCGCATGGCGGCGGGCGGGGCGGAGGCCGCGGCCATAGTCGTCGTGTCTGCTGATCTTTTTTATTAGGGGTGGTGGAACAGAAATGTGCTGAAAACAGTAGCTTTCTTGAACCTCAGTTTGACCACATAAAATGCTAAATTTTCATTACAGACGGGAACAAATCCTGCGTCAAGAAACTCAAGTTATTGATTGACCTCTCCCAAAGGTGAAGACACAACTAGACCAAGGATTTTCATCACGAAAACACACAACACACACTTGAGGCCGCTGTTGCATTCAATGAAAATACACAGTGCTGGCGGCGCCCTCAAGCATAAAATGGCTGCGTATTGTCGTCGAGTTGCCAGCGTCACTCGTTGCGAATGCAATGAGCCCAGAAAATTATGGGGTATACTAGAAGACCTGCCCTGGCCTCAAAGAGAAACCCAAGAATCAAGATGAGGGCCGACACTCTCATCAACCACTACAGGTGGCGCAAGATGAAATAATCTTGCTCATCTCTCGAGAAAGGACTGAAGATGGTAGCTACACTACGCATATTTTTCCCGAAGCAACAAAGAACAAAACGTGGGACACTTCGACCCTGCTCCTTATACCATGCGCACACTACCGTCAGTGAGCGAACCTTTGTGCAGTAGATGAAGGAAACACATTGATGACTAACAAGGCTTGGCCGCCAATCACGACCACACGAGTAGACGTCCGGGACGCCGGCCGCGCCGGTCCGGAAGTGGTCGCGGCCCCGGGATTTCCCAACAAAGCGGGCGCGCGAAGGAAAGCCGCCGGCGAGAAAAAAAGGTCGCGCGCCGCCCGCCGCTGGCGCCACAGGCACGCCACCACCGAGAGAACAACGGGAACCGAATAGAGGAACCCCGCCCGGCCCGGCGGGCCGGGGCCGGCCAAAGACAAGGGACGAGGGCCGGGGCGCCGCCCGCCGGGTGGCCAGGCGGTTCGACACGACGGACCTTGGCCGCCGCCGGCCTGTACGTCGGGAGCCTACCGGGGGCGGGGAGGCGTGAGGGCGGCGCGGCCTGCGGCCGAGCGGCCAAACTAACTGCGGCGCGCCCGGGCCGACGCGCTCGGCCCCCGGCCCGCCGGGGCATGGCGCCGGCGCGCCTCTCGGGGCCCGGGGCAGGCGGGCGGCGCCGGCCGGCCGGCCGCCTGCTTGCTAATACATTTCCCCGGCCGGCCTCCGCGTCGGAATTGAAGCCAAACCGACCGGGAGTCCTGCCATGCTACCCGGCTTCCGGGGTGCGCCGAGAACTGCGGGGCCTGCCCCTGCATCACACCGAGGGCAGGCCGGGCCGCGTGTATGCTCCCGCGCCAGCCTTGGATGGGTGGCGCGGGGGCCTGCGGTCGGACGACGCTACGCGGCGAAGCCAAGCAGGCGCGCCACATCGCTCTGCGTTTTGCCTGCAAGCCCGCCGTAGCGAACGGCCGGCCCCGGATGAGAATCGCCGCGCGGCTTCTTCAGAGACAAGCCGCGCGCGCCAGGGTCGGCCATTTTTGGCGCTACGTCGTGCCGGATGGCATTCCATCCACATACACCCGGGGCGGCACACCTGGCAAGTTCTCTCACGGAAAAGAGCGCGGCGCGTTCCATCCTCATACAGCTCCGCTTTTAAGCGGGCCACTTCCTGCTCAAGCCAGGATATTTGCTGGGGGGCGCTCTTTGTAATAACATTAGCGCAGACGCAATATTTTTGAGAGCCCGGCGCCCTGCAGTCGTCTCCATATTTTGACGGTCTGCCCTCGAGTTCGCCGGGGCGCGGGGCGGCCGGGCGGCTCCCCGCCCCACTGCACGAGCACGGCCGCCCCGCTCATTGACGGGCGCGCCCAAGAGAAGCGCGCGGGGCCGCTCCCCTTGCGCCTAAAGCATCACCCCCGGGCCGCGCACGCCTGCCAAGGCCCGCCAAAGGCAAGAGCACCCCGAGCCGCCATCGCCCGGCGCGCGACTCGCGGACGAGCGGGCGCCTCGCTCGACTGACAGGCTCAGCATGGCCTTGGCCGGTCCCTCGCGAAGGCAAAAAATCGATCAAGGGGCGGCCGCCCGCCGCGTTTCTTCCACCGCCGCCACAACCGCCAAACACGGCGACGGGGCGCCTGGCTGGCCGCGGGGCTGGCGGCCTTGTAGCCACGTAGCTGGCCGCTCGTTGCCTGCCATTGAGTTGCCTGCACGTTGCAAGTACTAGCGCGAGGCCTACCCTTTGCTCCTCTTGTCTTCTTCCCGCTCGAACAACTGGTCACCTCTCTCTTGAGACCTGGCTTCGTCCTGCAACGCCGTAACACCAAGATGAACTTATCAGAAAAATGCTTGATTGCATTTACTCTTGTTTGAAATTGCTTTCATAGTCGTTACTTTTTTCAGATACATTGCTGCCGACCGGCCTATAAACTGGTGCATGGTCACAGTTTCAAGCATTTATCGTACAAAAAGAGCAGCCTGAGCATCAGAGAAAGTAATAGAATGGGTCTTCAGTGGTAAAAACATTTGCCAAAAAAGTGAAACATCACGAACGAAAAACTTATTTAACAGTGAGTCAGTTTAGTCGTGGGCAAATCTTCCGTCACCACGGTCAAGAAGTTGATTCCAAGACGTGTCAAGAAGGTATAGCCTGTACTCAAGACACTGTAGTGCGAAAACAAGAATCGTACACTTAGAACTACAAGGTGGAACGTCATTACAATACATACATTGTACAAGGAAAAGAAACTCCTTCAACCAAATCTTCATCTCAATACCCCCAGAACCACCTCCCGATTGCCGTCTTACTCGGTTTCTCATCCTTTTCATTTTCCTGCACCTCCAAAACCGTTAGCTCCGCGTCTTTCTTTCTCGGTGCTGGATTCCCATCACAGCTTTGATCCACCTGTGGCCCACGGCCCGCATCCGGCGTCTCCTCCTCATCCGGCGTTTCCTCGATTTCACTGCTGTGCTTGCTACTGGATTTTTCTTCCACAATTTCCACCACTTCAACCGCCCCCTCCTTCGACTCCAAAGGCGTCTCTACCGGTGGAGTGCGCTGCGAAAGCGTTTGCTGTTCCACGCCAGACGAGTCCACTGAATTTTTGCTCCCGGCGCCCGTGGTTGAAAATGCCTTGTTACCGCCCGGAATGCCGACTTTGGGAATGATGTTACTCCCCGCAGTTGAAATTCCTGCGTGCCACAGCAGAGTGGTTGTTGGGCTTTTCATTTTGTTGCCCAACAGTTCCACCGAATTCGTAGTCGGTGATTTTGAGGAAGACAGAGAAATGCTGCGCAAATTTCCGAGCTGCAGAAACTGGGTTGGCTTTTGCGGGAAGGAGGTCGGAGCTGCTGTAGCTGAGCCTACTTCTGCCGCAACCTTGCTTGTATCGCCCGTTGTTGAAGCAGTCTCTGGCGCGGCTGATGCTTCTGCTGCTGCAAATGCATCCGTGTTGCTCATCGTAGTACGACCCTCGTCTACTTTGCAACTGTCCGCGTGGTCGGGATAGAAAAGCTGGTTCGTCGGATTAGCCGTTGATGTACTCGCGCCTGGCTGTTCAGCATTCAGGGTCGCCGTCTGCGCTTCTGTTTTGCTCTTGCTAGTCCCTGTAGTTTATTTGGTAGAGTGTTTCATGCGATCCCCGACCAAAAATAACAACATCCATTTCCCCCGGAAAACCATAAAATTCAGCACTCAAATACCTGCACTCGTGCCCTGTACCCCCATAGCTCCCCTCTTGACCGGCGACGCCGTCGCGCTAGAGGCCGCGGAGTTGGACCCAGACCCGCTTCCCGTCCGTTTCTGATGCTTCAGGGCCATGGTCAAATACCGGGAGCGGCTGCGGGGGCTGGAGAACCGCTCCTTGGATTCTTTGTACACCTTGTACACGTCGAATCCGCCGTACTGACTGGAGGTAATGTCAATCGATTTGATCAACTGCAGCAAATCCCGCTTCATCTGGATCCACTCCGTCATAGACACGTGGCTATGCGATTGGTCCATCACCGCGGCGACTTGGGAGTTGATAGAACTTTGCTGCTGCTGCAATCGTGTGGAAGTAGTTCTCAAGCTGTTTCGCCTTGATGTTCTTTTCCCGGGGCTGCTAGAAGCCGAAGCGGACGAGGAAAAGCTGTGGTTCAGACTATGCGGCCGTTGTTGAAACGAAGTGTTCTTCTTGCTGTCAGCACTCCGGGGCGAATGCTTATCACCTTCACCGTGGGAACTGGCAGCTCTGGAATAACCGTAGCTTGCTTTGTTTGCCAGCTTCATCTCTCTCGGCGAAAGAGCGCGACCTTGCTGCCTCGGGGACGTCGAGTTGTGTGGTGAGTTACTCCGAGAGCGGGCACCAGCATTGAGCGGCACGGGATGGAAGGAGAAGCCGTGATAATGTGCACCACCACCACCAGCAGCCACATGCTCGGGTAGAACAGAAACTTGCCCGTTCGGCTGCAAGTATTTCGGGTAGAGGCGACTCGAAACGACGACATCACCGTCCTCTGTGACCACCACCGGGTCTCGTACGGTGGTTAGATGCTTCGCCGCAGTGCCTTTGATGTTGCTGTCACTGCTTTCCAGTTGTAGAAGCTCCGGACTCCTCGGCGCGGCCGAAGAGAAGTCGTGCTGCTGCGGTGGGTCCTTCACCGACTGCGCCATATGATTCCTCCCTCCGCCCCGGACCGTGGAACTCACTGCTCTTGCGCCTTCCATCCGGGCTAACCGCCGCACGGAAATTATCGCGTTTGCTTCTATTTCCGAATCCACCTCCCCTGCTTCGGATTGATGCTGCCCTTGCAGCGGTGCCCCCGCAGTTGTTGTTGAAAATGCTGCCAAAACTTCTTCTTTCACCTGCAGTTTCCCTTGCACCGTTCCGGTCTCTTCCCGTAGCTTTTGAAATTTGGGCGACAGCAGGCTCATCTGGTCATTTTTCCGCGCTATCACCGCGTTATGAGACGTCGTGTTTGTCCCGCCGGCCGGGGACCAGGGGAGCTGCTGCACGGAGGCTTGCGGGACTTTGTTCTGCTGCGAAAACAGTTGTTGCTGCTGCTGCCCAGAGGACGAGGGCTCCTGCCGTGGGGACAGAGTCTTGGAAGAAGTTTCTGTTGCGCATACGCCGGCCGCGGCACTCCTGGTCGCCGCTCCTGCTCCCAACCTGGTTCTACTTCCGGTCGGCGAAGAACTGCCTGTCGGCGACTTGCTCCTCGACACAGCCGGCGGCGGGACTATGTTGACTTTCTGAGAAGCTGCAGAGGACATCATCTCGAGGACAACTTCGCCCTTCACTACAATTTGGTCTGCCTGTAGCGGTTTCTCCGGTCGCTCGGGTTTACTTTCGACTTTCAAAGCGAAAGCTGCACCGGTGGTGACATCAGAGGGAGATGATGCACGACTAGTGTTCTTTTTTATCGCGGCAGAAGACGCAGCAGCGGGCGAACTCGGCGAATGCTGGCTAGTCGGCTTCTTCATAATCGCCAGTTTTGTGGCTTTGTGAGCGCCTTCCCTGAACAGTGCGTCCTGATCAACTGGTCCGGGTTGTACGGCTGTGCTGCTGCCGGAAGGCGAAGTATTGTCCTGCTGCAGGTTGGTTGTTCTAACGCTGTGAAATTGGCCCACCTTTGCCCCCACAGATGCAGCGTTTTTGTTTTTCCGTGGCGGGGGCGGTAGGTAATCCAAACCCACGATGCAATCCGCATCGATTTCCTGCCCTGTCAGATGCACACCTCCGACCACGCCAGCAGAAGATGTGGCGACGCCACCTGGAAGTCGTCCGGCGGCCCCAGAAGATTGCTTGGAATTCAAAACGGAACCACCAGCAGGAAAAAACTCTTCCCCAAAAAGGCCCGGTTTATTACTCCGCAGCTCCTCAATCTCCGCCGATTGTTCTCGCAATGCCCACAGCTGCCGCATCACGTCGTCTAGCTGCTCACTCTGCTTGCTTTGGCTTTCTTCCCCACCCGAAACCGAGCCGTAGCTCGCCGTATCGAGATGAAGATGGTTTTGGTTTTGATTTTGATGCAGCTGCTGCTGCTGTTCTAACAGTTGCACCGCGGAGAAACTGAAGTTATTTTTCGACGCGAAAGATGAAGCGCTGCTGCTGTTCATCGTCGTCCCGCTAGCAGTTTGTTGTTCAGCAGACGGGTCAAACAAAAATGGCCGGTTTTCCACCTCTTCGTATCTTCGGAAGTGCTGCTGCTGCGCGCTAGCAGAGCGTGTGGCTGCAGGTGCGGCTCCAGCAGCTCCTCCTCCCGCTGCACTGTTCAGTTTTTGTCTCTTCGCCCTAGATGGGTTTCGTAAGCCCGAAGAAGAGGAATTCTGGCGGTCCGACGCAAGATTCGGTTTCCAATATTCCGCATTGAATCTCCGGTGCGCCTCCTTCCAGCGGAGCATCAGTGGCTCTTTTTTCACAGAGGAAGTACTAGCTGTCCCTGACGTGGTGTCGTTGGTTTCTTCAACGTCATGTGCTGTAGGTCCGTTATTTTCACGAACCAGCACTGTGCCTGCGCTTGCATGTTGATTTGTTATTTTTTCGTCTAGTACTGGCTCTGCTTCCGTCTCCGTCGAAGTCGTCGGGGGCGTGAAATGCTGGTCCACCTCCCGCTCATTGTCATTCCCCTCTCCGTCGGTTTGAAGCGCCTGCTGTTTCACTGACGCTGGTTGCCTTCTTGACTGCACACTCGCATCGCTGTTGCCGTAATCAACCAAGTTCACAGGAGATGTTGATGTCTTTCCTCCTACCGGAAGCGCAGCTTGGTTGTTATCTTTTTTTTCTCGTGGGTTTTTCGGCACACCGCTCGTTGATGAAACCTCGCCGAGTTCTTTTCTACTGCTTTCGCACAGGACTTGATCTACGTCTACCGCAGATTCGACTTCTGTACCTTCAGAGACTTCGCCTACTCCTTGCCCTTGTGTGCCAAGAACTGTCGTTCCTTTATTCCCAACCACCCGTCCTCCCTGTGAACGATTTGATGTTGGTACTGTTGGAGGACTCGCTTTTCGCCCCCCCGGGGAGGACTTTGGTGGGGGAAAGCGGGTGGCTTTCCGGTTTTTGTTCCTCTTCCGATCCGGGCTGGAGGGGGGGATATCTGTAGTTTTTGATTTCCGTAAGAGCAACATAAGGTCTTGTCGACTGCATTTGATGATAGCAGACCGGCTTGTTGGGCCGATGCAAACCCCGCAGAAGAAGACGAAGAAAAAATAACCGATGGGATGATTTTTATATGTAGTCATGCATCCTCCAAAACACCCACTAAATACGGTCCTTCTCCATGACAATCTCGCCGTCCATGGCTGCTCTGCGCCAGCAGTCTATCCAACAAAAAAACTGTGTTAGTGTAAGAAAGTCTTTTGGGAAAACAGCATTACAAGTTTGTCTGCAATGACAGGAAAAACTTGTTATGCGCAGATAGGAAGGGAAAACACATAGGAAGCGAGCCGATCATGCATGTCGAGCATGACAAGTGTAACTGTTTTGCATTTTCTGCATTACAGATTTACACTTACACAGTTTTTTTCTTCCATACAGTCGAAGTTGTCCGCCAAATCCTCTAAGAACACCGGGACGGAATAGACTGTGAAATTGCTACTCATCTCCGGCCGCCAGCACCCGGGGAATCGCCGCGTGTCGAGGACGAAGTGCTTTCTTTCAGTTTCATCGGCGGAAGAGGAAAAAATCCACATTGCGGTGACGTTTCGCCAATTTTTTTCTGCAAACGGCTCGTACAGAAAATAGTTTTTCACCGTCGATGCGACGAGAAAACAAGTCTCCGCAAACGTCTCACCGGAACCGTCCAAATGGCAGTGCATTTTCTCCGGCGTGACGTTGAGAAGGGAAAGGGCCGCGTTGAAGACGGAGTGGAGCTCGGGGGCAACCTTTTGGTTTTGAAACAAGCAACCGTTCAAGCTGGATGATGAAAAATCTGCTTTCATACTACGAATCGATCCGTGCCCCATACTACGAATCATTGCACGACTCAATAAACACCTAGTACCCCCGCCAGCACAATGGCCTTTGCGTGGAACATGATAGCGGACATATCAAATGCAAATATGTCTGGGTCTGGAAGGATCCGACCTTGTGATGCGAATTCCGCTACGCGCGCAAAACTCTCATGCACAGGCAGCAAACGGCGCCCATTTCCTGTCACCAAAGTGGGGGATTTGTCATGCGGATTAAGCATTGCGGAACGTTCTTCAAATCTGTGACGCTAGGGTTTCCATGACGGACCTTCTGGGTCATGCAAAAACAGCATGACAAAAATCTGCATTCCTCCAGACCCAGACATATTTGCAATTGATAGGACAGGTGGGCCAGCAATTTCGCGTCCGAGGCCCCTTCCGGGTTGGCGTTCTCCTGTATTCTAGGGAAAAATTCCCCCTCCCCATATCGAAAAGGTACGTCCCAGAAAATTTGCAATGCTGATTTGTGACCGCAAATCGTCTCTGTCTTGCAAGAACGCAACGCCACAGGCTCCGCCGCATTCTGCAGGCGGTTTGTCATGCTGTTGGCCCTACAGCCTAGGCGTTTGCCATGCTCAGTGCCTAGCCCTAAACCCCTCCACTCAGGCTTAGCATAGGCCTGCAGTCCTCTCCAGCAAGACAAATCTGATTTGTGTACGCAAATCCAGCATCAGAAGTTTCGTTTTGATGTGGGGAAGGCGGATTTTTCCTCTCAATATCCTGTTCCAGGGCGTGTTTTACTTGTTTAATCGTCGTCAAAATCGTGGACATCGCGGCCACCGGCGTGGCGAGAGCGAGACTCGTCCCGAGACGTGTCGGCTGCTGCGTTGGAGGAGCCGGAGCGGTGCCTGTTGTGTAGTTGCCGTGGAGCAACGAGGATCCACAGGGCGTGTGCCGCGGCTCGTGCTCTTTCGGGGTGATGGAGGAGGGCGGCATCTTTATTTCAGTCGGCCGGGGGTTTTCGCTCGGATATTTATCTTTGACACAGACGAGACCGCTTTTCGATTCAGCAGAAATGAAATTATACGCAAGGATCGCGCTTCTCTGTCGTGTGCGAAAAGTTCTGTTTTCGCAACTGCCCAAAACAAACCTTTAGCTGGGAGAATAAAAAGGCACTGGACTCCACTGAACCCTATTTTCCAAATCGCGCTCACACAGCTACGTACCTTGGATTTCGCCAGGGCAAGAGAACAACGGACGCCAACGAGGAGAAGGCCGACAAGATAACTAAGCAGAGCGACCTGGAGGTGCATCCTAGCTGGAAGCCATGTTGTAGTAGAAATGTCGTGTGTTACTTCCAATTTCAAAATTGTTCTTGTTGCAGATGACTCTGTCACAATTTATTCCAAACAAAATTTTCTCGGAAACTGCTCGAGATAGACGAAATTCAATTGATCAATGAATGTCAATGTAGTTAGAAGGCAGAAACGCTGGTATTGTACACATTGTAAAATTGTCGAATGTGACTGTATGTGAGTAACTCCAAGATTTGAGTATAAGTGTCGTGTCGTAATTCCAAATTCCAATGACCTCGACAAAGAGGCATCAATAGTACTTCATCAGTTTTAATTTACAGTTATCTGAAAGCGAAGCGTATCAATCTAATTACGGCAATTCCGATGTCCAATCAATTTTCTGCCAATCATGATGTCTTCGAATGTCGAAACCTAAACACCTGACCTACACCATCATGTCCTCCTCCGCTACCTCCAGGTCGACCCACACGGGCAGCGCAACCGAATTCGACGGCTTGTAATCGATGCTGTTTACGCCGAGCGTGTTTGGGTTGCGCAATTTCAAAGCGCCGTAGAGTGCCTGGTACGCGGCACTTCTCTCGGACTTTTGTTCTGCTCCTTTGTTGAACTTGTTGTTTTTAGTACTGCTCTTGAACAAGTCCTCTTTGTCCGCACCGGTCGAAGAACTGCTCGCGTCGCCGTTCCTTCTCCGCTTACTAATCCACTTTTTCAGGAGCCACAACACCACCGCACCCGCTCCGCAGCCGAACACGCAGGCAGCGGTAGCTCGGTGGGAAAGGAGGGCTTCGTCGGCGGCTGGAAAGTTTGGTTTTGGAAAAGTGTAACGGTATGACGGTCGCTCACACTTTTTGTTTGATACATATCAATCAATTTTTGAAAACTAAAGTGGTGGCTCATTTACATTTTGCCCATCAACACAAACACATGCCAAGAACCCTCTATATCCTGAGGAAAAACGTACCCAAACCAGAGTCAGGATGGGGATTTTGCAACACAAACCTAGGAGCTTTGTGAATCACGCATGACAAGTTGCACTCTGCAGTGTAGTGCAGGTTAGCAAGTGCAGCCGCATCACAGATTCATCTGCTCATCCTGTTCACAGCATCACAAATTCCAAAACACGATTGGAAATGGCTCTCATGGGGATGCGCATTACAAGTCTTCCTGTCTTTGCAAATCTGCATTACAACTCTGGTGTGGGTACGTTTTTACTCAGGATACTCTACCTTGGTGCCTCATCACGTGCCGCACCCGACTGTCTTCCTCCGCTATCGCAAACAAATCAGCAATCGGAATTTTCTGCGACGTAGCTGCCCCGATGCTACTTCTTCCGTTGAGCAGCAACAAATCCGCCGCGTCGGACCGCTCTCCTTCCGCGGGCGAAATGTGCTTCAGCAGCGAGGAATCGGGCAGTCCATAAATCGCCCCCTCGCCCTTATTGATCTGTCCATCGGAGGTAGACCCCGAAGTTCCGGAGGGAGTGGAGGATGTTGTTACCCCGCCATCAGGAACCTCGCTGTTCAGATCTGAAGACGAGGAGGACATAGAGGAACCACTACTACCACCGGACGCTGCATAATTGCTACCCATCTCCACACTCCCGTCAGCGTTCACTTCCACGTAGTCTTTTTTCTGCTGCAGAAACGCCGAAATGTTCTCGTACCAGGACGATGAGGAACTTGCTACACTCGTCGATGTTGAACCTCCTTTCTCCAGAAACATTCCGCAACACGACCCACTTGTATCCGCCACGGTAGCGGGTCCCTGGCTTGATTGGAAAACCGCCGGGTCCGACGGGCGGATGATCTGCAGTTTTAGTTTTGATTTGTTTAAGTACGATTGCTCAAATCATGATGTTAATTCCGATGGTCGCTAATATCGTTCTACATTCTTATTCATTGTCGTTCAAAAGTGAGAACATCGCATGATAAAGCATTTCGCTTCTTTTTTCCCCGCATCTTCACACACTGCAATTTCGTAATCTATACCCCCGCCTCCTTCAGGTACTCCCTATTGACCAAGGGCCACCGTTCCGGGGTTACCCGCACCCAATTGTCACTGACTCGATTTTATCGCCTGTAAATATTTCTAGGTCTGGAAAAATGGAACTTCTGTTGCTTGTCTGGCACTCCTACAAAATCTGTATTGCGTGACGGACAAGGACGCAGCTACATAACATTTGTCATGCAAAAACGCAGTTTGTACCGTGCGTACTGCGCATGAGAGAGCTTCCTAAAAACTTTATCTTTAACTTGTCATGCTTGGCTGCATTAGAGGTTCTGCGAGCATGCAAAGTTTCGCATCACAAGTTTCCAGACCCAAACATATCTGCATTTGATACATTTTCCGTGGTCCATCTCTCCCCACTGTACACCCGCACCTCGTCCGGTGGAATGCCGGGACTTATGTTTTGCGGGCGGCAGTCACGCCCGATGGAGACCCGGATATTGGTACACTGAAACCAGAACTGGTTGTACCGGGTGAAAACGACCATTTCGTTCTCCAATTGCAGCGGGGATTGCCCACCGGGGGAGAAGAACAACGCGTCCAAGGTCGGTTCGTTCCACTGCCACTTTTGCGTCAACGGGTTCGGGTTGCCGTTCAGCGCGTCATCCCGCAGTCGCCCCGTCGTGACCAAATACTTCCGGTAGTTTTCGTACTGGGCGAGGGTGAGCCGCGTGCTTTGATCCGGAAAAATCGCGTTCTTGTGCATTTGCTCCCACGCGAACTGCAGAATGTTCGAATTCGCCCACTGATGCGAATCGGTCGTAGTTTCTATCCTGTGTAAAAACGTACCCACCCCAGAGTTGTCATGCAAATCTGCATGCTGAAAATGTTTCTCATGCGGAGCCCGATGAGAAGCGCTTTCCAGTCGTGTTTTGGAATTTGTCATGCTCCAATCAGCATGATAAAATAGATCTGTGATGCTGCCGAGCTAGCTCAAACAGCACTACACTACGAGTCCAAATTTGTCATGCAAAACACCCAAAACTTGTGGATTTGTCTAGCCGAGTCCCCATCTTGACTATGGGGTGGGGACGTTTTTACATAGGATAGTTTCCACGTTGTGCCGCAGTGCGAGGACGTTGGGCCCCTTCTTGATCGGATCCGCAAATTCCGGAGAGTAGGTCAGGTGCAGTTCGACTGGGGTGCCCTGATCGTGGGTTTTTTTGACAACATGGAATTGTATCTAGTGATGGAAGTTTTGGTCATGGCATTCGCTTTCGCATTGCTGGCTAGAAATGACCAAACTAGACGTCGATGCCTTATCGGCATCACAAATTGATATGTGCCTCGTTGTCGTTCTGAGCTACATCCCATTTAAATACCCGGAAGCTATCTTGCAGGTCCTGGAAGACATCGCCGCGACTTGAAATGTTGATCACAGTCGTCCGCTGTCGCTGCTCTGGGAGGTTGTCCGGAACATTAACAGTTTTGATGGATGACGTCGAAGACGCAGTTGTAGTTCCAGCTTTCTCTTCTTTTCCAACTTTGCTCGTGTTCTCCTGCGCCTGCTTCTCTTCTTCTTGCACAAGTTGCTTTACTTTCTGCTGCTGTTTCTGTTTTTTTACTCGAGTCTGTTGCTCCTCCAATCTTCTCTCCTGTGCAGTGGATTCCTTTTTCTGGCGCTGTGCCTCCAGTTGCTCCACCTTTTGCTCTTCACTTTCGCGAACCATCTTGGAATTATATATGGAAGATCGTTAAAAAGGAAGCTTCAGAAGAAGAACCAATCTGCTTGTTGCAAGATTAAGGTTGTTTCTACGAAACTGAAACTCCGCAGGCAAATGCCGAAGACTCGGCCCAGAACTTCTTAATTGTGGCGCACAACGGGCTCCTTGGTACTCTGATGTAGCAGTCGTGTTGCGTTACTTCACGGACGACAAACACCGCAAAAAAAAAGCTAGGCGATATGGATATTGATCCAGTATGCGTATCACAAGTTTACCTTAGAGGAAGAGTTACGGAAGTCCAAATGGAAATAAACCTCATTGTAAATTGTAAGTAGAGCATAAGATGAACTCACGAAAGCGATTGTTTGAGATCTTTTTTACGCGTTGTTCACCGACTTTGTGAAACCGGTAGTACAACAACGATAACTTGAAGACCGATTGCACGATCACGACACCACGAGTGTTAACACGAATCCCGTATCAGAATGTGGCGAATAAAACGACGATCTAGAACAAGTAGAACCACGAGTAAGGGGAGAACCGACGAGATCCTTTTCCTGGTAGACAGATGAAACCCACGACGAAAATTTCGACATTTCGATCTTTCTTCGACAGAAGCGCAGAGGAGCACGACCCGGGTAGTTATGAGCTATTTGAAGCTAGCGTAGCCGATCTAGTAGACCGTGAGAAATTACAACGAAATAAAGCAAAAATCGATTTAATGACGGAACATCGTTACGCCCCCAGCTGCGGCGCAGAGAAAAAAACTAGCCTTGAAACTGTCCCAGACCAGCACGAGAAGTTCTTTTCCGATACATCAAGTGCCACACGGTACAGCAGCTTTAGTGTTCTCATACATTGGAAAGGGTAAGCTGAACTCTTACTGATGTATTCCTGTTTCTTTCCAGCTCGATGTACTCAGCGAGTTGCACTTCAAATCCATCACAACTTTACTCCGGCAAACAGTTCTTTATCCAGCTTCCGCTCGCGCCAGTACTCTCCGAAGGTATCGTTAACCATCCGGAGCTCTTCCTGCAGAATGTGCACGTCTGACCGGCTGACAATTACGTCGCCGTCAGTGCCCTCGCGGGCAAGCTGGATAGCGCCCAGAGCTGTTTGAGTTTTTGGGAAAGAAAATACCGATTTCTGATCCATACAGAATTCATCGCTTTTGTTACACACAGTACAAAGAGGCATTCACTGCTTACCTGCTGACACACGCTTGCTGGGAAAACAGACAAAAACCAAAAGCGGTCAAATTAAGAGAAAAACCAATAATCCAACATCATATGTACTGTCTTTCAACTCCTCGTTGTCGTTCTTCGCTCGTGCCAGGTCCATTTCGAGATCGTCTGTTCGTTCGCGCTATGAACTGCAAAAGTATCGTAGTAGTAGTAATTGCAATACAAATTAGCTCAGCATGACAAATGGAATTTGTCATGCTGTTTTGCCTTTGGATGGAGATTTGTAATGCATAACTGCGATTACTACGAGTACGATACTTTTGCACAGGATACTCGCAGTTTTACCAGTTCCCTTTTCAGCTGGTCCGCCTATGGATTGCAAAAATGTCTGGGTCTCCTGGAAGAGTCCGAACTTGTGATGCGCATCTCAGAACACAGAAAAATCTGTCATGCATAGGTAGCAAAAGCTGCCCGCTTTCTGTCACCAAGAAAATGGGGGATTTGTCATGCGGATTCGGCATTGCGGAAGCTTCTCGATGAAACCTGTGGTGCTAGAGCTTCCATTTCAGACCTTCTGTGTCAGTGTCATGCAAAAACAGCATGAGTCTTCCAGACCCAGACATTTTTGGAGTTGATACCGCCTCCGCGCGCGCGATCTCCTGTTCCGCCTCCTTTTCCTTGGCCGGGTCTTCCTCCGCCTTTTGCAGGCACATCTCCACGATCAGTAACTCCAGCTGCGGCTTCGTAAACTCCTTCAACCGGGCGTGCAGATGCCGGGCCGCTTTATCGGACCCACGCTTGGAAAACTCGTGGAGGAAGGTTTTCTCAAATCCGCCCTCCGAATAGACAAAATCCAACACCCGCTCCACCTCGTACGGTTGCACACCAGAAGAACGCTCTTGGTTAGATTTCTCTATGGAACGATCATCATCAGGATCTGGCGTGGTGGGAAGATCCTGCTGTCCAACATCCTCGTCGTCAAAGCCCTCGAGCTGTGGGTCCTCTTCAGACTGCGCTTCCTCCTCCTCCTCGTCTATTCTCGCCTCGCCCTCAGCTTTTTTCTTTCGCGATCTGGGTGTTAATTTACTGCTCGGCTTGAGTAGATGATGGCTCTTGTAATTATTGCCACCCCCGCGGCCAATGATCCCCTTATTTGCTCTTGCTCCTCTGTTCTGGGTAATTCCTGATAACTTATTCATCTTGCTGGTCAACCCTTTTGAGGCTCCTGTGGCCGCTGACAACAAACTATTGTTTCTCGCCCCCTCTGCCACCTCACTCTCTAGCGACGTTTCAATGTTCTGGACCTGTTGCAGCTGCTCTACCACCGCTGTCATACAGTCCGCGATCGTGATTCCGTGCTGGTGCACGCCCTCGTTCACCGCCGCAATTTGGTCCTCCAATCGCGGGATTTGTTCCGTCGCGATCAAATTCACTTTGTCGTCTAAGTGACTCACCTGCGATGCGAGGGTGGATACTTGCTGGAGCTGCTGGGAGGTAGTGGGTGGGGTTGTCGGTACTGTTGTGGCCACTTTTTCTTTTACACCTCCAGATGTTGCACCAGCTACTGGAATCGATGACATTGTATTCTCTTTGTCCAACACCGCAGACGCTGCTAGTGCCGACGGCAAGGCGTTCCCCCCACTGACGATTGCTACAGCGCTGGTGGAATCGGCTTTCGTTCCTTCTGTTGCCTTTTTCCCCCGACCCATGTCTAGTGGCGCTTTTCTTCGCGGGGTACTCACGGATCTTTGACTTTCCTTTTCCTGTCCGCCCTTTATCACCAAATTGTTCTTGTTGTCCAGCTTGTTTGCCATCATGTAGTTCGGCTTTATCTTATTGTTACTTCTCTCCCCTTCCGGCTGCATAATTTTATTCGCGTTTGTTCGCCCTGTAGAAGTTGTGCCCGAGTTCGCCCCAGCTGTGATCTCGACGCCAAAATTGACCGCTTCCCCCTCCGCGGCCACCGGGCGTCGTGTCGGGGGCGGGATGTCCTCCTCTGCGTGATCCGACAAGTCGAGCCCCGACAGAAATTCGTGCAAATGCGTGAATCGCGGAGCAATGTCATCGTCGTCCTCAATGGAGTTTATTTCATCATGGTCATCCATGTAGTAGTTGCTGCCATTCTCAACATCTGCTAGTCCTTCTCCCTCTCCAGCAACATTATAGACCAAAGACGCTCCCATCGGGCGACCTTTAACACCTCCGAAGTCGATACTCCCGCGCATGGCGGACGGTGCTGCCTCATCCCCTAGAGAGAGCATGGACGAAACAGACCCAATTGCGAAGTTCAGCGACGCGCGGCCGGCCTCTGCCAACTGCTTCGCCGCTTCCACGGGACGCGACGCCCCGAATCCGTAGGAACCGCGGAAGGCGGGCTGCCGGTTGTCGCTTTCTTCTTCATCAGGTAGTCGTTCTTCTTGATCAGCGGACGTAAATATGGTCGTGCTAGGTCTGATAACCGGTTGTTGTAAACCACCTGAAGATGCAACAATTTTTCCCACATTATTATTTTTATCAAATCTGCTCCTGTCCCACTGGAGAACTTCCCCCTCGCCATGATCCTCGTTGATCTTTTGCGACTCGCCGAATCGCCGCCGCACGTTGGCGAAGGGGTTATTCTCGTCGGAGCTATCGAACCCGCGCGTTATTTCGTTGTCTTCTTCTTCTTCTTCTGCTGCTGCTCTGGGGAATTCTTCCTCACTTGTGTAGTCCCCGGGAACCGAGAGCTTCTTGTTTTCACTTGTCACAAAATTTCCCTCATGTAGTTGTCCATCGTCTTCACTATCGTGCATCGGGTCCCAGTCGGCACCGCGTTCGAAGGCTGTTTGTGTGTCGTAAACCGCAGGCTTTGACTTCCCTGGCGCATAGTTCTTCTCGCCTTTCTGGTCTTCAAAGGAAGTGTTCACCCTGGTGTATTGTTCCACCGTTTTCATCTTTGTAAAAGCGGAGAGTTTGTTCTTTGCGGATTTAAGATTTGATGTCCTCTGCTGCCCTGGTTCTGGCGAAGGAGTAGGAGAAACAGGTGCTGCTGCGACTTGATTGGAGGCGATATTTTCATTTGCTTCTGGCACAAAAATTTCATCCGTTTCCATCAATTCGCCGTGTTTTTCTTGTAGTTGTCTTAGTCTCTTCTTCGAGTTGTTTTTCGGTGAGTCCGCCAAAGATTTTCTTCCGCCAGTTGCACTTGGTGCTTCTTGGACCATATTATCCGCGGCACCATCTTGTTCCGGATCAACGCCAACAGTCGCACGTATTTTCCGCGTCCGTCGCACCGACCGGGTTTTCAGCACCAGGGACTTTTTCTTTTTCTTCTTGGTGCTCGGTAGATCACCCCCATCGCCTGAAGATGTCAGTGTTGTGCTGTCTGCAGCAACAGTGTTCTTGACCGGTGGAGCAATGCTGTCATCCTCCTCAGGACGACGCGAGCCGGAAGCGACTTCTATCGTAGGGAAAAGTCACCCCTCCCCATATCGAAAAGGAACGCCTCTGAGAATTTGTGATGCTGATTTGTGACTAGAAATCGGGTTTGTCTTGCAAGAAATCAACGACAGGGGGCTCCGCCCGATTATGCAGGCGGTTTGTAATGCTGTTGGTCCTACAGCATAGACGTTCCTCATGCTAAGTGCCTAGGCCAAAGCCTCTCACTCTATATTGGCATGATATGGGCCTGCAGTCCTCTACTGCAAGACAAATCTGATTTCTGTACGCAAATCCAGCATCACAAATTATGTTTTCGATATGGGGAGGGGGCATTTTTCCTTTTGATAACTTCAGTGTCCAGAAGCGGCAAGGGCCCGGGATTGGGATTCGTCGTTTTTCGCGCGGACGAATCGCGACGCGTCGTCGTCTTTGCTTTCGATGTCGCCATGAGAGAAGGAAAGAATCGTCCAACAGGGGCACTAAAACTAAAAACTGATATATAATCTAGTAATCGATGGGACGTAGATGCTCAACCAGCTCCATCCTACAATATTAGTGGGGAAACAAAGCGTGAAAGACCAGCAGCATGCAAATCAGAAATAGATGGGGCAGCAAACAAAACTGTCTTGCTCCTCGTCGTACTTTGCGGACCGCAATAGGCGGTGTCTCTCGTGTAGAAACAGTGCTGGAGGGTACTTAAAATGTTTGAGGGTAACTATATCTAGTTAGAGCAGGAAAGGAAAGCACCTGGAATAATCAAGGTAGGAAACGCCCGCGAAGATTGATGATAGTACACGACGTCCAAGCTCGAGCAAAAATTGCCGAAACCAAAACCACACGACAACCGAAACGCTTTGTGTACGAGGACATGTTAACCAACAAAGGACGACAGTAAAGAGAACGAAGCAGGTTGATGAAACAACCGATGAAACAAGTTCTATCGTACGAGTAGACATCATCACGATGCTGCGCGGACCGAAAAGCTAACGCAAACGCAACGACGGACCGAAAAGCCAAAGCATATACGCAGATTGCATTTGGCTGCACGACTGGACAACCCACTTGTCTGCATGTGTGCAGATGTTGTGAACGACGGAAAATGGACGAAGACGAGACAGATAAGGCAGTCGTGAATACGGGTTCATTGTTCTCTACGACAGACGACAAGCTGCGCCGTCTGAGAAATCACGAACATAAACTCAAAAGTGGAACAGCAGCCGTAGTAACGTCAAGACGTGGCCACTTTCAACAAACTACGCTCTTTGAAGATGTGCGCTGCTGACGTGGCAGTACTAGGATAACCTGCTTGAGCTTGTACTTACATCAAATAGGTATGAATCGTGAAGGTTTTGTTCTGTAGAGCTAGAGGTCGCTGTCGATTTCAATAAAAATCGCTGTCGCTTATGTCCACGGCCTCGGCCATGATGCTCAACATTATTCATGATGAAATGTCACGAGGTGACAGACACTCGGGCAACCAGTGTCGCAAAAAACCGCTCATGCCCCACCCACCGCGGAGCACGGCAATGCGGTTGATGAGACCAAAGAGCTGTTCTTTCCCAGGTCGACTCGCAGTCTTTTCGTCGGACTGTCACTCAATACTGAAGCTGCTCCTGCTGCGATATCATCTTCTTCTTCTTCTACCATGATCGACGCGCTAGTTTTTCTGTCGCTGTTCTGTAAGCAGTCCGTACTCGGCGAAGCGTCAACTTCTACCGCAACATCGGCTTTCGTAGTTCTTCTCGACGTTATTATATGATCCGTGGTTGCTGTAATTATCCCCACCCCTAAACATTCCAGCACGTTTCTCGCGATTTTCGCCACCAAAGGCGGGCACACGGCGTTTCCGCACTGGTAATAGAAGCGGTTCGCGTTTCGCTGGTTTTCCACGCAAAACGTCTCTGGAAAACCCTGCAGCCGTGCGCATTCCCGCAGCGTGAAAAAGCGCGGCGGGGGGAGATTTTCAACACTTTCATTTTCGTGCGTTCCGTCTTCATCCCTTGGATACGGCACGAACTCGGACTGCACCAAGTAGCCAGATTTGTACCGCGCCGTCAGTGTGCGTGCGAGGTAGTCCAGCTCCACGATGCGCTTTTTTGGTTTTTTCGAACTGGTCCACGATCGGTGGCTTTTCACCTTCTCCCACTGAGTGTCGGTTAAAAGGACGCTTTTCAACTTTTCGGGGTTTTGTTCCAAGGCGGTATCAGGCTCCAAGATGTCGCGGACGGTGACAGGTCTGATTTGACGTAGCGAGGCCGGTGAGTTTGACGAAAGTGATGTTTTTTCCATTGGCGGAGAGAGATCAGATTGGTTTTCTGTTCCAGCATTGTGGCTTTTTGAATTTGCGGCTCGCCTCCAATCTTGGTCCCCGCAAGAGGTCCTCGTGGAAGAGGTGTCTACTCTCATGTCACTGTGGCTGCAGCTTGGCACGTGTTTCTCGCCCCCGTCGATGTGTTGGCGTTCCTGTGGTGGCTCGGGCCAGTGGAAATCGAACTCGGGAGAAATATTCTGGTCCAGCTCCAGTCTTGCTTCAGGCTCAGTTCTTTCACAAGAAGGAGATGCCATTCCACCCCCCCTTCTCATCAAAAACCCGACGATATACAGCCGATCCCGGTTTTGCGGAACAACATCCGGACAGACTGCGTGGCTGTTCAGGACCTTGTGGTGCACCTCGTATCCGCAGTCTTGTTCTAATAACTGTTTCACCGTTTCAAACACCTTCCCGTCCTCCAGTTCCAACAACCCGGGGACGTTTTCTAATAGCAAGGCTCGCGGCTTGAGGCTTTTACTGTGTTTCAGCAGTCTGACGATCTCGAAAAACAGCTGTCCCGGGTTTGCTAGCTCGTTTTTTAGACCTTTGCGGCTGCTGCCGGTATCAAAGTGAGAAAAACTAGATTTATGTCGCCCCTGGTGCCTCAATCGCGTTCGTACCTACTAGTGTGTTGAGTACTAGAAATTTAAATGAAACACGGGCAGAGGGAGTAGATGTGGAGAGAAACTAGAACTACTACTACATTTCAATTTGCATGACAATCGATTTCGCGCTGTTGATTTAAGCATAAATATGTTGCAATTGAAGCTGAAGCGACATGATATCACTATTTTCTGCATTATCATACTTGGCTTTTGAAAAAGACTGGCAGGGGAATCCGGCACAGAGGAGGTCGAGTTGGCCAGTAAGGGGGCAAGCGGGTAACTTCTCTAGCGTCGTGATGTCGGTATTGAAGCCAAACAGGGGCTTTCCGTGATTGACTTCGTACAAATATCTTGCCTCCGCGTCGCATTCCGAGGCCAATAGACAGGTCCCGCGCAGGTGGCAGAAATTTCCCGACTTCAGGCCGCAGGAAAACCCCCCGATACCCGCGAACAGGTCGACAAACGTGAACTGGGGCAGATTTTCTGCGGTTTTTGTCGGGTGGACAGCGACACCGGCGTCTGGCTGCAGTTGCAGGTTAGAGACCTGTAGTTCTTCCCCCGCAGTACTGCCATAACTTGTGGACATCGCTGGGCTAACACCTGGGAAAATCTCGTTCTGATCTTCGACCGCATCCCCGTCGCAGCCACCTGCTGCGGCCGAGTTGTTCTTCAGTTCATCTGCGAAACGTGTCGACGCAGTAGCATAATCCTTCAGAAGATCATGATCGACGTCAAGAACATCGAGTTCCACAAGCTTGACACAAGCTGCTAGGCTCTCGGGAAGCACGTGGTCTTTCATTTTTCCATTCCTATCTTGGCCCTTGCGAATCATGTTCTTCTTGCCCATCACGTCGAAATTCGGCTCACCACAATGATCGGCCTGCGCTGTTGGCTGCGAAACACCTTTTTCATGTTTTTCTGTGCGATGTGCTGCGCGCATCAGGCACGAGAAGAAGAAATCCCATTGCGTCCGGGTTAGGGGAACAAATTTGCAGTCTGTTATGTCTACCGTACGAGAGGAACCACTGTGGTCCATCAGCGCGCACTCGCCGTTAGGGTCGGAACGAGATTTTGTTGATGCGGCCGGAGAGCATGGTGCGCTCCTACCTAGTGATGGACTCGTTATCTCGTCTGCTGCTTCAACTTCGTTGTCATCTCGTCCTCTGCACGCGGGCTCGCGTTGTAGGGACGAGGAACAGACCTGTTGCGTGTCTGGTCCCGTCTGGCTCGGGGATGGCTGTGCGACCTTTCGCTCACGAAATCGACAGGCCGCGATGACATGTTGGATCCCGTAGATCGCTATTTTTTCTGTCGTACTCCTAGTTGTTTCCACTCCCTCAACGGACCTGTGCCGTACTGTACTTGACGATGCCCGCCCTTCTGCGCTGTCCCTCCTGCCCCTGACATCACTGACAGAAGTCAGCTGAGGTCGCGCTTTCTGTGACAAGCCAGCAGGACTTGTGTAGCCAGTCCTCTCTGCATCGTTGGTAGAAGCCGGGCTTATTTTTTCCACAAAGAAAACCTTCCTGGGCGTCCACAGTTTGCGATTTGCTTTCCTTTCAAAGTCTGTTCTAGCCCTGGAGGGTTCATCTCGTTGCTCCTCGCCGCGCAACGCGTAGTTTGCCAAACCTGCTGCACTTGCTCTACCCGCTACTTCTGCCACCTCATGATCTTGCGACAGCACACGTGCAAAGTATATTTCCTCTCCACCAGCTGATGTCATCTGCCGGCAGCTTTCCGTGGCGACACCAGGGGCATGAAGTGTGTCCCGCTCTCCACGCGAGGAAGGGTAGTCGTCGTGTGCGCTACCTTCATCGGCGACGGGAGGCCTCTTCCCTTTCGACGTGACGCGTCGGCCCCCAGATGGAGTGTCGAGACCTGGTGAAACTGTGCTGTCTAATCGCGCATTTGTATTTGTGTCGTTGGTGCCACAAAAGGTCGCTTCCAGCCATTTCAGGGCTGCGGCCAACTGCCCCGGAGGAACGAGAACGCCCTGCTTGTGATTCATAATTCTACTTCCGTGCGTGGCTCTCGTTGCCGTGATTCATGATTCACCAGATTTCTCCTTGCGTGGCTCTAGCAGCCGTAGAAGATGAAGAGCTAAGAAGCAAAGTGTATAATAGAGGCAAAAGGGTTAAACGATTTCCTCTGCACAACCAACTAATTTTCATGTCTCACACAGAATTCTTCTCCCCAGGTTTGTTCATGTTCATCAGCCTACCCGCTACGCCATACCGCGTTCCTGTTCCGCTACAAAAATCAGTCAAATTGTCTCGCTCATGTTCTTCATCTTCAGGGAACAACTTTAATTTTTGTCTTTGACATCAGATCTTTTTCTTCATCTCGCTGCGATCTCGCTTTTCGAGTACGTAGTAGATCTGACCTGCACTTTTTGTTTTTCGTTTTCCAACGGCAACGCCGAGAGACTAAAGTATCTACCCTAGCTAGCACACACGAGGACCTCGTTTAGAGCCATTTTCACTGATCATCTGATCCATATTCACGATTTCAGCTGCGTACGGGAACGCACAAAACAATTTTCTCGTTGCTACACACACGCGCACTTCCTTGTGCGGGCACCAGGAGGTGGGACAAGAAGGCATTCGGTTTCATTGTTCGAAGTGTAAATGTTTCCCTTACGTTGGCAGCCCCAGCTGCTCCTGGTGTCTTTGTTTATTGTTTTTCCATGGTGCTTTTGATATTGCCCTCAGGTCAACTCTCTTCGAACTCGTACTTTTTCCGCAGTAACAAGTTCGTTTTCCTTGCGATTGACACCATTGCCCACAGCAAAAGCAATGTGATCACGCGCCGTATTAAAGCAGGAAAGACCGCGGTCTTGTATTTTGTGCAGCAGATGAAGCTGTAGCCTGCCGATGTTCGTTGCATCTTCAAGAACCTGCGTACTGGGTGGTAGTCATAGCAGTAGTAGAAAACAAAGAGCTTGAAATATAACTACGTAAGAAACTCGCAAGGGAACACTACGTCACCACCTAGCCTGTGATTAAAGATAAGCTCGCTGAGTGGTTGTGCGATTCTTTTCTCGTCTTTGAGCACGCCAGTTCGGGTATTAGTGAATAGCCTTGTCCTACGAACAGTTTCTTGACACTGTCTGATAGCATCGTCCCTAACGTCCTACCGGGTAGTGGTAGTATGCAGCGATGTTAAAGTGGACACAAAACTTATTCTTTCATGAAATGAAGAATCATCCAAGCGACGAGAGAACCTTATCCACCAATTCCTACTCCCCCGCGACCGAGGCCGCCACTGGTCCGCCGCGACCCTTTTTCCGGTGGTCCGCATTCGCAGTTTTCTTCTGCAATTTTTTATCCTGCTTCTGCTTTTGGCGCAACACTGGCTTCTCGTCCTCGCCCTCTTGGTCCACTTCCATTCTATCTGCAGCATAGTTTTCCTTGCCCCCACCGCCTTTGCCGCCGTGCCCCTCCTGCCAGTGGTCTTCATAGCCCGGATCCTCCTCATCCCAAGCACCGTCAGCCGCCCAGTCGCCTTCGTAAAACTCTTTGTAGAGCTCGCCCCAAGAGGACGCACTGTCGAAGTCCCAGTTGTACGACGAGGAAGCTCCTTGTTCTGCAGCTGCTTTCTTCTTTTTACTGTTCGCGGTAAAAACTGCTGTTGCTCCATTTTTATCCTTTTTCTTGCTCTTCGACTGTAGTTCTTGTTTTTCACTCGCGATGAAAGAAACCTCCCCAGGGACGACCTCCTCCGCTTCATCTCCCTGCTCATCTTCCAATGCCAGGAGCTGTTCATACTGCTCGGCGGGCTTAATATCCTCGATCGCCGACGGGTTTTTTTTACCGCGTTTATTTCTCCCCTTCGCGTCCATCAACGGAAGTCCGTCCTCGCCCCGCGTTTTCCACTCCTCGGACTCGAGCAGCAACACGAATTCCTCGAAATCTTTCATCCCGTTCACCAAGCCCGCGCCGCCCATTCCCATCATCTTCAAGCAAAAGGGGTCGTTCTCGTGGTCAACCTCTTCCGCTGGCACCTGCTCCATATAACCCGCTCAGGTGTTACAATCTCAAATCGGTTACCATAGAATATGGAAATCTGTGGTGCAAGAGCAAGATTGCATGATCTAGCCAACTCTCATAGGATTGCGCATGACAAGTTCCGGAGCCCCAAACCGCAGTACAAAAATCTGGCGAAATTTGTATTGCAGAAAGTGGAATGCTGTCCGAGTCTGTCATGCTCGTCATGCAACACAAAACCCAAATTCTATGGTAACCGATTTGAGATTGTAACGTTTCAGCAGGTCATACTCCAGCTCCCCCGTTTCCTCGTTCAGTACCAACCGTGGCCGCATTATCCAAGAAAAAAACACCATCACAATCACTTTTGCACAGTTTTGCAATACAAACATTTTTGTCATGCGCAAAACTGCATCACAGTCAAAAGTCATAGGAGATTTCCCTTTGTGTTTTTGCAATACAAGAAAAATTTGTTATGCGAGACAAATTTCTGATGCAAAACTTCCCAACTGTGATTGTGACGGTGTTTTTTTCTTGGATACGCATCGGCGCTACATGCTCGACCGGCCCCCACCGCAGCTGCGCACCGCCGGCGCTCGGGTCCGCCGTGGCGGTGCGGTGCTTGTTCATGTTCTTCACTCCGCGGCCAAAGCCAGTTGTACTAGAGCTCGTCTTTTTCTTTTTCGCCAACGGCTTTACTTCATCTTCGGAGCTGGTGCTCATCGCAGCTTTATTTCCGTAGTTGTCCTCATCCGCCTCCTCTTGTGCTTGTTTAGGGTTCATCATTTTTCGCTTGTTGGACGACGTTTTTGTCGTCTTCAAATAATCTGTCTTGGTCGCGTTAGTAACCAGCGCAGCGATTTCTTTTTTCTTCGCTGCGCTTGCGTTCCTCGCGAACTTGTTTCTCGCGATGTCGTATGAACTGCAAAAATGTCTGGGTCTGGAAACTTGTAATGCTAAAAGTGAATGGAAGACGCACTGTAATGCCAATGCGCAGCTATGCATGACAATTTTTTTGGCTGCCATGTCTTACGTATTCCGCATGGCAAACTGCGTTTTTGTATGACAGGCAAGAGGGCCTTTTCGCGCCTATGCAACACAGATTCTCGAGTCATGCCAGACAAGCATGACAAACTTGCACTCTTCCAGACTGGGTCTGACCCAGACATTTTTACATTTGATATGTCGTTCTGGATGTCTTTCAGAACCTGCTTTTTGTCGAGCTGGGGACGTTTGGTGGCGGCTTGTTTCTTGTTGCCCGCGTGCGAAGAATTTTCGTTGTAGTTTAGCTCGTCTTCCCCCTATCATGAGAAAAAAGTGTTACAGTTACACATTTGTTGGAGTTTCTGCATCACAAATTTTCTCTGTGTGGCAGAGACCACTTGTAATGCGAAGATCATAAGGGAAAACAGGAAGAAAACGAGGCTCCCAAGCATTTCCTGCATGAGAAAGGTTGTCTGTGTTGCCGGTCTTGCATAGACTATGTGTGTAACTGTAACACTTTTTTCCTGTGATACCCCCTCCAGGCACTTGGCGAAGGCGTCCAACTTGGCGGACAAGTCCTCTTTGCCGTTTATGGCGTTCTCAACTGTTACATTCTCAACTGTTACATGGATTTGTGATGCAAGAATGGGAAAAGTGAAAGGGGTCAGACTTCGCGTCTTGCATGACAGATCTGGCAAAGATTCTCAGCCTGTTTGGCTCTTCGAGAAGTTGTCATGCGACGCAGCTTGATCGTGTCGATTCTGATTGTGATTTTGCATTACAAATCGTGTAACAATTGAGAATGTAACATTTGAGAACGCCATACCGTTCTCCTTGCGGTTCTGGTGCAGCATCGCGTTGTAAAGACTCTTCTTCTATCCATTGCAAATATGGTAACAGGGTCTGGAGTTGTATCTGTGTATATGTGATGCTAAAACAACCGCACCGACATTGCCATTGTCCAACATCGCTGAGGAGGCAAGCCTCCGCAGGCGCTGGAACGGCATAGGGTCAGAACCGCGAAAACATCGCGAGTATTTCTTCATCCCCGTGATGCGAAATTTCACGCATATATGTGATGCAGAATTTCAAGCACGAAGAAGCTCTGTATTGTACTTCTATGAACAGGACTGCCCGGCTCCTTTGTCGTGCTGACATTTTTCATGCGACTCACGAATGAATCTGCAAGTAGCTGCCTCGCAAAACTTGTGGTGCTGTACGAAAGACCGCTGCGTCAACATGCAAGAATGACCAGCAAAACAATAAACAAAGTCGCGTCATCCTTTCCTTTCCACAGCGCCAGACCCATACAAATTTCTTCCACTCCATATCTTCACTCGTTTCCGAAACTCCTTCTCTTCCTTGGACCGAACCCCGTCGGTTTTGCGAAAATTCGGAATTTCGTCTGGGATGTAATCGGCACCGTGCTTTTCCACGGCTTCAATCATGGTTTCGGCTTCGATGCGGCTCCACCAAAAGGCCATGACGAAATCCTGCGTACTCCAGGTGTACTCGTCTTTGAATACGTCGCAAGTCTTCAAGGAGCTGGTGTTCGCAAACGGCGCCAGAACCACGTTGAAAACCCAGCTGACCCCCTTCGGTTTGTGCACAATCTCGTCCCGGTTCTTGTCGTAGGTGATCAAGCCCAGGGCGTGCAGACCGCGGTACAGCAGTTTTTTCACGTCGTTTACCTCCTTTTTCGAGATCATGTCCGTCTTTCGCAGCCGCTGGTGGTCCTTGATCAGTGCGTTTACAGCTTCCTGCATCTTCGTCACCAGTTCGATGGAAATGTTGTAGCACTTGTAGATCTCCCAATCGATGTCATCCTTCCTATACCGCTTCTCGTACGCGGAACGAAAGTTCGTGAGGGACATACTGTGAGGAAAAATCCCCCCTCCCCATATCGAAAAGGTACGTCGCAGAAAATTTGCAATGCTGATTTGCGACCACAAATCATCTCTGTCTTGCAAGAAGGCAACTCCACAAGCTCCGCCGCATTATGCAGGCGGTTTGTGATACTGTTTAGCCTACAGCGCAGACGTTTCTCATGCTAAGCGACTACGCCAAAACCTCTCCCCTCAGGCTTAACGTGGGCCTGCAGTCCTCGTCAGCAAGACAAATCTAATTTGTGGAGGACGCAAATCCAGCATCACACACTTCGTTTCGATATGGGGAGGGGGGATTTTTCATTTTGATACGACATGCGCATCCGCGGCCCACAGGCAAGGTCGGTGAAGTACTCGTAGGCGCGGCGGCACTATGGATTGCAAAAATGACTGGGTCTGGAAGAATGCAGGAGTTTGTCATGCAGATTTTGCATAACCCGTGAGGTCTGTGATGCATGCCCTAGCATCAGAGATTTTGCGAGGGCTTTCTGATGCTCATACCGCATGAGAAATGCCCTCTCCGCGTAGTACAAAATACACCTCTTTCGCTGTTCATGCAATACAGATTTTATGTAGAGTCCAGAGGTAGCATCACAAGTTGCATCCTTCCAGACCCAGACATTTTTGCATTTGATAGGCACTTGCCGGAGGTGTTGGCCCCGCGCTGGAAGGCCTTGCGGATGTTCTTCGGCAAGGCATCCATGTCCAATTTCGCCGTCTTATCAAATGCAAAAATGTCTGGGTCTGGAAGAATTGGAACTTGTCATGCGAATTCTGGAATAGGCAAAAATTTGTATTGCATAAAGACCAGAACCTTCCGACTTCTTGCTACGCAAATACGAAATTTCTCATGCGGGATAGACATCAGGAGGCCTACGCAAAACCTGTAATGCTTTTGCGTGCATTAGAGACCAGTTGCGTGTTGATCCAGAAGATGCATGACAAACTCCTGCAATCTTCCAGACCCAGACATTTTTACATTCCATACGTCTTGCTGATCTCCGATTCCGGGTCCAACAGGGCCTGCACGATGGTCTATTCTGAGTAAAAACGTCCCCACCCCAGAGTTGTCATGCAAATCTGCATGCCAAAAAAGTTTCTCATGCGAAGCCACATGAGAAGCTTTTTCTAGTCGTGTTTTGGGATTTGTGATGCTATGCATAGCATGGCATGCTATATCTGTGATGCTGCCGAACTAGCTAAACAGCATTACACTACGAGGACAATTTTGTCATGCGAAACAACCAAAGTTGGCTGATTTGTCTAGCAGATTTTCCATCTTGACTCTGGTATGGGGACGTTTTTACTCAGGATATGGTCGAGGAAATGTTCAAGCTTTGGAGACGCGTCTTTGCCGGCCGCGGTTGCTTCCACAAGGGAACGGTGGCGGGGACAAGTTCTTGACCGGATGTTGATAGGTCGTCCATTTTTCGTCTCTTGTTCGTCTGTTTCACTGGAACGATGGCAAGCTGGTCGCTCGTCTCTACTTTGCTCCTGCCTTGTTTGGTGGATTTGCTATTCTTATCCTTCTTTACTACAGAGGAAGAACAGCTGCTGCTGCTGCTAGAGGACTGCTTTTTCGAAGTACAACCAAGGTCATTCTTAATCTTCTTTTTCGTCGTCTTGTAAGTAGAGTAACCGCCGCTGGCTTCTTCGTAGTAATTGTTCCACCAATCTTGTTCATCGTGATAATCTTCGTATTGGTTTACTTCGTCTTCGCTTTCATCTTCGCTTTTATCCTCTTTCCCGACGAAGTATTCGCCCGCGAATTTGTCTTCGAAATAATCTTCTTCGTCTTCCTTGTACTCGTTCTTGTTCATCTTTTTGCTCTATCGAATGCAAATATGTCTGGGTCTGGAAGAGTCGGAGTTTGTCATGCACATTTTGCATGACCCGGGAGGTCTGTGATGCAGGTCCTAGCATCACACATTTTATGTTGAGGGCTTCTTGATGCTTATCACGCATGACAAATGCCCTCTCCGCGTGCCAAGAACTGGACCCCTCTTGCTGCTCATGCAACACAGATACTTTTGGAATCCACAGACAGCATTACAAGTTTCACCCTTCCAGACCCAGACATTTTTGCATTTGATATGCTCTTCGATACAAGTTTTACGTCCGCTTTGGAACTGGAAGAACCTCCTGCTGTGGTAGTCTTGCCCTTACTACTCGAATGAGCATTGTTGAATGCTTTGATAGGTTCCGCTAGCTTCCAGAATTTTTCGATGGTTGCTTTCTCGACAGGTTCCGATAGCTTAAACCTGAATTTTATTTCTTTGATAGGTTCCGCTAGGTCACAACGAGAAGCAGTTTTCTTGTTCTTTTTGTTTTCTTTGCTCGACACCGCGGACTTCGATTTCGACCTCGAAGCTTCGAAGCCATTCAGCAACCGCCGACACTCATCCAAGTCGTAAGGGTTGGGTAGAGGGGGAACTCCGGGCGGTAGTTCTTTCATCATTTTGTTCCGGTGCTCTACTTTTATTTGTGGAACCTCGATCTCGTCGTCCTCGTCCTCCACATCTTCATGATCCCCGACGTCGTATAAAATGCAAAAGTGTCTGGGTCTGGAAACTTGTAATGCTGGGTGGCGTCTCATGATGAGGCCACAAATGCTGGCTCAGCATGACAAGTTTCTGAGCTTCTAGGTGTTGCCTATTCTGCATGACAAACTGCGTTTCTGCATCACAGGAAAATGGAGCGTGTGGGTAACGTGCATGACAGATTTAAGTAGAGTCATGCCAGACAAGCATAACAAACATGCATTCTTCCAGACCCAGACACTTTTGCACTTGATACGTCATCACTGTCCAAAATGTCGTCAAAGTCCTCCAAGACCTCCACACCCTCCTCGTCTTCAAAGTCGCTCAGCTGGAAATTGTTCTTCTTGTTGTCCTTCTTATCTCGACCACGTCGTCCAGCTTTTTGCCATTGTTCTTCTTCTTCTTCTTGCCCCTGTAGAACCTCCGCCTGTTCTACTTCTAGTTGCTCATCATCGTCTTCTTCTCTGTCTTCGTCCGCGATTTCTACTACAGGATTCTTGCCGCGGCCCTTTAGCTTCTTCTTGTTGTTTTTCTGGCCCTCTTGTTGTTCCGGATGAACAACAAAATCGTCCTCAATAGGCAAGATCTTCGTTCCCGGATTGCAGTCGTCCTCGAGGGCCAAAACCGACATGTTCTTCTTCTTGTTATTTGTGAGTCCCTTCATTTCGGCGATTTGCTGTTCCGTCCGCTTCTTCAGCCGCTCAGCCTGCTGCGCGGGGTTCAGCTTCCCCTCACGGATACGGTTGAAATCCCGGGCCAGCGCCATCTCCTCCACGTTCCGCGCTTCGCCGGTACGACAGTTCGACGTCATGCGCTTCCAGGAGGAGCTGAAGGCGTATGGAATGCAAGTATGTCTGGGTCTTCTGGAAGATTGCCAGGCTTGCCATGCATGTTTTGCATGACCCAGGGTGCCTCTAATGCATCACCTAGCATAACAGATTTTTAGAGGGTTTCCTGATGCCTATTTCGCATGAGAAATGGCGGCCCCTCCGTGACATAGCACAAACTGGCGAGGCAATACAGATGTTTCTAGAATCCAAGGACAGCATCACAAGCTGGATCCTTCCAGACATCCAGGAATACTTGCATTTGATAAAGCGTCCCTCGTGACGAAAACCGCGTCTTCGTCCTTGACTGCGGTGAGAATCTGCGGCTTGAAGTATTACAATGAAAAATGCCCCCACCCCAGAACTACCTGGCAGCATTTGTATTGCAAAGCTTTCCAATGGAAACACTCTCTGTCTTGCATCTATCAGCATCACAAATTTTCCATGCTGAATAGCTCAAATTTGTGTTGCAAAGGGGCCCAACAGCAGCCGGATCTGTTATGCAAAAGATACCTTGCTGCGCACCTAGATTCTGCATCAGAATAAAGGGTCGTAGTCCTTTCATGCAAGACAAAAAGATTGCATTTGGAAACTTCGCATGAGAAAGAACTTTAGCAAATTCCGCGATCGTGGGGGCATTTTTTATTGTAATATGATGGTGATGCCCGGCCCGGTCGCGCCCTGAAATTGGCACCCCGTGGTGCGGAGCGACACCAGGGCCGCGAGCTCTTCGCTGGTCGGCTTCTATCAAACTGAAAAATGCCACCACCCTCGAACTTGGGGACATTTGTATTGCAAGCCTTTCCACATGAAACACTCGCCCTCTTGCATCTATCAGCGTCACAGAATAATTCCAATCGTGAATAGCAAAAATTTGCGTTGCAAAAGATCCCAGTAAGAGCAGCGCTTGTCATGCAAGCGATGCGATACACGCCTAAGTAGACTCTGCATCAGAAAGATTCATACTCCTTTCATGCATGGCAAAAAGTTTTCATTTGGAAACTTCGCATCACAAATTTTTGCAAATTTGGGGGTGGGGGCATTTTTCACTTTGATAGCTTCCGCGTCGCTTTCTTCGTGGGACAGAGCAGCCCCTCGGGATCCAGACCCTTATGGATTGCAAAAGTGTCTGGGTCTGGAAGAGTGTAAGCTTGTCATGCAGGTTTTCCATGACCCATGATATCTGGAATGCGGGACCTAGTATGACAGAGTGTGTGAGGTCTCTGCCATGCCTATCCTGCATGAGAAACTGCCTCCCAACTTGGTCGAAAGTGGACAGCTTTTGGCACTCATGCAACACAGATTTTTGCATTATTCGGATGTAGCATGACAAGTTGTAATCTTCCAGACCCAGACATTTTTGCAATCCATAACCCTTCTCTTCGCACATTTGCTGGTACTCCATCTCCCTGTCCCGCTTCTTCATCCAGTGATCCATCAAAGAGCGGTCCCGCTGGTCCCGCCTCCGCGCGTCGTCCTTCAGTTCGCGCGCGCGCACGGCAAACGCCTTCTCGTCTTCCGCACTCCCGGACCCGTACCGAATCGGGTCCTCCAAAAAGGCCTCCCAAAGCAGCTTGGTCCGCTTCAGCGGCATGCGGTGCTTCACGACCCAGGCCTGGAACACCTTGGGCTCCCGATGCACCGCGCTGAAGAGCGTCAGCAACTTCTGCATCGACGGGTTCGTGCCCGCTTCCTCCTCTTCCTCGTAGTCATCCAGGCCCTTGAGAATCTTTTTCCGCTTCTTGTCAACCACAAGCTGGTGCCCCGGCTCTTCTTGTTCGCCCTCGTCATGATCTCCCTCCTGCTCTTCACTCGAAGTAGAGACTTCATCACCTCCGCGCAGCACGACATCAAGATGGCCACTACTTGCTGCTGCCATACGTTTATTTTTCTTCCTGTCCGCGATGGCCGCTTCCTGCTGCTTTTGTTTGTTTTGCTCGATTCGCATTTTCTCGATGTACTCAGCCCGCCAGGCGGCTAGTTCCGTGTCCCAGGTGGTCAGCCATTGCTTGTACTCTTTGTTGGGAATCAGGTACTTTCCTTTCCCCATCTTCGGGTCCTGTGTCAGCAGCACATTCTTCGCGACGGACAGCATCCAGTAGAGCTGCTTCCGAAACTCGTGAATGAACTTCTTCGTTTCCGGGGAAAAGCTGAAGCCCGTTTTCTTTAGGTCCTTCGTTTGCTCGTGGTAAACCACAAGCTTTTCCTCGTAGGCTTGTTTCATGACGACGTAGGTCGCGCCCGGGTAGACACCGAGAACCTCGTAGAAGTTGCAGAAATTTCGCCCCGTGATCAGCCTCTTCGTCTTCCACATCGAACCGCTCAGGAACTCGGTGCAAAACTGCTGCTATCAAATGCAAATATATTTGGGTCTGGAAACTTGTAATGCTGCGCTGGGAATAGTAAATGCTCTGTAATGCACAGCCAAGCATGAGAAATATCTGCGCTTCTTTGTGTTGCGTTTTTCGCATGACAAACTGCGTTTTTGCATGACAAGCAAATAAAGGGTCTCTTCTTGGACACGCATCACAAATTTTTTTGTCATGCCAGACAAGCATGACAACTCTCGCAATCTTCCAGACCCAGACATTTTTGCATTTGATAGCTGCACGGAGTCTGCGATCGTGAACTCGCCCTTGGACCCGGTCGTGTAGTGCTCCTCGTCCAGTTTGCGCTTCTTTCGCAAATACTATGGATTGCAAATATATATGTCTGGGTCTGGAAACTTGTAATGCTGAATGGTCATGATTGACTCTGCCAGTAATTGCAGTGCAGCATGACAAATGTTTCAAACGCTTTCTCATGATGCGCAGAACGCATTACAAACTGCGCTTTTGCATGACGAATTAAAGTGTGGCGCGTCATTTGCTGCTTATGCGATACAGATTTTTTAGGAATGCGAAGCATGCAATACAGGTTCAACCTTCCAGACCCAGACATGTTTGCGGTCGATAAATACATTTGGTCGTCAAAAGCGTCGTCGTCGACCGGAATTAGCACGTTGAGCTGATCTTCACCCAATGGACCCTCCTGGTGGTCCTTCTCCACGTGGTCTTCATCTGCGTCGGTATTTGTTCTTGTATCTCGTCGTGATAGTTGTACCTCCTGCTGCTGCACACTACCTTTATTTCCTTTCGAAGTCCACCCGGGTGGGTTATTTTTGTCTTGCTCCAGTTGTTTTGTTCTTCCGCTTCCCTGCTGTTTATTGCCCTTCTTCATCAATAAAGCTACGGAAGCTGAAGAAGCTGAGCTGCTACTCCCGCCGGCGCAAGATTTTTGCTGTTTTGATCCGCGGCCCAGGTCTTGCAAGAGAGCCGCGGTCGCAGAAGAAGTGTTCATCTTGGCGAAAGAGGAAGATGAGGCGAGGAAATCTTTACCATCTCGCTTCTCGTCTTTGGTTTTTGTTTTGTTGTTGTTTTTTCCAAAAATTTTTGAGCCAATACTTTTTTCATCAATAGCAAAGCCGGTACTAGTACCAAACATGGAACTACTATCTTCGTCCAACGGCAGCAGATTTTCCGTCACGAAACCCTCCGCCTCGTCGGCGTCAAAGAGATCGGCTTTTAGCAGATTTTTTGGTTGCTCGCTACTGTCACCAGCAGCACCCTGGTAGTACTCGTAGTTTTTCCGCTTTTCGGAGGATGAGGAACTGCTGGCACTACTGCTTTTGCTGTCGCTCTTCTTCCAATCCTTATTGTGCCGCTTATTTTGTTTAGTTTGGGCTCCTTTGCCTTGTTTTATATCCTCTTTGTCGTTCTTCTTTTCCACCACTTTGGTTTGCTTTGTACTTTTGCTTTGCACACGCGACAGCATCAGGACATACCGGTCCGGGTCGCTGACCATCACATTGTTTTTTTTTGGAGCTGCTCTTTTCGGTTTCGGCTTCGGTTTCGCTGGCGCGCGATAGTCATCGTACTTATCGTGCGGGGGAACGGAAGTCGGCTCTTCACCATACACCTTGTCCACATGAAATATTGTGAGGAAAAATCCCCCCTCCCCATTCTGAAACGGGATGCTTGTGTTGCTGATTTGTGACCACAAGTCAGCTCTGTCTTGCAAGAAGGCAACTCCACAAGCTCCGCAGCATTGCGCAGGCGGTTTGTGTTGCTGATGGGCCTACAGCGCAGACGTTTCCCATGCTAGACGCCTAGGCCAAAACCTCCCTACTTAGGCTTAGTATGGGCCTGCATTCCTCTCCAGGAAGACAAATCTGATTTGTGTACGCAAATCCTGCACCAGAAACGTCGTTTTGATATGGGGAGGCGGGATTTTTCCTTTTGATATGAAACCAGAATTCTTCGCTGATGCTGCTTATCCTGAGTAAAAACGTACCCACACCAGAGTTGTAATGCAGATTTGCAAAGACCGGAAGACTTGTAATGCGCATCCCCATGAGAGCCATTTCCAATCGTGTTTTGGAATGTGTGATGCTGTGAACAGGATGAGCAGATGAATCTGTGATGCGGCTGCACTTGCTAACCTGCATTACGCTGCAGCGTGCAGCTTGTCATGCGTGACTCACAAAACTCCTAGGTTTGTGTTGCAAAATCCCCATCCTGACTCTGGTGTGGGTACGTTTTTACTCAGGATACTGCTAAGATCTTGTTCATTCCCGGCGTCACCTGCACCTCCGAGAGCCTTCTGCAGCTCGAGGTCATACCTGTTTCTTGATTCTATTTTTTTAGAAGATCCATCGTCATTCAGAGACTTCTAACTCAAAAAGTGCGGTAAATAAGTAAGTACTTAAGTGAAATTTCAAAAACCAAAAGAACGCGGCAAATTTTTTTTATCAGAATTTCTCATGCCGAAGTCCCTGCATCAATCTGACACTTCTCTCGACGTAGTGAGCCCATGTATTAGCACCACGACACAACGAACTATACTTTCGCTTCTTCTCCGCATCCAGCAGAATGTGCTTGCCGGCGTTTACCAACTGGAAAGCGCGCCGATTTTTTTCCTCGTTGATATCCGCGCCCTTATACTCGTACCTGTACTATGGATTGCAAAAATGTCTGGGTCTGGAAGATTGCAACTTGTCATGCTGTCTTTGGATTCCAAAAAAAATCTGTATTGCGCGGCCAACAACAGGAATACAGTTTGTGTTTCGCGGAGAGGGCATTTCTCATGCGGAATAGGCATCAGGAAGCCCTCTAAAAATCTGTGATGCTGGATCATGCATTACATGCATCATGGATCATACAAAATATGCATCACAAATCCCGAAATCAATCTTCCAGACCCAGACATTTTTGCAGTTGATATGCACTGAAAATTGATGAAATCCAGGCAGTGCTTGACCGTGTCAGTGTCGGAGTTTACGGTGATGGGCTCGGTCGCGAGAAGGGTAAGCTCGGCGTAATAATCAACGGGCTTGGGGTCGAGGAGAGTCTTCTCCTGGACGTTGGCATCGTCCTTGTTCGTGCTCGAGGCTAGTTCTCCGGCTCGCAGCTCCACCTCGCCCTGCTGAGTAGTAGATGACGGCATTTTCTTCTTTTATGATCTCGTTGCGTTCTTTTCGGCGCTGGTCTCTGCGTCTGCGATCTTCAACTCTATAACTTTCTCAGATGCCGACCACCTCCGTATGCTCTTGTTTGTTATCCCAGCGCCAGCACAAATCACAATCAGAGCACGGTTGCATTAAGTACGCAGGCAACATTCATTTTCGAGAAACAGCACAACGACGACAAATAGCACATCAGTACGCCGAAACAACAAGAGCGCGATAACCAACGAGCAATTTGAGAAACTGGACCCTCTTCTACATCACTCCCAGGTCTACTACAACTCACTCTGTGTCGCTCTAGCACTCGAAGTAAAGCCAAACGCCTAAGAAAGCCGCGAAAGAAACTGTTGAGACTTTGACTTTCAAATGAAAGGGATGCTCCGACACTGTGACCATTCTGCAAGTAGCCCCGTAGAATGCTCAAACGCAGCCTCACCCCAGACGTGAAAAACCCATTGCGCCGACCCGGGTGCGCGCGATGCCGGCTTCAGCTATTTCGCAAAGCACGCCTCATCTCAGGTCTTCTATTCTTGGAAAGTTGCTTTTCTTGTTTTTTCGTGGCGCTCCTGCAGCGTGCGTGTAAAGCTTTCATCTGACGAATTTGTTCCCGCAATACTAGTACTTGTACTTGTACTTTCTTTATTTCTCGAAAATAACAGCGACAACACAGACAAAACATTCAACACTAACGGAAACGCGGTGAGGTACACGAGGCTTTTTGTGAAATCAGGAAGAGTTGTCTTAATTTTCCCGTCGCCCGTAGTATTTCCGGAAGACGACAGCAGAATCAGTAATTCTGGCCCGACCGCACTGCCGATGACCATAATGGCCTTGGCCAAACCCTGAATCGCCCCGTTGTGCAATCTCCCAAAAGCCCGCGCATGTGCGGTGGTTTGTAGCGTGTTGTTAAAACCGGTGGCGAGCCCCTGTAGCCCGCCAAGGAGTGAAATAAACCCTCTTTGGAAAGAAGGGGTTGTGGCGAAGGACGAGAGCAAAAAGTTCTGCCTTGAGTTTTTATTCACTTCGACATCTGTTTCCGTTTTTGCAAGTATCGGTGAAGCCGGCACGGCTCGCTGCTGTAGTTCATCCCGCTCGATCGACAAAAACACCGCGGTGCCCCAGAAGCACAAAATTTCAAAATTGTTTGCCATCATAGCAATGAGCTGCGAGGGGTAATTTCTCTGGTCATAGTTGTTGGCTTTGGATTTGGAAGTACAAGTTGTACTATTTGAATTATTTATTCTATCCGGTGGCGTAATAAAGCACCCATACATCTTGGCCGCGACCAAACTGCCGAGGGAACCGCAAATACCCATGGAGACGTAGAAATAGGACAGGTCGGCGGGATGGATAGTTTTGATCTGATGTCTACTTATTGTGCTGGACGGTGACAAAGCTGTCTCTGTAGGGGTCCTCGCTTCGCCATGATCAGTTGTACTACGTGTACCCTCACGACCGTCGCCACCTCCCAGAAGAATTGATTCCAAGTGAATCAGCAACGCCGCGTTCAGCCCGCCTGTCACCGCCATGGTCAGTGAGAAAAGCCAAAAGTGAACGGTTCGCACCGCTTCGGAGAGCGTGAAGTTTTGTTCCTCTGCGGGTAGTGGTCCTTCTACCGGCTTGGTGACGTCCTCTTTTAGGTGTTGTGCGGATTCTACTAGTTCCGCATCCTCTGCGTCATCCTTTTCTAATGAACGGTCTTTCTTTTTGTGTGAAGTTTTATCGTCTACTACCCCGTGGTCCTCTTCATCGTCATCGACCAAATTTTCCAGTTCGATCGCCGAATAAGCTGCAACGTCCCGTTTCCTACCCACCGTCTTTGCCCGGCTGGCGAGTGAAGTTGATGATGATGCGGGTCTACTTCCTGCGTGTCCATGTCTATTTGGAGATTTCATCCTAGAACAAGAACTTGAAAGCCCAGCAAAGTTATCGATCTTTTCAGCCGGCAAAGGCAATCCGGTATCCACTGCGAGTCCGTAGTTCTCCGGCCTGTCGGTATCGGAAAGAAAAATACATGCAGTGTGGAGGCGCATGTTTCTCTCGTAGTTGGAGAACTGGTCATCTACTGCTGGTGATTTCAGATCGATGACGATGCCTGATTTTTCGGACAATGAAGTTGCTCACTATACGCGCAAAAATGTCAAAACGTGTTGACTCGAGGAAATAAAACCCCTCATACATAGCACTCGGTGCGTTGTAGTTCCCTGTACTCGAATGATTGCGATTGGCATTGGGCAGCTGCCATTACAACGATTCTGCATTTATATTCTTTTTCATACTTAGTGCTGCATAGCTGCATCGCACGCACGACCACGACCATTCAAAAATGTTCTCGCATACTCCGCCATAAACAGCACGGCGATTGGAAGCAAAAAGAACAGCTCCAGCAGCCCCAGCTCGAAGAACGCTTTTCGCCAACCTTTAGTACTGCTACCGTCACTTTCTTCATCAGTTTTCCCATACCACTCGATCCGCGCTTCCACCGCGGATGCAAAGAAGAGCAACGACGCCCCGGTACCCAGCAGCAGTCGCCCCTGCATTTCCGCCCGTTTCTCGATAAACCACTGATTCACTGCGTAAACGGACGCGACCCAGAGGCAGCCGTTCCCCGTGGTTCGAAGCAGGTACAGCCCGACGCACAGTTCGAGTTTAGTTTGAAAAGGAACAGTATTTTTTCCGACGTGTGCATTTATTGATGCAGTCCTTGCAGAAGTACCTGCTTGCGCAGTCGCAGAAGTACTAGTGGCAGAGGGCATTGTACTAGTTGCGGATGCTTTTTGTCCTCTCAGTTGTGCTCCTTTTGTCGATTGATCTTGAGCTTCTGCTTGAGAGGCCGGAGGGAGCAAGGAAGTGCTTCGAGACAACGTCGACAGTGCTCTATCCGAGGAAAGCAGACTCCGAAGATTCATCAACATTAGATTCGCAGACCCAAAAATCGTCTTTTCATCAGGTAGTTCTACTGCGGATGTTCTCGTGCTCGTCGACGCTATATCGGGGGAAAAATCGTCAAAATTTTCGATCGCAGAAGGCCCCACGACGCCCCCACTGTTTTTCGCCGCCACAGAAGAAGCCGTAACAGAAGTTGTAGTGTCGTACACGAAATACGCCGTGTTTCCAGCACCGACAGCGGAGTACCAAAACGCCGAAAATCCGACCAGGAAAACACAGACCGGAAACATCACGGTGACTCCGAGAAGGTCGAGCAGCTTCCCGAACGCCGGTAGGGTCAGGGCGGAGAAAACGGTCGCGATGAACCACAACTCCGAAATCTGCTGGATATCGATTTGCAGCTCTTCCGAAATTTTCTTCGTCGTGGTACCAATGGTCGAGGCTTGCCCTGGGGCTGTGAAGGTGCAACCGAGGAAGGCGAGGAAGAGAACCACATAGCCATAGTTATAGTGCTTCTTCGCGAAATACCTGATAAGCAAGTTCGCCGGGCGCTTTAGCAGAGCAGGGGGCAGAAGATGATCATGTGTAGGGGACTGGCCGTTTTGGTGCACGTCGGTGGGAGGTCTTGCTGCACAGAGTTCTCGTTCTGCGTTCGCCTCGAGCGGAGACATTACTCGGCCGTTGAAACGTGTCGCGTCGTCGACGTCGTCGGCTGCATCATTTTCTTCCTCTTGTGCCGAATTCGACATTATGACGGGTTTTTTCACGCGAAGTGATCAATCTGTGCCGACTTTGAAAACGAAAATACGGATTATTTCTTTTCTAAAATTCCATTTCTGCTACGACAGCAAGCGAGCCCCGGAAATAAACCACGAACAGACGAGATTATATCTGACCCTGGGGCGGAGTTGCCGTGGCAACCTGAGAAGGTCAAGGAAGCGCACGCATTCCGACCTCACTTGTGGCATCAAAAGCCACCAAACTTCGCGTTTTTTTTTTCGCACTTATTTGCAGCAGCTGCCCTGTGCAAAATCCAAACGGATCTAGAAGTCCTTGCATAGCAGGACCGCGATCATATTGTATTTGGCGTAGAGTCCTCGAAATCGAATGTAGAAACTGAAAGTGCATTATCAGGGGCATTTTTCAGGAAAGTGGTTTAGAATAATAGCAAGCATGTACATACTACTGAATAGCTGAGTCTCAAACTCCTCCTATTTTCAATGTCAAATTGAAACAATTTCGTCGTGTGGGGTTTTGGTGTTACTTTTGAATTTTCACGGGTAGTACTTACTTCGATGAAACAGATAATCATGGGAAGTCGTGCAGCAGATCCTATGCATTTGAAGAATTCTGTGAATCTGAGCATAAAGCTCAAATAAAACTCGGCATGCAACGTTTTCATCGTCGGGGGAGAACCTAAGAGTTCTTCGCTGATGAAGTTTAAAGCATGCTGGAAGTTGTACTGATCTCTGCGAAAAACTAGCTTGAAACAAGAAACAATGACTGTTGCTGTAAGATGAAAAAAAAAGTGTCATGTGCATTTATTATCCAAAAAGCGATAGAGTTACTCATAATTCTCCTTGACAGCAAGAGCTGCACTGATGTGGTTCTTCTTTTTGAATTTTCATTTTAATACCTGCTGTAGTTGACCTAACTATTATACAAGAGCTGTCAGAAGAAGAAGTTCCTCTTCTGGCAGTGTAAATTCAATTACTCACCCGCCCGCAAGATGCGGTAAGTAGCTCTTCACAACACAGTTGTTCTTCCTCATCATCCCTCCGTCGGCTGACTCTCCTCGGCAGCTGCTGGCGCGACGGCATCTACTTCCGCTTTGCCCTCTGTTTCCGGCGCGGGCGCCGCAGCCGCGGCTTGCTCCTCCGCCGCCGCGGCCGGTGCTTCTACGGGCTCCGCCGCTGCGGCCTCCGTCGCTTCCTCAGCCGCAGGCTGGTCCTGTTCCGCCGCGACCACTGCCTCATCTGCCGCTGGAGCCTCCGCTTCGGCTGTCGCATCAGCAGGTTCCTCCGCAGCTTCTGCTGCCGCAGTTGTAGCAGACTCGTCGGCCGCAGCTGTTGTGCTTTCGGCTACTGCAGCCTCCGCGGGTGCTTCCTCCGCGGCAGCAGCGGTCGGTTCTGTGGCGGGTTCCTCTGCAGCAGCTACAACTTCTTCTGTTGCCGTGACACCCTCTTCCGCAGCCGGTGTTCCTTCCGCAGCGGGGGCGGAGGTTTCATTTCCTTCTTCCACCGCGACCGGAGCCGTGGTTGCCTCCACTTCTACCGCTGGAGTTTGCTGCTGTTCTGTCGTTTCCTCCGGCAAGACAATGGCCGCTGGTGCTGGTGTTTCTTCTGCCGCCGGCACAGCAGGTGGCTCTTGCAGTTCTTCACCCACGGAACCAGCAGCTGCAGGAGCTTCGGGGGTTAGATTTTCGTTTTCCTCCGCCGCAACATCAGCTTCCGGTGCAGCAGCAGCTTCTTCCGTTGTTGCGGCCGCAACAACAGTTTCATTTTCCTCCGCCACTGTGGTATCAGTTGCGGCCGCTGGTGCAGTAACAGTAGCAGCTTCATCTTCCGGAACAGCAGCGGGGGTAGTGTCCGCCTCTACTCCTTCCACGGTCGCAGCTGCTGCTGGCTCTGCTACATCTTCCGTCACAACTGCGGGTTTTTCTGCTTCTTCAGCAACTTCAGCTGCCGCCGGCTCTTGTTGCTCTGTGGTAGCGGCCTCTTCTTGTTGTACCACCTGCTCCGCCGCGGCGGGTTCTACTACTTCCTCCGCGGCCTGTAGTTCTTCGACCGCAACAGGTGCCTGCTCCTCGGCCGCTTCTGGCTGCTCCGCTGACCCAGCTGCTCCTGCTGTTTCCTCCACTACCGCTGCTTCCGCAGGAGCGCCAGGGGCTGATGACTCTCCTGGTACTACTGCAGCTGCTTCTTCTGTGACGTCGACCGCTGCTGCGGAATCGTCCTCCACGGCAGGTGGGCTGGATTTTTCCTCGACAACGTCTGCTGCAGGAACTACAGCAGGTGCTGCTTCGTCTTCTTCTGCCTTCACTTCTTCCTCCACTACTTCGTCCTCCCTCGTGGACTGCAACTTCGCGTCCTCTTGCGTTGTTTGGAGCGTCTGGCCGATCTGGTCGTGCGTGCCCTCCTGAAGATTCACCACCTCTTCTCCTGCCGCGGCTTCTAGCGTTGTGTGGTGGATACCGCTGGCTTGCAGTTCCTGTTCTATGCAAGAAAAAAACTGTTTAAGTGTAACTTTCGAGGAGGAACAGCATCACAAATTTGCTCTGCATGACAGAGAAAACCTCCCATGCGTAGCTGGTACGTGGAAACACTTACAAGAAGAAGCTCTGATGCATGTCCAGCATAACAAGTGTAGGTGTTTTGCATCCTCTGCAATACAAATATTACACTTACACAGTTTTTTTCTTGCATATGTTCGGATTCCGATTTAATTTGGTTCTCGTGCTCCACCTGGCCGGCGTCTATCGCAAGAAAAAACTGTTTCACTGTGAACTTGTGATGCATAGAACGGAACGCAAATGTGTTTGTCTTGCTACACATGCAAGACATTGGATTTTTAGCTGTGTTTTCCCTTAGGAAACACGCATGCCAAGTTTTCTTTGTCATGTGCAACAAACTCGTGACGCAGATCTTGCAAAATCATCACAGTGAAACAGTTTGTTCTTTGCATAGCGTCCGAGTTGGAAATAATCATGGGGTCGGCCATCAGTTCCATCACATCGGCAACAACGGTCTCAACGACCACGTTCGCTGCCTTCTGCTCCTGATCCTGCAGATTTTTGTGTAGTTGTGTGTATTGCACGTAGCACCGTCGTGGGATTGGGAATGAAAGTAACAATTGCAAGAAATAAAGGTAGTTCATGAGAGTTCTTGTACACTATTCATCACATCATGCTTGTCGATCCTTATGCGGCTAGTTTTCTTTTTTGTAAAAATCAAAACAAAATGATTGATTTTATCATACCACGTGCGCAAAGGCGGCATCGTAGTCATCGTCTCCGGTTGCAACGGCAGCCCGTTTTCTTTTCGTCGTCGAAGAGGAGCTGCTGCTAGAGGCGGTTGCTTTTTGACCTGATATGATTTTCATTTTCTTTTCCTCGCAAAAATAAAATCCTTCACGCATTTCTTCATTTTTCCTACGTACTGTGATTTTTGATTTTGTTCTTTATTTTCGTCACGTAAAAATGTAATATCACGTGAAACGGACAGATTTCGGCACGCAAGGTCTCTGCGAGAAGCAAGAAGGGGGGGCATCAGTTGGGCAATGCAAAAACGACAGCGAGCGCACAACCCCCCACACACGAGCGGCACATAGATATGCAAAAACGAGCGCGCACTTTGATAGTAAAGGGGAACTATCTAGCGGCCCAAAAAAGAAAAACAAAATGAAGGGAAAACAAGCCCCGCCTGAGTGAGGCGGAAGCAAAAAAAATACTTCTGCGCCTTCGCCTGCCACTGCAGACGCCATCATGCAAAATCGGCGGGGGGCGCAATCGCGTGTCGTGTCGACATAACATAACAGCACAGCAGTTGTGTCAGGAGGAGGAAAACAACCAAAGGAGAAGCCAAAAATAGGCCACGAGCTACGATCTTCGCCTTCCGTTGCTGATCGTAATTCGTGACCAGGCGGCGATACGTCACCGGGGTAGAGCCTCGGGGCTACCGGATGGGAAGACACCGGGCGCAGGCACGGAAAAACACCTGTGGGGCGACCGAACAGAACACAGAGGAATATAGGGGAAGGGGATTCTCCGTTGGGTACTTTCGGAAGTGAGGAGGGGCTACAGGCTAAAAACTTTAAAACTCGGGGGCAAGGGCGGCAACTAAGCTATGTGCGTGTTGGCACGCGCGGCCCGTTCTATTCTATATAAAAAAGGATGAAAATGAACAAAACTCATACGCTTGTAGTTGTGTTCTTGTTCGACCAAGCACAAGAGGCCCGGTGGGCTCTTCAGTGCGAAAACGGGTGGGGGGGTACAGCAGGGGTATGGGTCTCTAGGTGGCAGCGAAAGGAATTCAAACAAAAAGCCGCAGTCGCGGTAACTATTCGAAGACAAAAAACCAAGGGATCGGCCCGCAGGGGTGCAGGTGGTATCTGGGGGCCGAGTGTCCTGCCACCTAGGGTAAATACAGGGGGCCAATTGCCGCAATCTTACAAAGAAAATGCTTCGACTTTGGAGAGCAAAGTAGTACAGGATCCCCAAAGGGATGTGATGCAAGTCGCGGCCTATGGGACTTTTCTCAGAATGTTCCGACACAACAACTAGAAGCTAAAATCCCCTGTCCTCAACTCCTGGGTAGATAGTTGCGTTAGGCTCGGACGGGGCAAGTTGATCTCGGGTGAAATCAAAATATCCTGGATTGGGCTTTTCTCTTTTTACTTTGTGTCGAACGTAATACAAGAAGAGAAATCCAGTGGACCTTGGTTACCCGGCATCTCCCCCGGGGGATTTTGTTCTTTATTTTCGTCACGTAAAAATGTAATATCACGTGAAACGGACAGATTGTCCTCGAAACGCGCGAAGCCTGTTAGCTTCTTTTCTTTCGCGCCACACAATAGGCGTGGCACCCGCGAAAAGGACTGCGTGACCGCCCAAAAGAAAATCCTCGCGCGCAGGCAGCGCACGAAATTTTCATGCCCACGCGCCTGCCACGGCACTTGGGCGTCGTGCGGCCGTGAAGGAGCGCGCGCCACTCCAACCGCCCAAAAGACAAAGCCCGCGCGCGCCACGCAGGTCAGGTTGATTCATTTCAACCAATACGCCTGGCGCGGTGCGCGTGAAGCAACGCGTACCCCCACACAAAAAAAAAGCCCGCGCGCCCGCAGCGCGCGAAAATATTAAATATTCACACAACTCCACTGCGTGTGCCGCGCGGGCAAGGGGGAGTGTGCGGCCGCTAATAAAAAAAACGCGCGCGCAAATTTTTATTTTTCGATACCAGCACGCCGCAAGATGTGGCGCGCGGGCCGGCGAAAAGGGGCGCCCGGCTGCTCACACGAAATAGCCCGCGCGCACGCAACGCGCAGAACTTTTTTTCATTTCCGCCGCGCCGCCAGATGCCGCACATAGGCGAGCAAGAGCGTCCGGCCGCTCAAAAAGAAGCCCGCGCGCGCGCAATGTGCGGGAATATTCTTTATTTCCCCTACGCCGGCCGCCAGGTCGGTGCGGAGTTATTCTTTCTTTCCCCGCAACGGACTGCGGGCAAAAAAAGAATGAAAAAGCTGAACCCCCCGGGGCCGAAACATGCGCAGGAGCCTTTTTCTCCGTCCATGGGCACGGAACGAGAAGAGCACTTTGAAAAACTCAAGCGAGGGCGGGCTTTTGCGCCAGAGGAAGGTCAACAGCTTTTGCGCCAGGCGCAGGCGAAGATCAAACGCAATTGAAGACAAAGCGGGAGCCGATAGATTCGACGCGGGAGAATCTCTATAGGGAGAATCTCTATTGGGCGTCGGGAGAATTTCTATAATATTTTTTTTTTCTAGACATGTAATACGTCACGTAAAAATGTAATATCACGTGAAACGGACAGATTGTCCTCGAAAACCTATCCTCTAGGCTGCCCCTAGCATGATTGGGCTACCTCTGGCCTGCCGGGGCTGCCGAGCAACAAAAGCCGATCTTGCTGGGCTGCCCAGCAAAGACGAAAGTGAAAGCCTGGGCTGCGTGCCAGCCTGGGCTGCGTGCAGCCCTCTACTGGGCTACCTGCCTAGGCTAGTTGCTAGGGCTGCCAGCCTAGCCGAGCACAGCCTGGCGCGCTAGGGCTGCTGACCTAGCGAGGCACAGCCTGGCTTTGCTTGGGCTGGCAGCCTAGCAAAGCCTGGGTTGCAGCTGGCTGGCAGCTGCCATCTCAGATAGAGAATCTCCATCTGAGATAGAGAGTCTCCATCTGAGATAGAGAATCTCCATCTGAGATAGAGAGTCTCCATCTGAGATAGAGAATCTCTATCTGAGATAGAGAATCTCTATCTCAGATGGAGAATCTCTATTTCGGTTTCGCCACTGGTGGAGAAGCTGCTGAAATATAAGAAAAAGACGTGGGAAAACAGTAAGAAACAGAAAAAGAAAAAAAGAAAGAAAAAACAAGAAAGATATTCCATCCCTCATGGAGAATTTCTATTCTCCTCCGAGAATCTCTATTTCAAATAGAGATTCTCTGAGATTTTCTATTTCGAGAGCCGTATTGTCACGTAAAAATGTAATATCACGTGAAACGGACAGATTGTCCTCGAAAACCTATTCTCTACCTGTTTCCTTTTTCCCGCTGGATCCGCTGGAGGTGGATTTTCCCACGAGTACGTCCACTGTCTGCACCCTGGTAAGTTCCTGGTCATCCACCTCCAGGTCCTCCATCAGAGACACGATCGGCGCCCGTCTCTTCTGCGCCAAAGGACTCAATTTTTGCGCGTTCGGGTTGAAGGGCACGACTTTCTTGAACCTGTTCGTAAGTGAGTAAAAAATAAATGTGTGTAATTTTCTATGCACGACGAGAAATCTGTGCAGCACTTTCGCATGCTGATAACATTTTTTTCTTTTAGTTTCACTGCACGCATCACAGATTGTTCTCATGCCTGGAGAGAACTTCATTGTCAATCGGAACAATCTTCGCAAAAATAACTACAGACGTAAAGAAAAATAGTACCCGCTCCTGACGTAACTCCGACTCTTCATGTAGGATTGCTGCTGAATCTCCCGCCGGATCTCCTTCGTCGTTTGCACGGTGGTGAGGCGCTTGGCCAGTAACTCGTTCTCCATGTAAATTCTTCGGGCCTCCATCCTTCTTGCCCCCTGTGCCTTCGCGTCCGGAGATCGCATGCGGTCCAGCATCTCCCCCGGTTTGCCTGTCATAGTAGAGAAAGAGGTTTTGGTTTTGTGGATAACAATTCTTGTTTCGCATGCGACATCACAGTCTACTTTTTCTGTGAAACACGAACGACCGAATCCTCCTGGTAGGTCCTCTATGGACTGTAGGTCCTGAGGAGCAATCGTATGGATGCATCATACATAAATAGAAGCGAAGATGTAAAAGCCGTATCGACTGCATGTAGTAAGAAAGTACCTTGTGGCGGCAAGTAACCTTCTCCGTTTCGGATGCTGACTATTCTGTCGATAATGCGCTTGTATCAAAATGAAAAATCCCCCCTCCCCATATCAAAGTGGAAATTTATGATGCTGATTTGCGTACACAAATCCGACTTGTCTTGCATTATGGCACTCCGGCCAGATCCGCAGCCTAGGTGGGAGCGCTCAGGTCTAGTTGCTCAGCATTGCAAACGGCTACCCTCTAGGACCAACAGCATGCCAAATCGCTTCACAATTGGCCGGATGCCTCTGCACTTGTCTTCTTGCAAGACAAACCTGATTTGCGATCAAAAAGCAGCAACACAAATTTTCGGAGACATTCCTTTTCAATATGGGGAGGGGGGATTTTTCCTCTCAATAGCTTGTTATCCTTGCCCAGAACTCGATTCTGCTCCGCTAACCGATGGGCCCGAGCCATCTCGACCATCTTCGCGCGCGTGCCTGATAAGTAATTTTGTGTTTTCCTGCTTTTCTTTGTTCTACTACGCACCACTACACGACTTGCACGACCACGCTTCAACAGCTGCAGCTCAGAGTCAATAAAACCAATGCACATCAAGCGCCTGCTTAGCATCTGCATCGAGTGGACTACATATCCTGTGCAAAAGTATCGCTCTCGTAGTAATCGCAATTACGCATTACAAATCTGGTTCCCAAGGCAAATCAGCATGACAAATTCCATTTGTCATGCTGAGCAGGAATTTGTCATGCTGAGCGAATTTGTATTGCAAGCATTGAATCTAGTACCGTCCGCGCATCCGGGTGGTGTGTTGTCGATATGGGACTGCGCGTTCATGATTCGGTCCTTCATCTTAAAGTAGTCCCGCTGCCAGGCTCGCTGTTCCGTGACGGGTGCACGCCAGAGCGGCGGCGCGGGCACCGGGGGCCCCTGCTGCCGCTGGTAGTACATGATCTTTTTTTCTCTGCAATAAGATCTGGCTGCTCTCGTCCTTCAGCTGCAGAAAATACACCAGTATAGAAGTACAACCGCCACTTATGCTTCTAGACGTATGAGAAAAAAAAACACAGCTTCCCGCTAGGAAAGTCGGAGAAGTAGGGGGTGTCGGATTTATTAGGACTTCGATTCAAAAAAGTTGTATAGGCCTAATATACGGTACTATTTCTATTTGGTTGTAGCAGTCCTTCTAGGCGGGCTCTTGCTTAATGTGTTCTGGAGCGTTAAGGTTGTTCTACTTGTAAACGGCTACTGTAACTGGTTTGTTTCTTCGGACTACAAAGTTTTGCTGTAGTTCACTTGAGCTGCACTTGGAGACCACGCTGTCAACCAGTTGTACAACTTCTAGACCACGTAGTCAACGGCCTGAGGTGAGGGTACTAAAAACCAAACGTCGTATGAAGTTGTATTGCCGGATAATTTTGAGCACGACGCTGAAAAATTAATGTGAAATTAGTATAGTAAGTTAGTTGTCCTGTGAAAATAAAGTTGCGGAAGTGAATATGGTCACAAGAACCTCTGAGTTTTGGTTCCATGTTGTATGTGTCTTTGTCTCAACCACGAAATGAGTAGAACGTACGTTGATATTGTTCAAGAAAGACATTGTTGAAGAACGACGTGCGTGCGGTTTTTCTTTTCCCAAAAAAAATCACAGAACGAAGAGACGCAACAGAACGTTCGTTTTGTTCTTTGGACGACGTAGTACTTCTCTATTTGACAACGTTTGGACGAGGGGTCACGAATACTGTCTTCCCACACCGAGTCGTGAGAAAAGAAATCAATCTGTGAAGACTGTTTTTTGATGAAAATGTTTTTTCTCCTCGAGCGGAATCAAGCAAGAGAAGCTTGACACGAACCGAATCAAAGAAAGAACAGAAACAACTTGTGCATTCCATTTTTCCAGTCTTTTGTGGGTATCTCGAACGAATGATTTCCGAACTTTGGCGTGAGCATCTTGCGTGTTCAACCAATCGGTCAACATTGGTGGAGAACCTAAATTTCGTTTATTCCCATTCCCTGAAAGCATACCCTTCCCTCTTCGTTCTAGTCGTAGAAAGTAGGATAGTTTTCTCGGTTTTCTTACGTAAAAATACGCACTTCTGTCAAGCGCAGTCGTGTTTTTATTCTTAATTCGGTCTTTCATACACTCGCTCGTATATGAAAGTCGTTTTTTAGTTTTCGGTATCTACAAAAGACTTGGGCCAAGTAGAAAAATAGTAGCACACCGTGTAGCTTGTTTCCTTTGATGCCTCCCTTGTACTCATGTACGGTACCATCCGCGGTGGTCCACTGGAACACTCCCTTCGACGGCTTGTCGTCCTTCCACTCCCCCTTGAAAACGGAGCCGTCGCAGTACCTCATGGTGCCTTTCCCCGACCGCTTTGATTTGCTCCACTGCCCTTCGTAGGATGGTTCCTGGTTCCCCGCGCAATCGGCAGCATTAGAGTGGTACACCATTTTCCCGTACCCGTTTTGCGTGCCCCCCTCGATCTCCCCGATGTATGCGCGCAGAGATAAAGAAGGGGGGCTGCTTTCTTCGGTTTCATCTTCCGAAGGAGCCAAAGGCCTGTTTTCCGCCACCAGAGGAGGTGGATCATGCTCGCCCACAAGCACAACGAATCTTTGCATCCCGAACCATTTGCCAGGCGCGCGTTTGGCGACGGTATCGTCACAGTACGATTGCAAAGCGCCGTCCACTATTAAATGCAAAAATGTCTGGGTCTGGAAGAGTCATGCTGTTTTTGCATGACACTGAAGGTCTGGCATGGAACCTCTAGCATCACAGGTTTCGAAAAGCTTCCGCAATGCCGAATCCGCATGACAAATCCCCCATTTTGGGCACAGAAAGTGGATAGCTTTTGCTACCTATGCATGCCAGATTTTTCTGTGTCCTGAAATGCGCATCACAAGTTACATCCTTCCAGCCCCAGACATTTTTACAATCCATATCCAATGATTCTCTATTTGGCAACGTTTGGACGAGGGGTCAGCACGAATACGCCTGTACAACTTTTTGCGTTGAAAACTACGTGACGCGTGTTCTACTTCAGTTTTTCTTCATCTTTGTGGATCCCCAATTGCAGTCCACATCAGGAGAAACATAGCTAGAAAAGGAGTTCCAGCTTCTTCCTTTGAGTTTGCACGAACTGATGGTAGCGTCGGACGGACTTTCATCATTTTTCACGTACAATAAAGTACTTACGTCGTGGGGGCACGCTGCTGCCTCTTCGAATGCATCCACCGCCGAGTGATGTTGAACAAGATGAAGTACATACACAGATAAACGCACGGAGCGCTTCAACAAGTAACAAGTATAATGCCCAGAAGATTTATCGTTACCAGTCTCATTTACTGCTGGCAATTCGAACAGCTCGAGGACCACAAATTCAATCTCGTCGCTTTTCCTACTTTTACAAAAAAAAATGTGTTTTTTCAACATGGGATTGATTCATTGAAGAGAAAATTACATGTATGGTTGACAAAGAAGTGTTAGCAAGCACGATGGTATTGTTTTGGAATTATGCTTGAAACTAGAAGATTAGGCTTTTTGGGAAAATGTCAGGACTACTTTATGAAAGAAGTATGGGGATACTTACGGGAAATTAAAATCGTCTCTTGTTTGAAAAAATCGTCGTAGTGGGGGCTACTTGGTATTGCTCTCGCAATCGGATACGGATTTAGTTTTAGAGTGGTACATCTTTCATCAAACGACTGCAAATGGAAAGTCGAAGTGTTTAGTAGTATATTATTTGCGAAACAAAGTATAGTTTTTTCGCAGCGTTGCTCCAAAAAGAAACGAAAACTTTAATATGCTAAGAACAAAACGAAAAGAATCAAAAAGTGTGCCGAAACTACAAAAGTGAACTTCTTCTGAACCATTGAACGAATTTTGATAATCGTGAGGATCATGGGGCAGCTAGTCCTAGCTGCCAGTCGCTGCTGTCGCGGGACCGTCCTACACGATGAGGTCGCCGATGTCCGTCCCCCACGATGTGGGGTCGTCATCCTTCGTCTGGGCATCTCGCCGTCGCCTCAGAAGTCGTGCCGCCCGGCACCAGATAGCAGTCCACTACGCTCCAATAGCGGTTTTGCTCTTTGGCGAACATCAGGGTCACCGTTCGTTCTTCGGAGAACATCAGTGCAGAAGTCGAAGGAAGGCCTCCACCGTTCTCATTCTTCGGAAAGTACTGAGCAACTGCTTCTTCGGCAACCCGCTCCCGCGGCACAAAGCAGGCACCAGCCTTTTGCGGCAGAGGATAAGGCTTGTTTGTCAGCGGCTCGGTACTACTTTTTTTTGTCACCACACGCACTTCGAAAACTTTTGCGAGGGGCGCCAATAGCTCCTCCGCCGGAAGAGTAGCGGGTGTAGTACCGTGCTGGGGGTGCTCCACGAGTCTTTTCCGAACTTCCTCTGCCTTCCAGCCGGAACGATTTTCGTATTGCAGCAAATTCAGCTGGTCGGCAAAAGCGTCGAAAAGGGAAGACGAGGTATCGTCCGCCTTGTTTTCGAAGGAGGTCAAATGGAAGCCATTCCGAATGACACGCTTGAAGCCGACTACTGGGGCCCCGTTTTCGTACTGGCAATCATCTGTATTCCGAAAATCCGGCGCCAACATCAGGACTTCGGTTCCGCTGATAAAAGCATTCTCTTCCCACTGTCCGGTTTTCTCTATTTCTTCAAGGTACCGATTTGGATTCTTTGCGTAGTTTTCTTGCGGCCCGTACCCTTTTAGCGTGCTTCGCCGGAAGATTCTGTATTCGGATTTTCCCCAACCGCCGTGTAGCTTGTTTCCTTTGATTCCTCCCCTGTACCGATGCTCGGATCCATCCGAGCATCGCCAGACGATGTTCGCCTCACCGATCCAATCGCTGTCGAAGACTTCCTTCTCCTTTCCGTTGATCAGTTTTAATGTTCCTTCAAACTCTCTTAAGAAAGAATGTTCCTTGACAATCTTCGCGTCATCGCAAGCGCCCTCTGGTGCTGGCCCTTCGTATTTTTTGGGATGCGCCGGCGGCTTGTAGACCCGTTTGTTATACGGCATTCTCAACTTCTTCCCTTTGTTCTCCCGTCCTTGTATTCCGTGCAAAAACGTCCCCACCTTATGTTTCTCATGCAAATCTGACTGTCCGATGAAATTATTACATGTCGCATGCGCAGCCCCACGAGAAGCGTGCTTCCATGCTCTCTGGGAGTGGGAATTTGTCGCGCTCTTCTCAGAATAAGAAAGCCGATTTTTTGTGACGCGACTGCACTAGAAGCAGCTAACCAAGAATACACTGGAGACCCAACCTTAATGTCATGCGCAACAGCCAAAAGAACTTCTTGGCTTGTTTGGTACTTTAGAATCACAGCCATCTCAACAAGTATGGGGTGGGGACGTGATATCTACTCAGGATATCAACTTGCCCCTCGAAAAAACTGCCGTCGCTCAACGTCAACTTCCCCTTCCACGGCTTGTCGTCCTTCCACTCCCCCTCGAAAACGGAGCCGTCGCAGTACCTCATGGTGCCTTTCCCCGACCGCTTTGATTTGCTCCACTGCCCTTCGTAGGATAGTTCATTGCTCCCCTTGCAATGAACAGCGTTGGTGTGGTACACCATTTTCCCGTACCCGTTTTGCATGCCCCCCTCCACCTCACCGACGTATTCGCGCAGAAATAAAGTAGCGGGGGCGCTGCTTGTTTCTTCGGTTTCTTCCGAAGGAGGTAAAGGCCTGTTTTCCGCCACCGAAAGAGAGTCATGCTCGTCCACTCCGTCGAATGTCTGCATCCCGAACCATTTGCCAGGCGCGCCTTCGTCGACTGTGTTGTCACAGTACGATTGCAAAGCGCCAGCCAATGATTCTCGCTGGGATTTTCTGCCCCGCCATAGAAAGGGATTGATCCACGACGAAACGCTGAAAGTCATCTGGTCCACCTCGCGCAGCAATTCGGGCAGTGTTTTCGCAAGAGCAGGGGGTTGGACAGGACGCGACAAAAAGGAAAACGGCCACCTGCTCGATTTTTGTGCTTCTTCAGCCACATTCTTGGCCTGCCTCTCCAACTCGGCCTCCTTCGCGGTTTTGATGTCAGCCATGTCAGGGCAAGATTCCAGCCTTCTGAGGAACTCATTGCCATCATTCGCCATCCCCCTGGAGCTGGTTCGGATCTTTCCCTGCACCCTTTTGAAGAAGTCGAAGTGCGACAGTGCTTTCCACTGTTGCCATGATTCGTTTTCGTGCTCTTGGCGTTGGCCAGGCTTACGGCATAATTCTCTGCATGCCTCGGACCGAAATGCTGGAAGTGGAGAATCAACAGTACTATGTGCGGGAGCGGGATACACATCAGCCGGGCTCGCTTGAGCAACATCGTCATCTTCTAAAGATATATCCTCGACTCCTGCGTTCAGTATTCCATCCGCCGAAATCTCCATCAAACTATCTCCCCGTTTCTCTTTTTTGTCATTACTCACTTTGCTTTCCTGCAGGGCTGACACACCCAACACCTCATTGGTAGTGACCACGCCGCCGGCGAGAAGCAGCACGGGCGTCGTTCCCTTCCGAGGTGGCTTCAAGACCAACATGTTTCGGAACAGACCCTTAGACAGAGTACTACGTACTTCCTAGAGGTCGTCTAGTGCGGATGAAAGACAAGTTGAACCGAAGAGGGTCTAGTACAGCTGCCGTTTGATCTACTTACAAACGTACGAGCCCACAGGCACGGGATGAGAGAAGCAATATCTTTTCCCAGAGAAAAAGACAAATTGCGCGGGTGGCTAGTAGGAGAGGATTAGTAAGTAGATGCACTTACTTACTCCGAAACGAAATGAGTTTGCTTGCTTGTTTTATGTGATACAGTGGGACCACGACACGAAAAGTTTTTACGAACAAGTGGAATCGCAATGAATTCGCGAGAGACTGTAAAGTAAATAAATATAAAAACAGTTTTTGAAAAGGATATAATGAGTAGAGTAAAGAATTCATCTGATATACCTCGTTGCAATAGTGCTTGGAGCTTTCTCCGATTTTTCATCGGCTCTACCTACTGACTCCACGCACAGATGGTCCACCTCACGCACTGCACGACCGACGAAAGATAAGTAAGTGCTGTGTGGAATCCACCGATTTTTGCGTTCGCACGGTCCAGTTTAGTGTTGCACGAAAGTTCAACGAAGAACCGAAGTGACTGTCTTGAACGAGAAAGAACCGAGGACGAGATTCTTCTGAAAACAGATTTACCGAACATGTACTTTCTTGGGCGCGTGTAAGTAGAAGTTGCGTTGGAACGTAGAACCGATGCGGTTGCTGAGAAGTACAAGAACTATAATCGCTGGTATCCTTACGAATTTTTTCACAACATAAGTTAAGTACTACGTGCGCACGATCATGACACCAACTACAGGAGATGGACAAGAAGAACAACAACTTAAACTGAGCTTAATACTGCGCCGTCTTCTTGGGAAGATGTCGACGGACGGCAGTTCAAGAGAGACTGCGCCAGCTTGTTCGGCGTCCTGATCAAATTTTTGCAATTCTCGTCGCATTCCACATCCACTTCATCGTACAGGAGGAAATAAGAACTGAAAGATTCTTCTTCTTGTTCCGGAAAAATCTCATAAGTACACCCTCTTGTTTCATCGTCCAGAACTTTATCTACGTCGAAGATTCTTCGACGACCACTGCGCAGGCGCAGGGGTTCTACTTCTTTATTTTTTTCGCTTTCATAAACTAGTATCCTTGAAAAACTTGTGTTCGAAGATGTTGAGCAGGATCATAGATAAGTAGTCCCTGGAGGGACCACCGGTTCTTCTTGCAACTCGAAATAAACTACGAGTCTGGTTCTTTCTTTGACACGGAGGTGACAGTTGTGACACGACGTTGCATAGAATATGTTCGTAGTTTCAGTTGCAGTCGCAGTTTCCCATGCTGCCACATCAACAGCGCTCGTTTCAAATAAAAACAGCCTGCTGAGGACCTTTTCGTTCGACTAATCCTGTTTAAAACTTTTGTCCGACGCCTTCTGCCCACCGGCCACGGAGGGGCCGAGGAATTCGTGTTTTTCTATTGCATTGTTGAAGACGGTAACTTTGATAAAAAGATTGTTCCCCTGCTCGCGAAAGCAGGAAGTGAAGTTAAACGAAAAATAAGTGCGATATATTGAGACTACGGAAACAGGATCCAGCACCAGGGCGCTTTGTAAGGTGCCAGAATCTTTGCTGGGTTCTCACAACAGCCGCCCTGGGTCTACTTCTTCACATGCTGCTCTGGCGCGTCAACATTTGGCGTGAATAAAAGTCGACTAGATGAACCAGAGATGCTGCAGCGAAGTACAGATACTCTCTGATGAACGAATTTTATGGTTTCAGATTCTTTAGTATGGTTTTAGAAGTTTTAGGAACAAAAATTACTTATTAATGCGTCTAAATAATATGAAACGAAATGAATCTACTTCACAGACGATCCTTTCGGCCAGCAACGGCCACCGCAGGTGTCGCACACGGAGGTCGCGAGGAAGAGTAGTTGCACAAACGATATACAGGAGCTCAACCGCTTATTTGGAAGAGGTGCTCGTCCTCGTCACGGATCTTCAGCTAGAAGTGGTTGACACGTATAGAAACACCACCAGTACGGAGTCGTACCCGTAGAAGAGGCGCTCAGTACAACAACTTCAACTTCTCGTCCTCGCGGTAAATCAATAAAGTGGGCGAGTTTATTTCTTGCAGTCGTGTTTTGAAAAAACCCGTAGTATCCTATAATTCATTGTTGTTGTGCCTACAAGTCCCTCCTGCTCATTCGAGCTCAAGAGCACGACATAAAGTCCCTATAACTTCCAGCAGCGACCAACCGAATCTCCTCGTCCCTTCGTCGTGTTTATTGCGACAGCACCCTCTTCACCGTCGCCGATCGTAGTCCGGGCGGCTGTAGCCCCTGCCGGTGTTTCTGGCGGACTGGTCCACATCGTTATTCCCCAGATCCATGTCCGCGGATCCCGCGCTGGCGCTGCCCTGCCCGCGCGCGTGGCCACTGCCGCTGCTGGGGCTGCCGGAAAAGTCCTCCGGCCGGCTGCGGTTCCCCCCGCCACCGACCTGCTGGCCGGGGAGGTTGGCGCGGCCCCGCCGCCCGGGGGCGGAGGCTTGGCTGCTGTGCTGCTGGTTGCCCGGTATCAACTGCAAAAGTGTCTGGGTCTGGAAGAATGCCAGACTTGTCATGCAGGTTTTCCATGACCCACGAGCTCTGGCATGAAGGACATAGCATGACAGATTCTGTGAGAGTTCTATCATGCCTATCCTGCATGAGAATCTGCCTCTCGATTAGGTTAAAAATGGACAGCTTTTGGTAATTATGCAACACAGATTTTTACATCATTCAGATTTAGCATGACAAGTTGTTTTGTTCCAGACCCAGACATTTTTACGTTTGATATCCGGGCTGCTGTGGCGACTCGGCTGTCCACCCTGCTGGTCGTGGCTGCTGCTCTGCATGCCCATCGTGTTGGCGAACCGAAACCCGGAACTGCGGTCCAGGCCGCCCGACCGTTGCTGCTGGTAGCCCGAATACATCTGGTAGCCGGAACCCCGGGCGGAGCCCATGCCGGAGGAGGCCATGCTGTTCTCGCCCATGCCGGGCGAGAATTCCTATCATTTGTAAAAACGTCCCCACACCAGAGTCAAGATGGGAAACCTGCTACACAAATCAGCCAGCTTTGGTCGTTTGGCATGACAAATTTGTCCTCGTAGTGTGATCCTGTTTAGGTAGTTCAGCGGCATCACAGATCTAGTATATCATGCTGATTATATATAGCGTCACAAAATCCAAAACACGACTAGAAAATGCCTCTCATGGCGCTCCGCGTGACAAACTTTTTTGGCATGCAGATCTACATGACAACTCTGGGGTGGGGACATTTTTACTCAAGATAATTCCGGCCGCACGTTCAGGTTGTCGTACCGGTAATTCACATCGTCCGCATTGTCGTCTACCATCGCTGTAGTTGTTGGTGTATCATTCATTCGATGTACTTTTGCATCTTCACGCACCACTTGCATCAGAAACGCGCACTCCACTGCGCCAAGCGCACGTTGACAAAGGAGCAAATAAACGCAAAGAACTTAATATCGCAAGATGTAGATGAAAGCGCATTGTTCTTGTAAAAATGTCAATCGAGTAAGTACACGAACATCAAAAATCTGCGTTGTACTACGTAAGTACACGGCTTCCAGAAGATGAAGTCAAGTATGCAATTATATACCTGATGTTCCGAATTGCTGCATATTCTGCGCTCGCTTTTTCCTTTGCTCGTCTTCGTCCATTTGGTGGGTAAAGTCCTGCCCGAACATGACGGGGGTCTGCTGATTTCTGAATTCTTCCTGCTTCAGTTCCTCCTGGAGGTCCTTTTCTTGCTTGCCCAGTCGGCTTGTGTCCGGCTTAAATTTCTTCCGGGCCGGGTTGCCGAAATCGTCGTTCCACTGGTCATCGGCGATGGCCTGCTTCTTTTGCTTGTTAATAGTCGCGTGCCCTCGTACCATCATCTCCGTATCGCAGACAATGTCGAATTCGTTGGTACCAATGTTCGGCAACTGCCCGAGAATAATGTTCTCGGAAACGCCCTTGCAGTGGTCGACCTGGAAGTTTGTTTCAAAATCAAACCAATTGCATCAATTCATTTCATGACAAAAATTCCTTCCACGGTTCCACCATACTACTTCATTCAGCCTGTCGATCTACCTCACATAATAAAGTCTACTTTTCGATACCAAAATTTCGTTTCGTCGTGTAAAGAGAAGTACGTAGTACAAAGCTGTGGTTGTACACGACGTGATTCTTGTAATGTATACATTTCATAGTAGCCTAGTTGAAAATATCAGTGAAAGAAGATTTTTCTACCTGTCCAAACATGGCCGCTTCCATCAACATTTCCACGGTTTCTTCAAACGAGCACTTCATGAGCGGGCCGTGGTCCGCCCGGTTCACGCCGTGTCGACTGATGGCCATCAGGTGCCCGCGGTTTGACATGGTGTCACACAGCACCGCCAAGTGCCGGTAGTTCACGTAGGCGCCGTCGAAGGAAATGACCGCCTTCACTTCGTCGTGTAGCTTCTTTCGCACCGCTTCGACGCCTGAGGTGTTGAGGAGGGTTCATTCTTATGTGCTGGACGCAGAATAATTGTAAATTGATAAAGCCTTTTCTTTTGTACCGAACATACGTTGGATTGTTCTTCCACGTTGTATTTCCAGAACTGGAAATACCCCTTCCTTTCGTCACGTGAGAAGAAGATACATGCGCGCCAGATGTAGTGAAGAGGCGTGCACAGAGGCTGCTGGCATTCTTGATGTACACTTTCCTTGTAGAAGATGAAAAGTTGCTTGTTCTATAAAAAGTAAGTAGCAGTTGTACCTAAAACTTGCATGATCTCCACAACGTCATTGCTGGTGGTTCTCCTGGCGTCGATCTGTTCGATCTGCAGGATTTCCTCCAAATTGCACCCCTCCGTGTCAAGCAGCCACTCCTTTTCCGCTCGGTCCCTCCGCGGGAACTCGCCCGTGGTTTCGTCGTACTTCACGACGTTCTCTTCCCGCATGAACACCTTGCGAATGCCGTGGACCCCCTTCAGCACCATATCCTTCAAAATGTCCCGCTCTATGTTCTTCAGGAACCGGCAGTCCTTATCCTCATCCTCCTCCGCAGCCTGCTGCAGGTCGTCAAAATCGTCCCCCGCGTTTTGCTCCTTCACGATACGGAGGCGCAGGACCAGTTCGTCCGCGTTGTCGTCGGTAAAAATGCAGTTCAAGTCGCCCATAAAGTCGTTGATGATGCGCTCGTATGAACTGCAAAAGTATCGCACTCGTAGTATTGCAATACAAATCAGCTCAGCATGACAAATGGAATCTGTCATGCTCACTTAGGTTGAACAAGAAACTTGTCTTGCATGACTGCGATTAGTACGAGTACGATGCTTTTGCACAGGATAGCTCGCCGACCTCGCGCATCGAGAGTTTCTTATCCGTCATCACCTTGTTGTCCAGCTGGATGCGGAGCACCCAGGGAGAAAGCCGGTCCCGGTTGTCTTCTTCGTCGGGGAGCTCGTAGTACTCGCCCACCCATTCGCGATCCTCGGGCACAATGGTTTGGTCGGGCTCAGGGTCGTAAAAGATCTGTAGTGCGAGAACAAGTAGAGGAAATGCGAGCGGTCTCTTTTTAAAAACGTATCAAAACAAAAATCTGTTTCGAATCCACCCCAAAAAGTAGATCTCTATTTTCTACAGTTTAGCTGGCCCTCTATCACAAAGGAAGCGCAAGGGACAGATGCAGATCTTGGTCGCATCTTCGTCCGCCATTTACGTCACAAAATCCAAATCACTCGCACGGAAATATATATCAAACGGTCAAGAAGTGTTGTACTATGAAATTGCATCGATAGATTGCATCTGCTTCTGCTGTACTAAATGAACAGAACTATCTATCCAGGAAAAAAACTGTGTTAGTATATTGAAAACTAAAATCCCAAAGGGAAGATATAACTTTCTATGGCTAACAGCATCACAAATTTGCTGTACATGACAGAGAAAACCCGTCATGCGTGACCTGTAAGGGAAAACACACATGAAAAGAGGACGTCATGGCTGTCTGGCATGACAGGTGTAACTCTGTTGCATGTCCTGCATCACAGAGTTACACTTACACGGTTTTTTTCTTGCATACTATCTACAAATTTTATACCTGTGAAAAACTGGTGATTTTCTCGAGAGTGGTGTGTTCGATATGCGCCTGGACATTTTTCGCCGCCTGTTTGGATTTGGACACTTCGGGGACTAAATAACAGGTCAGCGAGGGGGTTTTCACGGTCTTCGCCACGTTGATAATCTCCTTCAACCGCGGCACGCCAAGGGTAACGTTCTTGGACCCAACCTGTTGAGAAATATTTCAGTATCATTGAAAATTGTATTAGAATAGTCAGGTGGAACGACAGCAGCCTGCACCACGACGGGGGTGCACTCGGTCGGGGGCGACGAGCCACGACGGTGACATATTATCATTCTTGAACGCGCCTACTGCTACTTACTTCTTGAGAACATTTGTCCAACACCAGCATGAGCATCGTCAAAACAACTTAAAATTTTTCCTGCAGGGGTAGAACCAATGAGGCAAGAAAAACCAAAAGTAAACATCCACTAAATACCCCGGCAAAGTGGAAGGTGTTTAGTGTCATCTGTGTGGCCGGTTCTCCGACGGACTGCGCAGCGATGGTCCCGACCATCTCGCCCGCTTGCGCCAGCGACCGTTCGAATTTGTCCTTGATTTCCCCGAGGAGCCAGTCCAGGGACCGTTTTGTCAGCTTGTCCTGCTCGAGCACGCGTCGACTGTTTAACCGTGTGCGCAGGTGGGCGTTAAGCACGATCATACTGTTGTTTAAAGTCTCCAGACCGAGCTCGTCCGACTCGTCCAACCCCTTAATGGTCTGGAGGGAGTCCATCAGGGCATTCACCTTGTTGATGATCTGCACCGGCGTGTAGTACTCCAGATCGCCTGCTTCCGTTCTCAGATCTTGCTCAAAGATCATCTGCGATGTCTTCACCAGTCGGTCGATCGGAACCGGCAAGTGCTGCTTCGCCTCGCCATCCGGATAGATCTCCTGGCAGAGTTTGCGCTTGTAGTTCTTCAGCCGATCGTACTCCTCGTCCATAATTTTTCGGTCCGCGGTGCGCCGCCCCTCCTGCAGCTCCTTGAGCCAGAGGCTGTTGTCGTCGCCGAGCAGCCAGTTCTTGCCGTAGTCGGGGGATTATCAAATGTAAAAATGTCCGGGTCTGGAAGATTCTGACACTTGTCATGCACGTTTTGCATGAGCCATGATGTCTGTGATGCATACCCTAGCAATACAGATTTTTTGAGGGCTTCTTGATGCCTATTCCGCATGACAAATGTCTTCTCAGCGTAGAAAAAATTGCATTCCCTTTGCTAGTACTCATGCAATACAGATTTTCTTGGAATCCAAATGTAGCACCACAAGTTGCATTCTTCCAGACCCAGACATTTTTGCATTTGATAGAGATTCGTGGTTGTTGCGCAGCTTGTCGTCCACCTGTTTGTGGGACCACTTGATCAGATCCAAATCCTGGTCCTCAATGTAGACCGCGTCCATGCCGTCCTCCCCGTACAAAAACTGCACAATGTCCTCATTGTCGTTCCGGACGGTGCCGTCGTATCGCACCTTCAGCGTTTCCATGGACTTCACCAGCCGGCGCTGAATGTACCCGGTTTCGGAGGTCTTCACCGCCGTGTCGATCACTCCCTCGCGACCACCCATCGCGTGAAAGTAAAGTTCCTCGGGCGTCAATCCGGCGAGGTAACTGTTCTCGACGAAGCCCCGGGACTCCGGCCCGTAGTCGTCTTTCGCAAAGTGCGGCAGCGTTCGGTCGCGGAAGCCGTTGGCGATCCGCTTCCCTTCGACGTTCTGCTGATATCCTGTGCACAAGTATCGCACTCGTACTAATTGCAATTATGCATGACAAATCGTGTCCTTAAGGTGAAACAGCATTACAAATTGAATTTCTCATGCTGAGGGAATTTGTAATGCATTTATACGAGTACGATACTTTTGCAGTTCATAGCTGACCCACGCAGGCAATAATCTGGGCGACGTTAATGTTCGAACCCTTGGAGCCGCACTATCGAGTGCAAAAATGTCTGGGTCTGGAAGGGTTGGAACTTGTGATGCAAACTTTGGACTCTAAAAAAATCTGTATTGCATGACCAGGAAGAGGAGCCACATTTGTGCTACGCGAGGAGGGCATTTGTCATCCGGAAATGGCATCAGGAAGCTTTCCAAAAATCTGTGATGCTGGGTCATGCATTACAAGCATCATGGGTCATGCCAGACAAGCATGACAAGCCTTCTATTCTTCCAGACCCACACATTTTTGCATTTGATACGCACGTCACCATCGCAATAATGTTATTCCGCTCATCCAGGGAGTCGGAACCTGTGAAGATGTGTTGGGCAAAGCGTCAGATGATGAAGGAAGAATTGAATATTTTTGTCGATCGCAGTAGTTCCCCTCCTTGCACAGGTGGCATCTTCTTCGTGAGGAAGTAGGGAAGAAGTAGAGCGACGTCTTCAACTTTTATTATTGGCGCGGTTCTTTCAACATTGAATTCATTAGCTTCAGCGTTCCGTAATGTTCACGGTACAACTGCATCTGCTCTGTATTCAGAACTTGCAACGAGCAGCACCGTGCGGCTCCTTCGATACACCGGCGGCACTACTTCGGTACAACTACTTCTGCATGCAAGCAGGAATAATTCTAGTAATTGCGACAAAAACCATAAACACGAAGAGACACCAGCATCACTTAGCTACAGAAAAATTTCTCTATTATACCGATTCGCCCCGCCTCCTCGCGCGCACTGTTCAGGGACTGATTCACGGCGTGCTCGAAGGATTGGTGCATGGTTTTTCCTGGCTGCGTGTCCAACTCTCCGCGCTGGGCCTTGGCCACCGTTTCGGCCACCTTGTCCTTCGCGCCCCGCAGCGTCTCGGCCACCCGCTGCATCGTCTCGTCGTTGGCCACAATATCCGCGCACCCGCACGTAAACCCGTGGTGCAGCAGCCAGGTGTTTACCATCTTTTGGATGTAAGAAATCAAAATCTTACACGCCTCCGGACCGTGGTCGAGCCAGGTCAAGTGCAAAACACCCCCGGATTGGGTACCTGAGTCGATGAGGAGAGGTTCTTTCAGATGGAAAATCAAAGAACGCAGTGAGTTGTGTGATTCCTTTTCCTGCACAGAGCTGCATGAAATTTCGATCGCGACCGGTAGAAATAGCACTTCTCCGCATGACGTCTTCCATTTTTTTGCGATAGGTCATGATAAAATGAAATGTCACTAATCTTTTGCTTTTCGAAATCTATCAATTATGCACATTAATCCGCAGGACCAGAATAATTACCAACGATTTTTTTGTCCACCCGTCCGCAGACGACTTGACCTATCACACAGAAAAAAACTGGCAGGTCATATTTGTAATGCAGAAATAAATAGACAAGAAAACTTGTATTGCATAGCATGCTACAACGAGATCGCCCATGACCTGTGTATTTATTTTTGCATTACAAATGTGCCCTGCCAGCTTTTTTCTGTGGGATATGACCGTCGCGGATCACGCACTTGTGATCGGACTTCGAAAACATGGCGTTGTATCAAAGTGAAAAATCCCCCCACCCCATAGTCAAACTAGAAATTTGTGATGCAGATCTGTGGCCACAAATCAGCTTTGTCATGCTAGAAGGGAAAAGATGCGGACTGTAGTGATGGCTGGCCTGGGAAAGCCTTGCATCTTCAGCATGACAAGGGGCAGCTGGAAGTGGGAAACAGCATGACAACTTGCCTGCAAAGGAGGCCACAGCTGCGTCTCTTGGCCTTCTAGCATTACAAGTCGATTTGTGTACTCAAATACAGCACCACAAATTTCAATTTCGATGTGGGGAGGGGGAATTTTTCCTTTTGATACGTTGTCACCCTTGTTTTTCGCCGCCACGCCGTTGTCTTTCGTGACGTTCAGTCGTGGCTTTAACAGCAGCGAGAAAATCTGCTTCCCGGACCACAGCGGCTCCGGCTTCAGGATGCAGGGGATGGGCACCTGGCCGTTCCAGTCCGGCAGCGTGAGGCAGAGCGAAAACACCGCGTCCCGGGTCAACAGCGTGTCGCGCTTGGTAAACTTGGACACGGCGAGGCAGGCATCCTGCACGATGCCCATCACCGGCTTGTTGCCCTGGGGAGACACCTATCAAGTGCAAATATGTCTGACTCTGGAAATTTGTGATGCATGTGAGTGAACAGAAAGCGCGCTGTAATGCACCGCCAAGCATGACAGATTTTCTCGTGGCCCTGTGTTGCGTATTCCGCATGAGAAACATGGTTTTTGCATGACAGACAAGAGGAGGTCTTCGCGGCCACGCAATACAGAGTTCTGAGTCATGCCAAACTAGCATGAGAAGTCTCGCAATCTTCCAGACCCAGACATATTTGCAATGCATAAGACCATTTGCTTGGGCACCAGCATGATGTGCTTGATTTCCGCGCGGGTCTCGTGACTCTGCGCCAGGTGCAGGTTCATCTCGTCGCCGTCGAAGTCCGCGTTATAGGGGCTGGTCGCAGACAAATTGAGGCGGAAGGTGCTGTAGGGCAAAATCTTCGCCCGGTGCCCCATCATACTCATCTTGTGCAGCGAGGGCTGCCGGTTGAACACCACAAAGTCGTTGTCCACCATGTGCCGCTCCACCTTGTCGCCGATTTGCAGAAACCCGGCGGCCTCCTGGTCGTTCTCGGGGACGTGCGTATACCGCAGATCGATCGTGCTCCCGTCCGGCTTCTTGATGAACTTCGCCCCCGGCCACTCCGTGGGCCCGTTGCGGACCGCTTTAAGGAGCTTCTTGAAGGTGATGGAGGTCACCCGCTCGGGGAAGGTCAGGTTGAAGGCGATGGACCGCGGCACGCCGACCTGATCAATGTCCAACATGGGATCCCCACCAATGACCGTTCGCGCCGAGAAGTCCACGCGCTTGCCCATCAAGTGGCCGCGCAACCGGCCCTCCTTGCCCTTGAGCCGCTCGCGGATGGACTTGATCGGCTTGCGGGACTTGGTGGTCGCCTGGGGGAGGGACTGGATGTTGTTGTCGCACAGAGTGTAGATGTGGTACTGCAGCAGGTTCGCGAACTCCTGACACACGTGCTTGCCGCTGCCCATCTGCAGCTGCTGCTTCAGCGTCAGGTTGGCCTTCAGCAGGTCCAGAAGCTTGGCCGTCAGGTCGTCCTCACTGCGGTCGGTGCCGAAGGAAACTGTGGGTCGCACCGGGGGCGGTGGGACGGGAAAGACGGTCAAAATCAGCCACGCGGGGTCTGACTTGCCCGGAATGAAACCCATGGCCAGCTTGTCGCGGTCCGAAATGTTGCTCAGAATGCGGTACGCCTCCTCCCCAGTCAGTTGCCCTGTTTTGGTCGTTTTTCAAATTTTACTAGGATGTTGGCCATGATATTGAAGCACCACGGATTCATTATTAGTTGTGCCGCGGTACACAGGACGGTACTGGAGCACTAAACGAAAAATGAAATGATCTGTATCTACTTCCATAAAAATACGTTTTCTATCCTTGTTTTCCCCCTCGTCTGTCTCGTCCTCTGGGAAAACGACGAACACTTGCGCCCCCTCCTGCACTATGGATTGCAAAAATGTCTGGGTCTGGAAGGTTGTAACTTGTGATGCTATCTTCGGATTCCAAAAAAATCTGTAATGCATGACCAGCAAGAGGCTCAGTTTTTGCCACGGCGAGAGGGCATTTCTCATGCGTAATTAGCATTAAGAAGCTTTCAAAAAATCTGTGATGCTAGAACCAGCATCACAGACCTCACGGATCATGCAAAATGTGCATGACAAGCCCCGACTCTTCCAGACCCAGACATTTTTGCATTTGATATGCACGTATTTTGGTTGCGCATAGCCGCACCCGGAGGTCGCACTCGCCATTACTTCCAGGTCTTATGGATGTGTCAGAGTTGAAATCGACAAAGTTGAAACAATTTGCCATGCATAAAATGAATGCCAATTAGACCTGCAGTTTGTAGTCGGTGCATGACAAATTTTCCTGGTCCTGGAAGCGAGTCTGTCATGCGGTTTAGGGCAAAAGAGCTGCCTTCTGTCATGCTAGTCAGCAGTTCAACTGTTGACCCTTACCAGGACTATTATCTGCCTCCCTTGCGTCCTCTGCAATAGAGTCACATTTTGTATCGCATTTTATGCATTACAAGTTATTTCAACTTTGTCGATTTCAACTCTGACACATCCATAGGTCTTCCCCGTTTTGTATTGCCTGCTGATCCGTCACGAACGGACACCGCTTCTTACTTCGGCAAAGAGCGCATACCTGCAGGTGGATGGTTTTAAATTATAATCAAATTTCAAATTTGTGCTTTGTGGAGGAACGCACTACTGCTGAGCAAGGTGGCAAATAACGCAAAACGTGAGTCGCTGCATGTAGTCCCGGCGTGGTCGCCCTTCCAAGGCTATGTAGCGCCAGTACAAGCTCCAGGTCGTCTCGGACCAAGTCGGATCGAAGTCGAACAAACAACACAAAATCTAATATCAAAAGAAAAGCAAATACGTGCGCCAGTCGCTGCTTCATGTTCTTGGACTGTTGCGCCTTCTGGATGCCCAAGTCGTCGTAGGGCGTGAGTAAACGACTGCAGTAGTAACAAACGCAGCGCAGGCAACTGAGTGTCGTTTTTAAAAATCCCCAGGAAAACATGGGCTGCGCGAGCACGATGTGGCCAAAGTGCCCGGGACAGTTGTCCATGTTCATGCTGCAGGTGTCGCAGGGGGTCTGGTAGTCGATGGGGCCCATGCGCGGGTCGTTGAGCCCGCCGTAGGTGGGGAGCCCGCCCTCATAGGTGTTGGGGTTCACCACTTCACACACCGACTGCTGGGTAATTTCGTCCGGGGACAGCACGGTGAACTATCCTGTGCAAAAGTATCGCACTCGTAGGAATCGCAGTTATGCATCACAAATCTCCACTCCAAGGCAAAACAGCATGACAAATTCCATTTGTCATGCTGAGCTAATTTGTATTGCAATTACTACTAGTACGATAATTTTGCAGATCATATGAACCGCACCGCGGCGATCTTCTTGTAGGGCGCCCGGGACTTGGGCACGTCCAGGTCGCTCACCGTCGTCATGGCTGGGTAAAGGCACTTCGACTGGGTGGGAAGATAAAGAAGATACAGAAGCTGGTGTCGGTTGTTTTCTTGCGGAGGTCGGTCGCCTAGGTGGAGGAAAATAAAAACTTCTTCTACCGGGAGATTTTTACTAGATTGCTACTAAGTTCTTGGAAAGAACAAGCGTCGAATGCAAGCGCGGCTCCGCTTTCTCAGCACCTGTTCCTCTTTTCGTCGACTTCGCCCCGGAGGTAGTTCTTGTCCAAGTCCACCTGATTCTAGTACGTTGTGGTACTTACTATCGGGGTCCCCGGAGCCCTAGGACGGCTGCAGTGAATGTCCCACGACGTCGAGGAGGGACAAATTAAAGCCACGCTCATGCTCTTTTCTTCGTCTCATTTTCGATGTGCCAGTACACGGCTCTCTGAAATATTACTAACTTGAGTATCTATTTTCCGTGCATCGGCTGCAGCAATCATGAACTCAAACCATACAATTATCCTTCTGGAGAACTACTACAACCAACTCATATAGCTTCTTCATGCTCGTCGTCACTCTTTTGTCTAAAGAACTTATTAATTTCTCTCTTGGTGTCGCCTGCGTAGTACTACAATTGATTCCATTTTAGAAGCGGTCTATGAATATTCGCCTTGTAGTGCCTTGTTTGTAGTACATGTGTTCGATCTTCATCTTGATGTTGACCCGACGCATTGAATTTCCGCGCCGGTTGGAGCGGAGCGACGACGGACTAGTGGCCGAAACAACACCGGTTCAATTTCACATCAGGCACCCCCGGTGCGGCGTGTCAAAAGAACGTGGATTACGATTACAGCCACACGCACTTCTCAGAAGCTACGAGCTTATGGTCTATTTTTTTAGTTATATCATCCTTGTTTTATTTCCTCCAAACGGATAGATCAGAATCTTGACTCTGCGTCTAGGCAGGGCGATAGATCCAATATGAGGCTGCGATTAACCAAAACACGAGCAGCTGCAGGTGCAGCAGAGATCTTTTATTACACATGTTGGCAGCACTCATTTGGGAGGTCAAAGTCTTTGGAGTTTTATTGCCTAGGATCTCGATCAGGATCAGGAGTATAAGTATAACGATCTAGTTTTATTAAAGGCCTGAATTTTATACGTAGAAACCACAAAGCAAAGGTGAAGAGCATACGGCTCTGATTTTTCAGAACCTCGTGTGCTGCTAAGGGCACCTCCTCTCGTCTATTCTCAGGCAGAATCTCGATTTGGCCGTAGTTTGCAGCAGCAACACATGCTGTATGCTGCAAGCTGCATAACGCAGAATTTTTCTTCAAACAGCATCATTCTGCCCTCCTCTCAGTCTTCACGCAATAGCAGCTTCCGAGAGATGTGGATACTCTGAAAGTCGTGCCGGTAGCAGCAATCCGCTTGATTTGAGTCGTGAGAATTGCATTTCCAGACCGGCAAATGACATCAACCACTGATCGTGATCATCCACAACACCAGATCTACTAATATGAACCCAACAAACTGCCTTCGCCGTCCTTTTCTCGTGCGTTGTTTTTTTTTGCACCAAGCAATAGTCCATCTAAATTTTTGTTGAAAAACTTTATTTCATTTTCCTGACGCAACTGCCTGTGGGTCTCTTTTTGATAATCATCATTATAATTTGTCAATCTTTTCACAGCAGGATGAACGACGAAAATCCGCGATATTTCGTTAATCTTGCTGCTTGCTGTGCGTCAAAGACCACCCCGCAAAGACCGCGAAGAGCTTTTCAGATCATCAGATCCGGAGGACAGCTGCTGCTGTATAAGAGCCAGATCTTCACATACTCTAACACGACAATTCTCATCTGGTCGATCCGCTACGATTTTGATCATCTTGTACTCCTGCAGTTGCTTTTTACACGAGGGAAAAACGAAGATGACCTCTTCTGATTCTCTAGTGTAGTAGCAGGTCTACCAAAAAATTAAGTTAACACATTCTTTAAAGGAACGACTCGTCTCGTACAAAACGTAGACCTCTCTCTCTACCTAGTGGGAGCAGCAGACCATAGACCACGTCGCCGACCTAGAACTCATTCCAGTGTACTAATCATGCGTGGACCAAATCTCGTTGAGCCAAATTGGAATTCACATCGCAAGAAATGCCGAAATATAAAAATAAATGCGGTCTGCACGAGCCCGTAGTTATTGAGTTCCCTTGTTCTTTCGACAAGCTACTTACGGCGTCCCCGCTATCACGAAGGTGAACAGCAGGCAGGCGGTCGCAGAGTTGACGCCCCGAATGGAGTTCCAGTAGGTCCAATTTTTCGAATACGCTGCCCAGGTGTCGTGCGCGCTCTCCAAGTGACCGTTTGGCTCCGGAGTATCAACTGCTGCTGCACAGGTGTCTTCTGGGTCTGGAAGTAAATATAAAGTGGGACTTGTGAAGATGCTTGTCTAGCCAATATCCTGGTGGGGGTGGCAAATGCAAATCAAAATCTGACTGTATTGCATGACCGAAAAGGCACGCCCTGCTTTGCTGTAGTGCATCATGCGCGCCATCTAAGTACCAGAGAGCGTGGTCTTAACAAGTTGTCATGCTCTTTGGCTGAATTCGCAAGCGTTCCGGTCATGCACAATTCCACATCTCCACAAGTTTCCTTCCAGACCGCCTTAAGACATATATTGCATTTTTGCATACGGATTGTACTTCGCCAATTCGTCGTTCATCGGCACGTTGATTCCTGCCGTTTTTTATGCAAGTTCACGACAACAAGAACCTTATTTCCCACAATAATTTGTCGTGCGAAGTACCAAATCTAAACTCTGCCCCATGGCCCTGTTTGCATGAGAAGCTTTTTTTCGGATGAAGCCCAATAAAAAAAAACAGTACTACACTGTATGTGTACAACACTTGTCTTGCGAACACTCGTCTTGCGGAGCCTGCCGTGTGGCTGTTGGTGTCCATATTTTTGCAGAAGAAGTTGATGTATTCGGTCTTTTTCAAATTTTTATGAAGGGAGGGAAAGTTGCACGATACTTTCTCGTACTACTCCGAACTCGCCGATAAACAGGAGGATGCAGCTATCCTGAGTAAAAACGTACCCACACCAGAGTTGTAATGCAGATTTGCAAAGACAGGAAGACTTGTACTGCGCATCCCCATGAGAGCCATTTCCAGTCGTGTTTTGGAATTTGTGATGCTGTGAAGAGGATGAGCAGATGAATCTGTGATGCGGCTGCACTTGCTAACCTGCACTACACTGCATAGTGCAACTTGTCATGCGTGACTCACAAAACTCCTAGGTTTGTGTTGCAAAATCCCCATCCTGACTCTGGTGTGGGTACGTTTTTACTCAGAATAGCAGCCAACGTAGAGCGCAAACGACGTCAGCATGGAATCGGACTCACTTGGCTCTTGCGCTGGCGAGGTGTTGTTCATCGTGCCCTGGGTCGCTACTTGCGCCAACTGGTCACTCCCCGTCATCGTGGGCGTGGTTCCGCTTGTTGAATGAGAGTGCACGAAGACAAACATACAACCCCGCCCCATGATTCGTTAAATGCAAAATACCAAATCTAGTAGCCTTAGACTCGTCGTGGCAGTGTGTGCATGGCAAGTTCCCCCGAAACAGCACTGCATTCTCCGCAACTGGCCGAGTTGTCATGCGATTGCGCCAGCAGTGTTAGTTATCGCCAGAAAAAACTGTTTCACTGTAAACTTGTAATGCAGAAAATGCATCTCGCAAGTGTTTGTGTTGCTACACATGCAAGCCAGTGGATTTTTAGCTGTGTTTTCCCTTAGGAACCTCGCATGGCAAATTTTCCCTGTCATGTAGAACAAACTTGTGATACAAAACCTGCAAAATCCTTACAGTGAAACACTTTTTTCGTACGATATTAGTTGCTGGTGTCTCTGTTGCTGTAGTAAGTTGTAGATACCACTACAGTTCAAAATAACGACGGGGCGGGGGAGTAGGTATTTTCCACCCTCTTATGTCGCTCCTACCGGCTGATACGTGGCGTAGGCGTTCGGTGCGCCGGTTCCGAGCTGCAAAAATCGCAGCTCCTGGAGAACTATGAATTGCAAAAGCATCGTATTCGTATGAATGCATTACAAATTTCCTCAGCATGATGAGAAAGAAAATTTGTAATGCGGATTTGCCTCGGGAACAAGATTTGTAATGCAAGACTTGCATTTATACGAGTACGATACTTTTGCACAGGATAAGAAACAGGAGCACCGCCAGGATGGGGGTGCCCATGAAGACCAGCATAAAATACTCGTTGATAATCACCACGTTGATGCTGTTCATGACGTCAATCGCGACCGTCGCGTCCGGCTGCTCGTTATCAAATGCAAAAATGTCTGGGTCTGGAAGTTCTTGTGATGCTGGCTGGGAAAGACGAGGACGCCTCAATGAATTGACTGGCAAGCATGACAAGTTTTGGAGGTGCTACAGTCTACTTGGCTTTTCTGCATGACACAGTGAGCTTCTGCATGACAGAAAAGTAGGGCTTTTGGCGGTAATTTGTATGACAGACTTGAGGGCGATGTCAGACAAGCATGACAAACTTCCATTCTTCCAGACCCAGACGTATTTGCATTTGATATTCGTCCAAGGCGGGCATCACGCACACCGAGAAAATGAAATACAGGCCCGCCAGCACGCCCGAGCCCAAAATTGTTAACGCGAGGAGAACACTCCGGAACAGTGCTTGTTTTGAGCCCGGCTTCCTTCTGCCCGCCGCCTGCTGCTGCGGGTTCTGGTGCTGGACCAGCGGATCGGCAATGGAGCTCTGCATGTTGGAGTTCGTGATTCAAAAATTGATGCTTTTTAGGTAAGATCAGTGCCACAATCTTCCAACTTCGGAACTCTTCGAGTAGACATGGCAGGGCAGATCACTCCATACTGCAGCTGGACCCAAAATCAAGGGGGCATCGGCAGCTATAAAAACTACGGCTGAAACTGGAGCCGCAGGTGGCCCTTCCGTGACCGTGAGAAAAAAGGCCTATCTCCGATGTCATGGCGGTCACCGTCATCACTACAGATTCCATACCCAACTGCGGTCTTTTCTATACGATGAATACTGAGCGGCCAGGAGCAGAAACCAAACTTGATATTGAAACACCGTCCCTTCGCTCCACCACTTCCTCTCACCAGCTAGAGTAAGTTGCAGTATAAGGATCGACACTCAGAGGAACAGGAATCCTCGCACAATAAGTGCGATACAGTACAGTACACCTGCCCTACAGAGGACCCACCAGAGCGATGTTTTTTAAGAAATTCAGGGGAGAAGTTGAAGTCCTACAAGATGTTGAGGTTAAGGTTAATCACAAAGCAATTTGGATAAAATTGCAGCTCCAGTGTGATAATCTTAGTAGCTTCGCGGATTTGGTCTATAACTCGTTTCTTACTTGATACTTCTACGTGTATGCTCATTTTCAATCCAGGTCCATAAGGCCGCGATTAGTGGAGCTGAATCCTCAACACACCTTAGTGCCTTCGCAAAAAAGAAGTAAAAACTGATGTGGAGTACTAGCCGAAGCTTGCCATCTTTCTGCAAGGCTCTTGCGCGGACAGTGTACTAATGAATTCTCAAGGGGTAACTACCAGAACTTTTGTTCAACGGGGTTACGTGTCGGTCCGGGGTAGAGTGGATTTATTTCATTCTCCGCGAAAGGCTCGTGGGGAGCGGATGGCGTGACTTCTGTCACTTTTTCTTTCGTACTTACAACTAAACGACACGCACTGCATCCGATTCAACGACGCACTTAATTGACGTTGCATACCAAGAAACTACTCAGGAAACTTGGCGACAGGATCTCCATGCGTCGGGTATTAAGAGTGAGCTAATGCTATACATGTCTAGAAATTTCGTGTCTTTTGAATTTTGCATGCGATTGCGAACTTGAACTTGAATTGCGAGCTTGAACAGTACCACTCGCGCTACCAGGCAAACAACATGTTCTTCCAGGGAAGTGTCTGATCCCAACTGCGCAGATCTTCAGTTCAGCGGCCCTCCGGCACGGCCGTACACGACTTGTCACTGTTAACACGACATTTCCAGCCGGGAAAGGGGTTTGGGGTAACGCCGCTTGGTACTGGAGTGCATTGCACATTCGAACCAGGAGAGCTGTTGATGGGTACCATCCAGGCACACTTCTCAAACGCACCACCATTCCCATGGAAGTGATAATGGAGACACGCGCCAACATGAACATGATGATGATCATTATCCGAACGAACGTCTGCTTCAGCATAGGCCGGATCGTACGTGGTGCAACGCGGCCCAAGAGTCATCGTCGGCGTCGGCGTCGTGTTGAAACCGGCCCAGCCTTGACCAGAGAGAGGTCCACGACACCATGGGTATCCTTTGGAAGCACCGTGAAAGACTTGCAAGAATCCTACCGGTTCTCCCAAGCCATTGAAGGATTGCATCTTGTTCGTGGCGCTTCCCGCAGTTTTGCCTGTTGCAGACGAAAAGAGCAATTAGTATTGATTGGTTTGAGATACATTCGGTTCACGATAAAGTGCCACAGTATAAAAAATTCTGTGCTGGTCTATGCGAGTAGATCTGCTTTGTGCAATCACTTGTAGCGGCCCATCACCAGCCCGCACGACCAGGCGTGAAAAAATATTCTGTACCTGCCCGGTCCTCCATCATCTTGGAAGTGCGCGGGGAGTGGACGATGCCAACCGCACCCCCCCCCCCTTCGCGACCGACTTCTCCGCCATCTTCTGGCCGTCGGTCCCTTCACTGCCCTGCTTCAAAGCGGCCGCGACCTGCGCGCCGGCGAACAAGGTGGTAGTCTTCTTCGGCATGATTTGGCTTCTGATCTTTTACTTCCGACTGCAGATGATGTACTTCGAGGTTAAGTTTTCGAACCACAAGTAGTGGCTGTTGAGGAAGTTGCTGTGAAGTAAATTGAGACGAGGGTCAACTTCAGAAGAATGGCCCTTCACGATCAACGCGAAAAAACAGTATGTAATCGTCTGCGACTGGCAGCGAGCTGCACTTTACAAATTTCCTGCACTTTGTTTGAAAAAAAGATAAAGGTCGACAGCTATCGGGATCATGAATCGAGATAAGGTTAAAGCTCGATACAATTCTTTATTACCGGGGTGGCCATAAGGGGCAGAACGAGCTTGAACGAAAACGATTGCCTCGAGTAGGGACGTACCACGTGTGAAGCTAGAGACTTTCACGCCCTACCATCGGTGCACGTACGAAAATAAAATTCTGCTGCATATAAAACGCGTGTAGTTCTTCGTCTTCCTTGCGAATCATGCAATCTTCTCTATTTTTGTGCAATAGTTCTGGCTGGTTAGTGTTTCCCGGTACCGCAGTCTATGGTACTTCGGGACCCGGACGACCACGACAAAGGCACTTACGAACAGAGACAGCCTCCACGTCACTGTGTGTACTTAAACTAGCGTGCTACCCTTCATGGTACGATGAGCACGACGATTCGAAAGCATCTACTGCACTGACGTCTCCCACTGTAAACAGAGCGAGGCTCCTTTCAAATAAAGCTATGCAAAGCAATATTAAAAGACCGATGAAACAAGGACGTTTTCATTCTGTTTCCAAAAAGACAGGCTGTTGTTGCTTTCACGATTCCATAGTTTATATATATTTTATGACACGACTAAAAATGCCTGTTTGAACAACTTCGCCATCACGCCACAACAAGAGCAGGAAGTTATTTGGAGCGCCAGGACGAACCCCGCCAAGGCGGATAAACAAGCACTTCTGAGGCCGACAAACTAGATGCCTGATGCCAATCACTAAGCACTTTGATTGTCCTACGCGTAGCAACAACAGCAGGAGATGATGTACTTAACATCTGCGGCTGTCGCTTCTTTTTTTCCATTCCCCTTGGTGGACAGCACATTGAAATTCACAAGTAAGTATCACGCGACAAGTTTTTGCAACCCGCCAGCGCATCGGGTTTCTAAGTAAGTGCCGGTAAAAATCGTACTTCTCCAGCCATAATGTGCTTGTGTGCAACAATACCACTGCCATTCGAGATTCGTCTGGTGCATGCCTGCTCCCCACTTTGCGACAAAAATAAAAATATCAGTCACTCCTCAGGATCGCGCGACTTCTATTTTTAGGTGAACAGATATATACCGACCTGCTACGTCCCCGTAGCAACAAAACTTCCACCTCACCTTCGCCCGTACAGATCCCAGACGCTGTTCATCATACTGAAAAGCGACCCTACCCCGGACACACCTCGGCAGCATTACATTTGCATTTTTCCTATGGAGACACTCCCTGTCCTGCACATCCTAGCAACACAGATTTTATTCGATACAGGATTGTAGCCGTGAGAGTCCGCTCTACAAAAAGGGATAGAAAGCGCGGAGCCTGTCATGGGCGAAATGCGTTGCGCACGACTCTTGATCATGAAACCCAGTGTCCACCTTTCACGCAAGACAAAAGAACGCACCACTAGAACCCTGCGCAACATCTTCACAAAGAACATTTTCTTCCTTCCGCCTCTACTAGGGAGCGGGGCACCGGCACTTTTCATCACGATACTGTTCTGCAGGTAGTATTTCGCTTTGTTTTCCGGCAGTAACCACTGGTCCAGTCGTCCCACCGCAGCTGCGTCTCGCCACGCATCCAAAAACTGCAATCGGATGGATATTTCCCCTTGGGGACGACTCGTAACCGGACCAGGAGTAGTCGCTACTTTACTTCTGCTTTGCATTTGCTCTTGTTCATCGAGAAATAAAGTTGTGGTGGAACTACATGTCACGTGCTGCAGCTATCCTGAGTAAAAAAGTACCCACACCAGAGTCAAGATGGGGAATCGGCTAGACAAATCCACAAGTTTTGGTTGTTTTGCATGACAAATTTGGATTCGTAGTGTAGTGCTGTTTGAGCTAGCTCAGCAGCATCACAGATCTAGCATACCATGCTGATTGGAGCATGACAAATTGCAAAACACGACGAGACAATGCTCCTCATGGAGCTCCGCATGAGAAACATTTCCAGCATGCAGATTTGCATTACAACTCTGGTGTGGGTACGTTTTTACTCAGGATAGCAGCAGCGGCTTCTTCAGCGGAATGTCGTCGGCAAGTGGGAGTCTGAACACATATGGATTGTAAAAATGTCTGGGTCTGGAAGAATGGAAGGTCTGTCATGCTCTGCCAGCATGACCCCAAAGTCTGTCATGCACGTTACTCAAGAGCCACGTTTTTTTGTCATGCAGAGACGCAGTTTGTCATGCAGATTAGGCAACACCTCGAAGCTCAGAAACTTGTCATGCTGAGCCTGCACTTGTGACCGCCTCATGATACGCCAACCAGCATCACAAGTTTCCAGACCCAGACATTTTTACATTTGATAACACATAGTCCGGCACGACCTTCCCGGCGCCCTGCCTCGTATCAAATGCAAAAGTGTCTGGGTCTGGAAGAATGCATGTTTCTCATGCTTGTCTGGCATGACTCTCAAATCTGTCACGCACGTTACCCAAGAGCTCCACTTTTCTGTGATGCAGGAACGCAGTTTGTCATGCAGAATAGGCAACACATAGAAGCTCAGAAACTTGTGATGCTAAGCCAGCATTTGTGGCCTCATCACGAGACGCCACCCAGCATCACAAGTTTCCAGACATCCAGGGATTTTTACATTTGATACCTCGCTACTTCTTGCAAATCCACGACGCAGCGGCCGAGAAACTCCAGGTCGGCGGCCATCCTCAGCAAAAACTTCCCCACCCCGGAGGTGGAATGCAAATGCGCAATGATAGGAACATTTGTAATGCGCATCCCCATGAGAGGCATTTCCAATCGTGATTTGGCATTTGTAATGCTGTAAACAGGATTAGAAATAATTGGCTTTCTCATACGGCTTGCCTTGCTAAGCACCACTTTACTACAGACGGAAACTTGTCATGCACAATATTTTTTTTTTATTGGCCCGCTATTGTGCTTTTTTTCATCATTCGTTATCTATTTTTTTTTTTTCAGCGGACGGGTGCGATCTCTGAAATGTGAAGGGTGCGACACAATTCACATGCCAGGTTACGCGGGTATACGGCAGTTTTTCCCGATTTGAACTTGTCATGCACAATTCCCAAAGCTTGCCGATTTGTCTAGCAGATTTCCCATCTTGACTCTGGTGTGGGGACGTTTTTACTCAGGATAGCGGCCCCATCGGCAGGGCCGAAGGAGGTCGTCGTGGTATCATCAGGCCGAGACCAGACGGTGAGGTAAATGTAGGAGACGTTCAGCACGTCCAGAAAAAACTGGTTGTGGCTTGCGTGAACAGGTATACCCAGGTAGAAGGTCGGGTGTTACACAATCTCAAGCATTACAGGACAAGATTTCAGAGAACAACAAGTGTGTTGAATTATATGAATCCTAGAAGTCCCACTCTCTATGCATGATTACCCAGATGAACTATATGGCCTGTCGTGCGTTGGGTAGAAGTCTAGCATCACCACATTTTTTTGCTTTGATTGTAACACTTGAGATTGATTGTTGCAACACCTGAGCAGACCATATAGTGCTGCGAATGCAACAGACCAGGTGCCGACAAAGCATTGGCCCCTCCAAGATGTTGCTGTACGAGTTGCGAGTTCTTTGCTGTCGCTGCTGTGGTCGAAGTTGCTGTCGTGGTGGCTGCAGAAGCAACTGCCCTATTAACCGTGTTGCTCGTCTTGAGTTCCTTCGGCTGGTGGTGGAGCGTGGCCTGGTTCAGGTCCTTGTTGCGCTTCGAGTTCGACGCACCACCATCCAAAGGGGACGACGTTGGCCCTAGTACAGCTGTACTATAATTGCTGTCGGCATTAGTCGCAGCACTGAAGTCTGCAAAGTTCGCAATTCCCAGAACCGTGTTGGTCTCCAAAATCCTGGGGTTTCCGCGATCGCACTCAATCCGCACGAAGGGATTTCTTGGTGGATGAACTTGTGAGCAAATATTTGCCGCTGCCGATTTATTTCTCTGCCTCCCGTTTGACGGGGCCGAAAAGGACCCGGCGTTTTTGCAGCTGCCGAGCTTTACGCTGAGAACCTCGATCCGCAAGCAGTAGCTGCGTTTCTTGCGCAGCATCCGGCGCTCCAAAAACCGCCGCACGTTTGACTGGATGCGTACCGCGGTTTTCTCGCGCAACAGCCGCCGCGCCTTCTGCTCCTGCAGGTTGCTCACGAATCTTTTCACCCGGCGCAGCGCCAACTTTTGCACGGGCTGCAGAAAGCACTCGGACACGTCCTTCGCAACCACCGTCTGCACGAAGGCCTGCAACTCTCTCTTCGAAGTGCCGGCGGTGGAAAACGGGCGGGAGTGCAGGGAAAAGTCAACTAGCGCGTCGTACTGCCACTGCAGTGCCTCGTATCAAATGTAAAAATGTCTGGGTCTGGAAGGATGCAACTTGTGATGCTATTTTTGGAAGCTGAAAAAATTTGCATTGCATGACCAGCAAGAGGACCCCAGTTCGTGCTACGTGGAGAGGGTATTTCTCATGCGGAATAGGCTTCAGGAGGGGTTCTAAAAATCTGTGATGGTAGGACATGCATTACAGGCGTCATGGGTCATGCGAATTATGCATGACAAGTCTTCCAATCTTCCAGACCCAGACATTTTTACATTTGATACCTCGTCGTGTTCCGCAATACGCTTCCGTTCCGCTTTTCCAGGGATGGTCTCGACGAATCGTGTGCTTTGAGAACTCGCAGGCAGAGGATCATGATGAATCGCGACGGCAAGAACGCCATCCTCTTCATCTGCGCTGGAGCAGGTACCCGAATGGTTAGTATTTATTCCACTGTCGTGGTCGACAGCTTCTTGTGGCAACAACAGGGTACTATGCTTGCCGCTCTTGCCCGGTACTAGTTCTACTGCGTCGCCACGTTCCTGTCCCTCGCAAGACGTGCTGGCGGCCGACCCTACCACTAAATCCTCCGCGGATGATGTTGAGGCAGCTCCTACGCCAGAACTCGCGGTCGCCGACTTTCGCAGGGTCGTTCGCAGGTTATTGCGCGCGGACACAGCCGGTAGATCCCAGAGCGAGGAGGGGGGCCCCGTCGGTGAAGAAGATGGAAAACTGCTCTTCTTTGCATGCTCTTCATTCCACTGCACGTCGAAGAACGTCTTCCGTTTCTTGAGGCAGCTGCAGGTGACGAGGCAGGTCAGCAATTTCTTCAATGCGCTCGGGGAGTGGAGAATTCCGTATTCAAACCGAGGCCAAAACGCCAGCGCGAGATATCCAAGAAAAAGACGCTGCTAGTGTAAATTTGTGATGCTAAAACAACCGCGCCAACATTGCCATTGCCATTGCCATTGTGTAAACTTGTGACGCGCAACATGCAAGATGATTGCGTCTGTCATGCTTGGCATGCATTGTAGGGCCCATTAAAGGGCGTTTTCGCGTACTATCTGCGCATGACAGGTTTTTGCTGTCATGCCAGACAGATTTGTAATGCTGTTCCTCCAAAAAAGTTACTCCTACAACGTTTTTTTCTTGGATACGAGAAGCACGGTTACCACAGTGTTCACCAGTAGGGAGATCAGCACTTTGAATTCCCTTCGCACCGGAAAATCGGCGGGGAAAATCTCGTCCAGGAGCACCGAGTTGGTGGAGTTGGCGGCGAAGAGATCTTCTCCACCTGCTCCTGTTGCGTTTAGAACAACAACTCCGTACGCGACCACACCCGCAGACAAAACCCACAACAAAAGCGAAAATCTTCCCCAGAAGGACCGCCGCAAAAAGTGCTTCAGTTTGGCTAGCACACGCTGGTGGTCGTCCTCTGAGGGTCGCGATGTGAGGAGGGTAGAACTAGAAGTTGTTTTGTTCAGCAGTTTATTTATCCTTTCAGCGGCAGGAGCATCGAAAGACACATGATGCCGCTTCGTCACGGTCGTAGTACCCAGCCGCAGCCACAACGGGTCGAAGTAGAAGCGGTGCGAGTACAGCTGTTGTTCTAGTAGAGAAAGGGATATTAGTGCCGGTTCTCGCGCTCCTAGTACTGCGCCCATGTTGTTGGTGCTTCTGCTTCCACACGAGGGAGGCGCTACCACGAGCCGGGGTTTTATCAAATGTAAAAGTGTCTGGGTCTGGAAGATTGGAACTTGTGATGCTGCATTTGGATCGCAAAAAAATCTGTATTGCATGAGCAGCAAAGGGAATGTGATTTTTGCTACGCGGAGATGGCATTTGTAATGCGGAATAGGCATTAAGAAGCCCTCAAAAAATCTGTGATGCTAGGGCACGCATCACAGACATCAAGACTCATGCAAAACCTGCATGACAAGTCTAGAAATCTTCCAGACCCAGACACTTTTACATTTGATAGGTTTGTACCGCAGCTTAAACAGTGCGTAACTGATCACGGCAGACGCGACAGTGTGTTGCAGAAACCCCGTCCGCTCGGGGACAACACTGGAGATGGGGGAACGGTATGCGTTGAAACTGTGTCTGCGTGTAGTGTCTGAATTACGTGCTGCAAAGCGCTTCAAGAAGAAAGAATTAGAAAACAACGCACATCAGAGTCCTGAAGAAGGGCCCCCTTCAATAAAAGAACGTTGCAACATGCTCGATCATCGATCGCGTCCTCAGGCTGCGATGGTGATAGAATCTTTGATCCGAAACCTCCAACAGCACATGCAAATTTGAAGCATGATTATATATTCGATTCCTGAAGCAGGACACCACTGCACGTCGCAAGAACCACGACCACAGTAGTTGCAGTTGCTCTTGATAGATTGGAGCTTGACAGGATGTAGCCCGTAAATCCGTGCAGGAGAGCGACGAAATGTGCACACAGAAGAAGCTGCAGCAGGTTCCAAGTGGTGACGCCTGAACGTTCATTGTCGTCGTGTGGATCAATGCACAGCAGAAATTCATTGAAAATCATGAGTGCAAGAGCTTGCCCTTCTGTATTTTCTTCTTGTATGTAAGTCAATGTAGAAAGAAGTGAAAGGATCAGACGCATGCTAGCAAAAGAACTTTCCACCTACGTAAAATCATCTAAATTACCGCTGCACCCGCCGGCGGGCTGTGCCACAACGACCGCGGTAACCACACGCCGTAACCGAGAGAAAAGACCTGCTCGGCAGCCCTATCCTGAGTAAAAACGTACCCACACCAGAGTTGTCATGCAGATTTGCCATGACAGGAACATTTGTGATGCGCAACCCCATGACAGGCATTTTCAATCGTGTTTGGGAACTTGTAATGCTGTAAACAGGATCAGCAGATCGATTTGTGATGCGGCTTTCCTTGCTAACTTGCACTACCTTACGGACTGAAACTTGTCATGCGTGACTCACAAAACTCCTAGGTTTGTGTTGCAAAATCCCCATCCCGACTCTGGTGTGGGTACGTTTTTACTCAGGATAAGCCCGTGCGCGACACCCACCCGACATCCAGATGGCGGGCGCGGCGGCGAATCACATGCAGGCCGTTATCCAAGTTCACCTCGAAAAAGATAGCAAATGTAAAAATGTCTGGGTCTGGAAGATTGCAACTTGTCATGCTGTTTTTGGACTCTAAAAAAATTTGTATTGCATGCCCAGCAAGAGGGGCGCAGTTTGCGCTACACGGACAGGGCATTTCTCATGCGGAAGGTGCATCAGGAACCCCTCTAAAAGTCTGCGACGCTAGGTCATGCATTACAGGCATCATGGGTCATGAGAAATATGCATGACAAATCTTGCATTCTTCCAGACCCAGACATTTTTGCATTTGATAAAAGACGCCTGCGAGCAAAATTACCTCGGTGAGGCTGCAGGCTTATGCAAAGACAAAAATGTTACAGGTGTTACACACATGGTCTAGAATGCAGACCGAAAAAAAAAAACCACGTCTGTCCTGAAGGACATTAGGCTCGGAGGTCTAAGTAGCTTCATGGGTGGCTCTTTCTCTGATGAGCTCTGTCTTGCAAGTTTTCGCTGTCATGCAGAGATGATGAATTTGCGTTGCTGAAGTTACAACAAAGGTGTATTTGTAACACTTTTGTCTTGGGATAAAGCTACGAGAAAAACCGATACGGGGGAAAGCCACGATTTTTCTGCCATAATTTTTCTTCTTCAACTTCTACACCTACCAGACCCGCCGTCTCTAGGCTCCTCGGGCCATCGCACTCTGTCTTTGTCCCTAGAGGAAAACATGCATCAAGCAACAAGTTCTTCCAACTCTAGGAAACGGAACGAGTCCGAAAATGCATGGCAATGCTCAACATTTGTCACTTTCAAAATGAACCGGCAAAACGCCGCGCTGCGACAAAAGACCGAGCTGACTCTACTTTCATCTCCACGAGAACTAGAATCGATAGGGTGCTGCCCGCACCGCGCACGTCGTGGCACGACAGTGCTGAAAATGTTGGTAGCGAGCGAGTGTTTTCTTTTTTCTTTTCGTCCGTTTCGAAGTCAGCAGCCGATTCCGCATAATAAATTCAATTCTTCTTGTTTAATAAGTACCAGGCCCAGCAACTTCCAGCGGTCTGTGGCGCAGCCCCCCGGGAAAAGCTGTCACTAGTTCTCGCAATGACAGCACACACCTTCGGAAAGGTGGAAGACAAAAAGTAGAAAAAGGACTTTGGAAAAAGCACAACTCGGTCAGTGTCAACATTTGCGATGAAGCAGTAGAGACAAGAACTTTGTTTGACTAGAGTAAAAATTCTTGAACATGTTGTCAAGTTGTACAGCACTAAATGACAAGTATACGTTGTACACGACTATCGCAGGAGCTCCCAAGCCTGACCCACACTCTTGCTTGCTTCCGACAGGAAATCGGCAGAAGCATGCTCATACACTTGTTCGATCCTAACTTCTGAACGGAGCGCGGTCGCACACCACGTCAGGATCTTAACCCCGGAATTTCCAGAAGTGCCGCAGGACGGAAAACTTCTAGGTGCCGAAGTAGCTCTATTAAGGGCGTACAAGAGAGGTAGATGAGCCCGGTCAGTACAATCGTAATCGTAATCCATAAGCAGAAATAAGTACTAAGAGTATCAATGAAGATCGCGTCGACATTTTTTGACTTTTTGGAGATAATATTACCGAAGGTCGCGCTACTAGAAAAATGTGCTTGAGTTGTACAGACGCAACAGTAGAAGTAAAGAGCAGCACTAGTGGTGTAGTACAAGAAATGCTATCAGGTACATTTTAAGTAACTGGCTCGTAGACGTAGACTATGAGCGTGCACAACTCCCCTTCCCCCTCACTTGTGTGGTCGATTAACAGCAAAGCAAACACCAGCACACGTGGAGTTCGTGCATAAGAATTGTGCTGTTTGGGCTTCCGGATGAGTTCGGGATGCAAACACTGCCAACGCAGCAACTAGATTGTGCATTTTGCATGACGAATGAAGGGGGCGCCGGGGAGTAGTTGTGCATTCCGATATTAGAACTAGAAGCTGAGCTCGACATATTGAAATAGTGGGACCCTTACCAAATATAGCCGCCGAGGCGGGGGTAGTGAGGTCAAGCGGGGTTTTTTTGACTCGACGACGCCGGGTCTTTTTGCTCTTTCCACAGGAGAAACGCTCTCCCGCACGCTATGGCCCCACGAGGGCTTCCGCCAGGGTCGGCCCTGTGGGCCGCCCACATCGGGCCCATAGCATGCGGGCTGGCTTGCTGCATTTGGCGGGATTTGCGTCCTTTGGTTTTTTTTGTTGAAAAGCCGCGCCCCTGCCGCCTCCTGAATCGAAACGCCTTCCCGCATGCTATAGCCACCCCCGGGCCTCCACCAAGCCCGGCCCCATGGGCCCCCAAAATTGGGCCCATAGCATGCGGGTTAGCTTTTAGCTTTTGGCGAGCTTTCCGCTTTTTGTTGCTTTTTGTTGAAAAGTCGCACTTTTTGGATTGCTCCCCGCATTACAAATGCCCGACTTTGGTGGCCGTCTTTGCGACCTCCGAAAGTGGCCAAAAATGGTGGCCATAGCATACGGATTCGCCGCTTTTGTCGTCTTGGCATTTTTTCGGCGCCCCTTTTTGGGCGCCCCAAATCGGCGGAATCAGGTGCGCTGGGCGCCTCAGAATGGCGCCCCTTTTGCTGGCTCCTCTGCGTCGTTTTTTCAAGCGGCGACCGATAGAATCCGCTGGCGATTCGGTGCCAGGTCAGCCAGGGCCGCTTGATAAGTGGAGACTTTTTTCGTGCAAAAAGCCGTCCGGCCGCTTGAAAACTGCCGGTCGTTTTGCTGTCTTGGTGGCAAAAAAACTCCCCGGTTAGAACCGTTCGGTGACCTCACTACATACAAATTCTCTTTCTTAAGCGATTCCCCCTATCATGTCCCAAACCCGTTGTCTGTGAGCCACTTCGCTACCTCCTCGTGGGTTGCGGCCTTTTTTGTGTATCGCTCGAAAAAGTTGTGAGTCACTGTAACGATATTTTGCAGGACCTGGCGCCTCAGCACACGTTCGTCTTCATGCATCACAAACAAACAAAGTCTCAAATGCGTACCTCTCATACCAAAGAAACACGGCTAAAAATGATCCTCTGTCTGGCATTTCTAGCAAGACAAAACGCGTCTGTCTGATGATGTTGTCCAGCCCCCCCAGTTTTATCTTGGCAGTGAATCAGTTTCAGTAGTTTTCACTTGCGATATTATGAACGGCAACTGCAATAAATTATCCGCACCCAGCCGCACGAATCACATAGAAAAGCGCACCCCTAGCATTTCCGACTATGTGTGTTGTGGTAGTTTTTACCTTCTTCTCGCGAAAGCTTCTTGAAGTGGCTGTGCAGCATGACAAGTTTTTTGGCACCCGAACCCCTCCACTGGTACTTGCGTATGATTGCAATTGCAGGTGACACAGCACCACAAGATTTTTGTACTCGCAGGACCAATAAGTAAGTCGATACAGCAACACAAGTTCTTTTTTTTTTTGCTGATCATTAGATGGGTGTACAACTTTTCTGTGTGATAGGAAGGTTGTATCGCGCACCAGCGCTTTTTCGATGAATTCGCAAAGTTCAGGAGAATACCTGTGGTTGTACAGAATCGTATAGGAAGGATGAATGCATAAGTTTAAGTGTTCATATTCCAAACTACGGTGGTTCCCTTTGACACTGCGTTTTTGATGTTCAATCATTCAAATGCATTTGCTTTTTTGCATTTAAGTCAGTACGTTTCCTTGTCCAGCCGGGGCTCCTGTCGAGTGCAGAGATAGTCGAACAGCACGGGAAATGAGGTTATGTTCGGGAAGGGGTACTGTCGCGTCGCAAGCTCGTAGATGACCATCCCCACACTCCATATGTCTGAGGCGTAGCTGTATCGCAAGAAAAAAGTGTTACAGTGACACATTGCGTTGCAAGACCGGCAACACAGACAACCTCTCTCATGCAGGAAATGCTTGGAAGCCTCGTTTCCTTCCTGTTTTCCCTTATGATCTTCGCATTACAAGTTTTCTCTGCCACACAGAGAAAATTTGTGATGCAGAAACTCCAACAAATGTGTCACTGTAACACTTTTTTCTCATGATAAGCTGTAGTCTTGGCCTAGTGCGCGTTCCGGGGACATGTACGTCGCAGTGCCGACAAACCTACAAGATGATCGGTTTCTTCATCCAATTCGCATCACCGCAAAAGGGCACAAGTTGCAGTGTCGCACCGCATCACAAGATCTAGAACGCAGAAACAGTGCTTGATCATATCAGATGACAGACGATAGATCGCCGAGATACTAGACAGATAATATCGTAGACAGCCTCGGCCTCAATCGATGAGCAGCAAGGTGAGGAACTACAAGAAAAACAGAAAACTATATATACGTCGCTGCCATGGCTACGGTCGAATTCAAGTCCCTTGATATCCCGAAGTCGGTGAGCTTCACGTGCCCCGTGCTGTTCATCAAAATGTTCTCTGGCTTTATGTCCCGATGCAGCATCTTCTTTTTTCCGTGAAGATGTGCAAGCCCGAGCAGGACGTCTTGCGCTATACCTGTTGTAGTAGTTTTTTGGATAACATAGAAGTCGATACATTGGCTGTCCAAGTAGCATGACAAGTGCCACTGTTTTGCATTTTCTGCATCACAGACTTATCCAGGTAGTTGTACTTGCGAGGATTTTTTCTGGCACCCCCTTGACGTCGGCGGGAAGTCTCTTCTTGACGTCAGCCGGATATTCTCTGCAAATTTACCGCACACGACGAAGCAAGACTGCGGCCCCCGAAAGACAGCGCCACTTTCCTCTCTTTATTTCACATGACACTTTGCCTCTTCGCTTCCGGCGGAGGTTTGCAATATATTCTCATACATGATGTTGCACTGCGGTACACGTTCTGTTGTACGGTAAATTTGTAATATTGCATACCAGGCTACCGCGGTCCATGAGTTCCAGTGCCACGTGTACGGCGCCGGTGTTTTTCGCGACGAAAGCTGCGTACCACTGGACTAGCTGCGGGCAGCCCTGGGCATTTATGAGTCCCTTTATTTCGTTCAGCATCTGCTCTTTCTTCGCCTTCGCGTCCACTTTTATCGTTTTTATCGCCACCGGCGTCCCGGTGGGCTTGTGAATGCCCTTTTGCACGATGCCGCACGGTATGCGATTGGGAAAAATATTTTTCAAGTGGCGAAAGGGAGATGTAAATGAAATCACTATGTAAATTGATTCAACATGCGACAACTGATCTTTTAAGGCCATCGACGTTCTGCTTAGACTGCAGAATATTGATTGCAACAAAACATAGCAGATAAAAAACTACACATCCTTCGGTGTGTCTTCCTACATCGGTCGGTGCAAAAGGTCCTGCAGAAACTACAAATCTAAAAAAAAAAATCTCCTCTTCACAACCTTGAACCATAGTAGGGCTGCATTTCATACCGGCGCCGTGGCCCTATCACAGTGAAAAATGCCCCCCACCCCAAATTGCAAGAATTTGTGATGCGAAGTTTCCAAATGAAAGCTTTTTGTCATGCATGAAAGGAGTGCGAATCTTTCTGATGCAGATTCTAGTCGTGTTTCGCATCGCTTGCATGACAAGCACCGCTCTTGCTGGGATCTTTTGCAATACAAATTTTTGCTATTCACGATCGGAAATCCGTGATGCTGATACACGCAAGAGGGCGAATGTTTCATTTGGAAAGATTTGCAATACAAATGCTTTCAAGTTCGGGGGTGGGGGCATTTTTCATTGTAATAGGCCCAGCATGTTGTCCTCTAGCTCTATGTCGGCGGGCGAGAGCTTATACCTGTGTATATGTACTTAAGTCAAGTCTCAACATATCATAATCTGTACTGCCCATGCGCGCACGTCGATGATACGCAGTTCTGTCATGCGAACAAGTTCTCCGTTGATCAGACCACGAATCTAAAAGAGTGAGTTATCAAATGTAAAAATGTCTGGGTCTGGAAACTTGTGATGCTGGGTGGCGTCTCATGATGAGGCCAGAAATGCTGGCTCAGCATCACAAGTTTCTGAGCTTCTAGGGGTTGCCTGTTCTGCATGACAAACTGCGTTTCTGCATCACAGAAAAATGGAGCTCTTGGGTAACTTGCATGACAGATTTAAGAGTCATGCCAAACAAGCATGACAAACATGCATTCTTCCAGACCCAGACATTTTTACATTTGATATGAATACTGTTGCCCATCCATCTGCACGCCGCCCTCCGCGGATATCTTCATTATGCATTGCAAATGTGTCTGGGTCTGGAATTTGTCATACTTGTCTGAAATGGCTCTGAAATCTGTGATGCACAACGACCGGAACAAGAAGACCTAGACCACTCTTGCCTGTCGTCATGCAGAGCCGGTGATTTTCCATCATGCGAAATACGCAACAGAAAGCAGCTCGGCATTTATCATGTTTCGATGCGTACTTACTGAAATTAAGTATGCGCCCCCCCCTTATACAGCCTTGCATCGAGACCCAGACACATAATTTCCACCTGATATTCATCCCGCTGGGTCGATGCTCGATGCTCCCGTCCGCTCCGACGGACCACTATCGAAAGGACGAAAGTTCCCCCCTCCCCATATCAAAACGAAGTCTCTGATGCCGGATTTGTGTACACAGATCCGGGCTGTCTTGCTGGAGAGCACTGCAGGCCCATATCAAGTCTGAGTAGAGAGGTTTTGGCGTAGGCGCTTAGCATAACAAACGTCCGCGCTGTAGGCCCAACAGCATGACAAACCGCCTGCGCAATGCGGCGGCTGTCTGCGGAGTTGCCTTCTTGCAAGACAGACACGACTTGTGGCCACAAATCAGCATCACAGATTTCCAAACGTGTACCTTTCCAGTATGAGGAGGGGGAATTTTTCCTTTTGATAACCACGTCATGGACACCGTGTCCTCCGGCTCCACGTCCACACAAAACTGCAGCTTCGGCGGGGGCATTTTTTCGTCCAGCTTTTTGAAGATGTAAGGACAATGACGAAAGAAGTTCTTTAGCAAAGAGTCGACGATCGACGTCGTCCACTCTTTATTCACCTTCCTTGTGGTGCATTTAAGGTTCGAGTAGGCTCACTTGGGTCGAGTAGCCGTCACGACCACTGGCGGAGACGTTGACTACTGGACAAGCGCCAGACAGAGGACCAAGTCGGGCATTTTTTTGGATTTCTTTATTCACAGCTTCATTCTTAAGAATCTACATGAGCCTCCTGCAGAAAAATGGATGACGAAGTACAATACTTAAGAAGTACAACGAAAACAATCTACAGAAGTGGAAAAAAAAGCGTTCGTAGATTCTGTGAAGCAAAAACCCTCAAAAATGCCGCCACTAGGTAACACAAACGTTGCTGATGCCAGCAGCAACATCAATCGCTCTCAAGTAAAAATCACTTCTCGCTCATTCTCAGGAAACCGCGAGGACAGGAGGTGGCGGAACTACTAATCCCCCCGTCCGTGGTCCCTTCGTGTTCGTCGCTCAGCTAGTAATGAACTCCTACCAGGTTCACGTCTACTTTAGGTAGGAGTAGGACGCACAAAAAAGAAAGTCATATCACCGTGCCAGTAGCGCTCAAAGACAGAGAACAGAATTACGCAAGAGCTGACCTGCGACACGTTGTCGCACTAGGCTTGGATAATTGCCCTTCTCCCTACCGGAGGCAGGAGCGTAGTGGTAGGTGATGATACTTTTCCATCTCAAGATGAATCAATCAAGTGCCTTTATGTATTGGTCGCTATGAGGTAGTGTCGTCAGTGGTGGAGACAGAAACCCAACATTGAAAAATTACGGGTCGAGAGGTGGTCGATGCCGTACGATTTTAGGCCTGCATTTTATGTACCTCAGGCTCAGATCGCACGGCAGCCAGAGTTGCATTATTCTATGGCCCCGCTCAGTCTCGCTCCAAATTATCTGTGAGACCCTTTTCCTATGAAATGCCAAAATGTCTGGGTCTGGAAGGATGCAAGTTTGTCATGCTTGTCTCACATGACTCTTGAATTTGTCATGCACATTACCCAAGAGCCCCATTTTTCTGTCATGCAGAAACGCACTTTTTCATGCAGAATAGGCAACACCTAGAAGCTCAGAAACTTGTCATGCTGAGCCAGCACCTGTGGCCTCCTCACGATACGCCACCCAGCATCACAAGTTTCCAGGCCCAGACATTTTTGCATTTGATATTTCCAGCCGCGCGCCCCGGGATCTGAGCACGGTTTTTAAGTCCCGGTCTTGCTCCAGAAACGCGGTTATGCATCGCAAAAGTATCAGAATCCTGCTTGCAGTAATTGCATTTACAACTTTATTGTGTCGCTTAGTCGATGAAAATATAGAGTTTGTCATGCTGATGTACTCACTTACAACTACCTCAGAACCCGAACACTTGTCATGCAAATTGCGATTACTACCAGTAATATCGGATACAATACTTTTGCCATTCATAGCGTTTTGCGCGAGGCGGCCGACGAAGCCCATTTTTCGCTGGTCCAACTCGCCCTGCTCGACCTGGTCGTGCATCTTTTGGCGTTCCAGGTCCTCGAGTCTCTGCTTTTTCTGTTCGAGCTCCTCCATTCCCTGCAGCTGCTTCTTCTTGTTCTTCTCGTACTGATCCCCCGCGTTCATCATCTCATTCAACCGTCTTTGCTTTTCCTCTGCGGACAGCTGGTTCGCGGTGTTGCCCGCGTAATTCCGGTTGTTTCGTTCCTGCTCGCGCTGCTGCCGCTCTTCAAACGCGTTCAACTTCCCACCCGCCCTCTGCTGGCCCCCGCCGAACAGGTCCGCGTGCTTCCGTCGCAGCGCATCGTCAGGAGCGGAAGTAGAAGTAGCCGCCGGGTAGTTGTTGTTCTGGTGGAGGTCTTCACGAGCAGACCTAAGTCCACCCGCTGATGTCGTCCCTCTGCGATGATCGTACGTGGCGCGATGATCATGGTGATCCGCACTGTAATTCGTTTTTCCGACCGGGTCGTCGTGCATCCGCCGTCGGTTGCGTGAGTCCCCGCGTTGGGGTCGGGGTCCTCGTCCTCTGTCGTCATAATGCTGCTTGCCGTGGTGGTCTCGCTCCTCTCGCCGAGGATTTCTCCGCCCACGGCTGTCACGCCTTGACCTCGACCTCCGCCTGGACCTCGACCGGGAGTAGCTTTTCCTGTGCGCCGCGCCGCCACGGCCTCTTTCGCCACGTTCGCGCGGGGGCGAGGAGGACGTTTTTTGCTCTTTCCTCTGCTGGTCTACTCCACCCCTTTCGGGCGACTTCCCGCGTCCTCGGGCAGGAGCCTCTTCCTCTTTCCTCTTCTTGGCATTTTTCAAACCGGTCTCGGGAATAGAGCCGGCGCTGCTATCGGAGCTACTACTACTGCTTCCTGAAGAATCTTCGTCTTCACTACTGCTGGAGGTAGCTGAAGTGGAGCGACCCTTTTTTTTCCCTTTTTTCTTTTTTGCTTTTTTCATCTTCTTTTCCTTTTTCAATCGCTTCTTCTCCTTTTTCTTTTCCTTTTTCAATCGCTTCTTCTCCTTCTTTCGGCCCTTCTTCGTGTTTTTAGCGAGTTCTGCGATTTCCTTTTTCTTAGCCTGCTCGTACCGCTTCCGCGCCTCCGCAGCAAGGTCTTCCTCCTGCTCCTGCTCGCGCTTCGCGGCGAGCCGCGCTTGGATTAGCGGGTTCGCGTCGATGATCTTTTGCCGCCGAATTTCTTCCTCTTTGATCTTGAACATCGGGTCCTCGTGCACTTTCTTCAGCAAGTCCGCGCCGGTGTTGCGCTGCAAAAAGAGGGCACTGTAATTATATGAGGGAAGTTTCTTCGAGTATACTACTGCTCATTCGGTACACGATAATTTGAATTCTTATGCAAGTTAGACGCCTCGAAATTTTGGGATTACCACATACAGAAAACGTAGTTGCAGATGAATTAAACATACAAATCCAACAAGAACTTCTACTCTCTAGCTGCACTAATAATACCCTTTCCCTGTGGTGTCGACCGCGGCTGCCGTGTTATTTTTCAAGGCTGCCTCGGCATCCTCATTCATCTTTTCATCCTGCTCCTTCTCGGTCAGCTCAACCGCCCCCTCGTACATTATCAAGTGCAAAAATGTCTGGGTCTGGAAGAATTCATGTTTGTCATGCTTGTCTGGCATGACTCTTAAATCTGTCATGCATGTTACCCAAGAGCTGCGTTTTTCTGTGATGCAGAAGCGCAGTTTGTCATGCAGAATAGGCAACACCTAGGATGCAGAAACTTGTCATGCTGAGCCAGCATTTGTAGCCTCATCGTGAGACGCTACCCAGCATCACAAGCTCCCAGACCCAGACATTTTTACACTTGATATACATCCAGTCAATGCGATCTACCTGCGGAAGCTGGTGCACCCCGAAGGAGCTGTCTATTACCGTTAAAAATGCCCCCACCCCCAAAGCTGCAATAGTTTGTGATGCATAAGGTTTTCAAATGAAGAACTTTTTATCTATGCGTGAAAGGAATATGAATCTGTGTGATGCAGAGTCTAGGCGTATATAGCATTGCTTGCATGACAAGCGCCGCTCTTGCTGGCATCTGTTGCAATACAGCTTTTCGCTCTTCACGATTGGAAATCTGTGATGCTGCTACATGCAAGAGGGCGAATGTTTCTGTTGGAAAGGTTTGCAATAGAAATGCTCCTAAGTTCGGGGTTGGGGGCGTTTTTCATTGTGATACTGTCCTTCGTCTGCTTCTGCGGGTCCACCGCGTACATCGGGCCGGGTTTCCAATTATCACACTGAAAAATCCCCCCCATACTCAAAGTCGAATTTGTGTAGCATGATTTGTCGTCACAAATCACGTTGTCGTGCTAGAAGGGAAGGGATGTTGCGGATTGTAGTGCTGGCTGGCGCGGGTAAGCCTTGCATCTTCAGCATGACAGGAACCAAGTGCATTGCCCGGGACAGCATGACAAAGTGCCTAAAGATAGGCCGGGGGTGTGGCTCTTCACCTTCCAGCAATACAGGTAGATTTGTGTACACAAATCGCGCATCAGAAATCTCCTTTTGATATGGGGAGGGGGGATTTTTCCTCACAATACCAATCCCCGCGGTGATCAAAGTCCGAGTAACCCGCGGCGTTGGTCTATCCTGAGTAAAAACGTACCCACACCAGAGTTGTAATGCAGATTTGCAAAGACAGGAAGACTTGTAATGCGCATCCGCATGAGAGCCATTTCCAATCGTGTTTTGGAATTTGTGATGCTGTGAACAGGATGAGCAGACGAATCTGCGATGCGGCTGCACTTGCTAGCCTGCACTACATCACTGCAGAGTGCAACTTGTCATGCGTGACTCACAAAACTCCTAGGTTTGTGTTGCGAAATCCCCATCCTGACTCTGGTGTGGGTAGGTTTTTACTCAGGATATGGTCGCCCGGGCCCGGTCCTGCTTGGCCGCGTGCATGGTTGCGATTCGACTCTTATCAAATGTAAAAATGTCTGGGTATGGAAGATTGCCAGGTTTGTCATGCATGTTTTGCATGACCCCTGACGTCTGTGATGCATGCCCTAGCATCACAGATTTTGTGAGGGCTACCTGATGCCTATACCGCATGACAAATGCTCTTTCAGAGCAGCAAAACTTGGACTCTCTTTCTTGCTGCTCATGCAATACAGATTTTTTTACAATCCAAAACCAGCATGACAAATTGGATTCTTCCAGACCCAGACATTTTTACAGTTGATAACTCTTTCGACTCTGCCGATTTTGGATAGACAGCTATAGAAAAGGCAGCTCTTGATGTATTCAAATGATTATTTTATCACGCTTAAGTGTCTCATGTTCATCAATTTTTAGACTGTCATGATCAAGCGGTGTCGGACGATATTTTTAACGTTTTCATATTGCCTACTAACTTTAGCAGTAGATCTTGTTGTCGCGGATCCTCTACCAGGATATCAGTACAACTATTAGCGTGTTTAATGATACTTACTTGTGGTCAATATTGCTGCGGTTCCCTGATGTGGTGGTGCAAGGAAAGGGGTAATTGAGATGATCGTCCTATGTGATACAACAACCATCAGAAGAAGTACTGATGAAAATTTACACTTTGCGAAACAATTGAGCTATGCAAGGACAAAAAGTTGTTGGGAATGGAAGATCAAATGATATTGGCAAGCAGTGGTGTTCACCCAGGTCATCCTTTTCTTTGAAGATCTTGGGCTACTTCTTGTGCTGGGAAATAAATTCTCGTGCTTCGAGGTGTTTTAAATCAACAGACTGCAGCGATCAGAGTCGTGGGTCGTAAACAAATCTTTTGAAGTAGAAGATCCGTGGCTGTTTTCACAGGCTTTTTTTTTTTTTGGAGACAGGAGTAGATTCTATAAGTACTTTCACTTCACATCTCACGCACAACTATGATCGCCACGACAAGTGATCTTCCGCCCAGCTCAATTGTACCTAGTACTCTGTTTGCTTCATCACGGTCATGAAAGTTGATCCAAGAACTTCTTCGTTCTATCGTTTCATACAGTTCCCTGTACAGCTTCATTTCTACCAATTCATTTCGCAGATAATATCAGAGAACAGCACCCTGTTTTCACGACCAAGGAAAGCGTAGCCTCCCTACGGAAGGCGTAGCCCACCCGGGGCCCCCCGCATTATTGCTCCAACCAACCGGTTGGGCTACAGCTCTACTTAAGTATTTTTTCATCACTTTAGGCGTGCATAGATAAAAATGAACGAGTTATACAGTTTTGAAAAGCAACACTGAAGAACCACATCTTCACAGAATGAAAACTAGCCGGGCATTTGAAAAAAAATCGTGGGCACAGCCGTTCTCGTCCTCTGTGATTTTTGAAGAAAATCATTTATTTGTTGACCTGGAGGAATGTACTTAGTTCCACCTTGCGTACTAACTTAGATCATCTTGACAAGAAAGAACTGATAGGAAAGAGAGTTCGAAAGACTGCCTGGCTATTGCGCTAGTATTCATAAAAGGCTCCTGAAAAATACTTGCAGAGGAAATGTCTAGGCGAAAAGATGAAAAATCGGAACGGCGACAAAAGCCTTCGAAGTGCGCAAAGCTTGTTTGAAGTAGTGGGTGGAAAAACGTCGAAAAGTACAGGTATAAATGACACATCAACTCGAAACGAAAATGTAAATGAAGAAATCATATCGTGGAAATAAAACCACAGAATTCTTGAGTTGTCGGTAGAGCAGTTTTCTGATCCTCTACTACAGATGAAGCATCGTGCAGTTCCACGAATATTACCTGAATCTTTTGCTACACTGAAAACGTTTCATGGTCTGTTTTTCTTGTTCGCGAAGACGAAGAAGAGTCGTGTAATTAGTAAAAAACTCCCCTTGTGCTGTTTGCTTTTGCCTTTGACACTCTACATTTTCACCTTACTATTTTATTGGTTTGCCGGTGCCCGCGGGGCGGGTTCAGTAGAAGTCATTCGGGCCACTTCTGCGCTCGATGAAAATGGGTACTATCGAAAAAGAACTGTGGTTGTAAAAGAAGACCACTTCGGAGCGATTTTTGCTCCTGATCCTCTTGCTGTCTTAAGGAAAAACTTGTGCTGCTGCGTTAAGAGCATAAAATGAATTCCGTCGAGATATTAAAGTGTTGTGTTTCTGTTGCGTTGTTTTTCTTTTTCATCGTAAAAATATTTTGTTGTTACATTTTCAAAAAAAATATGTGTGCATTTGGTACTACTCAGTGGCACGAGCCAACGGCTGCTTTTTACCGCCCATTTCATTACGACACCGTCTTCAGGGAGGCCAGGTAGGCCATGCCCCACAAGGGCCACCTGGTGGACATGGTGGTATCCAATATGTGTGTGTCAGGATTGAAATCGACAAAGTTGAAATAATTTGTCATGCATAAAATGGATGCCTCTCGGAAGCCAGTTTCCAAGTGGCGCATGACAAATTTTGGCGGTCCTTAAGCCCAGTTTGTCATGCTGTTCAGGCAAAGAGGGCTGATTTTCTCATGCTACTTTAGCAGCTCGAGCTCTAACCCCAAACAGGCTTACAATCGGCCTCACTTGCCTGCTCTGCAATACACGTGCCTCGCGTCATGCATTTTCTGCATTGCAAATTATTTCAACTTTGACGATTTCAAACCTGACGCTTCCATATCCAGATCCGCTGGGGTAAAGATCATCTTTTTCAGCACCTTCTGGCTCTCGAAGAACATCATCTGTATGAAAGTGTCAGAATCGAAATTGACAAAATCTAAATGATTTGTCATGCATAAAATGGATTCCAGTTCGAGCCCAGTTTCTAAGTGGCGCATCACAAATTCTGGTGGTGCCTAAATCCAGTTTGTAATGCTGTTTAGGCAGAGAAGACTGATTCTCTCATGCTGCTTTAGCAGCTCGAGCTATTACCCCGAACAGGCTTACAAACGGCCTCACTTGCCTGCTCTGCAACGCACGTATTTCGCGTCGTACATTTCATGCATCACAAATTTTTTGATTTTGTCAATTTCGATCCTGGCACTTCCATAATCTGCGCCTCCTCCGTCGTGTTGGCGACCGCTGCCTGGGTGAACACAGCAGTGAGAAAGCCCATCGGCGATTGCGCAATCGCGTCCTCGCCAGCGTCGGTAGTATGCATGTTGCAAAAGTTTTGTTCCAATAGGTAGTACCAATCGCGCATGAGTACTAGAGCATGAACACGTACTATCAACAAACCGGGTATGAAAAAATGTAAGTTCTATTGTCTTCTTCAAAGTGGCGGTGTCCTTAGCTGCTCCTGTACTTAGACGGAGAGGAAACAGGTATTTCTTTTGCAGAGGATAAATGAAGGCTTGCGACAACGCCTTCAGAGCTTCGAGATCGCCGTTGATAATACCTGGAGTTGGAGAGCATTCAAGTAATTATATTTGTGCACAACGACATGTTCTTGCCCTTGCGCATGACAAACACGATGCAGCATGCTTCATCTGCATGTCACAAAATCTTTGTTTTTCATCATCTATACCCATGTTCAGTGCGCTCGCGAACTGCTGGAGCTCCGGTTGCACCAAGCCGTCCACTGCTTCGTTGTTTACGCCAGCAAGCACCCTGCGCATGGCTAATTGTGCGAGAAACCCAAACATCGGCCACATCGGCTGGTAGGCTGTGTTGCGCAGTTTTTGGTAACAAATAAAGAAAAATCCTTGCGATCATCCTCTTGTCTCATGCTCTAGAAGTCCATGATGCTGATCTAGCATGACAGGGAGTCACGTTCGAAAGCGATAACAAGAAAGTACCATTCCAAGGGATGTCGAGCAGCAAGGTCAGCAATGGGGAAGTCAGCTGTTCGTTGTTCTCGATTTGCGTCTTAACTACTGCGCCGTCGTTATCCACCGTTGTGATGGACAAGAGTTGCACCTGCGTGTTTCGATATTGGATACTTTTTGTCACGAGTGTTTACACTTTTTTACCCGAGCAAGAAAACACTTGTTGTACTCCTCTTGCACGACCACGAAAAAAAACAACGAGCAGCACCGTACAGAACTGCTAGTACCGTCCAGATGATTGAACAAACTGCAGGTACTACAACAAAATCCTACCATCAGTTTTCCGACCCCACAGGCGTCTTGGTTCCCTGCAGACTGCATGTCCTCCAGGACAGAATAGAGTGCCGGCTCCAGTGTGTTGCCCTTGTCCAGTCCGTTGAACGCTGCGTCGGGACCCAGGATATACCTTTTGTGTTTCTCATTCATGACGAGAAACCTTCAAAAATATCACTTGCAGCACACTTGCTCTGCTTCATTTGCTTTCAGTTTCATCAGACAAGAATTCAAGTAGAAATCTTCTATAATCCGTGCAGTTTTACCTCATCTTTTGCTGCACGTTGAACCACGATTGTGCGTAGGTTCCGTTTATCAACTGTAAAAATGTCTGGGTCTGGAAGAATGCATGTTTGTCATGCTTGTCTGGCATGACTCTTAAATCTGTCATGCCCGCTACCCAAGAGCTCCATTTTTCTGTGATGCAGAAACGCACTTTGTCATGCAAAATAGGCAACAGCTAGAAGCTCAGAAACTTGTCATGCTGAGCCAGCACTTGTGGCCTCATCGTGAGACGCCACCCAGCATCACAAGTTTCCAGACCCAGACATTTTTACATTTGATACCGTTCAAGCATAGTAAATCCATCTCCTCCAGTATCGTACGAAAGAACTCTCTCAGTTGTCTCAAACACTTTATTGCAGTAGACTCACCAATACAAATTTGCTCAGCATGACAAGGAAAACCTGGAAGATCATGCGCGATATGCAAGAGAAATAAACACGTAGGAACAAGTAGTACCCTTTTCTAGTATTTCTTGCATGTCGAGCATGACAAGGAACTGTCGCAAGGAAGTTCCGCATTACAGGTTGAGACTGAGATAGTTTTTCCTCACGATATCCAAGCTTGACGCGCCCTCGCCTTGTGGAACAACCGGCTGCACTGGAGCGGGTGCTGTGAGAGTGCCTATGTTGAGAGTACAAAGGCTTGTTTTTCTGTTATCTGTCATGCATTGTCGTCCAACATGATTTGTCTACGTATCAGTGCAGTTCTGCATGACAAACACAACGACAATTCTAAATAAACTACCCAAGTATAGAATTCTACTTGCGTCCATAGTGGGGCTGGCTGCACTCCCTCCCAAGGCTGCCCGTAAGTTGTCAAACAATCCGCCCCCTGACTGTGCCGATACGCCGGCAACGGCAACACTGGAACTTAGGACCACAACGCGCAACATAGTCGTCGTGTTGTCTTCACAACTACTTACTTGTAGTAAGTGCAACAGCTAGTGCCTTTCAAGATGAACTTGTCGTGCTCGGATGCGTTTCAAGGTGAACTTTCAAGATGCGTTCGTTTCTTTTATCCTTTTGTTTTTTATCTAGGACAACCGAGTTGTCCCAGCTCCTCTTTTTCTCCCTAGAAATACGCGTGGGAAAGTGAGAGTCCGCTTTCACTTACGACTAACGAAATACTTACTTCCAGATTCAAGCGATAAATTTCTATACTCTTGTTCTCCTTGCAAAAACAGCAAGTAGCGGTGGTAGCGCTAGAACGGCAGTTCACGGCAACTTGGGGCAAAAAAAATTTCTTCTTCGATCTTCGGGAAGAGAAAAAGGCCAAGAAACTTCAAAGCGTTTTCGAAATGCAGCAAAGGGTATTTGTGATCTTCTGTATCTGTACAGTCCTCGCCCGCCGAGAAAAGCTCTAGTACTTACGCGGCCGGGGATCGTTACTTACAGATGTTGAAAGCAAATGTAGAATCTTGTCGAGCCAAAACTCCGGGAATCAATGTTCCAGCATATCTTTCAACTAGACACAAAAGAATCTGGTACTTATTAATTCACCGCTTTTTAAGGATCGAACAAGAGAGCATGCAAGATTTGTTTTCAGGTCGTTCTACTCTTTTTTCTTCAGCTGGTCCTTTATCAAACCGCACGTCGAGTGTTTCTACTTATTTCCGACGGGTTTATTTTTTGGTCCTGAGTCGAGAGGGAAGATGTTTAAGCGTCCAAAAGAAAACTGTCAAAAGGGAAAAAAGAACAAAACGCTAGTGACTGCACAAAACCTTTAGTACGGTGTCCGCTTCCTCCCGGCTCCTCGCATATACAAGGAAGCCTTTGCTACATTGAAAATTCCTCCTCGGGTGCTGGGAAACTGGTAAACTCTAGAATGAACAACTTAAACCGACGTTTTGATCTTTCTTCTTCTTGCGTCTATCTGCTCTCAACTTTTGAATACAAAGTACTGTTCTTGTCAACCATGAGAACACTCACCTCTGAACAGGCCACGGACACCATTTTTGTTCTCGTACTTCATTTCACGACGTTGTGAATTGTTCTCTATCGTGGTCAACATTATGCGCAATATCATTATACCTCCCTCCTTCAAGAGCAGTCAAAATGTGAGTCACTATTTTTCCTCTTCAGTTTTTTATCAATGCATGAACTGGCGTTTGTCACTGGCCTGTCTTTTCCCGTAGGGGTTTTCCGCGGAGAAGGCGTGGCCGCTCGCGTTTTTCGCCGTTTTGCTCGTTGTTTTCGCACGGTGCTTGATCCCCAACTCGACCTTGGGCGGGGAGTCGAATCCGAAGGACTTTGCGACCTTCTGCAGATCCAGCTTCTGCACCTCGAAGCAGTCCTTCAGGCTGTGCGCCGCGTAGGCGTGAATGTAGCTCCGGTACGCGTCCCGGCTGCCCCGGTGCAGGTGGTAGTTCTTTTCAATCAACCGCTCCAGTTGGGTCTGGATGTTGGCCACCTTGTTCTCCGGAAACGTGTACTCGTTCGGTGTCACGTTTGACTTCTTCAAATACCGGAGGAACCCCAGCTCCTCTGGGAGAAGAAACAAAAGCGCTTTTCCGGTGCCGGTGGCGCCGCGGGCGGTTCGTCCGACCCGGTGAATGTACTCCCGAGGGTCATCTGGCGGGTCGTACCTGGGAAGAGGTGAAATTATAAGGTGTTTGTCATGCTGAGTACTAACACTTTGCTTGTTCTTGTTGTGCGGTCAAAGCCTTCGTACCATGCACAAGAGACGCAAATTACAAATCTATGTCGCAAAAAAATAAAAAACAAGTCTTCCAATACTGCACGATCCAATCGACTTTCGGGATGTCTAACCCACGCGCCGCCACGTCGGTACAGATCAGCACCCCCGTTTCAGCAGTGGAGAATTGGTGGAACACCGACTGTTATGCATTGCAAATATGTCTTGGTCTGGAAACTTGTAAGAATGCTGAGGTGTGAATTATTGAATGCTCTGTAAAATGCACAGCGAAGCATGAGAACTATTTGCGGGGCTTAGTGTAGTTGCGTTTTCCGCATGACAAACTGTGTTTTTGCATGACAAGCGAAAGGGTATCTTCTTGGACACGCATCACAGACTTTTCAGTCGTGCCAGACAAGCATGACAGACCTTACATCCTTCCAGACCCAGACATAGTTGCACTGCATAACTGTCGCGCGGACTGCTTCTTGTCGCCGTGGATGCAGTCCACGGGGAGATCAATATCCTGTGCAAAAGTATCGTACTCGTACTAATTGCTTTTATCCATTACAAATCTTTTTGTTAAGGCAAATCCGCATCACAAATTTAATTTGTAAAATGCTGAGCTAATTTGTATTGCAATTTATACTAGTACGATGCTTTTGCAGTTCATAGTCAATGTAGTTTAGCAGGTCGTGGTAGAACTTCACGGCGTGCTTACTGGACATGAAAACCATGATTTTCTTCTTCTTTTCCTTCTTCAAAAAGGTGAACAGCAACAGAAACCGGCGGTCCGCCGGGCAGAGGACGTAGCCCTGCTCCAGGCCCGCACGCGTGGCGACGTCCGACTCGCCCTTCACTTCCACGAATACCGGTCGCTTCATCGACAGGCGAACCAGGTCGGCGACCTGTAGTTGGGAGAGTCTTGATATATCTTTTTAGGCCGCAAGCAATAGTACAGTCGTTTATTCTAGGCACCTGCAAGCAACACCCAGGGATAAAAAATTTATGACGTAGGTTGTAAAACTTGTACCTTTTTCGTTTGCGTTGCGGAGAAAAGTGCGGTTTGCCTCTTCTGCGGCAAGAGTCTGCAGATCGCCTTCAGTTCCTCTTCGAACCCGATCTCCAGGATTCGGTCGGCTTCGTCCAACACCAACGAGCACAAATTGTGGTAGACAAACCCCTTCGTGTTCTGCATGTGGTCCAACAGCCGCCCGGGCGTCGCGACCAGCACGGAGACCCCCTTTTCCAGGCGCTTCGCCTCCTCCCGCCGGTTCATGCCCCCCAGGACGACCCCGTGCGTTTGCGAAATGTGCTTGCAGATTTCCCGGCACACCCCGTAGATCTGGTCCGCGAGCTCGCGCGTCGGGGCGATTACGAGCACGCCGGTGCCGTTGCGCTGATAATTTTTTTTCAAGAAATCAACTTTGGATTGGTGGCCGTGGTGCTGCTTTTCTTCCATGCTGTAGTTTTTGCACGGCAGGAAAAGAAGAATTTTGAAAAGAACAAAAATATTCGTATGGACGATACACATCATGGAAGATGAACAGAACAGATTTCATACCTGCAAGAACTTGATTTGCACCAAGTTGTCGATCATGGGCACGAGGAACGCGAGCGTTTTTCCACTTCCCGTTTTCGCCGCCCCCAGGACGTCCTCCCCCCGAAGCAGTGGCGGAATCGACCGGCGTTGGATTTCGAACATCTTCGTAAACCCTGCCTCATCCAACCCCTTTACCAAATTTTCGTGCAACCCGAGGCTGGCGAAGGTCAAGTCGGTCGTAACCTCCGCCTTCGTCTGCTCAATTTTCGATGCAGTTGTTGTAGGTTTCGAACTCGCGGCTGGTTGTTGTTCCGTGGTGGAAATATTACTAGCAACTGCGGCAGAGGACGAGGAGCTGCTAGAAGAAATCGTTTTTTCCTTCTGAGCAACCTGCAGATCGTCTTGCGGTTTTGATTATCAAATGTAAAAATGTCTGGGTCTGGAAGAGTCATGCTGTTTTTGCATGACACAGAAGGTCTGGCATGGAAGCTCTAGCATCACAGGTTTCGAGAAGCTTCCGCAATGCCGAATCCGCATGACAAGTCCCCCATTTTGGTGACAGAAAGCGGGCAGCTTTTGCTACCTATGCATGAGAGATTTTTCTGTGTTCTGAAATGCGCATCACAAGTTGCATTCTTCCAGACCCAGACATTTTTGCAATCCATATTGATGCTGTCGTAGTTGTCTCTGCGTTGTTGATATCGAATGGAAAAATCCCCCCTCCCCATATCGAAAAGGTATGTTTCCGAAAATTTGTCTTGCTGATTTGAGACCCCAAATCAAGTCTGTCTTGCAAGAAGACAACTCCGCAGGCTCTGCCGCACTATGCAGGCGGTTTGTCATGCTGTTGGGCCTACAGCATAGATGTTTCTCATGCTAAGCACCTAGGCCAAAAGCTCTCTACTCAGGCTGGGCAGGAGCCTGCAGTCCTCGCCAGCAAGACAGATCTGATTTGAGTACGCAAATCCAGCATCAGAAACTTCGTTTTGATATGGGGAGGAGGGATTTTTCCTTTTGATAGTTGATTTCTGCCTCGTCATCGTCTTCCTCTTCCTCCGCAGCTTCTTCTACCGGCTGGGAGGTTGCATTTATTTCCTCGGAGGAATTCGAATTTGTAGCGTCGCTTTTTGTTGGAGAGACCACGACCACGTTGCGCGTTTGCACAACCTTTTTCATCACCTTTTTCTTCAATTTCTTCATAGAAAGGGAAGATGGCGCTGCTGTAGCCGATGCTGCATCTTCTACTTCTGTAGTAGTATCCACCTTAGCCTTTTTCGCTGCTCTATTGTCCTCGACGACAGAAGCGGTAGAAGTTGCAGGTGCGCTGGCGGCCGCTGCTGTTTCCTCCACACCGCTGGCCGCCTTTCGCTTCAACTTCTTCTTTTTCATAGCGACAACCATTTTCGATTTTTTGCAACAGTTGTTTCAATCTCGAGCAGACGTGATATGTTGTAACTCAAACTTCAATCGGCAGTCGAAGAAAGAGATAGTAAAAGTGATTGGTCGTTTATTTGTGCAAGTACAACTACGTAGTAAAAGCTCTTCAATGTCTAGATCGGTCTGTCTCTGTGGTAGTCGTTTCGATGGTATCCGATGTGTCGAGCGATACAGAAGATCTATGAGAGAATTTGCGCATAAGCATTTACGTACGCCATCTGGGATCATCCGCTTTTTCCGGTCTGTGAGCAGCCAAGCACGAGACCACGAGACCAAATCATTTCTAGACCTGTCAGGTTTATTCACTTTCTACAAGTAAGCAGCGGCTGCGGCATGCACACAGCAGCATCATCACGAAGCCGAGGCGGATCTTCAAGAATTTATTGTTCAGGATCTTCGTGGAGGTTAACTGAGCACGATTTGCTTCTTCTTTCGATTGGCTTTTCATCGACAATAATGAACTTCCACTGCCTGTTTTCTCGTTGTTTGAAGAAGGATCTTCTTTCATTCTTTCACTCGATCAACATCTGGAGCAGTTCGTTGTATAGATCCGGAGCGCCAGTGTATCAGTAGCAGCTGCCCCACATGCACAGGACCGGCGGTGAAATCTGCTGCTGCTTCACGGACACAATATTCAGAGTCCGACCTTTATTTTCTACCCAAAATTGTTCACTTCATATCCAAAGAACTAGAGAGTGCCAAGACCTTCAACTTCAAAACTTCTTCTCCGACTTTGTCTGTCAACAAAACTGTTCGCAAATATCCTCAAATCTCCAGGAAATAGTCCTTCGGTGCCCACACCCTTAACGACCGGTCGTCGCTAATCGAGAAGAGGTAATTATCGTCCATTCTATCGGACAGTATCCTGGTCGACGTCCTATCTTCGTGTTCCTCCCCACCACTAACCTCCGGCCTGGTCACCCATAGACAACTAGAAACCGAGGATGCGTGTCCCTTCAGTGTGCAGAGCAGCGTCCCCAGTTCCTTGTGCCACACACAAATCACACTCGTTTCGGACCCGATGATGACAAACTCTTCCCGTTTCCCCCCGAAGGTCGGACGGAGAATATATCAAAGTGAAAAAAGCCCCCACCCCATATCGAAAACGAAATTTGTGATGCTGTGTTTCAGTACACAAATCACATTTGTATTGCAGTAGAGCACTGCACGCAGCTCGCAAGCCTAGGTAGGGACCTTTTGGTGTAGGCGCTTAGCATGGTAGACGGCTGCCCTGTAGGCCCTACAGCATCACAAATCGCCTGCATAACGTGCCGGGCAGCCTGGACTTGCCTTCTTGCACGACAAGCGCGATTTGTGGCCACAAATCTGCATCACAAATTTTCAGATGGATGCGCTTTCAATATGGGGAGGGGGGATTTTTCCTCACGATAGAATAAACCGAGACTGGGTGTGCCCGTAGTACTCCTGCTTCTTCTCAATCTTCAGAGAGAATTTTTTCTGCTGTTTGATGTTCTTCGTGTGTTCCCCGGCTTGCCTGTTTCTACTCCAATTATTCCCTCTTGTAGTACCGGAAGATGATGTTGAAAGCGCGTTAGTCACTGTGCCCGCAAAATCGTTGTACGGCTCATGATGATGATCCTGTTCGTCATTACTACCGAAGGGCTGAAATCCACTTGACCCGCCTGAGAAGTCGCCTACAACTTGCATGTCCTGCAATACCACGTCCAGCTGCCAAAGTCTGACCAGCCCCGAAGGCCCCCTCTCACTATTCCCCAGCGCGGCGCGACTGGCGAGCAGTGCGTTCGTCAGGTTTGACGCGCGGATGCTGGTCACGGGTTCCTTCTCGGGAATGGTGGCCAACTCCAAAGGCGTCGCATCGGAAAGTTTCGGCGGCAACACGGCAAAGGAGGTCGGGTTACCGGACCGCGTGCGGGAACCCGAGGGGGCCAAAAACGGCGGCGAAAGCGAACCCATTTGCTGGGACATAATGTATCCTGAGTAAAAACGTACCCACACCAGAGTCAGGGTGGGGATTTTGCAACACAAACCTAGGAGTTTTAGGAGTCACGCATGACAAGTTTCAGTCCGTAAGGTAGTGCAAGTTAGCAAGGAAAGCCGCATCACAAATCGACCTTCTGATCCTGTTTACAGCATTACAAGTTCCCAAACACGATTGAAAATGCCTGTCATGGGGTTGCGCATCACAAATGTTCCTGTCATGGCAAATCTGCATGACAACTCTGGGGTGGGGACGTTTTTACACAGGATATAATGTCCTGTTTGTTCTTCGCCTTTTTCGTACCGTAGACCTTGATTCCCTTTTCCACGGACAAAACGAACAGCAGCGTCTTATTGTAGTTGAAGCACAAATCCTGAATCGGCGACGTCTGAATCGTCCACAGGGGCTGGGTATTGATTGCAAATATGTCTGGGTCTGGAAACTTGTAATGCTAAACGTGGATAATAGACGCACTGCAATACGCAGCTATGCATGACAAATTTTTTGGCTGCCATGTCTTACGTATTCCGCATGGCAAACTGCGTTTTTGCATGACAGGTGAGAGGGCCTGTTCGTGCCTATGCAACACAGATTCTTGAGTCATGCCAAATAAGCATGACAAACTTCTTGCACTCTTCCAGACCCAGACATACTTGCAGTTTATACTGGGTTTTCAAAAGAAATTGCGGGGTGGTGCTAGCAGATCCCGCTGTTGTTTGATGGACCTTTTGTTCCACGAATTGGATCTTCGCCGCGCGAATTCGGTACGGGCTGAACGAAGACGATTGCTCGAAGGTTGCATAAACAAATTCCGTCTCGCTCATCCAGTCGACGTGCAGATAGGCGGAATTTCGCTCCATCACGAGGGAGCCCACTTGGTGGATACAGTGGTTGATAGAAGTCCTTTTCTTTTCCGTTTCCCCCGCTGCCGATGTAGTTCCTTCGTAGTTCTCTCCGGATGTATTTTCCTGCCCAGCCAAACCCAAACCCGTAGTAGTATCTTGCTCATCGAACAGAGTCGGTGTTTTGTACACCACAGGTGTGGCCCCAGCAGATTCCGTCCTTTCCAAAGCAGCTGAGTCCTTGTTCGTTGCGCTATTCGCGGATGAATTTGATGCTGGATTTGTTCCTGTAGCTGTGGATGTCTTTGCTGAGTCCTGACCACCACGAAAATCGACAAAATTTTCCGCGAATTCCTCTTCCGGGAAGGTCCACAGCCACAGCTTCTTCATGCTACACCCCAAAAGCATCTTGCCGTCGGTGGAGAAAGCCAGACAGGTGACTGCTTTTTCCGCCTCCACGTCGTCGTCCTCCACGTCTGGCTCCGGCCTGGGCGTCGGAGAACTTGGGTTCTTGTCCTTCCTCTGCGGGGCCGCATCGATCCAGTGGGAAAGCTCCACCATGTTCTCTCCGTCGTCATGATGAGGAGGGGCGAAATTACTATTTGCCTGCGCTACGGGAGGATGTTGTGGTCCGGCGCCCCCCGGAACAAGGTTAGTATTCACAACGTTAGTACTGGACGACGAAAACAGCGAACGCGCGTTCGTATTGGTGTTCGCAGCTGCACCTCCTGCCGTGTGTCCGACCGAATTTTCCAAAACCAGCCCGCCTTGTAGCTGCAAAAATGTCTGGGTCTGGAAACTTGTAATGCTTGGTTGGGAATAGTGAATGCTCTGTAATGCACAGCCTTGCATGAGAAAGGTTTGCGCTGCTCAGTGTTGCGCTTTCCGCATGACAAACTGCGTTTTTGCATGACAGGCAAGAGGCCCTTTTCCTGCTCATGCATCACAGATTTAAGAGTCATGCCAGACAAGCATGACAAACGTGCATTCTTCCTGACCCAGACATATTTGCAACCCATACGCCGGCGCTGCTACCAAACTGCAAGTTGTTCGAAGGAGCATTATTGTAGTTACCACCCGCCGTGGTCGTGACCCCACCACCGCCCGTCATTCCACCGGCGCGAAAAACCGCCTTGCGTTCGAGAACTGGGACTTTGACGTTTCTCCTAGATGTACTACTTCTTCGCTGGTGGTTGTAAAGACGCACAGCGGCCGCCGCGTCAGGAGCGCGGGCAAATTGAAGTTCCGAAGTCGTATTCCAATCCTTTATCGCACGCTTCACAATTCTACTTTTCCGGTCTGCAGCACGGGAGTTGTAGAAACTTTTCAGACGCCGCGGACCACGTGTCTCAAATGCAAAAGTGTCTGGGTCTAGAAGATTGCAACTTGTCATGCTGTTTTTCGACTCTAAAAAAATTTGTATTGCATGACCAGCAAGAGGGGGGCAATTTGTGCTACACGGACCACAGGGCATTTCTCATGCGGAAGGTGCATCAGGAAGGGTTCTAAAAATCTGTAATGCTAGGGCATACATCACAGACAATCGTGGGTCATGAGAAATATGCATGACAAATCATGCATTCTTCCAGACCCAGATACTTTTGCATTTGATAACGTGCTCGACCACCCAACATGGTGTACGCGTTCATCTTCGACGGCGAGACGGAATTGTGATAGTATGCAATAAAAAAACTGTGTAAGTGTAACTCTGTCTTGCAGATGTTGCAATACAGTTACACTTGTCAAGCCGGCTATGCATCAGAGGCTATTTTAGTACGTGTTTTAGCGTACCAACTACGCATGACAAGTTTTCTGTCATGCAAAACAAATCTGTGATGCTGTTCCTGCAAAAACGTTACACTTACACAGTTTTTTTCTTGCATAAATAAATTGCGCTGTCCATTTCCCTTCCCAATTCTGCGTGCGACGTGTCGTAGTGGTTGTCATAATTAAACGTGTTGAATAAAGAGCTGTCTTCGTAGTTCTCTCCTTCACCAGAACCACCAGCAGCAGCACGCCCGTCCGGTATAATTTCAGCAGAACCTGTTGAACAATGTCCTGCTCGTGGCCCCAACGCGGCGGAATGATCAACGGTCGCATCAAACCCAATCGTGTAGATGCACACCCGGCGGTCTCTCCCTGCTGTGGCGACGATCGTTTTCATCATCTTCTTTATGGAGAGAAAAAGGTTTGTCACAGTCACTAATTTGCAGGCTTTGCATTACAAATTTTCTTAGCATCACAAATTTTCCTTGTATTGCAGAAAACACTACGGAAATCCGTAATAAAGTTTGGCTGTGATGCATTTTTACGCATGACAAGCAATTTTGTATTGCAAAAATGCGCATGAGTGACCGTGACGAACTTTTTTTGTTTGATATTCTTTGGGCTTGTTGCACTTGCACCAGAAGACGCACCAGTGGTGAAAACATGCAACGCCGGATTGGACACAGCAAGGCTCCAAAGCTCGTCGCTGTGGCTCACGAGCACTTCCCTTTGCAATAACGGGACCGGGAGCGGTGCGCATGTGTAGTTCTCCATCAGGCTTCTCGTTCCGCGGGGGCCGGTAATATGGTTCTTGTTTGACGTCATCATCGGCCGGGGGATTGACATCACGCTAGATGGTGCACCAGAAATAGTTGCACCAGAATTCAGCCCCAAGACGCTCGCCACGTCATTCTGAAAAGGGGAAACCAGCTCTTGGTACTTCAAAGCCTGGTGACAGATTTCCACGAAGCGGTTGGGCGGTGTCATGATGTTTGAAGGTAAGAGTTTCAGAATGGTGTCATATAAGTTTTTCCGTGTGTAGTGCAAACTGAATTTCTGCGGATGATCTCCTTCTCCTTTACTAGTAGCGTTTCTAGTGCGCCCTCGCGCTTCTCCTTGTGCTTTTCCCCGTCCACCAGCTCGCCGCAAACTTCTAAACTGCTTGCTTTGTTTGAAGTCATCCACTAACAGAAACGAGGAGAGCTCGTGCACCCGTTTCTGCATTTTTTCGGAGTTGACTATCCCATTTTCCGGTAAGAGCATGAACTGCAGGAGTTGGATGGCTGTGATGATATCGTCGAAAAAAAGAAGCTCCAAGTAGTACTGTTCGTAGATGAGAAAGATGATTTTCTCCTTGTTCTTCTCCCACGTGTAGAATTCAGATAAGCTCGTGGGTTGCCGGGGTGGACGAAGAGGATCGTGTACGAACGACGAGGACCCACTGCTGGCACCACCAGCCGCAAAGTTTTCATCAAAAACCGTGTCCAGCAGCTCAAGCGCACCCTCGTAGTCGATTTTCGATGTCCTCGCAGGTTCCTGTTGATCTTCTATATTCTTTCCATCCACGACCTCTTCCGCATCTAGTCGCAATTTCTGCTTCAGCTGCTTGCACCAGGGGCTTTCCAGGCTCAACCCCGTCTCCTTTTCCAATGTCTGTAGAGATTGTGCGAGATATCCTGAGTAAAAACGCACCCACACCAGAGTCAGGATGGGGATTTTGCAGCACAAACCTAGGAGCTTTGTGAGTCACGCATCACAAGTTGCGCTATGCAGTGTAGTGCAGGTTAGCAAGTGCAGCCGCGTCACAGATTCATCTGCTCATCCTGTTCATAGCATCACAAATTCCAAAACACGATTGGAAATGGCTCTCATGGGGATGCGCATTACAAGTCTTCCTGTCTTTGCAAATCTGCATTACAACTCTGGTGTGGGTACGTTTTTACTCAGGATACGAGATTTAGAGACTTCAATGTCTGCATGATCAACAGCAGCACCTCGCTTGTCTGCAGGTTATTTCTGCTACCGGGAATTATCGCTTTGTTACCGAGGAGATTTTTTGAAGAAGACTCTATGCCACGAGGACCGACAATGAGAGTGTCTGCGTTTTTGTCCAGCATTTCCACGTCTATTGCAGACGCATCAATTGCACCAGCCACGGGCGCGGCCCCACCACCGCTACCCCCTCCGCCCTTCTTACCCCCGTGTTGACCACCTCCGCCGCCCTTGACCCGCTGTTTTTTCTGTTATCAAATGTAAAAATGTCTGGGTCTGGAAGAGTGCATGTTTGTCATGCTAGATCTGGATCATGCAACAATCTGTGTTGCATGAGTACCAAAAGCCGTGCATTTTTAACCAAGGTGACAAGGAGTTTCTCATGCAGGATAGGCATGAGAGAGATCGCAGAGAATCTGTCATACTAGGTCCTGCATTCCTCACCTCATGGGTCATGGAAAAGCTGCATGACAAATCGCGCATTCTTCCAGACCCAGACATTTTTGCATTTGATATCTGTTGCGGCCCACCCATTTTCGGATCCAATGTTGAGGACTCAGCGCGTTTGCTCATGCTTGATGGGAGATGTTGAAAATTGGTGGACGATGTTGAAAAAGGGGCAGTCTGACTGATCGTGTTCTTTCTCTTGCCGTCGTACTAAAAGTCGCACGGCGAACGTCGTCCCCCGCGGAGTTGAGGTTAGTACTGCACGGAGATTTGTTCTTCGGTGCAGCAGGAGCTACGTTGAAGCGCATGGTTTAGCTATTTGTTTTGAAGAGAGGTTGGTAGTAGTAGTTTCATATCAAAAATAGTATCGCGTTGTGAGTTCTTTATCCTTCCGACGTTTTATTTTGATACCTACCGTAAGGTCGCTCGTCAGAAAGGTATGTTGTTGCTTCTCGCGACGACCAGGGGAGGTCGGCGTCGCCTGGTTATCGCTTCCTTCAGCTAAATAAACCGGGACCGGCATCAGATTAAGATTTGCTTCTGAGTTACAACGACAGCGCAAAAACTGTAGTCTTTTCCTTTCTGCGTCCTGAAGTCAGTGCAACGAAAAAAAAACGAAATGATAGATCTTTTCTTCAACACGAGCACTGGAAGAAAACCACTGCGGGGGCCTAAGAAGCTCTTCGGCCTGAAGATCCTTGTGGTCGTCCCCGGCTCGAAGGTAATGCAAATAAAATGTTCGAACAGTCTGGCTGCTGACACAACTAAATTTCTCCCGAGCAGCGCTCGTCAAGAAAGTGGCGGTGGGACATCCACTTCTTGTCGTGTGAAAAAATAGATAATTTCTATATCAGGGACAACATCGTCAACGACTTTAGCACACAAAAGGGTTCGATTTTGAAAATGGTCATTGTCTTGTATAAAATGTTAGTAGCTCCTTTTTCGTCCTACTATTCCTGTCTCTACTATGCTGTGCACAAGCCGGCGAGAAGAGTGTCGTCGTCGTGTTTTTTACCGCAAATTTCTTTCCTTTTATTGCGCTCCTTGCTTCCTTACGGTAGACCATTTCTTCTGGTCGCATTTATTATCATTGACAAATCATACAAGGAATGCTCATTCTCAAATCAATATTCTACATAAGCACTGAACAAAGCGCTCTTGATAAAGTATAACAGTACTAGCTCTCTTGGTTGCAACATGCCGACAGTGAATTGGATAAAAAATCACTAGTCGCCGCAATTTTCATTTTTGGGGTAGGAAATTCGAAAATCAAATTGCATCTAATTTTCGACTCAATCATGGTCTAACTTCAGCTTCTCTCCAAACTGTCGGTATAGGTTGTGAGTTCGTGCAGCAGGAGCAACGAGAGGTCAACAAAATAATGTACGGGTAACTGAATGAGATATCAAGTGAATGTCATTTTCAAGAGTGGCCTTGCTTCAGTACAGTTCCCAGCGGAAATATAGCCGTCCGTAGTTGTCCTTTCCGCCGAATCTACCCTACGGTGGGCTCTTTTCATCTTTTATTCCCTTTCCAATAGTTAAGCAGCTCTGCGAAGAGGACGCTGTGATCTTTATCACGTAAGCGTAGATGAGGACCGCCGTATCATGGAAGTGTCCATGCCACCTGTGGTAGTTTTTTATGCAACAATTTGACCAGCATGCTGAGTGCTGCGAGATAGCCATCGGATTCCGGCACTTCGCCTTTCATCTTTGTTTGCAAACTAAGAACACACGACTTAAACTTACCAAGAACTATCAATGGAAGATAAATTATACCAGCCCCAACCGGCCCGTCGTCTTTACTTCGTTCCCTATCTTTTTTTCTCTTTCCCCCACCGCTACTCGACGCGTCGCGCGGGGTCCACTCTTTCAGCGGCGATTTTCCAACGGAGAAAAGCCGTACATCCTGCTGCTCGAGTTGCTTGCTAGACGCCCCTATGCATTGCAAATATGTCTGGGTCTGGAAGAATGCAAGATTTGTCATGCTTGTTTCGCATGACTGTTAACGCTGTGATGCTTAGGCGCAAAAAGATCCTCTTGCCTGTCATGCAAAAATGGACCCTACCATGCGGAATACGCAACACACAGGAGCGCGAAAACTTGTCATGCTTGGTCACCTATATCAGTGAGCTCATTACTCACATAGTTGCATCACAAGTTTCCGGACCCAGACATATTTGCATTTGATAGCCCCTCGCGAGTACATCATCTGCTCCTTAGACGGTCGCCAGTCGGGAGAGGAGGCTGGACCTAGTCAAGTATAAAAATGGCGTTGTTTTTTCCTCATGATGAAAAGAAAGTGACGAGTTCGAATCACGACAAACAAAAATCCAATGGCGCGAAGCACCAGCATGAGAGGACAAAGAGCTTATTTATACCACTGAAGTCCTGGTAGCTATTTGATCTTCTCCGCACCCATCGGGTTGCGTCTGCCTCGTAGCCAAACGGCCTTTCTATTGCATTATCAAGTGCAAATATGTCTGGGTCTGGAAGGTTCTGAGACTTGTCATGCACGGTTTGCATGAACCATGATGTCCGTGATGCATGCCCTAGCATCACAGGTTTTTTGCGGGATTCTTCATGCCCATTCCGCATGACAAATGCCCTCCCCGCGTAGCAAAAATTAGAATCCTTTTGCTGCTCATGCAACACAAATTGTTTAGACATCCACATGCAGCATCACAAGTTGCATTCTTCAAGACCCAAACATATTTGCAATCCATATGCATCCACTTGATGCAACGGTCTTCCCACCACATCCTCTTTCGTCCCTGGTTGAGCGATATGCATTGCAAATATCCCTGGATGTCTGGAAGGTTCCACACTTGTCATGCCGTCTTTGGATTCTAAAAAAATCTGTATTGCTATGACCAGCAAGAGGAGCCCAGCTTGTGCTCCGCGGAGAGGGTATTTGTCATGCGGAATAGGCACTTCAGGAAGCCTTCCAAAATAAATCTGTGATGCTAAGTCATGCACTACAGGCACCACGCGTCATGTAAGATATGCATTCTGCAAACCTGGCAATGCAATCTTCCAGACCCAGACGTATTTGCATTTGATAAGCGACGATGGCGTTAGCCGCGGCTGTGTTCGCGCTAGATCCGCATCCCATATGCATTGCAAATATGTCTTGGTCTGGAAACTTGTGATGCTGAGAGGCGTAGCGTCTGGAGGCCACAAGTGCTGGCCTAGCATGACAAATTTCTGAGCTTCTAGGTGTTGCCTATCCTGCATGACAAACAGCGTTTCGGCATGACAGAAAAATGTGGCTCTTGGGTAACGTGCATGACAGATTCAAGAGTCATGCCACGCAAGCATGACAAACATGCATTCTTCCAGACCCAGACATTTTTGCATTTGATATCCCATTCGAGTTGCGGATTTTTGGGAATGATCTTCCGAAATGCTCAGTTCTAGTACTGATGAAAAGCTAGAAGAGAGAGAGAGAGATAACCTACATAGTTGAACTAGGCAGGACAGTATACGACGAACATCACACAGAAGAACGCTGGCCTTGCTCCCGTCCAACTGCTAGCGTGATGCCTCTCCGCCCACCTCGCAGCGCCTTCAGAAATGGCCCGGCTGACTACTCTCGGGTCGGATGCTGCTCGCGGATGCTGCTTGATGTGATCCTGTTGCCCTAGCCGAGGTTCTGCTTTCAGGTCGTACAGGCCTGGTAGAGGGCGACGAACTAGACCGAAGACTAGAACGCCCCCCCGCTACCGCGAGGTTTTTAGTAGTCAGATTGCGTCAAGGCCGGCCGGAAGACACTGGGATAGTTTACCTGTGGCCTTGTAGCCCGAGTCTGATTCAAACCGTTCTACGCGCTGATGTCATCCTCCATGTCCGTGAAGAGTAAGGCGGCATGTTAAGGGGGAATTGAGATGACGGGGAACTTAAAAAAAAAATAAAAGGCAATCGAAAGCAAACTAGTTCCCCGGCTCGACATGCGGCGACGCTGCTCTTCCACGCAGCGCCCCGGCGAGCAGTTGACGGGGCACTCACTCACTGGACAGGCCGTCTCCCGCTCAGCGGCGTGGCGCGGCTGTTCTACCAGGAAAGCACTACAGATAGCTTTGCCGCTACTATTTCTATATTTTTCTTTCTATTATAGCTATTATTATTTAAGCTACTGCAGCGACGGACCTCGGCGGCGCATCCATCCGGTGAGCGAGTCAGGGCAGTTTGTGCTGGACGCATATTGTTTGTGTTTTTTGACCGCCGTGTGTGTGTGTTTCTTCGTCAACGTCCTTATGTGTGCACCCATGTGAGACTAGCGCTACCGGGGGGCTCTTCCTGTCCCCCCGGGTCCTAATGTGTTTTGATTTGGAAAGGGGTAGTATCCGTTCTCAAACAAACGCAGGATCACACGCAGGATCACACGTACTGAGACGTACTTAAGATTGTCAATAAAATAAAAATTACGAGGACTTCTAAAGTTCTTCTGGTTCTTGCTTAGTCTTGGCTAACACACAACAAATTCAAGGATGCAACATATTTTCACTTTGTTCGTTTGTTTCCTGCTCTATGTGTTGATCGCGCGAAAGGTCCATACATTGCAACTCGATTTCGCCTAGAAATGCGAGAATCAAATAAAAGTGGTTGCGATTGGTCTGATGAAAAGCTAGAACGTAGTTGTACAACAAAATTGTGATATACTGTTGAAAAAGTCGTAGAGGGAGTTAGACAGTGGCGCTTTCACTTCTTTGTTAGTATCGTAATACACTTAGGCGCTTACACGGCAACCTTTTTTTGAGAAAGTTGCTTTATCGCTTTCTTAGTGTAGTAGTCTACGCGTTGTACTGTAATATCTTTCCGATAAGGGAAAAGTTTCTAATAGATACTTCGAACCAATCGCGATAGTATAGAGTAGAGTTTCTTAGAATAAAATCAGTAAAAGTTCGCTCCTTTATTTTTGGTACACAAAGCCAAAATCCCGCTGAGCTGAAATTAATTCAACTAAAGCGAGACTTCGGGGAATGACAAAGCAGCTAGGGGGCCACCAAAGTGGAAGTGACAGATTGCTAAAGACTTTCCTTGGAATTAGAAGTGATACTCGACAGTGGTGCTAAAAATCAAAACTATGCTATTTTACACGGTTCAAAAAAAGGCAACTGCGCTCGTTGTGCACAAAATAGGTTGTGCAGGAGTAGTTTTGTTCCACCAGCTCAAAGCAAAATCATGGAACAAACAGGTATCATGCAATCTATGCAAATGTAAAAATCTCATGCGAAACGAGTCGACAAGAGAACCTATCGAAACGATAGTATCTACTATGCATCATGGTGTACTAGTTCGTATAGCCGAAATTTGTTCCAAAATATGACATGCAAATGAACTTTACAAAACAGTGCTTGGGTGCCTGATTTTTGTGTTACGAAAATATCGAAACATAGTACTAGCACGGCACACACCTTGATATAAGCGACAAGCTCTCGTCTGGTGCTAATTATTCTCTCCACTTCTTATCCAATCGGTTGCTACTCCTCTTTCCGCTCATAGATATTCCCTCTCTCTCGCTGCGACCGAGGATTCTCAAGAAATTCGCTTTTCATCGAGTGGGAAATCACTTCGGCAGAGAAACAATACCGAGCTCGCTCATCGGGAAGTACAAACTAACTCAGCTACCGCGAACACCAGCATCGAACAGGAACACTGTCGTCGCGCTAAACTCATCACACGCGGAGAGGCAGAATAAGAACAACCGCGCCCTGCGTTATTTTCTCTGTCGATGACAAGGAATAAAGCAAACTTCGAATTATACAGGTTTTGTCAAGGTTTTGATAGGAATTTCATCTGCCATTGCTCAAACAAGTACAAATTTTGCTCTTGCACGGTGGCGACTACAAGAAAAGTGGACGTGGCGCTACAGGAGCTCCAGCGGGATTCAATTTTGGTTCATTCATAACTTCCTACGCACGATTTGAATTTGAAGAGTGCGCGCCCCGCCCTTCACAGCTCGCACTTCTGATGGTGAGACACCGCAAAGAACGGCCAATGCTGCACTTCTGATGTACTACGATTCATCCAGTACTACGATTCATCTACGGCCAATGCTGCACGGCCGATGCTTGCTGTACTACGATTCATCCGGTACTACTTGATGGCTGCAATGAAGCTAGTACGTCGAAAGTTGACAGTAATCGCAACACCATCAAAACATTCTGCAAATTATTTCTGGTGTAAACTTCTAAATTTTTCAGTCGAAGATAATTTCAATTTGTGAGATGATTGCTGAGGGCTGCGCGCGGCAGCCCTTGTCCTGGTCCTGGTAGCAAATATTACAAGATCATTGATAAAAGTCTGTTGTTGTTTGAAAGTTCATTTAGCGTACTAGTGTCTTTCTGACGGTAAGTATACATATAGACGTGTAGATTTAATTTCAAGCTGTCAAAGAGTATTCCTTCATTTTCTTTTTCTTGTTCATCCGTCAACGCCACGTGTACCTACTATTCCGAGAGTGTGTTTCTTCGTGTAGTTTTCGCATTGTTTTACTGTGTGCTTAGATAAATTTCGCACCAATAGTACCGGTTTTCCAGGCAGAAAACTCAGGCTTCATCCTAGTATCCTTCAAACCTCTGCCCTAATTCCCCCTCGCATCTGCCGCCGTGTTGCAGTTGCTATACCCCAATTTTTCCAGCTCTTTCTGCAACCCTGCAATGTGCTGGCAGCCCACCACAGCCAGCACTCGACCGTCGAAGCCTACCAAAGTACTAGCCATCGATTCTTCGCGCCGGTGGAATATGATGTCCGACGTGTTTTTCGGCTCCGTTTTCAGAGCCACCTCGCGCAAAATGAACGCCAGCCGGTGGGTCGGCACGATGTCGTACGACAGTTCCGCGGTTTTGTTTTCTTGCAGTTGTCGGGCCTGGTGCTTCTGCGCGGAGGAAACGGGTGCAGAATTGGAATTACCACTAGACCCCCCGCCGCCGAGCTGTACCAATCGGTCTAACTCGGTATCGGACAAATCGCAGACGATCCGCAAGTAGTGCGCCAAAGACTGTTGCTTCAGGAGCTCACACGCCTGCAACGCGAGCTGATATCAAATGTAAAAATGTCTGGGTCTGGAAGGTTGCCAGGTTTGTCATGCATATTTTACATGACTCAGGATGTCTGTAATGCATGATCTGGCATCACATATTTTTAGAGGCCTTCCTGATGCCTATCCCGCATGACAAATGGCCTCCCCGCGTAGCACAAACTGGGCTCCTATTGCTGGTCATGCAATACAGATTTTTTAGAGTGCAAAGTTAGCATCACAAGTTCCAACCTTCCAGACCCAGACATTTTTGCATTTGATAGCTGGCGGTTGGAGTCAATGTGGAGGATCCGGCAACTCGGGCCGGCGAGGTACTTGGGCATGGCGACCGGAAAAGAATTGCAGATGGAGAGAACCTTTTTAAAATGACGTGGAAGTTATGCAAGAACTCTTGTGAATCATGCTACCATGTAATAAATGTTGCTCCGAAAAAAAGTAGAAAAACACGCTGATGAAACATCCATATCCACTAAAGTAAAGAATCACCAGAAGATAAGTACGCTCTTATCAGTCTTCTCCGTTTTCGCCTTCCTTGCAATCTCGTTCAAGAAATGCAGCCCGAAGTCCTCACGCAGCGCCTCGCGGCGGAAGGCGTCCGCTAAGCCCTTCCACGTTTCCCGACCGTCCAAAGGCGCTTCCAGCCCAACGATGTGGGGCTGCAGACGCCGGAATACCTTTTTTTCAGTTGGTATTCGGTGCGGGGTGAATTACTAGTTACCCGACTGCAAGGCGTAGAGCGTCACACAACGTGGTGGTCTTTATTGTTTCTCATGCTCTACTGCGGGCTTTTATGATCTCATGACATGATCAAGAACAGATGGAAACACGATAGGAGCTTAGTGTTATTCACGGATCGTCTTAATGAAAAAGTACCTTCGCCATGTTGATCGCGTCGTACTTCGAGTAGTGCAGTTGTCCTAGGATGTAAATGTGCGAATTCTTCGCCACCATTGGGTTGTTTAAACACCACTCTGCCAAGTCCTCGTTTGTCGTATCGCGCAAAACGCGGTACAAATCCAAGCCGTACGCCATCGCTTTGTCCAAGTAATCCTTCGGCTCCTCGACTTTCGCACCACTACTTATGGGGGTGTCAGAATCGAAATCGTCAAACTTGAAATAGTTTGCCATACATAAATAAATGCAACGCAAAAATTGTCTCCATTGCAGAGGACGCAAGGAAGGCAGATTGTAGTGCTGGTAAGGGTCGAGAATTGTGCTGCTGATAAGCATAACAGACGGGAGCCCATTTGCCCTAAACAGCATGACAGACTTGCTTTAGAGGGAAAGAAAATTTGTCAGGCGCCGCCTATAAACTGTGGGCCCAACTGGTATAAATTTCAGGCATTGCAAATTTTTTCAACTTTGTCGATTTCGATCCTGACACTCCCATACGCATACTACTACTGGATTTATTATTTTTCGACGACTTAGAAGAACTGCTCGAGCTCTTCTTCGACTTACTACTCTTTCTGCTACTTTTCTGTTCCGCTTTTTGTCCTCCACCTCCCGTACTACTTCCAGTGACGATGTGGGGCACTACCGAAAAGCTGCCTGTGGTCTCCAGACCCTTCGCCGATGCGACAGGCACCGGGACAACGGATTTCCCGCCCTCCGCCACATCGAGTAGGGTGGGGTTTATCCAAGAAAAAAACTGTGTTAGTGTAAGTCTTTTGGGAAAACAGCATCACAAGTTTGTCTGCAATGACAGCAAAAACCTGTTATGCGCAGCTAGGAAGGGAAGACACATAGGAAACGAGCCGGTCATGCATGTCGAGCATGACAAGTGTAAACTGTTTTGCATTCTCTGCATCACAGATTTACAATTACACAGTTTTTTTCTTGCATAGGGTTATTGGGGGGAAGATTTGTAAAATTCGCGTCTTCGATCGAGGAGTCCACGTGCTCGGAAAACCGAACTGCTATGCCTTCCTCAGGTGTCACACTCTCAAACGTTACAGTAGAGAGTCTGGAATTTGTCTTGCATGAACAGCATGAGTACCATACCGAGACTTGCGCTTTTCGCATTACAAGTTTCGCCGGATTGCTCTAGTGGGGCTTGAGGCTCCAGAAGTTGTCATGCGTGTAGTTCCTGTGAGAGTAGGCCAGATGAAGCACGACTTGCATCACAAAATCCAGACTCTAAAGTAACGTTTGAGATTGTAAGACATGAGCAAGTCATAACTGCGGGCCTCTCCTTCTGCGAAGGTTGACCAGATGCTGTTTGGCTATTATTTTCTGGGTAATTATTTTGTGCGTCTACTAAAAACCCATTCTCTTGGTCGCCAGTCGTGCCTTCCGCTGCGTTAAAAACGCCGCTCTGTGCACCACCACTGCCCCAATTCGCATTCATCTTCTCCTTTTCCCTCTGTCGTCGCTTTTTCTCCATCTTCTTTTGCAATTTCGTCGACTTCGGTTCCCACCGCTCCTCGGGTACGACAAAAATCGAGGGCACCGTTTCCAGAGAGACTTGATGATTCGCCGCGTGTTGGGGGTGTGACAACTGTTGGTGGAGCTGCGACGATTTATTGGCGGTAGTAGACTTGTGCTGGTTTATCGCAACAGCACCTTGGTGGTGCTGTTGTTCCACCGCGGTAGTTGTACTATTTCCGTCGTAGAACAGAAAACTTCCCGTGCTCTGATTCAGCTGGTCCTGCTTGTTGTCAAAATAACCGGCGGCTCCTTTTGCAGTTGCCTTACTAGTAGTAGCACCTTTAGAAGTTGGATTTTCTTTGCTAGACGACGAGGACGAAATTGCTCCTGCACCTCCAGACAGCTCCGCCTCAACTGCATTGGTGAGGCTGTCTTGTTTCTCAACCTTGATCGAAGTTCCGCTGAACTCCTTTGACCTTTGCTTCTTCAGCAAGGTTGGCTTGTCGGCGTTGCTCAGAATCTTCTCTGCAGCGGTCTCAAGCGACAGAGGTCCGGCGTTTTCCCCTTCCTCCCCACAACTCTCGGTTGCGCCATTCATCGTCCCCACAGCGCTGATGTTCAGAATGCTGCGGGAAAACTTCCGTCCCAGCGCTTTCCGCAGGTCCGTGTGTTCGGAGCCGAGGTTGGTTTGCTTGTTGCTCAGGATCTGATTCTGAAGGTTGGCGGAATTTTGTCCGAGGTAGGCCACGTTTGGCGGCGGCGGCGGGGGAATTTCGATCAGGTTGCCGTGCCCGTCGAAAGTGGAGGAATTCATTTTGGCGGCGCGCTTCGCGGCGTAACCCGCCGCGGAGGCCGCCATTTCCGCAAGCATCTCCTGGGCGGTAGGCTGGTGGCCTTGGTTTTTTTGAATCGCAGCCCCAATCGTAGCAGCTGTGGAGGCGGCGGCCTGTTGTAGTTTTTTTCCCGGAGTTTACTTATGTTGCGGTTCATTGATGAAAATAAATTCCTCGATCACAGAGACGTACAAGGCATAGAGCAGCTCTCAAAGTCCTGATCTCGAATCGAGCCCCTCGATCTGTTTTTCCTTTAAATGCAAATCTTAAAAAGCAAAAAAAAATCGCAAGTACCTGCTCCGCCGTCAGCTTTTCCTTGGACAAAGATTTTTTCCTTCGCAGCTTGAGCGTTCCACCCACCGCGTTGCCATTAGTTCCCATCGCAACACCGGAGCTACCACCTATGGGCGAATTCATTTGTTCCCGCAACAACGCTTCTTTCAAGTGTGGATTCTGTTCGAACAAGACGGATTCGTCCCCGTCGACAAACTTTATCATGCCGTTCGCGTCTAATTCATACGCGGGCATGGAGAAAATCGGGGGCGGTTTTTCCCGGGGCTTTTTCAGTCTTTCCTTCTGCTTCTGCAGGTCCACAGGGTCGTTGCTCATTCCCACGGGTATGAACTGGTCGGTTTCTGGCGGGATGTGGTCCGGGTTGATCAAAAGCTTTTTCTTCTTCTTCTTTTTCTTCGGTTGTGGAGAAGAATTTCCATTATTCCCACCACCTGATCTCGGCCGCGGGTTCAACACGTGGTGGCTGGGACTTAGATTGTTCAAATCGTATGCGTTATTGAGTTGTATCAAATGCAAATATGTCTGGGTCTGGAAACTTGTAATGCTGGGTGGGAAATAGTGAAAGCTCTGTAATGCACAGCCAAGCATGAGAAATATCTGCGCTACTTAGTTTTGCACTTTCCGCATGACAAACTGCGTTTTTGCATGACAAGTAATGCATCACAAACGTTTCAGGATGCCAGACAAGCATGACACACATCCAGACCCGGAAATATTTGCAATCCATAAGTTGTCCGCTATTGCCATTGTTCCCATTCGCGTTCTTCGCCCGCATAGCGGAGGACGGTCGTCTCGAGTTGATAAATTTCCAGTAACTCGCGCCCGCTTTTTCCTTCGACGATGAAGTAGTTGTGCCTTTATTCATGATTTTATTCTGCGGATTCTGTCCGAGGCCAAAGTTGTGCATTTTGGTTAAATTGGTCCCCTGGTAGTTGTCTGAGGCGAAATCTCGGATTTGGTTGGCTGCGTTGTTCACCAAATCCCTGTCAGAACTGTTTTTCTGATTGCTATTGCTGTTCCCCGCTGCACCAGAACTACCCATGACAAAGTCGTTCCGTGCCATCAGCGCTTTGTACCCGTCAGACTGCCTATTGCCGCCCCACCGCAAGTTCGCGATCTGATACGGCTTTTCCCGTTGCAACTTCCGCCACGTGGCGAGCAATTCGCGGGCCTCCTCTTGCTTTTTCGTCTGCGAATCTTCTGATTCCGCGTCGGATATGTCGTTGTCCGACTGGTGTCGATTTCTGGTGCTATGGTGCGTTCGCTGTTCTTTCTCCTCCTTATTGTGCAGCATGGTTTGAAACCCGTCCGATCTGGTGCGCCAGCTTTTGCTCCCGGAATTCCTCTTCGTGTTCTTTTGCAGCAAAATCTGGGAGGCACTCATCGGGAAGTCGCTACCACCTCCAGTAGCGTTGTTGTGCTGATGGATGTTGTGAAACCCGGTGGAGGAGGAAGAAAAGCCGTTCATTTGCTGGTCGTTGTACACCCGGGCGGATTCGCGCATCGAAATCATCCGCGGAGTGGCCGCGTCCGCCGCGTTCGGATTATTGGTGTTCCCACCGGCCCGGGAGCTTGGCCTCGAATTCCCCCCACCATCTTTCGCAGAGTCCGGACCGCCGAACATCTCTTGCTGTTGCTGCTGTCGCGTCATTCGGTGCTCTTGCAGGAATTCCAAAGCGGCGTTCGCGACACTGGCCGCGCCCGATTTGTTCTTCTTTCTCTTCTTGCTAGGCGAAGTGCCAGAAGCTGTTATAATCCCTGCTCCCGCGGCAGTAGATGAACTTCCGTTCAGCTGGTTAGTCGCTTGTTGCAGCAACTGCATCCTCCGCTCGAGTGGCGACAAGACCGTGTTGGTTTTGCTCAATGGCTTCCGTTATCAAATGCAAAAGTGTCTGGGTCTGGAAACTTGTGATGCTGGGTGGCGTATCATGAGGAGGCCACAAGTGCTGGCCCAGCATGACAAGTTTCTGAGCTTCTAGGTGTTGCCTATTCTGCATGACAAACTGAGTTTCTGCATGACAGAAAAATGACGCTCTTGGGTAACGTGCATGACAGATTTGAGAGTCATGCGCATGCCAGACAAGCATGACACACATGAACTCTTCCAGACCCAGACATTTTTACACTTGATATCCGTGGTCTGGTTTTCCGATTCCCCGGACTCGATGCGCGACGTTGGTCGCTCGCCGATTTCGGCCGCTCGCGGAATAGTTGTTGTAAACCGAGTTGTTGCTGCCCTAGTGGGTTGTGTTGCTGCACCAGCCCTGTCAGTGTGTTGCCAGAAGATGACTGCTGCTGCTGCTGCTCGGTAGCCGATTGCGGTGCTCCAGCAGTTTGCTCTTGCTCCATCTTGCTCGAGGAAGAACCCCGATTATTGCCGCGGATATTAAGCCCTCCTGTTATGGCGCTGCCACCATTCTGTTCCTCAGCTTCTTGTTCCGCATAATTACCATCCTCCGCGCTGTCAACGTCGTCGACGTTCGCCTCACCCCCTTCCGCCTCCGACTGCTGATCAGCGCCGTCCTCCGCCCCCTCCTCCTCATCTGCGATCACGTGGTGTCGTCGCCTGCTCGTCGGATTTTTCCGGTACAACTTTCCCAAAGCAGCCTTGATCTGCGCATCCGTCTGCAGCTGCTGCTGCTGTTGTTGTATTAAAAGGTGCTGCTGGTGTTGCAACTTAGCAGAAGCACCACCTCCCCCTCCCTGCGATGATGAACCCAAACGCTGCTGTTGCGCCGCGCTGTGCGAACTCAAGGATTGCGACCCGTCGGGCCTTGAATTCATATTTCGCATTGAACTCCCCGCGGCGCCACCAGCACCGCCGGTGGGGGATCTGCTCGGAACGGGGGAACGGCTGGGAACAGGCGATCGACTTGGTGGTCGCCGAGAATTCTGGTTCCTCTCCTCTTCATTCCCCGAAAATGTTGCCATAACACCACCGCCTCTATTGTTCGACGAGGAGCTTGCGTGGCCACCACCTCCTCCTCTACCCCCGGCCGCGCTTTTCACCGAGCCAGTCGGACTGGTCCTCGGCAATGGCCCATACACGTTGTTCCTCGGACTGTTCCGCTCCGTACTCGAAGCGCGGCCGGACCCGCCGGGAATGCGGTTTTGTAGTTTCATGGGCGACCGGCTCCGCAGGTCTTTCAGCCCCGTGTCCACCTTCGCGGCGATTTTAGCATACTTCTTCGCTTCATCCAGCTCTATATCGGAGGAATTGCAGCTCCACTCCATCTGCGTCGACATTAAACTATCCTCCCCCGCCGTGTTAGAGGAACTCGATTTCGGCCGGGGCAGAGGTATCAAGTGCAAAAATGTCTGGGTCTGGAAGAATGCAACTTGTGCTGCTGCATTTGGATTCCCAAAAAAATCTGTATTGCATGAGTACCAAAGGGAGTGCGATTTTTGCTACGCTGAGAAGGCATTTGTCTGGCGGAATATGCATTAAGAAGCCCTCAAAAAATCTGTATTGCTAGGGTATGCAACACAGACATCATGGCTCATGCAAAACGTGCATGACAAGTGTCAAGAATCTTCCAGACCCAGACATTTTTACATTTGATAAGGGGTTGCAGCAACTGATTCCCCGTCAGAGTGTCTATCACGAACGGCGGGTCGTTGGTTTGATCAGTCGTGTGGAAGGTCGTGGTTGCCTTGTTGTTTCGAATTGCACTGCTGTTATTTCTTGCGGAGGACTGGCGCTGGGTCGACGCTGACGCGCCGTTCTCTCCAACCGTACTTGTTCCGACGGGGGCACTACTCGCAGCCTGATCCATCGCCGCCGTGAAGCTGTTGCCCGCATGCTTCTTTTTCATCTCCGAGGTGGAACTGCCTGCAGTTGTACTAGAGGTGGTCCCAGCATGTAGTGCTGTTGACCCAGACTTAATACTGTTCCCGGCACCACCGCCCGCCGACGCGGAACCTTTTGACTTCGAACGTGACGTCTTCCGCGACTCCCCCCTAGGACCTGCAGCGCCGCCCTGTGCTGCTGCTGCTTTCGAGGCGGTTCTACTACCTGCTGCAGCTCCGTCCGTAGTAGTTCCTGAACCGCTTGTTCCTCCCCCCTTCGTGCTCGGACTGCTCTTCGGCCGCTTGGCTTTCGCAGCCAGCCGCGCCATGATGTACGCGTTCGTGAGCATGCTGTTGGTGATTTTCTGCTTCTTTTCCGGCGAAGTTCCGGTCCCGTCCTCGTGGTCTAGTACCCCGTCTTGTTCTCCGCCTTGCCGATTCGATGAAGCTTGGTTCAATCTCGCAGCCCGCGCCAACGCTTGACTCCCCATCGCGATGTTGATTTCCCTTTCTCGCTTCGCGATCTCCACCTGCTCTGCTGCTAAGCGCTCCGCGGCGGCTTCTATGAGAGTGCACAAGCCCCCCTCCCCCTCATTTGTATGGCATGAGCAGCAATACAAATCCCGACACACGTGGAGCCTGTGCATGGCAAATTCACGCGCCTAGTGTAGTACTGTTTGGGCTTCCGGATGAACCTGGCATGCAGACAGTGCCACAAAGCAGCGCTTGAATTTGGGTTTTGCATGACAAACGAGGGGAAGGGGGAGTTGTGCACTCTCTTAGCTTCCTTTTCGCGCCACTTTTTCCAGTCCCCGTCGAACTCCGGCGGCAGCTCGGTGGACAGCCGCGGAATGTTATCAAAAGGAAAAATCTCCCTACCCCATATCGAAATGGAAATCTGTGATGCGGGATTTGTGTACACAAATCGGCCTTGTATTGCAGGAAGGCATCGCGGCCAGATCCCCAGGCTATGTAGGGGCGTATCGGTCTTCTAGTTGCTCAGCATGGCAAACGGCTCCCCTTTAGGCCCGACAGCATGACAAATCGCAGCCATAATGGGGGCGAACCTTTTGCCCTTGTCTTCTTGCAAGACAGATGTGATTTGTGACCTGAAATCAGCAACACAAATTTTCGGAAACATGCCTTTTCGATATGGGGAGGGGGGATTTTTCCTCACAATAAATGTGCTCCTTGGGTCGCAAGGGCTGCACGGCCTCATGTTCCATTTCGGAGGAGGAAGAGTTGGAAGCAGAAGATGTCGTCGTTCCTACTACTCCCTCATTATCTTTGTTTACCCGCTCCCGCCGCTCTTTCTCCTGCCGTAAAGTCAACGCCTGTTGCGAGAGTAACGCGTCCTTCAAAGTCGCGGCGCCGCCGTAAAGTGCCGCGTAAGACATATTGCGGGAAGTTGCTGCGTCTGCTGGTACTTCGCCAGAAGTCACGGGCTTCGTGCCATCGACAGCAGTAGACGACACTGCTCTGGAGCTGCTCCCCTCGGTAATCTCCTCAATGCTCGAAGTGGACTTGTTAATGTTGTTCGTGTTCTTCCCCTGCTGATGCAGCACAACAACATTACCGCCGGCGCTGCTAGCTCGCATCGCTTTCTCAGATTTATTTTCATTCTCTCCATGCAACACGTCTGATCCAGCCCCCTTCTGCTTCGTTGCACTAGTCGACACCGGACGTGAGGACCGATTTGCGGAGGTGCTGGAGGAGGAAGCCGAGTTGCTTCCGCTTTTGACACCGTTCGCGTGGTCAGATGATGATGATGATGAAACTCCGCCTTTATTGTTACCTCTAGAAGTAGTTGTGCCACCAGTGCTGCTACCTTGTCTTAACAACTCCTTCTCTACTGCGCCGCCAAGAACTTCTACCGCGCTGCTGTCTGTGCTTCCGCTGTTCTGGTCCGACGGACCGCCGCTGGAGGTTGTCCCCCCCGTGGTCGCGGTTGCTGTACTACCGACGCGTCCGCTAGTACTAGCACTACTTCTGTTCTCGCTCACTATAAAATGCAAATATGTCTGGTTCTGGAAACTTGTGATGCTGGGTGGCGTATCATGAGGAGGCAACAAGTGCTGGCTCAGCATGACAAGTTGCTGAGCTTCTAGGTGTTGCCTATTCTACATGACCAACTGCGTTTCTGCATGGCAGAAAAGTGGGGCTCTTGGGTAACGTGCATGACAGATTTAAAGAGTCATACCAGACAAGCATGACAAACATGCATTCTTCCAGACCCAGACATTTTTGCAGTTGATACTCATTTCCCTTAAACTATTTTCCGCCGTGTATCCTATGTAAAAACGTCCCCACACCATAGTTGTATTGCAAATCTCCATGCTGAAATTGTTTCTCATGCGGAGCCCCATGAGAAGCATTTTTCAATCGTGCTTTGCAATTTGTCATGCTCCAATCAGCACGATATACTAGGTCTGTAATGCTGCTGAGCTAGCTCAAACAGCACTAAGCTACGAGTCCAAATTTGTCATGCAAGACACCCAAAACTTGTGGATTTGTCTAGCCAATCCCCCATCTTGACTATGGGGTGGGGACGTTTTTACATAGGATACCGTGCCAATGTCCCGGGGCCGCCACCCGGTCTTGCTGTTGCGCTCAAACGCGAGCAGATCTTCCAGGGCGTATTACAATGAAAAATGCCCCCTCCCCATATCACAACGGAAATCTGTGATGCAGATTTGTGGTCACAAATCAGCTTTGTGATGCTAGAAGGGAAGAGATGCGGATTGAAGTGCTGGCTGGCGCGGGGACGCCTTGCGTCTTCAGCATGACAGGAAGCAACTGGAAACGGGAAATAGCATGACAAATTGCCTCCAAACGAGGGACCAACTGCGCCTCTTGGCCTTCTAGCAATACACAACGATTTGTGTACTCAAATACAGCAACACAAGTTTCGTTTTTGATATGGGGAGGGGGGATTTTTCCTTTTGATAGGGCGTGCTCCCGGTTGGCGCTGTCTGCGACGTTCGCATTCTGTAAAATGTTCGGCACGAGCAAGTATCAAATGTAAAAATGTCTGGGTCTGGAAGAATGCAACTTGTGATGCTGAATTTGGATTCCAAAAAAATCTGTATTGCATGAGCAGCAAAGGGAATGCAATTTTTGCTACGCGGAGAGGGCATTTGTCATGCGGAATAGGCATCGCGAAGCCCTCAAAAAATCTGTGATGCTAGGGCATGCATCACAGACATCGTGGCCAATGCAAAACATGCATGACAAGTCTCAGAATCTTCCAGACCCAGACATTTTTACATTTGATAGCAAGGGGTCGACCACGTCCTCCAACTTTTCCGTTTTGGACAGCAGCTGCTATCCTGAGTAAAAACGTACCCACACCATAGTTGTCATGCAAATCTGCATGCTTAAAATGTTTGTCATGCGGAGCCCCATGAGAAGCATTTTCTAAGGGTGTTTTGAAATTTGGCATGCTCCAATCAGCATGAGAGACTAGATCTGTAATGCTGCTGAACTAGCTCAAACAGCACTACACTACGCGTCCAAATTTGTCATGCGAAACAAGCAAAGTTGGCCGATTTGTCTAGCAGATTTTCCATCTTGACTCTGGTGTGGGTACGTTTTTACTCAGGATAGCTGCGCCGCGTTCGCCAAAAGCTCTGGCGTTAATCCCACCGGGATATTCACCTCATCCCGCTTCGACGTCAGTTTCCGCTTCTTGATCTGCCGCTTTTTCGGCGATTGCTGCACAAAACCGAGGTAAATGAACCGGTCCTCTTCCTCTACTTCGAGCGGGTTGTTTTTGTTGTTTTTATTCCCGTTCTTTTTCTTCTTGTTCGGACTAGAAGTACTGTTGGTCCCGTCGGGATCGAGAGTTATGTTGTCTGCATTTAATGCTACCCCGCCGTCTTGACTCAATGCTCCTGCACCAGCTTGTTCCTGGTCTGTTGCAGCAGTACTAGAGTCCGCCTGGTGCTGATTTTCTCCACTCATCTGCTCCTTGCCCGCAATGAAAGACGACCCCTGCAGGGCCTCCGGAACTCCGCCGTCTACTGGCTCGCTGTTCGAGGTTGCTTGTTGTTGATCTCCGACGACCGCATTGGTAGCTCCGGCACTTGAAGATGCCGATGATCCTGCTACCGCTGCTGCGGTCCCACTACTCCCGCCAATGCTCGTCCCGCTTGCAGCGGAGGAGCCACCAGCTCCGGTCGGGGGTTGTGGCATAGTAACCGTTGAGTTGCCTGCTCCACCAAAACTAGCATCAGTTTGCGCACCAGAAGCAGCTGCAGAAGAAGTGCCAGTGTTCATCTTCCCATCTCCACTATCACTGCCAGCCGCAAGAACTTTTGGACTGCTCAACAGCGGAACCATTTTCACGACGCCGTCCTCCACTTCCTCCGCCCCCGCTTCGTCATCTACAGCCGACAAAAGAGGCATCCCCCCGCCGGACTCCCGCGCTATATTAACATCGTCCCGGCCGAGGTAGTTGTAGCTGGATTTGTTATTGTTCAGCTTATTCCCCAACCCGCCAGTACCAGCAAGCTGTTCCTGCTCAAATTGTAGCTGTTGCTTCTCCTCCGCAAAAGTGCGGATCTTCCGCATCTTCTTGGCGTGGTGCTTGATATCTTCGACCGTTTTTCGCAACAGTTGCCGATTCTCGCTGGACAGTTTCGCCATGTTCTCCTCAAAACAGTCCTTCTTGGTCTTCTTCTGCTGTATGGGTGTGTCAGGATTGAAATCGACAAAGTTGAAATAATCTGTGATGCACAAAATGCAAGGCACGAAGTGACTGTCTTGCAGGGATTGCAAGTGAGGCCGATTGTGAACCTGTTTCGGGTTTGTGATAGAGGTGCTAAAGTAGCATGGCAAAGGATGCCTTCTTTCGCTAAACAGCATGACAAACTGGATTGCGATAACGTAGAAATTTGTCATGCGCCGCTTGAAAATTGGGCTTCGGAATGGTATCGGTTTTATGCATCACAAATCTTTCAACTTTGTCAAATTCAATCCTGTCAGTTCCATATGCTGTTGCAGTGTCGTATTTCGCTTGATGTTGTGCGCGTTGGGGTACACATGCTGGTGCTGGGTCGCCGGGTGGAGCAGGCTGCCGGGCTGCGATGCGGAAAGTGCGACATTGGAAGAACCGCTACCGGCGCCCGGCCGCTGGTTGAAGAAGATGTCCATAGTCGATGCGTCAGTCGCTGGAATGAAGAGTACTACACAGTTTTAAAAAATTCAGAACATAGAGGAGTTCCGAGCATATTGGCAAATACGTAAACTGTGCGGAAGTACTACATATCATGAGAAGCAAACGCAGCTGCCCCTTGTATTCTATCTTGCTGCTCTGCCTTACCTTCACGCGTGCTCCTTTGACCAAGGAGGCCTAAAGTAGAGTGGACAAAGCGTGAGTCTGTGTTGTATTTTGTGCGCGCACTAAATGAACCGACGGGAGGACGAGGCAGAGAGTCGCCCGTTCTTCGAATCATGTGGAAAAAGACGACAACGATCGATGTGCGACAGTAGAAATGTAATCTATTCGGGGTTGACTATCTGCTCACGACGCTCAACAAACACAAAGATGACATATCTAACGAGCGACAGTACGAAGTGTTCACTTTCATGAAGAGTATACATGATCCACCGGGACGAGACCACTGCGAAGTAACGATTGAGTCGATTTTTACCGTGGTGCCATTTGGCCTTACTCCAGGTCCCCTTCCGGATCCGGCATCAAGATCGAGGATAGTCGAAGAAAATAACTCATGCCGAGCGCTGAAAAATCGCAGAGAGAGTGAAACAGGAGCTACGAAGAGAACCAAAAAACGACCACATGATTCACGGCAATGAGTCACTACTTTTAACCGATGCTGCAACACCCTACGCGGTTCGAAAAAATCAACAAGGATTCGCACCCTGCTGCTGAGTCGTCCGAAAACTTTTCTCAGCAAGAACCGCCAGGCGGCATCAAGCACAGGCTCGTCAAATTCTTTAGATTTTGCTTTGTTTATACTTTCGTCTTTCATTTCACTTCTTTCGCTTTTTCTTACGGGGTTGAAACTTCCACAGGCTTCGAATCGTACTGGTTGAGAATCACTAGAGAAGTGATGATCGAATCATACTGGCTTCGAGGAATCGTACTGGTTGTTGGGCGCAGGAGCCGCACCGGCGTAAAAGTACAGACCCTTCTTACAGCACCTCGCGGGAACTACAACGACCGGCTCACGGCAATAGGGGCAGTTCCGGACTACACAAGCACGGAGTAGAAAGCGAGACGATAGAACTCAAGGAAAATTGTCGCACTAGTGGACTACTCCCAAACTGGTTCCTTTTTGCAGCTCTTTGCCCCAAACGGATGAAAAGCGACTACATTGAAACCGCAACTACTCAGTATAAAGATTTCAATAGATTTACTCCTGCTCACTCACGAGAATTGTCACTTCTCGTGGAAAAATACCACTAGTTCTAGTTGTACACTACGGTATATGCATAAAATTGATTTTTCATCAACACTGCAGCCCATTTTTCATCGCGAAACGATAGCTATTGTCAAAGTAGTCCAGCCTTGTTTGAGTTGTATAGATACGTGGAGCGTATTTTTCTTGGTTCTTTTGTTTGTAAGTGTTTATCACTTCAGCCTATTCTTCTATCTGTCATTGGTCTCTGCCAACGCATTTCCTGCGTTAGCTGAGATACTAGAATGTGATGTTTCTAATGTTTAACTTGAATCGTTCCAGATGGCTCTGGTTCTTTATCTTTTGCGATTATTTTCCCGATCTACTTCCACCCGAGTGGTGTCATACATACAGCACACAACTCTTGCCGGTCCCTTTACTTCTTTATGGGAGTGTCAGGATTGAAATCGTCAAAGTTGAAACGATTTGTCATGCATAAAATGCAGCCCACAAAGTGCCTGTCTTGCAGAGTAGGCAAGTGAGGCAGATTGTAAGCCTGTTGAGGGGTAGACATTGAGCTGCTAAAGTAGCATGACAAAAGGCGTCTTCCTTACCCAAACAGCATGACAAACTGGATTTCCGTTCTACCCAAATTTGTCATGCGCCACTTGAAGACTGGATTTCAAGTGGCATCCATTTTATGCATGACAAACTATTTCAACTTTGACGATTTCAAACCCGACGCTTCCATATTCTTCCGGTCAAAATTAATGTTGTACTTCGCAGCATCGTATTTCGTTTTTTCCGGCGAAAATTGCAGCTTGTCCAGGTTCGGGAGCTTCCGCTGGTATCCAAGAAAAAAACTGTGTTAGTGTAACTTTCATGGAGGAATGGCATCACAAGTTTGCTCTGCATGACAGAGAGAGCCTGTCATGCGTGCCTAGTACGTGAAAACACGTAAGAAAAGAGCTTCTGATGCATGTCCAGCATGACAAGTGTAACTGTTTTGCATTTTCTGCATCACAGACTTACACTTACACAGTTTTTTTCTTGCATAGCTGGCTCTCCTCGTGCATTGCGGACGGGAGCATTGCGTGATTTACGCTCACGGCGCGCCCTCGGGCTTTACCTGCGTGTTATTTTGCAGGCCGAATCAGAAATTTTTTCGCTTTGTCTGCAGTACAAAAACTACAAACAAGTTCTTTTCTTAGTCTGCACGACACAAAAATCCAATGAGAAAAGTATAGTACTATCCTGCTGCAGCAGTGTCTTGGCGTCGCGTTCGCACATGGCAATGGAATTGCTTTTTCGGAACTGCATCGCAGCGTAGTTCAACGGAGTGTCGTGGAATTTAGATTTTACCTGGACATTTTCATTTTCTCCTCGGCTATTTCTAAATTAATTTTTGTACCATTCAACAACATTTTACCTGTAGCCTGATTCAAGAAGCGCATGACATCAAGCATCGACTCAAAGACACACGACGAGGATGATTTATCGAATCGATGATTTTTCAAAAAATCGAAATACAATCCCGACGGTTTCGCTAGTTTTCGGGCCGAGTATGCTCCGCCTCATGTTTGCCAGAGCGCTACTTCTTTCCCCGGCATCTGTACTTGGAACGGGCCCCACGCCGCCGGGCAGGGCGCCGCCGCGTGCGGTGCTCATGACCGAAGTGCGGTTGTTCACGCCAGGTAAGCTGCCCCCGCCCGTGCCGGACACCGACTGCCGTATTGACATTCTCACGGTGCTATCAACTGCAAATATGTCTGGGTCTGGAAGATTCCGATATTTGTCATGCTAGTCTGGCATGACTCTGAAATCTGTATTCCGTGGCCGCGAAGAACCCCTCTTGCCTGTCATGCAAAAACGCAGTTTCTCATGCCGAGTACGCAACTCAGAACCACGGAAAAACTTGTCATGCTGGGCAGCGCATTGCAGCGTGCTCATTTTTCCCTTCCCTGCATCACAAGTTCCAGACCCAGACATATTTGCAATGCATAGGTGCTCATCCGGGAAAGCCGTCGGTTTTGCTCTTGCTGGTCGAATATCAAACGGAAATGTGTCTGGGTCTGGAAGAGTGCAAGGCTGTCATGCTTGTCAGGCATGAGTCGTACATCTGTGATGCATCAGCAGGAAAAGGGCCTCTTCCTTGTCATGCAAAAACGCAGTTTGCCATGCGGAAAACGAAACACAAAAATAGCAGCTCAAAAACTTGCCATGCTCGGCTGCGTCTGGCAGTGCGCCCAGCATTCAAGGCTTTGCATCACAAGTTTCCAGACCAGGACATATTTGCAATGCATATCGAAGGTTGCGTCTCGCTCCGCCTCTACGTCCTCACCGACCACCCGCTTACTGCTCTCCACCTTGGGTTGTGTAGTTGTTGGCATGATAAAATGCGTTTGTGTTGCAATATTTCGAATGACAAATGATTCACCACAAAAATGCACAAGAAACTAACCAACCTGGACGTGCGCCGATTCCAGAACGTCGGCCGCTATCACCATGTCGTTGCTCTGCATACTGAACCACGGGTGCTCCTGGGCCGCCGCGGCGGATGGCCTCTGATTCACGTCAGGTTCCAGCATTTTCAGCACGAAATCCTTCGCCTGGTCCGACATCTTTACGGTATCTGGTATTGTCGCTTTCTTCGACAAAATCGACGCCATCATCTTGGAATCGGTATCCCCTTTGAAGGGAAACTTACCGACCATGAGCAGGTAACAAACCACACCGACCGCCCATACGTCGCCGGAAAAGCGGTAACGCCCCCGAATCTGCTCGGGGGAAATGTACTGCACCGTACCTTGTTATTTGTCATGCATACCCGACATGCGAGAACGGAACGATCGAAAACTCTTTGTCTTTTGCATTTTTGCGCAATACAAAATAGAACTGTAGTACGAAAACTAGTAAAAAAACAGCTATACCGCAACAGGTCTGCAAATGGTCCTCATCGCCGATTATCGTGCTGAGGCCGAAATTATGACAGTGCACAACCCTCCTAGTTGTCCTCCACCTCATTTATTGCAAGGCCAGCCTCGACTACCATGCATGAGAAGAGAAGTCACAGAAACCCAAACAGACCTAGGATCCGTCAGGACGCGAATTTTTTGTCATGCAGAGCTGTCACTTTTGCTGCCGTCAGTGTTGCTGGATCTGCCTTCCAAATGAGGGCGATCAGAGCGAGTCGTGCACCATTTTCGTACAAATCGATCAACGCCAAGTCGCTACTGGGTTCCAACGTGCGAAACAGAAAGTTTTCCGGTTTTATGTCCCGGTGCACCACCGAGACCTCGGGCGACGCGAGGTAGGCGTATTCTGAGTAAAAACGTCCCCACCCCAGAGTTGTCATGCAAATCTGCATGCCAAAAAAGTTTGTCATGCGGAGCGCCATGAGAGGCATTTCCTAGTCGTGTTTTGGAATTCGAATTTGTGATGCTACAATCAGCATGATATACTACATCTGTGATGCTGCTGAACTACCTAAAAAGGATTACTAAACTACGAGGACAGACTTGTCATGCCAAACGACCAAAGCTGGCGGATTTGTCTAGCAGATTTCCCATCTTGACTCTGGTGTGGGGACGTTTTTACAAATGATAAGGCGAGCGCCTGCAGCATCATCTTCACGTACCGTGCGGCCTCCTTCTCCGTGATCTTTCGCTTCGCGTGTCGGGGTATGCATTGCAAATATGTCTGGGTCTGGCAGAGTGCATGTTTCTCATGCTTGTCTGGCATGACTCTTAAATCTGTCATGCACAATACCCAAGAGCCCCACTTTTGCTTTTCTGTCATGCAGAAACGCAGTTTGTCACGCAGAATAGGCAACACCTCGAAGCTAAGAAACTTGTCATGCTGAGCCAGCACTTGTGGCCTCCTCATGATACGCCACCCAGCATCACAAGTTTCCAGACCAAGACATATTTGCACCTGATACGGAGCCGGTGCATCAGCTCGCCGCCGAGAAACTCTTCCATGCAGATGTAGATAAACCGGTCGTCCGTGTAGTATATGCTGTGCAAAAGTATCGCACTCGTACTAATGGCAAACATTCGTTCGTTGTGGATCGGCTCTGCCGACCGGGTAACCCAACGCCTTGCATATAAATGACCGACTTAGGCGAACCCCGTTGCGGGCATACAAATTGGCCGTACGGAAGGGCCCTAAGCGCTACATACATAGTTCACCCTAAGCGCCTACCACTTCGGTCTGGGACCTCGTCTACCTGATCCTGGGGGTCCACAGCGCACTAGCCCTTTGCTAGCATAAACAGACTGGGTTCTAAAAACTGACTTAACTCCCTCCATCCTTTCAACAGTAAGGCCATCATAAAGGTGCGCTAAAAAAGGTTCGGGGCGCTCCGTACGGAAGGGAGCCTTTCGACGCGGCGTACACTCTCCTGTAGAGGTTTACGCGGAACACGGATGGGCCGCGCACGCAACTCAGTCGAGGAGGACACACGCTATCCTCAATAACAGAGGCGGTAGTCCCTCACGGCGGCTGGCCTGTCTGAAGACTGTAAGCCCCACCTCCCATCTTCCCGGTTCGTCAATGACTCGGGCGAGCCATGTTACTTAGACTCCCCGCACATGCAAATATGGGACGGCTGGGGGGGTTTAAAAGGTGCTCGCGCCGTTCATGATCTACTATAAAAGAAAAGGTCTTACTTATACAAATGGCGGAGCTTATAACTACGAGCTGATGGCCTCCTGTTTAATGCTTCATCTCCCTCCTTCCTCTTTTCTTCCTTCTTCAATTAAATTCGCCCCCCTCTTCACCTTTACCTCGCCTCTGTTTCAATTTAACTCGCCGCCATCTAACTCGCCTCCTTCCTTCTTCGCCATTAGTCGCCTCCTCTCCTGTCTCTTCCCCACTTTGACTCGCCCCTTTCCCGTCTAGCTAGCTGCTCCCGGCTCGCAGTTCAGAGTCTTCGCGCATTCAAGTCGAACGCCTGGCCCCGTTACCTGCGTAATTATTTTTTTTTATTTTTTTTTTTTTTTGGGTCTGGATCGTCTCCGGGCTTCTCTATCTGGATGGGCTCGATCTTCTTAGCCTCTTGTCTTTACCTGCTTAGTATATTTTTTTTTTTTTTTAAGGATCCTTTAAGTTCCCCACCCTGCCTCGTGATCTGCCTGAGTGCTCCCGTGCTGATCTTAGTTGTATCAATTTCGTCGGCCGCTTAATGGGTCCACTAGCTGGACAGGTTTTGAAGGCTCTGAGAGCGATGGCGAGGCTTTGGGACGAACGCACCAATTCGCGCGAATCTTCTCGCCGGCTTCTCTTTTTTATTTTTTTTTTTTTGCTCTCCTGTTTCTGTTTCAGATTTAGAACTCTACTGCACTGGACTGCTGTACTTTTCAGCAGCCGGCAAAGTCTTGCAGTGATGTGTTTTTCAAACGGCCAACGAGGTGCATTTCTCAAACTTGTAGAACATTCAGACGCGACTCCCGAGCTGACTTAGAGACTTTTCAGCTGTTTAACCGTAGAGATCCTGCGTCGCTTGTAGTCGTCCTCCCGCTCTCCCTCCTGCGCCCATCTGCAAGGGTTCGCTGATAATCCGCTGCATCGTTTGCGCCAGCGTCTCCTCCTCTTCGGCTGCTTCTTGTTTATTATCTCCGTGCTGTTTGCTTTTCTGCCTTTTCCTTTGCGTTGTATCTTCTCCTTCTGCTTCTCTCTTTTTGGACTCTGTTCTTTCTCCTTCGGCGCTTTTTCTTCTCCTCACGTTTTCACTGTTGCTCGCTCTCCCTCTTTGTCCTGCAGCGCTACTTGCTCTCTGGTCTTGCGATGCCCCGGCTTCCTTTGAGTATCTTTTATGCCCTCCCTTTGAAAATTCTAATGAGTACGGCGCTTTTGAGGTTAGGGGGTCTACTTCCGCTCGCACTGGCTCGGCCAACTCCTTTGCTTCTGTCTTTTGCTTTGTGCTTTTCGCTTCCGCTTGTTTTGATTTTCGTTGAGTCGCCGGCTTCTCATTTCCTCCCGTGACTTTAGCTTCTTTCCCTGCGCTGCTCCGCGTTATTCCTATACTTATGCCTTTACTTTCTAGCGACGCCCTGGCTTTTGGCTGGACGGCCGAGAACCTGCTGCGTTGCGCGCTGCCTTCGTGCTTGCTTTTTTTTGTTTCTTTTTTCCCTCTTCCTTCTTCGCTCTCTTTCCGTTCCCCCCATTTTTCCTCTTTTGTTGTCGTCCCCTGTTTCGCTGGGCCGTCTCCCTCTGCGGTCACTTTCTGCCTCGTTTTTTTCTCCTTCCACTCCCCTACGCCACCCTGTGCCCTTTGCGCCCCTACCTTATCGACTCCTCCTGCTTCTTCTTTGTCTTCTTGGCCCGTTCCATCTACCTCCTCCCCTTCCCAAGTGTAGTCCCGCAGCTCTCCAGGTAGTATCTTCTTCTCTTTTCTTTCTACTATCGAGAGCGATAGCGACTGCAATGCTGTCCCCTTTTCTGTGTCTCTTATACTATTTCTCCTCGTGTCATTTCTATTCTGCGCATCCTCCTCTTTCTCCTTAATCATTCTTGCAGCGTTCTCCAGCAGCTTCCCCATTAGGTCCTCGTCTGCTTGCTTCACCTTTTTCCGTTCTACTAGATGCGCTTCTTCCTCACTTTCCTGCTCGTCTTGCCACTCTTTCAATATTCCTCTAATGTCGCTATTCTCCTTAATATCTTCGGGCTCTTCTATCTTTCTGAGTTCTTCGGGGCATAGTGCTCCTATTATGAAGTCCTGCCGCTCAGTCCTTGTCATCTCTGGCCAAGCTTCTACGTCTGGCAGCCCTAGCGCCCCTTCTCCGAAATCATATATCGGCCAGATTAGTGACCCTCTGTCCATCTCCGACACATCAATGGCGCGCAGGGTCTTGCTTGTCACTATCTCTACTCCTTCTCCCACCCTCCTCTCTTCTTCTTTTACTTCGAGGCCCCCCTTATCGATGCATATCCCCACTGTACCACTGTGGCCCTGGAGCCCTCTTATATATTCCCTTCTCCCACGATGCTCTTCCCGTCGTTCTTCCTGATACTATTCTTCTGCGGATCACTACTGTCAGCCCTAACTCGTCTGCTGCAATCACTTTCACCAACTCTCCATCCTTCGGCCATGAATTCTCATACGTTCTAGAGTTGTCCTGTACTATCCCTGTCGCCCTCAGATCTGACACTGCTGGCATCCTTATGCTCGTCCCTTTTCCCATTGCCTCCAGTAACGCTATATCTGCCACGTTTCTCTTCTCCATCATCTCTTTGATTCCCTTCGTTATACCTTGCTCCCCTTCTCCTAAAATTCGCACTGGTAACGTTGCCCACTTCATAAATAGCATGGCAAATCTCTCTCCTAAGTTAAAACAGCATTACAAATTCCACTTTTCTTCTTGCCAAAATTTGTAGTACGCTACTTTTGCAATGCATATAGTAGCCGTGAAAACCGACCACGTTCGGGTGCTTCATATCGCGAGAAAAAAGTGCTTCAACACTGCGAAGTTGCGATGCAAAAGATGCAACACAGAAGCACTTGTCTTGCTACACATGCACAACGTTGGATATTACTGGTCGCGTTTTTCCTTAGAGCAGATCCCGCATGGCAAATTCTCTTTCGCTTTGTCATGTGTAGCGAACTTGTAATGCAAAACTTGCAAAATCCTTACCGTGAAACACTTTTTTCGTGCGATACTTCATTCGCTTCATGCACTCGATCTCCATCATGAGCTCCTCGTACGTGACCCCCTGCTCGCATCGCAGGATGATCTGAAAGAGTTTATTGTCATGATCACGAGTTCTTGTTCCCCACAGAAGAGTAGGCGTCGTTGCCATGCAGTGCCATTGCATGTAATATGCGTCAAGAAACATGTTTTTGCAAGCCGAATCCAGTATGCTAGGAGTGCCAATAATAGCCGCGTCCGCGGAGGTAGTGAGGTCATGGCGGTCTTTTTGTCTTCACGCCAAAAAAGGACGCAACTTCTCTGCCCGCCATGCCAGCATCGTGAGTAATGTTATGAGTAATGTTATGCACGACGGCACGGCGGTCGCTAAAAATCTCAATCCAGAGGCGGCCTCCATTTGGTTTCGAATCGAAACACCTTCCCCGCATGCTATGGCCCCGCCAGGGCCCGCGCCAGGGTCGGCCCCTTGGGAGCCCCAAATCGGGCCCATAGCATGCGGATTGGCTTCTTGCTTTTGGCGGACTTTGTTTTTTTTGTTTTTTTTTTGTCAAAATGACGCATCTCCTGGCCTTCAGTCCGCCTCTGAAGTGGCGGACTTTGAGGGCGTCTTTTGCGGGGCCCGAATGTGGGGCAAAATGAGGCCCATACCATGCGGATTCGCTGTTTTTTTCGGAGTGCTGCTTTTTGGGCGCCCATTTTTGGGCGCCGCAAATCGCCAGAAACTAAGGCGGTGGGCGCCTCGGAAGGGCGCCCCTTCTGCCGGCTCCCCTGCGTCGTTTTATCCAGTGCGACTCGATAGTTTTCGACCGGGCTTGTTTGATATCAAAGCCCCGGCCGCTTGATAAATGAAATTTTTTTTATGTTCAAAAACACTTCCGGGCGCTTGAAAACTGCCGGTCGTTTTGCATGAGACATGTCAAAAAGATCGCTAGATTAGAACGTTCGTGACCTCACTACATATAAAACAACTATATCAAAGAACCTTGATAGCCACATGCTGCCCGGTCTTATGCGCCCGGGCCCTGCGGACCTGGCCAAACGCACCCGCGCCGATTTTCTCCTCGAACGCATATACATCTCGTATTGTGAGGAAAGATCCCCCCTCCCCATATCGAAAAGGTACGTAGCAGAAAATTTGCAATGCTGATTTGCGACCACAAATCATCTCTGTCTTGCAAGAAGGCATCTCCACAGGCTCCGCCGCTTTATGCAGGCGATTTGTGACGCCGTTGGGCCTACAGCGCAGACGTTTCTCATGCTAAGAGCCTAGCCCAAAACCTCTCTGCTCAGGCTTGGTATGGGCCTACAGTCGTCTCCAGCAAGACAAATCTGATATGTGTACGCAAATCCAGCATCACAAACTTCGTTTTGATATGGGGTGGGGGGATTTTTCATTTTGATATCTCGCACGTCCTTCGGGAAAAGACATGCACAACATGCCATGTATGACCCGCTCAGGTGTTACAATCTCAAACGTTACAATAGAATATGGAAATCTGTGATGCAAGAGTGCATGATCTAGGCTCTTCCCACAGGATTTCGCATGACAAGTTTCGGAGCTCCAAACCGCACTATAATCTGGCGAAATTTGTGTTGCAGAAAGTGGAACGCTCCGCGAGTCTGTCATGCTCATCATGCAAGATAAATCCCAGATTCTATTGCAACGTTTGAGATTGTAACGTTTGAGCAGGTCATACCATGGTGCTTGAACTTTTTCCCGCCTTGCCGCCGTAAATGGAAGACGCCCGTCGTCAAAGCTACTCATGATTTACCTCACGAGAGGGTCGTGACATGACCATCTTGGCATCAGAGATCCAAGACTAGAAATTTCATTTGTTGTTGTGTGTTCCAAGAACTACTCGAACGTGAAATTGAAATTTTTATCTACTTACTTCATTGCCTGGGACTATATCTACATACAGCGCACAGAAGGACCCCCGTATCTCCTTGATGAAAGTGAGTTTTTTCAATGTGAATCAACTCCTTGCAACTCATTTTGGCTACATCTCAACAACCACTCCGAAGATGCTCCGTCTGTTGTACTGCTCTCGTCTACTACGTCCCCGCGTAGGTGTACTTAAGAATGGCACTGAAGCCAAGAATGAAGCCGCAGCGGCAAGGGCCCCAAGTTTAGAAGAGTCGTTGCCCCAGAGTCCTCGAGACAGGGCCCCGCAAAGGTTCTTGCGCACTGTCGGAACAACGGAGTACTAGCACTGGCTGTGCGGCCAGTGGAGATCATTCTCATGCGATATACTTATGTCGGCAGATGATGCAGTGGGGGGCAACAGTCATCCTCTTCACAAGCACAACAACTGTGACAAGTACTAATAGATCCAGGTACAATTGGTGTTCTTTCCATTCTCTTCACAGGCCACGCATTCTTGATCTTCCGGACGAGACGTGCTTCACACGAGGTCGTCTCGTATTGTAATCCAAAGAATCGTCGTCCAGCAGCCGTTTCGAATCTGCAATGCGGCTCATGTTCGCTTGTCCTGTTGTTATGCCTCACGAAGATGTTTGTTCCACCGAGATGCGACCCAGGAGCCACCACGTGCTACAGTATTAACACCATCACCAGATGAACCCACTGCAGCTGTTGACCTAGCTCATGAGCTCCACCCAGCACACCGCAGCCGGAGCACCGCGATTAGGTATCATGCCGGTAAAAACGATGTGCTCAAATGAATCTGCAGAAAGAAAGGGTCGGAAGTGGAGACAGATGTTGAACAGTTCTTCGCTGCGTCATTACCATGAAAATTGCCCCCACCCCTGAACCTGGCAGCATTTGTATTGCAAGCCTTTCCAATAGAAACCCTCCCCGTCTTGCATATATCAGCATACCAAATTTGCCACGCTGAATGGCTCAAATCTGTGTTGCAAAGGAGCCCAAAAGTTGCCGGATCTGTTATGCAAAGGATACCTTGCGCACCTAGATTCTGCATCAGAAAGGCTCGTAGTCCTTTCATGCAAGACAAAGAGCTTTCATTTGGAAACCTTGCATGAGAAACTTTTGCAAATTCCGGGGTGGGGACATTTTTCATTGTAATATGCGTTCTCTTCTCAGGTCGCTTTCAACCTTCTTTAGTTGTCATTCCGCCCTATGAATTGTGCTTGAACAGAGAATACAAGCACACAACTACGAAAAATCATTGACGTCAAGAACAATCAACGTGGTTGTTATAACAACCTCATTGCAGCTAGTACAAAGGTGACGAAGTAGAAACTGCTTCCAAACAACTTGGCATCAAAATCTATCAAACAAAAACTCAATACAGAGGACTTCTTCCGCTCCCGTCCAAATCCGCATTCGGGTCCGCCAGCGCCACGCTGCCGTATTTCCGCACTCTATGGATGTGTCAGAATCGAAATTCGCAAAGTCGAAAAATTTGTAATGCGTAAGATGTAGGACACGTATGGCCTGTGTTGGGGAGCAGGCAAATGAGACCGATTGCAAGCCTGTTTAGGGGAAGGCGATGCGCTGCCAGAGTAGCATGACAGGAGCAGTCTTCCTTGCCCAAACAGCATGACAGGCTGGATTTTGTTGCTCCCGAAATTTGTCATGCTCCAATTGGAAACTGCGGCTCCAACTGGTATCGAGTTTATGCATCGCAAATTACTTATTTTGATTTTGTTGATTTCGATCCTGACAGTTCCATACACTCGGAACAGCAAGTACAAAGCGAAAAAGGCGCTCCCGAGCAAATTCACGCACAGAATCCAGACGACGGCCACTATCGTGCTGCTCTCGCTGCTGTAGATGATGGTGGAGAGACAGAAGGCGAGCACGTAGTAGTCGCAAATGGTGGTAAACAGCCACGACCCGAGCCATGGTACGCTTTCCAGCTGGAGCGGAAACAGGGGCTGCTCGTACAACGTTTTTGACAGCCAGCACACAAACCCGATCGCAAGCACGACGTAAAACCCCTGCAGCTGCTGCTGCTTTTCCGGGCTGAGAAGGGCGGTGGATGTTGCCATTTTTTCTGAGGTGGTTGTTTCTAAAAGAACGACATCTATGTTAGAACTTGCGCTATCGTTGGCTTCGCAATGCCCGCTATGGAAATTTCACAAAAAAATCTCTCGGACAAACAAACACTTTTGGTTTCGGACAGAATTATGAAAGCTGAAGATAAACGTCGCTCAAAAAGCATGACCTCTGCAAAGAAAAAAAGCCCTATCAAAACACCACGACCCATCTTCGTAACAAGCAATTACCAACCAGGAGAACAGCCGTCAGCTCCCGCCGAACACAACGACGCACCCTCGTCGTGAATTACATCCGAACATGAAATTAAATCTTCCGCTTGCGTTTTTTAATAGAACCAAGAATAGATGCGTGCCATGCGTCAATTACAATTCAGTTGATACAGCTCAAAGTCGCGTACTCAGAGGAGAGATAATGTAGACAGAATTCCACAAGCAACACTTTTTTTTATCCTTGTCACTGCCCAAAGAAGTTCATCTGCGCAGCAGTACTTCTTCTGGCAATCCCAATCCCCGAAGATCAACATCTCACTCCTCGTCGTCTTCCTCCGCCGCTTCCCCCTTCTTCCCGCCGCCGCTCTTCTGCTTCTCCAGTTTCGCTTGTTTTTTCAAATTTTTCTTCGCTTCCTTCTCCATCTGCTTCACCATTTTCACCTCTATCAGAATGAAAAATGCCCCCACCTCCGAACTTGAAAGCATTTGTATTGCAAACCTTTCCAAATGAAACATTCGCCCTCTTGCACCTATCAGCATCACAGGTTTCCAATCGTGAATAGCGAAAATTTGTATTGCAAAAGACCCCAGCAAGAGCGGCGTTTGTCATGCAAGCGATGCGATACACGCCTAGACTCTGCATCAGAAAGATTCATACTCCTTTCATGCATGACAAAAAGTTTTCATTTGGAAACTTCGCATCACAAATTTTTGCAATTTGAGGGGTGGGGGGCACTTTTCACTGCAATAACCTCTTGTCGCTGCTTCTTCTCCCACTTCACCTTTTCCTTTTTCGACAGTTGCGACGGGTCCGTGACCTCCTATCAAATGCAAATATGTCTGGGTCTGGAAAGAATGGGATTTGTGATGCTAGCTGTCGACCACACAAAAAATCTGTATTGCAAGAGAGGCAAAAGACACTCAGATTGTTGCCACCCGGAGTGGACATTTCTCATGCAGTTTAGGCATGAGAAAACCTTTGCAAAAGCTGTGACGCTAGAGCATGCATCACAGGCATCGGGAGCCATGTACAATCTGCATGATAAACTCCCCAAATCTCCCAGACCCAGACATATTTGCAATGCATACCTCCTTCAAAGATACAACCGTGCAGTGCTCCGCCTCCTCCTGCGCCTCCCGCACGGTGGCCGGGTATCAAATGCAAAAATGTCTGGGTCTGGAAGACTGCGAGGTTTGTCATGCTTGTCTAGGATGACCAAAAAGTTTGCGATGCGTGTCCTACAAGAGATCCTTTCGCCTGTCATGCAAAAACGCAGTTTGTCATGCGAAAAACGCAACACAAAGAAGCGCCGATATTTCTCATGCTTGGGTGGGCATTACAGAGCATTCCCTGTTCCCAACGCAGCATCACAAGTTTCCAGACACAAACATTTTTGCATTTGGTACCGGGGTGGGCTTGACAATCCGATTTGGCTTTTTCTCCGTCGTAGTCGGTTCCTCGAGGGGGGTTGTAGTGCCATTTGTCGTACCGTACGCCGGGGTAGTGGGGGGTGTCGTGAGGGAAGTAGGATCACAGGGTAGAGCAGTCACGACTGTACCATGATCAGCGGATGACGAGTTCTTACCGGTCAAAACTATCCCATCGGCTGTGGAAACGAAAGCACCACTCGCCGGTGTCCTGTCCGCGGAAGTAGAAACGGGGTCGCTTGTCGTTGTCGTACTCGCTTGCTTGTTCATCGCTGCGATCTTTTTCTTTTTTTTCGACATCAGTTTGTTAATGGTTTTGCTATTCAGCAGCGTATTTTCCGCAGTTTCCTGTTCCATGGTCTGCTCGATCTCATCCAATTCATCCTCCTCCTGCTCCCGCGAGAAGCGCAGAACCCGTGACCAGGAAAGACTTTTGCTGTTATTTGTGATGCTAGCCCCCAATAATTCCTCGCGGGTGGCATGATCAGAACTCGCCGTTGTACTGGCTGCCGCATCAGAAGTTTCTATCCCACAGGAGAGGACACCCGCTCCTTCCAAGGGCAAGGCCCACAAATCATCCAGCGCGCACTCCCGGCGCGGACCGGTCTCGTAGGTGCCCCCGAAGATGTAGAGAGTGTTGTTCAACACCACAATCTGCGAGCCCATGCGGCCGCGGGGGAAAAGAAGAGGGCTTTTTGCATTTTTTTCGTTATCCCCGTCACGCTCCTCGTGGTCCTCTGCATTCACCGTCTTCCCGGGAAGATTATTGCCACCGAACAGCAGCTTTGCCAAGTCCACGCCGCCAGAATCATCCGTGATCTTCTGCTCCGAACGTAACGCCAAAGCCAGCTGCTGTGGAATCATTTTTCTGGCAGAATTTGCGGAAGTAGATTCGGTCTGATGTTGAACACCAGCATCCGAAGTACTAGATGAGTGCATATCATTTTTCCGCATTTGTTCCAACACCAGATGGTAGGGCGACCAGACAACCGTCCAGGAGAAATCTCTCAAATTCAAAAGTAGCACGTCATTGTGAAAGACCGCCAGCCCGGACTTCGTCACCTGGTCCTGCAAAATGTCGCTGACCCCGCCGAAAAAAAGGACCCGATCTTCGTCCAACTTGCAACAAGAGAGACCGGACCGGGGAATGAACTTCCTCTCGATTTCGACTAGGGGAGGTTGATCATCTTTGGCAGATTTGTTGATCTCGGTTGTTGGTTCTTTCGTATTCTCTTCCTCGCCTGCACCAGCTCCCTCGTCTTGCTCCTCAGCATTGCATCCTTCCGCAGCGCCCGCCGCTTTTTGCTTTTTCTTGGCCCGTTTCTTCGCACTTTTCGACATCGCTCCCTCGCCCGCAGGACCACTACCTGTTCCCTTCTTTCCTCCTGTCGCACTGTCAAACAGCTCCCTGGTGACGGAGAACGCCTGCTCGAAATTTTTCTGTTCCCCCACCGGAATCTATGACAGTGCACAACTCCCCCTCCCCCTCATTTGTATAGCATGAACGGCAACACAAGCATCAGCGAGACGTGCCGGCCTTGCATGACAAACGTCCACTGGATTGTCGTGCTATTTGGGCTACCAGAACTTGTGATGCAAACAGTGCCAAGAGATAAAGGGTTGACTGGGTATTTTGCATGACAAATGAGGGGGAGGGGGAGTCGTGCACTGTCATAGAATCTCCCGCCACTCCAGTGTGTCCACGTCAAAGCACCACAAGTCGTAAAGTTTTTTCAAATCCCCCTTCGCCCCGGTCTGGGAGCCCCCGAAGATGTAGATTTCCTTTTTCTTCGATTTTTCCTCCGTTCTCGCCCACATGGTGAACCCGGCGCGGGTATCAAATGCAAATATGTCTGGGTCTGGAAGGAGCCAACTTGTAATGCTGTCTTTGGACTCTAAAAAAATCTGTACTGCAGGACCAGTAAGAGGCGTCCAGTTTGTGTTGCGTGGAGAGAGCATTTCGGATGCGGAACAGGCATCAGGAAGCCCTCTAAAAATCTGTGATGCTAGGTCATGCAATACAGGCGTCATGGTTGGTGCAGAATATGCATAACAAGCCTGGCACTCTTCCAGACCCAGACATTTTTGCATTTGATAGCGAGCGGACGGCTTGTTGATCTTCATGCGCTTGTCACGCACCCACTTGATGGTGTATGTGGGAAGGTGTTGCACTTGACTTGCCGAGGATGAGGAGTTATTTTTCGACGCTTTTGTCCCCTTCGCAGAATTTTTACCACCATCAGCCGCCTTCTTTTCGTCCTCAACCGGCGCATCTATTTTCGTCACTTCCCCGCCGTAGAAGTCCGACAAGTACTTCACGTTGCCGTTTTTCTGCTCCGTGAAGCCACCGAACAAGTAGACTTTGTTGTCCAAAAACACCATCCGGTGCCCCGACCGGGGTGCCGGGGTGCTGTTGTCCGACGAAGTAGAGCTAGATGACGTTTTTGAATCCGCGTTCAGCACCCGACACCACGCTTTTGCTTCCGCGGAAAAGACCCAGCTGTCGTCAAATTGGCGGAAGCGCCTGCCGTCAGCCGACGCCCACTCGCCGCCGAAGAGGAACACATCCTGGGAACAATTCCCCCCGAGTCGGACCGCCTGGTGCGCCGACCGGGCACAAGGACCGGTGGTGTCGTCGGAGGAGGGGGTGTTTGCCGTTGCATTGTCGTTGTCTACCAGAGCATCGCGGAATACAGCGGGATTTGTATTCGAATTCATCGCACCCTCATCTCCTTCTTGGACCAGGTGAAAGGTGTCTTTGTGGAAAAACAGCTTATCGTCCTCCCCATTCGCGCTCTCACCGCCAAACAGGACTATGGAAGCGTCAGGTTTGAAATCGTCAAAGTTGAAATGATTTGCAATGCGTAAAATGCACGACCCGCGGCACGTGTGTTGCAGAGCAGGCAAGTGAGGCAGATTGTAAGCCTGTTTGGGGCTACAGCTCGAGCTGCTAAAGTAGCATGAGAAAATCGCTCTTCTTTGCCTAACCAGCATGACAAACTGGATTTAGGGACCGCCGAAATTTGTCTTGCGCCACTTGGAAACTGGGTTCCAATTGGCATCCATTTTATGCATGACAAATTATTTCAACTTTGTTGATTTCAACTCTGACACATCCATAAGGACTGCCCTGTCAGTAGAAACCGATGTCAACGAAAAGTGCGATCGCGCTTTCGGCCGGAGCGACGGTCGAGCTGGGACGGACACGAGGTCGGGACAGTCGGAATCAGAGTCAGAGTCGTCCCCGTCGCTAGTGCCTTCGTTTTCGTCATGCAGTGCACCGCTGTCTTTGGCGGGGCAATAAAACTCGTGCTCCACGGGAGGCTGATCGGAGAATCGCACGCCCTGGGATGGAATCTTGGAACAACTTGGACTCTGTTTATTGTCGTTCATTTTCGCCAAGATTTCCCGTTCCTCGTGTTTTTCCCTCCGCGCCTGCTTCTCGGCGTGTTTCTCGGATTTTTTCTCCTCGCGAAGTTTTTTCAGCTCCTCAAACTTGGCAAACCGGCGCTCGCGTTCCTGCTGCAGCCGCCGGACCTCCGCCTGCAGGGTCTGAAAAATCTCCCCGCAGACAGCGTGGTAGGGCTGTGTTAGGGTGGTGAGTGTGAGTAGTGAGGATAGAATTGTACTATTTCAACAGTTCCTCCTTTCTTCACTTCATTTGTGTTGAAGCGTCTCATCTACGAAAAACATTCGCTTGCTCGTCTAAACTGGAAGACGAATCATATTTCCTCATTATCGCAGCAGGCACACTAAAAATGATCATTCTATTACTCTGTTTACCTTCCCAATCTGTTTATCCGGATGCCAGGCCGCGTACATCGTGCGGACCGCTTTCGCATGGTCCAAGTTCAAGTCCACAGCCCAGTTTTTCAGCTGCTGCACGAGTTTCTGCTCAATCTTCTTCCGCTTTGCGGGAAACAAATCTTCGTCCTCCCCTAAATCCACTGGCTTGAAGGGCACGAAGAACAGCGCGTCCTGCTTTTTCGCACCACGACCTTGAGGTTTTTGGTTTATTTTCTCCTTGATGTCATTGTCGCTGCAAGAACCTTCAGAAGAAGAACTGTCGTCTGCTTCCGAATTTTTATCGTGGTCACTTTCATCACTCTCATCCGTTTCGTTCCCCGCAAGTCCGGCCATCTCCGCGACGTCTTCCGCATCTAACACTTGGCCGCGGACGAACCCGCCCGCCTTCCGCTCCGATTTCACCGCTTTTTGCATCTGCTTCCGAAAGGCCGCCTCCTGTGCCCGCCCGTTCAGGGTCTTCCGCACGCTGCGGGGGACCGCCGTGTCCTCTCTCGCGGCATTCCAGCTCGCGTGGGACTTGGCCTCTTGCTGCGTCTTCGCGGCAGCTTGTGCCGTGTCCGGCCTGGAGCGAAACATGATCTATTTTTTTGGTCTTCTTTTTACTAGTCGGGAATTGGTGTTGTGTGCTGGAAAATGTTTCGACGAAACTACGGGCGATAGTTGCATGACCCGTCCCTACCTAGTGCTTGGTCGTGAGTCCTACCATGTGACCACAGATATTAAACAGATAACCGCCTTACCACAGACACCGAAGTACTAGATGATAATAAACTATACTGACTTGTTGGTAGTACAGCTACAGAACCGGCCTGTCCGTCGTGCTGTATTATATTAGTGTGATATCGGTAAGAAAAAATCGGATCTTTGTTTCTCTTTCGGGAAGATTGATCCGATCGTCATCTATCATCGTCCTCAAGATCAGCATTTTATTTTCAGCAAAAAACTACAGGGAAAACAGAAAAGAGAACTTCCGCTAACAAGTAGGTCGTGGCTTCTTGTTCTACTTCAATGAGGTCCTGAAAGAATAGTAGTTTTTTTTTATCCATACCGCGAAATGTCGCGCTCGTGCGGCAGCACTACATTTTTCGGAAGAATTTGCGCTGGAACTTCTTAATTTTCGGAGAGCATTTCAAAAATTTCGTCCAAGGAGACCTTTCCTGGATATCGATCTGCTCGATGGTTTTTACATCAAATCGAGAAGAGGTGTCGCGTACAGGATCCTCATTCATTTTCAAGTGGAATTGTTAAACTGCAGCAAGTATTAGAGACCCTGATGGTTGAAAAATTCATTTTTAACTGCAGCTCTTGCTCGTTGCTCGTCTCTTCCCGTTTCGCCTTCCCTCCTAGTCTCCATTCTCCTTTCCTGCGCGCCCGCCCACCTTCGCCTGCGGTTTCCCGTTTGCGGCTCCCGCCTTCCCCTTCGCCTTCGGTTTCGCCTTCGGCTTCCCCTTCGGTTTGCCCTTCGCTTTTCCCTTCGCTTTTCCCTTGCATTTCCCCTTCGGTTTCGCCTTCGGCTTTTTTTCCTTCTCCGACTCCTTCTCCTCGTCGGTGTTTCCCCACAGGGAGCCGCCGATGGTCTATCAAATGTAAAAATGTCTGGGTCTGGAAACTTGTGATGCTGGGTGGCGTCTCATGATGAGGCCACAAATGCTGGCTCAGCATGACAATTTTCTGAGCTTCTAGGTGTTGCCTATTCTGCATGACAATCTGCGTTTCTGCATCACAGAAAAATGGAGCTCTTGGGTAATGTGCATGACAGATTTGAGAGTTATGCCAGACAAGCATGACAAACATGCATTCTTCCAGACCCAGACATTTTTGCAATTCATATGGTCCCCGTGATTGCCATGTACGTGTCGCCAAGCTGCTTTTTTGCCGCAGTATATCCTGTAGAAAAACGCCCCCATCTTCCCATCCAGAATGTCTCTCTACTGCGAGCGCGAAATAAATCGCAGAAAGACGACGAGCTGTAGTAGTACACTACTAGTGTCATGCGGAGTTCATCACAAGAAAGCTTCTGGATTTATTCTCTAGCACATTGTTCCACAGCGTGACTATGGGAAGAAGATGCGAACGTTTTTACTTCAGATACACTGAACGCTGCAGTTACTCGGTTCGCTGCATCTTCTGGGAGGTACGGCTCGATCGTGTCGTAGATTCTGTTCCTCGCATTCACTATGGAAGGAAAAAACTTTGCCCCCTCATCTTCCTGACCACTTGAACGGCATTTTTTGTCTACTGGCACTTCTACAAAGAAAGTGGCCCCAACATGTTAAAAGTGTACTAATGGAGGTACTTCCGCGAAACTGTAACACAGGTCCGCCCCCACATGACACGGACTGGCGTGAAGCTTGGGGAGTAACAAATGAGGGGGAGGGGGAGCTAAGTCCACTTTCGTACCCTCCATGATGTCCCCCGCCATTGCTAGCATTGTCTTCGCTATCGTGAGAAAAAAAAAACCCTCCCCATACTCCAAATGGAAACTTGTGTGTCATGCTGATTTCGATTTGTGCCCACAAATCGGCTGTGTCTTGCTATAATAGAGTAAATGGGAGCAAAAATTGGGCGCATTTAACAGCCCATCTGTAGCCATGCGCTCTTTCCCACTGCAAACCTGTCTGCCATGCCTGACTGCTAGCCTTTTGCATACCCAATTAGGCTTGGGAAATAATGCCTCCAAGCCCTTGCTGCAACACAACGCCGCTTTGTGTACTACAGAAATCCAGCAACAGAAGTTTCCTTTTTTGTATGGGGTGGGGGCATTTTTCACTTTGATATTAGCATTGGTTTCTTCTTCCTCGTCGCTCTTCCCTTTCGCGGTATCTTTTCCGGCCGCAACTTGTGTTTTGGCATCGGCGTTCCCTTGCCTTGTCGCTGCGGAGGCGTCCTTCTGCCCTTCACCGGACGTCGAGACGGGCCCGTTCTTCGGGGAGGAGCGTGGAGAGCCTGCTCTGCTGGTTTTTGTGGAAGTTCCAACTCCAACATCAAAACATTTTTCTTTCTTCTCCAAAAAGTTCTTCGCTTGTTCCGGCTTCTGTTGCTGCACTGAAGCGTCGTCATCAGCCGTATCGCAGGAAAAAAATGTTTCATCCTCAACGTAACAAATTTGATTTTCATTTTACACAACCACTCGCATGACAAGCTTTCTTCGCATGACAGGAAAATAAATCTGCTATGCGTGGCACCATAGGGAAACACGACCAAAAGCTGTTCTCTGTTCTTGCATTTCCAGCAAGATTTAAGTGCACCTACAACATCACAACAAGTTTTGGTTTAAGTCCAGTGAAACACGTTTTTTCCTGCATAACCCGCCAAAGCCGTGTACTCCCCTTCCGCGTCTACTCCGCCGGACTGCACAAAAACGGAGCTGCTGATTCTTGTAGTCTCGGCCGCGGCAGCGCTGGATGTTGTTGACGAGGATCTGCTATTTTTTCCACTGTGCCCACCGTCCGTGGCGGCGTCATCCACAAAGTCTCCATTTTCGTCCGTGACACGACCACCCGAGGACAAACCAGTCACCGCAACTGGTGAAACGACGCCCGCAGTGAGGCACAGCACGGCCTGGTGGACTAACTGCACGCGCGGCCTCATAATGGAGTCTTTTACTTCTTATCTAGTGCATTAATAACCCCCCAAGTTGCCCGGGTGGAAAAAACACATTTAGAAGAAGAAACTACTGCTATTTTTTGAAAGAACTTCTTTGGTTTGGATACTAACATAATTCGAACTTTCCTTCAATCTGAGGACATATGTATTTCTAACCGTGGCTAATGACATTTTGCCGATTTCTCGTTAGCTCAGTTTCCAACAGGCTGCTGGATTCCGAGGAGTCAGCCCCTGGTGCTGCACGAGTACCAGTACAACTCTGTGGACCACGAATGCTACGATTTGTTTCCCCCGCGTATTTCCAGTACAGAATTTTACGACGACCGTGGTTGTAGCTGTACGAGGGACCCCTGACATATCCATGAAAAACTCTGTACTGCAGTTTTGTTGCACTCTAAGTTGCCCCCGCTCCTAATGCTATGTTGATGACGACCCACGACTAAAACACCACGAGAAAGAACAACGACCAAAACCGCGCGCCGTATGCTTGTTCGTCTTGTGCGGCTATTTACGTATTGATACGGATTTTGTTTTTCGCATATTCGATTTCTTGAAAAACGAGGGATTCACAATTTAGACGCTTGTTCTTGGACGAGTTCTGCTACAGATAGATACGTTTTTTCGATCAAATAGAAAGTTGAAATCTTCATGGGGACAAACTCATAGGGACGTGAATTGAGGTGGTGAGTCTTGAGAGATAAAACCGTTCTCGTCAATTTCGAGCTACTTCGTGGTGTTGTTAAAGTAAAATGCTTGTAAGTAGGTTGTCTTCGTAAATTTGTTAACTTTTTGGCTCTCGATGATATGGGGACATCACGATACGGGACTATGTTTTTGCTCATTACATGTTCTTTGGTCTCATGCGTTTGGGATACAAACGGAGTAGGATAATTGTGCACAAAACTGGTGAAAACTGGGGACGACAACAAACTCAAACAGCTGAACAAAACACGTCAAGTCAAAAATTTATTCGAGAGTACAAAGTGAAAAAACCTTCGCAGTGGTGCTCGAAACATGGACATTTACAGCACCAGCGAGTAGAACAAGGACTGCAGGTCCTGCTCCTGTCCGATGGTACCGATAATTTCGTCCGCCCCGTTCTTGGCACACGGTGGTTCCTGGCCCGCGACCTTGCCTTCCTTCTTCGCGGCATCAGAAGTCGCTGCGCCAGCAACGACCTCCCCCTGCTGCAGCACGGAGGAGATGGCGCCCGCCACCGCGGCGGCCGACGCACGGAGCACGCCGGGCTCTTGTGCGGGCTCCTTTCCGCCGCCGGGCTGTTCCACGGTTGCTGGTGCGCCGTCATCGCCCGCAGGAAGAATTTGCTCCCCGTCGCCCCCTTCCCCGAGCGCGAGCACCTTCTTCGGCAGGTCGAGAAATTCCTCGTCGCGAACCTGCATGTAGTTGGACACCTTGAGGTGTTGATCCAGCTCCTGCTTGGAGCGAACCGTCACCCGCTTCACTTTGGACACCTTGGCGGCGCGCTGGGCAGTCGAAGGCGAGGCTCCGGAGGTAGAGGTGGAAAACCGTCGCGAGATCACTTGGAAGGAGAAAGCATCCGCCGTGGCGACGGTTGCGAGAGCGATGCGGGCGAGGTGACGAGCCATGGTCGTATCAAAGGGTTTAAGAACTTGAAGTTGAAATCTTCCGTCAGCGTGGTCTAATTGGAAACTCGCAAAACTTCTGAACTACTTCGTAGAACGTTCTTGATGTAAAGGTTGTAGTGATTTGGGAAGATGGTAAGTACTAACTTAACAACAGTGGACGTCAAATAAAAGCGAAGAACTTGTTCAGATGGGAGAGCTTGAGGAAATCTTCTTTTGGGAAGTGGTACTGGTGTATTTAAGTTTAGTAGTTCTTAGGCAGAAGTCTTTGAAAACAAGTGATAGCAGAAAAACGCTTCTTCACAGCGAAACGAGCAGCCAGCAAGCCGCTCCTTCGGATGAACGACAGACAACCTTTGCGCACGAACCGAAAAACTTGCAGAGCCGGGCACGAACGGCCTGCTACGTTGTCTGGACGACGACGACGATAGAATCTATCATGCGAAAATCGAATTTTCACAGGATACGAAACACCGAATTTTCTTTTTCTTGACTCCTTTACATTTACACCGAGAGAACGACTGAATTATAATCACGACAACGAAAAGCTCTGCTGCGTAGTGGATTTCGTTTTCGTGATGCAAAAGTGACTCCGGCGGCGCTTAGATCCGTCTTGTTCTGGTGTTCGTACTAGTGCTCAATCATATGGGAAAACTCTTCTAGGTTCATCAGTGTGGCGCTACGTGTACGTACTCTTTACCTTCTTCTGCATTTCTCCCTACTGCGTCAACAGTTGTAGTGGTTCTAAAAACTACTGCTCGAGAAGCTTTTCACAGCTGTTTATGACCATCTTCAAGCCGTCCGAGTCTACCTCCTGTAACAAGGCCATAATTGCACACAGGATGTTGTCGCTGCGCTCGGTTGGTTTGCTCACATCGCGAGCAGAAGCGCCTTTTGTGCTCCTGGGTGGTAGAACTTCCGGCGACCCGGGCCTCTTTGGCCTCTGAGTGGAATTATTTCCCGCATGAAACTGCTCTCCTCGCTGCACATCCTGTGTATTTTTATTTCTTCGTGGACGGTTGATTCATACAGAGTGGAGATTGTTTTTACAATTGTGGTCCAGCATCGCACTTGATCTTTTGCCTCGAAGCCTGTCGTCATGGCAACAAAAACAGAAGTATCAATCGATATAAACCTCCGGCGCTGCCCTCTCGACGCCACCAAGCCTGCGCCCCGCGGTTTCCACCGTCGCGCTAGCTCTAGCGCTCTCGTGGTCGTTGGCATTCCCGTCGAGGGAGCTTTTTTTCGCTTTCTCTTTCAACGGCGTTTGTGTCGTGATGTCCTGCGATAGTTGCTGTGAAGTCGTACCACCTAACAGTTGCTGCTGCTGCTGTTGCCATCGCCGCTCGTGGTTCGGGTGCAGTACTAGCTCAATATCCGGAATCTTACCGCCGCCCTTCGTCGCTGCCGTTGACATGTCCTTCATGTGCCGCGAGTCCAGAGTGCTGTGGTTTGTTTTTTTGCATCTTTCGAATCAGTAAGTTTGTCATGCAATTACATCACTCATGCAACACGAAACATTTTTAACAAAAAAAACCTATACGACATGTGCGGATTCTGATCCTTCCATATCGCCTCGTGGATTTCCTGTGCGGTCCTTTTTTTCACGCTTCCCGGCCCGTCACTCCCCGCTGTAATGCTGGACCGCCGCGCGCGGAGCTTGGGTCGCGCACTGCCCGGTGCGTTATTTTGGCCTCGGAAGGTTGAAGCTCCACCGCCACTGGACGGTCCGGCTTTGGATGTCCCTGTGATCAGGTTGACGGGATTACCTCCATGTGCCGAGGGCGAAGCCGTGCCGGCACCGGCGTGAGAATTACCGCCGCCCCGGGCCGAATACAGGCCGCCAACGGAATAGTTCGCGTCCCCGGTTAGATCGCCGTCGCTCGAGGCCGAGTTCGCCCCTGAAGTAGTAGCACTGGTGTACACGTCGGAATCTAGCCGCTGCAAGTTCGGGAGCCGGCTGAGCACGTAGTCCTTGTAGTCGGGAATTTCGGCGATGGGATTGTCCGCGAGCCACAGGACGCGCAACTCCGGCAACTTCTCCAGGAACTGGATCTCTTCTAGAGATTTCACGTCGTTTTTCCGGAGATAAAGCTCACGGAGGTGGACGCACTTCGCGAAGGGCCGGAGACTGTGGATTTTGTTCACGGACAGGGAGCAGACCTCCAGCGCCGGCAACTTCTCCACTAAGGAAACGTCCGCCAAATCGTTGCCCCACAAGTTCAGATTTTTCACCTGGTCCAGGCTGGCACACTTCGCCCGGTTCAGGACCAGCTCCTCCGTCAGAGTAGCGCGGTTCTCCATTGTTGTTTGTGGAGTGAAAGTTACTTGGAAAGAAGTGAACAAGAGTATGTTGTTTTCCACTACGCTTTAAAATTCTTGCTGGTACAACACAATTCCCAGGTTTATTCCATCTCATTCTCTACTTTCGTACTTTTGCTTTTGCAGCCTTGTACCTCAGCGCCGCATCGTCGGCTCAAATAAAGTGCGACACGTGCAGGTGGGCCGCACCACGTACTCTTTACGTAGTTGTGCATCTTTGGCCACTATCTCAATCAGTACTAGAGGAAGAGCCGTCTAAAATGTTCGTGCCTCATCTCGTTCAGACCATCAAACTTTTTGTAAATGAAATACGGGTCGTCTTCGTGTGCGCTTGATGTGAACACACAGGCCGCGCAAGAACTTCCTATTCTGCGTCTTCTCCTTTTTGCAAAGGGTTCGACTGAAACATCGTGCGCCGGGAGTCAGTCTTGTTCACAACACTGGCTTTGTCACAACTTCAACTTCTGCCGACATACATGATGAACAACTATGAAAGAAGATATTAAACACGACGTGACTAAACACAACTGCCCCAGCACCGACGGTCCAGGCTGAGTTTACTACCAGCTATCCGCAGTGCCACACTTCCGTGCTTGCGTCTTCAAACGAAAACTGACGGAGACTTCGCTGCTGGTACGGGGCGTGGTGGTCGTCGTGTTTTGCCTCCTGCTCATTCGGAGTGTTAGTAGTACACGACGACAAGAACGCCTTATCATTATACAAGGCTTTTTTCACCAATTCCACCAAAGCCGAGCCTGCGCTGGCTCCAAAGCTGCTGGTACTACTGCCGCTGCTGCCAAAACAGCGGTGGAAGAGCAAACTGACATTCTTGGAAATCAGGTACTGGCACTCAATCGGGGCGAGCTCAAAAGATCTCGTCAAAACCACGAAGGTGGGGGTCGAGGGGGTGAAACCGGAATGGTAAAAATGGTCGCGATGTTGTTCCGTCGAGGACGATGACAGTAAGGCGAAAAGTTGCCGGACGAAGCTCGGGTTGTGCTCGGCTGATGGAGTCGAAGAAGAGGATGTCGCTGATGACAGATTACGACAAGCACTCTCAAGATTCAGCCCGCAATACAGAATCGTCTTGAACCTCCGTGTTTGCAGCGACTCGGGGATTAGCAGGGCAGAGTTGGATGATGATGTTGCACTAGTGATTATCCCTGATCCGCCCCCCGCAGTGTTTTCCGCGCGTTGTTGTATTTCTCCCGGTGAGTTATTGTTTCTGCGGGGGAGCTCGACAACCTCGAAGAAATGAGAGTTGTTCTTCCCTCCTGCGGAACATTTCGGTGCTGCATCTTGCCTCAGCCGCAGGTCCTCGGCGAACGAAGACCCCGACTCGGTGAGGACGGTGAGACCTGCAACAGGGTGAGTTTGATAAAACCTCGGAGATGATGTGGCTACTCCGCGAGCTGATGTGCCACTAGAGCTGCAACCATCGCTTGTAGAAGTTCCAGCAACTCCTGCATCAAAGCCCGCTCGACGTACCACCTCCAAGGCTCGCACGACGCCCATGGCCGCCCGGTGGTTCGCGACCAGCAATATATCCTCTTCCAGCGCGCCAACAGGGAGCCTCGCCAGCAATTCCAGCCCCGCCACGGTGGATTCCAGCTGGGAAAGCAATGAGCTTGAACGTGCTCTCGCAGTTTGAAGATTTTCTTGCACCTCCCCGGGTCGTAGCTCATCATGCTCCGCGTGAGAACCATCGACTCCAGACGGCACGGGGAAGACGTGCGAGTAGTGGACCGAAATGAGCGTGTCGGGCTGAAGCAGAGTGGCCGCGATATTTTCGCCTGAAGAGTACGTCGCGTTGCTGCTTGTTGTAGTGTGCGTCGATACTACTCCAGGTTCCACATACGACCCGCCTTCGTATAATCCTCCTGGCGCGGATGAATAATCCGCGTTGCTGTAATGGTCTCTGTGCAGCGAGGAAAATTCCGAGGTAGAGGAACTACTACGCTGGTACATTTCCTGTACTAGCTTTTTCCGCAACGCCTCCTCGTCAATAACCGCGATGACAGGCTCGTTTGGCCGGAGGTAGTTGTGGATTGGTGAGGAACCATTATTGCTAAATGTCGTAGTTTTCGTAGTCGTGCCATCATCATCATGCTGGTCAACATCTCGTCGCGCATCCTGGACAAAGATTCTGCCCCGGCAGAACAAAAAGTGCGGCGACCACGCTTCCACTCGGATGTTGACTCGCCAGGGCGAGGATGGGGGAGCAGGAGAGGAACGCGACGACATGGTATATGGTTTTTTTCAGCACGGAGATGCGTCTTTCTATTTTATTTATCTAGTGAAGGAGAGTCGCTCGGCAATGTCGTAAATGTTCTTCTGTGGTAGAAGTTCTGCGCAGATGAGCTTAGCAGATAGAAATCACTTGTGGTAGCTGTGCGCAAAAGCCTCTCTTGGAAGATAGACGTCACTTGACGCCATTGCACACTTCTCCCCTTTCTGTAGTGAGGAGTTTCACCCGTGTGACCACTCCAAGAAAGAAACAGTTTCAGGATTTTCACCACACTACAAAGTCACTCCACCGACCGCAGCAAGCCGTGGGTGTTCTTCAACCGCCCAGCACATGAAGAAAAATATATTGTGTGCAGATTGTTCACATCCGTGACCGGGTTGGTTCTTGTGCCTTTTTGCACTCGTCTCCTGATGCACATGCAAGCCATTCTGTTTCATCAGCGCGGTTTCATCTTCAGGGGACGTTCTCGTTAGCACTTCATAAACTGCTCACGCGTTTCCCATCGCGGCCTTAGCCAAAGAATTGACCTCAAACGACTTATCTTCTTCCCAGCCACGATGAAACCACTGCCCATCCTTTTCACGCTATCCTGCGAAAATAAAGCGTGTTTGCATCTTCACAGACGTGCATGACAAACTGTTCCTCGTCTTGCACTGAGCCTACTGATCATGACATAACTACTTACGCCTGCACCAAACCTGGAGGGTGCGGCACTGAAGAATATGGTCGTCGTTCTAGGAAACTCTTTGGGGAACTCTGGGAGCACGTAGTTACTCATGGCAAGCGCAACCCATAGTGCAGCACGACCTCTGTCTTGATGCAAACAACATTTTCGACATGATAAGTGCTCAATTTCGTTGTCCCAACCCACCGGCAGGTTGTATTCCAACCGCAGCCGCTCCCGGATCGCCTTGCGTCGCCGCGACCAATAGTTTTCGCCGTAAGAAAGGTTCGCACAGGCGTGAACTGATAAGATTCTTTTTTCCAGTCTATTTGTGTCGCGCATTACGCTTCACAGTTTATTTTTCCCTTCACAAAAATGCAAATACAGAAAACTCGTCATCCCGGTCATCAGTACAAAAAATATTACCCGCCAACCCGGTCATGAGCAGGATGCAGACGACACAGCCCCAGTCCTTGCTGGGATCCTTGACCAACGCCCACCCGGGAAACCGCTTCGACAGCTTGCCATTTGCGTGCCGGATGGTCACCTTCGCCATGTAGCCCTTGCGATGACACTTGCGAAACAGCTGTCCAGTGTCACCCTGCGTCTTGGTCTGAATAAGTTTTTGTCGGGACGGTAAAAACAAGTGCGCTACTTACTCCCTCATCGAGGTGGTCCTACCGGGTCATGGAGAATCATGCCGACACGACAAATTTCTCATGACACATAGCGCAGTTGTAGTAGATGAGAAGATTTAATGTTCCGTCTGCATTTCAAGTATACTTTGTGACTCTGCCAGCGTCCATCCTTCTCCCAGGGCTGCTGCCGGCGCAGCCCGCCCTCCACTTTCGCCAGGTCCCCGGGTAGCTGCGTCCGCTCCCGAAAAAGTTTCTCCGGCGGATCCATCCGCGGCAACGAGGTGGGTACGCGATCAAACGTCGGAGTAGTTGCGGAGGTACCAGTACTGCTGGTGAGGGAAGACGAGGAGGAGCTAGTGCTTCCCGCATTGGTAATGCCGCTGTTTGATGGCGTGCTGATCATGTCCGATGTCGAGAAGTGCATTCGCTGCATAATTTTGTTCCTTCCCACAATCAAGCGCGGCTCTGGAGGCGAGGGTAATAAGAAGCTCCGTCTTGTTGTACCGGCCCAAGGCGCTGCTTGTGCTGCGACAACGCGCCCAGTGGATGAAGTCGACCCTCCGGCGCAACCTCCTGAAGTCCCTGGAAGATGAACCGCCGACGCTCCGGCACGCAGCGCATAACAAGGCAGGCCACTAGTACCAGCGCTGTAGCCGGCTGTGGCCTTGTTGGCTTTCCGAGGAAGAGTTCTGGTGTAAAGGCTCATCTTAATATCTCGTACTTTTTAACAAGTACAACTTCCTGCTGGTTCAAACAACTGGTGGACGGGCCAAAATTGGGAAAGAGCAGCACACCACCTCGAGCAGACATTTGTAAAACTGAAACCGACACGGTGTACGAATCGCACGAACGGCGCTCGAAAAAAACCGAAGCGGACGATTTGACAGAGGAGGAGTTTTTTTCGGTTCGTTTCTGTCAACTCGCCATTGGGAGCATTAATACCGTGCGCATGTTTCTTGCTTGTCTGGTATCTTGTCGTTGTCAATTTGTTCCACTAGAAACGAGTCAAAAGTAGCTCGCGCGCAGTTCCGTTAAGTGATCACAATCTATGACGGCTGCAAAAATCCGCGCAGGTACGCCGCGCATCTTTATATTTTGAAATTTTTGCTTGGAAACTTCCTGCTTGGTCAACAACAGAACGGCTGCTATTGCAGTATGCGAAACGGAAACAGTTCAGAGAAACAACGGTATCGTTCTTGTGCTAGAATTGATAGTAAATCGAATTTGTCAAAGTCTCCTGCGAGAGCCCCAGTTCTGGGAAAGCGGCAGTTGTACGGTGGTCTTTGGCAACAAGTCGTCCTCACACGTGCACTACCGCACAAGACCCACCCGCCGCCCCGGTCGCCTGCCGCAGACAGATCGCCTTGCAGGTTTCGACAAACGCTTCCAAATTCAGACTCTTCTGAAACGCGAAGTAGCAGTCCAGCAAGTCATCTCGAGCGCCCAGGACAGACAACTTTTCCGCCTCGAGAGTGGACAAAAACCCGTCGGTATTAAAATGAAAAATGCCCCCACCCCCAGCTTGGCAGCATTTGTATTGCAAACCTTTCCAACTGAAACATTCCCCGTCTTGTATATCTCAGCATCACAAATTTTCCATGCTGAATAGGTCAAATTTGTCTTGCAAAGTAGCCCAACAGCAGCCGGATCTCTTATGCACAAGACACCTTGCGCACCCAGATTCTGCATCAGAAACGCTCGCAATCCTTTTATGCCAGACAAAAAGCTTTCATTTGGAAACTTTGCATGACAAACTTCTGCAAATTCCGGGGTGGGGGCATTTTTCACTGCAGTAGTCGGCTTTCAGGGCCGAGAAGAGGGACGCGAGGTGGGTTTTCAGCAGAAACTCGTGCAAGCGAAGGAAGGCGGCCTTCTTCGGTTTTAACGAACCGCCACCGCCCGTCAGGAGGGTTGGCGGCGCCGTAGGTTGTGTTCTTGGGGCAGCACCGTAGTTCGTTCTCGTTTCTGATGTTGACAACATTTTTCCACCGTGACCGTCGTGCGCCGATTTATTGTTGCCGCCACTGTAGCTTGGCTTGGGTGCCGCGCTGTAGATTGGCTTGTTTTTTGGTCCACCTCTTGCGGAACAAGGTTCATATCTGCCGGAGCCGCTACCGCAGTCCGCAGGGTGGAGGCTGTAAAAAGAGTATGGTTGGTGACAGTCAAAGTTCTTGTGAAAAATGCGGTTTTTTAATACATCTGCGACTGCCGGTTGCTTGTCTGTGATTAAAGCCAGGTACGTACGAAGGACATTTTCCAAACAGGACGCAAAGATTTTTCACCGTTCTACTTCTCAACACAATATCACTGTACTCTCGCCTCCCAACCGCCCTGCACCCGGACCCACTCGACGTCGGCGGACTCGAGTTTGGTGGCAGTCTGTTTGGTGTCCTTTCTACACACTCGGCGTCTAAGAAATCTGCTTCTCCGCCTCGCATTTCAGCGGTTGATATTTGCTGCTGATAACCGTAGCCCCCATTTCCGTACTGCCGACTGGTTGCGGGCGGGGTTGAGGCTGTGGTCGGGCTAATGTGCTGCTGCGTGAAGCGATTGGTCGGTGGTCCGGGCGGATGGAAACCAGAGTGTGCTCCTGCTTCGTCGGCATACTTACCGCCGTGCCGGTGAAACACGCCTGAGAAGATGAGTATGTAAAATTTGTTCTTCAACGGTTGAATTATGGTGAGAACGCCGAGACTTCATTCGTTTCAGTGATCAACATGGATGTTTAAAAATCAGTCATATTCACAGAACCACTAGCATCACCTTGCCGTGCCATAGGGTCATCTCCACCTTCAGTCGTGTTGTACAAGCTCCCCACACCACCAATCGGCGGACTGTTGTTGCCGATTGTCGAGGGGCTCAGCTGCGGCGAGGGCTTCATCGCTATTTCGAGATAAGCATTCGCATTCCCGCTCGATTGCTTTCGGGTGGATAGGTTTTGCCCTCTTCGTGCGGTGTCTGGCGTGGAGGTTATTTGCTGCTGCTGATTGTACGCGAACTGCTGCTGTAGTTCCATGGTTTTCGCCCGGACACGCCCAGTGGAGGAAGAGGACCTGTAAGTTGCCGTGACATGTCAGGTAAACGAACAACCAAAAGAGCGGCCTTGTTATTTACAACTTTAGTTTCTAGTAACAAGTGCATACACTGACATTACCCTCCATACTGCCCGGCGGTTTGTCTGCTTCTGCTACTCCCCCGCGTCGCCGAAGAGGTTGTCCCAGCCGCGCTCCCCCGCGCGGAGTCGAGGTTACTCTGTACGTAATTGTTGTTATTCCCACCTTTATTACCGCGCTGCAGACTCGCGTCGCGCCTCCTCGTGTTGCTACTGCTTCTGGTGGTCCCCGAAATGGTTCTGTCGCCGGTTCGCGATTCCGGCGCAAAGGTCATGTAGTTGTAGCGGCAACTACCCTGCCCGTACGTAGCGAAGACCTCGCCGAAGGTCGCGAGGGAAGGGGGTTTCCGCCCGGTGTAACTCATCTTTAGATTTTTCGGCTTGGAGTAGGAATAGCGAAAGATTGGTAGACGCTCCGCTTGAAGTAGACCACCTGATGCGCGGCGCAGTCTAAAAGCTTTTGAAGTGTAGCAGTAATTGTAATTCCTGCTAACAGCAAAACTCATAATAAAAAAGGATTTCTGTCCGCTCAGAGAAGGTCTGTTTCGTGCAACCGGTCGGCTCTCTCTTGTTCCTTCGGTCAGAAAGTTGTTTCAACGCAAAAACAAATTCGCGGACAAGAGCACGCGGAAGATAAAGTCAGTCAGAAACAAGCGGCGTTTCTTTGTACTTTTCTTTACAGCCAGTCTCTCACTCTCGACGGAAAGAAGTGAAAAAACTACATTGTCGCAGTGACTCTAGCAACCGGAAAAATGAAAACCTTTACGGCTTTGGAACAGAGCTTCAAACTGACTGAGTAGACGCTGCGCACTTCCTTTGTCAATGTTGTATCCTCGCGCGCAATGTTGCGAGCAGGCTTTATACCATTTTCAAGAAACTGAACTACCAAGTGCGTCCGCGTTGTAATTACTTATCCTGTGCCATCTCCGTATCAAAACTGCATCAACAACCAAGTTTCGGCGGATACAAATTGCTGCTCTGTATCAACCCTGAAACCAAGTGCATGGCCGCGAGCCTCTTCTCGGGAATCTCCACCGCCAGACCCCGGGACAGCGGTATCCCCATGTCCCCGAGGTGGCACAGCAGCGTCCGGTAGCACTGGTACCGAATCTGCTTTCGCTGGTCCCGGGACAAGTGCGGTTCCCCGCGGTGCAGCCGGATCAATTTGCACAGTTCGGTCAGCGCGCCGCAGCACAGCGCGACGAGCCAGAGCCGCGCCGCTTTCGTTGCGTAGTACGTGGCATTTACCGCCTTGACGTCGGCGAGCGCGCCTATTTTGTACAGAATTTGCCAGTTCTCGCTACCCCACCGGAGCGCGAAGAAAAAGCGGGACAGCGCGTGCAGGTACCGAACCTCCCGGGGGAGGGTGATGGTGTGCAAGGTTTGTATCCCCGGCAAAAGTGTTTCGTACGCGTATACGAAATGGCATTTAGTTTTAGTGCCTGAATCTGCATTACAAATCCGTTTTTCTTTTTGAATATATTTGTCACATGCGATTTCTACTTAGTACGATGCTTTTGCAATGCGTAGTCTGCTGCACAGTGCGGAACTCCATCATCGACTTTCCGAACCAGTGCATCCGCCGCGCGTCGAGCATGGCCCGCCAAAACCGCTCCAGGCGGTACGGGAGGGTGGTGATGTGGCCAAAGGGTGCTGTGGTCTCGCCCCCCGTTCGTTCCAGTAGCACCGCGGCTGCCAGGCGCGCGGCAAACTGCAGGACCTTGGCGAACTTGTCCCGGCTATGCGAGTGCGCTTGATGTTCTCCCGCTCGTTCTTTAATTTGTCATGCAAAAGGGCAACTCTACCTGCTGTGGCTGCCTTTGAGCACGACCTTGCATGAAATTTGCAACACGACTGTAAACCGCTGCAGTAAAATTATCCGTCATGCGTGGAGATTGTAGTCATACAACACTCACTTTTCTTCTGTCGGATGTGTTGCTACTCAAGCCCTGCAGGAGCTGTGAGGGGGGAGCGGTGCACTCTCATATCGGCCCTCCGAACGCGACAGGAAGTCCAGAAGTCGGTCACGCTCGTGGCGCACCGCGGCCAGCGCCGCCATGGTTTGTCAAGAAGCTTTGCGGGCCGTCGCTCTCGCTCTTCCTGTGCAGTCTCGAGATAGGGATCTGTACGGATTTTTTGTACTAGGGAAAGGACTGATAGCGTAGCCCTCTCCCGGTGAGGAAAGCGGGAAAGAAAGACCGCGAAAACAGGCCCGGGTCCGTAATCATTTGGACCCGTACTACCGCGGATCACTATGAAGAGCACTAGGCCAGCGTTCGCCGGGGGCTCCAGAGATAACAAGCTATGCGTGCGCGCTGCGGTTCTACGGCATGAATTACCGGAATTCTCAGGTCCCCGACCGCTTTCCCGTCCCCGCCACCGGCCGCTGAAGGCTGAGCTGGCCGGGCGAGAAATCTCGCGGTGGAGCTTCTCCCGCGGCGAAGCCAGAAGGGCCCTTTGCAGGCTCGGGGGTAGCGTCTTGGCAAGGCGGGGGCGGGCCCGCAGGCGGAAGAGGTCCGAGAACCTGTAGCTACAGCGGAAAGTCGAACAGCAGTGGCCTCCCCCGGCGCGCGCCCGCGCGGCGTAGCGCCGAAATGCCGGGCGAAATAGCGCCGCGGGGTGCGGCGCCCATGGCTTCTCCACTTCCCTCATACTGGCCGAAGCAGTGCCGACCTGCTTCGGCGGCAGCGGACTTAACCTTGTTACCAAGTTGCGGAGCCATTTCGTCGAGCCGGTCCTTGGTGCCTCCGGTAGGAACCCGGCGCGCGCAGCACCGCCGTGGGCCGCTGGCTTTGCACGCATGCACCCGGCGGCTTGGGGCAGGGGTCGACCCAAGAAAACCGCGCCTCGCCGGGGGGCCTTTTGGCACTCCGATAGGCCGCGGGGGCGGGCCGTGCGGTTCGTCTCGGCTTTTCCGCGGTAATTTGGAAAAGGAAAGTGCGCGCGGGCGATGCGTGTGCGCTCGCGCGCGGCCTCTACCGGCGGGGCCCGGTCAGGTCGGCCCGGGTAGGAACGCGCACAATCTGGATAGAGTATGAAGCTCGAGCGGGCCGGCAATATGGGTCGCCGTGGCAATCGATCGAAGCGCGGAAACTGTCCGGCCGCGCCATGCCCTGCTGGTTGTTGCGGGCCCTCTTCGCACTGATATCGCGCAACGATGTCCGCCCTGATCCGTTTGCGTTTCCACTGGCGCGAAACCGTAAGACCAGGTGGGGAATGCGCTTCCCGACCGCGGTCCGCCCCCTCGCGGTCAGCCATAGCATGGATCTAGGCGGCCCACTGACTCAGGCCCTTCGGGGTCCGGAGAAATGGTCCCACCTTCATTATGCTCAGGGGGTCCCAATTGGGAGGGACCTTTTTCAAAGAGCAAAAATCTGAAAAAAATAAAAACTGCAATCACATGCACAAAACAGGGGGTATCACATATGCAAGAGAGACGCATCCCACGCGTTAAGCTTGTGCTGTACATCCCAACACTCTTTCACCGCTTAGAATGATCAAAAATTGGTAATTTTGCAAAATGCAAAAAATTTCTTTCAATTTTGCCTTTGCAGAATTTTGAATAATGCACCTACTCACTTCGTTTAAATGATTACAGAAATGCTTTACCGTTTAACTATCATGCCATCATGATAATTTCATTATATATTTCATAATATAATCTTACATTGGAAATTTTCAAAAATTCCAAAAAATTTCATTTTTTTGACCGTCAAAAATTTCCATAAAAGTGGTCAACTATGTGAAAAATAAACAAGAAGTGTTGTACTTTTTCAATATATTGCTTTTATATGTGCCGAATTCTTAATATATTGGTTCAATCTGAGAAAATCCAAAAATTCTTCAAACATTCGCCAGCCCAGTTTCTTCAGAAATATAATCAAAAACGAAAAAATAACAATAAATTTTAACAGTGTGTCCCATATGGATCACATATGTCATATTTTATAACTGAGCGGCTCTTTCTTACATAGAATTTTGGACTAATTGCAAAAATTCAAAAAATCAGAAAAATTTGCAATCTCAAAATTGACAAAAAAAAGTTGCAATAAGATACAAACTGAGCTGAGGTATGTCACATCCATGCATTTTATTGCACGTTGGGCGATATGCTTGGCTTTTCTTGTGTTTACATCAGTAAGATTTGGGAAAATCAGAAAAAGTTACGCATGCGCGTGAGCCTGCCGAATGCGCGGGGTTTGATTGGCCCAGGCGTGGCCAAGGTCGCGGCCGTCTGGTGTGCTGGGTGGGCCTGCGGGGTCGCAGGGGCGGGCACACTTGCCCGGGGCGGAGGGCCGCCGCTGGGGCGGTCCGCGGAAGGCGTTCGGAGGGTGCAGCCCCTCCTGTTCCAGGCGTGCCGCATGCGGCTGCCCCGATTTGCCTGTAGGGGCATGCCAGGCTCCATCCCTGGTTGCCAGGGTGCGGCCTTGGCATCTTGTTGCGATCCGGTCGATCCGTGCCACACGGAAGCGCGACCGCCGGCCGTCCAGGCCTGTGGTCTGGCGGCGGTTTTGTATGTTTGGGCAGCAGGGAAAGCTGCTCCTGGGACACTGGTTTGTGCCCAGGACGGTTTTCTTGGTAGGGATTCGCCTCCCTCCCCCACTGCAGGCGCCGGTCTATTGTGCAAAGACCGGAAGGGGCGGTACGTTCATGAGGAACGCGCCCCCGTCGTTGGTTGATTGGCTGTAGCATCGGCGCGACGATGCGGCTGATCGCTCCTATGCGTTGGAGCCCCCCGGTGCGATGGGGATTTTTGTGCGTTATGCGTCTGTGGTAGACGCGCCTCGCTTCGAGGCTTCGCAGCCCAAGGTAGGCTTGCGTCGATTTCGGGCTCCGGTCTGATGCAGCTTGCGCTGCTTGCGGCGCCGCGCGCGCATGATTTGCAGCCTGTGGTAGGCTTGCGGTGATTTCTGCCTCCGGGCCGAGGCTTGTGCGATGCCTGCGCCGCTTGCAGCGTGTGGTAGGCGGACGCCGGTTCGTTGCTCCGGTGCGAATCTCGAGCGGCTTCCTGCATGCTGGTAATGTGTACAGCCTATGACAGGCGTGCGTCGGCTTTTGCCTTCGGATCGGGGCTTGTGCGGCGGCTTGTAGTCCGCTTGCACGGTTGCGCACAGGTGCTGCCGATGAGAGGGATGCAAGGCACCCGCCAATTTGCGACCGGGCCCTTTTCGCGCATCCGGTTCGTGGCTACTCTAGTCTGCCCGGGGCTGGCATTGATTTCCGCCTCCGGCCTAAGGCCGGCGCCACTCGCGGGCAGGTTGTGTACGGCGGCCCGGCGCCCGGCGATGAGAGCAATGGATGCGTGCACGAGAATGCCCGCGTGCGGCCTCGGCTATTCGACCCGCTCGCCCCGCGCGGCGACGGTGCTCTGCTTTACGTGGTTGCGCAGCATCTTGGCGCTGCGTTCAGGTTTCGTCGGCCCGGGACGGCCATGAAGCTTAGTCGCGCCTCTGGCCGGCGACTGCTTCTGCTTCTGGCCATGCCGCGTGATGCGGATGGCGCGGCTTGGTGGCGACGAGCGTCGCTCCCGAGGTGGGTCGGTCGGGCTCGGCTCAGGCCGGGCTCACCCCACGCGGGCGCGCGGCGTTTGCGCTTCGGTGCGAAGCTGTTGCGACCGACCTACGTCGGGAGCGGCACTTCGTCGCCACCTTGCCTTGCTCCTGCGCCCACCTGCTTTGGAAGGGCTTCTCGGTTGGCGCAGATAGCACTCCCGGCGTTGCTGCTGATGCTGCCACTGCTCCCAAGGTGGGGGCCCGCTGTACGTACGGCGCCAGGGCACTGTGCCTGTTGTAGTTGCGCGGCAGCGCTGCAGGCATCGGATGGCACTGCATATCGCGGCACCGCAGCGGCGGGTCCGCGGGAGATTGGGTTCGGAGATGCAGAGTTGCTCTCCCCCCGACGTTTACGTGTCCGTAGGGTGTGCCTGGTGCGCCCCTGCGGATAGCGATTGCGCCACTCGCTTTCCGCGCCGGCGGCGAGAATGAGTGGATCCAGTTTGCTGACATTGCAAGGTGCGCCGTCGCATGCGCGCAGGTTGTCTGGGTTGGCGACGAGCTCCGCTTCCGAGGCGGGTCGGTCGGGTTCAGCTCCGGCTGAACTCACCCCGCACGGTTGCTGGTGCTTGGTCGCGAGGACGCCTCGCGTGGCCTGCTTCGGAAGCGACGCTTCGTCGCCATCGCTTTGAGCGCGCGCATGCGAAGCGCGCGGCGCGCACTTTGCTTGTCGCACTAGGAAGGTGCTATGGCTGCCAGTTGATGGCAGCCGCTGCCACGATCGATCTTTTGACGAGCACTTCCGCCCGGAAGAGCGTGGTGGCGGTGGGGTGTCGGGGGCTCGGCCGCCCCCCTCTTCCGTTCGGAAGAGCTCGGTGGCTATGGTTCCCCACCGCCGGGTCGCGGCCGCTGAAGCCGCTCCGGCCTCTGGTGTTCGCGTTCGGGCGAGCGCGATCTCGCTTCGGCGACGCCTTCGGGCGCTGTGCTCTTTTGGGACCAGACGGTCCTGCGACTGGCTCAAGGCTGGAGCCAATAAAAAAAAATGAAATCTGACAAATGTGGCGATGAACCACAAAACTGCTTGTGTCGGAATGTCACGCAAGGTGGTACAGAACAGTTTTTGACAATTGCGCAGTAGTTCATCTTAAATTGTATGCAGATGCATAATATATTTGGTGAATTTCAGAAATTACAAAAAAATAGCTCCTTTGATCCCAACCCCCCCCCCCCCCCCTTGGGCCATAGGCATCAATGACTGGCCCAGGCTCCAGGTGCCAGAAAGAGTGCGTCCATTCCTAGAACGAATAGGGGTCCACCTAGGTCCGCCGTGGGAGCCTGTTCAGTGCATTCTCGAAAATCGCAAAGCCGCCCACAGATCGCATCGCGCATCCTTGTGATCCGCCACTGGAGCCCGGTGGTGGGTATCGTAGATGGGACGTCTTCCTCATGATCCCGCGCCTGTCATCGTCGCAAGTCGCCGCACAACGAGGATAAATAGCGCTGCTGCGCCCGCCCTGCTCTGCCGGGGGCCGCCGTTCCTTGCGCGGTCGCCACGTGCGCAACCGCGCGGCCGTGCCCTGTTTCGCCACCGTAGGAGGCGCGGCGACCCGCGCCCGCCCCGATCACCGCGCTCTTCGGCAGCGTGCCGACGCGGCGCGCGCCCCTCGGCCGGCGGTGATGATGCCTTGGAAAAAGCGCGCGCGCGGGGCGCCCCGTTTCGCGCCCCCCGTACGGGGAAGGGATCCCGTGCACAAGGGTGGCAAAGCCCCTTGGGGTGGAGTTTCAAATGCGCGCCGTAGTGCCCCGGGCGTTCTTCGATGGCGCCCCGGTTTCAGGGTCGGTGCCCGGGTGCGACATGTACTGGGCCAAGGAAAAGAGCGGGGGTAAAGACACCGCGTAGCGGCGCGGCCCCCGGGCGAGCCGCCGCCGGCCGCGCGCGCCTTGTTTGCCCGCTGCCCTGCTCGAGTTCCGTAGCCCGCACCGCGGCGCCTGGAGCGCTTGCGCGTCTCGTCCATCGTAGCTCGTCCGAGGCCGTCGTGCAGGTAATTTGACTGCTCGCTTTCCGGGTACAACATTCGTCTACGTTCTGCGGGCACGATGCGTATTTGAAAGGGACAAGCCTCGTCAAACATGATTACCAATCGGGTTTACGTACCCTCGTCTACTGCGTTTGAGTTTCGGTCATTTTCCTAACTTGGTATCTGAAATGTCACTGCAAGAAGCAACTCGATGAAATTGCAGCTCAATACTCGTGACCGTTGTTTTTTTCGAAGCTGCGCAGCGGGAGCGCCTTACTCGTTATGTGCTGGCACCTCCAGCAAATTCATAGGTCGCCGCATCGCCGTGTTCGCATGCACTGTGCCGGTTTCTTATTCGGAGGAGCATTCGGCTCTCTCGTCACTGCCGCACACGAATCGCGTTCGCGGGGCAACATTCTCCGGCGGGGTCGAACGACCACGGGCACGACAAGCTCCGCACGCGTTGGAGCAGCCGCACCGGCGGTTGTCTCGCCCGCTGCGCCCGAACACAACTCGCCGATGGCATCAGAGCACTCGACCCGTCGGAGGACCAAGAAAAGTTTTCTGCAGAAGTTGCTGGAAAAGAAAACCCGGATCGAGGTTGATGCTGGGCAGCAACACCGCACGTCGGCCGGCCAAAACTCCCGTGACGCGCAGAGCTGCTGCGCAGATGAAAGAGGCGTAGGTGCGGTGGCCACTGTGGAGGGGAGAAAGACGACCTCCGCAGGAGATCCGTGTTCGGGAGAAAACGAGAACGCGCAAACAACACCTGATCGGGACAATACTCTCCTGGGCACAAGTTCTTCTACTGCGCAGAACAAGACCGCGGGAACATCTACCTCGGCCAATGCTGATGCCAGCAGCAGGACAGGAGGCTTGGCTGCGGGCGGAGGGGGATCGCCGGTTGGGGCCGCGGTTCCGCCACTCGGCAAACAAGCGAGCGGAACAGAAAACGAAACTCCGGGAACATCATCAACAACAGTCCCCGTGCGGAAGCCCGGCACCACGCAACGCGACTGTTCGGGGAAAGACAAAGTTTGGACGGTGCACTACATGCCGTGGATGCTGCCACAGTGCGTGGACTACGACCACTGGTGTCAGGGCACGTCCTGGTACAAGCCCAAGCTTGATGCGATATGCGACGAGGGGGATATAATTTCTAGTGGAACATCAACATCAAGAACTACTTCGGCAGAACAAAATGGAAACGGAAAACAAACCAATCCCAGCACTCGCCCGAAACTGCTACGTAACGACGAGGATAAAGAGTGGCTTTGTGCAAAAAGCGGGGAAGATGAGAATGATGCGCAGGAGAACTCAATCGATAAAGATGGAAAAAACCTCTCCGGCATCTACCGCATTCCGACGAAATGTCCACCTTGCGACGGGACCCAAGCCTCCTGCCTCGCGGAGGAGGGAGATCGAGACAACTTCAGCGGCGCGGGGCGGACGCCGTACCACATCGAGGCGCAGATGCAACTGATCCACGACAGTTGCATTGACGCGATCTGGATCGACTACCAGTGGCTCAACTGGAACGGCGCGATCGAGTTTGTGATTACCATTCTGGAGAAAATGCACCAAAGGGGTGACACGCTGAAGTTTGCCATTCTCCTGGACCCGAACGCCAGTCAGGGCGCGCTGTGGAAGCAGGCGCACGACGCGGCTCAGTCGCCGTTCACGACCCGGTGGGTGAATCACGAGTTGTACCACACATGGAAGGGAAAGAGACTCGTGCCGGTTTTCGCCGTGAATTTGGTGAACGAAGTTGTATCTCCCGACCAAATTGTCCCCGACGCGATCTACTTTCACGATTCCCAGGGGCAGAATTACCAAGCGTCTATTCGCGGCGGGGCGCACTTTTCGGGCACCTACCCGTGGCCCTGCGGATCGCACGGGAACAACTTACAGTACCTGCGCGACCGGTACTCGGAGTGCCGACACCAGAACCACGATAAGTCCCGGACCGACATGCCCTGCGTCGGCCTGCTGTACCCGCAGTTCTGCGACTGCTACAAGGACCGGAGTTTCTGTTGCCACGGGTACTGTGAAGTGCCGGGAAAAATGACCGAGAACTGCTTATTCGCGACCGCGAGTTTTCTCTCCGGGGAATTGAAACACGAAGGAACTGGGGTCGACATCGTGCAGATCGTTACGTGGAACGATTACGGCGAGATGACGCACATCGAACCCAGCACCCTGCGGGGGCTGGAGGAAGGGCAATTTGGGTGTGAAAATGGCGGGTTACTTCCGAGCGTGTGCCGGTCGCGGTTTGACAAGGCGGGCGGGTACAACGCCTGGCGCGACATGGTGGAAAACCGGCTCGGCCACAACAACCCGGACGAGCCAGTTTCCTCTGCGCAGACGCTGCTCCGGGTGCGGAACGTGATCCGGAATCAAAACGACAAGTACACAGTATGGCGATGACACAGGTAGCAGCTGCGAGGATTCAGGAAGGTCGCTATTGGGGAGCGCCGTTGAAGGTGTTTGAATGTGTCGACGTGTCTTGCGTTATTGCATGACCCGAAATTACTTATGTACATTGATTCTGTTTCTGTATGATAACAAATGCAGGTAATTGGTTTCCGTTTCCTGCGAACTTAGTTTCTCAAAAAATCAAAAGCAATTGCGAAGAAAAACAAGATCTTCAGTTTAGATGTACACCAATCTGGCATTTTGTCGTGTTCCGCGAGGCACGTACAAATTGTTAGTCGCACAAGATCTTTGTGTAGTGTCTGAGACGTAAAGTTGACAGCACTTCTTTTGTAGACTGCTCTACTCCGCCACCCGAGACCCCCGAGAGTGAAGAGACTTCTGAGCACAACATCCATTCTGCTGGCAGTACAATTTCAATCGCATATACAACACAGCTTCGCCTGCTTGCTTAGAAGAAGTAGCTTCTAGGGATCAGCATCAGCTTGTGCTGTCGCATGATTTTGTCCCAGAGCCTCGCGCGTTTAACCTAGAAGTAGAACTTTCGGAACTCCATTTATCTTATCACTGCTCACGACAGATCTGCTTGCTTCAGGCCGTTTAGTCTAGAACAGTTCGGTTCAGTAGTTTTCTCGATGATCTTGAGTACCATGGCAGGCTAAGTCCAAATTTATCTCAGTGGTATTCGTCTCTCTCCCTTCTCGCATAATTATATCGCATATCGGTTTTAATGAGGAGCTCCTGCTCCATGAGAAGTACTTCTGGTTCTGTGCGTTGTCTCCCACTAGAATTCCGGCAAGAAGTCGGGCTATATGTATTCTGAAAAGCAACCTACGCTGCCTCTTAAGTCTTCTCTACTAAACACACTTTATTTGTTCGACGTCCTAAATGCACAAAAATGCAACCGCCCGACGTCCCAATCGAAGATTCTTCGGGACGAGGAAGTGATGACTCGGCTAGCAGTCGGAGTAGCGAAGACGGCGCGGGGAGTGGTGAGGGACGAGAGGATGCTGCTGCACAAAGTGAGACGTCGAGCAGCGAGGAAGAAGAGGAAGAGCACGAGGGGGACCACGACGGCCATACCCTGAGCAGCAGCGATAAAAACAGCGCAGCAGACAGCATCGCGAGCGAAGAGGAGTCCTCTTCAAGCGCACTAGACCATCAAGAGGAGAACGAGGATGGAGAGCAAGGAGAGGACGTTCCTGCAAGAAGTATTGGCAGCGAAGAGGACGAGGATGCGAGCGGGAGCGGCGGCGGGCACGACGGAAGTGATGCTGGAGGAGACGTGGATGCAGAAGCGGTTGCGAGGACCAGTCAGAGCAGTAGCTCGGATGGAAAAAACGGACAAGTGAACGCGGCCGCAGGTGACCACAGCGACGGGAGCAGCAGTTCACCCGATGAAGCTGATCAGAATTCCGATGTCGTTGACAACGGTGCGTCGTCTTTGGCTCGCGAACAAGAACGTAGTGACGATAACGGTTCTGCTGCTGCTGCTGCTGCTGCCAGCGACGGCGAAAACGACAAAGGTGCAGGTGCGGCCGAGATAGCACAGCACGAAGATGAGATACGCGACGACAGTGAGAAGAGTGCCAGCAGCTACGTTCTCGCCGGCAGCGTGAAAGACGAACAAGAGCCTGATCCAAATGACGAAAATGCGGTTCCCGCTGCTGGACAGGAGGTTCTCACCGATGCAAATAACGTGGTGCCAGCAGTACTTCTACCCTCCTGCCGCCAGTGCGCCAACCCGAAAGCGCACGTAAAGCACACCTGCGGCAAGGAACACAAGTTCACGTGGAAAAGGCGCCCGAAGAACGCGGAGAGTACAAATGTAACGAGCGATAGGAACAACAGTCGCAAGCTTCTCGGCCCGAATGCTGCGGGTGACAAAGACGATGTCAACAGGAATTTTTCTGAAAATAACAATAACCACCCCAGCAGCGAAGATGACGACTTGGACCCGCACAACAGCATCATGCCTTTGGAGAATTTGGACTTTATCGCCGACAGTTACCTCCGGAAAAGAAAACTGACGAAGAGAAACAAGGAAAGGGGACCGTACTACGCGAAATTCAAACTTTCCATCAACTGGAAGAGCAAGTTATCCTGTGCAAAAGTATCGTACTCGTATTGCAATCATGCATTACAAATTTTCTTGTTAAGTCAAATCCGCATTACAAATTTTATTTCTCATGCTGAGGAAATTTCTATTGCATTTATACGAGTACGATGCTTTTGCACTGTATACAAGTGCCGCTTCAAAAACCTGGACGAAAAATTCAACGACACCCACTGCACGCAGTGCGGCAAGGAGTATCAAATGTAAAAATGTCTGGGTCTGGAAGATTGCCAGGTTTGTCATGCACATTTTGCATGACCCATGAGGTCTGGAATGCGGGACTTAGCATGACAGACTCTGCGAGGTCCCTGCCATGCCTATTCTGCATGAGAAATTCCGGCCCAACTTCGTCAAAAGTGGACAGCTTTTGGCACTCATGCAACACAGATTTTTGCATGCTTCAGATTTACCATGACAAGTTGCAATCTTCCAGACCCAGACATTTTTACATTTGATAAGGAGGGCGGCGAGCTCATCTTCTGCGACGGCAGGAATTGCACGCGGTCCTTCCACCTTCCCTGCGTTTCGCGGAACCAGGGCTTCCAGGATTTGACGGGCCAGGAGTGGCTCTGCCCGTATTGCGGGGGGAAAGACGAATTGGTGGTGTACAATCGGGGGATGCAGAACAAAAGATCAGCGCACCAGAAGGCCAACGAATATTTCAAGATGGCAGAACAAGACTCGGCGTTCAAGTTGAAAGTGGAAAAATTGGTGCGAAATTGCTCCATAGCGTCGAAGGCGTCGTTATGAGAGCTGTGTACTTACAACTCCCCTCATCATTTGAATGGCAGACAGTCAGTAGCAACAGACAGCGAAAGTGTAGTTTCCGCATGACATTATCGCCATGTACTTAGCTAAGTGCCGCGCGAAAGACTTTACTAGCCTGAGTGCTTTGTGAACGGCTTAAGCCTAAGTGCTTCGCGAACGACTTCAGCCTAGGTGCTTCGCGAACGACTTATGCCTAAGTGTTGCGCGAAAGACTTAAGCGTATGTCGCTCGCGAACGACTTAAGCGTATTTAGTTCGCGAACGACTTAAGCGTATGTAGTTCGCGAACGACTTAAGCGTATGTAGTTTGCGAACGACTTAAGCGTATGTGGCTGCGAGCGAGTTACCTCTAAGTGCTGCGCGAAAGACGTAATTATATGTAGTCCGCGAACGACTTAAGCGTATGTAGTTCGCGAACGACTTAAGCCTAAATAAAATGCTGCGCGAACGACTTAAGCCTGAGTGCTTCGCGCACGACTTAAGCCTCAGTGAGCTTCGTGAAAGACTTAAGCAAGCCGAAGTGCTTCGCGAACGACTATAGCGAATATTTTCTGCGGCACCAAGTGCTCTCTTGCGTGCTGCAACGGATTCTATTGCCAAACGGCAGCGGGGACGGCCGGATTACCTTCCAACTTGCATGACAGATGGAGGTAGATGAGTTGTACACGCGCATAGTCCTGTCTCGTGGTGCAGAACTGTTTTCCGGACCTGTTTGACGGCAAGCCGATGGAAGAATTCGACGTGGATGATATCCTGAGTAAAAACGCCCCCACCCCAGAGTTGTAATGCAAATCTGCATGCCAAAAAAGCCTCTCATGCGGAGCCCCATGAGAGCCATTTTGTACTCGTGTTTTGGGATTTGTGATGCTAGAATCAGCATGACGTGCTAGATCTGTGATGCTTCGGAACTAAACAGGATTACACTACAAGGACAAATTTGTCATGCGAAACAGCCAAAGCTGGTTGATTTGTTTAGCAGATTTCGCCATCTTGACTCTGGTGTGGGGACATTTTTCCTCACAATAGATGACGAAGACTGGTGCGAGCAAATCAAGAAGATCCAGGCGAGGTTTATGACCCACTCAGACGTTACAATCTCAACTGTTACAATAGAATCTGGAAATCTGTGATGCAAGAACTGCATGATCTAGCCTACTCCCATAGGATTGCGCATGACAAGTTTCGGAGTCCCAAACCCACTTCGAATCCGGCAAAATTTGTATTGCGAAAAGCTCAATTCTCTCTGCGTTCCTCATGCTCTTCATGCAATACAAATTCCAGACTCTATTGTAACGTTTGAGATTGTAACGCTTGAGCAGGCCATAAGGTTTCACGAACTTCTCTCCAACGCCACCAGTTCAGACTCGGGCATTATCACTTGCAAAAGTGTCTGGGTCTGGAAAAACGCCAGGTGTGTCGTGCTCTGCTAGCATGACTGTCAAGTCTGTCATGCAAGGTCGTACCTAAAAGCGCCACTATTCGTATTGCGTTATGCAAAAGCAGAGTTTCTTATGCAGAATAGGCAACGCCAAGCGACTCAAAAACCTGTCATGCTGAGCAGTCATTTCTGGCGTTGGTTCTCTTAATTCGCCAACCAGCATCACAAGTTTCCAGACCCAGACATATTTGCATTTGATAGGCATCACCCCGCTCGGCGCGGTTTTGCAAGCGCAGGCGGAGAAGCCCGACAACGTCTGGCCGCTGGAAATCGCCAAGATTCTCTTCGCGAACGGCTGCTCGCCCTGGTCAAAAGTGGCGGACAACAGTGTGATCGTTGGGAACGTGCTGAACCCAGAGGAAACCGGGGTCGCGTTTGTGCAGCGGCAGATGATCCACGTCGTGCGAAAGTACCTGGCGACCTGTGAAAAGAACAAGCCGGTGATTGTCGCGAAAGATGTGCTGGAAAATAACGGTTTCCTTCTGAACGGCACCGGGGGAGGTTCTGGCCAGCAGGGACTGTATTTTCAGCAAATGCAGATGATGAACTCTACAGATTTCAACATGCTGGACCCGCAAATGTGGAGCAATCTCGTGCACCACCCGAAGACAGACCAGCACCAGCAGCACCAGCCCATGACGAATCACAACGTGGTTGCTCCCAACTTGTATCCCCCAAACGGCAACCCACGGCCGCAGGCCAATTTAGGACGGAGGAACCCTCGCAGAAACAACAGCAAACAGACCGACCAGGCGCCGCAGCTCGCGGAGCCGCCAAAAATGAGCGAGCGCGCGCAGCTATGGATTGCAAAAATGTCTGGGTCTGGAAGACTGCAGAAGTTTGTCATGCAGATTTTGCATTACCCATGAGGTCTGTGATGCATGCCCTAGCATCAGAGATTTTGTGAGGGGTCTCTGATGCTCATACCGCATGAGAAATGCTCTCTCCGCGTAGCACAAATTACACCTCTCTTGCTATTCATGCAATACAGATTTTATGTAGAGTCCAAACAGCATTACAAGTTGCAACCTTCCAGACCCAGACAATTTTACTTTTGATAGCAGCGGCACCTCCTGCGGCGGATCCGGAGCACGCAAAATTCGCCGAAAAATAATGCGGGGGGGAAGAACAATAAAAGTGGGCCGTTGTTGAGAAGGAACACAACGACGGGGGGTCCCGGGACCCTGCAGATCGGGACCACTTCGAAGGCCAGTTCTTCCACAAGTCTTCTCGTAAACGGCGAGGTTCTGAATCTTCGTGATGCGGCAGCCAATGCGTTGAAAAAGAGGAGAATTCTGAAGCGGCAAGACGGCGTAGAAGTTGGGGAGGAAAGCAAAGATGCGTCGCAGGTGGGGCAACAGTACAAAATTCACCCCGAGCAGACGAGTACGAAGCTTGTTCAACACCCTCTTTTTCCCGGCGGGGCACCGGCAGATTCGCATCCTGCTAATTCTGCCGTAGTCGGTCGTGGGGCGGTAGTGGGTGTAGCTGGTTCTTCCAATCTGCTGCCAGAGAAGGATCCGAAATTGTTCGCGAACGACAGTAACGCCTCGTTCGCACCAAAAATAGATCACGAGAAGACCAGCAATGCTGCTGGCGCGAACGCAGATCAGCCGCCCACGACCCCGAAGCCGCACCTTTTATTCTCTGTCTACCCGGACGAAAATGTAAATGATTCTGTCAATGCCGGCACTACAACGTGCACTTGGACCTCGCGATTCATGAAGCACACCGCGGGACAGGCGGTCGAGCAGGCCGTGCAGGTGATGCAGCTATCAACTGCAAATATGTGGTCTGGTTCGGGAAGAATGCAAGAAGACTTGTCATGCTTAGCGCGCTTGATTTTGGTTTATTCTGTGATGCATGTGCACGAACAGCCCTCTTACTTGTCATGCAAAAACGCAATTTTCCATGCGGAATACGCAACATATAGCAGCTCGAAAAGTTCTCATGCGTGGCTGCATATTCCAGTGTGGCCATCAATCGCAGACTTGCATCACAAGTTCCCAGTGCAAATAATTTGCACTTGATAGCAGCCGAGCGTGCACGAAACCATGTGGGAAAAGCAGGTTGAGTATCGTAAGGAAAAAATCCTCCCTCCCCATTCAAAAAGGGCATACTTCTGAAAAGTTGTGATGCTGATTTGTGACCACAAATCGTCTCTGTATTGCAAGAAAGGAAACCCAGAGACTCTGCCGCATTTTGCAGGCGGTTTGTGATGCTGCTAGACCTACAGGGGGGATCTCTGTCATGCCAAGTGCCTACGTCAGAACATCCCCGCCCAGGCTTTGCATCTGCCTGCGTTTCTCTACTGCAAGACACAGCTGATTTGTGTACACAGATCCCGCATCACAGATTTCGACTTCGATATGGCGAGGGGGGATTTTTCATTTTGATATTGAGTATCGCAACGCGTCAAAGAGCTCGGGGGTGGGATCCGGAAACGAGAATGGTTGTTCATCATCTTCCGCGTCGTCCTCTTCGGCCAGGAGGGGAGGTGGAGGTGCAACGGGAACAAATCAAAGAAATGCAAGTCAGAAAAACATCAACGCGGCTTTTTTGTACAACAACAATAGTCGGGGCAATTCGAAAAACAGCGGTCCTCTCGGCATGATCCCGTCCAAAACCAGCTCCGCTGGCACAGCGCGCACGACGTACAGCAGGTCTCACAGCAGCGTGGTTCTCGCGCCGTCATTCTCCCCCAACGCGGGGCGGACCAAGGACGTCGCGGTGGAGCGGGAGATCGGGAGTCTGTTTCATCCAGCGCCGAGGGCTCCATCAGCGGAGCAGGAGGAGCAGGGTCTCGTCGTCGCTCCAGCTAATAAACTGGCACGACCTGCTTTGAAGACAGCAGAAGGCAAAAATAAGACCACGGCCGAAGTAGCGGCGTCCGCGGGTCGTGTCCCTCCAGAACGGAAGACTCTTCCGCAGAGAAAAGCGAAGCAACAGGCGAAGTTGAAACAGGAAACTTTGTTGCCGCCGGAAGATGAGGAAGAAGATTCAGATTCAGATTTCGACGCAGAAGAACCAGCGGAGCGAGACGACTCTGAAGACAGTAGCAGCGAGGGGAATGAGGAAAATAGCAGTAGCGAAGAAGATGACAGCAGCAGTAACAACAGCCAAAGCAGCGAGAAGGAGGAGGTCGGGGAAAGACGGCCGCAAGGAGAAGGAGCAGGAAGTAGTAGTAGACAAATAATAAAACAAGAGCCAAAAAATCCAGTGCTTGTCCCAGAGCAGGCCGGGCTGACGGAAGGGCAAAAGTTAAAACTTCCGATCGGCAGTGCGGTTAGTAGCAAGAATAATGAGCCGAACACGAAGAAAACCGGGTCCTCTCGTGGTCCACCAGATATGAAGAATCTACTCTTAGGTCCCCGGGTACCGATAGAACCCGGGCGCACGATGTCCATTGCAACGCTGCTGCGGGCGAAAACCTTTTTCAGGAAAAGGAAGAGCACTGGAAGTAGTGTCTTGTCGAGCCGAAGGCGGAGGGAAACGAATGAGAAAGGGAACAATTGTAAAGAGGGATCAAATATTAAACAAGCGCGTGATGAAGTACAAGATGACATCAAGGCGAGGACCACCGACAAACCAGAAGCAAAGATGATGACATCCTCAAACGCAAAACCGGCCACAGCATCGCGAAACCAACCGACGACCAGTCGGAGTCTTGAACAAAACCCAGCGGGCGGGGGTAAGAAATCTTCCACGTCTTTGCTGCTACTGCAACCCCCAGGAACTTCTACTGTTGTAGCTGGTGGCGGTCCAAATGCAAATGCTACCGGTAAGAGTCAGACTTCATCATCCCTCCCCACCATCCATTATGAGCTGCGTTGGCCGAAACTTTTGGGAATCGAGGACCAGTTTCTGGATGACACGGCGATACCACACGCGGAAGTTATAAACACGATGACGAGTGACGAGCAAATTTCTTCAGCTTCATCCGGGATGGAAAACAACAACAGTAGTAGTTTTGGTAATTTGAATTTCGTTTTCGGACCAAGAAATTTCTTCCAGCCAGGAACAGTGGGTACAGGTGCGAATTATAATCCAAGCGGCAGCACCAGCAGCAGCAGAGCTTTTCCCCCCTTCGCAGATCCGTTCGTAAACCCATTTGGAGGTGGACAGCAACGTAAAAACCAGCAGCCTAATTATGATAAACACCAATGCGACTCGTTTGTGTTCTTCGCAACGAATAACTCCAGCGACAACAAAAATTTGAACGCACCAGCATCAACGTCTTCCTGGATAAACGCAGACCATCAAACCCCGCGAGCAAACATGATGACAAATAACCAGGATCCTCCAGATGCGAACGCGTCCTCGCGTCTCGTTATCGAACAGGACCGGAACAAGAACTTTATTATTACCCAGGGCGAATACCGAAACCAAATCGTCTCCGATCCGACCATATGGATCGCAAATATGTCTGGGTCTGGAAGAATGCAAGTTTGTCATGCTTGTCTGGCATGACTCGAGAATCTGTGTTGCATAGGCACGAAAAGGCGCTGTTACCTGTCACGCAAAAACGCAATTTGCCATGCGGAATACGTAACACACGGCGGCCAAAAAAATTGTCATGCGTCGCTGCGTATTCAAGTGCGTCTATCATTTCTTTTTAGCATGATAGAAAGTTTCCAGACCCAGACATATTTGCATTTCATAGACCACCAAGCGCCAGCTCTACGTGTGGGGCGAGTTCCTCTCTCTGTTCTACCAAGCCGACCCCGTGCTAGTCTCCACGGTGTTGCACAAGCATTCTTTCCCCTACTTGCCGGAACAAACCCGAAAGGACGCCTGCTGGGCGCGGCGCAAGTGGCTGCTGTTCCTGGCGGAGGCCAGTGAGTGGCCGGGCTTCAAGAAGAACGTCACCTCGAATGCGTGCGTCTATCTGAAGGAACGACAGAACAGTTTACTGGATGTTTTGATCCGGAAAATGCCCGAAGAAATACTCACACAAGTGGTGCGGTTTTTATGAGATGCCGAGTCATTTTGCTAGTGCGGCCGGTCTTCTTGCGAATGATATAATCACAATAGAAAATGCAGTGAAGCAATAGAGAATTTATTCTTGAAGTGTTTTTTTGCTATGCTACAAGGTACCCCTGTCTACCTAAAACGAACGTGTATTCTTCTGTTCGGCGACGCGTTTTGTGCTTGATATAATGAAGACGTGAGTTTATTATGTGCAACATACTGACGACAAGAAGCAAAAATGTACTTCACATCTACGATCATTGTCACGCTGCAGGAACAGCGCGAGCGGTTTTGGCATCGGCGTCTTCTAGTGGGTGCGAATTGTTCTGTTCGAGAATTGTGGCTTTTGAGTAACAGACAACTGCGTTGCCCGGCCGGTTTCGAGCGAATATGCTTCTTCAGAGAAATAATGTGCAGCTGGGGTAATAAACATGACTGAGAGATGAAAGACGGGGCTCTTGGTTCCAGCAGCCGGCGCCCGGAGAGGAAAACGCGGGAGAGAAAATGCGCACCATGTCAAAGACTGGAAGACACTGTAAATATGCTACATTCAGTTCACTTCGAATAGTACGTGGAGATTAGCGCGCTCTCAATTTGTAGAATAGTGCCCACAGAAGAAATTGATCGCATCAAACAATATTAAAAGCACAAAGCACGCACACGAAAACCTACAACTCATCATGCCTCCCGCCGGCGAATCAGAATGGATGGGACACGGGCAGCCCCAGGTGGAGCTGCGGCGGTCCTACATCAAATTGCCCCGCGGCCGGGTTCACGCGGTGCCGAATAACAACTTGCACTACGACCCGAGCACCGGGGAGCCGCAGGTCGGCATCGCGTTTGTCCGCGGGAAGGATTCCCATTTGGTGGGTGCGGGCACGGTGCCCTTTCTGCGCACGGAGGAAACTACCCGGCCCGGAGCGAACCAGACGCTCGGGCCCAGCGGTCGATTTGTCGGCTCAAAATTGTACCAGAACGAATGGGTGTTTACCCCGGGGGAGGAGCAGGTCTTTTGCAGCGACGTGCTGGAAAAGGCAGGGTACGACGAACACGGACACGCCATCTATTACGACCGACCGCGGCGGGAACTGAAGGCGAAGCTTGCCGCCGACCGGATCGAAGACGGAAGGAGGGAGCTGCTGGCGAGTATGGGTTTGGGACTTGGTCTGGCTGGGTCACGACGTTTGATAGAGTAAGACGTGTGTTGGATAGGTAAGCATGACAGGTGCATTTTGTGATGCTGATTTGCAATGAGAACTTGCAGTCAGCTGCAGTAGAGAGCAGGGCCTGGTTCACGATTTTCCCGTGCATAGCAGGAGAACAAGCGGAGCACCAAGCGGTGGAGAATGCGGCAATTCTATCGCAAGAAAAAAGTGTTACAGTTACACATTGTGTTGCAAGACCGGCAACACAGACAACCTCTCTCATGCAGGAAATGCTTGGGAGCCTCGTTTCCTTCCTGTTTTCCCTTATGATCTTCGCATTACAAGTTTTCTCTGCCAGACAGAGAAAATTTGTGATGCAGAAACTCCAACAAATGTGTAACTGTAACACTTTTTTCTCGTGATAAATTCAGAAGCCGTATTTATTTTCGATATTAAGTAACCTCCAACCTGGTGCTCGTGTCTCTTTCTTTTTGCGATTGCTTGCTGAGAAAACGAAAAGTTGCTCCGTCACACGGCATAAAATCGGCATGACACAATGAAACACTACTCCACAGGCACTACTACGATAGCTACAGTGGTTACGCAGCTTGAAAACCAGCAGCTCGAAGAGCGGTCTTTCTTCTTGGCGGATGGCACACCAGGCATGAAACAAAATCTTCTCTCTTTTTGTTTTGATGTATGCAAGTGTTGCATGAACTAGCAAGAATAGGACAAGCCTTCATCTTTGACGCAATTTATTCGTGCATCTTCGTTGCAAAAATCTCTTCCGGCGGCATGAAGAAAGCTGAGAAGTGTCGACGACGCCGCGCCGAAAAGAAAGCCGGTCTCTTTTCTCCACCATACTTCGGCCACACTAGTGCAGCGCAATGGGAAGTACGTCGCGGCAGCGGAGCAACCGATGGCCTGGGACTCCATCTTTGATGACCTGTTTGATTTCGATAACTTCAGAATCCGCTGGCCCTATGACGACCCAGACCGGAATAAGTTGCTGCACCAAGACGTTTACGACTGGTATTTGAATAAGTAGGTTGAGTTTATTTCTTCGTTCTGAACAAGATCTGCAAGCCGTGAGTTCAGCATGAGAAGCTATGGTTCTGTCGCTGCTGTTCTGCATGAGAAGTGTTGGAGCGCTGCGGTGTCAACATGGCTTTATCTCACCTGTTCAGCATTACAGAATCAACAGCAATCCATTCGAAAAATAAATCAGGTATGACCGCGCTAATCCATATCTGGAGCGCGACGAGGACGTGATGATTACGGAAACTTTACGACAAAGAGAAAATCTGTACATGTAAAGTCATATATTAGCATTAGAAACTGCCTTTCTCATGCTAGATCATGCATGACAGACTTTTTCTTTTTCCCCCTCATACCCGGCATCCGCGTACGTGGAAGAGAAGCCGACGCTTGACCCGGGCGGTTTATGGAAATGAGAAAAGCCTTTTTTCTACGGCGATCTTTTGTCATGCGGGTCTTGCATTATAGACTGAGTGTACTTGTCATGCTGATATCACTAGCCACAGCTTGGTGTAAAAACTTTGATGCAGCAAAAGATCAATGCCTTTTCAATCTTTTTCCATACCCGTTTTTCGCTGCCCTGGATGACGTGCTGGAGTCTCTGAAGCCCTACTAAGGAGTTACCGGAACAGAATTTGTCATGCAAAATGGTGTTACGGAGCATAATTCTTACTTTTGATGGCACTAGTGCTAGCGACGTTTCAAAGAAGATGGCAGACAAAAGACACAGATTCCACCACAACTTCGGATCGTTTAAGTCAAGAACTCGACCACTAGAAAATACTTTTACAACTGTACAAAGCAGGGTCCAACATCTTCTTTTCTCGAATCTGCACAGCAAATTAACAGGCTTGTTTCCCACAAACAGTCAATCTGGGAGCTTCGCGTTGTCACGATGCTTTGGTCGTCGTGATAAAGAAGGCACACATGATTCACGCGAACCCTTCGTGTGGTCGTGAAGAGTTCATTTCCCAGGATACGGGGAGAATATTTGCATCTGTTAAGTACGCCTTTCAGACCTCCCGCATCTTGGTAGCGTGATGGTTTAGTTGAGGACTAGTTCAGATACGATCTAGCGCTCAGAAAGACAGGATATTCGCCTCGTCTGCTTCTACCAGATGTATCCATAATATCCACCGTCCGCTGCGGTAATCACCACTACACCTGTAAGCATCAGGCGTTCTTGAGAGGAGCGGCGAAATTTTTTGCGAGGTAAAGCGAGGCGGTGCACCAGATTCTAAGTTCAGTTCGTGTAAGGTAGAAGTACAAGATGTCGTATGAACGCGCAAAAACAATATCTTGCAATACATAGGGGATGAACCCTTGTTGTGCATTGGACAGAGCATGCGATAATGGCATTTTTCATGTGACGCGATCATTTTTGCATCTGAATGGTTCTTGCAGCAGATCGTGCCTCTTTCGTCAGAAAATCTTGAAAAAATTATCCCGTTTAATTGCAAGAGAACTTTTCAGCACTTCTGTCCATACCGCAGAATCGTCCTACCAGCACTACGGCGACCGGGCGTTTTATGGATAGAAAAAGCTGCAAGCACAGCGAGTTTGTCGTGCGGAACCTGCGTAACTGATCCGCGTTGTGATGCAGAAATAGGATGAACCATTCGCCTCATCGATGCACGGTATGATTTGTTCGCATGACAAATCTGGCACAGCTGCTCTTTCTAGATCTCCATACCCCAGCCCACAGGTCCTCCGGCCCCGGCGCTGCGATAGCGGGAACGAGCACGAACGAAGCATTTCGGATGCGGAAATCGATATCGCAGTCAGCAAAGACCATACAGAACAGGATACAATTATGGAAATGTGAAGCGAAGTTTTTTTTGAGGAAACTGACTTGTATTCCTTAGTAGCAGAGAAGTTGTCTTCACAGAGAGACAACAACTTCTAGTTGCAGGTTTATGCACCCACGAAATATAGTACTGCTATTTGTCAGAGTACTTGATCAAACTTCACGTTTTTTTCTCTCCATATTCGTACTTCAAGGTAAGTCAAAATCCAAGAGTCAAATTTGCTGGTCCCACAGTTTTGAATTTGATGTCGCGATTCACTGTGTTGCATTCACATAATCCTGCTCGCATGACCACAGATGTGGTGCTGGTGTGGTCACCAGCTGTGTATTACTTCAAAAAATGCAACGTACTATCACACTGAATAAAACAGCGAGAAGAAGACAAGATCTGGAAGGGGCTGGAGGAAGTGAGACGGCAAGCGGCAATATCAAAAGGAAAAATCCCCCCTCCCCATATCGAAAACGAAATTTGTGATGCTGTATTTGAGTACACAAATCGACTTGTAATGCTAGAAGGCCAAGAGACGCAGCTCTGGCCTTGTTTGCAGGCAATTTGTCATGCTGTTTCCCACTTCCAGCTGCTCCCTGTCATGCTGAAGATGCAAGGCTTTCCCACGCCAACCAGCACTACAGTCCGCATCTTTTCCATTCTAGCATGACAAAGCTGATTTGTGACTACATATCTGCATCACAAATTTCTAGTTTGAGTATGGGGTGGGGGGATTTTTCACTTTGATAGGCAAAGATAGAAGATGGTCGAGGGCGGATGCTGGAAAAGAAGCTCGCGGATAAAACGGTACAAAGTAGTTGCTTTGTCATGCAGAAGACGCATGGCAAATTTATTTGACATGCGTACTTACGACCACACTGGTAGAAGTGCGTGCTGTAGAGCCTAACTGGTCTAAGAGTGACATAGAAACTAAATGTCAAAAAATCCACCAGCTCACCCAGCGGCGCGCGCAGGACTATTACGAGCGTAAGATGCAAGTTACTTCTATGCGGGCTTATGGAAAATGAAATCTGTCGTTTCTGCAAATGCGGTAATTCGGTTCTTGCAAATGACACACAGAGACTTCCCTTGAACAAAGTTGTGCATCAAGTGTTTTATCATGCTGGCCCTCGAGTTCTTGTAGAAGGAGGAAGTTAGAAGTAGTAACAAAATTATACCTGCGAAGACCGTCACATCACCCATTTCCCTCCCATACCCCAAACCTGGAGCACGGCAAAGCCAACACGCGGGCAGAGCTCAACTCGCTCCGCGCAAGTCAGGGCCGGATGCGGAAGCAAGAAGCCCAAGATATCAAATGCAAAAATGTCTGGGTCTGGAAGAGTCATGCTGTTTTTACATGACACAGAAGGTCTGGCATGGACGCTCCAGCATCACAGGTGTTGAGAAGCTTCCGCGGTGCCGAATCCGCATGACAAATCCCCTATTTTGGTGACAGAAAGCGGGCAGCTTTTGCTGCCTATGCATGGGAGATTTTTCTGTGTTCTGAAATGCGCATCACAAGTTTGTATTGTTGCAGACCCAGACATATTTGCAATCCATACAAGACGCCTACCGACAAAAACAGGCGGCGGACCAGGCGAGAAAATTGGCCAACGCCGAGCGGGTGCTCGCGCAGCAGCGAGAGCAGCTGGAGGCAAAACTGCGGATCAATCAAGAGCGGGTACAGTAGAAGAAGGAAGTCTTTGATGATGATACATAGTGCCATCAAAGTTGTTTTGCATGGCAGATTTCGATTTCCATTCCTCGAAAACAAAGAGAATTCATCGTAGTGTAGTTGTACAACCACTGCGCATGACAGAAGCAACTACTCATGCAAGCGCTACATCAGAAGCAGCTCGTTCGAAAAACGACGAAAATATAAACAGGCGGACAGAATATCGCGGGTAAAACAAGACCAAGAGGCCGCGAGGAGAAAGCAGGAAACGGAGTGTGAAATGATGCATACGAAAGTTGAACAAATGCTCGTCGATCGACTTTTTTTCTGCTTTCAGTTTTGTTGGATCTTGCACATTGGTTCGTTCGTATATCTGTTACGCGCGGCGATGTGTATCTATGTGGTACGTTTCGACTTTCGAGTAGATCGGAAGATCGCATGACAAACTGAAGGAAAAGTCAGACATCGAGGGCGTTGTTGCACTTGCATATCCCACGCCCAAATACCGCAACTGGAGGAGGAGGAGATGCGCTGCCTGCAGAGATTGCAGAACAGCAGTAGAAATCATATACATCAATTCACGATTTCGATTTGATACTGTTCGTCTCATTCTCGCATGACAGATTTCAACTTGTATGCTTCGACGCAATGAAAATCCTTTCTCTATAATTCAACAGGAATCGTCACCCAATCCGTGCTTTCGGAGCTGGAGGGCAGCCTTGGCGCGCGCAACCCCGTGACCAATCTGCTGCGCGCGAAGGCGTTACGGACCCAATCTGTGTTGGACGAGTCGCAGTTCGATTTAAACGCAGTGGCGGAGGAGGAAGAACATGAACACCACATCGAACAATCCGAGGCTGTTCCCCAGGAACAAGAGGTCGAAGGACAGCACTACCACTATCGTAAGCAAAAATCCCCCCTCCCCATATCGAAAGTGCAGCCAAAGAAAATTTGCAATGCTGATGTGTGACCACGAATCGTCTCTGTCTTGCGAGAAGGCAACCCCACAGGCTACGCCGGATCATGCAGGCGGTTGGTGATGCTGCTCGGCTTACAGCATGGACATTCGTCACGCTCGGCGCGTACGTCAAAACTTCTCAGCTCAGGGCTTCCACACGCCTGCAGTCCGCTCCTGCGAGACAAATCCGATCTGTGTACGGAAGTCCAGCGTCAGAAACTTTGTTTCGATATGGGGACGGAGATTTTTGCTTTTGATAACCACATAGATAGCGACCAACTTCCTGCTGCGGCGATCCCAGGCGCCGCGGCCGCAGCCATGCCGCACCAGTTTCGGCCGGATCCGCGATAGTGCTGGTCGGCGGAATTTTCTAGCTCCGACGTCGTCGGGAGGAAAAAATTGGTTGCCGGGTGTGTGATTCTGATTTTCCTGCGCAGCATAATGCTTCTCCTCGAATTATGGAGAGCCAGTTTGCACGATGATGATCACGAAAAGCTGCAAAATAATTATACGCACTTCCTGCTTCTATCAGAGAGAGTGACGTGTGTCACGATTTTTGCGATTGAGAGGACTCTTGAATTCGAATTGACAAAAAAACTTTTTGTAGAATTCTCGGCTTCTTGAGCGGCCTTTATTTGGAGTTTGCGGTGTTCGCGCATCGTTTCATTAGGGATAGACGAAGCATAGAGACGAGTTCTGCGAGGAAGAGTCCTTGGCGTGCGAGAAAGAGAAAGAATCAGTACACGACGAGGGGCGATGAAAAGGTTTCACTGTTGTATCCGCAGCTTTATTATCGCGTCGTGCGTTTTTTCGAGAATGGAAGGCTACCGTGTTAGTAGACGACTAGTTGTACATTTTAGATTCATCTATTCGTTGCGAGTGGTTGCAGCTGGTTTAAAGAGGCTGGAGAACGTGTGGATTCGCTCGTTCGCGTAGTTCTTTCTGCCTAGGTTTTCAAGTACCAGCGTCGTCGTGCGTACGTAAAGATGGAACTACGAACAATGCAGCGCCCTCTCTCATGCGTTCCTATATATTGATGCATTCGCATCCAATTCCTGACAAACGAACTGAATTCAACGTGTAGCAAAGCCTAAATAGAAAAGGACCTTGTACTTCTTTTGTCTTTATCGTTGGGCGATAGTTCGTATTAACATCCTAAACCTTCTCTCGTTGTCACGACGTGGCTTGTTCTTCAGCCTACGAATTCATGTTAACAAGTATCCGATCTGTATATGCGAAAGTAGAAAACAAGTAAAAGTGTTTTTTCATTGGGCGAGAACTAAGTACTACCACGATAAAAATCGTTCCTGAAGCTCGCAAAAATAAAGACAAAAACCATGAAATCTGATTCGTCTTCCGCCTCCAGGAGGCGCTGAGCAGCGGCTGGACTGTCGCATCAGCAGCTGGTAGAATTGGAAAGAATACAGCAACCGGTGGAAGACTTCTTCTACGGATGCTAAACCTGCCGCCGCACAAATAGTAAAACGGCAAGAAAGACGAGGACCGCACAGCGGAGGTAGAAGTCGACGACAGGTACTGGAACGAGTTGACCACAGATTTCAGCAAAAAAATGACGGAGGGCGGCTACCTGATTTACACGGAGGACAGCCTGGGCACGCTGTTTCTGAAGTGGAGCAAGGAGCCAGTCGAAAACGCATTAGCCTTTTTCGAGGCCGGCAAACCAATACCGGCGTTCAAATTCACCACGAACCAGTATGGAATGGGAGATTTTTACTTGCGTGTAAGTTGGTTCTGAGGCGGATAGAAGGATTGTCAACGTTGTTTTGCATCAAAACTTTTTTGCATTTTCGTTTTGTTTCGAAGGAAATTCACGAACAAGAGTAATAATTATGTGCATCAGACATTTACATTTTTTTTGTCCTGCAAAACTGGAACCGATATAATGAATCACACAAAATCTTCCGACATCGATAACCAAGGCCGGTTTCAGCTGATGAAGGGCTGTCAGGACAAGCAGAAATTTTTCGAGGGCTGGGGCGCGTTTCTAAAGGAAGCGCTTTGCCGGTAGAAGGTCGCGTTTGTAATGTATCTTCAAATTTATAATATGGTGACTGACAACTAATCGCAGTTGTCATGCGTGGTCGACGTGATGAACTGATGTCACAGCAAAACGCCAAAAAACACAATAATTATCAGGTTCAACGCGACCAGCCTTGCGGTTTACGCAAAACAAAACGCGCGCGAAGACGTGCAGGTGGTCTTTCTCGAGCGCGGAACCTCCGCGGTGCAGCGAATAGAGCCCAACGGAAAGTGGAGCGGTGACATCACGAGTTTGTTCGCTTTCGCCGTGGTGCCGGTGGATAACGAGACCTACAACTGCGGCACTCTGGACCAGAATCTATTCGTGTCAAAAGGTATAAAGATGTTCTAGTTCGAATTTTGTATTGCTCCTGGACTTGAATTATGACAAATAAAGGTAAAACGGGTTTATTCGAAATTTGTAATGCTTCCTAGAATACTAGTACACATATGTCAACGCCGGTAATGCAAAATCACCTATCTAACCAGCGAAAATCGAGGGCTGCGGGTACTCGCTGAACTGAGAGCAAAGCCGCGTTTTGTCTGTTTGTGATGCATAGCGTCACCATCACAGCGCAGGCTTCCGGTGCATGCTATGCATGACAAATACGAGCTGTTCCTGTAGTTGCTCTTCGTCGTTGCCTCGCGCTTGCTCCAGCCCAGTTCGTGGTCTCGCATTTTGTTCCTTCGGCTAGTTAGGAGGTAAAGCATTACAAATTTCGCGAACACCACTCGTCATTCGGATTCTTCTTGTTTGATGCGTGATTTTTTTCAGCCTGAGAGCCCGTTTTGACACTTCTTTGTCATGCAGAAATCCGAGACGGAATCGAGAAACCAAAATATAAAACGACTTTATCAATCAGGTCAGAAGGCGGGCGCCGCCTTTCCCATAGAAGGGGGTGGCGGAGCCAGCGGCCGAGCCACGGTTGCGGTGCCAAGCCTTATGCTGGGAGAAAAGTTGAAGCAAGGCAAAGGCAAAGTTCGCAAAAATGGACTTGTCATGATGGTTACGAACAGTCATCGTGCCTTTAGATGTAGGCGGAAAACTACATACTCATCTCTCATGTTTTGTATGTAATCACATTAGCATGGCATTGGCAAGTCGCAATTTACGAAGCCTTTGACTTGGTTGCTCAACTTTCTCACGGGATACAACTGATGAACGAATCCCCTACAAATCGCGGCCACCCAGCAAGGCACACAGTAGCATAGGGAAAGAAGAGGAGGCTTTTGGCTTTTTTGTTGAAAGTTGTGCAATATGCAGTTCCACTAGACAGTTCACTTGTACAGTACCCCTACCCGCAAAATTCTATAAAGTGTACCTTTGCCTCAACACTCCTAAAACTGTAAAACAAATTCAAAATCTCCACCACTATCTCCTGCCAACTTCATCCCAACTTCCTAGAGAATAAATGGAAAAAACACGTCACTTGAAAGATCTATCCCGCTGCTCTCCTTCCGATGATAAATAACGACCCGCGCGGGGGACTACCTCGGGCACTAGGCGAAGATGCGCTTGTATGATATATAATGCCGCCCCTGATACTTACTACATACCTTGTCTTGATGTGTTTTTTTGGAACGAGAAACAAACGCAGCATGACGACGCAGGTGGGGATGGGCTAATATGCGAGAAGAGCCCGGAGCTACTTTGCTGTTGTTTCCTGCATAGTATATCGGTCGGCCTCCCCTCTACTGCTACTTTCTCCTATTAAAATTTCGGTACAATATTTTCCGCAACTTCTTCTATCTGCAGAAAATGTCATGTTGCAGCCCACCACAACGAACTCGATGTTTCCGATACCTTTCTGTTGTTACAACAGGAGTACATAGTCGAACCGTTGAACAATCGAAGATGCGCCCGCGCACAACTAGGTAAATGCCGCTACAAGGATGAAAAACCAAAAAACTGCCGACGCGAAAAAGACTTTGATGCCACAGGTTTGCTGCCGCTTCCTTGTGTAAAAACCCTAGCAAGATGAAAAAGTCTTCTTCGACAAGTCCTGTTGTTTGGCTGTTGTTTCAGTGCTCGACTGCTGAGATTGTTCCAAACACCACCACCGCCGGATCGAATTATTTCGCACGAACAAAACTCGGTTTGGAAGTGTCGCTTGATTGACACAGTAAGCTGTTTCATATGCTCCAGTCACTTCGCGGCGGGAGTTGTGATAGATTACAGTACAGAATCGGTCATCGCAAGCCTCTTGCGAGGCTCGCGCATTCGTCCGCTTGCACGCACGAAAGAAAGCAGATACTACCAGTATACAGCGTCATTAACATTGCATTTTTCGGTCGGTGTCGATTTCGATATCGGTAAGGAAAGCGCTTTTCTTTCTTGTGTCTGGCCCCAATCGGTTTTCGTTTCGCATGCCTCGGTCTCTCTAGTAAAAATCGTGCAAGAATAAAAATGAAGACAGTGCCAGCATTACCATTAGGCAGTATCGGTATAATCTGTTTCGCCTGCCGTATTCGACATTCCGCTCGTCATCGTCCAACACCTTCGACTTCGTGCAATATTCTCGTGCAAGAACTCATCAATTCTTTCCAACGATTGCACTAGCGACCTTCACTTCGCTTCCGACTTTTATCTTCAACCGATGACTGATTTCTTTCGTCCACGTGTAATCGACAGGATGAAATGTCAAAGCCCCAACTTCTATTTCATCAAACTTGGATAAAAGATGTTTCCCTTTTATTTTTTACCTGCAAATTATGATGACGAAGCGAACTTTGATTATCAAGCCAAATTCGGAGGAGCCTACTTACTTACTTCCTGGAGGAGAGTAGCACAAAAATCATCATGAGCTTTCATGCGATCACGACCTTGTAGTTGTAAGTGACACTAGTACAACTTCTTCCAGGGAAGAAGTAGCGTTTTATTGTTCCTCTCACAGCTTCTACCTTCTCTTCTGACGCCATTTTTCACTACAATACTCAGTGTACCTTATATTGCAGTTATGCGCGGTGCAGACGCCGTTTGGTCCTCTCCCTCGTCGCACAGCAGCAGCGGGGGAAGTGAGAAAATTGCGCGAGGAGGACAAAAAACTGCTGGAGCCACACTCTTTCCACTTCTCAGGAGGTCCTCGAACTTTCATTTTCACTACACAGCGGCGTGGTGTGTCTGTGTGGTCCTCGCCGGACACGAACTGTTCGCGAACCTCGCAGGGAACAACAATTTTTTGCACAACTACGACCAGGAGGAATGTCCCCATTCTTCCGGGGCGGCGGGGTTCATACAACTTCTCGGCGTCCGGGGGATGCAGGTGGAAAAATCTTTCCCCCACTTGAAGAGAAGGAACTATCAAATGCAAAAATGTCTGGGTCTGGAAGAGTGCAAGGTTTGTGATGCAGTTTTTCCATGACCCATGAGGCCTGGAATGCAGCACTTAGCATGAGAAACGCTGTGAGGTGTCTATCATGCCTATCCTGCATGAGAAACTCCCTCCAAACTGGTCAAGAGTGGACATCTTTTGGCACTCATGCAACACAGATTTCTGCATGATTCAGATTTAGCATGACAAGTTGCAATCTTCCAGACCCAGACACTTTTACAATCCATAGGAACATGGCTGGCACCACGTTTGAGGAGTACTACACCAGTGTGACAGAATATCGCAAGATGAAAAAACTGCTTCACTGTGAACTTGTGATGCATGGAACGATGGAGTAAAAACAGAAGTATTCTGTCTTGCTGTTCATCTACACATGCAAGACATTTTTGGATTTTCAACCGAGCCGTGTTGAAAAATTAAAATACCCTTTAGGAAGTGGAACGCACGGCATCAAGTTTTCTTTGTGGTCCGGTGTGAAGATGATACAAAAGACGTTCAAACAATAAATCGTTTACTATCGTGAAGCGCTACTTTTTTCGTACGATACAAGCCAGCCCTCGGGCCCGACGCAGACCCTGCCGAAGCAGGTCAAAAAGCCCCGGCGAAGGATGCCGCCCGAGCCTCTGTTTCCAGCGGAGCCCCCTCCCAAGCCGGCAACCGCCGAAATGGAAACGCAAACGGACCCACAGGACATGGGCCTGATCTACGACCCAGAAACCGACCAGTATTTGACCCCGGAGCAGCTGCGTGGCCGTGAAGAAGCCCTACATATGCAAGGAGAGGCAGCGATGACGCCCGCGTTAGCAAACTTCAATTTCACCGCAGGTCGTTGATGTTCTTGTGGCTATAGGGGAGAGATGTTCTTGTGAGCTCAGGGTGGACCTCCACCACGGCGACACCGTTGCATGGAAAAAAGCTGACTTGCATTTATTGTGCAGATGTACCTCTACCTCCGCATTTACCATAACTTTTGAACAGGGGAGGGTCCTAAACAATTGGAGACTGTTGAAAGCAATAGGTTCGACGACGACGTCTTCATCGATACGACCACTGTATTGATATTCGATGGGGAGCAGGAGGCTACTCCTGGCATAAAGAAATCATATCCAGGAAATATAGAAAATTTCACGGCTAACGCCCGAGCATCATGGTTGCATTGCATACAACGCCTGGCGGGTTTGGACCCCAACAGTTTTGTCGACCCGAATCTATTGCTTGACCCGAGTCTAGTACAGCCACAATTTGACCAGTTTGGGAATCCGATTTTTCCCCCGCCGCCAGGACCAGAACCGATTGTCAGCCCTATACCGGGACAAAACGAATATGGGCATTCCGGGCTCGAGCGGCACGACGACGAGGACGCTCTTAATGGAGGTGGTCCACAACCACGACCGGTGCTATCACACGTAAAAACGCCCCCTCGAAGAGGACCCTTCCCCAGAGTAGTTGCCATGTAATTAATCCCGCATCTGCAGGAGCGGAGACTAGTAGGTGCGTCGTCTGATGCACCTGCTTTTTCGCAACTACGGGACGAGAGACGTTTAAGTGTTTCTAGGAACAATTGCGTTTCTTGTTGGGAAGATGAAAATGTCCTGAGCGTCAACTTTTCACAGAGATGCTTTCAGCAAGCAGGATCATGATCATAAGAGACTTTTATTCTCATTGCTGCGGGGGCAAAAACTGCAAGTAACTTGGATCCTTAATCCCCGCCATTATGCTGTAGCACACACTGAATAGACTTGTCATGATGCATGTTGACGTCCCCCAAAAAGAAACTTCGGCGTTTTTCTCTCGCGGAAGACGTTGTATAATTTCGTAACTGGGGAGCAAGAAGGGGAGGTTTTTACAAAGGATACCAGGACCCGAATGACCCGAATGATCCTCTCCGACTCCGACCGCAACCACCGCCGCGGCAGCCTCCCGGCGAAGCCACGGTGACTTTATTCAAATCACACTTCGTGTATCCCACCGAAAATTGGTGCATTTAGCGTACGTAGTACTTTAGTTGTCAACAAATTTGTTCTTGCATGTAAACATGCGAAAATGTATTTCCGCAGAGACTACAGAAATCTTGACGTTGTGTCGCCCGTAATCATTCAAAGCAGATGATCATACATGATACAACTTGGTACAACAATGCTAGAAGCTGCAATTTTCTAGTCGACATCGCGCATGATGGAAGGATCGAGCCACTGGCGGTGCGGGGCGGCTCCCCCTTTGGCGGGTTTCGCGGCAAGGGCGGAGGGAAGGGCAGCGGGGGGGCGCGACGGCAGACGCGAGCAGCGCCGATCGGCGGACGAGGTCCGGGGGCAGGGAGGGGCGGAGCGCCACGTGGTTTGTCGTGAGGTGGGTCGTAAGGCCTGTTGCAAAATGAAATTAGTTTTCAAAAGGGAAATAAAGATGCTGTGAAGCTCAGGATCACCGATCTGTGATCTATGGATGTCGCGATAAGGCCGATTCGACGGCCTTCTCACAGGGACTGAGTAACTCCTCTGGCTTTGATAATTCTATCGTTTGCTCGCATCAAGAACTGCAACACTTGTTTAGAATTTGAATTTCATCTATTTTCCGCAAGAATTTCTATAGCCTCACTATTTTTATTTGACAGTACATTTCATAATCTTAATCTTACCTATTCCGACCATAATACATGAAGAGCATTATTATACGCAACAATGAAAAAAACACCGACTCGGAGGAATACTAGAGGATGTCGCAACATTCGCCGACTGCGACACAAGAATACGCGTCGCATGATCAGCTTGTGCAAACGTGAAGTAGATCATTGCCGTGCAGAAGTCCTTTTCAACCTTTATCCATTTCAATATCTTTCTTCCGATTATTCTCTCGTACCAGTATTTATTTTGTGTACACTACAGCTTTCGACGGTTTAATATCTTATCTACCAGTTTGTTTATTCTCAGTTTGCTTCTTAACCACTGTACCGTAAAATATCGAAATTAGCAGAATATTGTCCTCTGAAGATGAGGTTTGTTCGCGAGGAAGAAGGTGAGCAAAGAACGTGAGCAACCTGATCTTCCATTTTTGGTCTCTTCTTTCTCGAAAAGCCCCCGCGGTTGGAAGTTGCCGCCGGTGCTGCTGCTACTGCTGCGACCGCTTTTCATCAAGGGAGATAATCCCACTTGATACTGTGCACCCGCTGTTTTACGACCATCGTAATATTAGAAGCTTTTGAAGTTGTGAAATTTTGCCTCGGTCAACCGCTTGACGACGCAAAAAATCCAGATCGGTTCGTGTTGTGTATTGAAAATAAGTGATTCTTTTATCGTCGGTTTCTTTCATTCTGGTGCTCAAAACTTACTATTGTGAGAAGACAAAATCGCAGTTTCCGGTTCGTGCAGTGCACAGAATAAATCCGTACCTCGTAGACAATTTTCGGTCGGTCGTGCGTGTGGTCCGCTTAAAACTTGCGTGCCGAGGAAAGAAGACAAAAAGAAGTCGGTATAAAAGTAGGACCCTGAAGAGCTGGCGTGTCTCGTACTTTTCTCCACTGTACTATAATACAGGTGCTTACTACCGCCTCGTTGTGCAGCTTTATTTTAATACCGATAAGCAGACTTGTGTCTGGGATTTGATTATTTTAATACCGATCGGTCAGTGAGCGTAAGTAAGTGGTGCTTGTTGCCCCTTTCGTTCTGTACGTGTGAATTCTGTTGTTCTAGAAGAAGTGTATTACAAATTTTCGTTCTCCACACTCAAAATCGTGCATACTAGTACAACATCGTGCATCAAGATGAACTTGTCGTACTCGTTCGGAAGGTACAAACATCATCGTGCTTCTAGAATTGCCGTGCAAGTTCGGTCGTACTAACAAGGAAACCTCAGGAGCAGTTGTTGTTTCCGAGTTCGACGTGTAGGGGGCAGTTTATTTTAGGCTCCGATATCGAATTCACCTACCGTGTCTACACGTGAGAATCTTTCTTTGCTGAAACTACAGATCCCCTTCAGACGAGTTACTTATGCGTGGTGAAAACTCGTTCCCCAACGAGGTCGAAGCATGTAGTAGTTTCGCTTGGGTTTCTTGTTCTTTTTCGTACACTACTTGTTGTAAATTTTTCATCATTCTCTCCATGTTCCGTGAAAATCTAAAGCATTCCCCGTAATTTGTTGTTTATCAAAATCATTTCTTTTTTACCTTGTGTGTTTCCGCTGTCTACTGCTTTCTGCTTGTCGAGTTTTCTCCAAAATTTGCAGCAAGGAGCGGAGTTCTTGAACGCGGAGAGAGGAGTTCCTGAATCACACAACTCCGTCGGAAAAAACTCGTCGAACTACAACTCGCGGGGTGTCCGGGCAACTGTGTGGAAGAAGCAGTCGCGAATTCGTTTTCGTTTCAGCGAAGGTGGTGAGAGCAGCTCTTGTGTTCTTCAGTTGACGCGACGCGGACCACTCCGGTTGTATTCGATTCTACGAGAGTGCACACGACCTCCGATCTACCAATCCACCGCACTTGTCATGCAAAATACCACTACATTCACAGATTCATTGTCGTGGTGTGCATGAACAAAATTATAATACTTCCTGGAAAAGCACTGGCACACTCGTCAACGCGTTTCTTTGTCATGCGGAGGCTGCAAGGTTGCCGTTCATCCCTCTTATTGCCGTTGTAGATGCAAACATGCAAATGAGGCGGAGGGCGGGTGGTCGGGGTTGTCCACTTTGATGCCAAAGAACCTGACTGAACGGGGAAGATGACGAAGGGCGCGACGTTCGTGGTGGCGGCGACGGTGGGTGGTTTTCTTCCCGGGGTGGAAGGCAGTGGGATTGACGGCGTTCCATTCGACCCGAAAAAACCATTCACGGTTCAGTTTTGTGACGAGCACGGCAAGACCGCGGGCACTGTTGCGACCCGCACGCAGGACGGAGCAGTTGTCTGGGTGACGGAAACGGGAATGAAATCGGGTAAGTACACGGAATTGAATTTTCAATTCGAAGAAGGCTCCTTCCGATGGGACGAAGACACGGAGAAACAGGAAGTGGAACAGCATGGCCACACCTACCGTGTCCAAGACGAACCGCCCCGGGGTTGTGGTAAAATTTCTGTGGCGGGTCAACGTGGGTGCCTCGGGACCAATGCGGCCGACAAGAATAAACTGATCCTAGGGCAAGAATGCGGAGACGACCAGAAGAGCATCCGGTGGTGCCTTTCTTCGAGTAACCTCGACTGGAATACTGGGACTGACGACAAGGGTGAATATTTTGTGCATGATAAAGCTTATCGTACCGGAAAATACTGGCATATCAGTCATGTTTGTCACGCGTTTGGCACGTCGCAACTATTTCTTCCTGGGATATAGTTAAGAGTATGCAATTTTCGCTCCCATGTGCGTCGCGAGCAGGTTTGCGGTACTGTTTACGCAAGACAAACGTGCCATACAGTTTTCCGGATGATAAATTGCCTTTCAGCATCGCGGAAAGCAACCACTTAGCAAGTACGCTTTGGACAGGTTGGATACCGACCTGGTGGTCGGAATATGATTACGTAACATCGGAAGCAAGCAGGAAGGGACATAAAAGCGTGTTTCTGAAGCAAGATGGAGGTGAAATAAATGTCGCCCGGCTGCAGCCTCCACAATCCGGGTCCTCTGCTGCACCGGAACAGGCGGTACTTGTGATTCTACTGAAGTATATGCAAGTCGTTTCCTCGACCTCGTTGTCGTTTCCCGACTGGGAATGTCTGCTGGATGCTTTATTGTTTTCTGGGGATTTCGATTTATTATTATTTATGATAAGTTGTAGGTTACACACCTTCCTCTTTTTGGGGCGTGATCTGATACCAGGTGTGCCGCGACTTAGAAATTGCTGTAGATAGTAGAGCAAAATGTTTTATTTCCGTACTCACTAGGGAAACTAAGAACACTCATGGCGACGAGAGCAGTTGAATTTTGAATTTGATCATGTCTTTACAGCTGCACGGTGAAGAAGAACCAGGCCACGAAGCCGAGGATGTGGGAACCGGCGAAGCAGGGCACGCGCTTGCGGGTGGGAACATTTTCCAGGACGACCTCCACGAGGAGGTACATTTTTCTTTTTAGTTTCGATCGCTCGGTGATTTATGAGCTGTAAAAGCACTACACCATGCTGTCTTGAAGACCAAGATCGCGGTAGGGGAAAATCACACTGCTAGCGCTTCTTTCTTTTCGGCCTTCATCGCAGCCTCGTGGCGGAAACACAGTCGTGGACTTCTGCGCAACGAGATCTTGTCCTACAAGCCGCGAGACCTCCGCTGCCGCTGCGCGGAATGGCTTGCGCTCAGCTGTACTCTCTACGGCTGCCGCCTGCACACTTACACCACAGAAAGTCGACAACAGAGCAGAGGGCTACGACGCTTTTTTTTGCGACATAGTAAAGGCGCAGCACCATAGCAGGATCGACCGCTTAGGCGAAATGCAGCCCCAGCCTGCAGTCGTGGTGCTTTCCTGGCGACAATATTTTGTAGCCTCTTGTCGACCACGAAATTTGAATTTCGATGGCCTGTTCTGGGGAATGTAAGCTTGAATTTTGGCACTGCACCTATAACAGGACAACGTTGCCGCCGCTTTCGAGGAGCTAGTCGACGAGAACGGAGAACCTGCTTGGCTACTGGCGCCCCAAGATGTTGCTGATGTTATCCTTACCAAAACATTCCTCGTTTTCTTCATGACGTGTATTTGTTGTGCTTGTGCATCTGTAAAGGCAGCAATTTGCGTATCTCGTGGCATGTTGTAGGCAAGTCGGAAGATAGGTCCGGGCATGTATATACAAGATCAACAAAGCGCCGTCAGAGGATGGACGACTGTGCCTCCAGAGGCAAGACTTGTGATGGCGGCCCGCAGGATGCCGATGCGTGCTCGAGCGGCAAATTATACACAGATGAAACAGGCGGGGAATGTCTTCGGTGCAATATTCATTTGGTCCGACGAAGGGGGCAGTGGTGTGTTTATTCAATCAAAGCTCAAACTGGGCTAAAAAAAATTTGGCATGGATGCTGGCGACCGCGTAGCCTAAGCATTGCATGGAGGCAGTCGTTCATCAAAATTGCGCACATAGCAATTCTCTCCCAAGGGATTTGGTGCAACAAGCTGGAAGCAGCGTTTTGCGTGCTGCTTGTCGTCTTGCAAGTTTTCAGACCGGACGCGTCCACGGGCGGCAGTGGGTTTGCACTTGCTGCCGGCCGCTGGAACGGAGCGTCGGGCTCGCTACCCTTGTTAATTCCGCGACGGTGTTATTTTCACTTGCCCAAAAACTTTGCTTGAATACTGCCTTTAGCTGATGTGAATCCGGAGGAGACACACACCAAGTACTGGGCTTTTCTTGCGGAAGAAGGGTTTCGGGCGTGCAGGGGAAGGGTTTGTCCTTGTCGTGTACTATCGCTTGTTGAAAAACACGACTCGGGTGGAGTGCCGTCGTGGAACTTCGTTTGGGTCAGCCCTAGCGGATCCGCCAGTGCTGCACCAGACGAGAAGTGGTGGGTGGATAGGTCTATCCTCGAAAGCGACGAACCAGCTTGCGAACCACAGACACCGCGAGTGAACCTCTGTAAAGTCGAGTTGGGGCAGCCGGCAGCTGACGTATTTTCTATTTGATTTGGAATCTACTCTGTTGAAGAAACAAAGGCCGGCTCTGCTGTTACCACCCACTGAGTTTTTAGGTCCAGAATTTTCGCTTTTATCCAGAGCGTGTTGAAGTGAAAGACCCCTGCCTCAAACTCCGATTGAATAGAGGCAAAGCAAAGTAGAAGTCCGATGGATCTCAGTGGCTGTGACGCTAGTGCTGGCCCCCCGTATCGAATGGAAATGGGATATGTAATCGCATAGGGTCCGCCTGCGGAGCAGGCACTTGTGCTCTGACGGTCGTATCAGGAATCAAAATCATTTGCAGTGATCTCCAGCTTGCAACTTGAGAGTCCCGCCCGCCACTGTGTTGGGATCTTTTGAGTTTCGCTTTTCTTTGCTCCGCACTGCACTCACCAACGTATTTAAGAGGTACATTCAAATCTCTCCAGGTACAAGGAGATGTGCGCGACGAGGGCGGGCTTGAGAGAGAAGCAGCAGCGGGAGCAGCAGCAGCACCCGAAGCCGCAGAAGTTCCCGAAGCAGAAGCAGAAGCAGATGAAACCGAACGGGCAGCAGAAGCCGAAGCCGAAGCCGCAGCGGCATCACCCGAAGCCGAAGCAGCACCACCACCACCACCCGACTCCGGCCAGGTAGTATTTTTGTTTCGCGCCCTTTTCCTCACCGCATACTTCGACGCGGAGCCTTTCCACCTGTTTCTCGTCGATGAACAACACGACGTAGAAGTAGATGGAACAGCGATAACATACCTGAGTTTGACCTCGTGGTTGACGATCAAGATGAGAGGAATTTGTCTTGCATAAAACCCGAGAGTAACTCTGACATTCTCGGACGTCATTGATGTTTGATTGCAAGCATGATAGTAGATGCAAAAACTAAAACACGTGTCTATCAGGTTGCCGCCGAAGAAATATTGCAAGGAATTCAAAGGGGAGAAGCTTTTACCATGACGTTCACGACCGGGTCGAGCGGGGACAAGATCGTTCACCGGGTCGGCGGAGGCTGGTCGCCGTGGATCAGTGCGCTAACGCCCGACGAGGTTTCTTTGGTACCCGAGGGAACTGGAGCGTCGAACCAGTTCCGTCTGGTGGAGCCGTTGCCTAGCGGTACTGGATCGCTGTGTGGCAAGCTGGAAGCGATTGGAGCTGCGCCGGGCTCCGGTAAACACTTCGTTACCTGTCCTACATTTGGCACGTCAAACGGGTTTAAAGTACAGCTCACAGGACAATCGAGGCTCGCCTCGGTCGTGTGTTTCGAATTCCAAGAGGGCCACGGTTGGAGGGTGACGAAAAGCGACGGGGGAAGGCGGCGCATGGTCGTGCAGGGACGTGTTCCTGCAGGTGCAAAACAAATACGCGAAGTAAGTTATGCCGCGCCGTTTTTTTTCGCGCTGTCGAGTAGTGTGCTAGCGTGCTGACTGCGTTCTGTATTAATCAAACACATGAGGCAGTGCGCATTTGGAAACGCGGCTAGTTGATGCCATGTGCATCGAGCGAGCCTAGCCCTTTCATGCATGGTCGTACTGATTTACAGAGCAAAACCAAAAGCAGCTTCCGCCAGGGGATTCCACACAAAGACACAATCAGAGAAGTTTGCATTGGTATTTGTGTCGTGAGCAGATTAGGTGTGCAGCACAAGAAAGACGGGGGGATGAAAGGCGGTGGTAGTCTTAGACTTGATACGAGAGCCAGAATGTGCTATGGACAGACAACAAGAAAGTGCCCACGGACGAGGCGCACGTGGTACGAAAAGAATTGTCCCTACCTCTACCCCACAGCCCGCCCTAGCGACGGCTCTCTTAAGTATTGCTACCCCAGAGGTGCTGGCGGCATCCCCACGAAATGAAATGCGGACATTTTTTGCATGAATTGATTTGGATTCTCTTGGTGATGAGTACCGGTTGGAGAAGATTTGCGGGCCGACGCCGCAATCTGTCACTTGCTTTGTCATGTTGACCAAAAACAACCTTCTTTCTTTGCTCCTGATGTATTCTCGACAGGCACCGTTGGCACGGTGATGTCGTGGCATAAGTAGTGAATACGAGTTGCGTTATTTGTGGAGAACGGAAGAGGACAAGCACAAGCAATCCGGTTGCTGAGCTGGCTCCTTTTCCCGCAGGAGACCGGCTTTGTCTCCGTCCGAGCCTTCCAGCACTGTCGGCCACCTACCGAAGCAGCGTTTTGTTCCCAGTTGAGATGAGATGTTCTGCGGGAACTTATGTTCTGTTTATGTGCCTGCGAAGGGGGGTGTTTTGCTGGTAGAGGTAGAGATTGCCTTTCCATAGACGCAAATCGATCTTCTGGTGAATGCAGAACATGACGATGACCCGGAGGCAGCTCAGGTACTACCTATACAAAAAGAGGTAGAGTCAACAGGCGGCTTTTTAGTGCATTTCGTTTTTTGTAATCGTAATCGCCGTACTAGTGTACCAAACTACGACATTGACTCCAACTCGGGGATGTCAACCCGTCTCTTGACGTCAACAACAGGCTCGTTCCGATTACGACTACTACCACCCTCACGGTAAAGATCCCCTCGAAACGGATGATGAGCACTATCGCATGTATGACCAAGGCACCGTCAACGAGGATCAGAACCAGGGCTCTCCGCGCGAGGTACAGTTCCTTCACTGCTTTAATCTTTGCGATACTTCACCAACATCGTTCAGCTGGACACTCATGTGTGCAGCCGGCCGACGTTGCAACAATCAAAGTGGTTTCAGCCACCATTTCGCGCCCAAATAGTAGATTCGTTCTGTCGTGCAGCAGTGAATCCCAGGGGCCCGCACGAGGTCAATCTTCGATAGTTCTTTCTTCTTTCCGATATAACCGCAACGCGCAGTCGAAGAAGTTGGACCCTTTGTTGCCGTGCGGTGGTAAGAAGTCGGCAGCTGTTCGTCGTCCACTTTTTAGACACACGGATAAAGGCTCTGGACCTTTTGTCCGTTTCGCGACGAATGGCGAACGTGCGCGCACAAACGCGCAAACCGACGAAAAAAAGCTAATTCGACTATTACAGGTCGGAGTAAAAAGTCATGTCTGAGTCAAATGCGCGTTGCGTATGCGTTGGCTTGGTCGTGCGTCAACTTTTCCTCAACCCATTTTTCAGGAGTCTGCTGGCCAGGACGAGAAGTTGGGGCCTTATGATGAAGTTGAGGCAGCGAAAGGAGCTGGAGTCGAACAAGAAAGGCTAGAGGAATGGCTAGGGACGGTAGTGCATCGCTTTTTATTTGTTTTGCGACTCCTATAGGTTTGGCTGGAGGACGTGGCTAATCTATGTCATCCTAATTTTTAATATCGGATATGAGCCAGCACCAGGTCGTTGTCCTTCAAAAGGTGAAAATAAAAGAGGTCCGCACGACCATGAACAAAGACAACGATAGAAGTCGTCCGCCAACTGACTAAAAGACAACGTGGTGGACGAACAAGCAAGAGTTGATCATTTATGATTGAAGATGATGAAGAACATCATCGGCATCATGATCCGCTTCCTCTTCCTAGCATTCGCGACCGAAACATCAGATTCAAATGCGCCGAACCGGGATTGTGCTTTATGTGTAGTAGGCCACAGGAACTGCCTGTCCATGGTGTGTACTCCTCGAGCCGGAAGGCGGGATACAGTTCAGCGGCAATGGGTAATCGAAAACCTCCCAATAAGCGTATCGTGATTGTATCCAAATTACACCAACAGCCTTCATCTCCGGCGGAAGAAATACCGGGCCAAGTTGTCTTCGATGAGAAACAGCCGTTTGTTCTGAAGTGGGCGAATCCACTAACCAAGAAAGGCGCCGAAGACGTCGTCGCACACGTGACAGGGGGAAGCAAGATGCAGAAAGCGGAGGCACTTCAGACCCTAACCGCGGACAAGATGAATCAAGTAGAGCAAAAGGTCATGGAGCTGCAATTTTTTGAACCTCAGGCTGTGCAAGACGGCAAAGGGGTCACAGAAATTTGCGGAAAAATGTACGTGGTGTCCGGCTTTGAGCCCTGGACGAGCAAGTGCATTCAAAAGGGCGGGCTCGCGCAGCCAACAAAGCTTTTTCCTTGGAGATCCTGTTCAGGTTCCACCGGAATAGCCAGGGGCGTGGCGCAGAAGTTTTGTCTTTTCGAACAGTCGGCGGCTGCAGACGACGGGAAGGGGGCGAGGCTATGCATTTCGAAACTTGTCTGGGTTAGAGGAAGGGCGTCATTGTATATGTGCGCCGTCTTTGTAGTTGACTTTCGCCGGGAAGCAAACTGAGATCTATGCATGAGAGCACGAGAGACATCAATGATCGCTGCAGCGCAAGGCGTTTTTGTACGCAAGTGCGCCACGCACTGTGATGGATATGGGTTTGGCACATAGGCCTCGTCCGTGTTCGAAGATGAATCAATGGTGCTGCTGACACAAATTCGGAATCAATGGCGCTGCTGACACAACTTCAGTGATACAGATTCTGGACTCAGCACTTTTCCCGACCCAGACGCATTTGCAGTCGATAGCACTTTCGGATTCATGCGTTTGGCAAGCCCGCCGAGCTGCTGACAACGCGCCAAGATTTCGGACGAGGATATTCAAACAACTATCTGCACTTGGATCCCCAAGTCCAGCTTAACGCGCCGAAGGACCTGATCCTAGTGCAAGGAAACCAGCGGGTGAAAGCGCTTAGCGAGGTGAAGGGTCCGTCCACTACCGCCGCCTTCGCAAGCGGAGGAACGACTGCGGGCACAGTACTGCTAGCTATTTTCATTTTCCGACGTTTACAACCCTACACGTTAATGTTAAACGATAAAAAGTCACCCGAACCGGCGATTTTTCTTGCTCTACTAGCGACGCGCCTGACATTGTATCGTAATAGAGTGCATATATACTTTTGTACAGAATTATCAGAAACAACACGGCAGCTCTAGTTTTTACAGAGAACGAGCTGTGCAGATCTGGTTGATATTATCAATCTCCTGCAAAGACATAAATAGACCGGTGCTGTTGTTCTTTGATGGGGAGATGGGATTTCGAATGGAGTTTTCTTCACAATCACAGGCCGTTCTTCATGAGGAAGCAGGAAGCGGCGCTTGGGCCAGAAGCGAAAAAAACGCACCAAAGCCGAGCCTGGTGGATCCGGAAGTGCGCATCGCTGATCCTGAGGTACTAGGTGTTAACCGTTGATTTGTATGTAGTGAGGCCGCGAGCGCTGGCGCTCTAATCTGGCGGCTTTTTAATTGCCAGACAGACAGCAAAGCGACCACAGCCTGACAAAAAGTGTTGCAGTTTGTTACACAAATTAGAAGGATTCGAGAAGGGCATCACAAGCAACTTTTGTCATGCAAGCCGTGCTGAGTAAGAGTAGCGGTAGCCTAGTTTTCGTGCGTGTGGTCCTTAATCCTTTGGAATCTCCACATTAGAAGGAAGTTCGATTTGTCATGCCGAGCAAGTTTGTGTTGCTGAAGTCTTCTCGAAGGGGGCAACTGTAACGCTTTTGTTCTTGCGCATTTTGCGGCTTGAGGCTTTTTTCTCCATAGTCTTTCTCAATGCCGCACCAAATCCAAAACTCTTCAATCCCCACATTAGCTTTATCTGGGAAGCGCAATGCGTCTGAATCTGCAGCTTCGCAGTAATACGCCATGAACTTAATACTACTCTTCGAGGCTGAGCTGCAGCTATTGTCTGTGGCCGTCCTTTATCCTTTCCTTTCCCCATCTGATTCCGAAAAAACGCACAGCAACTGCACACTGGTCTCGGCGAGTGAGCGTCTACTTTATCGATGGCGGCTTGTGGTGAAAGCCGTACTGAAGTAGAAGTTGAAAAATACAAATTTACCAGGTGCTCCCCTTGTTGAAACATCTCCGGGCCGGAGAGGTTTTCACGATCAAAATTGCAAACGAGAAGGAACCGCAGAAACCCTATACCGTGTACCGCGTTGATGACGAGGACGCCACCGCTGTCTTTGGTGCGCCGAAGCCTCCTCACTCGCTCGGTGCGGCAAAAGAACCTCTCCAGGAGCGGTTGGAGCTTTCGGGCGAAGATGAAACTCTGCGTGTGTCTCCGAACTTCAAACTGGTGAACGTGGCAACTCAGCATAAGAACAATTTCGAGGCCTGTGGCGATCTGCAGGCCTTGGGAGACGTCGGAGATCAGGCGGCTGCAGAGCAGTTGTTTGTCTACCGTGCAAGTATGGGCTACGCTACAAAACCGGGCTTTCAAGCGAAGCTTGTAAACCAAGAAAAAATCGGTGGGTTGCCTTGGGTGTGTCTGAAACTGAATGCTCAGCAGCAGGAGGGCAGCATGTCGTGGGAACTGAAACTGGACGGGAAAAGTATGATCCTTGGGGGCTCGTTATGCAAAGGTTAGTCGTGCCTTCGACCTAGCATGATGTTTCCGCACCCATGATATTTTTTAACGCCAGGTCCCTCCTCGATAAAAAGCCTACGGCAGGGGCACAGTCGACATTATGGTGTTTCGGCGAGTTAAGTATCCTGCTACCGTGCCTGCGTCACGTATGGCGTAGATCAACCTGACAGGGCTGCGCCTGTAACTTGTGACTGGACCGCACTAATAGACCCGTTTCGCCGCGACGAGTGCCCGGTGATGTGCCCTTTTTTTCATTACTGTGGCTATGCTGTCGACGCTTATCTTCCAATTTTGTTGGCATGATAATTATTACTCTGCCGGGATCTTCTCTTCGTGTCCATCATTGTACACCGACTCTTAATGCGGAAACATCTGCGTGGTTGGCCGCAGTTTTGGTCTCCATTCGCCATTATTTTTACGGTCGGCCGCGATGTTTCGGTGCAGGACGTGCGGTGGTCAGATCAACTAAACCTCGTGCGGCCCATTGTACGAAAGGGGGGAACCACGCCTCTAGTAGAGTCCTCCCGCGACGGAAAAAGCACTGCATGGCCCTCCGGACAAGCCGGAAGCTTTACGAAAGGGACAAAGCTTCAGATTTGATGTTTTTGATGATGATCAAGTAGAATGCTCATCTTCACGATGCCCCCCCCAGATGGGGCTTCATGAGCAAAGATTTTTTACATGTGCCATTTCCACTCTTCGTGATGATAGTCCAATTTTCGAATGACGTCAGGACGCATGATGGGCGGCGCGTGGCTATCATTGCAATTCCATCGGAATAATGAAGCCGTGCCAGCTGCGATGTTTTATGCGCTACTTTTGACGAAATTCGAATTCGTCAGGTACTCAGCTTGATAAAAAGAACGAGAATTAATACGAGTCAAACAAGGCTTCGACTTAACAACGTTTTTCCGTATTGCTTTAAGAGCCGTGCCTCCTCGCTCCAACATCGGGGCTTCTCTTCACGATGATCACCAGTCAAAAAGTTGCACAGAACTATTTTGTTCTGCCAGAAAAACAGTAGGGAAAGCAACAGTAGAGGACACGTCGTGCATAGACATTTTCATATTTTGATGCAACTTGCCGTGGGCTGGGGGAGTACTAGAGGTCGAGGTTTGGTCCTTTCGATACGCGCAAATTGATCTGGTGCAGCCGCAGGCAATGCTGGGAAGCGAAATTGCGACTGGGGGTGGGCCCCCTGCTGCAGAGGTGGGGCTTGTCGACCCTGCAGTCAAAGATCCGCTGGACGATCTGGAGCGAAAAGTACGGCAGGGCGCATACTCCTTCCGAATTGTTTTCGCACAAGGGAGCGCTGCCAGTGAAGAAGGAGCGTTCAAAACCGCGATTTTTACCTCACCCGACTACGTCTCGATGCTTGCGTACGACGAAACATCAGAACGCCCTGCGAGAAAGAAATTGGCATCGGACCATCGGGACTTTTCTTTGGTTGACCACATCCGTTCCGGTCCTACGCCTGGCTCTCCTCTATGTGGGAAGGTGAAGGCCACCGAACCCAAAGATTCTGGAAAGTGCTTGGGGTGGCAGCGGAAAGGGCCTGGACTGTCTGAGGTTGACTGTCGGACTCTTGGATTGGTCTTCTGCTTCCATGCAAAGCCGCGGGCGTCGGACGATGCCTCTCAACCCCGTTTCACCATTACGCACACGGCCAGCAAGACGGAATCGTTCAAATTAGCGGTACGGAGGTGGAAAAAAAACAAGAAAACCCATATCGTGGATTGATAAATTGCCGTTCCTCTTTTTGAATGTCTCACAAAGCCTGGTCATGGGATATGTTTTAGGACCTGGCGAGTTCAAAGAGAAAGATGCCATTGTAGCAGCTCTCCTCTGCCACTGCATTTTTGTCATGAAAAGGTAGAACGGCTTGGAACAGTGCATTAGGTAGAAGCCAACATGCCGGCAGTGGGGGGAAAATAACAAGGATTACAATATCATAACCACGGAAGATGGGTTCAGAAGTTTTCATTTTGATACGAATTGCCGGAAGGTGAATCCCCGTACGTGCACCTGTTTTATGAAGAACAAAGGTATCTTTTCCCATCGGATAATATTGGACAGACCAGTCCGTGTCCGACCCGTCTTGCTTGAAAAATAGCTTGTAGACATGCATCCGCAGTAGAAACTTCCAGGGGCGCCTGCCCCTGTGCAGTGACATGAGCCCCTCTTGTGTGTTGCCGCAAGGAGCATGCGCAGCGTCCCCTTTTAGCTGTGCGCGCAAAGTACGCGTTTTGTGCTTGTACGTACACATCGGTTTTTGTATGGGACGTGGCACGACGGTGGGCGGAGGTCCGATATTGAGTGGTGGGAAAAGAAGGCTTCACGTCAATACGCAACCTGACGGGGAAATCACAAAGAGCCACGCAACCGAAGTCTTGTTGCCCGCGACGGTACAGTTTAGATGCGTTGCTTATTCCTTATTTGGCAACCCAATTGACCGACATTCAGCTATCTCTCCACGACACGAAAACAGATGAGAGCTGTTGCCCGCATCACATGTATCACGAAGTGAAAACGCGGCACTGCGGGGCTTGCTTACTTAAATTTAACTTCGGCCCCTTCGGTGGGGGCCTTTTTTGGTAATGACAAATATTAATCGTCCCCGGGGGCTCCCTGCGGCTGCGAGATAGCTGCTTTTAGTTTGCGTCTTGCGAGACAAGAGAGGCCGGGTGTCGTGGGCTGCCCTCTAGGCCGCGCAGTTTGCCGTTCTCTTGCTAGAACTGGTGCCGCTTGCCCGCTTCTTGCAAAAAATTCACCGATGTCAGGAGAAGTGTGTTATCCTTTCGGCAGCAAAAGAGGCGTCGGAGGTCAGCCGGATGCCTCGCCGGCCGCATTGTGGCATGCAAGTGCGCTGCGAGAGGGAATTTACGTTCTCCGAAGGAAATTGGGCAAGCCAGCGTGACCGTGTGTGCCGAATACCCCTACTTGGTCGCTTAGTGTGTTAAGTACTTACAACCAACAACAGGGCGAGGTTTTGCGTCAGGCGGAAGAGAAGCTCAAAGAGGCAGCAGAGGCAAAAGCGGCAGCTGCAACTCCCCAACTCCCACAGGTACTGAAAGAAGTTTACGAAAAGTGATCTGTTTTGTTGTTTTATTCCGTATTCTTTCCATTCTAAATTTGAACTGCGTTGTCGTCGTCCAACACTTCGAATGAATCCATACCAACCTGGTGCGCCGGAGCGATCACGTCATCCAGGGAACTAGATGTCGTACTTGCTCCTCTGGGGGTCAAAAAGACATGCTCACGACGGCCTTCTCTGACTATGATTCATCTTGACTTGTCTCTCGTTTTCGTCTTCATGGCAAAACGACAAACAAGTGGAAAAGAAAATCTGTCAGTGTCACATCCATCACGAAGTGCAACGTGATGAAGGCGAATTCAATTTTTCATATGCTCAACGAGACGGAAGCGGGACGCTGCTTTGCCCGCTTGTTTTTACAAATTCGAATTTTATTTCGGGGACAGTTGAGTGGGACTGGGACTTGTCATTGTTTGCCTCTGGGAGAAGCTTGTCCGGATTATCAAATTTCCTACTTGAGAATCCAAGTCTCCGCTTATTTCGGCCTTATTTCACCCTAGAAGTACGAGGCGCCCGTCGCGGACGACCTGGCGAAGTGGAGCCTTTTCATCTCGGTCCGGATACATATTTTTACCGAGCAGACGGAGGAGACCGCGGACATTTCGTCGTCCGGGTCGTGCGCCGTTGTTTGCTTTTTTAACTGCTGGCGGAGGCCACTCGCAAACAAAGCAGTTAACAGAACGACAGCCAGTTGTATTTCCCGTAACTAGAGAAGCCGCGTAAACGCAAAAGAGGCATTACGACACTCGGTCGCAAAGCAAAACTCGCTCAGCAAGACAATCTATCGTACTTACAACAGCCGCAACCGGTACAGCCGGCGCAACCGGAACAGCCGGAAGAAGAAGAAGAAGAAGAAGATGATGAATACAACTACGATTTGTTTCCCAGTGATAATCAGGCCCGAAGCCAAGGGGGCTGGGCACGGGTGCCTGGCTCCCCGTCCTTGCGGAATTATTACTCAGAGGTAAATAATCATGTTGCGTGTTTTTTGTTTCACAGCGCGGCAGCTTTTTTTATTTCAACTTCACCCATCCGATCTTCACAAGCAGCATGGTCTCAGAACTTCTTCTGCGTACCATTGCAATCAGCAAAGACTTTCCGACTTTTTACGGTCACTCCTGCGGCTGCCGGTAGTTGTACGTTAGCGGCTGGTATTAACGAGACTGCGGCACCAGGATTTGTACTTGGTGGCTCATGTTGGCTGCCAAGGGCGCCGCGCTCTCCCCCTCAGAGCTTTTTTCCACGTCAGAGCTTGATGTGCCGCGCAGAAGGCGCGTGCGTAGAAGCCGCAACCGCGACAGGGCTTCCTTGTTCACGAGATTTGCTGTCGGGTTTCCGGTACAAAAAAGGGGAAAGCCAGGACCAGAACTGGGCCTCGATCATGGCAGGCCGGCCAAAAAATGCAGGAAACGCGGCATCGCATTTAGCATGCGTCGCGTCGTTGTAAGTACTGGAACTCGTCACACCCACAGCTACACTACTTATTACAACAGGAGCCGTTTGATCGGAAAGACAAAGAGGAAGACGAAAACCGCGGAGGGGATCAGGAAGACGAAGGACCGCTGAACGAGGAAGCAGGGGAGCATCGTTATGAACGCGGGGGTTTTGATCCGGAGGTACTCTTACTTTTGATGAATTTGCCATCCTCAAATACACTTCTTGAATACCTTTTTGCGCATGTGAGACAACTTGCTTGACGAGGATACACCGGAGCGCAGTTGGAGTTAGTGGAAACTCACACTGTTTTTTGTGCAGACCACATGCTTTTGCCAGGCTTGACATATCAGTTAGAATGTTTTTCCGCACGAGAGCCAATAAGAAGTGCACAGCGAATAGCTACACGTTGTAGTACGGGCCGAAAAATACTGCTAAACTTAATTCGTTTTATTTCGATCTGCTGGCTCGCTTTGGTTTCGCCACAACGTGCGCGGCATACGAGGCGTTTATGGAGGAACCGAAGCCGAGACGACACTGGCTGGGTTCGGATCTTCGTGATGCTAGTTGGTTTTTTTTTTACATCAACGAACACCACTGGGCCGGCTCAGGAACCAGAAATTTCGTCAGCCGAAACTGTATCCACCGCCCGCAGTGGGATATATTCGATGCGCCTAACGCGCAGGCCGAAAGAGAAAGTGTCTAAGTATGCGAACCAAGACTGTCGCCTTTTTTACCTGTGCGTGAACTGTCCTGTAAGTACGCGGCGATGTAAATGTCCTATAAATAATTTTTCAGGGCAATACCGGTGCCTCTCAGGACGACGGTGCTTGGAGGTCGGACGCTGGTAGCGAGTTTGACCCAGACGACTTGCCCGACGACCTGCAGGTACAACTAAGTAGTGGCTGCTACGAGTCTTTGCTTTTTTCCAAGTAGATGTAAATCGACATTGCCCTGCGGTTGATGTTGATGACGGTCGAGCGTTTCACCACGGCTTGTGCCACAGCAGAGGACACATAGGTGCAGAAGCCGGGGCCAGGATGAGACTGGCTGTGGTCGTCCTTTACATATTCATTTTTAGCTACGCTTCTGTCCACCGCAGTCCGATCCTACTTGCGCTGACGGATTATCTACTCTAGCCCAGCTGATTTCTTTTCTAACTATCGAAGAACGAAGAAGCCACCGCCTTTTTTGTTTCAGTTTGAAAAAGAAGCAGAGTATTTGCCAGCCGCAATGCCCATGCCCTACTATACCCAGCGTCCCTAGCCGACTGAGTAGAGATAAAGTATGTACGTTATACGAATCAGGACGACGACGGGCGGGAAGGCTACTACGATGACCTGCACAGCGCCGCTGGCGACGGCGGAAGTCCAGGGGAAGGCCTGCTTGGCGCCGAGAGGCTCGAGGAATTGAGGGAAGGCGACGCGCTCCCCCGTGGTAACAACCACCGCACGGAGAACATGGTAGCACGAGCAATTCCAATTCCTTCGACTACCACTTTTTTGAAATAAACAATGCGACTTTATTACTAACATGGATCATTATTTGATGGTGGTGGAGCAGTTGTTCACCTTATTTTGCGCCGCGCAAGAGCCTTGTTTGCAGAGGCCGCAGCTGCCAAGATGACGCATTTTCAAGCGTGTGACCGACATATAGTGGTTTTTATTTATTTCGAGGAGGGGAGTTAGCATGTGTGTCAGTGAGTCTTGCTCACGCACCAGTGTGTATTTTTACCAGGGCGTCAGACCTCGCAACGGAGAATTCTAGTTTTACTAACGTCAACCTTTGGTAGTATTTTTGCCACCGAAGAATCCAAGACCAAGTAGAGCTGCTCCTGCTGGCATGACGAACAAGATCGGCGAATTTCAATGCCGCTGCCTGAATGTATAGAAGGAACACCCGACATCCCCGTGAAAAGCGAAGACGTCAGGCATTGCTTCATTTTTGGCCATTCGCCGCCTACAACGGCTTACGCAGTAGACTTCTATATCGAGTATGTCAAGCTTGATTAAGTTTTGAAAAAAATCTCGGGGTATTACAGAACGCGAGGGAGCCGCGGCAGAAGGACATTACCATGAGCGACGAGGCACTGGCGAAGCGTGAAGAACGCATCAAGAAGATGAGGTCCGCGTCCGCAGACGACGCAGAAGACGGGGAAGCCTGGCTTCGGGCCAATGTTCTTGGCGTCGACTTGTTCGGTGAAGGCCCGGTACCACTATCAGCTATGTTGTTGTACAGGCTTTTCTCATATCCTCCTGTGAAGCTTTTATACATCGATCTGGCGAAAAATCGGCGCAGTTTAGGGCAAGAAATAATTGGAAAAACGCTGTAGCGTGGTAGAAATTGGGCGTGGAAAAGGATACATGCAGTTGAGGCCTGTCCTAATTCTCCACTTCTCTACAACCTGAGACAGAAGCAGAGCTTGAGCTGTGCAACGCGATTATTGTCAAAGCACGTTCTCGTTGTGCATTTGAAGGACAGTGTAAATGAGTGCTAGTTCGCGAGCCTCAAGAAGCTTCGGGTTGTATTGGCGACGTGTATTTGTTTGCCGAATTGAAATGACTCGAGGCTGCGCGTTTAGGGGTCGCACGATGAAGCCGAGTTTTGATATGTGAAAGTACTTCCGTCTTCTTTGTATGTGTTCGCACGGACTGCCATGGCAGCGCGACTACCATACGACAGTGCGAAAATTGTCTTTGGCATGGTGTTGTGCAGTGCAAAGAGGTCTGCAGCAGTCTGTCACGGGAGATTCAGAATCTTTGACTTTCTAACAGGAAGCAGAAGAGGCCGAGAGGAAGACTTTCGGAGACCCTCCGCCGCCAAAAACTGGACAGCAGGTACAACGAAGTTTCATTTAAAACTGTGCATTCCTTCGCAATATTTTGCTTTCGTGATGGAACACTTAAACAAAACTGCGCACGGCCCGTTGTTATCTGTGTCTCTTCGAATGCTCCTTCATTGGCTGGGACCTGGCGAATCCGCCAGATGGCTGGCTTTGCTCAATTCCCGTAATTGTCCCTTATTTTCTTTCGAAATCAACTGTGGGCAGCCAGAGCACCATTCGTTCCGGGCCCACAACTTGTGCGGACTCAACTTTAATATTCATGTACTTTGCTGGTTGCAATAATTCTGCAGGTCGTCCCTGACGGCGAGCAGGTTGAAATCGGGGCTGACTTAGAGATGTTCCTGGAAGCTTGGGAGCTTACTCAAGATCGTGCAGTTTTTCGTTTGAAATTCCAAGCCGACGACACCCAACCGGACGAGACGGGCAACGCCCGGTTCGTTGTGCGACTAAATGAGGCCAGCGAAAACTTATCCCTCGAGAGCCAGAAGATCAGCGTTTTGGCCAAGACGGAACAGGAGATTGGGGATAAACAAAGTGAACTTGATTACGAATGGCTTTGGTGGTTTTATTTTACTCCCCAACTGACCCCACACTCGTGCGTGCAGATCGCAACCAGTCCTGCCATCACGCAAAACGCGAAAGAGGTCATGAGTTGTCTACAGTGGCCGCCCGAGACAGGAGCAGAGGCCTTCACGGTGGTGGACTGCGTATCGGGAAAATCATTGCAAGCGTTCTGTGTGGAAAAGCCAAGGTGGGACAAGGACGCGTTTTATTTTTTTCGCAAAATAACCGAGGAGGAGGACCTCGAAAAGGATTCTAGCCTCCTTTCCGTGAATGCCGACAACGGGCAGCTCTTGTCAGAGATCCCGGCACACGGGGCTGATGGTATACTGCGGATGTACATCGACAAGCAAAAGCAACACAATCCGCCCAAACCGCAGCAAGCTGTTCGAAAAGCAAAGGAGAGCGAGATCCAAAAAGAAGCGTGGGGCGCCCTGCTCAGCGGAAACGATGGCGACGAAGAATCTCCAGAGTCCGTGGGGGGCGAGTCCAGTTTTGATGATTCCAAGGTCAAGGGAATGCTGCAGCTGTATTCGGTGCGGAAAAAGGATGAAGAGGAAGACGAGGACGGCACCACGCAAGCTTCGCAGTCACCTGTACTTGCAGTGACTGTCGACAATGGAGGCGGTCCTGAAGCCAATCTCCGGGTCCTCCCGGTCATACCAGCCACTGGAAGCTACTACGAGTGGCAGTTCAAAACACTGATCAAATTCAATGAAAAGTTCAGGGGCCACGAGATTCCGTGTGGAACAATGCAGCTGTCACAGCATTCTCTGACAGCAGGACAACAGCTGTGCCTGCAGCAGGACACGGGCTCGGGTGGGAACCTAGTTCTCAAGCAGTGTAACACTGTGGGGAGGTTGGTGTGTTTGAATGTGGTGAGTCCGGGCGAAGCTGAATCAACTCGCAAGCCCGGGCGAATGCGAGTCGAGCTTTTTTTCGGGGACACGGTGACGCTCATGGAGCTGCACAATCAGAAAGCGCAGATGTCTAGTCCTGTTCTTGTTAAAATGGACGATCTTCTGCGGCAAGAGGATTCGACGCCAACCAGGTATGACGTGGAAGTGGTCGGCGAGGAAGGAATCGAGAGAAGAAAAATGGTGGAGACACTGGATGCCATTGTCGCTGACCCGGACCACAAGGCCAAACTCAACCGTTGTCTGGGAATGGATGCGCCTGAGCCTTCGACAGACGGCGGCAGTTTTTTGGAGGCCAATTATCGTTTGCGCGACCCCCACGCGCAACCGCAATCACCCGAACGACGCACGGGAGATGTCGAGGACTGCATTTCTGACATCGAGTCGGCCGGAGATCAAGGTGGCTCTCTGATGTATCAGTATGCAAAGCGGATGGCCAGGGATTCACTTGGACAAAGTCTTGACACCGAAATCAGGAACATGCTTGACAGTGCGAGGTCACCGGCTTCGAAGTTGGCGATCTGTTCGATGGCCTTTGAGAAGAGTGCCACTCAGTCTGACCTTCAGCTGCGCGACCGCTGTCTAGCGTCCGCTCAAGGATTTGAGGAGATTGCTGCGAACGTGGCCTCTGGTGAGGCTCCCCCTGCGGAAATGATGCGAACAAAGGGTTTCCGACAGCTCTTTCAAAACGCGAAGACGCTTTCGCGAATCACGCAGCGGAAGAACACGAGAGGGAAGCCTGATGAAAAAGCATTTCGTATGCGCTTCGTTTACAAGGAGAGCGACGAGCTGCGCGTTGTTAGCGCGGTTTTGGTCCACCGGGAGGGCGGAGGCGCAGAAAGCGTGATCCTACGGAGGGTCGATGGGACCCCGGAGGATATCCAGACCTGGTTTCTTATTGCGGACGATGCGCTCAGTGCAGGCGGGGACGATGGGACTGAAAATAAGATTCGCGCAAGTGAGTGTGGGAAGATTCTTCCGAGCTTTCGCAGGGAAGGCGAGGCCTGGAAGTGCCTGGCGGCAGCTGGCAGCGACCGTTTGCAAATGATCGACACTGGGGACGGCACTGTGATCGGCTATGGCGTGAAAGAGAAATGTCCAGAGTGGTGTTTTGAGGCGACGCCCTCCGGGATTGCGGTTTACCTGCAGTCGCCGCAAGAGCATTCGAAAAAGTTTCTCACGTGCCGGGTGTCGGACCCAAATGCTATACGTGCCAAACTGGGGCCCCCAGCACTAGTCCCCAATGTAGAGGAACAGGGCCGCCACGCGGTGCTTCAGATAGAAGGCTTCACTGATTTGGCGGAGCTTAACCCGGACCTGGCAGAGGAGTACTCGAAGAAGTGGAAAAAGGTCAAAAATTCGCGGCAAGAAGACAACGCGGTGTTTGCGTTGCAATACGGGAATGCCAGGTTCGGGGCCGTCGCAAACGAAGGAGCGCGGGCGAAATCGGAGTGGATGGGTGCTGAGCAGGATGCCGCGGAGCATTACTGGATCTTTATTGTCGCTAATCCTGACCTTTCTGTGAACGCCGACACGGCGTGTGGATATTTGATGAGTGAGCACTTAGTAAATGCCGACACCGGTAGGCAGGACATATGTCTCGCCCAAAATTTTCAGGAGCTCACCGTCTGTTCGCCCGAGGGGAATACCATCTGCCTGAAGCGCATGACACGGAAATTGGGGGGCGAGGCCCATGTCCTGGAGTTGAAGCTTTTTGTCTCGGAAGGGCAGGACGATGAAGATGCGGGGGAGAGTACACCCGAATGGTTGCGGATCCCGTACGGGGAGGAGGACAACGCCGACAGGGACGCGGGCCTTCTGGTAGAAAGCCCGACGACGACCTTGTTAGAGTACGAAGCCGCCCAGGTGAAGGTACTTGACCCCGGTCAAGATGAGAACCGGGAGGCCAAGGTGACGCGGTTGCTGAATCTGGCTGAGCACCGACAGCAACAGCAACAAGGCGAAGAAGGGGCCGCGCGCAATCGCTATCAGACGCCCCACGCCGCGGACACAGCTCTCAGATTTGGGTCGGCGTTTGGCACAAATGCCGACCTGTCTCCTCAGCGACGGCGCCCGGATGTTGATCCGGAGCCCGACTGGCCTGAGCCAGAAGATGTGGACGCGGACGAGGAAACTATCCGCGAGTGCATCTTCGATCCGGTAGGCTATTTTTTTGAGAATCGCCACTACTACCCTTATTCCGATCATGGGGTCACGAGATGGCGAGAAACGCTCTCGCAGCAGGACGCCCGCGATGTTACCGGTCGGCGCGAAGTTACCTTGCGCCAGCAGTGTGGCGGGTGTAAGATCGTGGAGGGGCCGACGCAGTATGCAGGAGTGACGACTGTTTGGGTTCACCGCCTTGGTAGGCTCTACCGCGCAGATTGGAATGATTATCCCACAGAAAAGAGCTAACATGTCGAATTCGATTCGGAGAGCAATTTTTTGTCAGCGGCAGAAAATTTCTCGCCAAAAAGTGCTATGCCCGGCGCCATAGGGTCGAACTTGAGGGAATTTTTTGCAAAAGTGAGCACACTTCTTGCGTGACTCAAGCAGCATGCTATGAGCTTCCCATGACAGGAGAGTTTCCGCTTGATTTATTTTTGCATTATATGGAAACAAGTTGATCTGGATATGCATATGCTAGCTTGTGTCTGTACGATAATCGCGAAGAGCAGTTTGAAGTTACTGAAAAACTGCCTGACGTCGACGGCGGGGGGATGGCGACCCTAGTGCTGGACCCTACGGAAGACCAGCAGCTGGCCACGATTTTCGAGTCGGGACGCAGCATCACAACTCATTGCAGCACTGACTCTTACGCAGAACACCGTGCCCGCGAAGTGTAGTCGCGAGTTGCCCACGATGATGTAGAGTGAACGCTCCTGCTGCCGGGCAAAGCGGCAGACACTGGGTACCACTACCTCTGACCACTGAGCTCTCCCGAAACTGTGCAAGCTTGTGCGTGTGTGTTTGTACACTGACGCGCACGCCGCGAGACGAGTGCGCCCATTCACGATTTGTGATATTTCTTCTTCATCTTCGCATTTTAACTTTTCGCTTTTTTTATTTATTTTATGAACTTTTCAATTCTGGAGGAAAAAAAATTCGTCTACAGGTAGTTGGCAGGCGTTTACTAAACTTACTCAAAGCTTCACCTATTTTTTTTTGCGAAAATTTCAGTAAATCTAAATTCGTTGCTCTCAGGGCGCCATACTTTTCGATTTTTGAGGCTATGCCGAAACCTCTCGAGCCATTTTTATACTGCAACTGTTTTTTTTTTCCGTCTGTGCGAACCTTTGCCACAGTTTTCGATGAGTCGCTTTTTTTTTTAATCTCAGGTCGCATTTCCAAGAATGTTTTCTTTTTCCTTCACGGTATTCCGATTATTTTTTCAAAAGATTGATCTTTATGTTTATCTGCTCAAAAGAAAAGCCCGCACAGAAGCGTAGTCAAGGCCATCATAAGTTTAACTAATTGACAAGTAGAATTTATCACGTTCATTGTCTAGTATGGGATATTTTTTTGCCACGAGCACGACCAAGAAAGGATCGTGGCACTACGAAGCAGCTTTTTACTGATTTTATTCCATGCCTATTTCTCATCTGTTTCCATTTTTTGACAGTTTCCTCTTTTGATTTTTTATTTTTTCGTGATGCGCATCGGCACGCAAGAACATTGTGAACTACTATCCAAGTGCAAATTATATCTGTTGGACAAATGCTAATAGTAAAAGTAATATCAAGGCCGGCAGGCTGGTAGTTGCGCACGCATTCGAAACAAGCAGGGGTAGGAGTACAGTTGCAACCAGAAACGAAAGCGTGCAGCCGATTCGATCTTGAAACAGCTTTTTTCAGGAGCGCTAGTAGCAAGAGTGGCCTGGCTTTTCTATTTTGCCGTTCCGTGGGCAACACTCTCTGCAGTTGCCTTTTCTTCGTGGTATTGATTTGTTTATTTCGTTATTGTTCATAGGTTGGCCGCCAGGTGGAGGTGCAGTCAGATACATACAAAGCGGCCTCTCTCGTCGGTCTTGCTACTCTATGTCGCTCGTTTTTTCGTGTTGTTTTTTTCGCAGCGTCCGCGTATGCCCGACACGCTCTCAATCGTCCCACTGTGTCTTTACTCGTTCGCATTTTTTGTCGTGGTTTTTTCTACTTGCCCGCAGAAATCGTTTAGTGGAAATTTCACCAGGTGGAAGGCATGTTCATGTCGCAGCAACGAAGGAAAGTCCTTTTTTTTGTGAAACCACGTGCAGGCTGCTGATAGCGCCCTTTTGTTTCGTTCTTAGACAAGAGGGAGCCTTTTTTAACTTCGTTCCCATATTATCCCACACAGAAACTACAGGTAGATTACTTTGTTTAGAATTATCAGCGTCTACTTGCGCCACTCTGTTTCCTCCACTGTAGCAGCAGCAGTACCCCTGCGCAGCAGTAGTTTTCCATACCACTACTCGAGTAAGAAAAAAAAACACGAAACTGCAACACTAGAAGTACCAGCTTTGCTTTCACCAAAAAATTGTCCTCCTCGTATTGAAACTACAAAGCACAACACCGGTTGGAGCCTAGATAGATCGGTTGCGTTCAACTTCAAGCGCAAAGATGGACGAGGCCAGCAAGCTTTCCCCGGGGAAGACGGAGTCCACCGCGGTGCCCTCTCCCTCGACGAAGGGCGGCTCCCCCGAAAAGGCTTCGGAAGAAGAAGTGCGGGCAAGGCTGTTCAAGGTACAAAGAGTTTTTTTTTTATCCCAGTAGCATGCTTGCCAAATAACAAAGAAATAAGGTTGTTGATCAATTGTCGCTTCTAAGTAAACTGATGACTCGTCAATCGTGGATTCTCTGCATCGTTGGATATTAATTAAGAATTTTAGACTTGATCATGAAAAAAACACCAGGGCCTCGGACGCGACCTCCTTTTGTCGATCAAAGAAGGCTATCGAATGCAAATATTTTCGTTTTGGTTTTGGGTCTGCCAGAAACCCGTAAAAGTAGTAATTTGAATAAAAGTTAACCCACTTGCACGACCCCCGCACGACACGCTGCAGGTTTTTTTTTTGTAGCCGATATTATACGATGCAGCTCCACTCCTGCGCGGTCACTAGGCATGAATAGATTTTATCGGAGCCGGGGTTGTCATCTCAAAGCCCAGCTGCTGAACACTACATATTGATCTCGTCTCGACCCAGAAGATCGACGTGTATTTGCAATCCATAAGGGCGACATGCACAAGGCGCAAGGGCTATCCTGAGTAAAAACGTACCCACACCATAGTCAAGATGGGGAATCGGCTAGACAAATCCACAAGTTTTGGCTGTTTTGCATGACAAATTTGGATTCGTAGTGTAGTGCTGTTTGAGCTAGCTCAGCAGCATCACAGATCTAGCATACCATGCTGATTGGAGCATGACAAATTGCAAAACACGACTAGAAAATGCTTCTCATGGGGCTCCGCATGAGAAACGTTTTCAGGATGCAGATTTGCATGACAACTCTGGTGTGGGTACGTTTTTACTCAGGATAAGGGCTGATCATGGGCGGTGTGGAACTGGATGCCCGGGAGCCGGTGACCGGGCGTATCAAATGCAAAAATGTCTGGGTCTGGGAGGATGGAACTTGTGATGCTGTCTGTAGATTCCAAAAAAGTCTGTATTGCATGACCAGCAAAAGGAGTCCACATTGTCCTACGCGGAGAGGGCATCTCTCATGCGGAATACGCACCAGAAAGCCCTCTCAAAATCAGTGATGCTAGGCCATGCATTACAGGCATGATGCGTCATGCAAAATATGCATCACAAACCTCGCACTCTTCCAGACCCCGACATATTTGCATTTGATAGAGCGCACCGCTTTGCATCTCGCCGTGCAGATATCAGGGGAAAAACAAGTTTTGTTTCAGTGCAACAACGTGACTGATCGACATCAAAGCGCCGTCTACATCAAAACCCATAGAAGAAGCAGATCCGCGGCCATTTTTTCTGTCAGAATCTTCACGTTTAACAAACACAAACTTCTAGGGTAGAATATGTGCTGTCGTGCTTTCTATGATCTGCGAGAAAGCACAGAATTAAAGTTGTAAGGTCTTGCACTGAGTAGAACATGCTTGTTTTTCTGTCGATACCAAAAGACCGCCATGGGGGTCGTGAAGCTGCTCGTGCAACACAAGATTGACGTGAACGCGGTGGACCGCATCGGTGAGGTCACAGCCCTGCACGTCGCTGCGCACCGCTATGCCAAAGAAAAAAGCTAGCCTAGCAGTATGATCGTTTGATTTGGGAAGCAAAACAAAGCGATATAGGCCGTGTGAAATTTTTAAACTCTGTCATGGGCCGCGAGCTGTCTAGGGCATTGCAGTGTTCTTGGAACTGGGCAGGAGAAAATGACACAAGCTTTTTTTTGCAGCAAGTGCAAGTGATGTTTTCGCATGACAAATTCGACATGTGCAGTCGGCTATGCATGACAAATTCGAGATGCTAGCTTCAATTTTCTGTTGGATAATTAAGGGCAGATGGTGATGCTGAAGCACTTGCTGGCCGCGAAGGCGAATTTGAACCTGGTCGGCGTGGAGGGCGACACTCCGTTGTCGCGGGCGGTATGACAGTGCACAACTCCCCCGCGTTCCCATTTGTCATGCAGAATACCAAATCCACGCTTTCCCTCCTGTCACTATGATGCATGACAAGTTCTGCTAGCCCAAATAGCACTACAATCCAGCTCAAATTTGTCATGCAAAACCAGCATTCTTGCTGATGCTTGTATAACCGTTCATGCTATAGAAATGAGGGGGAGGGGTAGTTGTGCACTGTCATAGGCGGCTACGCAGGGCCACTTAAAGGTGCTCGACTCGCTTATCTCTAATGGGGCCATCTGCGACCTGAAGCAGCGGCAAAGCATCAACGAGTGGCAGCAGGCCGAGATCGAGATGAAGCAGCTGGCCCTCCAGCAAAGCACGACGGCCTCGGGGTCGCAGCGCGGGCGGAGCCCCATATGATGGTGAACAACTCGCTCCCACTTGTTCTTCCCTTGACTTGAATAAACGCATAATGTCTACTTGCAGCAACAGAAGCAACGCCATCGCCAAAAAACAAGTATAGCTTCTGCATGACATTCACAATATCGAACGAATTCTGACAGTGATTCATTAATCACAGTTCAATATTCGGGAGGTTCATCCTGGTCCGAAATTTGTTTATGTCGGCAGTGTTTATTTCTGCAGGCGAGAAACCGGATTTGGTACTTCTGTTGCATTTACATTTGAGCGGAAATTGAAATTGTAGTAGGGCAAGATGTTTACTGTCATACTCCACGCGCAGTATGCAGGGCCATGGCGACCGCGCTTTCCAACCCGCAGTTCGGGACCGCCGGGAGCCGGTGTCTGCGCTAGTGAATATGGATTGCAAAAATATCTGGGTCTGGAAACTTGTGATGCTAAAATGTGGATGATGGAAACACACCCGAATGCAACCCAGCATGACAACTTTCCAAGACGCTTTCCCATAGGCAATCCGCATGAGGAACTGCGTTTTTGCATGTACAAAAGAGGCTCCGACTTTTGTTGGTTATGCAATACAGATTTTCTAGGTATGGAAAGCTAGCATTACAAGTTCCACCCTTCCAGACCCAGACATTTTTGCAATCCATAGTGAAGGCCGTGAAGCGAAACTGCGGCATTCCGGTGGTTAAAACGCTGCTAGAGATATCCAACGAGAAAAAACTGTGTTCGTGCCACTTGCTTGATACAATGGACGAAAAGCATGACAAATTCACTCTGCGTGACAGACTTGAAGACGTGTCATGCCTTGCCAGCACGTGCATTTGAAAAGGAAACAAACACTCAGCTCGGAAAAATCAATAGGTGCGCAAGTACCTAATCACCTGAGAACGGCCCTGGCCTCGCATGAGAACAAATCTAACTGTCTTGCATGGGGTCGTGCAACTACTTACACGACGAGCTTACACTAAACAGAGTTTTTTCCCCTGGACAGGACATCGGGTGCGACTCCAATCGGACGGATGAAAAGATGAACCGACCACTCCACGTTGCGGCCCACTACGGAAACGCGAACACGTGCCGGCTCTTGCTCCATGCGAAGGCTGCGGTGAACGTCGGTAACCACCTGGGCCGCACGCCCCTGCACTTCGCGGCGCGTTCTGGCCACGCCCGAATCTTCCGCATGTTGCTCGACTACAAGGCCGAAATTAACGCCGAGGACCGCTTTGGGCAGACGCCACTCACCCTGTGCTGCGACACGATGATGTATCCACAGTAATTTTCAATTTGCATCACTACACTGTGACAAATTTTTGCACTTTTGCATAAAGAGAAAGTTCACCTCCTGCCAGCACTACTCAAGTACTTTCATCCTACAACTCAGCACTTAACATTTAGAAGCACTGCAGGGTTTTGATGAAGATGTTATGTTCATCTTTCGGAAGCAGAAGTTCTAGTACATGCACCGTGCACTGACTTGTCCTTGTGTGGTAAATTTGTACTTGCATAAGACGCAGAAGCTGGTGAAGGACAACGGTGGTACCCCCGGATACTCCGACGAACACAACGATGTTTCGCCACCGGTTTCGCCCGCGCGGTCCCTGTCCCCCGCACGGAGCCCGAGCCCGGACACCGCGCCGCGATTCAACCCGGCCGGCGCCAGTGCCGGCAGCCAACCCGGCTCCCCCGCCACAAAACGGTCCCAGGCCAACAAGTTGCAGGGCTCCCCGGCCTTCTTCCAAGAGCGACACTAGTGGCGAAGGGTTGTCGACATATGATAAAAAGGGAAAAGTTTTTGTTTGGGTAGAACGATCAGCATGTATACGCAAAACATGAAACAAATCCTAAGCTGCCAAGTGTATCCAACATTCGCATATAGCATATCCTGTTTTAACAACTATTCACTCACTTACAATTTCTTGTAACATCGGGACCACATGTGCATAAAAACATGCGGCACAGACCCAGTCGAAAGTTAGCAAAAGCATATCCTGTTTTCAACTCACTCTTCTTACAAATTCTAATCAGCAACCATGGGCATATCCTGCAATCAAATCTACAGTAAAAACTTCTAAAACACTCAGCAAAAAGAAGCTATTTCTATTTTAGAGTTTTATACATAATAGCATCGCTGGATACTGCTTTTGCAGTGGCAGCAGCCTATTTTTCTACCCTGTGGAGGTTCCGCTCGCTGAAATTTGAGTCGGGACAAAAAATCTACCCTCTAAAAACAATCAAGCAAAAATCCGGTTCTGGCGCTCTGTTCACAGTAATAAACCACTGTGATAGAAGAAGATGACAACAAAACCGCGTTTCTTTTGTAGCCCACTCCAGCCGCGATACCCTCGCGACGGAGGGGGCGATTCATTTTTGGGAAAACATGAAAACATAAACAGCATATAACATCGCAATTTTATCACGACCCTGCTTTGGGAACATGAAAACATACTGGCAACAAAATTTTTCCCGGCGCTACCTTACAGACGGTGGCAGAGTTGTGGTGCCGCTTTTTCTTTTCGTTTAGTTCGTGTTTCGGCTTGAGGGATACCTAGGATCGATTAAAGTCGAGACATCACTTACCAGAAACAGAATCAACTTGAACTTGCATTTTTTTCGTAAAAGCCTTTTCCGCGATCTTTTCCATGGTGATCAACATCATGATTTTTCGTGGCTTTTCGGATCCTCATGTGCATCACGTGATCGTACAACTCGGTAGAATTTTCCTCAGAGGTGTCGTCGCAGATCGGTACTGGCAAAGATACATCTCTCGCTCACAAGCGATCTTAGAGAAATTTTTGCGACGTTGAATGGTTTTGACAAGTTGTTTGCAGAAGTGCAAGTAGCATCATTTTGGAGTTCTTGGCAGTAAGCAGTTCTCTCGTAGCATCGTTTAGAGTGGCTCTGCAGATCTTTGTTTTTCGTACACAACATCTCTATTCGGATGGCGGAATTTTACAGACGGAAATCTTGCTAGTGCTGTGGTATAGCCAGGTTTTTGAGTGAGTACCGTTTTCTATGATGTCGTCGTTGGTTATGGTAGCGTCCGTTAGATACGATTAGCTCTAGAACAACAGCAGGAACAGCAACAAATTGCCCCAGATGAGGCACCAGCACGACCACAAGAAAAGGTTCACTTACGTCAGACTTCTTCACCTCCCAGAGACCAAGCTCGCGATGCCCTGCCGCCTCATGCACCGGAACGTCCCGACTTTCCGGAAAGAAGTGAGAAAGGTACTGCTAGTACCGCAGAAAAAATTTCATTTCTCGACCCGCGTCCTCGTTTTCCTTTCCGCCCTGAGCCTCTTGCTTTTTGTTTTTTCAGCCCGCGGACAAGAGGTTAACAAAGCAAGTGCAAGAGATGAACCTGCAAAAGCTGGAACTGCTGGGGTCCGCGAACTACTTGTGTCAGACGCTCATCAACGACCACCTGAGCACGCTTCTAGCGGCCGCGCACTCTCCACCACCTTCGCAGAAAACGAGGTACATTTTAAGTATCAAGCGGCTGATAGTGTGGGGGAAGTTTATCCTGAGTAAAAACGTACCCACACCAGAGTCAGGATGGGGATTTTGCAACACAAACCTAGGAGTTTTGTGAGTCACGCATGACAAGTTGCACTCTGCAGTGTAGTGCAGGTTAGCAAGTGCAGCCGCGTCACAGATTCATCTGCTCATCCTGTTCACAGCATCACAAATTCCAAAACACGATTGAAAATGGCTCTCATGCGGATGCGCATTACAAGTCTTCCTGTCTTTGCAAATCTGCATTACAACTCTGGCGTGGCTACGTTTTTCCTCAGGATAAAGTTTATTGGTGCCTCAGCTGCGGGATGTACCGGATCACTGGTGCGAAGAAGCACAGAAGTGATAGTACGGAGAGGGAGAACAAAGTTTACGGAAAAACAAACACAAAAACCGCGGTTTCCGTCGTGCTGCATGCAAAGGAGAGGAAAATTTTTACCATGTTCCACGCGGAACGGGCCTCTGAAGGCGTTGGAGACCAACATCACGAGGACAACGTCTTCGGGAAAGCCGAAGACCGCGCGTCCGTACGCCAGTGCCTGTGGTACCCCTTTCCCGGCGGGGGTGCGGCGGGGGAACGAGGTGAACAGGAGAAGGATGAGTTTGTTTCTTCGTCATCAGCATCACAAACAGTGCTTGGCGCGGAAAAGAAAGCGCTGAGAGAGATCCAACAGAACCTTGTGAGAGCTTGGGATAAAGAAAGCAAGGACAAAGCTGGAGCTGCTTCCGGTACTAGTAGTGCATCAGACGTCGTCGACTTCGAAGCAGATGAGCCTAGAAATTCCCTCGTCCTTCCCTGGGTGCGCGGGAAGGAAATTCGAATAGAAACAACACGACCGCCGGATAGTGGGGAGGAAGCGCCGTCATATTTCTCCTTCGCCAACTCCGCTGCATTGACGCAACCGCAAGGAAGTAGAAATCAGAGGAACAAAGAGCTTCTGACCACGAAGAAAATCACGATTTTGAAGCGAACCAAGAGAACGAATTCATCTGCAGCAGGAGACAACAGCTCACGTACTACAGGGTCCTCTACTACACCAGCAGCTCCAGCTGCAGGAGATCAACATGATAATAAGCTTACAGAGTCCTCTACTTCTACTCCGCCTTCCTTCTACACTGCGACGGAGTACCAATCCGTTTTCGACGAGAACGAGAACTACTCGCCGCCCTTCCTGCCAAAACTCGATCCCCGGAACATTTTTGACAGTGACTGCGAGCGGTACTCGGAGCTTTTGCACGGGGAAATCCTGGCGCATTTCGGCTTGAGTGGATTGGGCAGCGACAGGTCACTCGCACTGCTGGACTTGGTGGCCGCTTTTGATAGTGCAGCTGGTGATGTCCTCGACGGCCGTGGTGGTGGTGGGTCAACACCATCTTCTGCCAGTGAAAAGGTAAATATCTTCCAGCCAGAAGTACTGGCAGCGGCTGGGCTGGCGCTGCCGGGCGAACTGGCCGTCGTGCTGCAGGATCCGGATATCAAATGTAAAAATGTCTGGGTCTGGAAGATTGCCAGGTTTGTCATGCATATTCTGAATGACCCTGACCCATGATGTCTGTGATGCATGCCCTAGCGTCACAGATTTTTAGAGGACTTTGCGATGCCTCTACCGCATGAGAGAAGCCCTCCCCGTGTAGCACAAACTGGAGTCCTTTTGCTAGGCATGCAATAGAGATTTTTTTGGAATCGAAAGACAGCGTCACAGGTTACCACCTTCCAGACCCAGACATTTTCACATTTGATACCAAAAATGCCGGCACAATTTCTCCCATTAAATTTCGCCGCGGGTCAGAACTTCAGCATGCGCTTCGATTACGAATCAGAAGAGATTCTGCTCGGGACGATGAACCGAAAAGGGGATAATTATTTACCGGATGTCGCCAATCATCCAGTTCCAGCGGGAGGATTTGATGAAAACGTAGTTCTTGAGAAGAAAGTATCCAAGGGCGAATTGCTGGCGGTCAACAAGTACAGCGTTCCGCGGTCTTCAAGAACGACGCCGCCTTCGGATTCTCACGACGGAACAGAAGAAGTCAAGGGCTCGCCACAACAACTTTTCCGGCGCGTGAAGCTGAACGTCCAGTATTCCCCCATCAAGACTCTGACACTACTACTCACGGAAGAGGGCGAGGTTTTCACGAACCTTGCGACGAAATTGGACGACATCGACCCGGTGTCCGGGAAAAACGCCGGCCAGACGGACAATGTTTGCGCGGAGACGAGTAGTAGAACTACGGATGAATATGATCAACAGTATGATGGCAGCATCAATCAAGGAGCTTTGTCGGACGACGAGGACGACGAGGAAAGCAGTCTTTTCTTCCACCATGCAATTGCTGGAGCCGCAGGGTTATATCCTATGGGGCAAGGCGGGACCGGTGCAGCTGCTCTATCTCTTGAAAACCAGCAGAGCCTATGGAAGTTTTGGGGCACGCAAACCGTGGACGACCTGGAGTGCGTCGGGTTTGAAGCCCATCTCTCCCGGAAGAGAAAACTGATTCTGTTTTTCGAGAAAGATGTCCTTGTCCAGATTGAGGTGCGGATTAGTGGGTCTACAGGACCACAAACGGGAGCAGGAGCGGCGGATGGAAGGGCCAAGATTTTGAGAACGCGGGTCAAGAATTTTAGGATTTCAACATCACTACCTGCTTTTGCAGAAAACCGAGATGAACAAGCGCCAAAAAGAACTCCTGTGCAATTTTCTTCATCCTTCCAGCTTCCCGAGTCCGAGTTTCAGCCGAAAGAAGAGTGGGGCTGCCGCAACTTCGAGCAGGAGGAGCGGGTTTTCAAGTCCCAAAACCTCCCTATGGAACTGTCAGGATTGAAATTGACAAAGTTGAAAAATTTGTGATGCATAAAACCGATACCAGTGGGAAGCCCAATTTCTAAGCGGTGCATGACAAATTTCGACGTCATCGAATTCCAGCTTCTCATGCTGTTTGGCGAAAGAAGGTATCCTTTGTCATTCTACTTTAGCAGCTCTATCCCAAACCCGAAACAGGCTCACAGTCGACCTCTCTTGCAATCCCTGCAAGAGAGTCACTTCGTGCCTTGCATTTCATGCATCACAGATTAATATTTCAACTTTGTCGATTTCAATCTTGACACACCCATACTCCCCCTGCCCGCGGAGCACTCCTACCAAAGTGTGATACTGGCGAAGAGTGCACGGCTGAAATCTTTAGCGTTCCAGGACTTGGAGAAAGCCGTGGGGGACGGCGGGGGAAGAAGAGGTGGAAGCGACGATCCGAGTAGAAATGATGGCGATCCACCCGACCATGCGAGGAGGACAGCATCATCATCGTCGTCTGACTCTCTCCTTGCAGGAGCCTTCAACTTCGAAAAGGCGCTTTTTGCGCTGCCCGGAGAGGTCGAGAAACTGACGAGGGTCCCGCTACCGCTATGAATTGCAAATATGTAGTCTGGGTCTGGTAACTTGTCATGGTAAATCTGAAGCATACAAAAATCTGTGTTGCATGAGTGCCAAAAGCTGTCCACTTTCGACCAAGTTCTGAGGCAGTTTCTCGCGCAGGATAGGCATGGTGGAGACCTCGCAGAGTCTGTCATGCTAAGTCCCGCATTCCAGACCTCAGCGGTCATGGAAAACCTGCATGACAAGTTGACACTCTTCCAGACCCAGACATATTTGCATTTGATAACCGCCCCAATTGAACGAGATCCAGCACCTCGAATTTGACTACTCCGCGATAACGCACTCGCAAAAGGCACTGTCCCCCCGGTTCGTGAAATCGCACGGGCATTTCTTCATGAACGTGCCGAACGGGCTATCACAATGAAAAACGCCCCCACCCCCGAACTTGGGAGCATTTGTATTGCAAACCTTTCCAACAGAAACACTCGCCCTCTTGCATCTAGCAGCATCACAGATTTCCAATCGTGAATAGCGAAAGTTTGTATTGCAACAGATCCCAGCAAGAGTGGCGCTTGTCATGCAAGCAATGCTATATACGCTTACGCTTACGCCTAGACTCTGCATCACAAAGATTCATATTCCTTTCATGCGTGACAAAAAGTTTTCATTCGGAAACTTCGCATCAAAAATTATTGCAACTTTGGGGGTGGGGGCATTTTTCACGGTAATACGGGCAGATGGCGTTAACTGCGAAGTCGGACACGGTTTTGTCGGAAAAACTTGGCTATCCTGTGCAAAAGTATCGTAGTCGTACTAATTGCAAATATGCATGACAAATCTCCTTCCTAAGGTAAAACAGCACTACAAATTCCACTTTTCTTATTGCTAAAATTAGTGATGCAATTTATACTAGTACGATACTTTTGCAATGCATATTGGCAAAGTCGACGCAACCTTCCTTGTCACAAACTACACCAACACCGGGCAACAGGAAATCGTGTCGAATGTCGCTTGGTCTTCAGGAGCTGCAGATGGAAGTAGAAGCAGTAGCACCAGCACAGCAGGAGCTTCACCTTCAACTACAAAGACCAAAACCGCGGAGTGTGTCGTGGAAAGTTTACCCAGCCCGAGCTCTGCGGACATCGCGGATTTACGGCGGCAGGCGTCGTTTCGGGAGACGTTTGTCAAGGCCGTTGCACTGGTCGATCCCGCAAATGGTGCGGTCCGCGAGTGCAATTTGTTCTCTTTACAGATTGGGAAGGGGAGGATTCTGCACCTGTTTGTCGATGAGAAGGATCCGACAATTGTACGGAAAATCATGCTGTTCCGCGGGCGACACCCCGACCAAGCGTTTTCCACGGTGGTTTTCCGGAATTGGAGAGTAGCTAGGCGGGAAAATGATGAAAGTGCAAATGCGCCCTCCGAGGAACTGCATAACGTGAAGTTTCTCCACCCGTCCCCGAGTTGGCACTGCCACAAGGTGGATACGAGTCAAGTAGGAGGAGAAGTAGAAGGCAGTGGGAGTGGCCCGGTGGAACTGGCATCAACATCCGAAGAAAATAAGCTTTCTCGCGAAGTAGATGATCACATCAAGATCCCACTGCACCACCGGTCCAGCGCTTTCAAAGACAGTCTGTTCGCGTTTTCCGGTGCTCTGGGGCAGTACCACTTGCTCGCGATTTATCACAGGAAAAAAGTGTTACAGTTACACATTTGTTGGAGTTTCTGCATCACAAAGTTGCTCGACATGGCAAAGAAAACCTGTGATGCGCAGACTATAAAGGAAAACACGTATGAAGTGAGGTTGGCAAGCATCTCCTGCATGACAGAGGTTGTCTGTCTTGCTTGTCTCCCATCAGAGTGTGTAACTGTAACACTTTTTTCTCACGATACGATTCCGCTTTTGTCCTTACCGGGGGAGCTGGATCTGCTCGTGAACAAAGACCGGGCGTTTGGACTCGACGCTGTGCGGGACTTATCCTTCTTCCATTTCGAATTTGCGGCGAGGAAGTACGATGGAGGAGGAGCGTCCTCGTTCGGAGCAGGATCTGGCGCCTCTTCCACCGCTTTATTTTCCAGAGAACCAGAACCACCAGGCAGAGGCATTGGTTCGCTCTTTCCGCTCTACCGCGGCCGACTGGCGGTGAATTTCGCGCGGAGGCTGTTCTACTTGACCGCACACAGCCGAGGTGCTGGTGGCTCAACGGCGGAAACGGCTTTGAGGCTTACAGTGGACGGCAGATACAACAGTAAATCCAAGGGAGTTTTCGTCGAGTTCAATGCCGCTGCGAAAAAACCGGGGAGAGCGTCAAGCTCGCCCTCGGCAGGCATACAAAACGGTGGAGAAGTCACCGAAAACGAGAACAACTACTGCTTTTCCTACGCATTAGAGGCAGACGGAGAACAAGATGGCACTTTTTCGGGCACAAAGCTCCTGCGCGAAATCGAAAAGAACGACAATAATTTTCTTCATTTCGTCGAATCCAGAACCATTCTCCTCAATGCGCGGGAAACGGAATGCTACGTCTGGGCTTTAAATCTCGACAGAAAATCCAATAGTCTCCTCCTCTACATCTCCATCGAGGACGGGGACGTGGTGCAGGTTGAACATCCCAACAGCCGTATCCTGAGCAAAAACGTCCCCAGTTGCTAAATCTGCAACACAAATCCCCAGGAATTGGGAGTTGTGCATGACAAGTTTCCATCTGCAGTGTATGGCAAGGGAAGCAGCATGAGAAAGCCATTGATTTTGTCATCCTGTTTACGGCATTACAGATGCCAAAGCACGACTGGAAATGCCCTTCATGGGGATGCGCGTTACAAATGTTCTTGTCATCGCACATTTGCATGACAAGTGGGAACGTTTTTGCAAAGGATAAGCCGTCAAGCGTTCGAAGTTTTTGATTTCGATCGGCACCCGGGGAAATTCGAGTTCAAAACGCCCTCGGTGGAGACCTGCCCGCCCGCGAAGGAAGACCGATTTCACTTGTTTGAGTCGCCCTTGGAGCTCGGCGCGCGGAGCAGCGACGAGGAGACAAGTGGGTCTTCTGGAATGATGTCGTCGTCGTCGACATCGTCGTTGTCCACCTCATCGTCTTCTGGACTGCAGACCCCTATTCTCGGCCCGGCGCTCTCCGCGTTGGAGCGAAGCGGCGTGAAAAACAGCGCACCACCAGTGAGTTTAATCGCGGCGCCGCTGGAATGGCCGAAGTTGGCGGAGCACTTTAGGAACCTGTGTGGTCCTCGTGGTCCTCGAGGAAGTGGCACATCAGAAACGAGCGACGATGAGGTGGGTACGACCGCGGAAGTAGGTGGAAAAAGCGACCCGTGCAGAGCAAACCGGGTGACAAGAAACGTAGCAACCTCCAAAACGGTGGTGACAGCGCCATCGCAGGAGGACCAAGCTGCGCATGAGCAAACTGCTCAGCAACTACAACAGCAGACCGCTCAATCTGTGCAGCCAAATGCAGCTGCAGCCACCACAACAGCAAATGAAGAGTTAGTGGACGACAGTCCAGCCACTCTAAATGCCATCTCTACGTCAACCGAGGCCACCAGTGCGAGCGCCCGGGCGGTCGCGAACGCGCTGGATGGGCCGCCAGGATATGCATTGCAAATATGTCTGGGTCTGGAAAGTTCCGATGCTAATGCCCGAATGATACGCAACCTGTATTAGGAGGCCGTGCATGTTCTTGACAAGTTTCTGAGCGGCTATGTCTTGCGTGAACCGCATGACAAGTGGCCTTTTTGCGTGACAAACAAGTGGCACTGTAGCGCGCCAAGCATGACAGACTTTTCTGTCTTGTCGGCCAAGCATGACAGACTTGCATTCTTCCAGACATCCAGGGATATTTGCACTGGATACAGGAGACCATACTACAACCGCTCCATCCGACGATTTCCGTGGTCCGTTGTCCCACTTGCTCTTCAATTCCGCTTTTCAATTCGATTTCACCAGTGTCTTCTCTCCCCAGTACGCCCAACACGAGCACAAAACCCAACTGACCAGCTTCGACGAAAACAGGAACCAAAAACCGGCAAAAAGCCACGGCACGGTTGTGGTTGATTACCAAAATAGACGGTTGTTCATCGACAGTTACGCCGACCATTTAGGGTCCGCGGGGACGGGGTACAACAGTAATGTGCAAACCCAGTTGCTATTGCAGGAAAACGGAAAACAATCGTTCACCTTTCTGAAGACCAGAAAGGGGGAGAAGTGTGTGGAGTTCGATTTGGAGAGAAATACTTTGAGTAAAGAAGCCAATATCGAAAACGGGTTTGGCCTTACGCATATGCGGGAGGATAAGAAGACGCAGACCTACCCGCATCTGCGCAAGTTCAACGTGCGGGACATCGTCGCCTATGCTGACGTAGAGTTGACCAGGTTGACGCACATGGAGATACCAAGACGAGGGGTGAATGTGGATATCCGGAACTGGAGGAAGATTCCATCGAGTGGCGGGAGTGCTGACAATTTTCTCAGCCTGATCAAGCCAAAGCTGGCTTTTGACCCGGATAATCAAAGTTGTGAAAAGTCGCCAACGGTGTTGACGCGGGCGCATTGGACCTTGGCGGATGTGTTTCTCGCATGATAGAGAACTACTACTGCAAGAAATAGAAAATATCTATTCCTTCGGGCAAAAAGTTTGGTGTATTGGAATCGGGAAAAATGAAACAACAGCACCTTCGCAGAAGATCTAGTGCAATTTTAGTGCTCCTCGCACACGGGCCCGGACTCGATCCCGCCTGGGTAAGAATGGCGCGAGTTGTGTGAAAAGATAGATTTGGTGGCTTGTTGATTTTTTTTGCGTTGGTGTTCTGGAAAAAGGAAAAATGCTCAATATTTTTGGGCTGCCGTGAAGATATCCACTGTAGATCCATTGTCGATCTTTTCACATCCTAAAACCCTTGGTTTACAAACTAAGTTGCATACTCATAAACAGAAGTTCAAATAACTTTTGGGGGATCATGCGGTTTGCCAGCAGACGCCGTGTTTTCGCGACTACCACCTCTAGAGGCTTTTGCTTTCTCTCAAAGCTCCTGGCGTTGATTTTTGCGCGAGATACAGAAAATCTGTGACTAATTCCGAAGGCGGAACTCTGTTACGCTGTGCTCAAGAACTTTCCCCCGAGCCCAAAGTCGGCAATTATTTTCACCATGTTCGTCTGGCATTCGGGTGCACTTGTTTGCACAGGGTGACGCATGCGTCAGGTGTATAAATGCGGGCGGTACTACGTTGGCTTAAAAATAACAGGACCACATTTAGTACAGGAGTCACATTCGTCTGTTTTGCGCACAGAAATTCAATATCAACATCCTATTGACATCAGCAGTAGAAAAAAAAAATTCAAACGACTACATAAACTTCACGCCACACTCGACCGACCAAAAATCAAGACAAAAGTCAACATGTCTCTCTTCCATTCCGTCGCTGTGCTCCTCCCGGAGGAGGTGCAGGACTTAGTTTGGGACTTTCTCCTCCCGACGGAAAAGCTCTACTACCCGCCAAAGACCATCAAGAATTACGTGGACGAGCACATGTACCAGATGCCGCCGAACCAGGTGCAGCAGTTGCTGCACAAACAAAAGCACTTTCCCCACCGACTGCAGGAACACGAGCGGCAGTTTCTGCAGCAGCGCGCGATGCAGCAATTTCAGCAGGACGAGATGGACAAGGCGTACGCAAAGGACCCGTGGAATTTGTCCGGTGGCAGCATGATGGACTTCGATATCGGCTCCATGATGGACGCGCGCGACATGCAAAAATCGCTGCAGAAACTCCGCAGACAAGACTGGCGGTTTTTGGAGGAGGAAGGGAGTGGGAAGAAGATCACGGCGAATGATCATGCTGAAAACGACAAGAAGAAAACGCTCTCGTCGTCTATTGTTCCGCCCTTTCCGCCGAGGAAAAAATCGCTGGTGAAAAAGCAGTACCAGTACGAATTGCACCGGGTGGTTTTCGTCTCCCAGATGCAGAGGGCGGCGGGGCTGGACGCGGTCAGAATCAAGTTGGACGGGGTGAAGGCGAGCAACTTGCTGCAGGCGAACGAGCTGGAGATGGTGATGGTATCCAAAGGAAAAATCCCCCCACCCCATATCGAAATGGAAATCTGTGATGCGGGATTTGTGTACACAAATCGGCTTTGTATTGCAGGAAGGTATCGCGGCCAGATCCCCAGGCTATGCAGGGGCGTATCGGTCTAGTTGTTCAGCATGGCAAACGGCTCCGCTTTAGGCCCAACAGCATGACAAATCGCCTCCATAATGGGGGCGAAGCTTTTGCCCTTGTCTTCTTGCAAGACGCATGACATTTGTGACCTCAGCGTGTTGGGGGTGAGGGACCCCCAACGAGGCCTACGGATATCAGGTGGAATTAAGGCTCAAATCAGCAATGCAAATCTTCGGGAACTTTGCTTTTCAATATGGGGAGGGGGGATTTTTCACTTTGATAGATGGAGGGCACAGGTTTGAAAGAACCTCCTCAACCTTTTCTGACTCCAAACGACAAGAAGAAGCTCCAGGAAATCGCGAGAGACGTGAAAAAAAATCTCAAAGAGAGCGAAAAGGAGAAAGAGCGGCAGGCCCGGGAGCAGAAAGAGGACTGGGCAGAGATGCTGATGCCCAATGCGGCCTTTTCCGGTCGTGGTAGTCACGAAGATGATGTTGACAATGCAGATGAACAAGAAGACTACCGCCCGGACACCAAATTCCCAGCGGACATGCTGCTGGAGTCTCTTCTATCCATCCGGCCATCCGGGTTCGGGGAAACGGACGACTTTTGCGCGGAACTCCTGCGGAGGGAAGGTTTTGCCTGCTCACCAGAGGCGGTGGCGTTTTTTGACTACACAAAATATGTACAGCCAGCGCGAGTATTTGTTCACGAAGACCAAAAAACAGCACCGACTTGTAGCAGAAATCGGAATTTTTATCCAAAGAAGCAGACCGAGGTAGAGAACGAGCCGAAGACTCTGGTGTTGAAAGCGCGGATGCTTCTCGCTCAGAAAATTTCCAAAAAGTGCATGGATGTCTTCTACCTGTGGCAGCATCAGCGCATGAAGGGCGGGGATCCGGACGACGGCTACCGCGTGGCGTGCGAGTTTGCGTTATCAAATGCAAATATGTCTGGGTCTGGAAGATTCCGAGATTTGTGATGCAGTTTATCCAAGCTCCACCAAGTCTGCAATGCAGGGTCTAGCATCACAGGATCTGCAGCCCCTTGGTGATGCCTGTTCGACATGACAAATGCCATCTCAGCATGGCCAGAAATGGGCACCTTTTGCAAGTCGCGCAACACAGATTTTTGTACGATCCGCAACATGCATCACAAGTTCGAATCCTTCCAGACCCAGACATATTTGCAATGCATATGCGTGGGAGTGCTACAACTCGTTCGGGGTGACGGAGAAGCTGGAACAGGGGTTCGATGTGGTCGAGGTTGAGAAGAATGCGACAGTGGAACATCAAGGGAATCAGGCCGCGTACCGGCTGGTTTTCGACGTACACAAAGGAGCTCATCGTGCCAGTTCTCCTGGTGCCGACGTCGAAAACGCAGCAGATGTGCCGGCGAAGCAGAAGGCTGCACTATCAGAAACCGCGGTCAACACCACCAGTGCCGTGGCCAGTCCGTCGGATCATGTCAGTCCGGTTGATGAGGCTGTACAGCCCGCGGGAGGTGGGAATAAACGGGAAAGCGCGAAGACGGAACGAGATGAAGAAACTCCTGAGAAGAAAAAGGAATCTTCGTGCGGAAAATCTAAATCAGCGGCTCCAGATTGTGTTGGTGTAACAAGTTTCATTTATCCGGTCGCGCACTGCGTCACTTGTGGTGCAGGCGGAACAGTTCCAGGGCGAGTTGTGAAGAACGAGACTTCTGCCGAAATAAACCTCTCCAGCAACAGAACGACACACAACCTGATTTCCCCTCTGATGCACTTCACGTGCCCGCCGTGCGGGAAGAAGTACGCCGTTTGCGACCAGATTTGTCAGAAGAAGTTTTGGAAGCTGCACAAGCAGAACCACGACAAAGTGCAGCAGTTGTACTGTAGCAGCTGCGGGAAAGAGAAAGATGACCCATCGGAAGAGTTGAAGAAGTTTTCCTGTCAGGACGAGGATTTTTACGTGAAGGCCCCGCAGGGATTGGGCCAAAAATCCTTCACGTTCTACGCCTGCAACAAGAGCTGCCAGAAAAGTTTGTGGAAAAAGCACAAAGAGAGCGGGTACAAGGCTCTAGTCGGGTTTTCTGCAGGGAAAAAGAAAGACCAAACGAAGATGAATAACGGGCTTTTCGCACCGAACAGCAGATCGGCAAGTACTTCTGATGCTGTTTCCGAGCAAGAGCTGTTATTTTCCAACGCGGGGCAAACGCGAGGCGAGAGGTTCGTTGCAAAAGAAGCAAAAAAATACTGGTACAACCCCAATTTCCCTTATGGAGTCGACGAGTTTTCCGCTACTGCCAGCATCCGATCTCTGTGCGACCGGTTGAAGCAGCACCAGTTCAATTGTTCCAACGAAGAAGTGAAGTATCGGGTGGAAACACTCGGCCAGGACCCAAAACGCGCGGAGGCCGAGCAGCGGCTGAGTGGATACAAGGAGATAGAAGAGAAAAAGAACTTCTTTATGAAATTCGCCGATTACAAAATCAAAGTGTTGCAACAGCCGAATTTCTGGACTTTCCAAGTGGATAGGAATCTGCGCTACGAGTGGCTAGTTGACTGCTACCGGATGCGGAGCCGCGACGACTTGGAGTACAGCGTTCTGTGCGGGGATTTCGAGAGCAAAGACCACTTGTGGAACGGGGTGTATTTGCCGTATTACTACAAGAGCTTCGCGGGCGAATTTTTACAGGATAAAAATTTATTCCCCGGAAAAACAAGCAATAACAAAAAATTTGCGGACGCCGACTTGGTCAATCGCTACCCAGACCACGAGCTCCGACTGCAAACCGATAGTGTTTTCAAAATCCGGGTGAATCAAGACAGACAGCTTTTAGTGAAGGAATTTTTGAAGTTTACGAAGCTGGCGAAGGCAAACAACGCGCTGTTCGACGGGTTTTCGTTTAAGCACTACCTCGCCGCCGCGGAGAAGATTTTGATGTTTCCGTTCTGCGAGAAAGAAGCCATCGAGAAATACGGCGAAGAAAACATGTTTCTCACCCACTGCGCGTCGTTGCGGAGAACCGCGACGTGGATATATCAGTCTGCGGAGGTGCGGGAAATGCCGGGGGAAATGGGGCAGTTGGACGAGCAACTGGAGCGGGAGTGCGCGGCAAAACTCAACGCGGTGCGGTTTGAAAAATCGGATCGGGAAATTTTCGAAGACGTTGGGGGGAAGGAGATCTGGGTTAAGCTGTGGAAAAAACTGAAGAAAAGACAAATGTGCGTGATTGAGATGGAAAGGTGAAGATGATTGAATATATTGATAAAATAAAAGAGCCGTGTAAAGGATCGAATAAACGACCTGCATGTTGAACTGTAGGTGCGAAGGCGGAGTTACGCTTCGACGCTTCCTTATTCTGATGTGAACTACGATGGTTATTTTGAACGAAGTATATTTCGATGGGATTTCCTGTAATATCGCACAACAAGATCTTATTTCGATCGCCTGAACAAAGTACGATGAAGTCAACCCAGAGTCAGAGCACCTCGGTCCGAATGGATGCTCCGACGGTCGCCTGTCGCTCTTTGTTTTCCGAAACGACCAAGAGGCGCAAACAGCTATTTTCGCTGTTGTTGATGCAATCATTTGAGTGAGAGGAAGAGACGAGATAAGAACGCATTTTTACATACCACGTGGTCCAAAAATAAGCGGTGAAGTGAAAGCAAGTAGATTTTTGCACAATCTGATCGATCGAACTGAAAATGCAACAAATGGAAAAAGATCTCCTCGAAAGCAAAATTTGCCATTTGAAAGGAGAGAAGTGAGAGCGAGTCTACAGGCTGAGGGACAGCACTAGACGATACGTGAGCGATAACAAGCGAAGTGATTTGTGTTTGCGCAAAGCAGATTCACCTTCTCCTTTTCTTCTGACTGCCACCCCAATGTCACAGATCCCGTTTTTTCTGCCTACCCTCTAGACCATTCCAATTTATTCCTATCAAACTTGAGCCATTCTGTCTACTTTTTTTCATCTAAGCTGTTTATTTCCTATTCTTGCACGCTTACAAATTGAAATTATTTTCCTTGAACTTGAAGATTATATTACTTTTTCTTGCGATAATCGTGACAATTGTGAACTTTTGTTTTGGTCGATTCGCAATCGAGGATAAAGTGTGAAGAAGCTGCGCTAGTACTACAAGGCGGATAAAATAACACAAACAGTCCACCTCTTGGCTTTTCTACTAAACTACTAACTCCTTGGAACAAGGAGCTACTGCATTAGGGTGCGCGACTCTGTTGTGTTTCCGCTTGATAGCTACAGCAAAGTTTTGCGCATTTCGAAAGCCTTTTGCACGACGTTATACGATTGAGCTCTCTTTTTTTTCTTCCCGTGAGAAAAAAATTACTTGAAAAGCGACAACTGCAATACAGATTCTAACTGCAATCGAATATTACTAAACGCGTTGTAGCTTTTTTTTTGTTTCTTGAGCAACAAACTTTTTGAGTCTGCCCTGTAAAAGTATCCTCCACATCAAGAACGAGCGCATCCGAGGACATCCAGCAGCAAAATGGTCCAGCACGACGGTAGTATTCAGACCGACAGTAATGTCGGAGGTCCTTGCTTAGTGAAGGAGACAACGAAGCCACAGACAACGACTTCAAGCCCGTGCGGGGGCAAGATCGTGTCGTCTTCCCACCACCCGTCAACCTCCTCCACCAACAGCTTCAAAAACGTGGTTTTTGACTTTGACTCCACGGTGATCAAGTCGGAGTCATTGGAGGTCATGCTGGAAGTGGTCCTCGCAGATGATCCACTGAAGGAGAAAAAAATGAAGGAAATCGCGGCCTGGACAGAGAAAGGTATGAGGGGGGAGTTTTTTGTCATGCAGAATGTCATGTCGGAACCTTGTTTGTCATGCGCGTTGCCGTGGCATACTTACTGTAATGGTACTACACACATCTGTTCTATCTCTCACTATCCACCTATACTTACAGGTATGAATGGGGAGTGTTCGTTCAAAGAAGGGCTGGAGGCAAGACTAAAGATCGCTTCGCCCACGCTAGCCGATCTGGAGAAGTTTTGCCAGAAATACTGCCCGAGCGACTTCTCTGCCGGGATGGAAGACTTGGTGGCGGAATTGCACAAGTCGGGGCACTATGGATTGCAAAAATGTCTGGGTCTGGAAGGGAGCAGCTTGTCATGCTAAATCCGAATCATGCAAAAATCTGTGCTGCATGAGTGCCAAAAGCTGTCCACTTTCGTTCGACCAAGTTGGCAGGGAGTTTCTCATGCAGGACAGGCATGATAGAGACCCCACAGACTCTGTCATGCTAGGTCCCGCATTCCAGACCTCAAGGGTCATGGAAAACCTGCATGACAAGCCTACACTCTTCCAGACCCAGACATATTTGCAATGCATAGGCACGAGGTTTTCATCCTGTCCGGGGGATTTAGGGACCTCATATTGCCGTTTGCAAGGTATGAAAAAAGTGATTTGTCATGCTTGTCGGCTCGCAATGGAGAAGGCAATCTGTGCTTAAGCATATGATTCAAACAGACGCCCTCTACAACTATGTGAAGATTTTGCGAGAGGGGAATCTTGTGATGCAGATTATGTGTCGTGCTCGTGTACCAACAAAAAACAAAATCAGGCACTTGCACGTCCCAGACGAGAATGTGTTCGCAGTGGAGATAAATTGGGATTCCGAGGGCCGCTTTGACAGCTTGAATGAGACAAACGGCTTCGCTATGCATTGCAAATATGTCTGGGTCTGGAAGAATGCAAACTTGCGATGCGCATTTCGCAACACATAAAAATCTCTCATGCGCAGGCAGCAAAAGCTGCCCCCTTTCTGTCTCCAAAGTGGGGCATTTGTCATGCGGATTCGGCATTGCGGGAGCTTGTCGAAGCCTGTCATGCTAGAGCTTCCATGCCAGACCTTCTGTGTCATGCAAAAGTAGCATGATTCTTCCAGACCCAGACATTTTTACATTTGATATTCGCTGTGTCCAAGTTAGACGGCGCTGCGAAGATACAGCACCGCTTCGCTGACGGTATAGAAGTTGTACATACTTACGTTAATTGCATATGCTTTTGTTCTTTAGATCAAAACTTTATCGAAAGTTTCGTGAATTTCACATTTGACTGTCTTTTACCATAAGTAGATGGATGCAGCCACCTTAAAAACTCCAGGTCGCACCGTCGCGATTGGCGACGGGTTTACGGACTACAAGCTCTACGAATCTGGGATCTGCGCCGATTTTATCGCGTATACCGAGCACGCCGCGCGGGATAAGGTCATCGCGGTCGCGCCCAGGTGCGCTCCGGATGCAGTGACGCTCTGGAAGTACCTCCTGACGAAGCAGTGCGACAGTGGCGTAACAACGCGGGCGAGCACCACGACCGAGTAGGAGAGCTGCAAATCATGTTGTCCGCGATCTATTTCTCCTGCAGAACGACTTTCTACTTTTTTTGTGCGCTCCCGCTCAAGTTTTATGATGTACACCCAAACAACTTCTGTAACTACTTGAAGTGCATCAAAGTGAACTACTACTCCCTGTAACCATAGTCCGACCTTCATCTACTGCTCTTGAAGTTCTAATAGTACAACAACTTTTGAACAATCTTAGGATAATCCATTCTGCCGATAGAACTGTGGACGATTTTTATAAGACGGAGCGAGATCATGGGTAAAAAAATCAACAACCTTGTGATCATCACAACATTATGTGCATCTTTTGTAGGGAGCCGCCGCGGCGCTGAGACTAACAACAATCTGAGGATGAATCAATCTTGTGCAACGTTGATTTTCGTGCAACAGTATGCAACGAAAAAAGAAAGATTCAGATTTTCATCCTCTATTGTGTATGAGTTTCTTGCGCAAGAATGAACTTGTGAACAAACGCGGCATCTGACGATGACCTCTGGGTCAAGAAAGGGCTGCAAGTATGAGAAAAATATGCCGGGGCCGCAGGAGTACACGAGAACTTTTTTAGCTGATTGTGAAAGTGCGAAAAGATGAACTTGGAATGTACACTACTTTTCATCAATACTGCCAAGGAAACTACTACACTCCAGAGCTAATTGTCACCTTCGCACGCTTTGAGCGACGAAGTAGAGAACAGAATAAAATCTAGAACTCTATCATGCAAGAAAAGGCCGCTTCGTTTATAGAGAAACGCAAATGACGAAGCGGCTTTTGGGGAAATAGTTTTCGTTACATTAGAGTCCTACTTCTACCTCCACTTTGTACACGAACTGGAAATAGACTTCCTTGCAATTTAATCACCAGCATCCTAACTACGAATGCACAGAGCTTTCCACTACTGGCCTTCCTTATCTTCTGTCGCGAGTTGTTCTCCTCGCTGCGACTAGCGACGGAGCCGATTGAGGAATAAGGTCAAAGTTTCTAGGCGATGAAAAAATGGGTATAATTCTAATCGACGATACAGTGTACGAGGACTGAGTACATGAGAACTTGCAATGGAGCAAGAATGATTTCGGACTATCAGGAAACCGCAATTTTTTAGACATTTGCTACCCCAGCATCGCGACAAAATTGATTATATCTACCCGCGAGCTATATTGACAAGAAGCAAGAAGCAGGAGAAGAATTACTTCCTCCAGACGCGGAAATTTTGCCATCACATCCTGCACTCCATTTGTTCCGGTAGGAAATTATCGCTGGCATAATAACAAGCGTTGGAAGGTAGTATTATCTTCGCGGGGAACTACAACAAGGGAATCGGTGGCGCCACAAGCTTTGACACCTCGCGCATGATCGGTTAAGAAAGAAATTTGGAATGATGGTTGAAAACCAGTAGGGCGCTCCTGCAAGTGGTAGTCGTGAATAAGTACTTACTTTTCCGAGAGGCACGAAGAGCACGCCGTGAACGTGTGGTCACGAGGTCACTCATCGTCAACATCTTTTGGCAACTGTCTTCTCTTGTAGTGTGAGCATTTTTCGATTTCGAAAATAGGTTCGGATAGTACTTTCACACGTTGGTAGAGTTCTTACGAGCTCGGGGTTTTGTCATAGAAGATGAGGCGTCTTTGTTCTTCACGCGGGGGCATCTTCGCCCAGACACCACGAGCCCAGCAGATTGTGTGTGGCTATCGTTCTCGGGGATGCCCCCGACCGAGGAGGAAGCTGGCAGAGCGACATGTAGTTCCACTTTCAAATAGATCCCTGACCCCGGCCCAGCGTCCCTTCGCCACCATGCGCGCTGCAGTGTTGGAAAAGGATCAAAAATCGGAGATGAACAATACCTTGAACTCCCCCATCGACTTGCCAATCTACAATTTGGAACGCCCCAAACCGAAGGAAGGCGAAATTCTGGTCAAGACCGCTGCGGCGGGGGTGTGCCACACGGACTTGCACATCATATTAGGCCACATCCCGTTCCCCAAGCCCGCGGTAATGGGGCATGAGCTTGCGGGCGAGATTGTGGAGTTCGGCCCAAACACGTCGCGGGACAGAATAGCGAGCGAAGCGAATTCGACTTCCAGCAGAAGAAAAGAGGCACTGAAGATCGGGGACAAAATAATCGGGACCTTCATCATGCCCTGTGGACACTGTCACCAGTGCGAGAACAACCAGGAAGATATCTGCGAGACGTTTTTTCAGCAAAACAGGTTGAAAGGATGCTTGTTGGACGGGACGACAAGGTTGTTCGACGCCGGCTTTCATGAAAATGATGGACATCATGGAGAACAAGCTCGTTCTCATTCGCACAATGACAAAAGCTCCACCTGCAGTGCGCATTCGCATGACAAAAAGGCCACAAGAACATCGCACCAGACCCACAACCATCAACCACAGTCCTACGCTATGTACTCCATGTCCGCTTTCGCCGACTACTCCGTGATTCCCGAACGCGCCGTGCACAAACTCCCAGACTCGCTACCCTACTTCGAGTCCTCCATCATTGGCTGTGCGCTTTTCACAGCATATGGCGCGGTGAAAAACGGCGCAAAACTGGAGTTGAGAGACAAGCAACTGGAACTCCCCCACTCCCCCACCATCGTGATCTTCGGCGTGGGAGGCGTGGGGTCGAATTTGGTGCAGGTGTGCAAGTATCAAATGTGAAAATGTCTGGGTCTGGAAGAATGCGAGTTTGTCATGCTTGTCTGGCATGACTCTTAAATCTGTCATGCACATTGCCAAAGAGCCCCACTTTTCCGTCATGCACAGACGTAGTTCGTCATGCAGAATAGGCAACAGCTAGAAGCTCAGGAACTTGTCATGCTGAGCCAGCAATTGTGGTCTCCTCATGATACGCCACACAGCATCACAAGTTTCCAGACCCAGACATTTTTACATTTGATAGCAAGGCGTTTACCGGGGAAGGAGCGAGGATCATCGCGGTGGATAAAAGTTTGGACCGACTGCTTTACGCGAAGGAAACCATGGGCGCGACGGACTTCGTGCACATTGAGGACGGGATGACGGAGGGCGAGATCATACGAAGAATACATTCGAAAACACCAAATAATAGTGGTGCGGATGTCGCGTTTGAAGTGATCGGGAACAAGTTCACGGCCAGACAGGCCGTGCTGTCCCTCGCCCCCGGCGGGAAAGCGGTGTTGGCGGGTTTGACAAAACCGGAGATCCAGATGGAGTTGCCGATCACGCACATTGTGAGGCGGAAAATAGAAATCGTCGGGAGCTTCGGGGCGAAGGCCAGTGTGGATACGCCGGAAGTGCTGAAGATGCTGGAGAGGCGGGAGTTGTCGCTGGAGTCTGTGAGCGAAAGGTTTTCGCTGGAAGAGGTCAGTGCAGCATATAACAAATTGTATGAGGGAAGCATAACCGGGAAAGCGATTGTGGTGATGTAACTACTGCGAGTATGAATTTATTGAGTTTGCGGCTCGTGAAGCTGGAACCCTCGGGAACGTGGAGTGTTGCGTCTTGTGAAAACGGGCGTCATGATGCAAGGCCGAGTAAGCTCGTGCCTTCAGGTCCAAGTAGCTCCGCGAGGGATAGCTGAACAAAAATGAAGTCACTTTCAATTTCATTGTGAGCTGCAAAGAAGGAAGATGACATTATCCAATAATATTGGAATCCCCGGTGTTCGTTGACTACCCTCCGGAAAAAGTCCGGCGGCCGTGCCTGGTTTCTTGTGAGCCGTGTGATGTCCTGCGTCGTCTCTTCTGGATCATCGCGATCCTCTCGGGAGCACCAGGCCAAGGCGGCAAAGCCGCCGACGTTTGCGCCTTCCATTCGCCCCTCGACAGGCACCGGCATGCGGCGTCTGGGAACATAACAACGACTATGGTGATAGTTATCACGCGCAGGCCCCTCGTGCCCGCGCCGGCCGCTCTTCCCGAGAAGGGCGCGGCCTTGGGTGCAAGTGCCATCTCTCTGGGCCCTCCTGCGGCGGCTGAAAAGCACATCGCGAGGAGCATGGGGGCGGTGCGCTACCGGATGGGCCAGGCGGGAGAATGCGGCGGCAAAGAGACCAACTAGGCAGGCGGTGGCCTGCAGGCAGGAGCTGGGTCCAGTGGCCTGCTTTTCTGCCCTCGGGTGGATGATTATCAGATTGAAGGTGGGGACAGCCATGAAAAAACTATGTGCGTCGACTCGAAAACTCTGGACGTGTGCCCAATGTCCCATATCCTTTTCAATCATGATAAAGATGGTTATTGGGCCCCCGCTTGCCGGCTTGCCGGGCGCCGCTCTTTTGTGGGCCCTGAGCTGGCCCCGTACCCCTGCGCGGCGGGCCTTGCGGGGCAGGGCGCCCAAAAGCCGTGGCGGCGCCAGCAATGTCTTGGCGGCGCGAAAGGCCCCCCGCTGCGGATCTGCGCCAGGGGGGTTGGGGCGCGGCGGGGGCTCGCTCTCGAACATCAGGAGCATCGAAATAAGCCAAGCTTCGAAACCCCGCGCAGAGCAACAGATGGCAATCGGTGCGCCGCCTGTCGTAACTGGGGCAGCGGGCTCCTACAGTGCGGCACCATCATCGATCGGCGTGGGGCAGCAGCTGATCCCTTTTGTTGGGTGCTTCGCGCAGTGGCAGGCGGTCGGGGCGCTCGTTCTTTGGCAAGCATACAACGAACACGGCGCGTGGGGTCCGGGCCCGCTTTTACTCGCCGGGCGCCGCATTTTGCTGCCCCTGCGCTGGTTGGGCCTTTGCCACTGCCGGCGCGCCCCCCCGCCCTCGCCAGCGGCTGACGGCCGCCCGCCACTTGCTGCCGCACACGCAGGGCCCCCGGCCGGCGCGTGCTGCGCGTCCGTCCCGTCCGTCCCCGCCCGGCTGGCGCCCGCCAGTCTGCGCGCTTTCCATCCCCGCGTCCTCGAAAAACTCGCAGCGAGGGACTGGAAACGAAAACGCGCAAAGAAGGCGGCGCAGGCTGGGGCGGATGAGCCCGCGGATTCTGTCTCCGCTAGATCGCGCGCAGCGGTCGGGCATTTTGCGAATGGGCTTCCCAAATGAGAAACCCGACACGAACGCGGTCGCGGAAGGGCTAGGCGCAACCGCTGGGCCGCTGACCTCTTGGCGTTTGCGGTGGTTCGTGAAAGAATTTCGGGCCGGCCCCGCTGGCGCTGCCGCGCTGCTTTCCGCAGTGGCGCGTGGCTTCACGCATGTTGCGGCTGCGCGCGCGAGTGCCCGCCCGTCCGGGCGGGCGGCTGGCGCCGCGCACCTTTTGCAGGTTCGTTGGGCAGATGAGGGCGGGCGCGCCTCGGGTTTTCGACATTCCCGCGAGCTTGGTGTCCTCTGTCAGCAGATTGCACACCCATACTCCTCCAATGTGTAGCCCAGCGACGCTGTTTACCGAGTACCGAGATCGACAGAGTAAATGTTCGCTCTAGTAGTTCGAGGGCGGTGCCCCAAAGAAAGTGCTCAGGTTGTGAAGATCTTGGGAAAATCCACATAAACATCGGTTCGGCCTCTCGGTCTATAGGTCGGACAAGATCCACGAAGAAGCGCTTCGAATTTCCCTTCGAGAAACTACATCAGTTCATAACGATCAATTACGTAGTACCTGTGCCACTTCACTTTGAAAGTTAACTTTTCACAACTTTTGCAACCCCAATCCCGGTGGATACACAAACGAGCTATTGTTTCACACGACAAGAAGAGATCATGCCCTTCCTCCGCACTACGACTACCACAGGCGGCACAGACCGCCAGCCCCGCAGCTCCACTCACATCTACTACAAGCTGCTTGGTAACAGCTCCGAAAAGAGCAAGAAAATCGTCCTCGTCCACGGGATGTCCGCTCGGCACTGTGACTGGTACGGCTTCGCCAACGAGCTGATTGCGGATAATGACGCCGAGGTCTGTCTGATCGACCACAGAGGCGTCGGTTTTTCGGTGGACGAGGATGAGGAGATGTTGCCACCCGCCGGTCATATGAGTGCCGGCTCTGAGCAAAGCAGATCTCCTTCGTCCTCCTCTTCGTCTTCGAGAGGTGGAAAAAATGAGAATAAACCTCCAAGTACTACTTTTTTCTCTACCGCGCGGGAGCTGGTTTCCCGGGATTTTTGGTCCAATTCCTCTATGGAAGCCTACGCGGAAGACGTGCTCGACGTGATACTTCACGGCTGTAAATGGACAAAATTCCATCTCATGGGCCTGAGTCTCGGCGGGATGATTGCGCAGAAGTTAGCGCTACGGATCGCGAACATGGACAACATTAGCGATCAAAATAGTAAATCACCAAGGTCAACAAGAACAGTACACAATCTGGAGATCGAATCTTTATCCTTAATAACGACCAGTGGGGAGCTGCATTTTGGGTTCAGTGCGCGGGGTTTGGCCCCGCTTTTCTACAACATGTTCCGGATGACCGCAGCGCGAACGAGCGAGAAGGCGGGACGAGGGGAAAAGAAGAAGAAGAAGAAGCAGGCGATTGCCCCTGCTGTGCCTCAACAAAGCGAATCAGCAACAGTCGCAGGGGTCGCTCCCTGTCCCAAAAGGACTACAGTCGGGGTAGCGACAAGAAGAAGTGGCGACGCAACTGCTGATGACCAGACGAAAAATCTGCCGCAAATGCCCCCGGCTAGAGAGCTTCTATCGGAAAAAGCACGGAAGTCTTGGGAAACTGCGTTGCAATACTTAAAACTGCTGTACAGTGAGGAGTACTTGGAACAACGCGCGGAATTTTCTCTAGAAGAGCTCCGTGAACAGTTTGAAGAAAGGCATACCCCATTTGTAGTGCCCCCGCAGCAAGAGGAGCTCAGTTCCAAAATGAGTTCTACCGCAGCTTCCCATGATGCGACTGCGGATGTGGAGACAGGCCAGCATCTTCGAGACCAGCGACAGGACCACTCGGAACAAGACCCCTCAATTACCACGCTCTTCGAGAAATTTGTGCAAATCTTGCTCTACTTGATGAAAAAGAATTTGAAGGAAGTGGTAGCTGATGTTGCAGACGGGAACAAGGACGACTCAACAGAGCCGGCACATTCTTATCCAAGCGGTAGTGACACTGAGAGTGGCGATAATTCTGGCGCGGAAGATGATCACGGGAAAAATAGCATGTCTTCGACCACGCACGCCGAACAACGGCACGAAAAACTTCGGAAAACGCGTTTCTCTTGGTATGACAGTGCACAACCCTCCCTCCCCTCATTTGTCATGCAAAATACCCCATCCACCCTTTGACTCTTAGCACTGTTTGCATGACAAGTTCTGGCTGCCTCAATAGCACTACACTCCCGTGCAAATTTGTCATGCAAAATCGGCATTCTTGCTTAGGCTTGTATTGCCGTTCATGCGATACAAATGAGGGGGAGGGGGAGTTGTGCACTGTCATACTTGGTCCTCCACAATAACGACCCTAGCCTGGCTTATGGCTCGCTCCAGGGTGGTCGACGAGGAAGAGATTCTCGACTTCGCTGCGAATCATTCCCGAAATTTGACGCAAAGGCTGGAATCCGTCGCGAACAAGCTGCCGTTTGAAAAGAAAAAGCAGGAGGATCACGACGAAATAAATCCCTCAACAAGTAGAAAAAGCCATTATCTCACCACCGTCATCGTCCCCTCCACCGCTTTCAAGATTGTGCTCAAACAGATGAAAGCCGGGCTTTTCTTCTCCAAACTAACGGCGGAAGAGAGTAGGAAAATCAGGTCCAAGGTGAAAAAAATTTCCGTGATAGGCGCCAGTTTGGACAAAATCCTTCCGGAGCACGCGTCGCAGGCGTTGGCGGTGGATTTGGAAGCCGATTTATTCGTTCGGTTCGAAAACAGCGGCCATATGCTGTTCGACGAGCATCGATTGGTGTGTACGACGGTGTTAAAAGAGTGCGTTTTGATGAAGACGGGAACAATAGAACCTAGTACTTCATCTTTTGTAAAGCCGGTGGAAGTTCGTGTTCTTCGACCAAAGAGAGGACCTGCTTTTGCGTACAATTCCACTGCCCCATCAACATCTACCTCCAGACTCCTGAGGGAAGCCCTTCTGAAGAAGCCATCTCCAGACCACGAAACCTCTGCGATTCAGCAGGTAAACACGAAGATCGACTCTGGCGCCCCCTCGGTGCCATGTGAAGTCGTGGAGATCGATACTGGAAAAACTGGCTTCGCTCTGTTTGACCTGGAATCTGCAAAGCTGGTGGTGTCGACGCGCGGGAGTCATCAGAAAAATGTCGTTGGCTCGATGAAGAACAGCGCATGGAGATGGAGCACAGATGGCAAGGCTAAGCTGTGAAGAAAAATGTTGTGAAACGGACGACCACGGGGCTCTTGTCTAGCAGAGGCTGCTTCCAGTAGAAACTGGATGAGTGCAAATGAATTTTGGTTCTCCCACAGCATGATGTGAAAAGACCACATTGTGAAAGATCGCAATTCAGGTAGATGCTGATTTCTCAAGCGGTTCCGGAAATACACTATGGCAGAGGATGAAAGATATGTTCGGGGTGTGGGTTGGATACGAACAAGCGCGGTGCTACGGTGTCTGCCCAACAGCGCACTATCGTTGCGTCTGAGCGATTTGAGTGGGTGCACTGGTAGAGCAGAAGAGCAGCAAGAGAGTGTAAGGAATGCAGCGACGTGAAGACGAGACTGAGAGTGTGTTTGAGACGAGAGTGATGAATGCAACAGAACGTGCGAAGTAGAGTTTGGTCTCGTCTTGTCGTAGTAAAAAATGCGAAAAAAATGAAAATTATGTAGCGCAACAAGAGCAATGGCTTGTTGCCACGACCGTTTCATCTCGCTACATCAACTTTTGTGGCCACCTGCGTCGCCGTCCTCTGGATGCAGCGCGTGACACCGGAGGAAGAGCAGCACGAAATTATCCCGGGTACTTCTACCAGCATGGCGGATAAACCACCACCGACGGACCCGACATCCGAAGGTCCTGCGGCGGATCAGGCAGACCAGGGCTCTGCAGTGCCAGGGAGCGCGCCACGTGCTGAGGAACCGGGGGCTTATGCTGGAGCTGCGCCCGGGGGCAGCGTCGTTGTAAGCACTGCTTCTGCCACCGCCGGCGACGATGACACGGCGAAGATGCCGGTCTTGCCTTTCGATGGAACCGGTGCGATCACTGCAGACGCTGTGCTTCCCGACAGTAGTAGTTCTAAACCCCCAGCACCGCCCTTCAAAGAAATCCTCATCGCCACCCTTCACGACTACTTCGTGCAGTTCCACGCTTTGTACCTGAAATCCTTCCTGACCATCCGCAATTCCCCGTCCGTTCTGTGCAGCATCTGGTTAATCCCCATTCTCTTCCTGTTTCTGCTAGAAGGGGTCCGACTCCTGCAAAAACAACCTCTAACCATCCAGACCTTCGACGATGCGGTCAATGCGGGGAAGAACAGACTCTCCGGGAACACGTTTCCCGATTGCATGTATTTCGACCAGTACTACGCAGACTTCCAGCGGCACCAGGAAATGTACCCCTGTTACCACTTGCTCTACGGGGGCAGTACAGCTTCCGCAACATCATTTGCCAGCTCTGTCGTGAACCAGCTGCAGCAGAACAATCCGGGTCTCCGGACGATGCAAGTTTTGACAGAAGAAGCGTTTTTTTCCGCGACCTACTACGAGCCGGGCCGGTACGACACGGGGCTGTGGTTTTCGAGCGAGAAGAAGTACCGCGTGTGGGTGAACGACACGAGTGCGGAGCTGTATGAGCGGTATGGGGACTATTACCACTACGGGAAAGTGCAAGCGGCGGTAGAAAACGCGATCTTGCAGGTGGAAAGCAGTGATGCAAATAATGCGGCACAAAAATCGCCGTCCCTGGAAATGACCCTCTCCCGTCTCCCCAACATCGACACAGTTGTCCCGACGAACACTGAGTTGCAGTACGATTTCCAAGCGCGGCGGGACTTTTCTTACTTTGACGACATGGGGGCGGTGATCATCATCTTCGCGCTAACCCTCTCCGGCAGTAGCATCATGCACTTGATCGTGCGGGAGAAGAGGAATGGCACGTTGAAGCTCATGCGGGTGATGGGCTTAAGAGAGCTCGTCTACTGGCTCGCGTGGCTGACCACCTTCATGGTGTTTTTCTTCCTCGGGTCGATTCTCTTCGCGTTTTCCGGCAAGCACTTCACTGACGTGAAATTTTTCACCCACACCGACTTCTCCGTCATCGTTTTTGTTGCGTTCTGCTACCTGACCTGCTACGGCGCGCTGACGCTGTATGGATGTGTCAGGTTTGAAATCGTCAAAGTTGAAATAGTTTGTCATGCATAACACGGATACCAGCTAGGCCTACAGTTTGTAGTCGGCGCATGACAAATTTTCCCGTTCCTGGAAGCGAGTCTGTCATGCGGTTTAGGGCAAAGGAGCTGCCTTCTGTCATGCTAGTTAGCAGTCCAACTTTTGACCCTTGCCAGGACTATAATCTGCCTCCCGTGGGTCCTCTGCAATAGAGTCACTTTCTGTATCGCATTTTATGCATTACAAATTATTTTTTCAACTTTGACGATTTCAAACCTGACGCTTCCATACGCTGTTCTTCTGCTCGTGGATTATCAACTGGTATGCCTTGCTGGGGACGCAGATCGCCTTGATCGCGTTTCCGATCTTGTTTTACATCCAAATGACCGACATTACGTGGTCCTCGATCACCTGCTATCCTGTGCAAAAGTATCGTACTGCAGTCATGCAGTACAAATCATCTTCTTAAATCTAAATCCGCATCACAAATTTTATTGCCAATGCTAAGGAACAAATTTGTAATGCATTTATACGAGTACGATACTTATTTTGCAATTCATACCTGCCCGCAAGACTGGTGGAACCGGCAGTACCACCCGGAGAACCAACCGGTGTGGGTATCCTGAGCAAAAACGTCCCCACCCCATAGTCAAGATGGGAAATCTGCTACAGAAATCCCTGAGCTTTGGCTGTCGCGCATGACAAATCTGGGCGCGCAATGTAGTTGCGCTTATCTAGTCCAGCAGCATCACAGATCCAGTTTGTCATGCTAACTCGAGCATGACAAATCTCAGATCACCACTAGAAAACGCCTCTCATGGGTCTCCGCATGACAAACATTTTGGGCATGCAGAATTGCATTGCAACTCTGGGGTGGGGACGTTTTTACACAGGATAGTGGATCGTGTTGTTCCACTTGATGCCGTGGTGGCATCTGGCGAAAATCGTTCAGAACATCTACGACGTCACCGGGGTGAAGGAGGGAAGAAGTGTGAAACACTCTGCGGAGCGGTATTTTGAGCAGTTTAACAACGAGACAAACAGATTCACGTTTGACCTTTTGTGGAAAGAAGTCGGGTACAACCAAAACTACGGATTCCCGAAAGACGGCGTTTCCTCTTCCGTCCGGTATGCATTTCAAATATGTCTGGGTCCAGAAGAGCGCAAACTTCTGATGCGCATTTCTCATGACACAAAAGTTTGTCATGCATGGACAGCAAAAGTGGTTCCCACTTCTTGTCGTCCCCGAAAGCGGGGATTTGTCATGGGGGTTAGGCATTGAGAGACCTCCTCAAAACCAGTGATGCTAAGGATTGCATGCCAGGCATTCATGGCCAGGCAAAGACAGCATGACAAACATCTGCATTGATCCAGACCCAGACATATTTGCAGTTGATATCCGCCCCACGGACGCCATGAACTGGACGTTGACGACGAGAAACCCGTCTTATCGCAAGAAGAAACTGTATCACTGTGAACTTGTGATGCATAGAATGAAACACAGAACTATTTGTGTTGCCACACCTGCAAGACCTCGACTCTCTAGCGTTGTTTTCCCTTTGGAAGCGCGCATGGCAAATTTTCTGTGTCATGTGTAACAAACTTGTGATGCAGATCTTGCAAGATCATCACAGTGAAACAGCTTTTTCGTGGGATAAGTCCGTTACCCGCGTAAATTCGGCGAACGGTCATTGGGAGGCGTACAACGCGGAAGACCAGATTTGGGTAGACAAGGGGGAATCGTGGTACGCGCCGAGTCCGGGGTACAACTGCATGTTGTTACTCTCCTGGGTCCCGTTTTGGCTGTTCCTTTCCTGGTACTGCGCACACGTGTTTTCCGCCGGGGAAGGGAAGTCGTTGCCGTACTTTTTTCTCTTCTCGAAGTCCTATTGGTTTGGCGTGGACCACAAGAAGCTGCAGGAGCAGATTGCGGTCGATGACACGATCGGGAAACTGCAGTTAGAATCGAAGCAAACGAGCGGGATCCACTGTTTGAAGCTCGCCAAAGCGTACCAGCTGCAAACGGCCTTAAGGGAATTGACAATCGAGATGAAACGGAACGAGATTACGTGTTTACTGGGGCACAACGGCGCGGGGAAATCCACGTTGATCAACTTGTTAACCGGATTGCACCCCCCGACCCACGGCCACGCGTTCTTCGACGGATTATCAATCGTGGATGAGATCGCGACGATCCAAAGGAAAATGGGGATCTGCCCCCAGGACCATATATTTTTCAGTGATTTAACCGGGAGACAGCACCTGAAATTCTGGATGATTTTTCGCGGGTATCAAGAGAAGAAGGATCCTCTACTTCGTGATGCTGTAGTTGCCAAAGAAGAAGATACCGTCGCCGAAAAGGAGGGCGAAATCATCGGCAAAGAGAAGGACAAGAAGAACGGGGGCACAAGATCAAGACAGAACACTATGGACGAAGAAGTCGAGAGGCTTTTGAAGGCGGTAAACCTCGATTGGGCGGCTGAGAAGTTAGTGAAGAACTACAGTGGCGGGATGCAGCGGAGACTTTGCGTCGCAATCGCCTCCATCGGGAATTCCACGGAGGTGATTTTCCTTGACGAACCTACCACTGGGTTAGACCCGGTGTCGAGACGGCAAATTTGGGATTTTATCCAGGAATTGAAGCGGGATAGAGTCGTGGTTTTAACCACCCACAGCATGGAGGAAGCCGATTGTTTGGCCGATCAAATCGGGATTCTGTCCCAGGGGAGGCTGAAGTGTCTAGGGACGAGTCTTGCGTTGAAAAACAAGTACGGGTCAGGGTTTCGGTTGACATTTTCGTTAGACTTGACGAAAGGTTCGGCCCGGGAAGTGCGGAAGTTCGTGACGGAGAGACTTCCCGGCGCGAAGGTTTTGGTGTCTGCCGGGACTAATTTGACGATGGGGGTTATCCCACGAAAAAACTGTTTCACTGTGATGGTTTTGCAAGATCTGCATCACAAGTTTGTCACACATGACACAGAAAATTTGCCATGCGCGTTTCCCAAGGGAAAATACGCTTGAAAATCCAATGTCTTGCAGGTGTAGCAAGACAAATAGTTCTGTGTTCCATTTTCTGCATTACAAGTTCACAGTGAGAAAATTTTTTTTTGCGATAGGGGTCCCACGGTCGTTGACTTCCATCATGCCGGACTTTCTGCACGCGATCGAGGAATTGGTCAAGGACAAAGAGAATTCCATCATCATCGAACACGGGATTTCCAACTCCACTTTAGAAGAGGTGTTCATGAACATCACGCAAACGGTATCCTGAGTAAAAACGTACCCACACCATAGTTGTCATGCAACTCTGCATGCTTAAAATGCTTCTCATGCGGAGCCCCATGAGAAGCATTTTCTAATGCGGTTTTGAAATTTGTCATGCTCCAATCAGCACGAGATACTAGATCTGTAATGCTGCTAAACTAGCTCAAACAGCACTACACTACGCGGACAAACTTGTCATGCCAAACAGCCAAAGCTGGCTGATTTGTCTAGCAGATTCCCCATCCTGACTCTGGTGTGGGTACGTTTTTACTCAGGATAGACGGAAACACCGAGCAATTTGTTCATCAACAACCAAGACGACGGGTTCGGGCAGGCGAAAATCTGCGTGTTGTGCTGCGCCAACGAAGCCATCGCGGTGACTGCGTTTACGAAGGAGGGGGTGCCGTTTTTGGTTGACGGGGTGATTTGCCGGTCTTGTGCCGAGGGGCTGCACGACCCGGAGAAGGTCAAGAAAGGGTTGATGAAGGCAGTACCGAATAACAGCTCGTTGCGAGGGCTCTTAGGAGGTGGATCAGCTTCGGGGACGAGTGGCAAGGCGGGTGATGCTGGGTTCTACAGTTTAGACGAACACGAAGGGCAAGAAAAAAATATTAAAACCGGTGAAGAACAAACCGCTGGCGCGGAAACGAGCGGCGGAGGCGTTTTAACGGAAACGCAAATCGTACCGGATAATTACAACGTTTCTTCTGGTGTCGCCACGGAAGGCGCGCACAGTGCAAGTCGTTTTGAGGAGGCCGGGGAACATCAAGAGGTGTTTGTGACGCACGTTTGTGCCGCTGGTAGTGATCATGGGGACAATAGTTGCAATTTCTATCGGGCACCTGTTGCAGTGTCGAAGGAGGTCGCTGGTGTCTTGTCGCGCAGAATCATCACAATGGAGCTGGCAGGGAGGAGTTGCAGATGCGCGACGACACCTCGCTCAGGCAACAACAGTCAAAACGGGTCAGTCACACCAGCCTTAGGGGTTTTCCGATCTTCTGAAAGAAGCTCCTGCTCTGAAGATGTTGAGAAATCTCCGACTTCTGCCTTGAGTCATCATGGAGTGCAACTCGACATTGCGGACGATTTTTCGTGGCTATCAGGAGACGAAGAGGAGCAAACGCCTGGCACTTCTTCCGCGTGGTCATACCGGCGGACGAAGGCGGCAAGAAGTACTTCTAGAACAAACTGCTCTACCAACAAGATTCAAATCGCCGAAACAACAAGCCCTTTCCACGACGACCTGAGAGAAGGGTCCCATCAAATGCAGCAACAGCAAGTCCAGCCTCCCGGTGGCGCGTTTCTGATGACAACCCCGACCGGGGACCCACTTCTGAACGCCAGTGGCCAGCAGATTGTGGTGGACATGTACGGGAGACCCATTGATAAGGACGGAAACGTGATCGGGCCCAGCATCGTCCCTAACGCGCCACAACCGCCGGGGGGTGGTGGAGGTGGAAGTGTGGCCGCGCAGTCTGGCATGCAGCAACCCGCCGCGCAACCGGGAACAGCTTCGCAGCCGGCGTTTCAGACCCAGCAGTCGATGCAAGTTCCGGGAAGTACTATGGGGTTCAATCAGCAGCCCCACAACAAGAATTTTCCACAAACTTCCACCCAACATCAACTCTCCGGAACGGCGAAACCTTCTGATACGGCAACCTCCAACCTCCACCTCTACTTCCAGCAGTCCCTCGCGATTCTCCTCAAAAACGCGCAAATCCAGGCAAAGCAAAGGTACAGCAACTGTGCGCGGTTGTGCTGCGTGTTCTGCTGCACGTGTTGCGGTATTATTGTTGGGCTGTTACTTGCCGGCGCGATGACCGCGGCCGCTTCTACGAATCTTTTGCTCACCGAGTTTGATTTGGAGGAGAACAACGAGAACCGCGCAATCCCTTTGTCCGTCGCCGGGTACAATGGGCAGATCGAGCGGGAGTTAAATCTCCGCACCGGGACCCCAATCTACGGCCCAACGTCCGACATCCGACTCCCAACCGACCGCGACAAGATCTACATTGCGAATCGCACGGCGGACATTGATGCGGAGCCGGACATTTACTTTCGCTACCATTTCCGGGAGTTGAAGAAGAACTTGCTCATGAAATCCGTTGATTTACGGTTTCAAGACATTGGGGCTGCGCAGACGAAGGTGAATTTCATATCCTGAGTAAAAATGTACCCACACCAGAGTCAAGATGGGAAATCCGCTAGACAAATCCGTAAGCTTTGGCTGTTTCGCATGACAAATTTGGACGCGTAGTGCAGTGCTGTTTGAGCTAGCTAAGCAGCATTACAGATCTAGTATCTCATGCTGATTGGCGCATTACAGATTTCCAAATCGCATTAGAAAATGCTTCTCATGGGGCTCCGCATGAGAAACATTTTAAGCATGCAGAGTAGCATGACAACTATGGTGTGGGTACGTTTTTACACAGGATATTTCAACTCCGTTGAACAGTTCCCCATGTACATGCTGTACCAGATATTACAGTGAAAAATGCCCCCATCCCGGAATTTGCAGAAGTTTGTCATGCAAAGTTTCCAAACGAAAGCTTTTTGTCTTGCATCAAAGGATTGCGAGCGTTTCTGATGCAGAATGTGGGTGCGCAAGGTGCCTTGTGCATAACAGACCCGGCTGCTGTTGGGCTGCTTCGCAACACAAATTTGACCTATTCAGCATGGAAATTCTGTGATGCTGAGATATGCAAGACGGGGAGTGTTTCCGTTGGAAAGGTTTGCAATACAAATGCTGCCAAGCTGGGGGTCGGGGCGTTTTTCATTGTAATACCAGATTGGGGAAGAACACGTGGCGAGTCTAGCAAGTATCAATGCCGACAACACGCATCCACAGTTGCTGAAACGAACAGTTTATCCTGTGCAAAAGTACTACTGCTCGTACTAATTGCACGAGATATGCATGTTAAATCCAACTTTCTACCTCAAATAGCATGACAAATTGAATTTTATTCTTGGGAAAATTTGTAATGCGTTTTATACTAGTGCGATACTTTTGCAATGCATACAGTTCCTTCCAGTTCAGATTTTGTCAACCTGTACACGACGAAAATTCCTTTGCTGGAGAAGTTCGGGTACCAGTTGAACTATATCAAATGCAAGTATGTCTGGGTCGGGAAGGATCCGAACTTGCGATGCGCATTTTCGAACACAGAAAAATCTCTCATGCATAGGTAGCAAAAGCTGCCCACTTTCTGTCACCAAAATAGGAGATTTCTCATGCGGGTTCGGCATTGCGGAAGCTTATCGAAAACTGTGATGCTAGAGCTTCCATGCCAGACCTTCTCTGTCATGCAAAAAGAGCATGACTCTTCCAGACCCAGATACTTTTACATTTGATAAACTACTGTCCGGCGCAGAATTTCCGGTTTTCGCACATCAACCCGAAAACCGATTTGGACGAGGAGAAGATGTGGAAGACGGTTCTGCTATCCTATGTAAAAACGTACCCACACCAGAGTTGTAATGCAGATTTGCAACGACAAAGACATTTGTGATGCGCATCCCCATGAGAGTCATTTCCAATCGTGTTTTGGAATTTGCGATGCTGTGAACAGGATCAGCAGTTCGATTTGTGATGCGGCTCTCCTTGCTAACTTGCACTACCTTACGGACTGAAACTTGTCACGCGTGACTCCCAAAGCTCCTAGGTTTGTGTTGCAAAGTCCCCATCTTGACTCTGGTGTGGGTACGTTTTTACTCAGGATATCTGCTCGAATCCTACGGGGTGGACGAATCGCACTTGTACTACCACGGACCTTTATCTACCATCACGCATTCCAAGGCGCGGTTCCGGAATGAGGAAGCCGGGCGCGGTGTTCCCGGAGCCATCTGGGACTCGGGCTACGAGTACCACAATTTGTGCGGTTTGCAGACGCGAAGTTGCCAGTTTTCGAATTTTTCCTTCTCGAACAATTACACGATTTCCGTGCCGGAGGGGTATGCAAGAAAAAAACTGTGTAAGTGTAAGCCTGTGATGCAGGAAATGCAAAAGTGTATCCGCTTGTCATGCTGGATGTGCGTCATAGGCAACTTTCATGCGTGTTTCCACGTGCTAGCTGCGCATGACAGGTTTTTCCTGTAATGCAAAACGAACTTGTTTTTCATATTCATTTCCTACAAAGTTGCACTTACGCATTTTTTTTTCCTGGATAAGGGGCTATACGCAAGCAGTGCGTCGGTATCGGCTACGACTGACAACTCGTTTTTCAAAACATACACGCCAGTATGCGGAGGTGCCGGAAGTAGTTCATCTTCGGGGGGTGATTCGACAAGTCCTGTTCCGACAGTCATCCCGCAGCTGGGGAATTTGAAATCCTGGCGGAAACGCTGGCAGTCGAGAAATCAAGTGTTACTAATGGAAAGGTACTCTGCTCAGGAGAGGAAGGAGATCTTGCAAATTTTGAACACCTTCTGCGGGGGCGCCATGCCGACGAGCGTAGTCCCATCGGGGGGCACCGCGGCGACGGCGGCGCAGAGTGAACAGTGCAGGAAGTTGGCGGAGAAGTACGCGACGGTGAACTTGTGGTGGGAGAAAGGGACGAGTGGTGGAGGGGCAGGGATTACATCGTCGTCGTCTTCCTCAAATAAAGATTTCGACCTGTCCTGGCTTGGGATTGCGGTGCAGAATGAAAATGGTATCACCGTGCAGCAGGACGGCAATACCAATACCTCTTACTGGTCGAATCAAGCGCGGTACACGACCATGGGGATCTCACTCTCCAATGTCGGCGATTTTTCGCAGGTAGATCCAGAGCTGCTGCAAACCACGCCTAGTACGGGGCAAGAAATAAACAAACCTCCTCTCACCGGCCTCCAGGGAAAATTCCAATACGCACAGAAGCTCTACCGCCTGCAGGCGCAGCCCGTATCAACTGCAAAAAAGTGTCTGGGCGGTCTGGAAGATTGCAACTTGTCATGCTTTTTGGGACACTAAAGAAATCTGTATTGCATGACCAGCATCAAGAAGGGTCCAGTTTGTGCTACACGGACAGGTCATTTCTCATGCGGAAGGTGCATCAGGAAGCCCTCTAAAAGTCTGTGATGCTAGGACATGCATTACAGGCATCATGGATCTTCTCCCAGACCCAGACATATTTGCAATGCATATCCCGAAACGAGTAACAAATGCTTGAAAACCTCCGACCCGGCGTCGCCCATCTACGGGCAAAACACCGACGTCGTGGCCTATGACGGCAACGAGGGATCGGCCCGGCGGGGCGGGCAAGGCGCGCGGCAGGAGTTCATCCGAATGGGCAACCCGCGATGGCACGGGTACGGGGATAAGCCCGATTACGTGTATTTGGAAAACTTCACAGCGATGCCGTACGTGGGGGCGGAACAAGAAGAAAACAACAACTCATCTTCAATCGCAAGCACCTACGCGGCGGCGGCGGCGAACATCACGGGCCTTTTTTCCGACAAGCCCTTTCCCGACGTGGCGCTCACGGTCAACAAAGCGGACAAAGTCCAGGGCCAACTCGACGTGACCTTACACATCGCCGCGCGGGATTCCGCTTCGGACATAGCGCTCTTCCGGCGGAACATCGAAAACGCGCGGTGGAGCGAGCCGGACCCGGGTTACATTCCCTTCCTCTTATGGATTGTAAAAATGTCTGGGTCCTCTGGAAGGTTGGAACTTGTGATGCTAACTTTCCATACCTAGAAAATCTGTATTGCGTAACCAACAAAAGTCGCAGCCTCTTTTATCATGCAAAAACGCAGTTTCTTATGCGGATTGCCTATGAGAAAGCGTTTTGGGAAGTTGTCATGCCGGACTGCATTCGGAAGTGTTTTCATCATGCACATTTTAGCATCACAAGTTTCCAGACCCAGACACTTTTACATTTGGCACCTCTCCTTCCTCGACGACTACACGGCGCAAGACTCTTTATACGACTACGTCTACGCCATGTTTGCCTGGTCTTCGGATGCGTTGTATCAAAGTGTGAAAAATCCCCCCACCCCATATCGAAACGGAAACTTCTGTTGCTGGATTTGTGTACACAAATCAACCCTGTCTTGCAGTGAGGCACTACAAGCAACGCCTCAGCCTGCGTAGGGGTGTTTGGTTGTAGGCACTTAGCATGACAGAGGCCTGCAATGTACGTGAAACAGCATTACAAATCGCCTCCATAAGGCTGCGAATTCTTTGGATTTGCCTTCTTGCAAGAGAGACAGGATTTGTGGTCACAAATCGACATCACAAATTTTTAGGCACATACGTCTTCAATATGGGGAGGGGGGATTTTTCCTCTCAATACGTTGCGAGCGGCGATTTCGGATCCGGCGGACAAAGTTTCCGGCAGCTGCCTATGACCCGCTCAGACGTTACAATCTCAACTGTTACAATAGAATCTGGATTTTGTGATGCAAGAGGTGCATTATCTACCCAACTCGCATAGGTTTGCGCATGACAAGTTCTGGAGTGCCAAACCGCACTAGAATCTTCCGAAATTTGTATTGCGAAAAGCGCAAAAATACTCTGCACGTTCCTCATGCTCTTCATGCAACACAAATTCCAGATTCTATTGTAACGTTTGAGATTGTAACACCTGAGCAGGCTATACTGCCAGTTAGATTTTTTGACCCCCACGTCAGTGATGCAGGTTCACACGCTGGTTTCCGCGTTTGCGAACGGGATAAGACTGAACCTCGGCTTTCCCCCCGTCGAGTCGGATGTTCTGTCCCATTTGCCGTATTTATTCTTCAGTAGCCAGGAAGTCTTATCCCCCGACGCCGGGATGCAGACGCTGGCCTTGCCGATTCTCTCCTTACTGTGGTTCCCGGTGATCACAACAAGCTTCGGGTACGAAAAAAGATTCGGGCTACTGGAGATGATGCGGATCCAAAGTTTATCCACGACGATCTACTGGCTAACCAACTACGTCTGGTTCTTCATTCTGTACTTCTCCATCATCGGCTCCTACCTAGCTTTGTTCTACGCCGTCGCCTCCGACAACTACGATATTGGCCAGCTTTTCTTCATCCACTTTCTCTGGGGCCACTGCCAGATCGGGCTGTCTCTACTGTGCGCCGCAGCGTTCTACAAATCGGAGTCTTTGACCGCGGTGACGTACTTCTGGATGTCCATCGCCTACCTGTCCGCCGGCCCTTTGCTAGAAGCCGCAACGATCGACGGCGGCCCGATGCCGTGGGCCCTGATTGTGTGGGGACCGACGAATTACGGCAGGAGTTTGGTGCTGGCGTTAAAGTACAAGGAAACGGACAGTTCGAAATCGATGGATTTGTGGGAAAAGTTCACGGCGAGCGAAGAACAAGAGTACGGGGAACTGCTGCTAGTCCAATTCTTGGTCGGGAGTTTGGTCTTACTCGTCGCGATTCTCTGGCTCCAGGGGGTACACGTGGTCGTGTTTGAAAAGATCCGGCGGTTTGTGATGGAGAATATCGTGGACCGGTGGATGGGGAACATCAAAGGGGAAAAGAGTGTGAAATCAGCTGCTGATAAAAAAGAACAAAATGAAAATCCATCCGCAGAAACTACAGAAGTTCCTGCGCAAGAAGAGCATCCTCAACCAGCAATCACAATTCAAGAACGCATTTCGTCTAAAGAAACCCCGATATTACAATGAAAAATGCCCCCACCCCCGAATCGTTGGGAGCATTTGTATTGCAAACCTTTCCAAATGAAACATTCGCCCTCTTGCATCTATCAGCATCACAGCTTTCCAATCGTGAATAGCAAAAATTTGTATTGCAAAGGACCCCAGCAAGAGCGGCGCTTGTCATGCAAGCGAGGCGATACACGCCTAGACTCTGCATCAGACAAATTCATACACCTTTCATGCATGACAAAAAGTTCTCAGTTGGAAACTTCGCATCACAAATTTTCGCATCGTTGGGGGTGGGGGCATTTTTCACTGTAATACCCGACGAAAGAAGTTCTGGCGAATCTCTCGGCGGACCAGAAAATCGATTCCGATGTGCGGGTATCAAATGCAGAAATGTCTGGGTCTGGAAGGATCCGAACTTGTGATGCGCATTTTAGAACACAGAAAAATCTCTCATGCATAGGCAGCAAAAGCTGCCCACTTTCTGTCGCCAAAATGGGGGACTTGTCATGCGGATTCGGCATTGCGGAAGCTTCTCGAAAACTGTGATGCTACAGCTTCCATGCCAGACCTTCTGTGTCATGCAAAAACAGCGTGACTTATTTTCCAGACCCAGACATTTTTACATTTGATAGCGGGAGGAAGCCGAGCGGATTCTGAAGTCCGATATCGCCGCAATGAGGCTCGCCGCGAACGACAGTTTTGAGGAAGATGACAGCAATGTGCTTTATTCCGATGCTGCTGCTGACCCCTCGACATCGAAAGCAAGAGTCGATGCGATTCAATTGCGAAACATCTACAAGCAGTACCCGGACGGGAAAAAAGCGGTAAATGGGGTCTCGTTCGGCGTGAAGAAAGGCGAGTGCTTCGGCCTGCTCGGCCCGAACGGCGCGGGCAAAACGTCGTGCATCAACCTCGTGTGCGGGCTGCAGAAATTGTCGAAGGGCTCGATTGTGGTGTCTGGGTACGAAATTTCCGCGGCGAGAACGAGGAAAAGCTCTACTTCACAAGGCGATTTTTTAAACGGCTTGCAAAGTAGAACTTCCGGCGACGCGTCCCTTTCCCAACTGTCACAGTACCTTGGTGTTTGTCCGCAATTTGACTGTGTTTGGAACGATCTCACGGTCGAGGAACATCTCGCTTTGTACGCAAGGATCAAGGGCATTTCGGGGTACAAACAGAAAGTCTTGGTGCGCAACGTCGCGGAATCTGTCGCGTTGGAGGGGGACGCTTTCAGAAAACTTGCTTCCGAACTTTCCGGGGGCATGCGGCGGAGATTGTCCCTCGCAATTTCGTTGGTCACGAACCCCGCCGTTCTGATCCTCGATGAACCCACCACCGGCCTAGACCCGGACACCCGCGCGGGCTTGTGGCAGGTGATTGCGAATGAGTCGAAGAAGCGGGCGGTGGTCTTGACGACACACAGTATGGAGGAAGCGGACGCACTGTGTGAGAGGATTGGGATTATGTGCAGCGGAAAATTGAAGTGTGTGGGAACCCCTTTGCACTTGAAGAACAAATTTGGGAACGTATCCTATTTAAAAACGTCCTCCTCCCCACCCCATTATAGTTGTCATGCAGATTTGCATCTACAGAAAAATCTGTAATGGACCCCCAGGATCAGGTAGACGAGGTCCCAGACCGAAGTGGTAGGCGCTTAGGGTGAACTATGTATGTAGCGCTTAGGGCCCTTCCGTACGGCCAATTTGTATGCCCGCAACGGGGTTCGCCTAAGTCGGTCATTTGTATGCAAGGCGTTGGGTTACCCGGTCGGCAGAGCCGATCCACAACGAAGGAACATTCGCAAGAGGAAGGGCGGAATTTGTATTCGTGTTCTGGGATGTGTAATGCTGTAAACAGGATGAGCAGGCTTCTTTGTGATGCGGCTGTCCTTGCTAAACAGCACTACAATACAGATGGAAACTTGTCATGCATAACTTCCAAAACTTGGAGACTTGTGTTGCAGATTTACCAACTTGGCGATGGGGTGGGGACGTTTTTACTCAGGATAGATCGGGTACATGCTCACAATCGCTTTGAACTACGCGTCGAGTGAGCAAATGTCGCTGCTTATCAAGTGTAAAAATGTCTGGGTCTGGAAGATTCTGAGACTTGTCATGCATGTTTTGCATTGGCCAGGATGTCTGTGATGCATGCCCTAGCATCACAGATTTTTTGAGGGCTTCGCGATGCCTACTCCGCATGACAAATGTCCTCTCCGCGTAGCAAAAATTGCATTCTCTTTGCTGCTCATGCAATACAGATTTTTTTGGAATCCAAATTCAGCATCACAAGTTGCATTCTTCCAGACCCAGACACTTTTACATTTGATACTGCTGAAGCAGAAGGAGGTTCAACAGAACAGAATCTTGGCGTTCCTGAAGAACCAGTGCAAGCTGTCGACGGTTTTCCCGATCGAGAGTCGGGGGGTGTTACTGCAGTTT